GGTCTGTTTCGTGGGCTGATAAGTATTCCTGCCAACAAACCAGCTAGCTCTGCCTTTGTCGAGGATGCGTTGCCTGCTACTCTACCAGATAGCGCAGTGTAAAACTCACCCTCTTGTGTCTGGACTACCACACCAAATGCCATACTTACTCTTTCAGTGCCAATATCTTTGAGAGATCCATCCGTATAAATGACATTACCCGGCTGGATATTGTACCGTTCCCTTTGGCGTTGGATTTTTCTCCTCAGTATTGGCACTAATGATAACTCCATTTGTGTCCCTGGCTAGGCCTCTGTTGACTTCAGGGATCACTTTTAGGCACGGTGTCTCGTTGGAATCCAGGTCGACTTTTGCTCTCCTTAGCAGAGCTTGCTCGCTCAGACCCTCATATCTCCTTGTGTTCTGGGTCCGGCGTCTCCTCGCTTCTTCGCGGGCTCGCATGCGTTCACCATGCCTTCGCTCTCGGTCCTGGTGGCGTTCTGCTCTTCTGACTATGGCATCTAACTTTGCTCTTTGTCGCCTAAGATTATGTTCTCTGGTTGCTCTGCGCGCCTCTTTCATAACAGCTTCTCGTCTCTTTTTCCGCTCCTTCTGTTGATCTAGAATCCACTTAATTCCAATTGGTGGCTCAACAGCTTGATTAGCCGGTGATACTGTCAAAGTTCTGTTCGTTGCACCTTAAGCAAAGATACACCTACTATTTACAACACACTATATACACGTGATTTAAATGCTTGTGACTACCTATATTTATTTATGTATATATAATATTCCTTTGCAAAGCAATCGCACTCAAGGGTTTCGTGTTGTAATTGGTTAGCAATCAAGACTCTGAATCTTGCAATCCGAGTTCGAGTCTCGGCGAGACCTTTTGCTTTTTGCCATCTTGGTATCTATTATACATGTATATTTTTGCTTAAGGATGAAGTTATTGGCACTCCCCCGTAGCTGCGCTCTGTTGTATATTCCACAGAATGCAATATTATGATGGCCAAGTTAGGAAAAATACTGAGTAAAAACACCAATGCACTGAAAAGATTAGTATAAGAAATTAGTGGCAATAACGCGCCACACATAGACGCGAAAAATCTTTGATATGAAGTTTTTAGAACGAACCTATGTCATCCTACAGATAGATACGTAGTTACCTAGTTAAGTTCCTCTAGCAGAAAATGAATAAATACCCCATGGGCGTGGTATGTGGACCCATATCTTATTCTCACTTACTTTTCTACTGCTTACTATCTATCTACAAAATATTTTTCACGCTCTATTCCGCTCTACAGTCTCCCGCAAGAAAGTCTGGTCAAAGTGGGTTATTTATTATTTTTTTATTTTGAATCTCTGAAAAACAGCTCATTTGTGACATACAAAAATACTTCACCAACCAAGATGGAAATTTATGCTTTTATTAATGATGCCAATGTGGATAATCACTAAAGTTTTTGGGCAGTACATGCTGAGGGAAAACGGCAAGAAATAGGAATGAAGACAGTGTTTCTCTTCATAACCATTTCAAAATTTTATTTTTTTGACTAAACTTTCTTTCAGGTGATTGTGCAATATGAAGCTAGTCCCTAGACGCAGTGAGCATCTACATGTGCTGCTGAGTATGCGACACTGCGTGCTAAAGACGACCCAAGGCAAGTTCTGCCTATTATTGGTGAAAAATCAACCCTGGTTGAACATGATAACAAACTTGGAATGTAATGAGGCAAAAATAAGGATCTTTATCAACGTAACAGAAAAGAGTATCCATGTCTCTTTTCTATCACTATAAGTCACGGCTATGCTATTAAAGTATTTTAGCTATTTAGATATAGGGATATAGGTAATTGTGGCACGGTCGGCTTTGAGTGCGAGCTGCCACCAACTATCAAAAGATAAGTAATCTCTCGAGTTACAAACGAGCGAGAGGATAGGCATTCCACAAAATAAACTGAGGTCTACCCATTGTATTTTGGTGAATTTGATAAGCAAAATTTAGTACCGAGGGTGCTTGAGCTCTTAATAAAGAAGGACAGAGATAAAGACATAGATAGAAGAAAGAGAAAAGAAAGAGAGTAGTGACACGACACGTTATGCATCGTAGCAATGAGTATGATCGTTTATATATCTACCGAAACAAACTACACATTAGAGGCCCCTAATTACTGAATTCATCGTTATGTACTTAATTGAAAGAAAGCATTGGTGAACCATCTACAACCTATAACAATACGACCAACAAAAGTGCAAGTAAAGCGGCATAGTATATTTCAATTATAGATAGATCATTTGTAATTCTTTATTTAGTCCCAGATCGCATAAAGAATATCAACATCTATTCTGGGCTACGTACGACCTTGATAAGATAAATATTCTGGTCAATATTTGATGCTTGGGTATCGAGCTTGTGTCGTGGAAGGCTTCCTGGTAGTGGTATTTAAGACTGAAATAAAGACCCCATACAAGTAGTATTTTGTTATTTGTACAGGGGGAGCAGTGTAAATAAGGTGTGTACGGGGCGTGCAAATAAGAGGTATACGGGCCCGTGCAAATATCTTTTTCCTTTGCTTAACTATGTTATGGAAAAGTGATAAAGGATGCATGACCATACACATCTTATTCACACTGTCTCTTTTTACAATAGTTTAAGTTAATGATGAGGATTTAGACGCTCCAAATAATACGGATGGTAATAGAAACCCTCCAAATATAATACCCATGTATGGTTTCCAATACTTGCAGAGTTTGTTTCAAGATGGATTTTTCATTAAGAAACTGTAATGGAAATCGACACAAGCTAAAAAAGTTTTTCTAATCGGCTATTATCTGTTTTATATTTAAAAGGCATTGGATAGTAAGCATTGTCATCATTAAACCCCATCCAAAAGAACTATTTGATATGCGTTGTTTGTCACTAAAGTGACCTGCGCCAAAAGAGGCGGGTCTGTGATTGAGTGATAATGCAGATGCAGAACCTGGAATTGTATACCTGTTCTTCAATTACAAAAAGTGTGGTAAGCGAACCATTTATATTTCAAAGGTCTAACTATAAAGAGCAATAAGCCAACAAGCGAAGTCTCTGTGTAGGCCTTTTCAGGACATGAATTTATTTACCATGTGGATAAGAGTGTCCAGAGCCATGAAACTATACACTTCTAAATGTTTGAATGTATATGTGTGGCATAGTGCTAACTAAAAGATCAACCAACCAACGGTCATGATCTCATTTAACAACTGACGCACACTCAGACCTTTAGAGTGGTTGGGGAGTTTGACTCTTCCATCATCTGCATCATCTCCTCTAGAGAAACAGCTTTGTAGGCGAAACATCATTGTTAATTTTGAGCCAATAAAAATGAATCAGTGGGGTCGTCCATTCTTGACTGCGAACGGCCGGTTCCCCTCTCCCCTAAAGTTTCCGTGTTTGATGGAGAAGAGTTTCTCCGCTCATTACTGAAACCGAATGGCCGGTATATGTACTATCACAGCACGTCATTGATTCATTAGGTCCAAAAATGGGAGCTACCTTCTTGCGATGCCAATTCCAATCATAGTACCCATGGTAACTATACCCCAAATGATCGTATCTCTTTTTTGAGTACATTGTTCTTGCTCTTGGGAGCAAGAGTCTTCTTCATATTACTGCCAATCCATCAAAGGCAAATTATACTGAGGATAACGCGTCCTAGTGACTGTATCTCTTAAGATCCAAAAGGTTTTTGGCAAAACGGTTATTGGTGGCGTTTCCACTGCTGCTGCTGGTATTGCTACTATATTTGCTGGTGATTGATAGTATCTTGATCTCGAATCCGCCTTCATATCCCCAATTTTCTGGAACCATCCAGCTTTACTATTCTCCAGCATTTCCTAGGATAGTGATTCGAGAGACATTCTGAGATTAAATTCAGGATTGGAAGGATATTTGATGGCAGAGCAAACGATAGCTGTTGTAGATATAGTAGTGATGCTAGATGAGGATTTTTGCCTTGAATGTCATTGTCTTTCCTAGACGCTTCCAATGTATTCGATATACCATTGGACTATATTGACTGCCATGAAAGAAGTTAAAGGCCTTATGAGGCGGATGAGATCCTCTCTCATGACTGTTGCTAGCTGAGCCCACTTTATGTATTCATCCTTGTTAGGTTCTTTATATCATCTGGAGTTATATTAGGGTCATGTGCAATCATATTGAGCATGCTTTGAGACGATCCCAGTCATCTAGAAAAAAAAAACGATATCCTTGTGGCTCCAGGCCATGATCAGCCTAGATCCTGATATGTAGATAGCGTTTAATAGTGGGGCCGTATTCTCGATCTCTGAAGCATACTCGACACCTTTGACATCTTTATTATTCTAATCATACACCACTGTGGAGGCAATCCGACGACAGTTGCGTCGTGGATCATAGAGAGCGGTGATGAAGCGGCGCTAAAGGAGGCGTGACTGTTGGCATAGAAATAATATTAATGCCAGCTGGTGTCTGGATACCTAGAGGTAAATTGTCGTAGATGTTCGCAGGTAGAAAGTAATGTGCGGCTTGCGTCCATCCATCCAGTAGCGATCGCAAACACAACCTCCGCTTGGACCATTTTATCCATCGCGTGTTTTTTTTTTTTTTTTTTTTTATAATTATAAAGATGAACAAGGCAACGAATAAAGCAAAAAGAAAGAATAGAATGTCGTACGCTGACTTTGGAATGACTCATTCTTTTTATCTGAAAGGATAGACCTTGCAATCCACAATCCCTCAGCCGAGAAGCAGAATCAACATAAAACTATATATATAAAAATGACTTTAAAAGCATAATAAATTTTAGCATATCAAAATCATTCACAAATCCACGCTGGTTGGATCGAAACCCAAAGTACCGATAGTAAGTACGAGAGAAAAGGGACAGGGCGCATTTTGACTTCGACACAGAGAGGTGGTGACATTTCATTACATGAATATGAGAAATATTGCATGCAACACATTTGACTATTAACTTTATAAAAAATTTTGAACATTAGGTGTCGTTGCATGCCTGCATGCGTTGATGACGGACATTCATAAATGATACATTCCATAGGACCATCATGAGATTTGATTAATGTTGTGGTATACGTAAGAAAGAGCACTCAAAAAAATGATACAAAAAGAAAAAAAAATAGGTAAGTTCTGCTTAGGAACAAACTTTGTGTTTCTATCTATTTCTCATCCATGATTACTTGCGTCCTTGGATATCGCGGGGATATCGATGTTCCGATATCATTTTTATAGAGGTCTGAGTTATCCATCCGTTCCATCCTACTCCGTTCCCTTGTGTCTGCGAACCCCAGTCTATAGCTTCGCGCTGGAGATGAGGACATATTTTTTTCATACGACGTAGGCTGATGTTGATGGGCTCCATAGCCTGAACTGTCACCTGTTTCACTTCTTCGAAGCATAGCTGGCGTGAATGGACGGCCGCCTATGTTATTACCTCCGTAATCATCCGTGCTTGAATGTCGAAGGTTCGATGCAACTGTCGAGGCTGCGTTTTGATAGTGCTGTTGTGATGGTGAAGGCTTTGGGGAATAAGAAGAGGAGCTCTGCTGACGAGCCCGCTGCTGCTCTAAATGTAAGTGACGTTGTTGTTCCTGAAGATGACTCATCTGTGGAGATGATGTGTATGAAGGAACATCCAAGTTCGAGTCGGGAGGTGATATGTAGTCATCAGAGCGATTAGCAACGTCATTGATCTCATTCTTCCAATTTTCATAATCGCTGCCACTTGCTTGACTACGATTCGATTTCAACATTTGGACTTCTTCCCAGTAGCTCGAGCTTCTGTGGGCCGGGTCTGCATTCGGATAGTCGTCATGGCTGCCCGTTTGTGAATTCGAGTCTCCATAAGCTACTGGCGATGTTCTACTGTTGTATGCAATAGCAGCATCCGACATCGCGAGCTCATCGTGGGATGGCGCGACATGAGGTCGAATAGGGTTGCCCACTGGCTGGGGTTGCCAGCTGGTGACTGCAATCCTTACTTGGCTAATTGCGGCTGCTGTGTACTCTGCTCCGTTGTATAGTGTAGCCTTATTTGCCTCCTGTGGTCCCACGTCAATAACGTTGGTTATCTGGCGACCATATCCTGCAATGAGAGCCATCTTTTCTCCAAACTCAATCATGGAATCAAATTGAGCATTGAAAGCATCCCTGATTGTAATGCGCTTGAATTGAAGTAATTCTAGTTCCTGACTCAGCAGTTCAGCAGAGACACGTTCAAGGGCAGTCTGAAGCTCCATCAATTTGATAGGGTTCTCTTTGCTTGATTTCTGATGTTTAGTGATTTGATTAGTAAGGTCTTGTTTCTTTTTGCGGTTCTAATAGTGAGAGGTATTGGACAAAGAATGCAGAGTAAAATTAATTATTGTGGTTCAATAACCAACGGAATTATCAGTATTATCAGTCTTATCTTTAACTCAAAGAGCTACGACCATTTACATACATCGTCAAGGGCCATTTCATGGACTTTGAGGCTCTTGATCTGTTTACGGTAGGCTGTATGCTGGATTGAATATGCCTGATGGATTAGGCCAACCTCCTAGGAATAACATAATACATAACATAGCACCGTATTACCGCGCGGGAGTGAATATGATTTTTGAATTAGTCTAACATCACATTGACAAATAAAAATGCGAATTATACTCCCAACCCCTCAGTCTCGTAAGCAATAGACCATGCTAAAAGAAGTTCAATAAAGCTTCTCCCTTCTCAACTTAGATTAATTACATACCTCCATAAGCTGAGTCATGCGCTGACAGACATCCGCCAAGTCATCGCCTTCATTACAACCCCAGCCTGAGATGAGCTTCGCACTTGTAGTGATCTCTTTGTCCAGCACTTTGAGCGAGGCATCGATGTTCTTCAGCTCTCCTAGCCACTTATTGATGTTTTTGTAATTGCTGATTTCCAATGCGGAATCAATTAGAATGGTTAGTCTTTCATTCTATAGATGAGATGCAATTATGGTAGGGGTATAATGTACTGGCACAGGAAGGGGATTTTTATTTTTGATAAGAGTTTCACAATAATTAGGCAATGATTAATTAAAAAAATGTATCATACCCGAGAGAGAAATTATTCAGTCCTCGGCGAAGATCATGTCCGATGCTTTGCATTCTGCCGAAAGAGGATGAGTTGACAAAAAGCAGAATGGCGTGGGGAGACAAGAGTAAGATAAGGGTAGAAAAAGAAAGAACGAAGTGTAACCAAGGAAAGATGATGTATTGAATGAGAGAAGATAGAGTATGAGGAAGAGAAAGAGACAAGCGAGATGATAAACAATAAAGACCTTGTTGTACCAAGATGAGCCGTAAAATAGTAAATTAAAAAAAAAAAATGAAAAATGATGAGAGAGAGAAATAGGAGAGAGAAAGGAAACGATGGAAATGACTGAGCATTTGTACACTCTCTTTGTCGCTCTCACTCAAACATTTGATTTGCTGATTACGACAGTTGGGGAGAAGAATGAGGCAGTTGGACAAGGATAGGGTCAGGACCATAGGAACACAAAAAGCACTTGGGGTGAGATGATGACATGTTTAGGGCAAGGTACAAGTTTACCTTTCTATCGATTTAATTGCATCTCATTAATAACAACTCTAATGCTCAAATATTGTAATCACACTTGTGAGTCTGTTTTATGTGAATATGTAACGGATGAGATACTGTGGTTGTCGTTGTTCAAAAGCTTGCTTCACCACATTCAAACTCTTACTGTTTCCATACGGATCGATTAGACATGCCATTTATTTTGTGCGTTGTAGGGTGTCATTAAAAGTTTAAAAGCATTTTAGCTGATAATAAAGTATACTCTTCTCTATCGGATTTTTCACCTCAGCTTTTGGGGTATAGATAATCCTTTTCAGGTTTCGAGACAGGTGCCCAATATCTAGTCATGGATCCTTGAGTATTATGTGCCCTTGTTGAATAAAAGCAGACAGTTTTTTATGATCTACGAGTTGCTCTCAATAATGGAAGTGGTAGATGTCGTGTGAACATGTACATGTTCACATCTTGTGAGAAACTAGAGCCTTTCTTGAATGTTTGCTCTAGAGCCATTGAAGGGACCCGGGCCCCCCTGCTAGCTTGTCAGACTTGAGCCAAAGGCCAAAGGACTGCTGTTAAGACGACAAACGCGTCCAAAGCGCGTTTTTCATTGTGTTTCCAGTCTTCAGAGGACTCTATGCTCTTTGTTTCCTTGGATACGGTGTCCTGCGAGCTAGTGGCGAGCCCCAGGGTGGTTTTATACACGATTTCGCCAAGGCAGATGACGTAGTTTTGTATGCACAGGATATATTTTGAACTTTGGGCTGGACCATTGGGAGGGAAAGGCTATATAATTCGCACGGGAGCCACGGATCTCTTTAAAGTGATTCCTATTTCTTTTTAACTTTCCAAAGAATTCTATTCATCTTGTTCCATTATCCTATTTTTCCTCATTGGAAAACAATCTACAAAAATTCATCTCACTCTCACTAAGCAATCCTCACAATGTCCAAAAAGCCTTCTGCTAAAGCCATCGCTAAGCTCAATGCCACCACCCTCTTTCCTGAGATCAGAAAGGGTATGACGCTTCATGAGCAAAAGAGAAGTGGATGAGCCAGTTGTCAAAAACAATCTGCGGTGGCAAGCATTATTCGGATTGCTGTGCGACTTGATGTGGTGCTGTCTGTGCTCTTGCTTTCTTGTATATTTTTGATCCTTTTATTGAACCCTTTTGTGTTCTAATTGAAATATAGAGATTGAAAAGAACCCATCGCTCTTTGCCATCCGCGGATTTTTTATCTTTAACATTACAAAGAGGAATGTCCCCATGACAGAGTGGTAATCGATAGTTTTTTAACTCTTTCCATCAATTTCCCGCAAGCATGAATTCTCTTGAATTCTGTTTCCAACTATGTAAATCATGTGTAAAAAGAATTATCCATTGACATGTGCAACCTTCTATTGTAACTGTAATTGGATGGTCTCGATTTCCATTTCCATTACAAGGTATCTCCTGTTCCAGGGGTTCGATGCCCCTGCAATCGTGTCTCAGAAGAGGCCTGAGATCCCCAAGGCCAAGCCCGACCAACAGCCAATCCCTGTGGCTATCATTCAGATCGAAGACGCGGATCTGCTCAACTTCATGAGCGGTGGACTTACCGTACGTGCAGCAACTCGCAGACCTGGTTAAATTTGATCTATGGTATTGCTAAACATCAGAGTTTCATACTATTTCATACCTATTAAATGGACTGCTTTATGAAATGTGCATAGGGATCACGCGGTATTGTGAGCGGAAAGATCAAGATTGCTGGTGCTATGGAATTGGCGGAAGAGCTGGAGCAGATTTTCAGAAAGGCCAAAGGATCGGAAAAGACCCTTGCTTACTTGGAGCAAAAGCGTGGAAAATCTGAGAAAGCCAGAGCTCGTCTTTAAGAGCAGGCATATACTTTTGCTCTGCTCTGTCTACTTCATGTATAGACTCCTTGCATTGTACTTGGAAGAGTGTCTGTCCTCCAACATAATGCAGCTACACTGGTAGAGAATCTAATAAAAAGATCCGAGAGCAAGCCTACAGCATGAGCCGCTATTATTTAGAAGATCATTTGAGGTAGTAATAGGTTTGGATGCATCCAATCGCATGGAACAAATGCATGATGAACAAAGACTCAATCAATAGGTCAACAGACATTTATGCCTTAATATATCTCCTACAGGTAATCAGTATCATCAATGGGTGACCCGACCCTGTCAAGGATCCTTGAGAGTGTTGATGACCAGACAGAGCATTTGGCTCTTTTTTTTTTTTTTTTTTTTTTTTTTGGAGGCAGGCTTTTTCAAATCACGAATATAGATTAGCTGTGGCTACGACAAGATGACTGGACAGAGCCCTTTAAGCAGAGAGGCAGAGAGGCAGAGGGGCATGGTGATATTTAAAGAATGTCTACGTACGAGCCCAGCCAAAAAAGCAGTCTTACCTGCCTATTTTTGTTTCTGCTGACGGGAGCTAGAGGGTGTGTGAACGGACAGAATGCTTTGAGCAGACAAGTTGAACGGTGCCTAAAATTAACTCGCGACAATTGCTATGCCTTTTTATACTCTTCCTTTTTCTTCTTTTTCTTTTTCTTCTTCTCTTCAAAAATCCTTCGCAACTTTTTTCTCCTTCCATTTCTGAATAAAACGCACATATCCACTTCCTTATCACAAAACTACCTATACCTCATATTTTTTATCATGTAAGAAACGATCTTCCATACTACATATTGCTATTTTCCCTATACTTATTCATGGATCTACTTTTAAAATACCTTTCTCGCTAAAGAACGGAAAAAAAAGAAAAAAGCTAATCAAATGCTGTTTCAAACATGTTTCTAGGTCTACTTCTGATATTTCTTCCTCACCCCCAGGTTCCTCGCCCTTGAACGAGAACTCCCAGCCCGCACCTGCAGCTGCACCCGCAGCAACCAAAGTGCAGGGTCTCGCACGGCGGTATTCTGCTCTAGCAAAGGCTGCTGAGAAAGACAAATACGTACCACAAAACAAGATTGACAAGCCAAGAGGAAACAGCAAGCTTAACGACTCCACCACGGCTGCAGCAACGACTCCATCTAAAAATGCCGCAGCTGCATCAACTGTTGCCCAGCCCCTTGCCAAGACATCAGAGGTCCAAGAGGAGAAGAAAATTGATTCAGATTCAAAGGTCTCGGAATTGACAGATAAGATCAAGGATGCTGATCTTGCTGATGTGAAAGAAGAAACAAAAGAGGAGCAAGAGGAGGAGCAGACTGAGGAACAGGAGCAAGTAGAACAGGAGCAGGAGCCTGTCCAGGAGCAAGAGCCAGTCCAGGAGAAGGTCATCGTTCAAGACGTTGAAGATGTCACATCTGCTCCTATTGCAGTCCAGGAAGCACCCGAGGTTCCCGAGCCTGCTTCAACCGAGGCCAAGGAGGAAAGCCAAGTTGCTGAAACTGTCGCTGAGACTGAGAAGAAGGAGGAAGAGGAGCCCAAGGTTGTTTCTGCTGATTCATAAACGTCGGGATGAACGCTCAGATCACAAATCATGTCTGTGGGAAAGAGCAAACAAGTAAAGCCAAGTATAAAAACATGAAGTTAATAAATATTAATACAGAAAAGAGAACTGATAGCTTAAAGTATATATGTTCACATTGAAATATCTGGACCCTGGAGAAAAAGAATAAAGCCAAAACGTTATTTCCTTCACGTTTTCTTTTCTTTCTACCTTTCTTCCTTTCTTCCTTTCTTCCTTTCTTCCTTTCTTTCACATATTCTTGCTTTTATCTCTCGTCTTTTCCAAACTTCAGCATATATTTTAGCATTATGTCTTCAAAACGCAAACGCACATCAGAGGCAGCCTCTGCCACGTCCAAGAGCAGCAATAGCGACACCGACGCGTCTATTCACAAACAGCCACGTATAAGCCAAAAAGGCACATCCATCAAAAACAGAAGTACAAGGAGACAGGCTGCTGCTGAGCACGAAAACGAATATGAAAACGCAGATGAGACTAAAAACAATGAAAAGAAGGTGATCAACCATGTAGACACGAGCACGGACCAAGACGATCGCACAAAAGTCAACCGCAATGACCAACAACTCACAGCAAAAGAAACAATCATAACTACTACCCCCGGTGTTGCTGTAAAAGACGATAGTTCGATAACAGTAAGCTCCAGTGTTTCAAAGTCCAAGTACAGCTACCCCATTAATCCACCACCTGTTGGTCGCCCTGTGCGCATCTACTGCGATGGCATTTATGACTTGTTCCATTTCGGACATGCCAAAGCACTCGAGCAAGCAAAAAAAGCATTTCCCGAAGTCTACTTACTCGTTGGAGGTAAAAAAAAAGAAAAATCACACTTTCCATTATATTGTCGCACATCCTGTTACTGTCATTCTAATCATGGAGAATGGATGAACACTGGGCAGAGTGAAAGCCCATCACTGTTTCTTTCTTGCCCGTCCTAGGGGTGGAGGAAAGCTAGTTCTTGCTTTAGTTTTACCCCAAAGAAATCAGGTGCATTTCAATTGCCGCCAGAAAAAGAGCATCTTCATATGCTTTTTCATTCTCCTCCCCTAACTTTGGGAGCTACTTCAGTTTTTGATCTTGAACCTTTTTTTTTTTTTAGCGTGTACGCATTGCTGTTTATCTGTTTATGTACAAAGTACAAAGACTCTTCTATATCGCCATCCCGATAAAAAAAGTAACACCAAGGCTAACACCATTAAACCTTGATCAATGTAGTTTGCGATGACACCATGACCCACAGTCGTAAAGGCAAGACAGTCATGACGGACAAGGAACGCTACGAGAGTGTGCGCCACTGCAAGTGGGTGGACGAGGTGATTGAGAGTGCTCCATGGGTAGTTGATCAGGCTTTCTTGGATAAGCATCAGGTAAAGATGCAATTTATAACCAAACTTGTGCAAATGATGTTTATAATTTTTTTTTTTTTTTTTTTTTTTTTTTGTTTATAGTTAATTAATATAATTAATTGCTATTATCTTTCTAGATCGACTATGTCGCCCATGACGATATCCCGTACAAATCTGTTGATAGTGACGATGTCTACGCGTTTGTCAAGAACCAGGGTCACTTTTTGCCAACACAGCGTACAGATGGTGTTTCAACATCAGATTTGATCACACGAATTGTCAAAGATTATGATCAATACCTCAGACGTAATCTTGAGCGTGGTGTAACCGCTAAAGAGCTTGGTATTGGATTTTTCAAGGTAATAACCATATCTCCAATTATTGAGGGGATAATGAATGTAGATTCTTCTACTATGCTAAAACTGAATTATTGGGCTCCCGGCCATATTCTGCATCCATAGGAGCAAGAAGTGAAGCTTAAAAAGTCAGCACAGGATATTCGCGCTTCGATCCGTCAGAATTGGCATGGAACCAAGGATGAGCTCAAAAACGAAATCTCGGTTCTCAGAAATGATCTTCGACAGACCATGAATGTGTGGGAAGATAAATCACAAGAGTTCATTAAAGACTTTTCGAGGCTCTTTGGCGCCGACAGTGTCGTCAATAAGATTTTTAGAAGACGAAGGCGCGATGGTAATAACCTGATTACGGATGGCAATGCCTCGAGCCCGTCAAATGACTCTTCAAGAATGGCGTCGCCCGAAGGTTCAGATTATGAAGATGGCTCAATAAGCCCGTTCAGAAGTAGGAGCAGAGACTTTTTCAGATTTGGACGAAGGAGTAGCAGTGGCAGTAGTAGTTGGATAGGAATGCAGCGTAGCCGATCAACTAGCCCTGTAGAATCATATGATGGCCAAAGCCCGCGATCAGAATCAGAAGAGTAGTTTCGACCAAGTCAGATAGCCAACGAAAGTGTTCTGAAATGAATGTCTTTTCTTTTTTTTAATGCCATTATACCATACTATATTATTAGTTTTAGCTATGTAGATTGGATCGTATCTGATGGCCAAAGCTTAGCGACAACCTTGAATGCAATGGCTTTGTAGTATTCTGTGTGTTTACTGTTTGGTCTGGACACAACGACGGGTTGACCTTTGTCCGATAATTGACAGATCTCCGAGTGAAGTGCAACATCGCCTAAAAAGTCAAGGTTCATTTCCTTTGCTGTTCTTTCTGCACCTCCATCTCCAAAGATATGCGACTCGTGGTTGCAATTAGGACACACGTGGAGCGACATATTTTGTACAACACCCAAGATCTACTTGATAATCACAGCCAAAATGGCCCCCAAAAAGGCTTGTTTGTCAATCATTCTTAGATTGAGATTGAGCAAAGTGTACCAATTTTAATGATTCTGTCTATTGATCTACATCTTACCGGAACATTAACTTTCTTGAACATATTGACTCCCTTACGGGCATCGATCAATGCGATATCCTGGGGAGTCGAGACAATTACTACTCCAGAAAGTGGGATCTGTTGCGAGATGGTCAATTGTGTATCCCCGGTGCCCGGAGGCATGTCAATGACAAGCAAGTCAAGTTCACCCCACTCGACCTGGTGCAAAAGTTGTTGCAAAGCCTTCATGACCATCAGTCCTCGCCATACAACGGGCGCCTCTTCTCCAACCAGAAAACCCATGGACATGCACTTCACTCCAAAGTTCGTCAGAGGTACAAGACGATCCTCTGATATGAAGTGAAGCAAAAGTTGAAAAAGAATAAAAAAAAAATAAAATAAAGGTAAAAAAGTTCTCGTTGTGAGTCTTAAATCGCATACAGTATGAGTAGTTGACTGCATTTTTATTTCTATTGTACCTGTTCCTGTCAGTTCTGGTTCGCCGCTAAGGTTCATGAGGCGAGGAATTGAAGGCCCAAAGATATCTGCATCCAAGAGCCCAACACGCTTGTTCATTCCTGCAATAGCTAATGCCAAGTTTACTGAATGGGTCATATAAATGAGCAGTTCCAAATAAGTGTCAAACAATAGGATGTTCTGCTTGGGCTTGATGCTCAAGTAATAGATCCAGCTGAACATTTTCGATATATATATTTCCCTTCTTTGCAAATATTTTTCTTTATTCTACCTGAAGTGGTAGACTTGCCAACACCACCCTTTCCAGAGGCTACCGCAATGATATGCTTTACGCCCTTGATTGGCATCTTTTGGGGTAATCCACGCTGCATTCTTGGAATGGTAGGAGCAGGACCCGCACCTGGCCCGCGTCCAGGGACTTGAGGTAATGGCTTCCGTGGGATTCCCTAGACGATATGGTGCGGTTTGTTATCAGTGTGTATTGGAGCGTGCATCAAGATTGTTGCTTATTTGTATTTATATTTATATTTATATTTTCTTCTTACAAGAGGGTTCTCATGAAAAGTAGATCGTGATGTAGTGATGGTCCTACATGTCCCATTCCGAACATTTGTTGTCCAGAAAATCGTTCTGGCCCACAATCCTGCAGCAACTGTCCCTCTAAATGCAACTGTCGACACCATTCTCCAGTGTTTGAAATGTAGCAGAAAAATTGATCTGTTTGGGAAAATTGAAAGCTGCGCCGAACAACTCTTTCGCGTGGTCTGAGTATATATTCCACGTCACATTAACGTATACATTCATTTGATACTCATTTTTTTTTAAATGTTTCTAAACTCTTGGCCTCACAACACTACGCAATTAAATAACAATCAGCGGGAAATCATTTCATCTGGACTTGACTCACAAGGTGACAGCCAAATAAGAGAAGAAAAAGGATGATCAGCAGTTTCTGTATATGAGGATCACAGCAATGCAACCATGGCGAACCAATATTATAGAAAGGACATCCATAAGTCTATAGATAAACTACTCTACGGGCTCTATGTGTACCAATACCTACTGGACACAAGCACTCTCGGATTGCTTCTTAGATGTCTCTTGCAAGATGTAAGTGACATTCATAGCAATCTTTTTATTTTAAAAAAAATGATCGCTGTCTGCTGAATAGGAAAGAGGAGAGAAAGGGGCCTTATTTAATCAAGCTCCTTTTTATTTTTTATTTTTATTTTTTATTTTTTTTAGCAAATACTATCGCTCAAGACCAAGACCCCAACTTTACGTGTGGCTCTCTATATAGTGTTCGCAACTGCTTTTCTTGCCATCCTCCGTCACTTGGATCCACCTGGACGATACGGTGTCATTATTGACTTTATTGGAAATGGTACTATTGACGTTATTGCAATTGGTTTCACTCGATTTTTATTCCTTTAGTTTTTTCGGTGTTGGGCTGATGTCAAGTTAATGCTACTAATGTTACTGCCTCCATATTCTATTTACATAGTCTCATTACCAAGCCGCTCAAAGCTATTGTGGCTAGATAGCATAATCACTATGTTGCAGATCGTTCAGGCATTGATTTTGTTTGAAATCCGTAAAATAGAAGGAGGCTCAAGGAGATATGGCACAGCAAACCGACAACAAGCACGTAGGAGAGAACAATCATCCAACAGCAACAGCGATGCTCAAAGTAATAGACAACAACATGAGACTGGTATCCGATCATCTCAGAGTAGCAACGCCACACAACAACGGAGCAGTAGCTCAAGGACGCGGATAGGCATTACATCTTCCTCGAGGAACGTATCATCAGTACAAGCAAACTCAGTTGCATCTCAGTCGTCACCATCACTGTTGTTTGAGCACACTTCAGAACGCGACGCCAACGACCGAGAACTAAATAGTGATTATTATGTAGATGATGAGGAGACGCGGCATAGTCTAGAGCACTCAAGAGAATCAACAGGGGATATTCTGAATTCAACAACTTCAGAGGCGGATCATCGGAGCGGCAGCGATAGCAATGAAGAGGAGGAGGATGAAGGGTTATTGGGAAATGACTATGAAGAGGTCTTGGAGCAGGAGACATTTATTCTTCAGTTGGAGTTCCATGATGTTATATCCTATCTATTCTCGGGACAGGAGGCAATTTCGATGCCACGGATAAGCAGTGCTAGAGCCATTGCTGATGGGGTAGAATCGACACGCGTACAGAATCTTCCGGTGTAGCTACACTGATGATCTGTAAGATAATGAATCGATGGACTTTTTTATTAATGTAAACTTTGATTATTATAATGAATTATGAATTTAGTATAGTTATCACGCGATTAGATTTGACAAAAGGATTAGGCTTGAGGGCCACATTGTATTATGTACAAGAATATTTTTGGTATGCTCTCAGTAAGCTTTTTTTTTTTTTTTTTTTTTTTTGGCTCTTGGGCATGGATGGTCCATAAGAGCATTGGGCAATAGAGCAATAGGACAAAAACTATTTTTTGTTTTGCCTCACTTTTGTGCATCAACTAATAACGACCACAAAAAAAAGGGCTCATTTTCAGTTTCAAGTCGCCTTGAACTCGTTCACTTGCTCTTTCTTCTCTCCTTTTATTTTTCCCTCCATTCTTTTTTTTTTACTTCTTTGTCCACACGCACACAAACACAATAACAGATTATTCGTGAATCCCGACTAACAGCATAGTACTTTATTAATTCTCCAACATACTCGCTGTATCCACTGGTTTCTTTTCCACTCCTCCTCGTCCAGCCACGCCTAGGCTCTAGACCATCCTTTTATAAGAGAGAGAGAAAGAAAGAAAGAGTAGGATAGAAAGGAAGAGAGGTATATGCTCATTACACGGGCTAGTTGACGCCTTTAAGGAAGAAAAAAAAAGAAAAAATAAATAAAAGCCAAAATAATAAAGAAGGGGTGTGAGGAGAGGGTGTAATGGAGTCCCAGACAAAGAAACGCGTGAAAGTGTACCAACTTGGTAAAGGAAATGAATGGAATGATCAAGGCACTGGACACTGTTCATGTGAATTCAATGAGGTAAAGATTAGACCTTAATAAAAATAGTTTACAAAAAAAAGCAAAAGGGTCCTTTCAGAGAGGGTCACTTTCCTCTGTTGACAAAAGAATGTTTCTGCTGTGCTTTTTTTTTGTGGAGCAAAGTGGTGAAGCTCAAATAAAATAAAAAAACTTTTTTTTGTTTAAATCCATCGCCTCTTAATACGTGGCTCTGGCGTATTTTTCCAACGCTTCTGACAATCTCCGTGTTTCATTTCTTTCGCGTCTCGCCTGACTTTATATAAATTGCTTAGGACAAGTCCGAAGGCACACTCGTGGTTCATTCTGAAGATGAGGAGGACAGGGAGCTACTGCGATCTCGAATCAAAACTGATGATGTCTACCAGAAACAACAAGGTAAAATAACAGAAGAATGATCATCTCTGTTTATTTCAAACTTGTTTTTCTTCTCCTCCTTTTATTCTTTTCTTTTTCACTTAAACCACTGAGCATATGCTTGGACAATCTTTTCCCCTAGATACCTTGATTGTCTGGTCTGAGGATGATATAGACCTGGCACTTAGTTTCCAAGAGGCCGAGGGTTGTTCAGAAATCTGGTAGGCATATCTTTTCTGAAATATTTAGCAGATCGCAAGATCATGGAACAAAAAATATACTAATACGGAAATGTGCCATATTTGACTGGACGCATTCTAGGGAAACCATTAACGAAGTTCGACAGCAACATGGTATGAATCCTTTTTTTTTTTTTTTTTTTTTTCATTTTATTGACAAGACTATATAATACAGACATTTAATCCTTTCTCTCTCTCTTTTTTTTTTTTTTTTTTTTTTTTTTTGGATTAAATTCAATCCGCAGCCGATGATGCATGTCCAGCTCTTGTGGATGGCAACGGAACTAATAATACCCTCCCAGACCCCGATATCTCCAACCTCAAGGATATTGGCGATTTACTCAGAGCTGCTCAGAGAGATATCTTGGAAAGAGAGAAGTTGTCTTCATTTGTCCTAGTCGATGTAAGTGAGAGGACATGTCCCACTATTTGCTGTACCACCTTCAAAAATTTAATTGATCTCATATTATTTAGAACTATATCAACAAGTTGTTTCCGCTCCTGGAAACCTTAGAAGGTCATAAAAGCATTGCAGAGTTACAACTGCTGTATTATGTAATGCTTGGGATCAGTAAGTTGTATTTTAACCGTTAATAATCTATCAATATAGCGCAAGAATCTACCTGGTAATGTATGTACTGATAATGTATATCGTCATCTCCAGTCCAGCTCCACGATATTGCTGTCATCCAATATATTCTTCAGGAAGGTATCTTCCTCAATTGCGTAGGAATACTGGAATGTAAGGCCCGCTTGAGGGATAAATGACATTCCCACAAAAAAAAAAAAAAAAAAAAAAAAAAAAACTGACATTTGGCCTTAATCTGCGTGTTAGATGAACCTGGTTTAGTGGACAGCAAGCCGGATTACCGAGGGTTTTTAATGAATCGAGTCAAATTCAAACAGATAGTTCCGATCAAAGACTTGGAGGTGGAGCAAAAGATCCACAAGGTGTTTCGCCTTCATTTTCTCAGAGATACTGTGTTATCGCGAGTCATGGATGATGGTTTACCATCGATTTTGGGATCCCTGATATTTTTTAACAACAACGATATCGTGAATGCGATTTGCCAGAATCGACCGTTTTTGCTAGATTTATTTGCAATAATGGATGCGAACAACAATCATTCCGACGAGATGCATGAGCAGAGGCGGGATGTGGTGCGATTTGCTCAGCAATTCTGCTCTATAGCTAGGTCTACTCATATGACAGCGCGTATTTATCGGTAATATAAGGACGGTGGTTTATGATCGCTTGCCATCGGAGTATTAAGGCATCAACAAATAAACTTTTTTTTTTTTTTTTTTTTTTTAATCCGTAGGACTTTATGCCAGTGCGGTCTATTCAACGTCTTCACTTTCTCGTTTACAGACAGCGAGGGATGTATCAAAATGGCAGGCATAGAGATCATGCTATCAGTATTGGAGTATGATGCGAGCTTGGTCCGATCTCATATTGTCAAGCAGGCTGAAAACCCTTCCGATCAACAAATTTTTGGCGTAATTGTTGAACAATTCCTTGTTGAGCGGGATGTAGGAGCAATAACTCAGCTATCAGAACTTATTAGAATGCTTCTCAATACCAGTCCTTATCTGACAGAATGTGCATCTATTCAGGCAACAATCCAAAGTTCATCGAGACTAGATCCAGATGCAGACAAATTTCTGGAGTTATTTTATTCCCTTTACGTTGATAAATTGATGTCGCCACTGCTAGATCTGCCTGAAGGTATATCATATCACACGCACAAGCAATGGCAAGGGCCTTATTGTATTCAAGCTAATGTGGTCCATTCCGCAGATACCAGGCTTTACTCACATCTACTTCACTTTCAAATCCGACCTTAGACACAGTTATATTGGACAGAGTGACAAGCATACAGTGTGAAAGTATCTGCACCATACTTTCTTTTATGGTCCGGCAGCATTCGTTTCGGAGTAAATACTACGTGTTTACAAGTGGGGTCATTACAAAAAGTTGCTCTTTACTCAGCAATAGGGATTTACACTTGGGACTAAGTACGCGCGCCGTGAGCTTTTACGACCATTTAGACAAATACCCTCCCTGTTCAACTGTATCGTCTAATTTTTTTTTTTTTTAATATGTTACAGCCGTCCTAAAGTTTCTAAGAGCATGTATCGAGATAAGCGATGAGTTTTATCATCGATATTTGATAGATCGTGGAGTGATTAATAGCATTGTTGAGCTGCTACTCAGGAATAACAATAAGAACAACCTCCTAAACTCGGTCTGCCTGGAGTTCTTTGAGTTTATTCGAACAGTACGTGCATTGCAAAAAAATACTGAGTTTTGCAAATATTAGTAGAGATGCAGCTAATCGGTATTTATTTGTATTTTAAAAAAAATCAATAGGAAAATTTTGAGACGCTTTCAACATATCTTACGGAGAAATATAGTGAGGAATTGAGAGAGATCACATATGTCGACACATTTATCAAATTGATGGCTCAGCACAAACAGCTGCAGCAGCACCAACAACAGCAGCACCTGCAACAACAGACGCAGGCACCAGTGGCAATAGTTAACTTTGAATCGGAAGTATCGACCAAAGATGAATTCATAAACAACAAAGATTGCAAGCTGGTGTCTTCTGATAAGGACAGCCAAGACTTCAGTAGCAAAGGTGGTGTTGATGCGGTGTCTGAAAGAAGGCTTGACAATACTCCAGATGCATCACACGCGTCTTTATCTGAGAAAGATTCAGATATTTTCCAGCATAAACGAGCATCACATCATAAGCTTGAAGATACTAGTGACAGTGATGGGAATGATCCATCTTTGGAGAGGAAGGAAAATGAAGTGGCTGCGTCGATTGAAAGGGGGGGGGAACTGGATAAGGATGTGACTTCAAGTCAAGGTCGTCTAACAGTAGTTCCAACACATCAGGATCCAAATGTAAATGCAGAACCATCAGATCCGATTGTTACCTCCAACGGATCAATTGCTGCGGGGATTGCCAAGAAAAAAACTCCTCCGCTAGTTTCAACATCAATGAACCTATCATTACCTATCTCTACCTCACCTTTCATTCTGTCACCGCTGCCTGTGAGCACAGGACGCACTAGCATCGTATTTGTCAGAACTGGATCACAAGATAGCCAGGATGTTGGGCAACAACATTCTCCAAGAGATGTTAATAAGACACAGACTGATATGCAGCTAATGAATGGCCTCGCGACTGGGTCCGCGACTGAACAACTCTCGGAGGAGACGAGTGCGGTAACGCCTTCGCTTAAGCGAAGAGATAATGAGGCCCTTCCTGACGAATCCCGCATACGAGCAGAGCCCAAACGCAAAACAACTGGTGACGACAATGACATGCACTTGTCATTGTCCGAGCCCACTGTACTAGCTGCGTCACCTCGTCAGGACCACATTGTAGCGGTAATAAATGAGCTTGATATCAAGTATGCTTTGGACTCGGCTAGCATAAATGACTCTACAGGAACCGCTGCATCTGTGGAAGAGCGTATCGATTTGTCAAGGGGCTCAACCACGCCGTTACGTGTTTTAGTGAATGGTCGATCGTAAAAGTGAGGAAGACACCGATCGTCTATCACGTTACATATTTGCTTTCTGCCTATTCTCATAAGCTTTTATTAGCTTTATAACTGTATACTTCATTGTATTCTTCAATTTCCTTGAGCATGTACATTATTCAATAAACGTCATATTTCATATTTCTACTTTTAATCTTAATTTTGTCGCTTCAAGCTTCAACCTTTGTTTTCAGCTACATTTAATGATTAATTATCGACATGGTCTCTCTCTTTCTTTCCTTCTTAAGAGTACTTCCATATTTGGGTGTTATGAAATCTTTATTTCCAAAGGTAAATTCTGTCCAATAAAGGATCTGCTCGTTAAAGGCTGCAGATGAATTGTCGCCAAAATAAATAAACCTAGCAGTCACAAAAAAAAAAAAGAAAAAAAAAAGAAGGAAACCCTAAATAAGCTAAATAGGTCTTGAGAAAAGTTCTCTTTCATCACATTCATTAAAAAAAAACCCCCTCTCTCTCATTGCTGCCATGGGAAGACTTCGTCGTTCAAGAGTCCATAAGGGTATCCGAGATATCCAGCGTAAATACCGCACCAAGCGTTATATGCGTGATATTGATCAGATTCATGGAGATATCCAACCCGAGAATGCTGAGAAGTTTCAAAAGCCAGAGCTTGACCCTGACCTTCCTGGAATGGGCCAATTTTACTGCATTCCCTGCGCGTAAGAGGTTTATTCGTTTATTGGTTTTTATTTTTTTTTTATGTTCGAATGCTAGAGCTCTTTTTATTATTCAGTATAATGAAGATCTGCATTGCTAATGGGTTTTCTTTTCCCTTCTTTTTCATAAACTTCAGAAAGCATCATATCAACAAGGAATCGCTTTTGGAGCATCAGAAAGGAAAGATCCATAAGAAGAGGTAAAAAAAAAAAAAGAAAAAAAAAAGACTTTGATTAACGAGCGCATCAGGGGTATTTTTTTGTATTTTCTTAATAACTTTTATTTTTCCTTCCTTGTTTAGACTAAAGTTGTTGAAGGAGGAGCCATACTCTCAAGCCGAAGCTGATGCGGCAGCAGGACTTCAGAGAGCTGATACCAAGGTCAAAAAACCCAAGAACACAACAACGACAACAACAACAGCCACAGGAGAGGCAATGGATGTCACTGATGCATAACACTTATAACACCACTATGACCTCAGCATAAGAAGTAAAAAAAAAAAAAAGGAAAACTATCGTATTTCATTATTTCATATCTCCCACCTATTTAGTATTTTGGCATTGCTTACAATGATCGCTTCCATTAGATTTATATCATTATTTTAACAATCCTTACATGTAACATAGCATTCAAAACCGGAATAAAAAGTTTTATTATTTTATAGTCCCTGTCATTGTGGCGTGACCATTTGTTTTGCTGCCAGTGATAATGGTGGCTATTTAAATTTCTAGAAGTGTTTATTTTTTATTTTTAGTAGGCTAATTCGCGTCCAAGTGCCCATGCGTATAGACGACTGTCCAAGACCAGCTTAGAGGACTCGCCAGCAGTGGATTGTAATTCTAATTATCATGTTATTATTTGTGGTTAATCTCAGTGGTGTTCAGGATTTTTTTTTTTTTTTTTTAAAAAAAAAAAAAAAAAAAAAAAAAAAAAAAAAAGGAATGTCATTTTATTACCTATCAATGAATTCATAAGGCCTTTAAGAGGTAGTATGACTACCTGGAGACTCCACTCGTCATCCTCTGGTGTTGGCCTGCGTATAGAACCTGAACCAAAGATTTGATGGTGGTTCATGGTGATCTGTTACATGTCAAAGCAAAGGGGAAAAAAAATAAATCATTCATGTGGAATAAAAAAAACGTAACTTTTTTTTTTTTTTTTTTTTTTTTTTTTTTTTACCTCAACAATGACGACGTGAGAACAGGAGTTGGTCATGCCAGGCTCATATGCAACCGCAATAGGGTCTAAAGTCTTGATGACTTTGACGGAATGACCAAGATGTTCACTATACCCAACCTCCTCTGCTAATTCACGAAGTGCAGCCTCAGTCGAGCTTTCATTGGCGTCAATGAGCCCTGATGGGAATTCGATCGTGTAAGCGCCCATAGCTGGACGGTACTGGATCACAAGAGCTACATGTGTCGCCTCGCTTTGCTCCTGATCCTGGTTCTGATCCTGATCATGGCCCTTGTTCTTATCCTGAGAGCATCGAGTTTTGATAATTGGGATCACATCAACAGCTGTAGGCAAGAAGAATAAAAAATTAGCAGTGTGATGATTAGTTAGTATCTATGTATTTTTTTTTTCTTTTTCTTTTTTAGCCAAGGACATCACTTTTAAAAAATGAAACATACCATCGACAGAGGGTGTGCCTGGTACTTTGTTACTCTTGTTGCTGGTTCCAGCAGAGATACGACGACACACCTCCCAACTGCGCTCAATACCTGAAGGGTCCAAGAATTTGACTTCATGCAAAGATAACCAACGACCGTTCCCCTTCTTTTCATCGCCAATGACTTCGACATCGACAAGATGTTTTTCGAGTTGTATAGATGCTTGAGTGGTCATGTCTCTTGTTTATTTGTTTATCTGTTTAATTGAAAGGGAATGAATGGGATGTGTGGAGGGAGGAAAAGATAAAGTTAAGAAAGACAAGTAGGATGGACGTTAGAAAAAAAAAGAAAAGAAAAAAGAGGTTGGGAATGTCGTCGATCCATTTATATATAAATAAAGCTGTGACGCAGCAAATATGATAAAGTTTATGTTTACGCATATCTTTTCTCTTCCACAATGCAAATAAAGTTCTTTGTTCACTACACTTTAATTACGTGTCTCTTTTTGTCTCTTTCTTTTCTTCTTCATTCATTCACTCATTCTTCTCTTTTCTTCATTCCTTTATTCCTTTTTTATATATATCCCCATCTTCTCCTTCAAGTTCCATTGACTCTTTGAGAAACATAATCTGACGCACTCTTTACATAAGTAGAAATAAAACAAAAATGGATTTAGTACCCTATATCTTTCATGAACAGGTAAAAAAATAAAAATAAAAAGTCTATTCTTAAGTCTTTTTCTCTACAAAGGTAAAATGGTAATTACACAAGATTTCTTTATTTGCTTTTCTTAGCAAGAAGGAAACCTTTGTGCTCAACACTGTCTGAATGCGCTGCTACAAGGACCATACTTCACTGCCATTGATTTGGCAGAATTGGCAAGACAATTAGATCAAAAAGAGCAGGACGCATTGGGCAACACCGGTTCAAGGTTTTACCCTGTCAAAAGCCAGAACATGGACGACTCTGGTTTCTTTTCTGTACAGGTAATGATTTAGACATCTATTCTATCCTACCTTGGGGAGATGGGGGGTTCCTCCTTTGTTCTTTTTTTTTTTTTTTTTTTTTTTTTTTTTTACTAACCCTTATTTTCTGCACAATAGGTTCTTAGTCATGCTTTGACCATTTGGAATATTCAAATTATCCCTTGGGGATCCAAGGAAGTGAGCGATGCAAAAGCAGAACCAGAGTATGTGATTTTTTTTTTTTTTTTCCCTCCCTGATTGAGAGTAATGTCAAGTTTTTTTATTTTTTTTTTCTAAGGTCACTAAAATGATTAGAACTGATTTTTTTTTTATGAAAATTGATATAGACGTGAAACTGCATTTATCTGCAACTTGAATGAACATTGGTATACATTGCGCCGCTTTGGTCCATCAACACAACGATGGTATGATCTGAATTCAATGCACTCTCAACCTCGCCACATGTCTGCAACTTACTTAGGCATGACTTTGTCACAATTGGAAGCCGAAGGGTATTCTATCTTTGTCGTGCGGCCTCTTAACAAACAGGAGACTACTACGGCAGCAGCAACAGGATCTACGGTATTAAAGTCATCTGCATCAATACCATCCATGGCCTCAGAACAAACAATTGGAACGACCAACATCTCTCCTCTTTCTGGATCAATTTCTTCTTCTTCTACTACTACTACTACTACTACTACTACTACTACTGCTGCTGCTACAGGGCCATCATCCTTTTTATCGGAGCGTCAAGAAATGGAGCGGATAAGGAGACAAAGGATTGAAGAGCGTGAACGTGCAGCTCAGCAAAAATCTGACCCTTCATTATCAGCCATTAGTGGACAGAACAATAACTCTAAACGGGCACGTGTTGATGATTCGGATGAGTCTAAGGATGCGAAACGCTCATCAAAGGATGTATTAGTAACTACACCTTCTTTCCTACCAAGATCAGAAGCGGATGAGATGGCTGCTACGTTGCCAGTCATGGTGGAGAGCAGCATAGGCACTGCTGGTTCAGAATCATCTCAGAAGCAGCAACAGCAGCAAGCCTTTGGTGGCACAGGATATCGATTGGGGGAATCGGCTGCTGGCGATAGTAGTAATGATGGCAGCACTGACATCTCATCGCTCCCTCCTGGATATTCATTGGAAGATGTAGTGGACGAGAATGATCCAGATTGGGAGATGATGCAGCAGGCAATTGAAATGTCTCTTCAAGGTAGTCGATAGTCTACAGTCATACTTATATATAAAAAGAAACAAAGAAAGAAAAGGCTGATTATGGCTAGTGATAGTTGCTCTTTATTTATGTTGATAATGAATATGATCTATTTGGAATGTTTATCAAGGAGTGCGTAGTGCGAATGTGTATAGTAAATAAAGTGCAAAAAAAAAAAAAAAAAAAAAAAAGCTCGGTATTGTATTAAAAAGCAAAAGAGCCGACGACTGCTGCCAAAGTCCAGCAAGCAGCTCCAAGACCAGAAGATATTACAGAGAAAGGAGCTGATGCAGAAGAAGCCTTGCCTCCAGATGATCCTGGTTGGTTATTATTCCCTTGATTCTTGGTGGAATCACCCTTTATCGCTGAAATATCTTTGCTGTTAGTTTGTTTGCCTCCTGATGAACTGTTACTGTTGTTTCCCTTGCCCTTGCTGTCTTTGTCTTTGCTATCATTATTAGGAGTCGTTGTAGCAGCAGCAGGTTCCTTGGGGTCTTTAGAAGGGACAGCATTATAGCCGACAGGGTCATTCAAGCACTTGGCAAGGTCCATAGGGCGTAAGCCTTTCGCCATGCCCATATCCAAAATAGTTTTGGCCACGGTGACCATTTTTGGATCACCATCATGTTCGAGTGAGATGGGACCTGTTTCGCGTTTAGAAAGACTCTTTAAGCCATTTTTGAAAATACTCTCAATCTGCGTTGGGGTGATTGTGTTCTCTTCAAGTTGCCAGTCTTGTGTATCCCATTCGTGTGACCAGATCACGGTCTTAAAACCGAGTTGACGTGCAATTGCACGGACACGATTATCAACGTCGCCTTATTTTTTTTTTAAAAAAAAAAAAAAAAAAAAAAAAAGTTAACATCACGAGATGATAAATGTGTATACGAGAAAGAATGGAGAATCAGGATGTGGAACTGTTGTATTCAAATATGGAAAAGAAAGATCTTTAAACGGCCCGTCTTTCTGGAATATGGAATGAAAATCGATTTTTTTTTTTTTTTTTTGCTATGCTTTACCGTAAGGAGGACGGAAGTACTTGATCTTGTATCCTGTATGATCATAAATATACTTCTCTGTCCACTTGAGCTCTGCAACAACCTGTTCGTTCGTCAACGTTGTCATCCCAGAGTGAGACCAAGCTTGGATTGATCAAAACAGAAAAAAAGAGGATTAACTTTCTATAGACTTTTTCATGACAATATATGTATATAAAAAGATGCTTACTATGACTAGCGAGGTGATGGCCTTGATCAATGGTCTCTTGTAGGAGCCATGGGGCCCTAGATGATTTCATGCCCGTGACAAAAAACGTAGCCGTCACATTCTTGTGTTTTAACAGCTCCAACAAATCCTCTGTAGTCCCAGGTTGAGGTCCATCATCAAAGGTAAGACCCCAAGCATCCTTTGCAGGACAATCCATCACGTCATCGTGTGCGAAACAACCTGAACAGGTCCACCAACATTCATCCTCTGGAACCTCGTGTTCTGGGCAGTCGGGTGGATCTCCACGGGATTTGGTCTTCCTGATTGGTAATTTCGGAACCTTGGACCAATCCACAGCCTGGACCCAAGCCTTCACCTCCGGTGTATCCGTATCCGGTGTCTCCCCATATCTCGGCCAAGGACTCGTCCCCTTCGGATGCGATAGATCGGCCTTGTGTGGGACTTTGGGTACTCCTGCTTCAATGGCCATGCTATTTAACAGGCCTAAGATCAGGGCCGTTGAGCTCAGCAAAGCAGTCTTTTTAGAAGATCGTTTGTAATTGGCCATTTTTTTTTTTTTTTTTTTTTTTTAAAAAAAAAAAAAAAAGATAGTTGAGTGGGTAGATGGATATGAAGATTTTTTTTATGTACGGTGAGGATGGACTTGTAGCGAAAAATATAACACAGGTAGAATAATAATAATAAAAAAAATAATACTATGAGGAAAGATAAAAAAAAAGAGAGTATTTATATTTTATTCTGAAATGCTCCACTATCATGGACAAGAACGAAATTTCCTCACTCGATCTCTCAACAACATTTAGGTTAATGACAAATGCATATTGAAGTCAGACCAAACCAGGCCAGATCTGATCAAGCCAGACCAGACTTTATTACAATTCTAGTTATTCCATCCTCTATACCCCACATTCGCCCTAGATCTCGCACATCTCTCACATCCGTGCTTGTCCAGAGTCATCATATTAAAAGAACATTCCTTTGGTATGTACATGTACATAGGATAGTCGTGATTTTATTATGATACTGATCTTTCTTCATGTAGACAAATAAAGAAAAAGAGAATAATAAGAAAAAGAAGAAAAGGTAGAAAAAGACAAAGGAACCAACAAAACTATTCGTATAAAAAAAAAAAGAAGATATCGCGTCATTCACCCTCATGGCAAAGGCATGACTACAACATTTTCTGCAGTCGGATCGCGGCTTAAGGGTCCCATACCCTGGCCTTGCTCCTGTTGTTGCCGGACTGTAGCCTCATTCTGGAAGGCTGTGCCCGAGCCATTTGTACCTCCTGGAGGCACAGTAATGCTCGCAACAACTTGAGGATTGTTGGTCTGCCGTGCAAGAAGCATCTTCTCTTGCATCGCCATGATGCTCTTCTTCATTGCAAGGCGATCCAAGTACAACTGTTGTCGTTGTCTTTCAAGCTCTCGTCTTTCAATCTCCAATAAGCTCTCTAATTCTTCAAACTGTTGCAGTTTAAGTTCCATCTTCTTCATCTGTGCTTCCACAACTTGTGTCACCAGCCTTTTGACTTCACGCTCTTCATTGTCTGCAAGAATCTTGGCCTTTGCCGCTGCTGATCCGAGAGCAGCAGCCCCTGCTCGTTCCAAAGTTGAACGTGGAACACCTGCAATGTCAGAATCCTTGGATCCTTCCTCGTCCTCTTTCATCTCAATACTGTCGCCTGCCTTATCAACATCCATCTTGGTCAAGTCTGATCCTACAGGCTCCACTTTTGGTGCTTCATCTGCATCTCCGGTTGCAGATGTCACTTTGGTTGTGTCTTCAATCTCCTTTTGTGAATCAGTATTTTCTAAACTTGCTGCTTGTTTGGCTTGCTCAAGCTCTTTCAGTGCACTCTTGGCTGCAGCCGCAGCAACGTTCGGATTGACCACACTTGCCAAGAATGCTACAACACTCATAACAGGGTTGTCAGCCTGACTAAAGGGAATACGATGGTACTGAAGAGGGCCTAGCTCGCGCTCAGTCATGCCTCCAAGATATGGATCTTCAATAGGCATTTGCAAAAAGTGTAAAATACATTGTTCTCGGCTGCGGGTCCCAACGTGCTCTGCTACTTGATTCCAGTCCTCATCATACATCTCTAATCCCTCCAATAACAATAACGTTTCCTGATCAGTCCACGTATCATCAGTGGCATGCTTGAAATGCTGTGCATTAAGCCTGATAAAGTCGCCAGATGACATAGTGGATGGGAAGCGACCCTCGATATAACAATTAGAGCAGAGCTCAAAGTTCTTGGTCTTGATACTATGATAGCGGATTTTGGTGCAGTCAGTACCGCACGTGAAGCAATTGAAGCGCTGCTTCTTTTCAGCAATATCTTCGCTTTCTTTAGATGACGGCGTTGCTCCATTGGCATAAATGTTGCGTCGAAGTTCCAAATTTGACTCTTGCTTTCCCCCGCTAGCAGCCTTCAGTTCTCCATTGGCCTGAGCTGCAGTAGGGGCCGCTACGCTTGGGAGGAAAGGCTGCAATCCCCTTGGCGTATCTGCTGTGACGCGGAAATGGCCTGTAAACGCTGGTCCAACCGATGAAGGACGGGTATCAGGGTCAACCTATGATATAATAAATATACTCAAATGTTAATCCAGGAGTTTTTCATTCGATATCATCTATTTTAAACTATTCGGAGAGCGCCATGTTGTGAAATGAAGCACAAACCTGGTAGTTAATCAGTCCCCATTGCTCTAAAAATGAATGAACTCTAATAATAGCGCAAACATCGCCGGCCAAGTTTCGCCTACAGGCTGTGACAGTGAGATATTCTGACGGGTTGAGACGGTAGGTGTTGATCATAAAGTCGCGGTAGTCCTTGTAAACTGTAGGGGTCTTGCTTCGGTTCTTGAGATTGAAGAACTCTGGTAAGGATTTATGTTCGATCTCGTGAATCTTGGAAAGGGAGAACCAGGCAGCATAAGAAGGAATGATAACTTCCTGTGTCTGGCGAGATAGATAGCGGCCAGCCTCCTCTTCCAGCTTAAACCTCTCTGCTTCCGCTTGGGTTAACGCCTCCTCAGCTTCCGGTGGAGCGCTTCCTCTATTTGAATCTTTGTCTGCCAAGCTTGCCTCCTTAGTATCGGTTCCCCTCGTGGATAACTCTTCTGCTTTGCTTTCTGCCTCAGTATCTTTGACATCGACATCCATTGAATCTGCATCCGCAGGAAGAGTGTTTTCCAAATCTTGTGTAGCACCTAAACCAGAAGCTGAGGTTTCCTCCATAGTTGCATCCTCAGAAGAAAGTCCTGTACGCTGTTCCCCTGCAGAATGCGCATTATCCAATTCAGTAGGCACTGCAGAAGAGCTACGTTTGATCCTTTTAGGAAGGGATTCAATTCGGTCCGAGTTGTCGCGCTTACTGTTATAACGTTGGCTAGACTGAACAGACGAACCAGCTCCTGGTCCACCACGCTGAGCATTGAGTTCATAGTCTTCCTCATTTGTCCATTCATTGAACTTTATACTATCCCTGATCCAGCGTGTCGTGACATTCCATGCTCCGCTGTGCTCTGGTAAAGGGTGTGCATCTGCATAGTCACCAGAAGTCTCTGAGACCCATTCATCATAAGAATCTGGGTAATACCAATGGTGTACAAGGACCTTTCCATCCTTCTTTTCTACTGTACGAAGCCAACCTTCGCTCTCAGAACTCTCAGACTCATCTGCAACGTAGTGAACAATATGTGAGGCGTGATGGGTGTCTGAGGTAACCGCTCCTATTAAAGAAAGCAAGCCGCTGAATTGTGAGTTGTGATGGTCAAGATTCTGACGAAATGAAAAGAAGAAGGGAAAAAAAAGAAAGTCAAGGGCGGTAAAATATCCAGACGACTAATATAAAAAACAAGAAATGATGCTGGCTCCTACCACCTAGCCTGTTGATAGACATGATCCACTTTTCCTGCTCCTCAGCACTGACAGATTCTGCAAAGGCGATGGTTGGGTTCTTGAGTGTGCCATTTAGGATAAGGGACTCTCGAATGTGAGAGACCATGGTGAGATACTGATTCTGCTTCGAGGGATCATTAAGGTCCCACTCTTTCCAGTGCTGTTTATGGCGGTATTCATAGGCAGCAAGAAGCACTTTATAGATAGGGGATGTGTTGGTGATATCCTTGCTTTTAAAGACCCAAGCCGGTATACGTGCGGAAGGCGAAGGTAAGTCATGACTGCTGTGGGCGCCCATGACATCCTCTTGGAACTGTTGCAGAGCATAGATGAACAAAGCCAATTCTTCACCGGATGGTGTAGAGACGGTTTCCTCTTGTGTAGTCTGCAAATCGCGTGCTAGTGCATGGCTAATATGCTCAAATCGTGCAATGGTGTCTGGCGCACGGTAGTATGTGATGTCAGATCCTCCTGATTTGCGGGCTGCCATGTTGGAATGCCGCGTATGGAGAGTTGTCGAAAGAGGAAAAAGTGATGATTGAAAAAGATGGATTCAAAGTCTTCAATAAAAAAGGGGGCGCGTTCTTGATTCGGAAGTTAAGGGGTCTGGATGGCCTAATATCAGGTGATAATTCGACTATGTCTGGAAAAAGAAATAACGCTCGTCTGGGCTTGCTCAGCCTCTTCAGTCTCCACCTTCAGTCCTTTTCTTAATCTTTCATCTCAATCTCCCTTATTTCAACAACATCATCAGCGCCACATGTCTTCACTTCCCCCTCCTCCCCCTCCTCCCCCTCAAGGTAGGATCACATATGATAGAGCAGGCTGCTTTGTATTCATGTAGGAAGACCTGTGATACAATATTGAATTGTAGCATCTTATTAATAATATCGTCTACCAACGGACATTTGTAAATTTACCGCAGCAGGTGACGGCGGTGCTCCTCCTCCAGCCTCCAACACTCATTCTACCGTATACGTTGGTCATCTGAGCGCAAGGACAGAACGTCGCGATGTTGAGGAACTGGTAAGTTTATAGTCTTACGAAATCTATTTATCATATACAGTCTTATCATCATCTAATCTGACTATTATTTTCACCACTCAGTTCGAGAAATATGGTCGCCTTGTGTCGGTCGAATTAAAGCACGGAGGCTTTGCCTTTGTTGAGTACGAGGACCCACGTGATGCGGATGATGCAGTGAGTAAATTGAATGGATACGAGCTGGATGGAAATAAGATTACAGTAGAGTGGTCTAGACGTTCAGGAGGTCCTGGTAGTGGATGCTTCCTCTGCAATCAGACAGGACATTGGGCTAGGGAGTGTCCAGAGGCCAGGGAGAAAGGAATGGACGTCAAGTCTGGAAAATGCTTCAAGTGTGGCGAACCTGGTCACTTGGCTCGTTTCTGTCGGTATGTTTTCTGCTATGATGGTTTTGTTTGTGAGATTCTACGTCTTTAATTAGGATGGCTATCCTGATAAACTCTTGTTTTTTGTAATGTAGTGGGGTGGACATAAGGCGCCACCCTCCCTACAGCGATTACCGTCGTGGACCCCCACCCCCACCTCGTTATGGCGGTCGTGGTCGTTCACCTATTCCTTATGGACGCGATCCCTATGACTATTCATACCGTGGTCGAGGCTACTCTCGTTCACCTGACCGTGGATACGGTGGATATCGTGGACGCTCGCCTTACCGTCCTAGCGGCGGATACCGTGGTCGCTCACCTTCTCCTTATTATCGTGATTCTGGACGTGGTCGTTCTCCAAGCCCGTATGGGTAAGTTGAAAGACGTTTAATATGTTCAGTATTTGTTACGAAGGCCTATTCGTGTCCTTGTTCTATATCACATTTGTTTTTATCCATTCATTGTTGTGTCGTGAGCGTGTTTTTTTCGTACCTTTTCTTTGTCTTCTTCGCCCTTTCGCCGGTTGATATCATGGAGTTATCCTAAATGCACCAGCATTGGCGTGTTCTCGCTAGTCGACTAATTTTCAATTCGGACGTGATAAAGAGCAGGCGTGCCACAGGTCAACAGGAAAAAAATAGGCGGCTTTTTATTATTCTTATTCTTATTCGCTCTCTTCAAGTTGAAAATGGAAATTGGATTCACACTTTGGACATTTGAGTACATTTTCATTTTATGGTTATGATCATACGAAGAGACACCGGGGACAATTTCTTTTTCTTTCTTTCTTTTTTTTTTTTTTTTTTTTTTGTCGCTGACCACACGAAGGCGCCTTGTCCTGGAGTGGCGAAGCATCATGGGCTGGGATGTGCATACAGTGGAGTGCAGTACGGGATAATGAAGACAACAGATGACCAACCTCGAGGACGGATCTTTTCGGGAACCGTTTCTTTTTTTCTTTCACTTTTTACGCATGCAGACGAGGAGCTCCACCACCCCCACCACCCCAGAGACGCGTCTAAGCCAGAAGGAACCAGCCGGGAGCCAGGATTGCAGTATGCAGGAGCCGTAGTCGAGGGCGAAGCAGCCATCTAGGACCCTGTGAGCTTTCTTTTTCGTAGTTGACCTCAAAATGCCGAAATAAAATCCAAAACGACGTCACTTTTTTTTTTACCTTTTTGTAAAAGATCAATTCGTTTGTTTCATTTAGCCCATTTCCATTGCATTGAGCGTTAAACAGCCATGAGACTCTCCACACATATTCTATCGGTCATGGGAACGCCATGTAAAGGACCCGCACGACTTTCTCTTTTTAGTAGACCTATGCTCTCACTTTCATGTCCTATATCTACAGCTGCGTTCTCTCGCCTGTATTTACCTCACGACACAACAATAGTACGCGCGGCCACAATAGCAGGCAGCTCGTTAGCTATATCTCTGTCAGGACACTGTCGCTCATGCATGGATCTCGAAACACGCTTTCGTAGAGGGTTGATGACAGATACCAGAAGGAAAGAAGAGCCTTTGTTGAAATTTTCTGGAAATGAGAATAAACACGTCTCGCCTCAAGAATATAAAATTCGCGTAGGAGCAGGTACTAAACCCATTAAGCTATATATCAGTCCATTATCTCTATCCGTCCCCCATCTTCTTCAAGGCATACGGATGATTCGTAAGGTTTAAATGAGACTCATTCTGTATTTATATTGAAACATCTAGCTATTAGGACACTGCGTGAAGAGCTGCCACAGTTTTTTCAGGACGGTCTGTGTACGACTTCAATCTATGCCTCTAATATCCGATTAATCGAAGCTAGTCATACGAATGTTTCGATTCAGGGCAAATCCGTCTACTTCCTCCTTGCTGGCGCCCTTCGCTGGAGCTTCAAGATGTGGTTCCGTGATCTTGAGGTAGAGATTTTGTCCATCCGAGTGAATGACCGAGGAGGGAGGGGGCTCAAGGGCATGGACTCTGGCAACGACACTAATGGGAGCGCAATGTCATCACAATCATCTATTTCAGCATCAGCATCATCCAGTAACATCCTGCGTTCCTTTGAAGCTGAAACAATGTTTGATACACTGGATAGATCTGTTCATTACTTTGCAAAGGAGTCACCAATAGATTTTACAGAGCGATATAATCCTCCAAGTGTTGTCTATGCTGATAAATTGGGTAAGAGTGTAGGCCCTGCTGGAATGGAAGACAGTACGGGTGAAGAGAGCCAGCCATCACCTGCGACAACAGTGACTGTGCGATGGACCATGAAGGGTACGACTCGACCGTCTGTAGTATTGACATCAGCAGGACCAACATTGCCACCACCATCGTCCTATGAGGGTGTGTTTATGTACCAATTTGATGACCGTGGGTTAATCGATGAGCACCGGATCGAGAACATCATGCCGTCGCCAAGCCCTGAAGCAATCCAGCGTGCGTTTGCATGGTGGGGTTGGCTGTTGAGTCGCACACGACCTGCAACGGCAGCAGTATCAGAGGATGCGGACATTCGAAAGCGTCTTGGACTAGGATTTGTTAATAATAAATAAAACAGAGAAGCTTCGAGAGATGGCTTTCTGTTGTGTACATGTTCATGTAATGGTGTAGTGTATAAATTATGCATGACATGTATGATATAATACAATGATGCACAATGCGAAATGAGTAAAAGATGGGCCGCGTGGTAGTCTTCACATGAGGGGAGATGTGCATCACTTAATTATCGTAGTCAGGTTTTTTTTATTTTATTGATCACTTCTCTCATTTCTTTCTTTCTTTTTCTCCTTTGTCTCCCTGTCTTCCCTTTTCCTTTTTCCTTTGTCTTTAAAGACCTTTGTATACCTTACTCTTCTCCATCTGTTATACACTCCACTCCAGCATATCCCATTCACTTTAAACAACAACTCGGATAAAAAAGAAAATAAACATACCCCGCATTTCCTTTTTTGCATTCCTTCGAAAATTTATTAGATATGGCAACGCTCCAGACCAGTCCTGCTGGTTCTACCAACAGCAACTTCCATGGTCAGATCATCCAACAGCCTTCATCTCTTTCGATACAACACCTTGAGCCACGCAAACAACAACAGCAATCAACACATGGTGCTCGGAACACAAGATCATGGGATTATGTAGCTAGAACCATGGTGGCCGGAGGAGTAGCAGGGATTACGGTATGCATTCTTCCGATCTCTTTCTTTCTCTCTCTCTCTTTTTCTTTCTCTTTCTATTTTTTTTTTTTTTATTACATAATAACGTTATTGATAAGAAGTAACAGAAAAAAGGCAGCCAAACCCTTCAGTAATAAGGACAATTTTTTTTTTTTCCGAAATCGTATCTTTGATGGAGAAAGAAGAGATAGTGTATATATATATAATACATTGTGTTTAATCCAGTCCGGTGTTTACTTTACTTCGGGAAGAAATGATGACAAACGGTCCGCCGTGGGAGAAATTATTAAGTTTTGGCTGATTTATCCTACCCCGGATTTTACAAAACTTTATTAACATTTGATCTGGGGACATGGAAGACTTAATTATTTATTTATTTTTTTCAGCATGTGCCCATCCCTCTCTCCATACATCCCACGTATGTTCGTTTCTCTGCCCTGTTCTATCCTACTCCGGCTATCTGCGTCTGCTTTTGATACTTGGTGACTGATGGGTGTCTTAAAATGATCTCAACTTTTGTTAGGCTAAAACCGCCATTGCCCCATTGGACAGAGTCAAGATTCTTTTCCAAGCTAGTAATCCACACTATGAGAAATATGCAGGTACAAACTGAGAAAAAAAAAAAAACCGTGTTAACACTTTAAGGCATCTTTGGATTGATGTATACAAACAAAATCTAGTCAACACAATGGGAGCGATTGGAGCGTTTACATGGATACCGTACCGATAACCGATAAAGGCTATTGAGGCAAAAGATAGAATCTTTTTTTTTTTTTTTTTTTTTTTTAAAGAAAAAAAAAAAAAAATATGGACAAGGATATGGATCGTTGCGCTTCAGCGTTAAATGATTCAATGTAATCTACTTCTATTCCACCTAATTTAACTCGTTTATTAATATATATATTATACCTTTTTCATTTATATCATTAGGAACGTTAACAGGGGTATTTAGAGCAACACGAGATATTCAAAGGACTGTTGGACTACGAGGATTATTCCAAGGGAACTCTGCTACGGTGTTAAGGATCTTTCCATATGCTGCTATCAAGTTTATGGCTTATGAGCAGTATCGCAGTGTAAGTTTCATTTTCCTTTATTTATTTATTTTTAAGTCAACCAGTGCAGCCCAACTTACTGACGAGGCTGAAACAACTCTCAAAATTGTAAACGGTCCCAACAATAGCTGCTAATGCCTACAAGGATAGATGAGACGCCTTTCAAGAAGTTGATTGCAGGATCCATGGCAGGCAAGTTAATTACAAAATCACATTTCTATCATCAAGGAGATTATATGTTTGAATGAATGTAAAAAAAGAGAGCGCCAATGTCCTGACTTGGATGTATTTAATACATTTCAATAGGCGTGACATCTGTATTCTTCACATATCCACTGGATTTGTTCAGAGTACGGCTTGCTTTCAATACGGAAGCCACATCGTACCTGACACTAGCCAATAAGATATACAATGAGCCAACAGCAACACCAACAAGCTTCAGGATGTCCAATTTTTATCGTGGATTCCTTTGTTCAGTAGTAGGCATGATCCCGTATGCAGGTGTATCTTTCTTCACTCATGATATCATGCAGGATTATTGTCGGAAAAACCTTCCTTGGACGTTAAAAGCCATTCATAGCCCGATATCAGGTCAGCCTAGTGGTAGTCGCGATATTATTGAAGCAAACTCTCGTCCAGAGCTGCTGACCACAGCAGAACTGGCTTGTGGAGGGATTGCAGGCGCAGTTTCGATGACAGCAGCGTATCCGTTTGAAGTCATCCGCCGTAGAATGCAAGTTGCAGGCGCAATGGAGATAAATAAGAGCACTTTAGTGGATGGTATATGGGACACAGCCAAGAGGATCTACTTTACAAAAGGGCCACGAGGGTTCTTTGTGGGGTTGAGCATCGGATACCTCAAGGTTACACCGATGGTAGCCTTGTCATTTGCAGCGTACGAGAAAATGAAGATTCTCCTGAAAATAAATTAATTTTAGACTTTTATTGAGTGCCCTGATTTTGTAGTTGTTTGTCAACCGACCTGGTTTTCATAAAAAAAAAAGAGAGAGAATGCATGGCCTAGTTATGTGGTAGAAACGCAAATGGCTCAATGTGTATTTTGTTACTGTTTGATAAGATGACCGCGGATCAAGCCATAATATTCTCCGAGATGACATTGAGAAGCGCGTATATTTTGTACATTGCATGCTACGAGAAACATCCCCTTACTTTTGTCTGTGCAGTAAGGATGATTAAAGGGAAGAGTAGAAGTTGATCATGTCAATGAAAGTTAATGTCTGCACCGCGTCTTTTTTTTTTTTTTAAAAAAAAAAAAAACACACACACACACACAAACATCCTTTTCTTTTGCTCTCTCATCTCTCATCTCTCCTCTTTCCTCTGTTTTAGATCTTTTTGATTCCTATTCAAGTTCTCATCGCAAACCCTATTGTTCTCTAGTCGACAACAACAACCTTACAAAAAAAGAAGAATAATAAAAGAAAATGACGCCTCCAACAGCAACAACAACTATAATCAGTCAACGTAATCAAGAGGATTTATTACTCTCAAAAATCCTACACGGCAACTGGGACGAGAGTGTCCACCAAAGTTCCTTCATCTCGAAGCTCTATCAAAAGGGTCGTGTATCTCAATCATCCACCGTCAATGACTATCTCGATAATTGGAAAGAGGAGAATCCTGAAAACGAAACTGAAGCGGATCGAGCTCAACGTGCTAGTGCATACAAGGCCGTCGCCAATTCCTTTTATGACCTGGCCACAGACTTTTACGAGGTATTAAGGAAGAATGAAACAAAAAAAAAAAAAAAAAAAAAAAAAAAAAAGCTGCCTTTATTTTTATTATTTTAATGCTATTTTATTATTAAAAAATCCTCACCAACATACACTAATATTATATGTGTATTTTTAAATATTAAAATAAAATAAATAAAATAAAGTATGCCTGGGGAACCTCATTTCATTTCTGTCGTTTCCGCCCACGCGAACCCTTTCAACAGGCGATCGCAAGACATGAACACTACCTAGCTGCCAGCATGGGGGTTCAATCACACCACTGTGTCCTCGACATCGGCAGTGGCGTCGGAGGCCCTGCCCGAGAAATCGGACACTTCACAGGTGCTTATGTCACAGGCCTTAATAACAATGATTATCAGATCGCACGGGCCAAGCGATATGCACTGAACTTTGGACTCGATCATAAATCTGATTTCGTCAAGGGTGATTTCATGAACATGCCATTTGATGATAACTCCTTCGATGCTTGTTATGCTATCGAGGCCACAGTCCACGCATCCCCATTGGAGGGTGTCTATGGTGAAGCCTACAGGGTCTTGAAACCCGGTGGTGTCTTTGGATGTTATGAGTGGCTATTAACAGAAAATTATGACCCCACAAATCCTGACCATCTTCGTGTGGTTCGTGGATTGGAAGTCGGCAATGGTATCGCGAAGATGGTCACTATCGAGGAATGTCACCGAGCACTCGAAGCCGTGGGTTTCAATATTGAGAAAGCACAGAACATGGGGGCGACGGACGATGAGATCGAATGGTACTATCCTCTTGAAGGTGATATTCGAAAAGCGAATACTTTTTGGGATTACTTGACAGTCTTGAGGGCCACGACTGTAGGACGCGCAGTGACGACGTATATGGTACAAGCCCTGGAAGCCGTGGGATTGGCCGCTCCCGGCAGTTCAAAGGTTTCAACAGTCCTTCAGCTTGGTGCAGACTCGGTCTTGGAAGGTGCACGAATGGGCATCTTTACCCCAATGTACCTGTTCGTTGCTAGGAAACCTAACGCGTAATCAGACATATAGGTTCTTCCCCACTCTCCCATCCCCATTACTCATTATAGTCAATAAACAAATTAAACAACCATAAGGTATCTTTATAATTCAATAATATTTTATTATTTCGTGCTTTTTTTTTTTTATTATTTTTTATTTTAAGTAAAAATCTAGTTCTTCTTCTTGCCCTTGGCAACAGCATCCTTCTCCTGAGCAAGCTTCATGCCTCTGTGCAGGTGCTTGATCGCATTGAAAATGTAGATGCTGGGGATAACGATCCAGAAAAAGTTGAAGAAGACAAAGTAAAAGTAGTAATAGAATGGATGAGGATCACAGTGAGGGCTGCCTTCGATGATCGTAGTGAAGTAGTAGAGCACACATCCGTAGAGTTGGCCTACTGAGATGACCAACTGAAAGATATAACGGGAAGGAAGGTTTTTACACATTGCATAGGCTATGTAGAATGCCAAAGGGCCCCATGCGAACTATGATCAATGCGTTACAAAAAAAAAAAAAAAAAAAAAAAAAAAAAAGGCTCAGATGTCAGCAAATTCAAAAAAAAAAAAAAAAAAAAAAAATCGCGATCTACTATTTTAACAAAATTAATTTCTTCAGTCTCCTTCAGACTGAGAAACAATAAACAGGTCAAAAAACTTACAGCAGTGATGCGCTCCATGATCAAGACAAATGGGTCGCTGGTGAGGTATCGGGAATCACTCAGCGAGTACTCCTTCCAGACCTGGGCGAACACGAACTGATCACCGGCCAATGTCTTATGAAAGACACCAAAGTAACCCTCGAAGAAAAGATGAATAAATCCACACATGACGAACCAGAGAAATGTCAACTGGTTGCCGAGACCCTTGAGGGTTGAGTTACGATATTGATATGAGATGGCAAGGGCGAGTACAGCGATAGCACCGAATCCTGAAAATAGGATCACGAGAGTTTCCTGCATAGTATTGGTATTGGCCACATAATGGTTGAGAAGCAGATCTCGTGGATAGTATGGATGAGCAATACGCTCCACGATCGATTCCATGGTTGTCATTCGATGAGAAAGAATGAGAAAGATGAGTGAATTGTTCAAAAAAAAGTCATGAAAGAAAAGAAACCTGTTAAACAAAAAAACCGTTTTTTTAACTGTGACACGTGGCTTGTACCTCCACATAACGATCAGGCCATTTTTTGCTTTTTTACTCAGACTTTGATCTGATCTTCCAAAAAAAATCAGGCCATTTCTTCCCAACTCTACTAAAAAAAAACTCCTCTACGCGGGATCGGTCTTCCCTAAATGCAATAGAAAGTTCAAAGGACCTAGCTTGCCTTGGTAATCATCACTCATTCTTCAGATACGATCCTTTCCCTACATAGCTCACATCAATATCAATGCTATAGACATATCAAGGTTATTTTCCTTCTCAGATAGGAGCTCCCATAGTCATGTATACAATCAATCCGAGAACGAACAGGCTTAAAGAGCTATTTATAACCCACTTGCTTTCTCAATGTTTCTAGAATAATCGTATACAGTGACTACTATGGACGCTATTTTAGAAAGTTTTGTCGCGTTGGATTGAACTCGAGCGCCATCGGAATTTTCCTCAGACGAAAATATTGATGTGCAAAGTTCACTGTCTTTTTTTTTTTTTTTTTTTTTTTTTTGGATTATGCTTACTGTCACAATACAGCGCCGCCTCGAGTGGAGGTGTCAATAGATAACAGTGGTTGCGGTCCAACCTATTTACATCCTTGAACTCGAGATTTTGAAGGATGTGTTGCAGGCCAAGTCAAGGAGTGAATGGCATTAAAAACTACGCGTGTTTTGGTGCCATGTAAGGATAATGGTCATTTCGGCTTTTGAGCGCTGTCTATGGTCAGGCCCTTTGTATACACTAATCTTTTGGAGAAATAAGAAGTGAGCTGTAAAGACAGAGAATGGTGATGAACAGACTGATAGGATGACTTGCAGAAAAAGCAGTGTGAATGGAGAAATAACATTGATGATATCGCTATGAGAATACACTGTGTGCGGATCCACCTGTGAGGTTAGAGATATTTCATGTTCACGAATGACGGTATTTCTAACGAAACACAAACGCGTCCAAAACCAGATAAATATTTCTCTCGGGTAAATCTAGTGGTAGCAGTAAAATCATCAGAGTGGTGAAATTGGTGTGTAGAGTCTCTGTAAAAGCACAGGATGGTAAGGAAATATCCAGACAGAGATTTTGGTAACCTGATGAAATATAAGCTGTTCAGCCTCGAGAGTTGCTTGGAAATATTCCTTTTACCAAGTCACAAAGACATCTTAAGCTATTCTGGTACCCAATATTACAGTGTTACTTCCAGCCTCTATTCTTCTATTTATTGAATATATTGTCATTCTACATTATAATTATTATGGAAGCAGTTTGATGTACTATTCTCAAATTATTATTTTATACCGCTTTAGTTCTGCCCTCAAGTCTACCTCGCTGTAATTCTGCGTTTAAGTCTACCCCCATGACATATTGCTTGATACTTGATAGTTCTTTTGTCGGCTTAGGATCCACCCGACCAGCCCCAATCTTGAATTTTTGTTTCTTATATTCCTCAGCCTTAGCTTTTGGAACAACAAAAATAAATACAACGTCCTTCTCTGAGCGAATCCACTTTTTTTCTTGAAGCTTTTTAAGAAGTTCTTTGCAAGATTCACTCTTGATACCATGCTTTACATTTGCCGTAATCTGGAGTAGATAATTCGGCGCTATTAGCATATCAACGCAGGCAAAAGTCTTGCTTTTTGGGATCCATAGTTCTCCTTTCATCGATTCCTTGTAAACATCAAAAGCTTCGAAGAATTTAACCGTCGGCTTGGCATCGATGGTGATGGTGATATCTTGCTTTTTCTCTACATCTAGACTCTTGGCCACGAAGGTACAGTCGCCTCTCCGTAGTATGCGACGTATACATATCTCGAGCATAGCTCCTAGATCTACTCCAACTTTGCCATTGACTAATCGATCCAATATCATATCAAAAGTATTGTCGTCCGCTGCTTCGTACACCTTTTCGAGAATGTGATTAGAGGCCCACTCTAACACAAATTGCTGGTGATCTCCTATTGGACGACGATGAAGAAGTCGGCTGCTATATTGTAGTGAATCTTTGGCCTGTTCAAAATATTGTAACAGCTTCAATGGATCCTTGAGGTTGTCGAGGGCTTCTTCTACGCGACTGTATGCTACCCTCCTAGCTCCATCAAGATCTTTTTTATTAAAGTGCAGTCGGCTCGCTGGTTTCTCGAGAACATACCTTGGCACACCACCTATCTTCTCATAGAGTTCCACCATAAATTCTTCGCTGACGATGTTAAAGGTCCGAACCATTTTTCTACACTGTCTTAACTCATCCAGCTCCCATGGTGCCATGTAATAAATCCATACCACCCTCTTTACAATTTCTTGATACATGTTGGACTCGGAAAATAACGTCTTTGGTGATACTGAGAAGATAGTTCGAGCCTTCCTAAGCTCCGGCTTTGGTGAGCTGTCGACTAGGAACCAAGTGTTAGGTAGGTCTAGGAAGGCGGCGAAATCCTTTATATCTCCATTTTGAACAGTAGATGACCCACCAAAAGCGTAGCACATTGAATCCTCTTTTTGCTGGATGATGACAATAGGTGGATCATCCTCGGTACTGGTTGCAAGTAGTCGGATGGCAAAATATATGAGAAAGGATGACTTCCCTATACCAGCCGTCCCTGTAACAACAATACGGTTTCGTGCATCGTCCTCAGCGTTGCAAAACTGTTTGGTGATTAAATCGTAGAGATCCTTGAATTCCTTTCTTACATATAGATCTTGCGCATCGATCACCGGAAGATCCATCCCTGGTAGACTGGATATCACATAATCTGCTAATATTTTGGAACCCTTGATACCACCAGAATTTCGGAGCTCGCGAGCCACGCTAATAATGCTGTAGTAAATACTATCTACTGATAACCTCTCCCCCATGTACGAAAGCAGCTTGACCCTCTCTTTCGAGCTTAGACGCGAGATGGCAGGGCTACCATTCACTATCCCTTTCGTTACAAGCCCCGCTTCTGTAATCGCATCCATAAGAGCATCTCTACTTATACTTGGACGAGCTTTTTTAGAGGGTGACTCTGATAAAAGAGATAGAGTGATCAAAGTCAATATTTTTGATTTATTGCACATCACTCTAAAATGATCAATAACCAGATTCTCGGCCAAAAGCACTCACCAGAATCTCCATCTTGTTTTCTTTTCTGAGCTAAGTATCAAAAGCGAATAATGAGAAAGAATGTTGAGTTATCAAGACACAAACCAAATGGTGATACTATGCACATGGCCGTTTAAGATATAAACCAAGCTTCATCAGCTGAAAATATCAACAATCAGTCCATCAAGAGCTAATACATACCTCGCTGCGGTGGCTTGACAAAAACATGGATAGTTTTCCTTGGAAGTTCAGAATTAAATATCTCCCAAAGCTCCATTGACGCGATTGTGAGAGCCTCTTTTGACTCGATTTCTGACTCAAAGATAGCCTCGCCTTTGTCAGGGATGGAGACCTTGTAGAGGGTGAGCTGGTCAGCGTCAATATCCTTAAATGCATTGGCTTTCTCTGCTTTGATGGCTTGCTTGAGCATCCCGACCGATTTATCGCAGAAAATCTCTACTGGGAACGACGTTGCTTCTCCCTCAACAACGCAGTTCAGAACCAGCAGCAGTGGGATGGCGCGCTTTTTTCGTTGTGGGTGCTGGTTTACTCTTTTTCGTTTATTGAGTGTGGAGGCATCCTCAGGCTTATTTGCTGTCATTTTTTTTTGTGCTTGGCTCTCTGTGGAATCATTTGCAGCCATGTTTTTTTGTGCTTGGCTCCTTGTGGTGGCCATTGAAAATTAAGATGAGTGGGACTGAGTGTGGTTGAAATGCAGGGAGAATGATGGTTAAATAGGCAGAGGTATATTCTATACTCTTTCACACTCGTGGTCGCTGTATGAAAACAAAAATGAAAAATGTGTAAGGCAAAAAAAAGGAAAGGAAAGGAAAGGAAAGGCAATAGATGAAGGCTTGGAATAAATAAAAGAGCAAAATCGACGGGAGTAAAACTGGGGTGAAATATGAAAAAAGTGAAAAAAAAAAAAAAAAAAAAAAAAAAAAAAAAAAAAAAAAAAAAGGGTAAAGGAAGAGGGAGAGTGCAAAAATGAAGTGAGGCAAAGGAAAGAAAGGAAAGAAAGGAGCGACAATTGCAATTGATCCTTTATTTTAAGGTTAGGCGATGTGTGAGAAAATATTTTTTCAAATCAGCCACGTGCCATTTTCTGGGTCATTGTTAGGCTCGTACCCATCCCTCTTCACTTTATAAAGGTGACAGGAAATTCCATTTCCTTTTTGAGTCACCTAAAGTGAAGGGGCTGGGAAAAAATCTTCGCTTATTAGCTGGTAGCTCAAAAAGGAAAAAAATTGTGCACTTAAAGGAATACTTTTCCGTATATGCACTCGATAAAGTGTTTTTTATAGGAAAAAGTACAGTTATTAACTTTATTCTGTGTATATACGGAGTAAATTTCCCTCAAGTGCACAATTTTTTTCCTTTTTGAGCTACCAGCTAATAAGCGAAGATTTTTGGACTAAGGAATAATGCGCCCCCCGTCAAATTGAAAAATGCCCCCCGGCTGAGAATTCCCATACCCCCCGTTTTCACCCCCTTTATTCAGAATTGTTACCCCCCCGTCATCCACATTTAATTGTTTAAATCCTCACCCCCCCCTCAACATTTTAATCTGTTTTTTTTTTTTTTTTTTTTGCCTCTCACTCCAAATCAAGTAATCAGATAAAGCTTTGTAACGCTGCCGTTTGTTAGTTAAATACCCATCAAATACAAGAAGTATATTAAGCAATAGATGTATAATTGGCAAAGACCTCTCTAAAAGCAAGACCAGTATAATAACGGGACCTAAATCATCATCCATGTAGCCATGTGACTTTTTTCTGAAAAAAAAAAAAAAAAAAAAAAAATTCATTTCCACGATCATGTCTCATCTTCCTCTTCCATCTTTATTTACTCTTTCCTTCACGCGCTCCTTACGCTTCCATCAATTAAAAAGACTAATATGACCGCTTCCTCCCAATTCGCTTTCCGCTAAAGAAGATCCCTTCCCATTAATTGTTCCCAGTCTAATTGATCTTAAAGAATATCACCAATAATAAATATGAATGGCTTTTTTTTTTTTTTTTTTTTTTTTTTTTTTTTTTTTTTTTTTTTTTTTCGTCACTATAAAGAATTTATTGTTTGTAAAAGATGCTACTTAAAATCAGAGATTGTTTTTGGAATCTGCCAGACAAGTGATTCGGACCCGACTTTCCTTCGCTTGGCCTGCATGGATCGTGCTGGCGTCTCTGCCGTGGGCTCCGCAGGCTCATTTTTGCTCCGTTTGTCTTCGTAGCTTGCCGTAAACCGCCGGCTTCTTGGTCTGCCTTTCCCATTGAGTATATCTCCATCAATAATACTCTCCACTGGGATACCTTTAAACAAGCAATCGCTATCAGCACCATCCTGTGCCTTGACAACTTCATCAGAACCTGCGGTAAGGCCAGTCTCCTTGGTTGATATGTTCGTACTTTTTTGTATCGAGTCCAAGCTGTCCATAACCTTGCCAAAATCATCATCCTGCACTGAAGCTTTCGTCATGGCTTCTGCAATGGCTTTCGACATTCCCATCACTGCCGCGTAGCGCTTCTTAGATCGTCTGTTAGATTTAGGCACAGATAGGGGAGGATAAAAAGCTTGCAGGGTCGCCGTGCCTTCGTCGGGTAGGCTGCCAATGGGGTCAAGGGCCTTGCGGGTTGATGCATTGACGAACGGCTCTCCCTCGATCATGTCTTCAACAGCCTTGCCTTCCTGCTTGTTCTCTTGGAACCATCGTCTTAGGACCATTTTAATGTGGTAAGTAAACCTGTTGTCTTCTTGCATCATCCAAAAGTAGTGCCGGCAAACAAACCCCTTGTTGGTTGAAAGAGCGCAGGTGCAGAAATGCTTCCTATCTCTGAATAGAACGACGATTTCTGACACTGACGACGTCTTGTCTTCGACGGAGGAAACAGCCATCACGTTTTCTTGGCCAGCCCTGGAGATCAAGAAAGCAACCTGTTGATACAGGAGATCCTTCTATTATTGTGTTGATTTTTTGCATATTTAAAACAGTAAGTTGAAAATTTTAGAAGACAAGTCATTCAATGAGGTGTCTCTTTTAGATGCACTCCCATGCCTCAAGGCAATGGATATATCATAAGCATAAACGCGGGATGACGACCTACCATCCGTCTGGAGCTGATTTCTACATGCTGCAAAACCTCCTGAAGATCGAGGGCTTGATGACTGAATCCAAATGAGTATCCCATCTCCTTTCTTATCTCGTTCATGGATTATTTAGTTAGATACTTGCTGTTCATCTTTAAGACCTGTTCAAACGTCTTGACAATCATACTATCAGTCACATCGGGAACCTTCAAATCCATCTTGTATCGGAAGTGCTCGTCTCCTGCAGTCTTACTGAGTACCTCAAAGAGATCGACCAGAGACGTTTGGCTATTGATGCCTACTGATTTGATAAGGTTATGCGTCATTTCGACCCGCTGCGTCGATCGCATGCCTGCTGTAAAAGACGACTTGACCCATGGCCCTGCCCAATGAGACCGTCGTTTATGGAGAGTTTCCAAATAGGAAACAACCTTGGCGTCGTCTTTGTGATCATCCAATAACTCTCCCCAGAGGTAATCGAATGCCTCCTCTGTTAAGACCTCGCGCAATTGCTCAAATCGCTTCTTGAAGATAGCAAACTTCTTATCACCGAGCACAGTTTGCACATTTGGACGGAGATTTTTGTTGATATGCCATATACAATTCACGATACGAGTTTCTCTGAGCACTTCCGAACATGCCGTATCCATTGCTGAGTCACTATCCATTAATAGGGTGCCCGGTTGAAGGTTACCGCTTGCTATCCTAAGCTGTTCGAAGACCCATTCATAGTCCTCCGTCTTCTCTGTACGTATCAAAGCGCATGCAACTAATCGAGTCTTGAAATGGGCATCAACAACAACAATACAATGGAGGGGCATGCGAAGTCGGTTCGTTTGAAAAGTAGTGTCGATCACCACAACATCATGGTATCGCCGATATAGCTCTCGTTGGCTCGGGTTCATCCAGAAGAGGCGAGACAAGGCGTTGGTCGAGTCATAGATGGCATGGTGGTACCAACCATCAATTGAGTCGACAATGCGCGGCTTCTGATTCAAGAGAGTGAGAAGTTGAACGGTCTGTGGCACTTCATTATGGATATTTGCTTTCCTAAATGCCTTGAGGCGAGTCTCGACCTCGACTTTGTTGAACCTGTGACCTCGATGTTCGTAATCAAGAAATGCCAAAGTATTACCGATGCTCTGCTTTAGATCAGCACATTTCTTTATGGTACTCAGCATAGCATCGGATAGCTTATCGTATTTCCTGAGTTCTGGATCCATCTCATGACCATTATGCCGATTGTCCACCTTGGTGATGTGCCACTTGGGGAAAATGTTACGGGGACAAGTCAAGTTGATGAAAAATGGGCAACTACAGCGTCTAGACGGCGCCTTATTGTGCCGTTTAGTCATATCTTGACTTTTGTTTGGCGAATGGATCCCAGCTAGGCTGCAGACAAATTTGACTACAATATACCATGTAATACGTTGGTTGTTAGAGGAATACACCCTGAGCTTCAAGTACATGAACATGCTCTTCAAGTAAGGATATGTACGTACTTGAGGGTGGAGCTCCATTTGGCTTAGATTTTCCTATCCTGATCTTAAACCCGATTTCTGCTGCCCAGGCTTCAATCCATGCTCTCGCTGCAGATAAATCATCAAACTCGTCGTCTGTCTGAGGGGTCCACTGGTTAAGGCATACTGATGCGCTACTCTCAATACTCTTGATGCTCCTACTCATGTCCACACAGTCGGTTTCACTACTGAGGCCATTGGAGCTCTCTTGGTCACTTCCGACTTCGTCCTGATCCGTGTTTTCGTTGATATCGCTATCTGCTAACATGTCGCTCACATTGTTCTCTATATACATTATACATTACTCATATTAGTACCGGCTCTCACGTCGCTGCCAACTAGCATAAATAGCCAGCACCATCGTAGCAACTTCGGATAGACTTGAGAGAATAGTCATCCTCAGACTTCCCCTAGGCTCACCTTCACTCTTGCTATTTACACAATCCTTGAAAGGCTTCCCCTTCCATATATCGAGGTTTCGATTGACGATTAAATCATCTAGGGTGGAGGGGCAGTCATCATGATCCAATGCCTTGTATTCGTTTTCGAAATCAAGGTCTACATCAGTACTAATACTGGCGCTATCCCTGTATTGGTGTACGTCGCTGGATACGGATGAGAGTTCATCGGCATTGGATTCAATCTAATACGAACAATAATAGCCACTGTTTTAGTCATTTTGTCTGTATAGCCGCATCTTCAAGCGACGGTTACTGCTGTTACCTCAGGCACGCCTACTAAGAGAGCTAAATACCGGATACGGTGGAACAACACTTGGTCTGCAGATTCAAGCTTCCAAATGTTGGACGTTTCGCCTTGAAGAGTCTTATGGACATCATGCTCGACTGCATTCGCTGCATAAATGCCACATGAACCACCATCTATCTGTGGCTCTACAAGCAACTTCCTAACAGGCTTATTCCATGCTTGTGCTCCTCTGCCATCGAAGCACTTTATTAGCCATCGCCGGACGCCATTGATTGTTTCTTGAGGCGTAGGATAACTCAAGGAGTCCCCAAAAGCTATCTCATGGCGTTTGAAATCGATAGAAAGTACACCCCAGTGGTTTTTCATATGTATAATGGCATATGCTTTTTTATACTTGCCGGACTTAATTTCCGCTTGCTTCCAGCCTCCGCCATTGGTTGCTCTGAGCTCCTGGTTTCCCAAACATAATGTTTGATATGATGGAATAAAAAGGAACTCTTCATAGACGGACTGGAACATCCCCAGGATGCCGTCCAAACTTCCATCGTTTAGCCACTGAGTGCCAGCGAATGGGAGGATGTCATGTATGGAAACTGATACTCCCGAGAGAGTGAAGTGGTGCATCCATGTGCATGAGCTAAGTCGCGGCATGAACGATGCCTCAAACACGGGGTTGACTGTGCGTACTTCTTTTTCGAGCCATTCTACCATACGATGGAGCTTATTGATAAATTCCATCACTCCAATGACTTGTGATATTAGCAGGAATGTGGAATAGTCTAGACCAGCATTGTCAATCAAGACCCAGCACGGAGTCTTTTTCGCATCCATGTTTTTTTTTATTCTGTCGAATTCACCTTGAGTCGGGATACAGCTTAGGAGAAAGAACTTTGAAGGCGGCAAAATTGTTTCGGGCTCATCGTCGGTCAGATGCAGCGGATCAGAACTGAATTTCGGAAGACTAGGTTGCCAAGCCAGCAAATCTTTGCAAGTCATCTGACTACACCAGTCTCGGCCAAAAAAGAAAGGGACATCAGTAGGTGACATGACAAGAGAATCAGTTAGTGAGGCGTGGGAAGGTTCGCTAGACATGCTGGAAAGTAGAAGAGTGAGAAGGAAGGTTTACTGTAGATATTGAGGTGAGCAAGTGTTGAAAAGCTTTTGAAAAGTAAGAAAGAGATATAATCCCCAACGATGTCCATGGGTTATTTATCAAAGATATTACTCTAACAATGTTCCTTGTCATGGCCTCATAACGCGGTACCCCACTACACCGCCTTGTCATGGCCTCATAACATGGCGCCGCCCCACTGCGCCGCACTAACCCTCTATGGCATTTCACCCCTACAGCCCATTGCGCCATTCTGCAAACAGTCCGTCCACTCGCGTTTTTCTTTTGTTTACGACGACGCCAACTGCAGGAATAAAGGTATTTGTCACACGAATAAAACTAAAAAAAGAAAGACGATTTTTTGTCATTATCATCCTTTATTTAATCTGTTCCCGGCATCACGTAAGTTAGCCGCTTTCAATGTGGTTGTTTGACATTTTATCCTTGTGGTTGATTTTGGTCGGCCCCTGGAAGCTGTACTTCGTCTAGTCATAAACTGGATATATTTTTATATTTTTCAGGCTTTTCAATTGAATAGAATACTTCTATTTTTGAAACATGTACAAACTCAAAAAATTAAGTTTTTCTGTTGTCCCCTCAAAACTTGTTATCTTCTTTCACCAAACATGCCCACAGTATCTGGCGTAAGATCTACCGCTTCAGAGATATGTGAGTAAAGTGGGTTGGCAATGAGGATGAGGTTGTCCATTCCCTAGTATTTTTAATCAAAAACGACGATTGAATTGGTGGCCATGGCATCATTTTATTCAAAGTATATATATGAATTTCTGTCTTCGTACAGTACTAAATAACTTTTTGGCAAGGGGGTTCACACATCGCTTGACCGCCTGTGATAATTGTTATAATTTAATTTGTTTTTTTTTTTTTGTTGGGGTCCAAAATGTTGCCATGTCGTCGTTGACTGCGTTTTCTTTCGTCTTTTCCTTAAGCTGACAAGCATATACTTTGTTGAAGACAACCTGAGAAAACACTTGCATCCTCCTCTATAATTGACAGTTACAGTTAAAATTAGCATCATTCATACGACACTTTGCGACAAATGACCACACGGCACAAGGTCATACCTTCGTATTGATGAGAGTTGCAAACCCACCTTCTGCAATGAACGAGTACATTTCATTTTCTGAGGTTGGTAATACAATGGGGATCTCGGTCACCTTTCCAGCAGCATAATAACCGTTAAATCTCTTGACTGTATAAGTATAACCAACAAAGCCATGCAAAGTTAGAAGAACGGGAGATGTATCCACGCCGTATTGTTGATGCAAAGCACTCATAATGGATTTATTTAAGCGAGTTGCTTTCAGTGTCTGGATGGAAAGCGTGTTGTCATTTGCGGCTGATGGCTTGGCTTCGAATACAGCGAGGTTATGCCGACATTCTTTCCTCCTTAGATCTGTCGTCTTGCATTGGAATAAGAGGTCAACTTTCCTGCCTCTCAAGTTAGTCATTTAAAGCAAAATCCCACTCAGCTTTCTGCCTGTCCTGCTTGCTCTCAATGAGACCTGGCTCACCCCTGAGTAAAAATAATGAAGTCAGCACCAAATAAAACATGTATCCACATGAAGTGTTTCATTCCATCTCCAACATACGTACGTTCTTATCCCAACGTCTTTCTCACCGAACAAAAGGTGAAAAATGCTCTCCCAAACGCCTACATATTGGTCTTCTAAAAGTTCCCTTGTCCACATACAATTATAAATTATTTTACACCTGTATTGTAAGCGGGGTACGATGAGAGATAATTAATATTGATTAGATTTGATATGACTAAAAAGAATGAAAAAAAAAATGGATGGATAATAGGGATGGATGGATGGATGGATGGATGGATGTACTTACAGGTAAAGGATCACATCAATACATCTGGAACGCTCACTATTTTCGTCATTGGTGACAATAAACTCCTTGAACTGGTCTGCACAGTACACCTTTAGCTTCTTGTAATCTCGGTCGGGCCCCATTGCGTTAAGGAGATCATTTATCAAGGATTTTGTGTCATCGGATGGCAATGTAAAATCTTCTTCGAAGCAAGCTTTTTTTGCCGCTTCAAATTCTTTAAAATGCCGCATCTCATTATCCATTGTATTCAAGATCCCTGAAAGTGCCACCCTAATTAAGGGAAATTAATAAAAGCCATATCAGAACGAAGCTATATTAATAGAGTATATCAAGAGCTATCATTACACTAACATACATTGTCGACTTTCTTTCTAGTTCGGAAATTGCCCGCCAGCGAGAAATATTTGTAGATGCATAGTCGCGTAATTCTTTGGTGGTTCCGGACAAGGCTGACAAGGCTGACGAAGGGACAACAGAAACGGCCCGAACATTATGGTTGTACTACACAATAGAACAACTAACGTAAGAGCACTGAAGAAATACCTTGGTAACTGTGAAATAAAATAAAACTTACTAGCCGATAAAGCTGAGCAATCAGATCACCAAATGGCGACTCGACGGGTATCGGCTGAAGATCGTCATCGTCATCGTCATCATCACCGTCATCGTCATCATCATCGTCATCTTCTATGGGCCTTGGATCTGGTGGAACCGGTGTAATAAAAAAATTTTAGAAATGAACCTTATATATGATATTAAGAAAATAGTATAATTAATAATAATAATAATAATAATGATGATGATAATAATAACAGTACCTCCATTTTCGTCCCAGCGTTCCTCGTCGATATAAACGTAAGCTTTTTTTGCCCACGCTCGTTCTAGTCCTACTCCGTAGTTTATTGCTCCTTCGTGTTCACTGTTAAGAAAGCTAGCAATTATCTCTTGCCAGTCATTATGCGCCTGTATTTTTGTATATCCAACAACGTTTGAAGTAAAATCAACGAAATCTTGGTACTTGACATCGGTAAGACGTCTGCAGGTTTGAACAAATGCCTTTGTGTGAAATCCCTTCACCAGTCCTTTCCACTTGCCCCTCTTTGACTCAGGGCGGCGCATGATGACAGGCAGTCTATTGCAGTTTTTGAAGGAAACAATGTGAATGGGTACGCTCACAGTCAAAGAAGGCTTGCTAAAGCGTTATTGACTATCCTGGGTCTCCAAGCAGGCAACCACCTTTAGACTCTAGCATAGCGAATCTTCGAGTGGTGTTGAACCAGGTATAACCTGTTCAACAGCGTGATGGAATAGCAGGATTGAGCTTCAACACGGTTCAAGAAGGCTCTGCTCGAGCGTTATGAACACTCCAAAGCCTCAAAGCAGGCTACCACTACCGGACTCTAGCGTAACGAATCCTCATGGTGTTGAATGATTAACACCCAACGCGCGTGATTGAGGACAGTGTAGTCAAACCCAAGAAAGTACAACAGGCGGTGGAATATATTAAGGGGTGGGTTCTGAGAAAGGACATGAAAAAAATTGCGTTTCACATAATGTGTTCTAGAAGGAAAGAGACCTACGAATAGATCCAAGATAAGCAAAGATCACCAAACACGACCATCAGGTAAATACTCCATAATTAAAGATGTAATCAATGTTCAATGTTTGAGATAAAGCCATCACCGTACATACCTAATGAGAGAATGAACGAGAGTGGTGGGAGAGTGGGAGAGAGAGATGATTGAGAGAAGTGATTGAAAGAAGTGGGCAGGAAAAAAAACAAAAAAGGCAAGCCACGCATGCCTTGCGTCATCATTTTATTTTTGGAACAAGTGTCCTTTTGGAACAGCCGAAAAATAAGGTTCGGTATTTCACACGCTGTCATCACCAGTGTTAAAGAAGTGCTTGTTACTATCCTTCAAAGAAAGATGGTACCATACCTATCAAATGTACGGTAGAAGATGACAAAATGCACCAAATAAAAAAAGAATGAAAAGAATCCGTTCAGTATTTATTGAGATAGCGTCTAAAATTGTAACAAAGTTGGGTGCTTTTAAGGACTTTACAGCCTACTGGCATGAATGCATCTTGCTGGAGTGCTAGAAAGCAGGCACCACTGGAATGGCCAATAGAGAAGCTTATTATCTTCGGTTTAAAGTGACTCTTAAGAGGACTCACTCAGTATCTATGTAGTAGCACCTGTATAAAGCCAGAAAAAACCAAATTTATGCCAATTTGACACACTCAACGGGCTATTACGCCGGGATCTTGAGAGGTAGAGCCTAGCCAAAGCAGAGAGTGGTTCAAGTTGCCAACATTTATGATATGAATGTTGTTTGTCGACATTTCATCCAGTGGTTCTTGAGTAATGGCCCTTGAATATCGAAAAATCTCTATTTCTCGCGACCAAGTCGCTTTTACTTAAAGTAAACTGATTTTTCTGGCTATATAACCGGTGGTGATTTTACCACCGTTGGATCCGCAATTGAAAAGTACATATAACCTGAAAGTCTTGAAGATTTCAAGTGTATCTTTATTGCGCTTCGTCGTTTTTACCAAGTTCTGCAAAACTAATTTTGAAATGGCGTCTAGATTGGTCAAGTACTCTATCTTGTTGCACTTGGCATATTACTACGGGTATTTACTTTCGTCAAAAAATGCAAAACTATATATTGAAAGTTGCGCTCCGGTACCAGCTATCGGCCCCAGGTCGAAGCAATCCAATTGGGTCTGAAATGAGCGACTTTACCTATAGCACCATGGATATCTACATGGCTTTTTTTTTTAAAAATATCTACATACAAAAAAACAATTGTTGTCATGTGATTAGATGTCATTTGTCTGCTTAATAGGGCGTATTTCATGAAGATAAATATATTTATATTTGTCGGAAAAGTATGTAGATATCCATGGCGCTATAGGTAAAGTCGCTCATTTCAGACCCAATTGGATTGCTTCGACCTGGGGCCGATAGCTGGTACCGGAGCGCAACTTTCAATATATAGTTTTGCATTTTTTGACGAAAGTAAATACCCGTAGTAATATGCCAAGTGCAACAAGATAGAGTACTTGACCAATCTAGACGCCATTTCAAAATTAGTTTTGCAGAACTTGGTAAAAACGACGAAGCGCAATAAAGATACACTTGAAATCTTCAAGACTTTCAGGTTATATGTACTTTTCAATTGCGGATCCAACGGTGGTAAAATCACCACCGGTTATATAGCCAGAAAAATCAGTTTACTTTAAGTAAAAGCGACTTGGTCGCGAGAAATAGAGATTTTTCGATATTCAAGGGCCATTACTCAAGAACCACTGGATGAAATGTCGACAAACGAAGCTTATAGCATAGCTATTGCCTAGACGTGCAATACTCTACTTTGGCTAGACTCTGTCTCTCGAGGTTCCGGTGGTTACGGCCCATTGAGTGTGTTAAAAATAGCTTTTTTTGGTGCTTGAAATAATATTTACAGGTAACTACTTCATGGATTCAGAACGGATTCTCTTGGTTGTTGATTTAAATCAAAGCCGATAAGTTCCTCTATTGCCACCTGGGAGCACCTGCCTTCCAGCACTATAGCAGGAGCCATTCATGCTCTAAGTATGCATGGCATGGTCTTTAGAATTACTCAACTTTGCCGCTGTTTCGATAAATATTGAAAGGACTCTTTTCATTCTTTTTTTACTGGTGCATATTATTGTCTTCTATTACATGTTGCATGGGCGTGGTGTCATCTTTCCAAGAAGGATAGGTTTAACACTCATTCTAATAGTGTCAGTGATGAACCTCTCTAAAAGAAAGAGATGTAGACCCCGCAGAATAATCATCTGTAAAAAAAAAAAAAAAAAAAAAAAAGAGCCCTAAATGTTGGCGGGGGCGTGAGAATTTGCAGCAATAAAAATGTTGACGGGGGGGTCAAAATTTTATTTTTTGGGAATCTTGACGGGGGGGTAACGGAATTCTGACGGGGGGACGGGGCTTAGAATTCCGAATAGAGGGGGTGTTCGCGGGGGTGTTTTAGAAATTTTCAACCGGGGGTCAAAATTTAATTTGACGGGGGGGTGCATTTTTCCTTTATTCAAGATTTTTTCCCAGCCCCTTCACTTTAGGTGACTCAAAAAGGAAATGGAATTTCCTGTCACCTTTATAAAGTGAAGAGGGATGGGAACGAGCCTAGGTCATTGTGACGTGACAATCTTTAGTGCGCAGCAGAAGGTCAAGTTTGTCACTCTTTTTGGTTAGTCCTTTTCAGTTATAAGAATTTTGTTAAGTAAACCATTTATATTTGAAAGAGTCTAGCCAAAAAGAGCGACAAGCTTGACCCTCTGGCGCAAAGAACTCATTTCTCAGTCTCGTCACCAGCCTGAGGACGAAGTTCATGTGCACATGCACAGGCTGGGACCAAACTTGACATTTTGGCTGGAGGTCTCTTTTTTTAAATTTGAAAAAGTTTCCAAGTCGAAAACACGCCGCAGGAAAGGCTCTTTTTTTTCTGCCATTCTCGCCGCAGAAAATGGCTTTTTTTTTCAAAGTCCAGACTAGGATATTGATTTGATTGAGAACGAACGAGGAATGAGAAAAAAGAATGGTATATTTCGCGTAAAAAGAGTCATCATGCTCTAATTAATCAATTAATTACCTTTAATTAAGATAGTGTGCTTAATAAGGTCAGAGAGATGGAAACGAGAATTGTGGAGTAGATTCAAATGTTAGAATAATAAAATGTTAGAATAATAGATGGCAATGCAGATGATGGAAACAAGAGATGATTGGTAAAAATGAGGCTAGTGATTTGGGTGTGTGTGTAGGACCGATTAAAAAGCGCCATCCCGTTTGTCTAAAGGGCAAGTGGATAGTGATGGCTTCGTTCATAAAGGATGAACGATTGTAAAGAATACTCAATAGATATGGTATTTTCATTACAAGACAAATTTCCTTTCACTTGATTGACATTCGACTCTTTTCTTCATGCTTGAACCCCGGCGGTCCTCCTGCATATGCGGTATTGATGTGAGTTTTTATGACACACTGTCCCGCATGTTTTAAATATCTAGGTGTTGCTTTAACATTCTGACCATTGTTGATAACGAGCTTCTGAATCTTAAGCTTGACGTGTATGTCGCCTGGGACCATGAAACAGAGGAATGTGATATTGTCACTTTTCTCCGAGGTTTGATCGGTTTCTCTTCAAGCAGGACTCAGTAATATTATCGGCCATCCAATTATCAAGTCCCAGAAAATAATACTGGCTAGGATCAAAGATGAGCGCCATCAGCAGATAGCTAATGCAAGAAGCCTGTCCTATGAGGATTTCATTGAGTTGTGCGAGTTGCCTGAGCTCACACATGCAGATAAGTATGCAGTGTCTAAATATCGCTTGATGAAAGCCTACAATATAACCACACCTGACATTGTGACGCCTGAGTGGGTCAAGGATTATGATAATGAGAAAGAGAAAAGCGTTTACAAGAACCTGTGCTCTCTATACACCACTAATAGCACCACTTTGGAAGATAGACTAGAGGCTGTCCGACAAAGGGAGGAGGCTAGACTAGGATTATGCCCAAAAACCAAAGTGCATCACAATCTTGAAGGCTCGCGATATGTCAAATTGCAATATGCAGCGGATATCATGACATCATGTGGATTCACAGATGTATTCGCCAGTAATACTGTGCAAGCACAGACTCTCAAAGAAGGAATCAGAAGGATATGGGAAGGCGTTTTGAAGGAAATGGATAACACTTGCACAGCACTGGATAGAAAGAAACCAACGCACAATAATTGGATATTCAAACACCAACTAGGGTATCTAAACAATATTTTACATGATGTGCTTGGTGTTAAGATTGTGGGAGTCAACAAACGCTGTGCGAAATATCATCTGGTGCACTACTCAAAGGTTGCTTCACTACGGCAGATGTCCTTTGATATTTAAAAAAATTGTGTGTTTAAATCACAGCAAAATGTTTATCCGGTGGGTAGACTTGCAAATGCATTCTATAAAAGAAAAAAAAAATATTGGAAGTCTACCCACCGCTAAGCCTGGTCCGTGCACGGGTAGCCAAAAGTGAGAACGACCTAATTTTATACTGTAGAATTCTAACATAAAAATATACAGTACGAATATTTGAAATGCGATGATTAGAGATAGCAACATAATAAAATGAATTGAGGCAAATAAAAGTACTGGTGATATTTGATAATGGATGCAGAATTTGACAAATTGTTATCAATGCAGTGGGGATTCCTGTACGAGGAATGGCCGACTGTGGAGCGGAACAAATTCCACCGTACTGAGATCAAAGATATACAAGATATTCGAAAGATCAAAGACTTTGTACAGAACAAGTTGGGCATCATTCCTGTGTACTTTTTCCTGGCTGTGATTTTTGGCACGAGGCCTTATCCTGGCCCATACAGGAATGCTGAGAAAGGCGTGCTTATACTTTATATGCTGTTGAAAGGTATTCCAACTGGTGAGATGGGTGCATTCTTGCCCAAAAGTTCGTTTCATGATGTCTATAAGGACTTTTTTTTGGCAGGGAGGCACATGTTTTAGAAGGGAAACTGACCGCCTATTTGGCAAGTATGTGTTCAAGCATAAGGCTGCGTCTGCTCTCTTCACGGGATGTGAATCCAGAGTCATTCAAACACATCACGATGAGCCTCGATGGTCATGACAGCCGAGTCGCTTACATCAATGCAGATAAAGCTAGCATGTATTCATACAAACTCAAAAAGTCAGGATTCCGCACGCAGGTATGCTGCGATATTAATGGTATGGTTGTTTTTGTATCTCAGCCCGGTAAATGCCGCGATTTTAAAGATGGAACCATGCTTTCTAGAATGGCTATTGAGAAGAAGATCCATCCCCTTGATTGCATTGCTCTAGATGGTGGCTATACACAGTATATTGAGGGCATTATAACAGGCAGTGGAATATTGAAATCGTCAAATTTCAGCTGCCCAATCCGCAAATGCAAAGGAATTGCATTGACAGACAGCGAGAGTAGATATAACGACATGTTTGGCAGCTTTCGCTCAAGGATTGAAAGCTATTTTGGGGAAATGCAGACCACCTTCAACAAATTCAGCAACACTGTGGTGAATAGAGTCTCAGAGAAGAGCTCAGAGAAGAGCTCAGAGAAGAGCACTTTTTCATTGCAATTCAAGCTGTGCTGCTTGCTCCTCAACATCAAACGCATGGTAGCATTGCGCAATATCACCGCCGAGGCGCATCATAGCTATTGGACACAGGACAGCTTTGAATATCCAGATGGTAATAACGCCACTCTTGTACAGGTTTTGACTCCAAGTTATAAAGTCAAGATGGATCATGCACGAAGTATCTTCAAACTGCAGGATGCCTTCTTAAACAATTCACTCACCTCTTCCAATGCTGACGATGAGATGGATACTGATGAGGGAACTGAATATGAGATTGACAGGATCATGGGTCATCGAGGAGATGGAGAGACACTAGAATACCATGTTTTATGGAAGGGCTATTGTTGTATATTTCAATATACAAGATAATAACGGCCCAGCTATAAGATTAAGAAAAATACTAAAAACACACTAGGAACACACTAGGGGAATTCCCAAAATTAATACGCTAAGAAAAATATAATAATAATAACGCGTCACTAAAGACGCGACAAAACACGACATGGTTCCTGAATAATCCCATGTCGCTTCTAGATAGATATGTAGTTACTTGGTACGAGTCTCTCTACCAGAAAATGAATAAATACCCCATGGATGTGGCGTGTGGACCCACATCTTATTCTCACTTATCTTAGCTTCTGATAACTACTGTCTAAATATTTTTCATTTTTTTAAGTGAAGATTTGCACACACATCCCATCCATTATCAAAAAAAAAAAAAAAAAAAAAAAAAAAAACCTCTCTCTCACCTTCCAACATGAACCCTACTACCACTCCTCACACCCCCGAGCGTGCTGCCCCCACTCCTGAAACAAGAACCGGTGCTCGCCTTTAAGTCAATCTCAGAATTTACAAAGATTTTGGGAAGTCTTACTGGTCCCCACATTCCGCAAGAGGTTATTACCGATAATAATCCTGCACCTCATCGCCGTGACACAGGTCCAATGCGCCGCGCACGAGCATCTGAGGAAAGATTTAACCCTAAGGGCAAAGCCTACAATGAGGAGGCTAAGTCAAAACCCCTCTATGATTGCCAGCAATGCGGCAAAAATTCATCCCACAATACGGATGGACACAAACAATGTGCAAAATGCAATGCACGAGGCCATCTGGCGTCCGAATGTACCAGAAACCATAATAGGTCTGGTAAGAATCGTCCTAAATCTAATTATAATATGTCACTGCATAAGCAAACAGTCCTTAATAACACTCTGTCGAATTCTACTGTTAATACACAGGTTTCAACAAGTCCACCTCAAGTACTCGATGACTTAAACGAAGCTCATTCGATAGAAAAGAATAAAAAAGAGATTTCATTACATCCCAAAAATCTATTAAATTTATCATTTTATGCTCAAACATATCAAAACCCTTCTCTCACGAAACCACCATTAATGATCTTTGGCACCCAGCCTAGAATCTCTATGGAGTTAATCAACCCCACAATATTGTCATGGCATGATCAATGCGTCACTGCTACTCTCGAATCTGAATTTATACACTCACCTTCTCATATAAGAGTTTCATCTTTATCTTCCTCGAATGTTATCCCTAACGATGATGTCCATATCTTAGCCAAACTCCATCTCAATCAAGAGAGGGCTGACAAAAGAATCATAGTTTTTGTTAACTTCGAAGGGGAAAAATATGAAGCTTTGGTTGACACAGGCGCGAGTGTTACGTGTATCCGAAAAGATATTATCCTTAAACATAACAAAGAAATCTCTCCTGTTGCAGGTGTTATCACTCTAGCCGATGAGAGCCTGACTATTCCCCGTATAGGTGTGGTAGAAAATATAGAACTCGCATATGGCAGTCGAATCGTATCGGCAACGTTAGAAGTGATCAATCGATCATACCCCTTTATCATAGGGATGGATTTATTTTATCAGCTTGGATTTGGACTCTCGGGCTGCCACAATCCAGGGCAAGATGCTATCCAGTTACCCGAACCTGAGGAAGATAAACGTCCCTCCCTCATCCCTGGTTCTATACCAGAAGAAGAGCATACCAAAACATTTATCATTGAGAAAAAAGTGTTTATGAAAAAGATCTCACGTCCACTAGTCGACAATGCCCGGATACCTAAACAGAGCTCATGCCCCGTACCGGAAATGAAAGTATTTTTACCAATCCCAGAGGGTACAGTCCTCTATAGGCGATCACGTCCTTTTGCTGAAAAACAAATGTCCATCCTCAATGAAGCCATAGAAAAATGGTTGATAGATGACGTTATCACACTTGCCCCTGTAGGCAATGTGCACAATAATACTCTTACACTCACAGCAAAGAAAGACCAAAATGGCAATAAAACGTTATGGCGAGTATGTCTTGACCCTCGACCCTTAAACAAACATCTACCAGATGATAACTATCCATTACCTCTTATAAATGATATTATTATTCGTCTCGCTGGTCATGCCATATTTACAACTATTGATCTCTCACAAGCGTATCATCGCATGCCAATTAATGAAGCAGATCAACCCTTAACAGCGTTTATGCATCAGGGTAAACAATACATGTTTAAGAAGGCACCTTTTGGCTTGAAACCATTGTCCAGTCTATTTCAACGAGGAATGTCTCGCATTCTTGGTGATCTTCCTTTCGTCTACAACTTCATTGACGATATCGTTATTTTTTCAAAGAACAGAGAGGAACATGCCGAACATGTACGCACTGTGATTATCCGTCTCAACGATGCTAAGTTAATCATCAACAGTGGTAAATGTAATTTCTACAGTACGCAAATTTCATTGCTCGGCTTCATAATAGGCCTGCATGGTAAAAGTGTTGACCCCTCTAAATTCGCAAATATCGATGATTGGGAGCCTCCAACTACTGCTAAGCAAATTCAATCGTACTTAGGCACATTCAACTTTTTCCGCGAATATATACCACTCATTAGTGAAGTTGCTGCACCCTTGGATGCTCTGAGATGTCGAACAGACACTTTCACATTGAATGAAGACCAGTTACAATCTTTTAATGCCTTAAAGTCCCTGCTTACTCATGCACCAGTATTATCCTTCCCCAATTTTAATCACCCGTTCTACGTCGCGACGGATGCATCTGATGTTGGGATTGGTGCTGTACTGTATCAATTACCCCGAGGCATAAATCATCCGAAAGATATAAATTATATCTCATTCATGGCACGATCACTACATCAAAGCGAACGAAAATACAGCGCAACAAAGAAAGAACTCCTGGCCATTGTCTTTGCTCTTAACAAATTCCACTACTATTTATGGGGTAGACATTTCGATCTGTACACAGATCATCGTGCATTAATGTTTATTCATTCTCAACCTGATATGAATGCCATGATGACTAATTGGCAGGACGTAATATTACGATATTCATTTACGGTGCATTACCGACCAGGAGTACTCAATGTTCTACCTGATGCTTTATCACGTCTATTCCCAGCACGCATGACTCTAAGACAACAAGCACTAGATGTGCATAATGAACCTATGTTAGCATACATCCATGCTATTCAAGATTCTGACAATCCACGAAACATCGTACCCGAAGAAAAACGGCGAGATGTCATGTACCGCGCTCATGCGATGGGCCACATCGGCACTAATGCTATGGTTAAATCTATCCATTCTGATGGCAAAACATGGCCACATCTAGCAAAAGACTGTACTGATTTTATCAAACGATGTCAATCATGCCAACGTATGAATATTGCGAAAAAGGGTTACCACCCACTGAAAGCCATTCATGCCCAATTACCAGGAGAACATGTTGCTATTGATATAGCTGGCCCTTTCACAACATCTGAGAAGAACAACTCTTACCTGTTAATTATCGTTGACGTTTGTACCCGCTTTGTATTACTTGATGCACTACCTGATAAATCTGCTCTTACGGTTGCTACGGCGCTGTTTAAGCGATTTACAGACATCGGTTTTCCTCGGATCATTCAGTCCGATAACGGCAAAGAGTTTGTCAATGAGCTACTACGCATCATTACCTCGCGAATGTTTATTGATCACAGACTAATTACTCCTTACCATCCCCGAGGCAATGGTGTAGCTGAAAATCATGTTAAAACTGCATGCCAAATGATTAGAAAACAAATAAGACACGACAACAAACAATGGGATAATCATGTTCCGTTTGTCCAACTAAATGCTAATACTCGTATAGTCAGCCTCCACAACTCCTCTCCTTTCTCTCTATTTTTTGCGCGCAAAGCCAATGGCTTCAGCAACTATACTGATGAAGATGGGAAACCTATGAGTCAAGAAGAGTTACTTGAAAGGCTCAAATACATGACAGAAATAGTCTTCCCTGCAATTCGACGCAAGTCTAAACGAACTCAGCAGAAAATGATAGAGCGATTTAATGCTACGGTACTTTTGAATGAGTTCCCTGACGGAGCTAAAGTCATGACTCTCGATCCAATCCGTGGTAATAAACTTACCCCACGTTATGAAGGACCCTACACTGTTGTGAACAAGAGTTCTCATGGTTCCTACATACTCAAGGATGGCACAGGTGCAATTCTGGCCAGACATTATGCTCCATCTCAATTGAAACTCGTACTTGATGACTTTGAAGACACGGACACATATGAAGTGGAAACTATAATTGATCATCGGCAAAATGCCTCGTCCCCTCATGAGTATGAATACCTCGTCAAATGGAAAAATTATCCACATGATCTCAATACATGGGAACCTGAAGAACACTTCATTGAACGACAATGTATAACTGAATATTGGGCCAATCATCACGCCTCTAAGATTGTTAATGCTAGCTCCAAACGACCTCATAATTCCCTATCAGAACCTGTTGACTCGGTGCAGAATGTGTCGCCAACGTCTGATGACCATACATCTGTCAGAAAAACCTCTCGACCTAAACGTCGACGCATGCGTCGTTAGATATATCACGACCGCCTTATTTATACCCACCTCAGTATCCATAACAGTAACAATCACAATAAGAGTAATAGCAATAACCATAAAAAAAATAAAAAAAAAAAAAAAAAAAAAATTTAACAATCATACAAATCAACAATCGCAAAGCTTTATTTCTTCTCTTTACGGTTGCTATTTCTACTTGAAGTAGGACGCAGATTGTATCTCCTTGACCGTCCTACTTGCTTCTGCAAATCCTCCACCTGCTTGGTCAGATTTGCAATTATCTCTCCTTGCTCACGCACCATCTTGTAAAGAGCTACGATGTCCAAGACCATCGTGTCTACTTCCTCCAATACTTTACGGCGCTGATGATGCTGCGCACGTTCAGATTCTCCATCATCCTCCTCACCGCGCTTCCGCACACCAAGCGAAGTCCCTGTGGATGACTCGGTCACAATAGACCCACCAATCTCTAGAGACGGCGAGCGATCACGATAACGAGGATCCCCTCTCTCTCTCCAAAGTGCATGACGGTCGGCTTGTCTGAAGGCAGGATCTCTATCATCGTGCTCAAAACTATTCTCCCCACTAGTGAAAGAAAAGTGAAGTTCAACAGGTGAACTTGAAGGTGAACTTTGAGGAACATTCTTGGAAGACATTCTGAATATGTGTATAATGGAATTGTTCACAGGAATATGAGTGTCTTGAAGTTTAGCTGAAAGTGTGAGAATGGCGAAATGAAGAATGAAGGAATGAAAACGAAATGGCAATCAATTTATGCCCACAAGCATCCATTCACATCCTTTTTCTTCAATTGCCATTAGTCATTTCAAATGGCGTGATGTTCAGAACAAATGAACCAATGAATGAATGAGATTTTGGCATGCATCAAAAAAAAAAAAAAAAAAAAAAAAAAAAAACCAACAACAAATGTATTTTGAAAACAACACTTTATTCTGCAACTGGTTTAAAGGTTCTACACACATCTAACAACAGTGCTGCTCTTTCTTGCAAAAGCTTGCTACGAGGCGACTCTACATCAACTGACTCTAATTCAGTGAGAACCTTTCGGAGTTGTCGTTCTGACATCCCCAACGTTGACTCTTGACAACTGCTTGACGTTTCTGTCACAACTTCCGTCTCCGTTGCTACTGAAGTGACAGCAACCTGTGCATGTTGTGATGCCTTGGCTGACGCTTCTAACCGTTGCCAGTCCGCCTCCTTGACCAACATCAGGTTACGACGTCTCAGTTGCTTGAACAACGATGGCTCATGTACCCAGAATACGTCAAAATTGTCACGGCTTATAGGTCTACTGTATAAGTCAAGTTTTTGTCCTCCCTCCAGGTAAAGATACTTGCGAGGTCGCACTTCATCCCCATCCTGATAGAGTGGACTCTCTGTCCGCGCCCTGAAATTGCAGTGTTCACTCTCCAAAAAGAGCTTCTTGATCCTGCGCCCATCCCTGGTAGGACGCTCCCATGGTACATAAGAAAACACTGGGTCAGCGGGTGGACCATCAGTAGAAGGTGAAGTCTGGCGACTTGCGCTCTTATCACTTTCCAATTCCTCACGAGCGCGTTTTTTGCCAGCAACTTTGCTGGTGGAAGAAGAAGCAGTGTTGTTGGAGAAAGACATAATTCAAGCAATGCAAAGAATGATAAAATGAGATTTGAAAGCCTGCTTTGTGTTGAGAAGAGTTTGAGTGACAACAATGTTTTAGGAATGAAGGAATGAAAAGCACAATGACCCCCAGTTGATTCTCCTCATTGCTTTTCTCATTACAACTCTCCTTCATCCTGATTCGTTCCTGACATTACAAATCTTTTTCTCCACATGATCTGATCCTGGCTGATCTTTCAAACCAATCATCATTGTGAGTTATAATCGTGTCCTATAAGTGTCACTGATTTGAACCAATCTTTGAACCTGATTCATGCATGTGTAAGAATCTAAAAAAAAAAAAAAAAAAAAAAAGAAGAGAGAGAAACATGATGCTCGGATATTTGAGCAAATTATTTTGTTCCTGAAAAAAAAAAAAAAAAAAAAAAAAAATTTTTTTATGCGCTTACATAAAATAAAGAACTAAGCAATCGCGATCATCCTTCGCGTCCGTTCTCAACCCGCTTGGTGCCTGGAATGTTATGCTTTATTCCTCAATAAAAGAGAAAGTTGTTGTATATTTCAATATACAAGATAATAACGGCCCAGCTATAAGATTAAGAAAAATACTAAAAACACACTAGGAACATACTAGGGGAATTCCCAAAATTAATACGCTAAGAAAAATATAATAATAATAACGCGTCACTAAAGACGCGACAAAACACGACATGGTTCCTGAATAATCCCATGTCGCTTCTAGATAGATATGTAGTTACTTGGTACGAGTCTCTCTACCAGAAAATGAATAAATACCCCATGGATGTGGTGTGTGGACCCACATCTTATTCTCACTTATCTTAGCTTCTGATAACTACTGTCTAAATATTTTTCAGCTATGATGTCAGTGCAGCTACTTGGGAGCCATGCAGCAGCTTTAACCAGGCCCACACCATTGACGACTACTGGAACTCAAAACGCACCTTCTAAAAAATGAATTATATATCTCCATCAAGGCGGTTGTCCGAATCCTGTATGGATTTAAGTGCCTAAGTATATTTTATATCTATCAATCATTCTTTTTAAAAACAAATAGAGTTTCGATAAAGCATGCTGCGGCAATCATAGATATCTAAAATAAGAGATCCTGAATCATACTTATGGCAATTGAACTTTAGTATCTTGGCTTGGATGTGGAAGTGGAGTGAGCCATGTACCGCTATTCGCGAGCTACCTGTCCAACTATATTGGATCAACGTGTTTAAAACTACAAGATCAACCCCCTCACTACCTCAAACTGCATACTTTTTTAAATATATTTCAAAGATGTTTCCATCGATATCAATGCGCCTTTCGCCAACTTCTGGATATTGCTCAATTCTTTGGATCTTGGGTGACTACTTGGATTCGGATGACCGCCTAAGTGGAAGACACTGTACTCAAAAGAAGCTGTAAGGGCTAAACTATTAATATCACTATTACCATCATTATTATTATACATAGACAGCGCCTGGCTGCTACTGTCTTTTGTGCCTCAGCATACGCGTTGATATTTCCGATACCTTTTTCTTCACTATTCATACAGTTCAAGTCGACACCTGCGGGGACGCTCTCCCAATTTATCAGCTTGGCGGTCAGTAGTGCCTCCCAGCTTTAACCTCTTGAGTCTTGTGCAGTTGAGAGCTATTGCAGGAGTATCCTCGGACTGATCTATGTTTGTATCTCTGATAATTACCCATGGATAGCATCTGTGAATAATCGTCTGTTATGTTTTTTTTTTTTTTTTTTTTTTTAAAAAAAAAAGGTACTCGACCTCTTCCAACCTCTCCACCATTGTCACTCACGCGCTAGCGCCCTCAGGCGATTAATAACGTTTCCAGCTGCACCAGATCCTGCACCACACTCTTTTTTGAAGTCCAGAACGCGATAAATAAGAATAAAGCTTCACGTGATAATATTTTTTGCATATGCCAAAGTAATGGAAGAATATAGGATCGTATGTGATACAAAAAGTTGTATAAGCCTCCTTCTCCTCCGGAGGGTCAGAATTCAAGAGGAGGGTTCGGATCTTTTTGTTGCAAAACATCAAATACATCAAAAAAAAAAATAATTAATTTCATCATGGCTGGATTCCATCCTCATATGCCCGCTACGCGTTACTCGGTCGTTGGAAAAGCTTTTGGCGCCGCCATGTGGTTCTGGGTCATGTATAAGGCCAAGGAGGAAGGCCCAGCTGTTCTTGTATGTTTTTTTTTTTTTTTTTTTTTCTCATCCTGTTTGATATGGATAACACAAAGCACGCAATCAACTTGTCTCCCCTTTAGCCCATTGGAACAGAACAATGGATTATAGATAGCGAATATCGATATAACAAATAACGAGGACAAAAAAAAAAAAAAAAAAAAAAAACAGACAAATCACTGGAAGCAATTTACAAGGGTTAGCATAGTCGGATAGCTCGGAAAGCAACATCTTGAGGGGAAAAAAAAAAAAAAAAAAAAAAAAAAAAAAAAAGGAAACCGAGCACCATATGTTTTAATAAGGAATTGGGAATTGGAAAGAAACAAGTTACAGGAAATATTTGTGGATCAAAAGAAGAATACAACATCACTTTAAAAAAAAAAAAAAAAAAAAAAAAAGTATTCGGCCAAACTTCGCCTATACCTCATACTTTATTATCAACATCCTTTCTTCCCTATCCCTTTAATATTAGTCCCCTTCTCTATAATATGTCCTAATAATTCTATTATAAGCAACTAACTAAATCTTTTATTTTATTTTCTGGGGGGCCATCATCAACCTTACTTTCTGGATTTTTATAGGGACTCCGTCATCCTTGGGATGGTCACGGTCACGGACATGGGCATGGACACAGTGCTGAAGGCGAACATCACTAAAAGAAAAAAGAAAAAGAAAAAAAACGTTGCCAAAAGTTACCAGATTGAGGGTCTGAAGAAGGAATCCATTTCCTTTCTTTATCTCTCTCTCTCTCCTCACATTCCCCTCTCTCCTCACTCTCCGAAACCTTTGTCCCTATAAACGAGATGGAATTATAGATAGCAATAGAGGAGTATTTTAATTTTTTTTTTTTTTTTTTTTTTTTTTTTAATCAAGAACATCTTCAGTAGCCAAAAAAAAAAAAAAAAAAAAAAAAAAAAAAATGAAGCTCTCCATGTCTTTTGCCTCTTATTTCTCCTCTAAAAAAAAAAAGTTTAAGACAAGTACCAAAAAAAACAATGCATGGAGTTCCTTTATTATTACTATCGTAAATGAAAATAAAAAAAGTCAGCCAAAAACAAAAAAAAAGAGAGAGAGATAGAGGCCATTATGATAATGATTATTAGTTTATATGCATGTAGTATATAGTGTATAAAAGAAATTATAAATAGAGTTTTCCTGGAGGAGGAGGTGGTGGTGGACGATAATGTCGGTGATGTGGGCCCTGAGGATGTGGCTGTTGCGGCAGATGTTGATGTCTAGGATGAGGCGATTGTTGAGGATGTGGATGGTGCTGATGGTGTTGAGGATGATGATGTGATTGTGGAGGAGGTGGTGGATATTCATGATAGGAGGGATGTTGCGGAGGGGGCGGTATTGCAGGGTCATGATAACTAGGGCCTTCGGGTCCTGGTCCTCCACGACTAAAGGTTGGACTATGACCGTGACCATGACTATGACCGTGACCATGACTATGGCTGTGACCATGACCATGGCCACCGTGGCTGTCAGATCCTTCGTTCCCATATGGCATGCCAGGTTCTTGTCTTGGTGTCATACTCGGATCATAACGAACGCGACTTCGTGCATCCTCTGGAATTGACTCTGCTTTCCTTTTCGTAGATAGGATCACACCCGATTGAGGAGTCAACGGCGAGGTTACAGAATCTATATAAGAAAATACATATATCAATTACCATGACAAATCGATGAAATGAAAATGCCTTTTTTTTTTTTTTTTTTTTTTTTTTTTCTTTTTTTACCTCGCCGCGTTAGAGCAGTTTCTGTGAGGTGATCAATCCGCTCACGCATCCATTGGATAGTCCGATCATGAGATGCCTGCATCTGTTGTAATTTCTGCGTATATTGTCGAAGAGACATGTACGCGTTTTCAACAAAATGAAGTCGACTCTCAAGGTCCTTCACATTGTTCGATTGACGATCGTTCAATGGCTGAGGGTTTGGTCCTGGAGAGCTTGGCGGCCGTGACTGTTGTTGCTGATGATGGGCAGACGCAGTAGGAGATGGGAGTGCAGGTGATGGCATCGCTTGAAAAGAGGGACCAGGAGTAACTGGGTTAGCAGGATGAAGGGGATGCGGGGCATTAACCTTGTTATTAGGGGGTAATGAGGGTGTTGGATGGGGAGAGTCCTTGTGATGAACAATAGGGCCGCCTCCCATGGAGGATAGTCGATCATGTCGATGATGTGGGTCATGATATCCAGGATGAGATGCGTGGTGAGGTTGAGGAGATTCATATGAGGCATGAGCACTCACAGGAGCACTCACAGGAGCACCTGTCGAGTTTCGTTTTGAGGCCACATGGCGATCTTCTCCATCAATAGGGGTGATCTCGCTTGGGTTTCCAAAAGGCGGATTCGCCACCGCATCTCTAGGAGATTCTAGATGCGGATTTTGCCCTCTGGGCGAGTGGCCCGGAGCAACTGGTCCCTCCCCAATAGACCCACGCGGCCTCTGGAGTGGACGCGGCGACATTGGCTGCTGTTGATGTTGATTGTAAGCACCCGCATTGTCAGCAGGTCGGGGTGACCGAGGAGAAGCCTCTTGGTGAGGTCCACTGAGAGGGCTACTACTATGATCGGATGCCCGGCTTTGTAGACTCGCCTTCCGATGGTCAATGATTGATATGCTTTGGTTGCGAGGATATCCTCCCGGTGCTCCACTAGAACGAGGCGATGTCGGCTGAGGTAGTGGTCGTGAAGGGTGTGAATTGTGACCATAGCTGTAAGGACCATCGGACGAGTGGATGCTTGGATATGTATGTGATCGTTGATGAATGTCAGGTCTGTGTGCATCATGTGGTTGATGAGGATAAGGATAGGGTGGGGGTCGATAATCGGATAAGCTTCGAGGCTAAAATTATATTTTGATTTCAAGATGAGAGTCGTGTTATTTATCCACGTATGTCAAGGACATAAAAAAATAAAAATAAAAAAACGTAGTCAAGCAAAACAGTTGAATTGCACTTGTTCTTACCATGTCATCCCGATGCTGTTGTTCTCTAGGATTATGCGTATGGGGAGGATGGCGACTCATATTATGGTGTTGTTGCCCTGGATTGGGTTTGCTTTCAGGACCTCGAGGATGAGTGGGGTTTCCTGGAGGCGGTATTTGGCTACCTTCGCCGCTGTTTGACCTCGACCTATCGTTTCTCTGAAGGAAGTAGCCCTTTCCATGCTCAAACACAACTCGAGATGTTGCTGGGGCAGTGTTCAGCGACCTTGCAGATTTGCGCTTGATATTTTTCCGTAATTGTGGGAAATCGCGCTGGAAGTGAGGATGGTAGAATTGCCACCGCTGTGTTTCGGGGTTCTTACGATTCATATTGGACTCCTCTATTAAACAAAGTAGTAAAGATATAAAAGAATTAGGACCAGACGGATGTAGGGTTTTACCAAGCACAATAATATATGGATATCATGCATCGCTCAGTTTGATGAAAAGCGTTACCTCTATCATATCGGTAAACTATCAGAGTGAAGCATAGAAGAAGCATAAAAAGATGTAGGCAGGAACAACAAAGGCCACAAATAAGGAAAGAAAAAAGTTAGTTTGGAATAAGACGTTTGTGCTAATAGCTAGATAATGATCCAATCATCAACCAATCATTGAGACGACACTTACTCTTATGAAACCCGTACACTAATAGAAATGTATGCGCCGAAGAGAAAAAAAAAAAAAAAAAAAAAAAAAAAACTAGTGTTAGTTTGTTTTTGGAGGGTGGGAGGGACATTGAAAAGGCAATAGCGGATTTTTTTTCCTTCTATATCGCCTCTAATGAGTATTTTCACGCACTATTCAACTGTCGGACAAAACTTTGCCAGTTATTATGCTTGAAAAACTTTGGAAGAACAGTATCAGAGAGCTTGATACAGTTGTAGACATAAAACATATCTCCTTCCTTGGCCCAAGAAATAAGGTGTTGGATAGATTGATCCTCCACCATTCTGTTTAGTTTTAGTAAAGCAAAGAAGAAGAGATGAGAGAGGAAGAAAAAGGAAGTATAATAAATAAACAGGGTTGGTCATTATTTCAAATCTTCCTCCTTCCAACAGGAAACGACCATGTAGGGAAAATAATAATAAAAAGAAATACAAGCAAGTTGTGTTTTACCTAAACAGCTTATCGACAAACATGCTGCGGACTTTGACAGGTTTGCGCGGATCACTAGCGGACAACCCTTGCGAGTCTGAGCCCTCCTCGTTTTTGGCAGAAGAAGAACCATCGTCAGCGTCCCTAGAGCCTGACCCGTCTTCATTCTCTTCGGACTCGTCATCCTCAAGGTTGTCATCATCCGACATGATCTCGTCACGCATATCGTTATCATCCTCTCCTGTGGGACTATCATTCATTGATGGGCTGGTCTTTTCATTACCATTGTTTTCCTCATCGCCTTGTCCGCTTTGTTGGTCTGATCTGCGATAAAGACTTTGTCTTTCATGTGTATGCTCTCCATTCCAAGGATGGCTGTTGTTGTAACCTGATTGATGACGGCGACGGTCATCATCTAAACTACTACTGCTTCGGTTCTGTTGTTGAGACTGATGCTGGCTCTCATTAACGCTACTGTCGTTGTTATGGCTGTATTCGTACAAATTACCCGAGGACTCTTGACGATGATGCTGAGAATGCTGAGGATGCTGGTATTGATGATGCTGTTGTTGATGGTTATCATAGGTGGGGGATATTGATTGGCGACCAAGTTTTGACAAGTCCCTTCTGGACAAGGGATTGTTTTCTGCAGTGTTATTTTCATCCAAGGACGCAGAGAAGGGACGATCATGTGGATCTGATAGCGTGCGATCGTTATCGTAATCTTGATTGCGACGAAGATGGCGTTTAACATTGTCAGATGCAGCATTGTCGCTTTGTGAAACAGTTGAGACGGTCATGGTGGTGAGGGGTGGCGTTGGTATCGATGAAATCGTAGAGTCAGGTGTGGCGATAACGCACGTCGGTGACGCGGTGGCGACGGCCGCGAGTGTAGCAAGGTTTAGAGAAAAGGTTCGCGTGTCGCTTGCAACGGGGGTGGAAGTGGACGAGGGTAAGGAGACCTCAGGTGGCTCGTCAGACTGTGGCTGGGGCCAGGACGTTGGCGAAGAGACTGAAGGCGATGGGAGTGGGGGAAAAGACGAAGGATTACTATCGAGCGCGTGATCCATAAAAAGGAATGGCGGGCAGAAAAGAAAGTGAGCAGAGTGAAGCGATCCGTGCGTGTGTGCTATTTGATTGATATTTGAATATGATTTTTTAAATATGAATTGGAAGTGAAATGAATTGATTGAATTGGGATGAATAGAAATTGAGTTGGCACGTTAGTATGATTAAGGGCACGAAATAGTACAGGCATGAACAGACAGAAATGCATGGTATGGAATTGTGGAATGGAGGGAAGAAAGATAGGAGGAACACAACAATGTGGTTTGTCATCCGATAAATAAAAAAAAAATAAAAAAAATAAAAAAAAGAGTGAACGGAAACCCTTTCTACGCCCCAATTTTTCATTATACCCGCGCACTCGCTCTTACTCACGCGCCCATGCAGTCAATATTTTTTTTGTTTCTTTTCCTTGCACATTTTTTTTAGTTCTTTGCACTCCCATCACAAATTTGATGGAAAAAAGAAAAAGAAAGAAATGAAATGAGATGAAATGAAATAGCAATAAACACCGGGAACACACAGATACACAAACACACGCGCACGAAATTAGAAAAAAAGTTATACATTAAAAGATAATGGTTATACGACATAATAAGAAAAACAAGCACCTGATTGCTGAAAAAGTTTCTTTTTCTGGGCATCTGGGCATGTGGGCATGTGCTTGAAAGTGAAACCTGGCCCAAGCAGAGACACACAACAATGCAACACCGACTGAAAATGCATGGTAAAAATAACATTATTTCAGGTACCAAAAACTCAATGTGTCACTCTTTTTTCTTTTTTGCATTACATCTCTGTTAGCAAGTGTGGAATGGACAAAGAGCCAAAGATCGGATACGTGAATGACTGGATGCTTAGGAAAAAGGATATAAATAATTATGAAGAGCAACCAGAATAGCTATTAACCATAGCAGGTATAGATGCAAATAGCTCTCATTCATTCATTCATTCATTCATTCAAGTATGTGTATACAGTAAATAATAAACCGATGTGTTTGTGGAAAAAAAAAAGAGCACTGCCTGAAAGAGTAATATGAATGTCTGAGGGTAATGGTGGGATGCTGCTTTTTATGAGCTCACAATATGGTTGTGTGACAAGAGGAAAACGGCAGAGAAAAAAGGGTTTTCCTGAGCCAAGTGGGTCATAGCAGTGCATCAAGCATCGACTCGGAAGTTGGTCATGCACATATTGCATTTTGTGGCACATTCATTGCAATTGCAGTTACAATTACAATTGAATAGATTGGCGGGGAACATGAGCAAAAAGTCGTAAACAAATAAAGCAAGTGCATGTAATCTCCCCCACTCCCCACAATCCTTTATCCATTTTTTCATTTTTTGGCTGGTGTCACTTCTTTGAGACAGAATGTGTGTGAATGTATGGATGTATCTCTGTGTCTGTATGAGGAAACGAGACATTCATTACATACACATGCACAACATAAATAAGGTGATCGAACGATCAGACCAAGGTGTATATAAAGAGTTTGATGGGCTGAACGGAAGAAAAGAAGAGCAAGTACCTTTTTGGAAAAGTAAAAAAGAAAAAGGAAAAATAATAATAATAAAAAAAGACCTTTCAAAAATTGAGGCTAGAGGGTCAGAGATAGAAGAACTAAACTTTGACAGAGAAATTAGAGAACCAACCCAAAAGAAGCAAAGAACCAGAGAAGAACAGAAAAAAGAGCAAGTGGAGGAAGATGAAACTGTAAAAAGAGAGATCTCAAAAAAAAAAGAGAGAGGCCGCGATTTGCATCGATGAAAACAAATCGGCAGGTCTTTCTAAATAATAAACAATACAGTTATATAATATCTAATTATAATAGCTAATCGCATCAGTATGAAGGAAATAGAAAACATTAAAAAAAAACACGCTTAAAGTTGGCTTTCCTTCTCGGGAATGAATAGAATTGGTACAGGGAACAGAAGCTGAATCAAACGACATACGATAGGGCCTCTTTCTGTAAAAAAAAACTTTTTCTTCGTTTTACTTTCCCAAAGCTTCCCTGGTACCTTTGTCCGTGACAGTTGGTTCAGTTCATGGTCTGTTTGTTTGTTTTTTTTAGTTTTTTTTTTTTTTTTGCTCTTTTGTTTTTGTTTGTATTGTGGTGGTAGCGGTGTTGACTCTTTGACTCTTATGACGCTGTGGGGCACTTTGGCGTGCATGAAGGCACTCAGCGTCCACAAAAAAACTACCTTTTTCTTTTTCAATGAAATGCAAAAAGCGATTGAATGGGGGGGAATAAGGGGGTATGAACTGCGAAGATGATCATGGTCAATGAGATGCTCCAAATAAAATAATAATAATATATATAATAGTAATAAATGCAACGATAAACAAAAGATGAAAAAGAATTGTAACAAGCACTAAAATGTAGGGAAAATCCAGAAGACGATTGTGGTGGTGGTCTTGTTTTTTCTCAAAACAGAAACACTCTTACTCATTTTCAATCAATGATATCCTTAACCCCCCAGTCTCATAAAACCATACTTCCTGTTCAACTCTAGGCTGTCCCACACTTGGTTGCCCAATGCGATCTTGTAGGATAAACATTGATAGGCAGATTATGCGAAAGGATAAAATATCAAGAGTCTGCATTTGATTGATGCAAATGATTTTTCTTTACCTTGGCTACTTCACAATGTTTGGTCGGAAAGAAGATTGAGCGAGAATAATGATGAATGGACAAATGGACTTTTTTTTTTTTTTTTTTTTTTCTAAGATGGAAGGCAATATGCATTAAAGGTAAAAAGATTATATAATGTCAGATGAAGATGGTAAGGTCCACAATTATTGGTTCCAAATAAACATGTCCAAATAAAATAAATAACCGCACAAGATCCCACCAGTGGATCTGACGATGTGGTGTGATGCAGATTATTGCTGACTTGGAGAAGAAAGGGGAGAGAATGAATGCAAACTGCACGAGAAACAACAACAAAAAAAAAGGAACGATGGAAGCGATTAAGCATCCAATGAAAATGAAACAGTAAAAAAGAGGCATAAAAGGGCGGGAGAGATGCATGCAATGCACGACGAGTCCAAGTATGACCGAGCGATCACACACACACACACGCACATGCAGTTCAAATGCTACGAGGTCTTCTGCCGTAGTTGCAGGAAGGAAGGTGGGAAGGGAGAAAGATCACACACACAGGAGGGAACAAAGAAATATAGTTGTCACTAGTTTGGAGTTCATTGAGCCCTTTTTTAATATTTTTGCCAATGTCGTTGTTATTGTTGACATAGTCGATCATGGTCGCGACCTCTGCGAGTGAAAAGTGCATGTGTCGAGACCAAATTCCAGTCGACGTGATCGAGTAATGTATAAATGAGATGGACCATGTTGGATTGGCATATGCCCATTCAATTGAGTAACGAGTGCTCTTTAATATTTTGTGCTTTGGGCAGTGCGATGGAGAACAACGAATGGGGGAGAATAAGATGTACGAAAGAAGGAGGGACGTGCAACAACACAGACAGGCATGATAGGGGTGTTTCTGTGTATGATGTGGATGATGGAAGACGCTTTTTTTTTTTTTTTTTTTTTGGCGGGTAAATACCAAATGTAATAGAATACATCAAATTGAAAAATCACAAAAACATCGTGAATTTAAACAAGGATAAAACATGATCCCCTGGATAAGCATGGAAGGACTGGCTTCGACGGTATTTACAGTTAAAGTTAACTAGCCTACCTTACTCTTTACTTGAAGAACAATCGAGACAGTGTTCAAAAGTCTCAATAGTGTGATGACGGGGGCCTTGATGAGGTATGAGGTCCAAAGCACGGGATTAACGCGACTGCATACAAAATTTGGATCACGGATGGAAATGGGGTCAATAATTAAATAAAAAAAAAATATAAAATTAAAATTATAAGTTTATGAAATAAATAATTGTGAATGAACGATTGAATAAATGAGTAAAGGATGAAAGAATGTAAATGAGAAGGGTGAATGTGTGAATCCCGATCGTGAATGGACTAATCAACGTCGAGGACCAAGTGAGGACGAGTTATAAGAGTGTAAGTATTTGATCCGCTGCAGTGATTGCTAGCAAGTTGTGCTGGACAAGCAAGTGATTGTACACGGTATTTGTTGCAGACAAGAGATTAGAAAAAAAAAAAAAAAAAAAAAAAAAGTAGGAATTTACTTGAGGTAGTGCCAGTGACGAAGAATAGAATGAACAATAAAAAGAAGGGGGGGGGGGGAGAGGAAGGGAAAGAAAGGAGAGAGAAATAAGGAAAGAGTAAAAGAAAAGAAAGGTGGAAAGATAGAGCAGGGGAGAGAAAGAGGGAATAGAAAGATGGGAGCAAGAAAGAGAACAAAAAGAAGGAAAGAAGGAATACCAAACAGAAAAAAAGAAAAGAAAAAGCGCTGTTGGGAACAACGCTCCGACCAGAAGAGGGACGCGGACTCTGTGGGGAACACTGCAAACCATATCTACATCCTGCTCGGGCTTTCATCACCAGCTCGTTGCTGCTTCGCTATTTGCTTCCCGAATTGATGACAGAGCCAAGAGCATCGATGATGATAAAGGTCGAACAAATAAACCAAATGAAAACGAAGGTTCATTATACAAAAATTATGATTATGATATAAAATATTGAATAAATAAAATAAAATAAAACAAAGTAAGTAATAACATTTTTACATTAATAGGTAAAATAAAGTATTTCAAAAGTAAAGAAAAATTGCCGGTTCGAAAGGAGAGAGGATGGAACAACAGCAAATAACTATGCTCTTTTTTTGCGCAGGGTGACAAAACGGCTCTTGGCACGAGATGCTTGATCTACCAATGCACCCTGTTTGTTTGAATAGGCTGAATAGCTCTTCTTATGAGAAAAGAAAAGAGAGATGTAACTTCGTTTACGGTTCATCAGGATGGTGCGACGTGAGGTCCTATTAAACATATTAAACATTCAATGAAGGTAAATGATGTACGACCTTTTTTTTTTTTTTTTTTTTTTTTTTTTTTTTTCGCCCTTTGTTCATTTTTTGCCCATCGTGCGCCTGTGCGTGTCAATTATCATATCCGGCTCTCAGCTCAGCTGTGTGGGTGAAGGAAAAGGGCTCGCTGCTTCATTATGTCAACCAAACAAGGGATGAGTTACGGACCTTGGCCGGCCTTATTTGAAGCAGGGTATAAAAGCGAACTGATTTTTTATTTTTTATCGACCTTTTTGAATTCGTCCATGCCAACAATCTCTCCATTTGCTCCGCTCGTGACCTTTCACTCTCAAGCTTTGCTCAGATAACACTGAGAATCAAACAAACATTAAGATGCACAAGAAAAAAAAAGGCGGGACTCTTTTTTTTCTTCTGTTGTTGCGCGGTAGAAGGCATAAGGGCAAGGTAAACAGAGAGACCTGCATGGTACTCATTAATAACGTTAAAATACATTCATTTGTTTATTGCTCTTTCTTCATCGAGTAAATTGAGTAGATCGTCCAATTCAATTTGGAGAACCTGTCATAGTCCTATCATGGGCCCTCGGTGATTTGCCAACAAACATCGAAGAAAAGAAAAACTTTCTTATTCTATCCATAACCATCGAAAGATGGCCAAACAAAGAAGAAAAAAAAGAGCTACCTTGTCTCGCTATCCTCCCGTTTTTCTTGTTTTGTTCTCCGGCCCCGGTGATTATTACATTATTTTCGAATAAAATGCACCTCCTTTGTTTATAAGATTTAGACGACAAGTAAACCAAAAACATAAACCAAATGCCCAACAATACCTTTTATAATCTTCTTTCGCTTAATCTGCGTGTAAAATGTGAATGCATTTGTGCGTATTGTTTATGCAATGCATGTACATGTAGTTATTTACTCAAAAAAAAAAAAAAAAAAAAAAAAAACCTTCGTATATGACTCGGCTACATAGACTTCATTCTCTTGCGTTGCCATTCCGTGTGATTGACTTTCACGGACGGTATAGTATTATTAAATAGCACTGTAAATATAGTATAGAATATTGGAAGAATATAAATTGGATTCATTTAGAACAACGGACTGTTGTTGTAGGAACTTTCATTGGTCATGACTAAATGTTTTACGACAGAAAGCGTATCGCAAAAATATTTATACATGTATGCATCAACGTTCCTGAACTCAAGCTCCTTGTTCATTCATTAGCCCTTAGTTTGTTTTTTTTTGCTTTTTTTTCTCACAATCTCTTTAACATTTCCCCCAAACCAGCTCCAAAAGATCATGTATCCTTGTCATCGTATCTATAGTGCGCTTGGTTGTCGATGCCGATGCTCATGCTCACCTCGCATCCTTCTCCTCTCTCTTCCCCCTCATTATATATATGGGCTTTATTTTTTTTTTTTTTACTTTTTTATTTTTTTATACTAGTCTACTATTCTCACTCCCATTTTTTTTATTTTATTTTTTATGGTCATGCAGACTTCACTTTAGCAAGCATTGCTTTTGGTAAGCGAGTCCATGTGCATTCCCTCCTTTTCGATCTCCCTGCTTTCTTTTTTCCTTTTTTCCTTAACCATAACCTGCGGCATTTAGGAAGATCTCAAAAGGCTTTGAATGACCATTGCTACTAAATGTTCCTATCACACAGATTCACCCAGAATTCATACTAAAATAACTTATTTTTTTTTTTTACTCCGCTGGCCGTTACTATGATTCATGCCTATCTTAGTTTTTTTGCAACCACCCCGCATCATATCACATTACATTACATCTGTCATATACTGCATTCTGTATTCTGTATTCTGTATTCTGTATATTTTTGCCAGCAAGGATCGGTTCCTCGTATCAATTGTATTATATTCTAGAGGAGAAAAGGGATGGGGTTCACCAGTTTAGCTGCGGTAGGTTTATGAAAGACAAGATAAGATGCTTCCCAACATTGAAATTCATCTGTTCATTCATTCTTTAACATGTTCATACACTACGATACTGCACTGTCTGCTCACTAATGAAACGCCACAAATAATGATTATATAAAAAAGAATTGTTTTTGTTAATGTGTTAATTTGAATAAATGAGCTGCAAAATGACTCTTTTTTTTTTTTTTTATTTTTTTTTTTACATTTTTCAAAGACATTGTGTTAATTATTATTATATATATACATGTACTTTCTTTATTTCTTTGTACGCCCAAGAAATGAAATGGACCCTTGCTCATTGTGTGTTAAATCCTTTTATATAATAATATTATTATATAATATATACTATTATTGCTATTATTGCTATTATATATATATCAATGTGTTGTTATTATTTTTCACGGGATAGGATGGATGGGTGGGGGACAAGTGCTCCTGTAATATTGTCGTTATTAACAGGTATTGGGGGTGGACCCCCCCCGAAATTTCCAAAATGCACTGGTTATTCAATGAATAATATTATAATATATACATGAACATATAATTTTATTGTCATAACCATTTACCACACGACCATAATCACACTCTCATCCACATTCAAACATGGATTTTTTTTTTTTTACTCCTGTGTGAAGAAGGATTTCTATTTGATTATTCATCCCTCTTTCTATCTTCCTCCTCCTCTTCTCCTTCACTCCAACCTATCTAATCTATTTGCTCGTTGTTTGTTTCCCTTTTTTTCTTTTTTCTTTTTTCTTTCTCTTTAAGGAAGTGAAGAGGTTTAATTTGATTGTGACTCCTCAAGACGGCGTGTTGGTAATGGATGCGGAATAGATCAGCAATTGTCTTTTTATTATTACATGTATATATATAATATTATATCATTTATATACAATGTCTTGTACGACAATGCTCGGTAATCAAGCCTTGACCTGACTTTTTGGAAGTTTGAACGGAAAAAGGAGAAAAGAAATTGACCAAAAAAAGGAGAGTATATATATATATACATGTATACAGTATCTAACGCAGAGAGGAAGAACACATGAAAGAGCAAAGACAAAGTTAGGTAGTGCAGCACAGACTATCATTTTACTTTTTTTTTTTTTTTTTTTTTTTTACGTTTTTCATACTCAGAAAGGGGTTAACCACATTTTTTGTGCCGTTTTATTGTTAGGCCAGAATCTTGATTATACATTATTCATACAAGATGGGACTAGGAACAAAGGAGGTGATTTTCTTTATCTCCTTTTCTTTCGGGGATCGGAATGTCGTACATTTGACTTGAATCTTTTAATCATAATCGTATCATCTCTGTCGATATGGAGGGGGGTTTTTTTTTTTTGCAATTGTTCTGTAAACATTTACTCGATATTATCAACAAATATATATAAAATAACATCGATCCTATGAAGAACGCTTTTGTTGTTATTGTTATCGTTATTTTTATTTTATTTTTTCTTTTATCAGTAAATCTTTTTTCGTATCGATTATTAACTTCTTGATCCTGAAATGATTAATTATTAAAAAAAAAAAAAAAAAAAAAGCAAAGTTATAAAAAGAAAAAGTAAAAAGAGCAAGAAAAGTAAAAGGTAAAAAAGAAGAAAAAAAAGAAAGAAAATAAGTAAGGTTCACTAGTGTTCTGCAAAAGAAATACGGAAAAAAGAAAAAAGGAAAAAAAAAAAAACAAAGCAGAAGAGATGCATTTTACTTTTGGTTTATTGTTGTACAATATGAATGTGGTGTTATATTCTTCCCATGACGCTGTCTGTGGTTACAAATCCAAAGAACATTCGACTGAGTGCTCTTGTTCGCCCTCCTCCTCTTGCTCTCACTTTTCCTTCTTTGCAATCGATCTTTTTTTTTCTTTTTTTTTTTTTTTTTTGAACTTACTGTGTATAAACTGACCTATAATAAACTAAATGTCAACTGTTCTTGTTTTTCATTACACAAAACAACTTTGTTTGCAATGCTAGAGTCAGAAAAAAAAAAAGTAATAATAAAGCCGTAACATCTGCAGCCTAGATCTTCATGTTATCATAGACGGTAACTATCGATCTATGCATTCCAATCCATCGATCAATCGTGCCTGTCAATGATCAACGATATGAATTGGCTCTCTCTCTTTTTTTTTTTTTTTTTTTTTTTTTTTTTTTTTTTTACTGTCTGTGAGACCAGGATATTTCAGAGGTAATGCTCGCCTTACATGAAGCAAAAAAAGAAAAAAAAAAAATACTTATTTATTTCTTTTGAATATTTGCATATGACGCTTTAAAGTTTGTTTCTTTTACAAATAGATAAAGTCGGAAAAGAAAGAAAAAAAGATAAAAAGAAAGAATATGTATTGTTCACGTTGTCAACTTAAATTGTACTTTGCTTACCACAGGACAACTACCCATCTGATTTTATCAAAAAGATCGGTGTCTGGTTATGTATTGCAATAAGAAATAAAAAAACCACAAATCTTCCTCAATGGCATCTTTTATTTTTTTCCTTCCATTGCTCTTGTACGATACTTATACTTCATGAATACTAAAACGCTTTGTACAATGTGTTTTTTGTTTTGATTTTACTACAGTAATCCTTGCAGACGTCTATCACGCATCGTTGTGAAATCTGTCCAATCAAACGCGTCCATTTGATACGACCATAACGTGGTAAAACATGGCAAATACCAATTTTGTTATCTCTCCCCCCTCTTCCCTCAATCTCTTCTTTCGCGTCTTGGATCGCAAATTCGTTCTATCATGTCAAGATCGTACTAACTGATAGATAAAGAAAGGAAATTCATTCTAGTCAAAAGTAATAAAAAGAGCAGATTTGAAAATCGAGGGATGAGGAAGATGAGGAATCGTCAGAGCAAGAAGATTTATACTGAGCAAATAAGTACCTTTTCTTTTCTTTTCTTTTCTTTTCTTTTCTTTTCTTTTCTTTTCTTTTTTGCTCATGAGTTTTTTTTTAAAAAAAAAAAAAAAAGATTATGATTTATATATATAGTATCTCTATAGCACGACAGAGCGGTCTCTTTCTTCTTTTATTAGTAGTTGTGACATGACACATCATTATCATTATCATCATGATGAGCACATTGAGAGGAAGTTCTGGAACTTTTTTTTTTTTTTTTTTTTTTTTCGACCTTTCAAGTTTGTATGGACCCTGTAACAGCTTCTAAACATCAAGCACAAGAATGAGTCGATGTACGCCATAGACTCTTCTTTCTTCCTTCCCATCTCGTTGGATTATGGATTATGGACATATAGGTGTGAATGGATGTGTGCGTGTGTATGTGTAAATGCATGAATGTGAGAGACCTTTTCCAACATTTCCATGCACAATTGCACATGGTGGCGTATTCAAGCGAGAGGTTCAAGGCACAGCGATTCAAAAAGCATATTTGACAGCATTGCACCATTGGACACAATACATTTTATTTGGCTCTTCACCTCTTTCCCTTCTTTCCCCCCTCACCTTTCTTTTGTCTCACTTTCCCAGTAAAACACGAAAAAAAAAAAAAATTCATCCATCCCATCACAACTAATCCTCATCCTTATCCTCATTCTCAGCTTCATCCTCCTTCCTTCCTTCCTTTCTTCACAACTTTTTCTGTTTCTTCCACCTTATTTTTTTATTTTTTTTTTTTAATAATAATAAAAAAACAGTAATTTCATTAATAAAAAAGCCTCACATTGTTTTTTTTTCCACGATGGCTACAGTACACAAAGTAAAGAGATATTCTAGTTTATCCTCTTGAATATACTACAGGACCAGGACGACTATGACTAGGATTAGAACCAGGAACAGAATCAGGAAAACCGGGAACGCACATAGCACAGCCATATAACTCCCACATTCGTTCGCGTTACTTCACCTTCCTCCTTTTCCCTTTCCAAGGTGCAGCAGTTTGAGATTGTTGGTATCGAAGTGGAGCACAACAGCAATACCAACAACAGCTGAACAACTTGGCAGTTACAATCGTAATTTTTTGAATTGTTCATTCATTCATTCATTAACCTTTTTTTTTTTTTTTTTTTTTTTTTTGACGTGTGTTTATAATAGGGACGAGAGTCATTGACACAATCAGAAACAGCTAGACTGTCAACATTTCTTTCGGAATGTCTACTTGTAGGAACTCTAAAGGTACAACTTTTTTTTTTTTTTTTTTTTTTTTTTATAAAAAAAAACCCCCCAAATTTAGAACCGACGCCAGAACCACAAAATAAAAAGAAAGAAAGAAACAGGAGGAACAGGAGGGACAGGAGGGACAGGAGGAGCAGGAGGAACAAGAGCAGGACCCAGGGGCCAGGACACAGCCGGATATAGTCGGAAGATCATAAAAAGCCTGGGCCTGGCACTTGCATTGCATGTGTACATTTCGGCATATCTTGTGAACTCATAATTTTTTTTTTTTTTTTAATGTAATGGTCATGGATTACCACGTTGACTCATGAACACTCAACAGCAGCGACAGGAGCGACAGCAACAACAGCAACAACAGCAACAACAACAACAACAAAAAAAAAAAAAAAAAAAAAAAAAAAAAGCCGGTGAATGCGTCACGAAGATAATTAAATGCAAAGTAAAGCCAAAAAAGAATGAAAAGAAGGAACAAGGAGCATGCGACCCATTGGCGATTTTTTTTTTTAAAAAAAGCATATTCTAATTTGCGTGGCGCCATGCTATATTTCACTTTAATAAATGGGAATGGTCTTTGTTTTCCGTCATATGCATAGGGATTTTACTATTTTGAAGTATATCTGCGTGGACGTGAGGAACTTCTCCTTCATGTTTATAACGATATCAAACCCCCTTCCAATGGCTCCATCACTCAACCCAATTCTATGTCTCTTGCAAAATCAAGGTAAAGGAGGAGATATTTCCTCGTTTGATGCACCACCGGATCAAAAATCACTCATACATTTATACACACACAAAAAAGAAAAAATCATGCGTGTGATGATGATGCCTTTTTATCCGGTCTAGGCTAACACTTGACCCAATGTTGACATGATTTGTCTTGCCAAATCAATAGGCCAACCAACATCTTATCCACAAGGACATTGCGTTCGTACGTCATTTTCATCCATCTTTATTTGTTTTAGCCACGTGGATTGGAGAAGCTTAATCTTTTTTTTTTTTTTTTTTTTTTTGACTCATGCATGAAAAATGGTTTTTTTTTGTAGACTGAAACTCAGCACTCCAAGACCGACCCCACCACCACTCAGCCCAATTGATTCCGAGCTCGAGAAGGATGAGTCGCGTGCAACGTTTCTCATTGCAGGTTATCCTCGGTATAAGTGTCCTTATGTCTGGGTAAGTCTTTTTGTTTTTGTTTTGTTCTTGCTATCACTTTCCTCTTTATTCCTCCTATTTCCCCACTCTTGCAGAATATTAGTAACAATAAACATCACCATAGAGGATTAATCATCATCAATACACCTTTATTTTCAAATATTTTGCATAAACTCAAAGCTTCGATCGGATCATAAGCGACTCCTTCAGACAAACAGCGACCAGAAAGTGGAGGCGAACGATCCATTGAAACTTACAACAATCTCAGCATGGCGCACTGATGGTATGTGTAATAAAGTATAAGCTAATCTTGGAGATCGAGATATATCGTATCACAAATAGCTAAAGGCTTTCTGTCTCCCCTAAATATCCAATCCCCTCCCCCCCCTTTTTTTTTTTTTTATTTTTATTTTTTATTTTTTATTTTTTATTTGATAGATGTGAGGCTTTGGGATATTATGGCAGAAATTATTGAACTAACAGTGCCACTTTCGCCTATCAATCCGTTCCGGATCAACATTGCATACTTTGATACACTGCCTCTGGAGGAGTGCGTAGTCGCAACAGGAGCCATGATGGAATTTCTGCAGCGGGTGTACATGAAAGATACACCGTATACTGATGCAGGTACGTGATAGATTGCTTATAACACCCGTTATTTTATTTTATTTTATTTTTACAGAACCATTAAGACAACGAGCTTAAAGGAAGGAAAAATAAAAAAAAGTCTGACCAATTTTTTTTTTTTTTTTTTACTTCTTTTTATTACACCGATATCAGTTTATGCGGATATTAAGCATTTACAAAAACTGCATTTTGCTCTATACGATGAGCTTCATTCATTCCTCACAGAGCGTCAGGCAGCACAAGCTGGCGCAGGCGGTGGCTTTGGAAACGGGCAGGTAGCAGTGGAAGCAGCAATGAATTAGAAGAGTAGGAAAGAAAAAAGAAAGGAAAAATACAGAGTTAAAGGAATATTTATAGAGAGAGATAGAGAGAGGAAAAACGGATTATGTAAATCAGCTTTTTGTGGTAGAACATGACAGGGAATATCTCCCCTTTTCTAAATACTTTCTTTTTTTTTTTTTTTTTTTTTTTTTTTCAATCTTCATCTTTTCCTATGGTCCATACTCTATATTATTCTTCGCTGTCCTCTCCGATCCTGTCCGATTTACAAAAACCTGTATAATATACCATCCTTAAGACAATAAAATAAAATAAAATAATATAAAAAACGAAGCTAAAGTGAGTAGCATGATCATTTGATCCGCTTTATTTATTATAAAAGTAAAAAATATACTGTATTTATATTCTACATTTTTTTTTTTTTTTTTTTTTTTTACATTCCTGCATCATTATACAGTTTTCGAAGATCGTCTGTACCACATCGCATCAAGGTCACTGGACACCGTCCATGGTCTTCGACTTGTTTGTAGGCGCAAGGGTAGCAATACACATAACCTGAAGATAAAGCCGTGGGGTTCGTAATACTCTTCAAGCAAATCGGACAAATCTTGGGTTCTCTTGGAAGTGGGATGCCATCAGGATGAGGTTTGATCCGGTCAGGCGGAGGAACCTCTGCAGAGTCACCTGCAGCGGAGGCCTTTCGATAGTAATCCGATTGGTACCACCATTCCAAGAACTTGAAAAAGAAAATCGACATTGGTAAAAGAACCTTGAGGAAATCAAGTGATCCGGATAGTATACCAAGAACACTGTTCTGAATAGTTTCTGGCCATGAGCTTGAAGGTCTCCTAGGTGCACTCTTTGCCTTTTGTTGGATCTGGCGCTATATATTATTATATATCATTGGCATATCACATGATGTTAAACAAAACAGACATCGGCTCATCATTGCGATCATTAAAGGCAAGAAGGAGAAAAGAAAATAAAAAAGTAATGGACATCTTACATAATCAGCGGCGCTCATGCGTTTGACTTCAATTCCAATAAGACGAAGCCATGGAGAATAGAATGGTGTTTTGTTATACAGGTATCCAATGTAATGAACGAGGATTGATAGTTGATACAGGGCATTCACATATGGATATCCCTTCTTGAAGATCTTTATTGCCATTGCCTTTGATCTCACTGCCAATGATTGCTGTAAAAAAAAAAAAAAAAAAAAAAAAAAAAAACGAAAAAGAAAAAGAAAGAAAGACCATAGTTTTAGTATAGGATGTGATTAACAGCCTTAAAATGGTTACACTTTGCTTGGTCTTTTGTCTTCTTTGTCTTTTTTTCCTTTACCCCAGTTAAATCTTCCTCTTCCTGAACAAACTCATCGCCAAACAATCTGGCTGCTTCGCCTCCAGAGATCTTTTCATAATACTCGTCAAGTTTACACTTGACATATGGTAAGCCGATCTAATGGGATGGTTAAATAAAGATAGGTTAGCAGGATATAGCTTGAATGATATCTCTTTTAGTGGGCAAATGAAGAAATATATAACATATATATATGTATTTACCAAAAAGAAGAGCGACTTCCGAATGTCTTTTTCTCGTAATTTGTTTGATCCAAGTAGGGTTTGTGCCATTGCTGCAGGTGCGGCCGCCGACGCTGTTGCTGCTGTTGCAACTGAATCATCATCAATGTTAACTTTAGGGTGCTTCACTGGTCGAGGGGCTCTGACCCGTTTAAGTCCATAAAAGTTTTCAGCAAAGGATGCACCATATTCTCGAAGATAATGTCTTTCAACAAAAAACATCAGAACAGCATAAAACTCTTCATATCGATTGACGATCCGGATCAAATATCGAGGGTATCTTTGCGCATAGACCTTATAACATGGAGATAATATATATAAGTTTTTTTTTTTTTTTTTTTTTTTTAATTCAACAAACAGATCAACCCATCTTTTGCATGTATTGTATAATGATAATGATAATAACAACATGAACTATCATTGTATCCGTGTATCTTCTCTTTTGCTTAAACTCACAGCAATGACATAGCGCAAGGCCGGCTCAAGCATCTCCCGCATCTTGTCCTGAGCAATCAGTTCAAATAACGAAGGTCGGTCGGCCTGTGACCCTCCACCTAAGTTCGACATGAACTCCATATTGATAAAATAGCTGGTTTGTCACTTTGAATTATTGTGTTGTTGTCACTGGTTTCCTGTCAAAATAAAGGAAAAAAATAAAATAAAATAAAATAGAATAAAACAAAAAGAGTAAAAAAAAAAAAAAAAGGAGAAGGCTTATTTTTGGTCCTTTGATTTTAAAGTGAATGGGATTGTAAATAGTAATTGGAAAAAGAAGAAAGACATGTCTGTTCATTTTACTTGTATGAAGCTTTCTTCTTTTTCGGCTGGGGACAATTGTTCAAAGCCGTTTAGATGCGGCGAAATGTGACTTGTATCATGGTCTGAAGAGACTTAAGGGGAGTAAAACTTAATACACCTTGCAAAAAACCGATCATGTTTTTTTTTTTGAGCCATCTCCATCCCAGACACAGGACACACACACACATACCAAAAAGACAAAGCAAGAACACATAAACCATGTCAAGCAGTGGAAGCAGTAGTAGCGCAGCGGCAAGCAAGCGCCCAAGTGATCAGGAGCTCACTCAGACCTATAACACCATGAAGTCGGAACTCAATCAGTTAGCACAGAAGATTGGAGAGCTTGAGACCGAGTCTGATGAACACACGTAAATAGATTTTTTTTTTTTTATGCTTTCGGGATTCAACTTGCAACTTTAAAGAAAGAGATACAGAAGAATTTACAAAAACAAATATGTATAGGCTCGTTGTCGATACCATCTCACCCTTGGACCCAGACAGGAAATGTTTCCGTTTGGTTGGAGGTGTCCTCGTAGAACGTACTGTCAAGGAAGTTTTACCGGCACTCAAGACAAACCAAGAAGGCGTACGTGTTTTATTTTATTTTATTTTATTTTATTTTATTTTTATTTTTTTATACACGAGTATTTTATATTTATTTATTTATTTATTAATCTACTCAATTTTTTTTTTCTTCTTTTTATTTCTCTCCCAAACAGATCAAGACTGTTACGATGCAGTTGGTTCAAAAATACAAGGCCAAGGAAGATGAGTTTATGGCATTCCAAAAGAAATACAATATCCAGGTTAAGCAATAATGATAAATGTGTCCATAAATAAAACGAAAAGTTTATACATTTATATTTCCTACAATGCCGTGCTAGTTTGGATCGGATCAAATTAATTGACTCCCAAAAAGAAAAATCTTCGTTCTGTGAGTTCTATGATCACGTTTGAACGAAAAAAAAAAAAAAAAAAAAAAAAAAAAAGTCTGTGCAGCGAAAACCTTTTTCCCTCCTCTACTCCTTTTGAATCAAATCGTGCAAAAAGAGACAATTCTCATTCCTTTACTTTCCTTCTTGTCATCTTGTTCTCTTCTTCTTCTCTCTCTCTTTTCCTCTCTCTCTTTCTCCTTCTTTCTTTCTCACTTTTCCCATTGGTATTCATACGAAAAAAAAAAAAAAAAAAAAAAAAAAAAGAAAGAGAGTGACTCTATTCAGGAACCGACCAACCAACTCAACTGTTTTATTTATTTCTGTAAAAAAAGATCCATGGTTGTACTCAATGTCAAATGGGCCCGTGAGAAAAAGTCGTTTACTTTTTCTGATAGAGCATTAGCAGATGTCAAACTAGGAGAGCTCCGTCAACAATGTCATGAATGGACAAAGGTCCCCATTGGAGGTATCACCTTGATCTACTCCGGTGCTACCATGAAGGACGACAATGCGCCCTTGTCCTGCTTTGGTATCAAACCTAACGGACAAATCACCATGATGGGTACAAAGCCCTCGGTAAGGAACATCATCTTTATCACTATTATTTATTATTATTGTTATTATTATTATTATTATCACCATCATAATAATAATAATTAAAAATGAATCAAGTGATAAAACAAATTTAATCTGACATATTACTGTTATTATTTATTAATCTATTAATTTATTTCAAGAAAACCGACATCCGCACATTGACAACGACAGGCAATCCAGAAGAATATGCAATCATTGTCAAGATCCAAACTTCTTTGAAAAAGGCCACTGACCTTGCTGCTGAACACATTCCTCGATATGAGCAGGCTGTTCAAGATTATATTCAATCCAATCAATCCAATCAATCTAGTGGAAAAAACCCTCGTGTTGATCTAAATCATCCAGAGACTTTATCACCAGCTCGCAAAGCCCTTCAAGACGCCTATGTCCTCTTGTCTGAATCCTTACTTCAAGCTCTCCTAGTCTTCGATGGTGTCGTCTGTCAACAAGGCTTTGAAGTCGCCCGTGGTACCAGACGAGAGGCCGTCAAAGAAACTCAGAGACTATTGGATATCATTGATGATCTCAACGCCAGGGTCCAATCTTGTGATGATCAGGCTGCTCTCGCCGTCGAGAATCCATAAATAATAATAATAACATTCAATATTTGAATTGCTTTTTTTTTTTATTATTATTATTCTGAACACGGTATGATAATTAGTGGAAGAGAGGAAATGAAAACAAACAAACAAGTAAACAAGAAAAATAAGAAAACAATGAAAAGGCAAGGATGTTCACAATATATTGGGTAAAAAAAAAAAAAAAAAAAAAAAAAAAGAAAAAAAAACGACAAGAAACAGACTCGACAGAAATAGTAATTGAAGGATAAGTATCGTACAATAAAAAAAATAAAAATAAAAGAAAAATAAAAATGCTTCAGCTGTATTTCAGGAAAAGGTTTTTTTTTTTTTTTTTTTTTTTTTTTTTAGTGATCCCAGCCTCTGACCATATGATGCTGTCCAGAACGATCCAAAGGTACATCAGCAATGAATGGAAGCGCCGAGGGCGATAACGTCGAGCTAATACGACCTTCAGCATGTCCATCATATGAGACACCACTGGAGGTATGGCCATTAACAGGAGACTGTTGAGAGGCATCGATGTTGTTGTTGAGGCTACTGCTGGTATGGGTATGATGGGTATTGAACGAATTACCGCTTTGACTAATGGTTCCACCACCGATGATGCCGCCAAGGCCACTAGAAAACAGGTCTCGCTCGGTATTGCCAAACACAGATCCAGATGAAAGCCCAGACATATTGAGCGTAGATGATCCATTGCCGAATCCAGCCATTCGATTGGAGCCAACTATGTTTCCATCTCCCTGCTGGCCCATCGAAGGGCGAGACATGGTATTCACAACTGACTTTCGTCCATACAGATCAGAGCTGCTATTACTCAATCGGACAACGTTGGGCAAGGGCATCGTAGAATGGTGGAGCGATTCTGAGTGGTAAATCTGCTGGTTACTGTACATAGACCCCATGGACGGAACAGATCCTCTGCGGTTTGCGAGAACCGAAGGAGGTGGGGTTTGTTGTCCAAATCCTGTGTTGCCTCCATGCATTCCATGAGAATAAAAGTTATGTGAACGGTGCTTGTATCGTATATCGTCAAATGGCTCATCGCTATCATCCTCCGTAGAGATATCATCACTATTTACACTGCCATTAGCCGATCCGAGACCTCCACCAATGGGTCCAAGAAACATGGTATGGTGACTGGTCGTGCTGTTATGGCTAGAATGCCGTTGACGATGTTGAGGGTATTGAACAGGCTGGCCAAAATGGTGTTGCGAGGGGTATGTTTGGCCAGTTTGTTGTTGTTGCTGTTGATACATCAGTTGCTGCTGAGATCGATTGCTTCCACTGTTAAGTGCTGGACCGTAACCTGGCCCGAACGCTGGAATGGACATCTTGTCTTCCAAAAACTGAAGATTGTCGCGTGAGACAAATGATCCTGAGAGTGGTCGCTGGGGTAAGGGATGGTGCTGCTGTTGTTGTTGTTGCTGACGAGGAGACTGTGAGTCAAAGTTCCCGAGATTGCTTGAAGCTCCTTGGACAGGAGAGCTGTTACTAGAATATAGGTGGTTTGCTACATTGGACACTGGGGCCTGAAACCCCATCGTCCCTCCATATGGTCCTTCAGGTGAAAAGACCAGTTGTCCGTGGCTGCTAGGAGAGTAATACCCGTTGCCGCCTGTGATGCTCATTCCTGGTGGTGGCGTTCGGAATTGTCCAATTGTACCATGATAGCCTGCTGTGGACGGTTGCTGCTGCTGCTGTTGTTTACCGGGGCTAGCCCATGGGTCGATAGGCAAGGACGTCAGTCTGTTATAAGATGGTGGCTGTCCATGGGTCTGATGTGGCACTGGAGTCTGGTTTGGCGAGTGGGCAGGACCAGACGAAGTAGTGGAAGACGCAATGCCTGAAGATGATCCCGGCACGGATGTCAACTGGCGTGAATGCTGCTCAGGCCATCGGGGAGGCGAGGATGCCAATGGAGGCAGTCCCTGTGATGGCCCATTTGAGAACAAAGCACGGATATCTGGGGTCACCATGGAGCCTGCTCCGGGACCACCCGAATTTGCTCCGCTGCTTGTAGACGAGGGACCCAGACTTATTGCCTCAAAGGCATTGCCAACATTCTCAAACAGAGAATAGTTTGGGAAACTGGGAGTTGAAGTGGGCAACTCTATATAATTGCCATACATTGAGTTAATACAAGAAATTGTTAGTTTCTACGCACACTATCGCCTGAAATTCGTGAACTTATCGAGACATCACGCACTATGTGTTAAATGCAGGATTAAATTACCTCCACCTGCCACAGATGATAGAATCTTGCTGTTAAAGTGTGGAAATGCTTCAGCAAATGAGTCGGATCGTGGGCGCTGAACACGAATCTCATCATCATAAACTCCGATCTGATTGTCGATTAAAAACTGCACGAGTAATTGTTTGGCATCCTGAAGGTAGTCTTCATTGTTGCGACTGTATTTGAAGACAAAGACATGGTCTTCCTCATCACTGTCTTCATCATCGTCGTCATCGTCGCTGTCTGTCAGGCTGCTGAGAGACCTTGCAAGCTTACTATTTTCATTGATATCCTGATCCCCATCGCTACCCCGCGAAGTATTGTCGAGTTTTTGCTGTGAAGGAGTAATAAGCTTTCTAGGAGATAGCGTAGATTTCGCTGCTGTCGAATCGACCTCTCCTGCTGAACCATCCTCATCTTTGTTAGTGGCTGAGACGTCCTTGGTTGTTGGTGGAATAAGAGTCATATTCCACTCATTTTTCATCTTTTCAAGAATATCGGTTTTAAACTCTGGCTTGGTCAGGACTCTAGACATCGCCTCCGAAAAGGGCACTGGGTAGATATATTGTTCATCAACGTATGAGAGAAGCGTTGATGTTGCCTGGCGGATCAAGGACTCCGGTCCTGAAACCCACACAATGTCGCTTCCTGTCTCTTTTTCAGGGAATCGAACAGTGGCATTAAAGGTCTCTTGAAGTTCCCTTAGAGCTTTGGCATGATCGGAAAGCAAAGAAAGATGGTGTTGCTTTGGAATTAAAACTGAATGGTGTACAAAATCCTTGTCTTTGGGGTTCACTAGCTCCATCACCGCATGCTTCAGATTCTCCAAGTTCAAAGCGTTCTTTGAAGGGGTTCGTGCCACGACATTGTCCAAATTATCGAAATAGCCGCCAAGATTAGCAAATTCCTCCGAATTTGAAAACTTGACATAGACACCATACTTTTTCATGATCCGTTGGATATTTTTACCACCAACACCGATAATTCTCTTGTGGTAAGTTTCTGGAACATAAAAGGATATTTCTGCGGGAAGCTCCTCTTGAAGTAAAGCAAGAGCCTCAAGGGCCTTGACTGCAATGGTCGAGCTTAGGTCGACATAAAAATTGTAGTCGTTACAGGGATCAAATTTGATCTTTGCACCAGTGGCCTTCATGATACGGTTGATTTTGCCGTTTTTCTTTCCAGAAATAAACTCACGATGCTCATTCGCCAATTCTACCGAGAATTTGATTTCGCTGTGCATCGCTTTGACAAAGTCGACATCAGCTAGATATTGAACAGCGATTCTGGTTTCGATCTCACTTCCAAAGATGAGAAAGCTGTTGTTGCGGAACTCAACCTCAGCACCAGATGCTTGCGAAACAAGCTTTGAAATGTTTGCAATAGGTGATAAGGCATTCTGCGTGATCAGCAAGCTATCACGGACAGCTGCAAGCATATTGATTGATCCCGAATGAAATTGAGAAGCCTAAATAGATGTTGTTGAAAACATTATAAATTAGCAATCTTGTGTTTCATCCTTACGAAAAATATAAACAGAGGACTCGAGCACTTACAAGCTGCATCACGGTGCGGATGGTCCGCTCCACATTAACTCTTGATTCCCCATAGACAAACAGGACTGGGTGGCTAGCACCCAATGGTGGAAAGGCAATAAAGGAAGCATTATCAAGCATGATTGACCGCAGTTTATCACGGTGATTGACAAGCATCCAGTCAAGCTTGCGAGAGACAATATTCACCTGTCGAGTAAAAGCGGGTGCAGCTGCCTGGACGCGAGTATACACTTTGGCCAAGGCATCCTTGGCCATTTGAACCTTGGATGGTTCTCCCGTGATGTAGATCTCACCGTATTTAGGATCGAGCGGAGCTCCACTCTTGTTGATTGTTTGGACAAATGGTGAGGCCAAGTAGATATTTGTCCTGGTCTTGGCCATCAATTCCTGTAGTTGTTCCCGCTTACGACCACCAACCATGTTTTGGTATTTGAGCTCCACTTGAATCTTTTCTTGCACAGTCCCAGGCTGAAGTGCGTCAATAGCAGCCAGAAGCAGTAGCCGTGCGCTTTCTGCATTCTCCCACGATCCCCAGATAAGCACCTCGACCATTTCCTGTCTCGCATGAGCAGCTACCACTGACTTTGTAGAAGGTAAAGCATGAAGCTGACTAGAAACGATAGTGATTGATGTTTTTGTAGTTGCTGATATTTGTTCCACCTGAGTCTTGAATGCAGGCAGTACAGTGAAGTATGCAGAGAAGGGTGCGATTGTTGATGTCGCTGGTATAGAAGCTGGAATCACTGTAGGATCTACCCCATTGGTTGCAATATTTTCAACTGGGTTGAGAATAGGCTGACTATTTGAAGATACCTGGTTATTGGAGCCAAAGTCATCTGATATAGAGACTGATGATGATAAAGTTATGCTTTTATTCTGATCCTTTGATCCCAATAGTTGGGTTGTGGTTGACTCTGGAAAAGCATCTGCTGCGATCGAGGCTTTGCTGACCTTGAAGGATAGTCTTGGCTATGAAAGTAGAGAGTTGTATACAGTAACAATGATGATTAATTCTATAGTTGACTATGATCCGCGAGAGTAAAGGATGGTAAGAAGAAAAATGGGAAAAAGAAAAAGGAAAAATCAATAATAATAAAAGTGTGAGCTCAAAGATGTAGAATGACAGCATCGCACATCATTCAGCCTAAACAGCCTAAACATGCGGAAGCATCCTTTGGTATGAAAGCATACATCTCTGATGTTCTCTCTCCTATTTCTCCTATTCCTCCTATTTCCTTTGCTCTTTTTTTTTTTTTTTTTTTTTTTGCTCCGCCAGCGTAGAAATCAACTCGGGAAGTAGATATATTAGGTTTATAAAAAGAGAACAAAAAATTCGAGCGAGTCATTGAGTCATCGCGTCAACACAAGTCGAACCCCCTTCAAAAGCGCTGATCTGTCGAAAAATGGTTGGGGACGTTTCTCTTTTTTTTTTCTTTCTTTGGATCTAAGGGGTCACATGCAGGTCGAGCAAGTCAGTTTTGTTCCATTTCCATTTCACAAGCCATGCTTCCCACACGCTCATAAACATTGGATCCTGCTCCTATGCAGCTATCCCAGAAGAGTAATAGATTGATCCAAAGAAAAGAAAAATAACGACTGTCTGCATCCCTTGATGCATATCTGCCTATTCCCGTTTGCTTTCTTCCTTCCTTCCTTCCTTCCTTCCTTCTTTCCTCCTTCCCTCTCCTTTCCTCTTACACATTCATTTACGCTACCGTCCTTTTATTCTTTAATGGGAGCTGAAGTGGTTTTTTTTTTTTTTTTTTTTATCAACACAACAGCTTCCACAATTCCACTGCACCGGGTAAAAATAGATCATTCCAAGAAATCGTGGTGTACGTGGTGTTGAGGCACGGAAGGCGGGAAAGGAAAAAATAAAATAAAATAAAATAAAAAAAAATTCACAACAATGGCAACAATAACAATAATAATGATGATAAAAAAATAAAAACAAAACCGGATCTGATCCAGTTTGTCGGGGTTGGTGCATACTTTGCAATTTTTTTTTTTTTTTTTTTTTTTTTTTTTTGAGCGCTTTAGATCTATAACGATTTGTTGACGTACTCGAATTTTAAATTCGAAGTGAATTGGATTTGATTGAATCGAATCAGATTTAAAAAAAAAAAAAAGATTACCTTGAGAGGACTGTTGCGCATGAGGACACCTCTGGCTGACGTGACATTCTGATAAGCACCAGTGATGGTGACGTTGTAGACTGATGCATGAGTTTCGATCGAGAGTCTCTTTTTAGCTTGTGTGTTATTGACGTTGACATCAAGTATGACCTGACAGTGGTGGCTGCGGCTGACTTCATTACATAATTGTTGAAAAGCATTCGTTATTGTCTCATCCACAGGTCCTGCCTGTGCTGGTGTCGGACACGGGAAACACAGTGACAGAATTGTGTTTTCTGCCATAATATAATTTTTTTAAGCCTCAGTTGATGGTGCTGTGTGTATGATAAGGTCTCTTGTTCCGTAAGAGAGAAGAAAAGGAAAAGATATACCAGTGCTCTTGTTGATATCCTGTCGAGTGTAGTGAAGAAAAAGGGATAAACAAGAGAAGAGTAAGGGTAAATGAGAGAGAGGGTATCCAAATGTGTGCTACAACTCCGAGCAAAGCTCGCCTAGAAAAGGATGCAAAAGGCAAAGCAAAGCAAAGCAGAAAGAGCTCGAGTGAGTGCTATAGTTCGAGGAGAGAGAGAGAGGAAGAAAGAAAGAAAGAAAAAATAAGAGAGAGAGAGAAAGAGAAAAGAGAGAGAAAGGATAGGGAAACACGGACCTGGGGATCGAGTAGAAAGGTTTGGTTCCTTTTTTTTTTTTTTGGTTTTTGTTATTGTTATTTTGATGATGTGTAGATGTGTAAATATGAATTTGATAAAGTTGACAGATCACACAAAAAATAGAGCAGACAGGAACAGAGCAGTCAGGTAGAAGACAAGAAAGAGGGAAAAGAGGCCGTTGAGAAGAAATATGAAAAAGCACACACACAAGTACAGTCGTAGAAGTACAAGTCGACGTCAAAAGGATGACGACAAATAACAAATTAAAATAAAATAAAAATTTAAATGAAATGAACAGCCCAAATAAAAATATTGGATGAAATAAATGAAATAGAGTGTAGATAATGTAAACAGGATGAAATCCAGGATACAATAGAGAAAGAGAAGAGAGGAAGAGGATAAGAAGAGAGAGAAAGAGAGGAAGAAAAAAAAAAAAAAAAAAAAAAAAAAAAGTAACAAAGGCAAGTCAGAGAAAAAGACGTAACAGACACGATCCACAATGCATTCAAAGCAAACAAACTTGTAATTACTGACACACAGACACAATTGACGCATAATAAACACATAACACTCCTTCCTCATTGACTGACGAAAAAAAAAAAAAAAAAAGGAAAAAAGGGGGTGGGGGGAAGGAGCAGAACTGTGGCTGACCTCCTTCTTGCGGACTGAGGTCTCGTGTCATAAGACAACAAGAGCAAGAAAGAGCACAGAATACATTACGATTTGTATTCAATAATCTGGACTGATCCCAACTGCTGATGGACAAAAAATAAAAAAAATAAAGGGATCTCATGTAAGACAAACGTACAATAATGACAACCGCAATGAAAAACAACATTTATACATTTTATCCAACAGAACAGGATTTCGGAGACATAATGATAATAATAATACTGTGCAACGTTCAATAAGTAAACAACCAATATTAACAAAAAAAAAAAAAAAAAAAATGGCGGGAAAATAAAATGAAATAAGGCTGGGCCAACTGATGACTAATGCTTCCATTATCATGCAGAAAAGTGCTGATTGTTGACCAATAGACATGATGGCCTCGGGCACAAAGTTTCTTTTTTTTTTTTTTTTGCTCTACGCCACTCTGATTTTATCTAAGAAGGATACACAATAGACCAGGGTGCCTCATACTTATTCTTGTTTACTGTGTTTGGCAATGTGATTAAAGACGAACCTCGTGAAGCCCTTTGATCGCGAATGTGGCACTGTATGAGAAATTTACTTCAGAGTAGACAGGGGTTGCTTTGATTGGATAGAACAAGTCAGAGTAAAAGTACTGTGAGGAAAGGTCAGGCAATGAAAAGTGGGGTAGAAGCGAGTCTTTTTTTTTTTTTATTTATTCCTTCAGTGAAATAAGTGGCAAAAAGACCAAGGAGCTCTGATAATCCTGTTAGATGGTCAAGGAGCGTTGTAACGATTAAACGTTAAAGACTAAAAGAACGGAGGTCAATAGGCAAAAATCGCATGTACACATGTGTGAAAGAGAGAGAGGGCCAGTTGTTTGAATGACTTAGTCGAACACCTTCATTAGCGATATAATTCATTAATAGTATGGCCTGGAATTGTCTGCCTTCCCTTGCCCTTACAGGCTGCGAGAGCCTATTAGTCGAATTCATAAGCTACCCACAATTATATCTATTATGAATATCCGCCGAGTTCAAATAGCCTCTTTTTTTACCCTCTACCAACACTCTTTCTCACTCATTGTCAGCCACTGCCATGTATTTGGCGCAGCAAAAGCATTTAGACAGAATAGGAATGTGGAATTGATTCTTGTACACACACAAACGCATTGATTTCGTAACAGCCTCCGTACCCTGCCATCACAAAAAAAAAAATGGGGCCCCAACCCAGCTGTGGAAAATTTCCTGGTCAAGTGATCCGAACTTTGACAAACTCCGTAGGTTGGTCTCCTTTGGCACCGCAAATGTAAGTATCCTGGGCGACCATAGCATCATTTTGTCTATGTAATGACTTTTGGAGGTTTGGAGTAGAGCACAAGATTTAGCCGCAAAAGTGAGCGAATCAAGCAAGTCAGATGGGTAATCTCTGACCATGCGGCTATTTCGCTCGAGCTAGCTAGCTAGCTATTGAAGTTTTTTTCCTCTAAAGTCTTATCTACTACTATCCTTTAAACTATAAGAGATGACGGGTAAATTCGCCAGGGAATTTTTGTAGTAGAGGTATATATTTTAACGTTTGCTTATAAATTGACGCATACCCTGTCCTCGGAATAATTCGCGTCACGATTCCAGTGTGCTTAACCAATTCACGACCTACGATAGATGTATCTCTTGCACTTCTTATCGCAGCACTTGGTCTGCATCTCCATCTTCTAGAATCTTCTATGATATCTTTGGCATATCCACGTTGTCTCCCTACACTCATCGACCGATACTATAAAAATCCCATGGCCAATCTACTATGTAAGAAACAAGGGGCCAATAAATGAGAAGCAAGAGATGCATGTGTATTTTTATACATGTGACTTATCGTCATATGCAACGATACCAGCTTGTTGCTGGTATTAAATATAACTACCTCCAGGACTGATTTGGGTTTAGATATAGCATCCGCGCCCCCCATGAATATGATTCCCTTGACAAGCCAAAAATCCTGACCTTTATTCGCATTTTTTTTTTTTTTTTTTTTTTTATTTCGATTTAAGATCAACAGGTAGTATCTGCTTCACTTTTTTGCAGACTGAAGCCTCTTTCTAATGGGATATGCGGCTGCGCCACTTCATAACATCCTTGGTCGTTTCAAATACTTCCAAAAAGGTTTGGAATGGCAATCTTCATTTCTACGTTAGTATAAAAGCACACAGTACAGGATACTTTGATATTATATCCAGCTCTAGTAATTGTTCGTCAAGTCTCATTGGCCTTGTGGTACACCCCACAATGGATTCAGTTGTATATTTTTTCATTGGTGTTAGCTCTGCTTTAAATCCTTATTCATGGTAATGAAGCTTGTCAACACATTGGTTGCAGAAGCCGGCACGGAGCAACCTAAGAAAAAGAAAAGCATGATACGTTATCAAATCCATACGACGTTTAGTAGTTTACCCTACTGAGTTTGGATCGGGAATAAAAATAATAGAATAGAATGTTCTATGGTAGGAATTATACAAACCCCAATACTCGTTATTTTCTTTTCTTTTAATGCTCTGGCGTTGACTCAAGATGGCTTTTGACAAAGGATTTAGCCCAAACTGTTATTGTCTGTTTTTTCTTTTTTTTTTTTTTTTAGCCAGCAGTTGCTCCGATATAATGGTAATCAATTAAAATGAAAAAAAGGAAACTTTTCTTTATTTGATGATATTGAAAAGAGCAGCATCATGGTTGGAAAAGAATATATCGAACTTCAACTTTATTTGAGCACGAGCCACGCCGATCGCCATGTGGCATGGCGCGATGTAGTACGACTATATGTGAAGGAAGACAAAATCAGATGTAAACAAACAAACAAAAAATCAGATCAACAAACAAGATGTAATGCAGCTGATTAGTCTTTATGGTCTCGATGGAAACGATGTAACTTTTCCTTGGTTAGTCCTGTTATTCGGGCTCCTTAACTAGTATATTGAAAGCGATTAGCTGTCACAAATGGATTCAGCTTCCTGAACCAGTCTCTTTTGACTTGATGGATCCAGGCCTGAGACAGGATAATAATTTTTTTTCCTCCCCTTTCAGTAAACTCTTGACAGATATGCAACATGTGTGCGTTGACAAGGTGTCACCGTTATGCACGAGGATTAAGACAAAGAGGACTCACAGGTTGAGTAGAGGTATAACCAATAATCTATAAGGCAGAAAAGACAAAAAATGAACGTTAGACCCTTTCTAATGAATGTGTGACCAAATATGTCTGTAACACCCCAGATGATTCTTTTCGACTTCCGCTGAACCGAATTCACTTTTTCTTACCAGCAATCATAAAAAACAAGGTATTATGAATAGTTTTTGATTGAGATGGAGAAAGCAGGCCTTATCGAAGATAATCATCTCTATTACATTTCCTTTTCTCTTTGACTAGAACCGTCCTGTGTGTCCTTGGCTATATTTTCATCCTCAGCTCCCGATGAAATATGTGTAATATGATCGAAAGGGTACTTTTTTTTTAAGCCTAGTGAAATGGGTTATTCAAAATCCCGCACCGGATATGATTCTCCGCTCAGCCATCCAGTTAAAAATGTACAAATATGTAAGTATAACATTATATAAATATATATATCTATGAGATAGTCCCCAAGTTGGATAGAAACAACATTCATGGATGAAGGACGGATAAATACCCCATTTGGTCAATAAAATAATATATATGTAAAAAAGGTTTCTCTAATGGACTCTAAACGAAGCCGTTGTCGCAACTTCCGAACAGCCCTTTTATTCCCGTAGACTTGTAGCTTTTTAACTATTTAAGCAGGTACCGTACTTCATTATCGTCCATCTTTTCCTTTTTTTTTTTTTCTTTTTTTGTTTCTTTCATTATAATCTGACAAGCACCCTTACAATCTCAATACCATTATTTTTCTACTTGTAAAATATAGCCATAAGTATCTTGAATCTCCTTCTTCATGCACTCATAGTACACAGCACCTTTCATTGAATCCCTTCATTTTTCATCCAAACCTTTTTTTTTTTTTTTTTTTTTTTTTTTTCCTTCTACTTCTTATTCATTTAAACCATTCACACTTTCTTACACTACACACGATCATTCTCAACGAACGGACCAACATATACATCCCATATAGACCTATTTTCTTTTTGATATAATACGACAAAGTAAAATCTTACAGCTATTATGAAATCCGAGCAATATAACGACGCTCCAGCAATACCAGCAGCAGAGATCGCTTACAAGAGCGATCCTCTTATGGCAGCTGAATTCCCCGATGGTGACAATCGTGGGGTTGGTCACTATCCACAAAAAAAGGAAATCATGATCGAGACAGAAGATCTCACAGAGGGTCATGAACCTACCCTAGAAGAAGAGAGCACTCTTCGCCGAGTCGCAGACAAGATCCCAGCATCAGCTTGGTTGGTCGTCGTTGTCGAATTTTGTGAGCGCTTTACATACTATGGCCTCTCTGGTCCCTTTCAAAATTATATTCAATATCCTTATACAGATCAACGAGGCGCTGACCATCCAGGCGCCATCGGGAAGGGACAGCAAACTGCCACAGCACTCAATTACTTTTTCCAATGTAAGGATTTTTTGTCAAACAAAAAAAAAAAAAAAAAAAAAAAAGGTGTGAGATTGATCCTAGAAATTAAGAACTATATTCTCCTCTTAAATCCATATTCATCATTATAGTTTTCTGCTATTTTACGCCGATCCTTGGTGCCATTGTTGCAGATCAGGTACATATTACATCACGTAACCCACGCGAGCGATATTTTTTTTTTTTTTATTGTTATGGAATACAAAGACTAACATTTTTTTTTTTTTTTTTTTTTTTGGTATCACAACTTTTAGTATTTCGGAAAATACAGGGCCATTTGTGTATTCTGTGGCATCTACATGATCGGAGTTCTCATTCTTGTCTTGACATCTATCCCTCCCGCCATTTTCGCTGGCGCAGCTTTACCCGGTCTAGTGGTTGCGATGATCATCATTGGTTTAGGTACCGGAGGAATCAAATCCAATGTCTCACCTATGGTCGCAGAACAATACCAAGGGACCAAAGCCACTGTCAAGACCCTTAAATCAGGTGAAAAAGTCATTGTCGATCCAAATGTCACGATTCAATCCATCTTCAATTGGTTCTATTGGTCCATCAACTTGGGTTCCCTCTCGGCTATTATCACCACCAACGTCGAGAAATACTATGCGTTCTGGCTTGCTTACTTGATCCCTTTAATCATGTTCAACGGCGCTGTCATCGCCCTTTGGGTCGGAAGAAAAAAAGTCGTCAAGACCCCTCCTCGTGGTTCAGTTCTCTTGGAGGCTTTTCGAGCCTTTGGCATCGCGCTCAAACATGGTCGGAATTTGGATGCAGCTAGACCTTCTGTCATCCAGGCACGTGATCCAAACGCGGACATGAAGGCCATCACCTGGAATGATATCTTTGTTGATGAACTCCGGTTGACACTCAAGGCCTGTTCTGTCTTCTGTTTCTTTCCTCTTTACTGGGTCATCTATAACCAAATCACCACCAACTTGATCTCTCAAGCCGGAACGATGCTCCTCTACGGTATCCCCAATGACGTAGTTAACAATATCGATCCGATTGTCCTCATCATTTTCATTCCAATCTTTGACAAGCTCATATACCCCGCTTTCCGCCGCATGGGCTGGGAACTTAAACCGATCACACGGATCTCCCTCGGCTTCTTGTTCAGCGCATTGGCCATGGCCTGGACTGCTATTGTCCAACATAAGATCTACAGCACAGGTCCCAATTATGAGTGCACCCTCTGTGATCCCGATCAAACACCCAACGATGTCTCAATCGCTTGGCAAATCCCCTCTTACTTCTTCATTGCCATCTCCGAGATCTTTGCATCCATTACAGGTCTCGAGTTTGCATTCACAAATGCTCCTGCTACCATGAAATCCGTCGTCATGGCCATTTTCTTGTTCACGAACTGTCTTGGTGCTCTCTTGGGATTCGCATTCTTGCCCATGACCAAAGACCCTCTGCTCTTGTGGATGTATACCGGTTTGGGAGCTGCTGCCTTGTTGATCAGTGCTATCATCTATTGGCAGTTCCATAATTATGACACGACCATGCGTGCGGACAAACTGGCCCTCCAAGCCAAATATGACATGAAAGATCTTTAAAAAAAAAAAAAAAAAAAAAAAAAAGGAAAATAATAGAAAAGCCATTTCTTACGTTCATACCATTGTATTGTAATAGAGTAATGCTTAAACATAATCTGTAATCATTTCAAAGCTTGTTCTTATGGTTATTTTCCCACTTTGAGTATTTATTACACTAATAAGTATTTTTTTTTTTTAAAAAAAAATAAATGAATGATAACGAATACAAAAGAAAATGCAATGATGATGAAAAATAAATTGATACAAAAAGTTACGAGAAGACACCCAATGGTACAACACCTAACGATGACAAGAGTCTCTCCCGCTTTTTCTTCACATTCTTGTCATAGAATCGGTTGGCACAAGCCAACTGTGGGGATGGGGCCAATGATACAACACGACCCTCCTTGACCCTCATGCCTGATTGATCTAACTGGCCTGCATTCTGTAACACCTTGACTACCAGCTTCTCTCGTCGAGGCAATCCTGCTGTGCCCGTCCACATCTTCAAGAGTTCTCGCGTCTTGCTTCGAAGATTCACAAACGTATCGGTTGCACGACCTGTCATGGTCATACATGCCTCAATCGCTCGGTCGATCGACTCGGGTTCAGAGGCCAGAATGTCGTTTGAGAGAATGAATCGAGCTGCCTCAAGGTGCAGATACTTTGCAGCCAATGCAAGGACATTTCCATCCTTGGGTGAAGGAATCGAGGTGTCTGCTCCCTTAGCTACCATACGCTTTAGACATTCTGCTACATCCTCAGACGACATGCGCGGATTTCGCATCAACAAATGCAAGGGCGTATGCCCCTGAACATCCAAGGCATTCACTTCGACCCCAGCCTTCAGAAGCATATCAAGAGCTGTGAATAAATGAGATGATCCTCGATCGTTCTTGAAAGGGATGTAGCGGTCCAAAAGGATATGTAGACAGTTCTGAAGGGATCGCTTGGCCAATAGCTTGACATCGACATCTTGTTCCATCAACTCCTTGAAGATGGCCAATGATTGAGGCATGAAGTGTCCCAAGCAAGTCTGGATGGGTGTGATTTCACACTCGAGCGAGAATGTTGGAACAATAGCGTAGCCATTGAGATCATGGCCCGCAAGAATATACCACTCAGTCATATCCGCGTTTGACACACTGATAGCTTCATGAAGAGTACTTGGTTTGGCATGACCACGGATAGTTGATCCGGAGATCGAGCCCGTGTTGACACGGTCAGGCGAAATCGACCGTACACTGCTGGAGCGAGTGGGCGAGTGGGCGCTGATGTTGTCGCCATCAATACTTTCAGATACTATAGCATAATATAATCCAATACAATAGATTAGATGCTATATCACAATTATAACAAGCCTTTTTTTTTTTTTTTTTTTTTTTTTTACATTTTCCCACATTCCAACAAAGACTTACCAACTGTGGAAATCGGCATGCACATTTCCTCCCCAGGAAGCATCAACATATCAATAGGCTCAACCGCCACCAACATCTGGAGCGTCTCTTCGACAACATCCAGGGGTGGCCTAGACTCTGCATCACCTGACCAACACATCTTGTAAAGTTGCTCATAGATGTCGGGTGTACCAGGGACACTCTCCTCACGCAAGCCCTTCACAATCGCAGAAGAAAGTTGCTCCATATTCTTGGCAAGTCTAGGCCCAGACTCAGCGCGGGTGATGATTTCCTCAAATGGCATTCTGCCAGAAGATAGCTCCCAGAGCAAGATACCCAAGGAATAGACAGACCACTCAAGTCTGTAGCTGCCTTTACCCATGATTCTCTCAGGAGCCATGTATACAACCAAAGATGGACCTGATGGTTGGACAGTGAGCTGACATGGCGCAGATGTGATCATGCCGCCTGGGGAGCCGAATCCCGTAAGGATTGCAACACCATCAGCATCGACCAAGATGTTGCCCGAGTTCATGGTGCATGGAATGCCATGAAGAGTCAAGTAACGCAATCCCTGAGCAATGTCCAAACCGAGTTTGTAACGCTCTGGCCATTGGATCAGGTCAAAGTTGTTATCAAGGAATTGGCGCAAGGAGCCATTGCTGGGTTGTTGAAGGAGCAAAGCTGGAGATTGGCCCGAGGGGAGATTGGCACTGGGAAGGTAGCCAAAGAGCTGGATAACTTGTTTGCATCGACGCAGATTGTGAAGTGTTTGGATCTAAAATTAACAAATGATAAACAGGCAGAAAGAAATGATTCCATTGTAAGATGTTGTTGATATGAATTGTGTTTCGGGTGATGGTTCCGAGGAGTGCAGTAGGTTCAATTGGCGACTGTATGATAGTAGACTCATGCAAGAGAATGCAATGCAAGGAAAAAAAGAGTGCATGTCCAATCTCAAAATTTGGGAAGGCAAAGGTTCCGTGACAATATTTTTAATGATAGGTAACCCAGTAACACAGAGCACTATTACACAAAACTGTGCAAGGGCACGCTGTCCCTGATCCCATTGTTTGCAACTTTTCCGTCATTCCCGGGTGTTGAATAAATCTGGAAGTCAAAGCACAAAAAGAGTATTGTCTGGAGACAAACTCCAATGAGCAAGCACCAACAAGGGTAATGGCAAATCAGGAGGGTAAAGAGAGGAAACAATGTCATTTAAATGACTAAGCCAGTGAAATGCGGATGCGGATTCAAGTAATAAAAGTTAAAAAAAAAAAAAAAAAAAGTCAAATGGAACGGAAATGGATTGGAAATGACGAGCAATGGGCGGGATTATTGTACATCGCGATACAATATTGTGTAACCATCTCTCATGAAAGGCCCTTTCCCAATTTTCTTATGTTTAATGCCACAAGTGGGGTGACAGAGAATGGACAGGGAACTCGATTGAGAGAGCAGAATGTAGTCTTCATGTTCTTGTTCAAGGACATGTAAACAATAAAATAAAAATAAAAAAAAAAAAAAACTTGGGAAAAGAACACTCGTCTGTGTTGGGAGCGCAAGTGGTACAGCTCAAGAGAGAGCAAGAAGACAGGGAAAGAAATGTACCATGCTACTGGTCCAGTGACAAAAGCGTCCTCAAATATGACGTTCATCGCAAAGAAAGCTTTATAAATAATACAGCTTACTGCTCAACGTTACAAAATATAGTAATGAAAGGGAGAAGAGGAGAAAATAGGGGATGGGTAGGGAGCTGTGTTGTGTGTGGCGTGGTGTGGGTGTTGTGCTGCGTTGAGTATGATTAGATGGGCAAGCTGCAGATATGCAGATGTAAATAGATTAGGTGGATAATGATCAGGCGAGTAAGTTGTCGATAGAGAATATTGAATTGCATTTCCAAGCATCAGAGGAATCAATAAAACAATTCTCGCCACTTCTTCCCTTTGATCACTATCTATCTTACATCCACACTTTCAATCCTCTCTTCTGTTTTCTCATTGTTTACTGCTGCGACTATTGTGTCCCCTGTTCTCTCCAAGTAAAAAAAAAATTGGAGGGAAATTAGGGTATATGTGTGTAAATGGATGTTGTTGTTTTTTGTTTACTGAGCACATTGAGCGAGGGGGCGGGTAGAGTTTGAGGTTCATTGCCAGCAGAAAAAAATAAAATAGAATAAAAGAGAGCAAGGGTTGTGTTTGTATAGGCGTTTGTGGTGTATGACAGGGCTTCCTTACCTCTGCAAGTACTTCCTCTGGATTACCCCATCGATCGACAGGCATAACCTGGACTTGGTCTTGCTTCCACATGGCGATTTGCACATCCTGAGTACCACCAATTTGACTCGGGTGCTTTGAGTTTGCTGCAGTAATCGGTACTGGTACGTTATTGAGCTGCATCAGCTCTCTCATAAGCACAGGCCGGCTCTTCTGCTGCAGCCACTGTAGGCACTGATGGTACTCTCCAACCTCAGGCATTGGGTATTGAAGTTCAAATTGGAGAGACTGGTTTTGTTGCTGTTGCTCATGCGTTTGCTGTTTGAGCTGGTATTGTTGCTGCTGAAGCTGTTGCTGGTAATGTTGATAGTTGTAGAGCTCCTCCGTGAGGGTTCCCTGTTTAGTAACATGTTCAATACTGGGCCGGCTTTGAGCATGTTGCATCGTAGGAGAAGTGGGGCGGATAAAGGCAAGAGGGATGGACCCCGTGCTGCCTATGCTATCACTCTTATTATGGCTGTGACCATTGTTACTTGCGATGTAGTTGGCATGATTGCTGTTGAATCGTGCGTTGTTGATAGTGGTGCTGTTGTGGCTACTGTAAGAGTTCGCACTATTGATACTGGTATTGCTGTTGTAGTGCTTTAAAGGATCTTTGCGGGCTCGGTAAGAGTCGCTTTTGTTACTGTGGCTAGGTGTATTATCGTGCTGATATGTTGTAGGCATCATACTCGGTTGAACGCCAAACATTTTACTTTTTTTATGTATTATGTATTATGTATGAAACTGAGAGATTAAATGTTACAGAAAGTAGATATTGTGTAAATGGAAGTAAGGGTTGAATGTACAAAAAGTGCGTGTGTGTGGTAAGGCTGATGAAGATGTACTAGGGTATAGAGTGCAAGGAAGAAAAAAAAACGCGCGAGAATGTGATTAAGAAAGAGGAATAAAAGATGTATGGCGAGTTGTGGATGGATATAGGGAATTGTCCTAGAGTGAAGATGTGTGAATAAAGAAAGAAAAGAAAGAAAAAAGGAAAGGAAAGGAAAGGAAAGGAAAGGAAAGGAAAGGAAAGGAAAGGAAAGAATAAGTGCAGAAGAGACGTGCCTGATTTGGTGGTTGAATATGGTGGGTGTGCGCATGTGTGTGAGTACAGAGTGCCTTCCCTCTCAAATAAAATTCAATGGGTATGTGTGTGAGTTCAAAATAAGATTTTGAATACAGTGATTGCATCCACGTTCTATTGAATGGACCATGTAGTTAAGAGTAAGAAAACAGGAAAAAGACCACTTTGGTCGAGAGCGCTCGTTCCCCCTTTCTTCTTCCCGCAAAAGTCGCCTCTGCCATCCGACAAAAAATAAAAATTTGAATGGCTTCATTCTCTTTTTTTTCCTTCTCCCTTTTTCTTGGCTTGTCTTGCCAGACCGATTGATTACCATTCGCCAGTGCTCGACAAATTTGAATCTAACTCAGTGGCCGGTGATCACCGCATGTTTTGAATGCGTGTTAAATGTTTGTACCGCGACCCACAACAGGATAACACTGTTGCAACCACAATAAACAAACAAACAAAAAGAGTCAGCAGTTGGTCTCTTTGTAGGCTCGACACAATTACAATCCAACCCCTCTTCATCCCTCTCCTCTTTCACTTGAGACCATTCCACTTCTTTTTTTTTTTTTTTTTTCCTTAAAGCCGATTTCAGTCCACCCAAGTCTTCGGAATACCAGCACCTTCCTTAGTTCAAATCATCTGAATCGTTTTTTTTTTTTTTTTTTTTTTTTTTGAAAAAAAATCAATTAGACAGTGGTGAAGGAGGAAAAAAAGTGGACACAATCGATTTTCTTTTTTGGTCAGAGTATTTTATCCGTACTCAATACGATTGGCATTCAAGTTATAGTTGGCGCAACATAAACGCTAACAATATAAACATCCGAAGAGAAATTTTTTTTTTTTAATGACAACGAAAAACAAGAGTGGCGGCAAAAAAAAAAAAAAAAAAAAAAAAAAGGGGGGCAGGCAACACTGTTGAATTCAAATGGAGGCAGTGATATGAGGCAGTGAGAACAGACTTTGAAGGACTTTTTGTGTTTGATAAAATAATTGGAATCCCTGTTTGCTACGCAACCTCCATTGTTCATTGTCGGATTGTGAACACAAAAAGTCCTCTTATTTTTTTGTCCGCATGTTCTCCTATGAGCACGATCCTCAGAGGCATGCAGGTAAACATCATCTCTTACTTTCTTTGAAAACCCCTAGTTCAACATACCCTCCCATCAGCATCTGGTGAGCCATCTACCAACAAACAAAAGCAAACATAAACAAATATATATCTTCCAGAGCACGTATTTCTTCTTGCCAACTTTCTTTCCCTTCCATATACATTGTTAGACTGTCAGGCTTTCTCTTTTCATGTCAGCATCTGAGACTAACGAAACAACTGCTGTGGGCCTGTCTCGCGAACGGATGCTCACTCCCATCATGGAACTAACAATTTGAGACCTTTAGAACATTGGATTTCAAGTTCTCTGCAGCCTTCTTGTTTCTCGAATCACTATCATGATTCTTTACAAACCTCAGCGAAAAGAATATATATATATTATATATATAATATAGGGCACTTGTAGTAGACAAATATATAAATAAATAAAAATAAAAGCTGGTCCTTTTGAGCCCTCGTCCTCTTCTACTTTTCACCCTTCCCAATCAACGTAAGCAGCTTTGGCGCTATTATTTGTCATATTGTTTATTTGCGAGCTTTTCCCTTTTCCTCAAAGAAATTTCCTCTTTATTGCAATCGTGTGTTTATATTTGCACACGTATATATGACAATAAAAAGTAATAAAGCTACGCGTTCGTCAAGTTGGGAACAGAAAGATAGATTCTGTAACACTCCTACTCTTTGCCTCATGGTCTTTTTTTTTTTTTTTTTTTTTTTTTTCCCGTCCTGTATATGAATTTAATTGTAGTAATTAGATGGACATACTGCCTTTTTTTTTGGCATCCCGCCTTCATACGGGAGAACCTTGCGCGAGAATGTATTAATAAAGGAATGAGTTTTATTCTTCATATCGTACCCGGACCTGTAGAATACAAATTGCAGATAACGGCAAGGTCGCATCAAAATAAATAAAGAGTTTAACACCCACCTTACCAAACAAATATATACAGCGTGTGCTGAATGGAATACTGCTGCTTCCCATTCACTCCCTCATCTGAAAAATTTTCCGCTCTTGTTATTTTTTCTACATTCCTGTAGACTGGGCAATCAACTAACAATAAAGATGCAGGCTTTTGAGCATTTATTTTCTGGTGACACTCTTGAGGGGAAGGAGAATGCTCAGAGAGTGGCGAGGATAATCATCGTACCACCTAAAATGACATAAGTCGTGCAGCTCACAATGTCATGAAACGCTTATTGCTTTGCACTTGTAGCCGATCGGCCATTCCAACCTCGAAAGGAGAAGGAGGAAAAATAAAAAAAAAGTTTTCGTTCAAATGGCCCATGCTTGATCACGAGTCAAACCTTAATTGTAAACTGAGTGTCCTGTTTTCTACTACAAGAGTGTGGTGCATAATCTGGTGCAACTGGGATCATCATTGACCGTCTAGAGGCACAAGCGCATAGATGGCAATCATAAAAAGGTAGAAGAGAACATGTGTATCTTAGAAATAATAGGTGGCATTGCTACAGACACTGTCTATTGGTGGTACCCACCTGCGTTAGGTCCCAGCAGCATAAAGTTCAGATATCAAATATAGATGAAGTTATCAACTATCGAAACGATAAAAGAGACTTGTCTGATTGATGAGGAAAATAGTTTCTGAAATAGCAAAGCGTGAGCTGAGGTAAGAAACAGGAGAGCTGAGGGATACCTTTGTACAAAAGAGGCGTGATGACCACTACATTTACTAGATAGGCATACATCATTTCTTGTCTCTTAATGATAAATTTCACCCAACACCATTGCGCATATGCGTAAGGCCTCTTATTTTGTTGACGATATGCTCAATTTGCTCATTAGTCTGGATGAACGTGATGAAAATGGCTTCCTATTCAGCTGTGGCCGTGAAATGGATCGCGCCTAACGGTCTCAATTCGCGTTGCCTGTCGTTTCCTCAGGAGACTTCCCTGCTGTTGCTCTCCGATAAATCCCAAAACAAATTGTTTGGCATCGTTCAAGTTTCATAGGACATCTGTACCTACAACATCCCCTTTCATGTAGGCTTGCTTCGTGAATACCTTGTAGGTCGCACATAGAACAATAAAGAGCAACCGAGCCTCTTTTTGGGACTGAGTCCACCCATTCTTTACGAGCTTTTCAACAAGGCCCCTGGCGGGTTCACTTCTGGTAGGATTTGCTCAGAGGCAGTAATCAGGAACAGCCAGCTGAGAGCCAACAGCATATCCACGCTAGCAGTAGTATACTTTGGTAAACAGAGTGTTATTGAACCTACTCTGTCTACGCTGTCGAGATCATTAAGTGGAGGATTGGTTGGGATACTAGTGGTAATCTCGGAACCATCTTCTAGACTCCTTGCTCGAAGCGTGCAACAGCATTGATGTAATATTGCCGTACATAAGGCTCAAACATTATATTATTGGCGAGTCTGTACAGTCACTTGAAACAAAGATTAGACAAAAAAATAAAATATTGAAATAGTTACGTAGGGAAGCGTTTCCTTCAATCTCTTTCCTTCCTGTTTTTCACATACAAACAGCTTGAGTAAACCACCATGGCGAGACACTTAGACATTGAGAATAAAGGTATCATCGTTGGAATGTACCTCGCGGGCATGAAGGCTGCGGAAATCGCATTGCAACGCGGTGTACCCCGAACCTCTGTTATTAATATTATCAGGGTGTACCAAGAAAGAGGTACCACCGCTTGCGCTCCGATCCCAGGACGGCCCAAAGTACTAAGTGAACGGGACCTCAGGAGCATCGTTCGCCATACTAAGCAGAATAGAAGGTGTACTCTTAATGATATCACTAACCAATTGCCGAACAAAGTTTGCGAGAGGACAGTTGCGAAGGCATTGCATTCACCGGGTATTTTCAGCCAGATTGCAGTAAAAAAACCATTCTTAAAAGAAGGATATATAAAGAGGAGGCTGCAGTTCGTCAAAAAATATATGAGTTGGTCCATGGAAGGCTGGAATCGGGTAGTTTGGACTGACGAATCATCATTTGAAGTTGGTGAGCATTTTCGTCAAATAAGAGTTTGGCGTAAAGTAGAGGAGAAGTACGATCACGATTGCCTCGCACCCACTTTCAAAAGTGGTAGAACAACTCTGATGGTCTGGGGGGCGTTCACAGCAACCAGAAAGTCTCGGTTGGTTGTATTTGAAAGAGGTCGTAAAGATGGACAGTGTTTCGTGGAAGATGTATATCAAGGCGAGCTAGCCAGATTTATGGCTGAGATAGAGGATGGCATCCTTATGGAGGATAATGCTCCAGTTCATACTTGTAAGATTGCAAAAGAATGGCGCGAAAAAAACAGCATCCCGAGGATTCCAGACTGGCCTTCATGCTCCCCAGATTTGAACCCTATTGAACATGTATGGTCACTTCTTGCGGATGCACTCGATAGGCGCGCTAAAGGGCCAAGAGATCTTCCCACTCTCACACGGGCTCTTATCGAAGAGTGGAATAATTTACCGCAAGAGAGGCTGGCCAGCCTTGTCGCTACCATGCCCGAAAGGCTGGAAGAAGTGAATGAGGTCGATGGTAGGAACACTCACTATTGAACCTACATGACACTTTTGCTACTCTAACAATGCCGTCTTCAAAACCCCAATAAATAACAGTATTGACCTCTTTAGTGAGCATGTAAAATTTCATGTGTATTGATGAAGTCTTTATGTATGTTGCATATGAGCTGTTTGTCCAGGTTGTTCAAAAAAAAATCAAGAAAATCCAAACTTTATTTTAGGTGACTGTACAATGTTTCTCGGAAAGTTTCATCTCTTCTAAATTTGGTTACTTTGGCAGCTTCTTCTGCAATATGCTTAGAGGCCCATTCCAAATGAAACTTTCGAAGATCCTCCGTTGGCCACCGGTGGAGAAGACGACCACTACTAAAAAACGCTAATCTTGTCCAAAGTATTTCATTAACTTCTAGGAATAGTCTATGGTAGAAAGAGTATGTTCGACAAATCCCTATACACTCTTGGTATAGTATTGATCAAGGGTCTCAGTACTACCGTCGGTCTCCAAAGAACAAATAGTGACACATTATCTACTTTCTCATAGAATTCTTTTAAAGCGGCTTTAGAAATCGTTTCTTTGAAGGACCCAACCTTCTCTCGGCACAATTCCAGTTCCTCCAGCGTCCATGGAGCCATGTAATAGCGAAATGCCAGCTCTATCTCAATTCCCTTGTAGCTGGCATACGCGGGGCTCCTGGAATAGTAAATTTTTAACGGCTCTACCTATTGGAAGTATTGGTTTTGGAGCTGTCAATCAGGAACAATATAGCGAGGGGATCAAGGAAAGGGCTAAAACTGGCGATATTCTCATAGCACATAGTAGGCAATCCTCCAAATGCGTAGCACCTACTGTCTTCTTTTCTCTGGAAATAACAATCGGTGGGTTGTCATCATTGCTTGTGGCAAGTGTTCAAGCAATAAAATATATAGGGGAGGCTGATTTGCCAATATCTTCAGTTCCTAGGACAACAACTTGATCTATGCTAAGCCTGTCACGGCGACCATTTGGATGGTTAATGTGCGTGAGGATCTTATCATAGAGATACTTGTAAGCCTGCCTGACCTATAGGCCCCTCACCTTGACCACAGGAAGTGCTTTGCCTTGGGGCAGGTGATCAAGCTCATATCCCGAGATGATCAATTTCGGAGGGCAGTGGTAGTTAAAGATACTACAATATAGGGATCATTTGCAAGCATGTTTTGCCAATACATTCAAGCACCGAGGCCAGATCTTTATTGATAAGGCGAGAAAGACCTGGCCCGCCTTCTATTTCGGTCTTTTCTGTGAGTCCTGCTGCCTTGACCGCCATCTCTATCGTGCTTTGTCTTATCCTGATCTTTTTGGAGATATCCCCTATTAAGGATGGTAGTATAAAAGCAAAGAGGTCAGTGGTCAGAAATGCTTCGAAGCTCGAAAGTAACATTTGGAAATATATTGGTCCGAGATTGTAATGGGGCGGCAAATAAAATACTTGGATTTATCTGCTGCATCATAACTCCTTTTTGAAATCACTCGTAAGAAATACAAAAAAAAAAAAAGTAATAAATATATAATATTTAGAAAGCAGTTTCGAGACTCAAAATCGAAACCATCTGCTCATCAAGGACCAAAGACATGCCTTTCTCTGGTATCCCAACAAAGGCGTAGATGAATTCCTCTAGCAGCTCTGCAGAGCCAAACGCGCTCACATCCGAGACCTTAAACGATGGTTTGAGTTGCTTCATCTCCTGCTTTAACCTCACCTCTGATTTAGCGAAGGCTTTGCCTTCGTCAAGGATGGGGACTTCCCAGGGTATGAGGCTTTCTACGGCATGTTTGTCAAAGTCTGGCCTCTTCTCTACCTTGATGGCCTTCTTGAGATCGCCAATAATTTACTGGAAACGGTATCTACTGAAAAGTGTGTGGATTCTCCTTCCATAATGCAGAAGAACTTTAGCTCAGTTGGCGTAGGGCCCTTATTGCTGCTGGAGTTTGCTAAGGCGAAGGCTACCTAACTCTGGTAGAATTATTAAAACTCTGGGGTTTGTTATTTAAAATCGAAGTGCTTGACTCTGTTGCCAGACATGCCGAGTTCTTAGTAGGTTTAATATCTCATGCTATTATTGTACAAGATGGGCTCGAGGGTATACAACTAGCTCAGGTATAGCTGAATGTTAAGGTGCACCTAGAGAAGGCTGACTACTCTAGAGAATGAATAACTGGGGCATTCTTTGTTAGGAATGAAGCTATTAGTGGACAAGCGCATCATTATATATTTCTTTATTTCCAGGAGACCCTCTCTCCAATAAAACTGCGCTCGTTATTTCCGTACAACAATTTCCAACAAAACATTTGCACTTTTACAAGGAGTCATCCAGTCTTGCTTTAAAACGATCGAGACCTTCTGGAATGATGTAGAATGCGATATTAAATGTCTCTATACTTGAGCTATCGGCAGTAGAACCATTATAGTTACTGGCTTCAACTGAAAAATAAACAGTGTATTTAACTTTCTGGTATAGCCGGTGGAGATAATAGATTTGCAATGTTATTCATGAGAGCAGAAAACATTATGTATATACTATATGTCAATATATGGCACTAAAAAATGTTGAATTTTGTGTCCGGTATAACGTTATGAAATATTATATACTTTAGGCCGTTGCTAATATTCATAGGCGGAGTATGTCGTTAGACGGTCTATTGGACAGCGTTATGTGGGCCATTAGCAATGAGTAATGAACTAAATTGTACGACTTCCTGCTAAGAGAGCAGTAATCAAACGCGTTATCTGATACTTGTAAGTGATGCATCACACGTTCTATTTCTATTAAGGGATATAGTATACCGGTCAATTTTGTCTTGGTCGTTTATTATTCAGAAGTCAAAAATCTAGTGTAAATAGGAGAGAAAAATAACTGCTGCGGGCATTAGTTTATTTAAGAGGCAAGGCAATGATATAGTTAACTGCAAAAGTGGAATGCCTACTTCACCACTTTTTCATCTGATGAAATGTTTTGTTTATTTGGTTTACACGCAGATTTGTCCTATCGATTCTCGATTTAATTGTAAGCGTTCTTCTTGACTAGCGGACTATGAAAAACAAAATGAGGAGGAGGTTCCTGCAAAAAAGTATATTTGATCTGATAAGGAAAGGGCGCCACCATTCTCCTTGTGCACAAAATTGGACACGATCTGAAGAATTTTTTTTGTACCTGTCTGTGTGTTGTTTAGAAAAAAAAGCCACAAAAAAGCTTTACCTGGGCGAAAAAGTTCAGAAGTCTCAAAACTTCAAGCTGCGCTGCATCCTGACTGGATTCCTCCTCTTTTCCTCTCTTCATTCTTCTCTGTGTGCCTTTTGCACCAGTCTGTTTTATCTCGCGCTCTCTTCGCCCTCCTGCTTTGTTTCAGTCCTTTACTGTTCCTCCTACTTCACTACCGACCATGGCATTTGAGGACGTTAAAATCACAACACCCAGTGAGGAAACTTACAAGAAACTTGAGCATGACCTCTGCAACCTTTCTGGCAAGGTCCCTTTACATGAGCGCTTCCGTGCACTCTTCACACTCAAAGCTCTTGCTGACAATGTCAGTGTGGACATCATCGGACGAGGTACATGATTCTTTGTGTGATTTCAAGGGAAAAAGTTACATTCATTTCAGTTATAGCATGACATTATAATTCAACTTTTTGTTAAACTTGCATTGATCCTGATCTGCCTAAAAAAAAAAAAAATAAGAAAAAAAGTAACTCAAATAGTGGAGGATGTTTCAAATTTGTCACTGACATTCATTATTGTTCCTATGTTTATCTACGTATAGCCTTTGCGGACGACTCTGCTTTACTTAAGCATGAGCTCGCTTATGTTCTTGGCCAGATGAAGAATCCCCACGCTCATGGTGTGCTGAAGAGAGTCCTCGGTACGATGGATGAGGATCCTATGGTTCGTCATGAGGCCGCTGAAGCTCTGGGCGCTATTGGTCATTTGGAGTCTCTCCCTATTCTTGAGGAGTATCTGAAGGATGGGTCTGATATTGTATCCCAGACCTGCGAGTTGGCTATTGAGAAGATCAAGTACGACCACCGCAAAGAAAAGGAGGCTCTTCCCGAAAGGTAAAAAAAGTGTTTGTGGTGATTGAACATGGATTGGAGGTACAATTAAGGATAAGGAAACAACTATGCTAAACTAAGCGCCTTGATAATAGTGCTTATTCGTCAATCGATCCTGCACCACCAACTGCTGACGAAGAGTCTACTGAGCAGCTCAGGACTATTTATCTGGATCAGAAACTCCCCCTCTTTGAGCGCTACCGTGCGATGTTTGCGCTTCGTAATCAGTGCACTACAGAGTCTGTGCTGGCATTGGCGGAAGGCTTTGACGACCCCTCTGCCCTGTTTAGACATGAGATTGCATATGTTTTTGGTCAGATGCAGCATCCTGCTGCTGTACCCTCATTGGTCAAGGTTCTTTCCAAGTTGGATGAGGCTAATATGGTTCGTCATGAGGCTGCTGAGGCTCTTGGTTCAATTGCTACTCCTGAGGTTTACCCTATCTTGGAAAAGTTCCGTGACGACAAGGAACGTGTTGTTCGTGAGAGCTGCGTTGTTGCTTTGGATATGTACGAATATGAGAACAGTGCTGAGCTCCAATACGCCGATGGTCTTAGCAAATAGATAAAAGAAAAGGATGAAAGTAGGGTATTGCAGTCAGGGTATCCACGCTGTTTTAGCGGTGGGGATCAGTTTATGACAAATGACTGTGTTTGTACGATAGACATAATAAAATATAGGCATATCATCAAAAGAAAATTTGAATAAGTTCGTTCAAGAAGCCGTGTGGGCTGCATGTGTGTATATTGTGCATAGCAGAGTCTGGGGAAGGACATCATTATTGACTCAGTCCAGAGGAATAGCCTTCAGCGGGAGGAAGAACTCAGTTAGTGTACGAATCTGATGAAGTTTATGACATTAAAAAAAAAGAGGGTGACGAACTGGCATTTGATTAGTAGAAAATAAAACAGCATATCCTCTGTATGAATTTTAATGCCTCCGTTTAAGTTTATCAGTACCACAGTGATCTTGAGTGTTATGAAGAGAACGTTTGAGCACATTATGAGTTGCCTCCCTCCCTGCTGTGATAGTGTTCAAAGGATAAATGCAAAAGTCAACAACACTAACAGAAATCTTTATTTTCTATATTCTGTATTTCTTGCTTACACCAACGTGTCTTTGACCAACACTCATAGCTGTTCGTTATTTACAGCTACTGAACACCATTGTCCATTCACAGTACTACCAGCCACAGTAAGAAACGTCTGAGTGCCTCACACCCTTTGTCGTAGCTCCAGTTGATGCTCCTCACATTCGCACGCACAGACTAACAACAATTGGTTGCATCCACCAATGATGTTCACCCCGTGTGAACCCAGTCAATGACTACATTACCACTGGTGTTTCACAGGGCCTCTGTCACAGCGGGTCTGCTAGACATAAGACTCTTGTCAAGCTGGTACAAATTAATATAATCAACAATCAAATGTACCTTTTTTTTCTTAGCTCCAGTTGGACGTTAGGATCTTATCTGCGTGCTTCACCGATAAAGACGGCAACGGGTAATTCTCAAGCTTACCAGTAAGACTCGGTATATTTTTTTTAAAAAAAAGGAATTGCTGTTCTACAGTTACCACAGGAGTAATGTTACCTACTAATACGATTTGGTGATCGAGGGGAATTCCGGATGGATGGAATGGCTGTTTGACTTTAGCAAGAACTTTGACCTTAAAAAGCGACTACATTGCCTTTTGTAAAATTGATATTCATGTGTTCATGAGAAAGACGGTTTTCCCATCCGGATATGAAGCCTGATTGGCTGCGTATCTTGCTGTGGCTGAATAACAAAAGATTTTTTTAATTTTCCCGCCAAAAAAAAAAAAAGAAAAAAAAAAGTGGAATGAAAAGTGGGAACTTGACTCTCAAGGTGAATAGGGGTGTAAAAGGGCAAGTAGAAGAGAGAGATGTTTACGCTTTTTGAAGAGAGGGCATGTTAAGCGTCGGTACCTGCCTCCCTCGTCCAGCAAGAAAGATTATGTGATCAACCATAGTTGCAGGATTGCAGGAGTCAAGATTTACCAACTGTCGATGTCGAATGAAGAGAGAAAAAAAAAAATGAAGTCATATTTCGTTCGTGTTGACAAATATGCAAGACCAACAGACCTTTTAAATTCACTCGTTCTTCGTTCTTGTTTCTAAACTCATTTCCATTTCTTTCTCTCTTTTCTTTTCAGGCTTCTTTACCCCCTTTTTTCCCCCTGTAAGCTTGCAACCGTATTTTACATCATCAACGACAGTAATAGCAATCTTTCCCTTAACGTTTATTCTCACCCCCATCTTCACAGAAAAGCACAAACATACATTTTTAATATCCGCTTTGAACCTGTGCCTTTGGTTGTACCCTCTTCTTTATCATGGGCCCTTCACATTCAAAATCAAAGAAAAACCGGTACTCGACTTCATCCACCAGCGCTTCTTTCAAAAAATCCAGTTCAAGAGTCATCCCTTTTAGATCTCGGGCTAATTCCGATACATCCCTTGCGCCAGATCCATCACAATGGAGCTCACATCATGCTGCGGAAGACAATAACCGGGTCTACTATCCAAGCCATGATTTTGGCTTGGATAAGACCAAAGGCTCATCCCATACTAAAAGCGCACGAAATAGCGATAATAGTGCTCTCCAACAAAGCAATAATATGAGTCAACCTCGAACAAGTGCATCGCACGGCCGTCCATCGTTCTCATTGCTTCGTGGTCGTAAGAGTGGACAGTATCAGCGTGAAAATGAAGGCCAACAGTCTCAACATATTATTTATATCAGTGCACCAATCAGTACGGATCAACCTCAACCTCAACCTACAATGATCCATAATTTCGATCAGTTTTATGATGAACCACCTCGGGCTACCTCCGGAGCATATAAAGCGCCTGTACCCTTATTGCCGATCGAAGCTCAGCAACAACAACAGCAGTCAAAGCAATCATCTTTTTCATTCCCACCACAGATAGAGCTTCCTTTTAGTCCCTCAAGAGCTGACTCTTGGTCATTTCCTTTCCCACCTGAATCTATGCCATCATTGCCTGCGCATGAGCCACAAAGTTTGTTGAAAGAGAGTTTACGTAATGCAACCACAGTGGAAGAGAACAAGAATGGGTCAAGAGTGGTCGGATCCCATAACAATAGCAGCAGTAATACTCAATCAGGTTCTGCCCTCACTTCTGGCGCAGGTATTGGCGGACACAAGAGGGACAAGCTCATCTCCGAATCCAGTCCCTCATCTTCATTTTCTAACACTTCTCAGATGGGTTTCAGCATAGGAAGGCAGCGTTCCAGCAGAAACAATGTAGTTCATCCAGAGAGCTATACCGATTCAAAGTCGGCCCGACAGCGTCACCAATTACAATATCAGGGGAATTCAGAGAATACATCGCTTATTTCATTGCCTGGGTCAAAGTACAAAGGTCGTGACGGGATATTGAAAGGTGGTGGTGAAGATGACAGTCTAGTGCCAAGCAAGAATGCATCAGAGTTATCATTGTTGGGCTCAGTGATCAACACTGCTGGTAAAAGCCCGAATCTTGTTGGTGCCAACACATTAAAGGGTAATTATGACAGCCAGTTCTCGGGCGCCCAACTACAACAACAACAGCCACAGCGACGTTCTCAGCCAGAGTCGCTATATGCAGCAAGTGATCATGATCTGGCTCCAGATTCTCTGATTAAGAATGACTTGTCTAGTAGTTATAAGACCGGGACGAATCCTTCTTCCGCCCGTGAATCCATGGTCTCGGTCAGTACAGCCAATTATCAGTGGATGGAGGGCCAAGCCGAAGACTTGAGTGTGCAGGATGCTATCAAACGTGATTCTATTATGATGCTATTTCACTCTCCAACTGTACCGGAATTTGATGTGTCAGCTAGTCAACCACCCTTAATTGGGAAATTAAATCTCGAAGAGCAAGCACAGCAGCTATTAAAGCAGCAAGCGCAGCAACATGCTTTGTTGAAGTGCTTTTTCAGAGGCAACTATCATGCTCCGATCGATAAGCAGAAGCTTGGTTCTGTTCTTGATGGTAGGGATTTTTGTTTGTTTAAGAATACGCTAGACCAAACTATTGTTTGTGCTATATTTGATTAAAGTTAATGACGGAATTATGTTTATTCTCATAGTCCAGATGACGCGCATGGCTAATCTCGTCATTTTTTTTTTTTTTTTTCCCACTCTTATCACCTTTCTAGTCGGCTGTGGGCCAGGTCTATGGATGAAGGATATGGCTCTCGAGTTCCCGCTGACGGAAATACATGGCATCGACTTGAATGTTCCGATTCGCCGTCGACGTCCTCGAGGGGCTGCCTCGTCTCCAACATCACCCAATTGTAATCGTACCAAAAAATCAGAGTTACACAGTAGCCTTCAGAGCAATAGCTCCTCTGGTACATTCTCAGGAGCTCATGTAGGGTTAGGTATTGGTCTAGGTACGGATCCCACCAGTCCTACATTAACTGCAGCACCAACCATGCCACACTCGATACCAAGCAATTGCTCCTTTCATAAAGGTGATATCCTGATGGGCTTGCCATTCCCGGATAATATGTTCGATTATTGTCATGTAAGCTTAGTGCTTTGGGGCTATCGTTTGAACTATTTCCCAGATCTCCTTAATGAACTGATCCGGGTGACCAAGAAAGGTGGATGGATAGAGTTTGTGGATCTGGATCCTTGCATAATGAGCCCTACTGAAACCGGAGCAAGCGTTAACGAATGGGTATGATATCAAGGTTGATTCCCTTTATGCCTTATATACATTGCTATGATGATTATTGTTAACACAGCTTTGTCCAATAGATCAAGACGGGTTTGATTCATAGTAACATGGACCCAGCTCTGGTCAGGAACCTGCCAAGATTCTTGAGAGAATTTTGTGATTCCACCATCGAGGCGGCTCAACTCAATGGCAATATTGGTAGTCATCCATCATCTCTTTCATCATCGTCGCCTAACCAGCGCAAGAGTAGAAGCTCGTTTACTACGCCTATGAATTCCTCTGGGCTTGAGAACCTCACAGTCTCCAAAATATCTTTGCCTTTTGGGCCATGGGGCGGGCAAGTCGGAGAGCTCTGGCAACAAACATTCACATCATTCTTGCAGGGGCTAGAACCTATGATAGTGGATGCAGCGCTTTCAGGATTAGTAATAGATCAGTATCATCGTCAATGTCAACAAGAGATGCAGCGGCTTATAGAGAGCGCGAATACTGATGGGAAGCTTGGATCAGAACTTACACAATATGATCAAAGGCTGTGCACACACAAGGCATGGTACCATTTAATCACTCAGTTGCTCAAGGATGCCTTACTTGCCTCGGAGACGACATCTCATGCATCGCCATTGAACAGCAGCGGGACAGCTTCCTCGTTACCTTCTTCTCCAGTCAAAGAGGTGCGCTCATATAACAATCTTTATGTTGCGTATGCTCAGAAAGTAGACATTGAGGAGTTGAAACAACGGCTACTGCTACAACACCTAGAGCAAGAAATCTTGAGTCCTAACCCTGATATGACTTCGCTACCCATGTTCTCATTGGCGGATGCAGCAAGAATAAGAGCCTCACGACAGCAGCAAGGGCGAAGTCATGACCAAGGACAAACCTTATCCTTATCACAGCAACTAGGAGCAACCAATATAGGCGCATCAGATGATGGTGACGCTCGTCCGGAGCACTATAAACAACTAGCGAGCAGATTACGTCATAAACTTTCATCGCCCAAGTTACATCAACAATATGCTGCGTCTTTTCCTGACAGCCATGAACGCGATCAAAAGGCAGAGGAGACCGGCAACGATGGATATGCTTCACAAAAAAAGAACCGCTACGGTCTAGTCGCATCCTTGACACAAGAGGCGCTCGCAACATTTAATAGGGCGAATGGGCAGGAGACCACTGTAGCGACGCCTGGCTCTTCGGCGGCACCACCAACGCCTACGTCCATCGCAGCACTTTCAATCCGCAGCAGCTCACGGAACTCAAATAGGAACAGCAGTATCTCTGGCTCCACAACCGGAGTACAGCCCTCAATAGGCACCCCTGGATCGATGCCAAGCCCTTCTGGGTTTGTTAGTCCACGAATCACGGCAGCTATGAATGGATTAAAGCGTCAGGGTTCTGTTCAAAGTAGACTGGATAGTCCTCAATTGCAACCAATGGAGACTACTGGCAAGGAAGGAAATAAGGGCGCTTCATTTGAACTCGATTATTTTAACCAAACACATGTTCATCACTACCCCACGCTGTACCATCTCCATCAGATGAATTCCACCAATAAGAAGCGCAGTCAGCTGTCACAAACTATCGCTTCTGCCTCATCTGCTGAAGCTGCTGGTATCACAACCGTGAGTCATTCTGGTGATCAGGTAAGCACTCCTGATGCCGGATTAGAGCCAAAAGCTAAGAATAAGCCCGAACTAGAGCAAAAGCAGATAGTGCACGGCGCTTCAGATATGACAAAAAATAGAAGGGGTAACGAAAATGGTGTGGATAAGAGATCAGGTATTTTGATTCCACTGCAGGATGGTGATGAGGACGATGATATGGACGAAAAATTCGAGATGATGGGAGACCTAATCAGTCCAGAAGGTATTGTTGGCGTGGTTCCTGAGCACTCTGCATCCGTACAAGAACATCTAGTTCCGATCAAGTCATCGACTGCGCTTGTAGAGCTTGCATGCGAACAAAATGATGGTACTGAGCATGGCGGAAGCATTAGAAAGGATAATACGATCGATATGACCATGGGCAAAAAAGTCTCGCCTGACGAAGGAGAGCAGGATGAGGATGACAAGAGTGTTGTGGACGATAGTCAACTTCAAATGCTGCCTATCTCAGAGGAAGAAGAGACGCCCCCAAAGTCACTTTTTTCAACGGAGAATGATGATAATGCTCCAACCACTCCAGTGCCTACAATCGAGGAAATTGTTACTGCAGCTAAAGCCGGGGCTGTCGCACCAATGAGAGCCCGTGATGACGCATCTGTCCCAACCATCAGACAGATTGTAACTTCTGCAAAGAAAACCGCTATTCCTATCCCAGTAAGGTCTGCGAAGGCAAGGGGACAAGGTGCCGACGTCCGCGGTTGATGATCCAGTATCAGAGGCAATAAAGAGATGTTTTGGCTGCAAGTTGACGCAACGATTTTTATCCATGAAAATGTCAGCACCTACTACTTTAGCGGCGTCAAGGACCAGGATGAGGTGATATCTGGATAGACAAGAAATAGTATAATATACACATTACCTAAACACGTATTTAGTATAACTTAATAATCGTAATTCTTTGTACCCATTTTTTAACAACAACTACTATAAAGTAAACCTGAAGGGTGGTTGCAGCCAAAGCGAGCAAAGTCATGTGAGATCGAGTGAAAGGAAAACGAGTGTGAATTGAGAGGATGCACGATCATTGATGTAGTCAGTAAGCAATGGTTCATTCTTCTAACTCTCCTGCCTGCCTCTATTACGCTGCATCGTCCATTGTAGTCGCTAGATTTGTACATCTAAATTATAACCGGAGTCATAGTTGCTTGAGTCAGTTATTTCCTGTGATTTGTTGTGATCTGTACATTGTAATTAATTGCGGCGATGGCTCCGTCTTTAAATTAATCGTCTCTCACACTACAGCGGAATTACAATTTGAGTCTTTGATGCATTAATTGAATTTGGTGACTGTGGCTGAATGGGACAAAAAAAAGACTTGCATGTTTTTTTTTTTTTTTTTTTTTTTTTTTTTGCGTCCTTCATGCTTAGATTCATTAAACCAGCTTCATTCTTCCTTTCTCAAATATCATTCCGTTTGATTGATTCGTTAATCGACGTCCTTGCTTTTCTCTATTTATATTGTACAGAGGATGCCCACGGTACAACCAAGGGTGTTACCTCCTACTCTTTCACCTCCTTCTTTATCCTTGTCATCCCTTTCGCCTTCCTCTCCACCTCTTCCTCATTCTTTCGTCTCTTCAGCTTCGTCTCTCTCTTCTCCTTATCGGTTCTCTTCTGACACTCCTCCCATCGCTATGGAACGATCTCACCAGTCTCGTTGGTCGCAAGACCGCTCTGTCCATAATAATACCTATGTTCACGGGCATTCGTATAATGATCGTGTTAGGAAAGATTCTGAAGCGATGTACTACTCTAGCCATTCAGATCCTTACTACCAGCATCCTCATTCTGAATCCCGATCTCATTCGCCTTCATCGCCTTCTCATCACGACCGGTACCAACGTCAAAGCTCCCCAGAGGCCTATCATCACCAACATTATCAGTATCAGAGTTCTCACTGTCCACCACAATCGCATCACTACCAAGAGAACAGTGGAAGTTATAGGACAAACGGAGAGCATTATTTTGGACGGTTGGGTCATCGGCGTTCGACAGATTCTGCGGCTGCAGACACATTGCTGCTGCTTAGTGCTGCTGCTTTTATGGACCCAGCAGCTGTTCGAGCAGTCATGGCAACGGACATTGACAAACGAATGGGTACAGCCGAATCGACAGATGATCATCATGACAGCAGCAGCAGCAATAGCAGTAATGAACGTCATGTTCAAACAACGGCCCACCATAATTTTCATACCGCTCACGCGACGTATTCGCACCACCAAAGGCGCTTCTCCCCACCACCAGACCGTCCTTGTCTCCATCCAATGACAAAGACTATCTCTGCACCTGTGCTATCTTCTTCGTCTGCATCGCCCTTACCCACTCTTGAACAGCAATCGAGGCTGTTCCATCGCTCGGTGGACATGGATATGGACATGGTCATGGGGCCTAGACAGCCGAGCCCTTCTTCATCTGTCTCTTCAAATAATCATCCTCTTCCCATAACAGATCGGTCTGTTGGTCCTAATTGTGGATCATCAACTTTGATTCCAGACGCTCGAACCCGTTCTTTAAATCTTGTTTTCTCTGTAGCGACGTCTGAACAATCTGTAGATTCTGTTAGCAGTAACTTTGGCGATAGTCCTGCCACTATTGAGAATGACACAACGGAAGTAATGCAGATGAAAAAGAATGCTCAAGGGGAGGACGATGAAGGCGAGGATGAGGTCATGTCAGAAGGTGTAGTGCATTTGAATATGAGGTCAACACCTGGGACCCTGTCCTCACAGAGCAAGACTCGTTCTTCTCGTCAGTCTTCACATCCATCACTGCCCATGCTTCCATCTATCTCCACCTCCGCTTCAGTCTTGCAAGCCAATCAGTCTTCCCAGGACTCACCAAGGACACCGACAAGCGCAAAGACTCCTCGGACACCGAAGCAGAATAAGGCTCCAAAGCTCGCTAAGGCCCCTCGTATGCCTAAACGTAGCCATAGTGATTTTCAAGCTAGCAACAGCATTAGTAGTGGCCGAGGAGGTAGGAATAGCCTTCGGGATACTCATGGAGATTACTTCTTTTCACCCTTTCCACCCTCGGCCTCGACCTCGACTGCGACTTCTCCCTCTTCCCCATCCTCGTTTCAAGCCCAGCTTCAGCTGTTAACACAGAACTTTGTCTCGGTCCAACCTCGTGCTGATACAACGACTCGATTCCGCCGAGTACCCACTTCGCATAACAATGCCACTGTCACCACTACGACAGTCTCTAGCACAGCAACGCCACCATTCTCTCCACCAGTCTCGCCTGGAGCGGATCTGATACGGGACTCTCCATTCAATGCTGCCTCTAGTCCTGCAACTGCTTCACCCACTAAGGGAGTAAATGCATCTGGGACAGATGGACAAACAACTGAATCATTGTCATTGTCGTTGATGCCATCGTCATCATCAATAGCACCGATCACACGATCTAGCTCATCAGCCAAACCAACGATGACAACATCTCAACGATCTCTCTTGAAACCACGTTGGCATACACAACCATATATGATGTACCTGGCATTGCGAGCCATGCCGAATCAGACAGCAGCACGACAAGAGTTGATCATGGCTGCTGTAGAGTTGGACAAGAAATTCAGTGCAGAAAAGGGATTGCCACGTGTTTTTACAGGCAAAGTAAGTTTCATGCCCGACCTTCTCACATAATCAGAGGGAGAAAAAAACATCAGACGAGCTTAAACTAATGAACCTTATATTTTACCATTTTGGATGAAATTAGACTCCTATGAACTCTGCATCTGCATGTTTGACCAACAATGGTGACAAATACTTTATACCATTCAAACCTGAGGGAAGTAGAAGTACGCATTTCAGACTCGCATACCAACCTGTAGACTTTGAGTCGACATTGAAGGCATACAATAATTGGATGGAGCAACTGATAAAACATGACTGGCCTCGTTGTTTTGGAAATCCCAAAGAAGGCATCAAGAAATCGCAACTGGAAAACGAGTCTATCCGAACGACTCGACCAGAGATACAACGTGCATACTCTTCTCCAGAATCTAAAAAACGCGGCCCTGATTTAGAAGAACAAGAAGACGGGCTTGATTCTGGAAATAATAAGAAGGTTAGGGCCGAAGGTGAAGAAGATGGATTAACAGTAGCAACGGCACTAAACCAAGAGGACAATCGTAAGGACTCGGATAGAATGCACATACACCGTTTGGATATTAAGGCGGCGGGAAGCTATGATGGTTCCACGTCTTGTCCACCAACACCCACAGCAGCTTTGGCTGCCGCAACTGAGAAAAGTTTATCTCTAAAGGAGCCGTTCGAAAGAGCGTCGCCCATTTATCGCCTTGAAGACCTTGACCTAGAAGGAGTACCCACTGATCTTGCAGATATTGTTCAGGTCAACGTCTCCATGATTCCCAATGCTGGCAATGGGTTGTTTGCAAAGATAGATGTACCTGCAGGGACTCCTTTAGGGTTTTATTTTGGTGTGCCGATGACCGAGAATGAATTCGATTCTCTCAAAGATGGCGTTGGCCAGGCATTACATTACTCACTTATGTACCAGCGGACAGTTCTGGATGCGACAGATGATCATGGTCAGCCTTACAGGGATCCTCGGGGACGACTGTTCTGCCCATTCCATTTCATGAACGATGATTCTGATGGCAATGTGTCGTTTATCGCTGGCAGTGTGGTGAACCAAGTGATTTGTATGACAAATCGCGATGTGAAAGCAGGCGAGGAGCTGCTTGTATACTTTGGCAAGGAGGTGATCGACCGAGGCTCAGCTTGTCTTTCTCCTTCTCCATCTTCTATTTCTACTACTGCCTCTGCCTCTACCCCTGCTTCCGCTTCTGTCACTGCTCCTGCTCCTGCTCCTGCTCTTACCATTCCGGGCGTTGCTACAGGGTCTCAAGGACAGGAGATGACAGTTCAGCCTGATGAAGATTTGGATGGAAAGAAAAGTACGAAGGCTGCAGGATCACGGTCTAGAGCATCATCACCCCTTAAAAGAATAGTTCCAGCAGAGGATACAGGACGGCCCCGGAGAGAGAGTGCTTACAAGCCTGTTCGATACACACGCTAAAAAAAATATCGAAACTTTTTTTTTACTCCCATTCTTTTACTTATTCTCTGTTCTCTGCACCTTAAAAATTCTGTTTTTCATTGCTTGTTTTCTTTTTTTTTCTTTCTTTTTTTTTTTTTTTTTTTTTTTTTTTAGTTGTTGTACTTTTAAAGCCTTAATACATCGTAAGCTCATTTGATCATGTAATATTAGAAAAACATAACCTCTTCCCCCCTAAGCTTGTAATTGGGTCATTGACATTCATGGAGTTGACGGGTTTGTTAATATTTTATTTTATTTTTATTTTATTTTTTAAATCTTGGTCATTTGTGCAGCCACTTTAAAGTTGGCACGAAGTTTCCGTTTTTCTGCAAACTGAGCATTGACGTCTCGTTGCCGCGCATCCATCATTTGTGAGAGGGCTATAGAAGATGAGTTTGTTGAATTGCCAGAAGGTGTGGCGGGCGTAGCAGGGTTATTCATTTGAGGTGTCGATGCAGCCATTGGATCCGTTGAAGGCAACGCTCCTATTGTAAGAGAGGGAGTACTTGGATCCAAGGCTCCAGAAGCTGTAGGAGTAGATGAAGACATGATAACATCGGAGCTCGGGAAAGGTGAAGGCGCAGTGACTCCTAGGGATGCAGGCGCTCCAACAGGAGTTGCGACTGTAGAGCTAATGGCAGTTGGTGTGGGCGCACCAGCACCGAGAGCGCCGGTAGTGGTAGCTATTGACATATTAGAGAGCACACCTGAGGCTGGTGTAGACCCTGCGGGTGTATTGACTAGACTGACGGCGGGTCCAGGTGAGAACATGGTCGTATCTGTCCCAGTAGTGCTATTATTGTTGGTGCCATGTTGAGTATTCAAGTTGTTATGAATATGGCTTTGCATACGTGGGGACATAAAGTTGGGTTTAGGAGTCCCTGTAAAATGTGTTGAAGTTGTTGTTGATGAAGAGGAGGCAGATGGTGTGGAGACCACATTAGAAGCAAAATTAGGGAGGATGGTTAGGGCAGAGAATCCTGTTGCTTTGGCTTGATTTGAGAGAGTATCGAGTTGAGTCAAGAGATTAGCAGTGTCGGCTATAAAAATAGGCTTTAATTAGTTGATTGCTTTCCTTCAATATGGTCTTGATAGAAGAATATATTTTTTTTTTACCAATGGCTTCTTGTTGGGTATATGGATGCTTGAACGACTCTTCACTATCAAGAAAGAAAAAAGTCGATTTGAATATTTTTTATCCAAAAAAAGTAGTTTAGCCCACAAAGTAAAAAGCAGGATAGATTCCTTTACATTTTATGAAACATGACAAGACCTTGTCGCTCAACTTCTCCAAGTTGATTAAGTAGGACATGGAGGGACGTCATCAGTTCCTTGTCAAAAGGCACTTGAGGTTGTGCTGATGGACGTCCTTGTGGCCGTGGGGATTGGATGCTACTGGCAGGTGATTGCATTGTATATGAAAGATTATGTGTAAATATGGATGTATTACAGAATAAAAGCCTTCAATACTGATCTTGATTCTAATCCTGACGTTGGTACTGATGCTGATGCTTATTGTTCCTTATGTTATGAATGAACACTGTTTTATGCATGTGAACAAATATATAATAAGTCTGTGCAGGCGTGTCACGGTGTTGTGACAGCCAATTGAGTTGCAGCTCCAATGATCCCACCTTGGATAAAACACCAAGGATTGTACGTGTCAGAACAATCGAGGTCCTAGACTACGTTTACCAAACACATCTGTTTAATGCTGGTATCCAGTCAATTTTATGAGGAATGATGAAAGCGGGATGTTTTTATCTGTACAATCAAATACTCTGGATGAACACGAAAAAAAAATGGCAATAGTAATAATGATAATAATAATAAAAGGCCTTTCTCAAACAAAATTGCTATGATGTCCTCATTATTGAGCAGTAGCAGAGGCATTCTCCTTCTCTGTTTCTTCCAAGTTCTCCGCGACAACATCCGCAAATGTAAGACCACTCTTCATCTTTTCCAAGTCTTCAGTCTGCTCCAACACTTCGTTCTCTGCAATGTTCTCCTCCTCCTTCTCTACATGGTGGGAGACGATATCAGCAAAAGTGACGCCAGACTTCATCATTTCAAGATCCTCTGTTGGTTCCAAAATCTCTTCTTCCTTTTTCTCTTCGACCTCCTTCTCCTTATGTTCCTCAGGGATATGGTGGGCCACAACATCGGCAAATGAGATATCTTCTGTCACTTTCTCGAGGTGCCCATGTTCATGAGTCTTTTCGCTGCCATCGTTGGAGATGCTGCTACTACTGTTGATGTTGATGGAGGTAGCTTTGGTAGTCGTAGTAGTTGTAGTAGTCGTGGTAATAGTTGAAGACGCATCCGAATGTTCGTATTGAGTAACATCATGTGAAACAACATCAGCGAATGTGACGCCCTCCTTCATCTTTTCTAAGTCCTCTGTGGGTTTCAAAATCTCGGGCTCAGGAATATTGTGAGAAGCCACCTCTGCAAACGACAGACCTTCCTTAACTACATTGCTTTCTGCAGTGTGTTCGACAACATGATTGTGGCCATTGACTCCCTTATCCTCATTTTTTTTCTTGGTCTCTTTCTCTTCCTCAGCAGCTTCCTCAGCAGCCTTCTTTTCAAAATCTTCGACGGCAACCAAGCGATCCTTGAAAGTTGCTGCAATCTTATCCATTTGTGTCATCCAATGTTGAATGTTCTCGATGACGGCTCTCTTACGTTTGCGAATCTTTTCACATCCTTGAATTTCAGGTCCATCGGAAGTAGGTAATCCACCAAAGCCATCGCCAAGATCGGTCAATTCGCGAGGAGAGATGGCATCCAAAGACTCCAAAAGCTTCAAGAACCGTTCGTTGATGGAAGCGATCAAATAGTCCAAACGTTTATAACCCTGACGGACTTTGGCTGTGTCTTCACTATAACCCTGTGTCCGTTCACGGATCAGCTCCTCCTGAGTCTCTTCAATCTCTTGTCCAAAATCTATCTTGTCCTGTGGATTGATCAAGCCTAGAGCAGGAAGCTTGACGTGAGGGTCACCTGGAAAGATGGGATGGGTACGCAAGGTGCGAGTGCGAACCTGAGCTAGACGAATGTCTTCGTCAACGAGCTCCTGGACAGAGGTTTCAATCTTGTGGAGCTTATGGGCAAGAGTCTTTTGAAGTAATTTGACTTTGCGCAGGTGCTTTGCACGTCGATCGTCCTGGATAAGCAGGTAAGCGAGAGTAGAAATGGTGGTCAGACCAATGATGGCAGAGACCGAAAGAATGAGGGTCTTCTTAGTGGAATCAGAGACCATGAGGGATAAGAAGGAGCGAAACAGGTCAAAGAAGAAATGAGTAGAAGAAAAGTGCGGAATGAGGAGAGGGGGAAAAAAAAAAGATCAGAATAAACACAAAAAACAATGATACGCGAGGGACTAGAAACAACAGTCGTGAGAGGATTTCTCACTTCGGGAACCAAATGACGTCTGATTAAGAGAGCCTTTGTGCCTGACTTGCCATAAACAAAGAGCACAACTTTAAGCAAATTCAAGTCTCTCTTCATGAATATTTGCATTTAGATTCATTCTATTTTACATTATAGTTGCTTCATTCAAGTGTTGTCCTTTGCTGAATAGTTTTGGTCCTCAAGGGTTGGGGACAAGAGGAGACAAAATCGCCATTTACGGAGAATATCTCAAGTCATCCCGTTGTCTCACTTCCATCTTAAAGAAGCCTTGCCGGAGGATGGAAAACAAAGCAAACACATGTGTGTGTAGATCCTCAGTCAGCATAACATTTTTCAGCCTTTTATTACGGACTTGAGCACACGCGCTCTGCGCACCAAGCATTTGCTTATACACGGTCTTATCTTTGAGTAAATTTGTTTGCTCATACTATATGTCGAACCTTTGATATAGCAGACGTAAAGCTACCTATCAAGTCGATCCAGCTTGAAGCAGTGTTGTAGGCATGCTAACGAAAGTAGAAGTGACTTTAGTGCTTGCCGCTGTTGTTGTTCCTGCAGAAGTAATTCCCTCTCCTGCGTTCTTGACGTCCTTGACCGTGGCTCTGCACCAATTGCAGAGGATGCTCAGACAAAAACCCCTTGGGGCTTGAAGTGATGGTAGTATTGGATATAAGTATGAATATATTGCTGGCGGATGATATAGCAGATAAGGCGTATCACTGTTTAAAAGAAAATACTGTAAGTAAAGCTGTGGCTAATGATGTTCGGATGGAGGGTATGATTGGAACTATGGTTGGAAACAAGGTTGTTGCTGAGAGCGAGGGTAATATTGTGTGGCGATTTGGGTCCCTGGGCTATTTGTGTTTATGCACCACTGGAAAGATTCATATGCTGTATTTGATGTGCGCCCATGGATACCTGGCTTCATCTCATCCCCGAACGCCATTGATTGCCAAATCTCTTCAGTGTTTCATCTAGGGATTTCTCTAGCGAACGGATCTCACCAAGCGCCTCCCCTGTAGATCAAATTTCGCTTGCAATAGTTGTCATGACTACCTCACATTGCTGAAGAAGACTAGCCTCTTCTTGATTCTGGAGAATCAATACTTTGGCAAAGTCTCCAGAGACCCGAGTCCAAAATACGTTGTTTTCAAGAAAGTGGTTTTATGATCATAATGCATCTTGTAGTATAATTCTACAGCAACGGATTAATAACTTGAGATATAAGCGCTTGTAAATGTCCTCAGTATTATGCATGTAATGGGTGCTAGCGGCCGAGGCGGATGCAGGCCTCTAGTCTTAGTCTTGCTCGTCAATTGATCCAAAGGATCTGGAGTTTCAATGTTTGGAAGAACGACTTTATTTTCCCATTGTTTTCGGCTTATTCTCTTTTCGTTTTCCTTTTGGGCTTGAACATCTCTCAGGGAAATACTCATCTTCTTCATAGCCTCTATCTCGTTTTTATCAAACTGTCATTTCATCCCACACATTCTTATTTCCAAGCCTATCGAATTCCATTCCGGATAACATCCTCGATTCATGAAAAAATGGCACGCTATAGTTCAACGGAAGGGCTTGTATTGTGGCGCGCACTAGGCAATTGTCTTTGTCTTTAAGGCCAGCGATGATTAGAGCATAACCATTTGGTATTTTAGCCAAGTAATTGGTATACGCCTATTCTTGTCATGTAGTCAACCTCTGATCTGCACATATAAATGTGAGATGCATCACGTCTACGCCCTGGCATACCGCCTGCTATGAGTTTTTTGCTTGAGGTAAAGTTAAGCTTACCGTATAGCCGCCTGACAGCCTTTTTCTGAGCACCGGCAGAAATACCATACTTAGGACCACTACGACTTGCAAGGATAAGGAAGTGAGCCCAACCGACTTAGAAGCTTTGTTTCGTCCAACCTGAATTACGACTGTTTCAGAATAGTTACCAGTAGGGAGGGCTAACAGATAAATAGATGCATGAATAATTGATAACTGCAGACTAGATAATAAAGCATCTACCAGAGATGAAACATGTAAAACGCAAATGCTGAGAAAGTGCACTGTTGAACGCCAACATGTCGGATTGCGCAAGAGAGGCGGCTTTCACTATTCTCATTCGTTTTTCCTTGCTCTATGCGAAATGGAAAACTGTATATCTTTCGGCAAGACGTCTGAGGCCCATTAAGCGTTATGTAGGGCCGCTCAGAGGATCGAAGGTGGGGAGATGTCTTCACCACCAAGCTTCATTTGATGGCGACATGTCACACAGAAGTGACCCCTATTATTGGTGCTTCTTCTACTGAGTCAGATCGATCTGTCTGTAGATGATTATTTAGGAGCTGTGGCGGTGATAGAGGTTGAGCACTTGGGACGCGTGAAGGGGAGCGTTGACCCTATATCCTCTCTTTACCCGTCCGGGGCGACTACATTTTCGCTGCTGCTGACTCTAACTGTGGCAACGACTCTGGTCCTGACAATGTTAATGGGGGTGGAGGCTTTGGTAATGAAAGCAGAGACTTAAAATAGCTGCCTGCTCTTCGCCGCCGCCCTCTTCCTCGCGAATAAGTGGCCGCCACTTCAACAAGGGCGGAGGTTGACGCTTTACTAAATGTGCTTCTTCGTCGTCATCTTCTTCACAAGTAAGTCGTCTCCATCTCGGCGAAAATGGTGATTTTACTATGGTAGGATGTATTTTTTTTAAATTTAAATTGCAAATGAGACTAGTGCTGTTATGAATGAACGATGAGGCGTGTTATTGATAAGTGAAAGACTATTGATATCTTTGAACATAAGAGGAGAAAGATTTATGGATTTTTTTTTTTTTTTTTTTTTTTTTATTTTTTTTTGGAAAGAAAGGAGAAGGAAAGAAGGAAAGAAGGAAAGAAGGAAAGAAGGAAAGAAGGAAAGAAGGAAAGAAGGAAAGAAGAAAAGATGGATAGGAAAAAAAAAAAAAAGTACAGTGCTTGGATCTGCACAATGATAGAGCCATTGTTTAACTGATCAGTAGAAACCAAAGTTTAGGTCGTTCTATTCTTTTGCCTCCAAATAAACGTTTAAAGTGTTTAAAGTGCTGTAGAAAATACCCTAAAATGACTAGTCCTTTTCTCTATTTTATTTGGTTGGTTGGCTTAAACCGCTTTCTGAGCCGCCATCAGTGTTTTCATGCTCGCTTGTAAATGCTCTTCTTGAGACAGCAAGTCTTGTTTACGCTTCTTATCGGTCATCCTCTGACGCTCAGGTACCTTTTCTAGATACTCTGGCTTTGCCATGCGTAATGCTAGCTTTTCGAGGCTATCGTGCACTTCTGTCAATTTCTTCTCTAGACGTTGAAGGTCTTGCTGTTGCTTTTGGCGATTGCCAACTGCAAAAGACGAAGATGATGACTCTGCAGGTTCCGCAGATTCAATAGCTTTTTGAATTGCAGATAAAGGTATAAGTAATTTGACCTGCGGTGATACTAAGTGAGCTACAAGGGGATCAGTTTGTTCGTCGACCATCGTCCTCAAACTCGAAGTGGATGTTGGTGTTGATCCATCAATAAATGTGATCTCGCCCTTCGCACGCATGAAGTGCGAAAGGTAGGCACGGCTCTGCTGAAGTGCACTATCTTTGGCAAGAAGAGATATATCACTTGTCCAAATTGTGATAGGCAATTCTTTAGACACGTGTACTTGGTGACCCTGACGCAAAGAGCGCGAACCCTGAATCAGACCCAATATGATTTCCATATCTCGTTCTGCGGCCTCATCCTTCCAAATCTGAAGTTCTTGATCGGATGGGAAAACCGAAGTCATGATAGAGGCATTCTGAGGCGCCGTAACTGGAAGCATTTTTTGCCACAATTCCTATGAATTTGTAGACCCCCCCCCCCAAAAAAAAAAAAAAAAATAAAAAAAAAAAATAAAAAAAAATAAAATAAAATAAAAAATAAGATGGTGTTGACGCGTCATAAGATGACTTTATGGGGAGTACCAAAAGCTCCATGACATTACCTCAGTAACAAAGGGCATGAATGGATGCATCATCCTTAATGAAGCGTCAAGGCACGTTTGAAGCACCTTGAAAATCCTAGGCTTCTGTTGAAGTGCTGACTCGCCCGACGAGGACAAAGTGGGCTTGATAAACTCAACATAGACATCACATAAATCTTGGATGATAAATTTTCTCAGTGCTTCTGTTGCAAGCGAAGGTTCAAGTTGCTCCATACTAGAGTTTACTCTTGAAACTGTATCAGCGAGACGAGACATGATGAACCGCTCCACAAGCGTCAACCCACCCTGTTGTTGCTGACCAGAATTAGCTCTCCTAAGCTCTGTTAAGCCTTGGGCGATAACGGTCTCAGATGTGGTCGTGTATGTAAAGTCGAATTCTTTTATGCGCATTCTAGAAAACACAGATAAGTTCCACAGTTTGTTTGCAAAGTGCTGTGCAGATGTGACATTCGACAAATCTAAGTTGATCTGTCGAGACTGCTGCGTTGATGTTATCAGCGCAAAACGTAATGCATCTGCTCCACTAGCCTTGATGCCTTTAGGGAAGTCCTTCTCCATCTGTGCTTGAGATCGCTTCACTTCTTTGGCTGCCAAATTTCCTCCTTCCAACGTGGTTTTCAAGTCCTGGAGCGAGATACCTTCGATTACATGTGTAGGATCGATTACATTCCCGAGAGATTTGCTCATTTTACGACCCTGGGCATCACGAACCATGGCATGAAACATGATATCTTTAAATGGGGTTTGATCTGAGAGATGAGTACAAAGCATTACCATCCTCGCAATCCAAAAGAACATGATATCCGTTCCGGTCTCGATCATCGTCGTCGGATAGTAATCTGGGATCTTACTTCCTGATGAAAATAGATTGTGGCCTGTCCACCCCAGAGCAGATAAAGGCAAAAGTCCTGAGGAGAACCAGGTGTCGAGAACATCTTCATCCTGGACAACCTTGTACTTTAAATGTTGTAGGTTTTTTCGAGAGATAAAATCGTGGATCTGTTGCGATGCTTTTTCTTGAGATTCTGCCACAAACCATGGGCCATCGCCTACAGACTCAGGACTATCAAATATAGACGAAAGGGTATTGATGTCCTCAAAGATTGGTTTATATGCTGGAATACGGTGGCCCCACCACAGCTGACGTGAGATACACCAATCCTGAATGTTTTCTACACCAAGGAAAAAAAAAAAAAGTTGAAAAGACTCGACCTCGTCTTGAATGCTTAATGTAAAAAGAAAGAAAGGAAAAAAAGGAATTCCTATATATCCTTACCGAGCCAGCGATTCCACTCCTTGATTGCTGAATCAGGGTGGAAAATAAGATTTTGATTTTCTGCATCTTTCAGAGCGCGTTGTGCCATACCATCACACTTGATATACCTACATAATATTAATCAAGAAAGCCTTGGTTACATTACCGCTACAGACAAGTACGATTAGAGCCATTTGCAATTCGCTTCTTTGACATACCACTGCGGCATCACCATGGGTTCAATTACGTCTTTAGATCTTGAACATCTTGCTAATCGCATAACGTGTTCCTCATTCTTACCCCGGTAAACACCAAGAGCCTTCAGCTCCTCCACAATTTTAGTACGAGCATCAAACCTATTCATATTCTATAGTTGATAATATTAACAGAAGAAACAGAATAGATCGAATAGGCTCAATAGTGATTAAACAAACAGGATCAAGTGGCCTTATTACTTTTTTTTTTTTTTTTTTTTTTTTTTTAGCTTATTTACCTCATAAGCTTTTGATCCGCAGTTTGCATTAAACTTGCCGTCCTTGTCAAGGATATTTACAATGGGGAGTCCATGTCTTCTTCCACAGACGTAATCGTTGGGATCATGAGCAGGAGTGACCTATGCAATAAATGAAGTGACCAGATGCTCCAGTTTGGATAAGAAAGGAGTAGTAAATTAACTTTCAAGTCAAGGAAGATAAAGTGTACTTACTTTGACAGCCCCTGTTCCAAAGCTCATGTCTACAAGTTCAGGGTCACAAATAATAGGGAGTCGTTTTCCAGAAATGGGATGTACAACATACTTGCCATGCAGGTGGGTGTATCTGGAGTCATCGGGATGAATAGCTACGGCCTCGTCGCCCAACATTGTCTCAATGCGGGTTGTGGACACAACAAGCTCTTGAGTATCATCTCCATCCACTTTGTATGCAAAGTCGTGCAGGACCCCAAACTCGACCCTACCGTCACATCATCAACAATATCAGTGAATGATAATTTGCAAAACAAAAACAAAAAAAGGAAGAAATAAAGATGTGTGGTTGTTCACCCACCATAGCGATCTCCATGCTGCTACGAACTGTGTACTAAAATGCTTACTTTTTGAGACGCCCGGGGACATTGAGCATGGTTTTGCCTTGAATATCTTCATAATCAACCTCGATATCTGATATCACAGTTTCCAGAGCGCAACACCAGTTGACAAGCCTTGTATCGCGATAGATGTGACCATTTCGGAAGAGTTGGATGAATGCTGATTTGACCGCCTCTGTTCTTGTCTCATCCAAGGTGAAAAAACTTTGGTTCCAATCCATAGAAGCCCCTAACCTCTTCCATTGCTGTATGATTTTGTCGCCATGTAGCTGTTTCCATTCCCAAATTTTCTCAATAAACGCATCACGACCCAGGTCGTGCCGTGTCAAGTTGCGTTCGCGCATCAGTTTCTTTTCGACCACTGTTTGTGTGCTGATGCCAGCATGATCCATTCCTGGAATCCAGGAGACGCTCTCACCCCGCATGCGACGCCAGCGTACAAGCGAGTCCTGAATTGAGGCGGTGAGCGCGTGCCCAATGTGGAGATACCCTGTGACATTAGGTGGAGGAGTGAGCATTGTAAACTGAGGGACAGAGTCAGCTGATAATTTGCCTCTTCCAGCCTCATTAAGACCATCGGCCGACCCCACAGCGGAAGCTGTTCTTGGTGTAAAAAAACCTATAGATTAAAAGACGGGTGGATATCAATGTGGGCTCCTTCCAGTACTAAAAGTCGATACATTGCCGCTCTCATTAATCATTATCCTTTGATTCATCCCATACCTTGTGATTCCCACCATTCGTACCATCCAGCTTCCACAACAGACTATAAAGGATATAATTGTTATTACTATTATTATTATTATTATTATTATTATTATTATTAATGTGGGTATTTTTTTAGAAGGTCAACGAAAAACCCCACAAATGATTAGCGAAACAAAATATCTGATCAGCGGGTAAGGATCCATGCTCACGCACAGCGTCGTATTTCTCGAGTTCCCGTCTGGGTTTACTTGATCCTGGGGAGCTCTTTTGCCTGATTTGCGATAAATGACGAGTACAGGAAGAGCAGACTATGGGCGTCCTCTCTGCTTGACCTCTGTTGGGCCGCAACTGCTTCCCAATGACTCGCCACATGGTGAAATGAACAGAATGAATGAGTTCAAGAGCTCGAGAAGCAGAAAAGAGGGTGTCTGTTCCTTTGTCCCCGATTTTGTTTACGCCCAATTAGGTTTCTACAGTCACAGTGTCCTGACAGACGAAAAAAAAAAAAAAAAAAAAAAAAAAACCTTCCTTTTTTCACCTATTCTCATTCATTCTCTGCGTCTTTCATTCCTTTCGACTTATCACCATGCCAAAGCATACTTTATCACAAGACTCAGAAGCAATTCATAAACGTACCAAATCTAGTCTTGAAGACTCAGCTTGTATCGATCCTCCAGCCTTCAACGCTCGTTATACCGATCCGGATTTTGCACGATCCTTCAATAAGGCCTTTCGCAATCGACTTCCCTTTGAAGATGATCGGAGCAAAGCCAGGATTATCGAATACCCATACCCAACTGCTAGTTTGCCAAATTTCTTGCAGTCAGACACTTATCTAAAGTCGTTGCGTGAAGAATTGCTCAAAGAGGAATATTTTCACAAGTCGAATGATCTGTATGAATTTTATCAATCCGAGGATCTACGACTGTCCAAAAAGCCACATATTGTGGCACTGAAGAATGCAATATACTCTCATGAATTCTTCACGATGATGAGCTCCTTGACAGGTATCGATTTGGATCCCTCTGTGATTGATTTGAACGGAAATCAGTACCATGAAGGATGCTATTTGCTCTGCCATGATGACGATATCAAAAGTGAGAAGGAAGGACGCAGGATCGCCTTTATTCTCTATCTTGTGGATGAGGATTGGAATGCTGCTGACGGTGGTGCTTTGGACTTGTTCAGATGGTGAGCAGACAAAATTCACAAAATGAGAACAAGAACCAGAGGGATAGAATGTTCAAGCATGCTGGTTGATGTGAGCTAATATGAATCTCCATTTTTTCGCCTTCGAGCAACGAAACAGGGTATCCGGTTGAAGTGGTACAATCATTGGTACCACTACGAAATACATTGGCATTCTTTGAATTATCGTCAGTTTCATATCATCAAGTGGCCGAAGTTTTGAGCCGTGATAAGAGCCGCATCTCCATTTCGGGATGGTTTCATGGTCCGCTGCAGACACAGCTAATTTCAAAAACAATGTCTTTTGCACCTTTGAAGGATCAACCTGAAGAAATCTCTTTAGAAGCGTTTCTCAACCCTAATTATCTGGGCAACAGTTCCATTCAAAATATTTGCAACGTCTTTTCGGATCAAAGTTCAATTGAGCTACAACAATTTTTGAAGCCAGAGATCTACCAAACATTGTTGGAGGAGTTAGAAGCATTGGGGGCCGAGGAAGGAGCACAGAGAGAGCAGCCACTGTGGGATGAACTGATGGGGCCTTGTCATGTCAGGCGATACAGCCGTGTTTCAAACCAGAATCAGAATCGTATTCCAGGAACTTTGGCTAGGATTCAAAAGCTGTTTTTATCCAAGGTCTTTGAGGCATACCTGAACAAAATTGCGAACCTGTCATTCATTTCTGCAGCTCCAGAACTAAGGATGTTTAAAAAGGGTGACTACACGCTACTTCATGACCATGCATTGGAAAAGAATGGATTGGATGTAGTGTTTAGTTTCCCGGCTTTGCCGAGTGAAAGGGACCAAGAGACAGCATTGTCATCAAAATCTACAACAACAATGGCAGAGTGGCAAGAAGAATGGGGAGCAGGAGCAACACATTATGTGGCGGACAAGACTAATCTGCTAGCTCTTTATCCAAAGCACAATACGCTGACAATGGTTTTACGAGATGAAGGCACCCTAAGGTTTATTCGTTATTTGAGCACACGTGTGGGTGACGCTAGACGTAGAGAACTGAGCGTATTGTATACGGTGAATGAGGATGGAGATGATGAGGGTGAGGATGAGGACCAAAGCTTTGGCGAAGAGGGCAATAGTGAGGAGAGTTTAGAAATGGAGCAGAAGAATTTCAATGAATGACATTTATTCTTAAGATAATAAATTAAAAAATTTCTAGATACGGATAGAAATAGCTTTAATGATAGAAGGATTGACTACTATCATCGTTTTGTCTACTTATAGCTTGGGACCATCCTTTGGGATACCGTTGATAAGAACACAGGGGCCGCCTGCAATGATCTTGATGCCTGTTTCTTTTGCATAGTCAAGAGCTTCAGGCGAATCCACATCGGGTTGCAGCCAAACACGCGTGATGCCATTCTTGTGTGCTTCTTCGAGAATGGACTTCGTAGCTGGGGGAGGAGTGATGACCGAGATATGATAGTCTGCAGGGTTGCCAGGCAGTGCCGAGAGATTGGGCACACAGCTCAAGGACTCGATGGACTTTTCTTTAGGATTCACGGGCACAGCAGTGTATCCGTTATCAATGTACCTTAAAATTTTTTTTTTATTAAGTCGGCGGTTATCAAAATGTAAGATGAGGCCACAGTGGCAAGTCATTACGTGGCGCAACAGACACACGACGCGTTTCAGGAGCCTCATCAACACAGCTTTTAAAAAAAAAAGAAAAGAAAAAAAAGAGACAACTAACCAGCGCAGTACTTTGTTGCCAAACTTGGATCGATTGTTGCTGGCTCCAACCACAGCAAATTTTTGTTCTGCGGAAGCGAAGAATTCGCGGACAAGAGTAGCGACAGCAGGAGAAGACATTTTGGGAAAGGAGAGAAAAGAAAAGAGTTTATGGGGAAGGCATTGCATGGAGATGTAATGTATTTAAAGTGAATGACCGAACTAATGACGCGCTCTGTGTGGGTGCTTCTTGAAACTGAAAATGGTAAAATTGAGCTCTGCATAAATAGGATTAAACCATTGCATTCTGCTCTGCATTGAAACGTTTTTCTTTTTTTTTTTTTCTTCTTCTTCCTAACCATCCTTTCCTTATTAGTCTTTGACGTTTCTGTTTTCACTTAACTTTTTTTTATCATTCATTGTCAGATGATGTCTGCTCAAACTAATTCCACAGGTATAGCACATTTCTATTTTTTAGTTTTGCATGTCACACATCAACCAAACCCTGTGTTTCCACATGTGAAATTGCACCCTTGGAGCTCCTCTCGCTATCTTTGCTGATCTTCACCAAGGGCGGAAGATATTCAATTGCATCCCCTCAATAGCATATAACGTGGATTGCACCTATTTTCTGCATCCCTTTCTATTTTGTCTATCTGTCTTTGCCTGCCTTTACCTGTCTTTGTTGTAGCAATTACAGCAGCTATAACAAAATGCTTATTACCATGGAGGGGTCAGAGGAATAGCCTGTGCATTTGAAGACCAATTAGGCACCTAATCTGACGCCTGAATTGTCAATCCTTGTTATTTATGACACGTCTCTAAAAAAAATAGACCCATCAACAATTGATGAGCGGATCCCTCAGTATGTTCAGAAACTTGAAGCTGCAAAAGATAAGCTGGAGCAAGACAAAGGCTTGCAAGAAACTTGGGATGAAGTAGCCAGTACCTTTAAATCTTTCGCTGACGCTGCTCGAGATGGTAAGAAAAAGAGCGTTAGTTTTTTATAAAAAAAAAAAAAAACCTCCATTTGACTAGAATAGACTTAGACTAGCTATGATGTATGATCTATTGAGTTGATGCTTTGGATACAGAAAAGAAAGACGTATAAAAAAAAGCGGAAAGAGCATGATGTCGATGACATTGATTGTATTGATTTGCTTTAATGCATAGTCGTTTAACCTACGTTGTGTCATGTGAATTCTTTCTTTTTTCTCAAATGCTGATCCCTTTCGGTCGTTAATGTGGACCTTAGCAAAAGCGCGGACTCCTATTGGCGAATCAAAGGCTGTGCCGTTAATTGTTAGAATCGAGGCATTAAACGAGCAACGCTTGGCTCATGTTGATATCCAAGCCATGCGTGCCTTTGCAAATATCTGTGTTGATCATGGTAAATAAAACCTGTGTTACGCCAAGAAAAAAAAAAGGGTTCATGTCCATACTAACGAAGAAAGGGGGTTTGTTTTACCGTCTCATCGCAGAGGAGAATAGAAAAAAGCTTCTTGAAGGAAACGCGTTCGACATTGTGATTGAGATTCTCAAGCATACAACTGATTCAGATGCGATCAAGACCGCCTGTGGGGCTCTTTTGAACACCACTATGGCTTATGGTAAACCAACAATTGCAAGCAGCATACATTTATAAATACAAAAAAAAAAAAAAAAAAAAAAAATCAGATCACACAACTAATCTTTTTTTTTTTTTTTTTTTTTTTTTTTGCACGTATTCATATTGACCTATATTACTGATATCACTATTTAGAGCCAGCACAAACAAAAGTAGTTGAATTAGATGTCATCGAACAATTGCTCAAGATCTTAAAAGCCGAGAGTATTACTGACGACAACGAAACTAGCATGACTATTGCTTCGCGTGTCATTGCGAATCTGAGCGAAAGTGGTATGCGCTTTTTTTTTTCCTTTTAGTTTCTTTTGGTTCCCACTCGACTCTGGGCTTGTATGATCCCCATCAATGGGCTGATCTATTTCTTTTTATTACTTTACTGAGGCTACAGACGCTGGAGCAAAATCGGTAATCAAGTTTGGGGGTATCAGGACAATCGTTCAGCTTCTAGGAAAGACTGCCAAAGATGTAGATGCCTACATGGATTTATTCGATACATTGATAGATATTTTGCGCGCAGCGATATCTAAGGAATCGGCGCAAGTCGCAGTCCAGAAAGAGGAATTATTGTCTTCATTACTTGAAATACTTGAACACTCAGGCACATCTGATGAGGGCAAGACAGAAGAGGAAAAGAAGGAGGACGATAAGAAATTTGGAGAGACAAAAGCTGCTCTTATGGAGGTTGTTGTTTCGACAACTATGGCAGGTACCGTTTCTCATGCTATTTTGAGCCCTTTTTTTCTTTTTCTTTTTTATTCCTAAAAAAACGATATTGCTATATCCAAAATGACTAATTTTTATTCTTATGACATTTCTTTGCATGTGGACATAGATGCCAATATGGCGCCGATCTTCAATGACAAAAGGGTCATGGATGTATTCCTTGCTTGGTTGGATAATGTTGAACGGGAAGACTTGCAGACCTGTGCAGCCCTCTGTCTAGGCAACATTGCAAGATCAGGTTCGCCATGTACCTTGCTTGTATGGGTAGAATAAAGCTGTGCAATCACTAACTCTTTTTTTTTGTTTTTGTTTTTGTTTTTGTTTATTTCATATATTCATACGGTCAAATCTCAGATCAACATTGTGTTAAACTAGTACATGAATATCGCGCTGTCGAGCCATTAATCCGCATTGTCAGGAAGGCAACGGACCTAAAGGCAAGCCATGCTGCGACCGGGGTACTCAAGAACCTTGCTCTTGCAGGTGAGCAAATGTCTCTTTTTTATCTTTATCTTTTATAACCATATCGCGATAGCTAATATTAATTTCGAATTATGTAAAAAAAAAAAAAAAAAAAAAAATCCATATACATAGAGAAGAATAAGGAAAGCATGGGTGACGCAGGTGTGATCCAGGCATGTTTCCCCCTTCTCAAGAAGGATAATGCTCTTCCTCTTCAGAATAACATTGTAGGCATTTTGAAACGCCTTTGTACCAACAGCAGCCAGAATACAATCCGAGTGGTCTCAGGGCGTGAACCCTTTGAAACTCTTTCATCCACACCCAACTCTGAGAGTGAAATCGAAACCCCTCTTTCATTGTTGGTAGAATTGGTCGGAAGAGCAGATGATTTCGCACTCAAAAGTGAAGGCACCCGAACACTTTGCAATTTGATCAAGGTAACCTGGGGTAGCGAAATTATGAAGTCATTTGATAGCGCATCAGTCACAGCATTACAGCAGACCTTGAACACGCCAAAGGTAGTTCTCGCCATTGCTGCCATGACCCGCAATCCAAAGTATGTAGTGCTTCAGAACGAAGGCGTTATTGCTCTAACACTCTTGGTCAGCACACCTACGCGAGGTAAAAATAAATGGCCCATCAGGCTCCCTTTGTCTCTTTGATATCCTCAGATATCCTTCAAAAGAAAGGAAGGACTAATCGTTGGTATCCTTTGTCTGATAGAAGAAAATGTGGAAAATCCTGTTCTTGAATCACTCGTGTCTATTGAGGTGGATGCAGAGCCTGAATCCGAAAAGACAACTACCTCTGAAAAGCCATTGGATCAAACAAAGCCATTGACATTACTGGAGAATCTGCTTAGCCTTGTCAAGAATCAAAATGGCAACGTGCCTGACGAAGTTCGTACAAATGTCTGTGTGCTCCTGAGAAACGCATTGGACACTGCAGCGCGTAAAGGCGAGGATCATGCCTATCTAACTTTCTTAAGATCTTCAGGCATCAAGGGTTCCTTAAAAGAACTCACAAATCAATCACAGACAGAGCTTCGTCCTTTGATCCGCAATGCTATTCAAGAAGTATTGTCTCGTCTTGAGTAAAAAAAAAAAAAGAAAAAAAAAAAAGAGGGAGAGAAGTGGAGGTGGATTACATTGATAAAGTCAACTCTCTTCTCAAATATCCGTCCTATTCTAGAGAAAGGTTTACTTTTGAATAAATCATATTCGCGCAAAAATAAGAATTCAAGTTGATATTTTCATATACTTTATTTATCATTGTTTATGTTCTTTAAACCAATGCTAAAAACGGTTCAAGGCATTGTCAAACATGGTATGATCACCATCCTCCAGAATCTTGGCGATGGGGGTATAGGGATTGAGACCCTCCTTCTTGAGGTATTCTTGAGCATAGTGCAGTCCGAGACGATGCTCCTCCTTGTTAGCATTGGATCCGATCCAGACAAAGACCTCATGATGAACATCCAGAATGAACACATCATTCGAATCCAGAAGCTCTCCGGACACCTTGGGGCCTTCAGCCTCGAGTGTGAACTCGAAGGAGCCGTTAGCATTTGACAAGCTAGATAGAACGTGTAAAAAACAATTTCATTATCTATTCATGCTCACGAGTCTTCCGGACCCCCTATAAAAATATAAAAATAAAAATAAAAGAGTCTTACCGATACAGCTTCTTGACATATGTAGGTTCTTCAACAACAGTATCTGCGTCTTTGACCTCAACTTCTCCTCCAAGAGCGTCCCAGAATAGCCTCTGATCACGATCACCCTCATCTAAATGATACATGGATATCAAAGAATGTAAATGTATGTTTTCTGGACAGATACAAAGAGCTCAAGTAATACCTTCTTTTTCCTCGATATAGCAATCAATTATTTGATTATTTGGCTGTATATTTGTTATATACTTACCAAATGTCTCTGTCTTGGCATCTCCTCGATCAGCCTCGATACCTTGGACGTATTCCGCAGCTTTGACTTTCTCAAAGCCGGAGGACTCCCTGCCATTCCACTGGTACAAGGCTTTACCAGTATCCAGGATGAAGACATCGCCCGAGTTGATTGCGTCTTTGGACACCTCTCTGACTACAACAGACGATTTGTGACCTCCACTCACGGGTGCAGACTTGACAATCAATAGACGAGGCTTGAATTCAGGCTCAGTCCAGTGATTGAATCCAGTCTTGACGCCTCCATGTAAGACAGAGAATGTCTTGAAGTATGAAAGCAGCTCCCGCGACTCATTGCCCTGAATCTCACGGTGCTGGACAGGCTTACCATCAAGGTCTATGGCAAAGAAAAAAAAAAAAAAAAAAGTATGTGAGTCAATGCTTCTTTTCTATGAATCACATGATATGTAATTCATTCCTTTTCCTCACGTTCTCCATCAAGAAAGCAAAAAAAAAAAAAAAAACTTACAATCGTCAAGCTCAACAGTCTTGTAGGCAGCTGTTCCAGCCTCATCCTGGCTAGTTTCATCTCCAAGCCAGAAGTGGATATCATGGAGGAGTACGTCCGAATCTTTCTTTGTGTATGACTATGGTTTTTTTTTTTTTTTTTTTTTTTTTTTTAAAAAAAAAAAAAAAAAACACACGTAAAAAAAGCAATATTAGCTAGAGATATGGCACGCTTTCTCCCTCTCTTGCTCCCTCTCTTGCTCCCTCTCTTGCTCCCTCTCTTGCTCCCTCTCTCTTTTTTTTGTTTATTCTACATACTTTAAGGATGATATAGCTGTCTCCATCGTAAAACTTGCCATACTGATCCTTGGGGACAGGGACAACCTGGAACTGCTCAATGCGCCAAATCCAGAGACCTGTCTCGGATCCGACGCCTGTATCCTTTCCCCAGGCCTTCTCAAGCGAGCCTTCTTCCTTCCGGTGCTCCTTCTCGAGCTTGCTGCCGAACTCAGCCAAATTGGTCTCCTCGATTTCTATTGATAAGGACAAAGGAAGTTGAAAAGAAAAGAAAAAAAAGTCAATTGAGTAAAACAGGTTTCAGGTACGCGTGAAAAAAAAAAAAAAAAAAAAAAAAGCTTACTCCAAGTAGAATTCTTCAGCATTGCAATTGTATCTGTTGTTTGTCGTTATTGTAGGTTGCAGCAGTAAAAAGAAAGAAAGAAGTTGAAATGAACAAATGCATAATTCTCATCATTCGTTTCATGGCTTGTCCATCCCAAAAGCCCAAAAAATATCGTTGCACATATAGTGGCTGGTTGCTGGCACGTTTTCTTTTTTTAGCTCATGGAGAATAAATATTCCAATGGCTGGTGAGAGGCTTAAAAGGATCCGTTGAAAAGCAGTAAGGTGTTCAAGATTTTGGTTTTCAGGAAACTCTTTCAAGCATGAAAAAACAGATTCTACCCTAAGAGGACTGTTTTTGTACTCATCAAGAATGGGAAACTAGCTGCTAAAGTCGTCAACAAAGTCGGGATTGGCACTGCGATTGTTCTTAAGACCTTATGAAGTTCCATCCGATATTAAGAAACATGTTAAAGAATGTTCACGCCTCCTCTCTGCTTGTTACGTCCTGAGGCTAGGGAGTGTACCCAAATGGAGCACTCCCCTTTTTATTCATAGATCAGAGCAATTAGTGACGGCTATGTTGGAGCCTATATAAGGCTCCGACCTAGCTAAAATAATAAACAACTTTTGATCTCCTTGACTTCCGATTTACCATAAAACATATCATTTTTTCAAGGATCTACATAGAGTTACATCCATCCATTTTATCAATCCATCCAACCATTTTTTTTTTTCCATAATTTCAATCCCTTTATTTCAATCATGTCTAATATTAATAAAGTACCAATTAACGAAGATGTTGATATGGAAATCTCTTCACCAGAGAATGGCTCAGGCTTGACACCTGTCGAGCAGTTGAACTTATTGGTGGCTAGCCTGGTCGTAGATACGACGGAGAGTGTAGTCGAGTTCGGCAGTGATGCTGTTCCCGATATCGAGAATGTTACGATGCTTCTTCGAAGTTATAGACTTCAGAAGGAGGAGACACTCAGAAAGAAGGCATTGCTGTTCCTTAGGTACAATGATGCCAAATCAAAGTTAAGAAAAATTGACATTGATGAAAAGACACTTACCAAGGCCTTAGGCGATCTCGCTCAACAGAAGGCAGACATCTTGAAGGTCTTAGTAAGACAAACTGAAGACTTGAATAGTTCTATTGAACATATGGAGGAGGTCAGAAATGGCTTATCTTCAAGCGAGGACGTTTCGATTGATAGATCGAGTGTGTCTGAAGCAGATAGTCACCGTATAACGGTGAAATGGGATCCTGCTAATCCCGAACATGACGCACTTCATCGAATCTTCAAAGAAGAGAACATTCCTTTGATGGAAGATTCAGAAGAGGTAGACTATACCAAGGTCAAGAAGAAAACGTTTGCGGATGCGCCTATGCTTGATTTAGACGTGTCCAAGGTTCCCGGCAAGAATATGGTCAAGGAAATAGCAATCAGGGTTGTCACTTTCCGTGATGACTTTGAGAGGATATTCCGTCGTAACCTTTCTGATGTTCTTTTCGACAAACTAGCATGGGATTACTTATCCCTCTGCGTTTCCAAAGTGTCCGGCCTGGCGCGAGACTATGACGATCTCATCAAGAAAGTGCCTCTTCAAGACAGGACCTGGTCTCGGGCAGTTACATGCTTGAATAAAGCTCTAAAGTTTGACATTCTAGGGGCTTACATCGCTGATATGGCGCTAGTTATGAGGCCTGAGAAGAATGACACTATTAGGTCGTTCGCGCAACGATTGCTACCACTGGTTGAGGCAGCTGGAATCCCAGATGATGGCTGCTATATGCTCATCAAAGCTTTATGCAATCATCTGTCCGACGTAGGATTTCAGGCTGTCATCAAGGAATTCGGCTCAGTGAAAAGTGTTAGCTCTTTGAAGGAGTTTCTAGAGTTCCTAGAAAAGACACCAGGTGCCTTAGGTGAGAAACGAACCGATGACGCCCATTGGTTTATCCAGAAGTATGGAGGAGACGCTGGAGAACAGTATTTGCGATCCATCAAGTCCAGATCGGAATACACTCCTAGAGAGGTTCCGAGATCTAGTCATAAAAGATCTCGACTTAATGCCAATCCGTCAAGTGATAGAGAAGCCAAGAAGGCTAAACCATTCAAGGTCTGGTGTAAGGGAACGGAGAAGTGTAGGTCGAATCCGTACAAACATGCCCCGGAGGACTGTCGGTATGCTAAGGATCAAGTCAGAGATCATTCTAAGGATAAGCCCAAGGACGTCAAGAGAACTGATGTGCGCAAGCCGCTTGCCTCAGTCAGTGCTTTTAAGAGGATTAGTGATAGTGCGCTCATAAGAGACATAATTCCGAATAAAGAATCCTTCTTTTCCTCGTACTCAATTGTTGAGAAAGCTTGTATCAAGCACCTAGGGGCTTTCAAAGGTCCCGCTCCTGGTGATAATAGAATAGCTGTGCCTATATTTATAAACGGGCAACAATATACAGCATTGTTAGATCCAGGCGCCACAACTTCTTTGCTCAGTAAGGAAGTAGCCATAGAGCAAGGTATTCGCTATGGTCGAGTACCAGGAGAATCTATAGCAATGATAGAAAAAGGGACTAGCACGGATAATGCCATTACTTGTGATAAAGTCCAATTGGTCTGCAACAATAGATCTGGAGAATATCAATTGTCGGTCATGGACATTGAGTATTATGACTTCGTGTTGGGAATGGATCTCTTCGCTAGACTCGGCTTTTCCATCACGGGAATAGCCATGCCGGAGATACGAGAGGAGGAATCCCTATGGGTCCCATATGATGAAAAACCTCAAGTCATTCCGTCACAAACTCCAGAAAGAGAAAACAATGCTGAATTCAAAGCATTGAAAGAAAAGTTCCTGTTAGCACTGGAGCCTTATTTACAGGCGAATGAAGCCATCTCGCCAAATTCATTTTGCAATCTTGATACAATGAAGGTCCAGCTAAAGGTTAAACCCACCTGTATCATCCAGGAAAGATCTCGCCCATTCCATTCGCAAATTGAAAAAGAAGAAGTGGAAAAGACCATCCAGAAGTGGCAAGAAACGGGTGTTATCGTTCCAGCACCTAAGGGGTGTCCGTATAATAACTCCCTGACAATGGCAGCACGCCGTGACCTGGATGGTAATATTCTGAAATATAGAGTATGCCTTGATCCAAGAATGTTGAATCGTCAACTAGAGGATACTGATGTCTTCCCTCTACCATTAATCACTGATATCCAGCAGAGGGTAGCAGGGCATCTGTATTTCACCGCAATTGATCTGTCTCAGGCGTATCATCGCATGCCTGTAGAGAAATCAAGCCAACCACTAACTGCATTTACGTACGGTGGTAAGCAATATATGTTTGCTAGAGCACCTTTTGGTTTAAAACCCCTCACGAGTATCTTCCAAAGAGGAATGTCACAACTCTTAGATGATCTGCACTTTGCTGACAATTATGTGGATGACATTATTGTCTATTCGCACACAGCAGAGGATCATATTCTTCATGTCAGCATTGTCATAGAAAGGCTTACAGCTGCAAAGTTGATAATCAATAGAGAAAAGAGTAAATTCCTTAGTACAGAAGTGCTACTACTGGGGTTCATAATCAACAAAGAAGGACGCAAAATAGATATCAACAAGGTTGCTAATGTGCATTCATGGACACCACCTACCAATAAGAAGATGGTTCAACGCTATTTAGGCCTCTTCAATTATTTTAGGGAGTATATACCCTTGTACAGCTCGCTCACAGCACCTCTAGATGCCCTGCGCAATGCCAAAGGCACTTTTGATCTTAATAAGGAGCAAATGCGAAGCTTTAACAGCATCAGATCGCTTATAGCCCAAGCTCCAGCCTTATCGTTCCCTGATTTTACTCAGCAATTCTTTGTAGCCACAGATGCCTCTAACGTAGGCATAGGAGCTGTCCTATATCAGCTACCGGGTGGCAAGGAAGATGAAACCAAGGTCAACTACATATCCTTTCAAGCCAGAGCATTGCATAAGCATGAGAAAAATTACCCAGCTTACAAGAAGGAACTCTTAGCAATTATTTTTGCACTAATGAAATTTCACCATTACCTTTGGGGAAGAAGATTTACATTATATACTGATCACAGACCTCTGACGTACATTCATGAACAGAAGGAGTTGCCACAAATAATCCTGAATTGGAAGGCCACTCTGCTCAACTATGATTTTGAATGTATTTATCGTCCAGGCCTGCTGAACATTATTCCAGACGCATTATCTCGCGCATTTCCTGAGGAATTGTGGAAGTCTCCTAAAGAAGAACAAGCTACATGTTCTACGAGTCGGCAGATTGCTTCTATGAGGCGAGGAACAGAGACTACCGAGAATGTTCAGGCAGCTCCACAGTCATCTGATTCGCAGCAGCTGCCTTCCACTCTACAGGTTATTGATATAACTGCTCCTTACTCTCATCAACTTCAGTTGGAGGATGCTTCTAGAAAAATCATCCAAGATCCTGAAGAAAAGCTTCAGCATCTTCGCCTAGCACACGAATTCGGTCATCCTGGAGGAAATGCCATGGTTACTGCTATCCATGCTAAAGGCTTTACTTGGCCTAAATTGAGAGATGATTGTCTCAAATGGGTTAGCCAATGCGGACCATGCCAAAGATTCAACATAGCTAGAAAGGGGTATCATCCTTTAACTGCCATACATGCCAGACTCCCAGGGGAACACATAGCATTCGATTTAGCCTCATTTGAAACCAGTTCCAGGGGTAATAACTACGCTTTAGTAGTGGTTGACATCTGCACAAGATTTGTATTCCTGGAGCCTCTGCCTGATAAGGAAGCCATTACGGTGGCCAGCACCCTCTTCAAGCTATTCTGCTCTATTGGATTCCCTAAAATTATCCAAACTGATAATGGCACTGAATTCGTCAATGGAGTGTCACGTCTCATAACGCAAAAGTTGCAAATAGAGCATAGACTCTCCACGCCATATCATCCACGCTCGAATGGTGTAGCGGAGAGGTTTGTCCGCACATTTAAGGACATCCTCAGAAAACAACTCGAAGGCATACAGAATGATTGGGACATCCATCTTCCAATGGTTCAGCTCCAAATGAATACTAGAGTCGCGAGTCTACATCATTCAACGCCATTCTCATTATTCTATGGACGCTCATTTGCAGGACTAACGGATTTTTCCTCAGCCGAGTCACATCTCCTGTCTGAAGAAGAATTACAGAACAGATTGGAATATCTCACCGCGTTAGTTTTCCCTGCTATCGATGATAAGAGTTCTGACACGCAAAAAAGAATGGTGGAGAAATTCAACAGGACACACAAAATCCTTCAGTTCCCACCTGGAGCGTTTGTCATGGCGAAGGAAGAATTGCCCAATGGTAAATTAGCACCTAAATACCAAGGCCCATACAAAGTAGTGGCTCGTACCGAAAATGGTGCCTACACTCTGCTAGACGCTACCAACCAGAAATTGGCTCGTAATTATGCTCCGAGCCAGCTCAAAATGGTCACTCAAGCTCTTGATGCTCCCAGTGAAGAGTCGTATGAAATAGAGTCTATCGTTGACCACGAACTCACGGGAAAAGGAATGATGTATACTGTAAAGTGGAAGGGCTATGACTCCTCATACAACGAGCAAATTCCCTATGAGAATTTTGACTCGGACATCATCATTCGTCAATATTGGAAGAACCTAAGACAGCAAAATCCTCATATTAATGACAGAAAGAGGAAGAAGCAGCAAAAGAATAACGCATCAGAGTCAACAAGACTTCTTAAGAGGAAGCAGAGACAACTCACCCATAACCAGACCAAACGGCACAAGCGTCATGTAGCGGCAAAGCTGTAAAGTGCAGAGAGCTGTTATATTAGTAGGGTTGAGATAACTGGAGTTTTTGTACAAATAAGTTTTCTCCAGTATGAAGAAAAGAGAGCACACACTCGTCCTCATTTCAATATTTTTTTTTTTTTTTTTTTGCAACGCAACAGTCAATAAATTTCAATTTAGCAACTATCAACTTTATTCTTTCCCTTGCAGCATTTGCAACTAGCAACTGGATGTGATGGCAACTGAGAGTTAAGAGAATCTACAACTTTCTCTACCCGTATGCGCATAGTCTTATACTTCTCTGATTGCTTGCGCAACTTAGTATACTTCTTGTAGAGGCGTTCATACCTCTTAGCCCATGCGAATTCTCTTTGGAGGCGGCTCTTCGCGGAATCATCGCCACTCTCCGCCATCAAACGTCTTCTCTTCCCAAGAGTCGTACACACTCCACAGCTTGACAATTCTGCTTCACTGCTTTCGCTGCCTGATGACTCTTCATCACCAGAGGGCTCCTTTCGCTTCCTGATAGGACGAGGTCCTGGGATTTCCAGAGAGGCTGATCGGCTCCGTGCCTCTGGGTGGTAAAACTGATAGTGTGCCTTTTTCCAGGCACGAGTCTCCTCGTCACTATCCCACAGATCCTCCTCACCCTCATAATCCTCGTCGTCCTCAGCGTCATAGCTGCTCTCTTCCTCAGTATCTCCTTCGAAGTTACTGCGATTCTCCACGTCTGCAGTCTCTGTTAATATGAGTGAAGACGGAGCTGTTGAAAGCTCCGTAGGGATAAATTCATAGTCCTCATACTCATGTAGAGTTGAAGAGTCAGACAGGGGGGAAGAGGGAGAATTGTTAGAAGGCATATTGATAATTGTCTGCTGATGGCTGTTATAAGGAAAGTAAGTAATGAGTATGTGTCCCTGCAAGAAGGTGTTTGAGTAGCAAAAGTGAATACTGAGGAATGAAGGAATGAGTGAGCGTTTGAAGTTTCCAATCTTCATTCCTTTTGACCTTAATCTTCTTCATTTGCTTCGTGAATCCTCATTCGTCCTTCTGGGGGGAAGTGGATGGCGTGATCTTTTTGTGATCCCTGTTTGACAAAGGACCAATGAGATTTCTACATTTTTGACATGCTGAATAATTACTACCCACATCTCCTGTATGACACATCCTGATCCAATGGCTGTTATATTTCCATGATCCATTTGCTGACATTACTTTTTGAGATAAAGTCTCTCTCTAATCACAAGAAAAGAAATATCAAAACAAGTTTTAAGAATAGACACTGTGAAGTCTCACGTGAGGTTTAAATTTTTGTCCTCAAGAGGTTTATTTTTTTCCTCCTACCTTTCAACAACAAGAGGTTTTTCTTATTTTTCCTCAAGGCCTTTAGACAAGACGCCAAAAACCCTACATAAAATCTGGGGGGAAGTTGTTACGTCCTGAGGCTAGGGAGTGTACCCAAATGGAGCACTCCCCTTTTTATTCATAGATCAGAGCAATTAGTGACGGCTATGTTGGAGCCTATATAAGGCTCCGACCTAGCTAAAATAATAAACAACTTTTGATCTCCTTGACTTCCGATTTACCATAAAACATATCACTGCTAACAAACGATTAATGCGCAGAGTGATGCTTTTGGCGAAAGCTAGTGATCAAATGTTGGAAATCCATTGCTTTTTATAATAGTATCTAAGCAGCTCCAAGTAGCTTCAAATGATCACCCCTCCTATCATCTCTATTGTTTTTGTTTTTGTTTTTGTTTTTGCTCTTGTTCCTGTTCCTACTTCTACTTTTATCAAGTTTCTCCTCTTTCACCATCCCCTTGTTGTTCTCACTCACATGCTCGTTACTCAACATTTTGGGAAGTGTGGCTGAGAGGAATTGAAAGACCGTCTCTTTTTCCTGCAAATCCAAATAAAAAAAATTCCGAGCCTGAATCGAGAAATGATTGTTTAATGTAACAGAATGCAATAATGCATTCATTCAACAGATATATTTGTATTATATTATTACTGGTGAAATATTAGAATAAGCGAGACATCAGAGCAAAAAAAAATGTATACATATAATATCAATCATATTACAGAGAGAGAGAGCTCTGCCTGAGTTGATACTCTTCCCCTTCAAGCATCCTGAATTTCTGCTTTGGATACAGGTACATCGTTTTGTTGAGTAGCAGCAGTATGAGGTGTAACGGTAACGTTAGGATGTTTTTCAAAACGACCAGGGCAGCAAACTGCAAAGGCACTGAACACCGATCCAAAGATTGCCAATGGCGCCAGGGCCAACGTGATCCATACACCTGGTCCTAATGAAGTCTTGGCCTCTGGCGTCAAATGTCTCTCATATTGGATTTTTCTGGACACATTCACGGTGAAGACAACTATCATGAGAAGTACACAGCATAATGTCACTAAGAACATGAAAAATCCAGACATGGCATGGAGCCATCGTTTACGAAAACGAGGAGACAACGCAATTGCAGAGAGGACAAGTGCCAAAAATGCCACACAAGTTGCTATTAAAAATAAAAATAAAAATAAGCATAAAAATGAAAATAAAAATAAAAATAACATTGTGCAAGTCGGGAAGATTCTCTAGTCAGTAAATTTTCCCTTGGCACTTGACGGTAGGATAGTGTTTTTTTTTTTTTTTTTTTATGAGTCCAATGCAGCAATTCTCTTACCAGGAATGAATAGAAAACTAGCCTTGTTGAAGCTTCTAACAGCGTTGGGTACATAGTGCTCGTCAGTATCAAAGATATTTGGTATGCCCTCTAGAAAAATAAAATAAAATAATCAGTGCTACCATTTTTAATATGTAAAGCAATGCATCAAAAAGAAAAACGACCAAAAACAATTGTCTACTTTGACATACCGAGAGTAAATCCAGTTTTGGGCTCGATACAGGCGTTGATAACATTATCTTTCCCCTCACAGAAGTTCCACAGACCAAATGTCAACATGTTGTACGACGTGCTCAACCATCCACTCTTAGGACCATCTCCTGTCGTATAAGTGACCTAACGTTGTTGTTTAAATTTTTGTGTTCATGAAAAGGGTTCTTTTTTATCGCAGTAGTTTGTATTTTGAATGCACAATCTCCTAGTCGATCTAGTACCTTGAGGAGATAGAATGCTGTGAAAAAACGGCCTGACCAGAGATTCCCAATGCTGACCAGGAAGAGAAGTAACGTTATAATGAGGTTGATTAAGAAGGACACAATAGGCACAAACATGTTATATTAAGCTGAAAATCAATGCACGAGGAAAGAGGAAAGGATTAAGAATATTAAAGGTGTGGTGGACAACAACGGAAAGGATGTGGATGAGAAAGTAAAAGAAGAAAGAATTAGAAGGGATATCTCTTAAGTAAAAACGTGTTGCTTGCAGTAAGATGGAACGTAAGCAGGGATGACCAATGCGAGGTGTTACAAACAATTCGAGCCCTCTTTTTCATGGATGTGGTCATGGAGTAAGAGAGCACATCTTTTTTTAAGCTATAAATGGCTTTAGAGTGGAGCTCTCTACCTTTAAAAAAGGCGGTAACATTTCAAGGGTTCAGAGAGTAAAATAAATAGACTATGCGGACTATCCAACAAAAAAGCAGAGTTATTTTAGAGACTCCAGGTAATGTTTGTTTATAGATGCAGGTCAAGTAAGGGATCCAAAAAGAACAATGGACAAGTGCAAACAGAACAAGCCATTCATGAAAAGCAGAAGCAGAAGCAGAGGATTAAAGAATAAAGTGACAGGTGTGGGAGAGGGATGCACCAAACAGATCTAGGACGTCTAACGACGATTAATATCGCTGTATACATTACAGTCTCCATTTTTCTTTTACAAAAGGAGCGTTTGCTTGACTGTTATTTGAATTGTTCTTTTCACGCGTCAGCCTCCTAGAGGTTTACTGCAATGTCTAGACCAAGAAGCACCCTTGTTATCTTGCTTCAAACTAGGAGCGGAGAAGGTGAAGAAGTTTATGGTTCTCGGCCTCCGATACGCTGCGCTGTAGTACATATTCTAACTTGCTCTAGCTGCAAACTACATGTAATCCCTACATGAACTCTAGCTTGCTTATATTTCGACTTCTCCTAGAACTCCGCAGCCTTTTAGAAACAAGACCGATGGATGTAATTAACTGCCTTTAACGAGCAATGAGGCATTGACTATTAAAGTCCAACCCCAACAACATTCATTTTTGCCTTATCAGGATCCGTGTTGAATGAAAGAAATATCACTGTGTATCTGTGCATGATATTGATATTTTTATGCATACACACATGTCCATTTTATAGTTATTTTGCTTCGAATTCATTCTTCTCATTCTATTTCCTCTTCACTCCACATTGTTGAATGCCATCGCATCGAGTAGCTGGTCCGATATAATTCTTTGTGGGGTGAAAAATACAGAGAGAATTCGCCGCTTCCGTTGAAGCATTGGACGATAAAATCGCGGTATTTCTTCTCTTCCTCTTCTTTCTTTCGTTTCACTCTCTTTCACACTTCCTCTTAAAACCTCCAGTTTCAAACAAGGCAAGCAGCCATGGATGCCCTCAAGAATCTCAGCACAAAGTACCTGAATCTAAACTTCGATGATGATCGCCACATCTTCCACAACACTGATCACTGGGCTATCGCACCACAACCCAAAGGGATCCTCTACCCAGAATATTATGACATTCTTGTCAATTGGCGTACTCCTCTTACAGTCGCAGCTCTTTATGTCCTCATGGTTGTACTCTTAAACCCCAAGGAAGGCAAGGTTTCTAGAGTGGTTGCAGCGGACAACGCCGTGAAGTTGAAAGGAACGGCAGCTCAACAAATTAAGCAGCTACAGCAGCAGGAATTGTCCCAGTCTTCGCCTTTTATGACAACTTTGGTTTTTGTCCACAATGCCATCCTCTGTATTTATTCTGGTTGGACATTCTACGGCATGTTCTTTGCCTGGAAGGAAGTCTTTACCACTCACTCTTTCATGGATGCTGTAAGTGAGATTCGAATTTTTTTTTTTTTTTTTTTTTTTGGGGGGAGCCAAAATCGATCTGATCTTGTTTTTCTATCCGTTCATGCTCACTATATACCATCCTTGTGTAGGTCTGCGACACCGATGGTACATTTTGGGGCACCCTCGGTTTTTACTCCTATTACTTTTATCTCTCCAAGTACTGTACGTTTAAAAAATAAGAAAAGTTGCATTTGTATTCCACTTAGCAATTGAAATGGGTGATTAATGCCTCTTGGAGTAATTCTTCTTTTGACGCAAAAAAAAACATAGATGAAATCCTTGATACAATCATCATTTTACTCAAGGGTCGTCGCTCCTCACTATTGCAGACCTATCATCATGCTGGTGCAATCATCACAATGTACTTGGGCTACAATTATCGTGCTCATCCTATCTGGATTTTCACCACTTTTAATTCCTTTGTGCACACAATCATGTATGCATATTATGGTAAGAGAAAAAGACAGCCTAAGCTTCATTTCCTCTTCTTTAGATAGACATTGGCCTACTCTAAAATACTATTCATTCTCCCTTACCCAATCCAATCCTTAGCCGCGACATCCGTAGGTTTGAAACCCCCTGGCAAAAAATACCTTACTTCGATGCAAATCACCCAGTTCTGGACCGGAAGCGCTCTGGCTCTCTGGTACGAAATTGGTGCTCCCGAAGGTTGCTTCTCAAACCCTGGATCACGTTTTGCCATTTGGGCCAACCTATCCTACGTATTCCCATTGACTTTCCTCTTCCTTGCCTTTGCCAGAAAAATGTATGGCGATCGTGGCAAGAAAACTAAAGTTATTAATAAGACTGCTCAGTTCAAAAAAGAGAACTAGTTAGAAAAGCTGAGAAAGTAAACAAATAAAAATAATAATCGTGGGAATGTTAAACAATTCTGAAGTAATTCTCTTTATTTTTGTCTGGTATTTTTTTATTAATATGTCTTGACTAATTTCTCTTGATTACATGCCAACGCCAACACCCCCTTGATCATTCATAATACTTCCATTTTGACTTAGCGTCGATACAGGCTGGTACCAACCAGTGATGCCATTGCTCAAGCCAAGTTTGATCCTTTTATCGCGTTCAAACTCGCACCATTTCTTCATCACGATCTGACTCGAATCAAACTCGCCTTCTTTGGAGCCATGTGAATCCGCTTTGCCATCACCTTCGCCTTGCACCTTACGCGTTTGGCCCCACGTAAAGTCATCGAAGTGCCAGAATGCATAGGTTGGCAGTACGAAGTTCCAGATTGGAAGCGAAAGTAAGTACATGCCCATCCAACCAACGTACACAATCTTGCGTGTCGTCATCAGAATCAAGATGGCTGGAAGGCCTAAAATAGCTGCCAATAACATGAGTGGAATGATCGGGACCGGCGTGATAATGAAAGAGATGATAATTAAATACATTGTGAACGAGATGGCAGCAGGTAGGACCACAGTTCCCACCAGCTCCATGAAGATCACAAACTGCATCGAGAAACAGAACGTTCCACAAAGATCTCGGATCAGAACCAGCTCCATCAGATTGTGGATTGTCGAGTTGATCCACCGACGGCGCTGAGACAACAAAACTGCGAAAGAGATAGGAACCTGGGTTTTGCAAACCGCCTGAGGAACAAACATCATCTTGCGCTTTGGGAATGTTCGAAGCATGAGCGTGGTCAAGTAACGATCCTCTCCCAAAAGCAGCAAGTTCTTCTTGTGAAGCGTATCAACAACGTTCTCGGAATAGTGCTCAACAATATCAGGATTGGCGAGAACAGGGACCCAATATCGATTAGGGCCCTTGGGAGCCTTGATGCGGTACATGCAAAAACAACCAGGAAGACAAGTCACGCCTCCAAAGATGGACTCAAATGCTTTTGATAGATGATGTGAAATGTAATACTCAAAAACTGACAAGAAAGCAATCATTATGATGGTTAGTCTTTCTGGCAGGTAAGATTTATAGCAAAGTTTGAAGAAAAACCAATTACTTTTTTTTTGTCCTACCTTGGATCATGGAAACCCAAGATTCCTTCTTATTGGCGATCTTGGTCTCGCCACAAAGACCCATTACGGTTGGATCTTGAGCCATGCAGGCAACCATTCTGGTTAAAGAATCAGGATAGACCTTAGTGTCCGCATCAACCATGAGCACAAGCTCATAAAAGTCTGGTGTCACCTTGGTTACATTCCAAAACGCGTTGAAGAATTCATATTCCAACGGCGTCATGCGCTCATCAAACATCACTTTTTGCAGGAATGACATCAAAATAATCTGTGAATCCCTCTTGCCACGGTTTCCAGGTTTCTTGTCGCTTGATTCTGCAGGGGTTCCACATTTGACAATCACAATCATGGGGACTCTTTGGCGTTCTTCCATCGGAATTTCACAATCATCTGCATATTTATAATATCCGGCGTAGATCTTGGCCATGTTGTGGCGCTTGGATCCGTCAGCAATAGCAATGTATGACTGGGGCTCGACTTCTTCGCGAGGGACCACAAAGTCAGTCATCATATCCAAGCAAATATCAGGTGTTGTTCTATCCTCATTTTCGCCACGAATAATGCCATCCGCAATGATCAAAAGTAGCTTATGGGTCGAAGGGTAGCTCGTGTTCGCAAGCGAGTCGCAAGTAGCTCGAAGGCCATCCATGCCTTCAGAATAGCATGTCACTAACATTAGCGTATGTAACAATGGACATTGCCGAGCCTCACCCTTGAGTTTGGATAGAGAGGCATTGAGACCTGCACGACTTAAACGTGACCCGCTTGTAAAGCTCGATGGCTTCAAGGAATCGGAACGCATTTGACCGGGCCGCGGCATAGAACGTCCTTTCAAAGATGAACTAGACCGTGACATTTCAGTGTTTGAAGGTAAACTATTCCAGCGATTAGGTGGAGGAGGGAGACCGAGCGGAAACGGGAACTCTGTAGTAGCAGATATATGTGACCCATTGGGCGTGGTGGTGCCCGAGACGTCAACAGAGTATCGGGATCCTGAAGGTATGACATTGGCGCGAATACGCTCGGCACGGCTTGAATAATAAAAGACGACGAAGGTGCATAGAGATCTGTCACGTTAAAATTCCTCTAATTCTTGACTAAGCAGAATTAACTCAAAAAAATAAAATAAAATAAAACTTTACCGATTTGTCTCAGAATTTGGGCTCTCAACGTATGGCGAAGTGTTGTCGTCGACCCAGGCTTCAATGATCTCCTGGCGTCGAAGCTTTTCAGCAAAGGTCTTTTCGTCAAATGACCCTAATCTCCAGCTGAGGACCCATCCAAAGATGACAGCCAAAAAGAACCTGAGTAAGACAACGCCCAGGATGACGATCAGTGAGACATAGAGTACAATATCCGCGATCACGCATCCTAATGACATTTGATCAATGACCCCAACTTTGACAATCTCGACAAGGCACTTGCTGATATTGATGCGCTCCTTGGAATAGGACATGCTCAAACTGATATCTTTGCCTGCAAAGCTTCCATTCATGAAGGGAGCAAACGAAGGAGGGACGATAATATTGTCCTCCAACCAAGATAGTCGGTTAAGGTCCAGTACATTTCCATTATAGACCACATAGTTAGTCCCACTCTCTCTGAGATCCTCCCAGCTGAAGTAAACCTCACCCATAAATCGGAGATGCTTGATGTACTCACGTGCATTCATCGACCGTGGTCCTATATGGCAGCCTTGGGTCCCTAATCCACCAAGAGGCTTGGTGCCTGAGCCAGCACTTGTGACAACGCAAGGGAAATAGTTCCAGACATTCCCGAATTGGTCGTGCTGTTTAGCGCCTAAGACGCCTTTGCATGCATGATTGACTTTTTGAAACATAAATGTCATATCTCTCCCGCCAGCATCTGGGACTGGCTTGGCGAGTAAATTGCTTGTAACGTTAGGGATTCCAGGTACAGGAGGATGGTTGAAGTCTTTGAGTAAGTAAGCGCGGCCCAAGAGAACCGCTGATTGATTATCAACGTGGCCATGCCGGATACGGCTGGGTTCCTTGCCACAAAGAACAACATTGAAGCCAAAAGTGAGGAATCCGACTGAGAAGCATAGCATGAAAATGATGAATACCAGCGCGACCTTTTCGCGCCAGGCTTGTTGGATTTCTGAAGTATGCTTGCCTGTTATGCAGTAAGAGAAGAGAGTGAAAGAGTCAGGTAGAAGTATAATATGTCCGGGCTATAGAAGATTCCTTTTTTTTTTTTTTTTTTTTTTTTGACTTTCGAAAATAGATACATATCATTATGGGTCTTTACCAAGCAATACAAGAAGAGGAGGTGGAAAGCAACAAGTCACCATCCTAGAAAACGCCACCCAGACGGATGGACATCGACTGGGCTCTTCTCCTCCATCCCTGGAAGCCTTATTATGTTTCTTGCGCTTCTCCATCCTTTCAGCCTTCGCCTTGTCAAGATCATGCTGTTGCAATTGGTCCGGTCGGCGTTTCCGCACTGTGTGTTGATTATTAGTGTCATGACTATCATTAATCTTATTATCACGATCATCATGCACAAGTCCTGCTACCACGGAATCCCTGGGATATTTTTCAGATGATGGCTGTATGTTATCATGATTGTAACGACGATGATGGTTATGATAACTTTGTTGCAGACTCTGTTCAATGGATCCATTTCGATTGGCATGACGATTAATGCCAGGTGGCTGAGTAACGATAGTCAGTCCTCCATTATTTCTATGGCCATGATGGTGGACTGGTTGTGGTTGCGGAAGTCGCACACCAAGTGTTTGTGAGAGCTCAGAATATAAGTCGTCGCTACTGCCATTCTCCAAGTCAAATTCCTTTTCTTTCATCTAGATGAAAAGAAAAAGAAAAAGAAAACGGGAAGAAAGGGCGAGATTTGTCATTTAGGTGCTGTCTTTTTATTTTTTTTTTTAAGTTTGTAGATCCGAGAAGTGTCATATTTGAACACAGCCGCGTAAAATGCCAAGCCGTCATAGGAGGGATGTGGAGTAACCATGAGCTGACGAAGAATATGGGGATGAAAATATGGTGAATACCTTAACTGCCAAATCAATATATCAGGCACCAGCTACAGGTTTGAGCCGATGAAAGATATTATGGTATAAATAGGAGTATATCAATTAAACAGGCAATAGAGCAAAGGAGAAATGATAGAGGAAAAAAAAAAAAAAAAAAAAAAGTGATAGTAGAAGCACCAACAAGCTTGACGGGTTGTTTACCAATTGTGATGTTAGATATTGCGATAAAAGCAATAGAGAGTATATGAATGGGCCAGAGCAAGACAGGAGATAGCGCAAACGGTTCAATAGAAGGAAAGGACCAAGCTTTAGTTATAAGATATAAAAAACGGTGATAGCCGTTGAAAATGGAATATGGTATGCAGTCATGCATCCAATTTTTCGGTAGAGTTGCTAGTCTTCTAATTAAGGTAAGCAGTATTCCTGTTTGCTCTTTGCACATGTGTCATACACCTGAATTGGTCTTGTTCATTATTTTATGCACTTTTAAAAAAAACTATGTAATCATCATTGATCAGCGCTATTAGGAGGGTGTACAAGTGACCGAGCAAGGTTTCTAACTAAAGAGAGTCGAATAATATTCAGTTGCTTCTCCCTTTCTTCCACTGTCGACCCTTCTGATGCTATATTTGCAGGCAACCGCTTGAGATATTCTGCTTTATGTTGTGATCCAACAATCTCCTCCAAGCACCACATGAGCTCATATGTGTCGCTTGAATCAAAGATCACTCGCTGCTTATTCTCCAGTAGAGGCAATGCATCAAATAAAATTGCAGCCCAATACCTGATCGATGCTTTTCCCATCGTCAACAGCTTTCTCAATATACGTCCTGCATTCATAAGGTTGCCGTTCTAGGAAAGAAAGAGATGTAAAGGATTGTAGTTAAGTATATAAGCCACCAGTGGAATTAGATAAAACGATTTGTTGATTTGTATAAAATAATAGTAATTGTTATTAAAGTTTTTACCTTGTATTCCTGATGGAATTGAACATAGAGGCGAAAAAAGTCAACATGTCGGTTTGAGGTTCGATCCGAGAGAGATATGAGTGTGTCCTCTAGGTCAAACTGGCCACTCTTCAAGTATCTCTGCATTAACTCATCTACTACTTTGGCTACGCGGTCATCATCACAGGAGGCAATGAAATGCTGGATCGCAAGTATGTATTCGCCGCGCTTCGCCTCTTCTACACCAATAACCTGTTATAATCATCATATAAATATATGTATTAGCTACGACTCATGACAAAAGATATTCGAGTTAAAGTCGTAGCACCTTTTAGACGATTTCAAACTTACTCTGTTGATAGAGCGTAGTGCATCTGAAAGTTCGTTATCTTCACAAAATTTGAGTACTTTGTTGGCGTGGCTAGGTGTTTGCAAGGGCACGTGACAAATCCACTGCAAAGCGCAAAAGGAGATCAGATGAGTTTATGTCATTCAAGTATTTATCACTAGACATTATAAAAAGCGCTTACCTCTGACAGCATAGCTCTACCGGTATGTCCGCACCTAAGCAGATAGCCAGCGACAACCTCCCAAAGACCTGTGTTAGACATAAGACTTTGAGCATAGCTAATCACGAAAAAATCGCGGACATCCAGTTCAAATTCAGCAGTGATATCTTGAAGTTGAAGGTCGCCTATATTTAAATATCCATACTGCTGAAGAATGTCAGCGAGATGGGCAACAAGCCAAGGATGATAGCTCCCGCAGTGACGAAGAGTCTATATAATACACGCATGTTGAAGGGACATTGTCAATAAGAGTCGATCGATTATGCCAAAATATTCAGGTTTATGTCGTATTGATACCTTGATGGCGTCCATCTCCAAGACAGCGATCTTGATCCTGTTCAAAAGTGACACCTCTGTATCATCTAGATATTTCTCTACACATAATTTCAGTACTGGCAAAAGCTCATATCTGCGAATTTCTGGATTGTTGTAGAGAAGGATGGCGGAGAAAGCTTCTTCCCAAGATTCTGTAGAAGTAAGAATTGTCTCAATATCTCCAGACAATATACCCGCAGCTTTCTTCCCACCCGCTCCAAGGCGAGAGACTTGCGAAGAGTTTGCGAATTTTCTAAGCAAACAAAGCGGTTAATCATCTATTTGAAGGAGAAGGGGCTTAAAGAAATAAAAATAAAAAAAAAAAAAAAAAACCTACTCGCATGCTCTGCTCCATTTTTTATGTCGATCCCGACTCTTGCCATCTGGTGCTATTGACCCAGAGGATGGGATCTCTCGAAGCAATTTTAGTAGAGCCTCTAAAGCATCAGCTTTATCTTCGTTTGTTTCTTCGCTTAGGATTTGCTCCACCATAAACACGACAGAGTTTCCAAGACCGCGCAACAGACATCTAGTGAGACGTAAGGTAATGCCATTTAGAATAGTCGAACTAAATAAATAATAATAGCAAAGGTCTTTTTTTTTTTTTTTTTTTTTTTTTTTTTCCTGCGGCTTACTGATGAATATAGGGCCAGAATTGAGGATTTGATAGTTTGTCTTCAGATCTGAGTAACTGTTCGCCAATACTCAAGTCAATCCCTAGTATGTCATATTGATACACTCAAAGTTTAGACTAGACGTAGGGATATAAGCATATTATTAAAAAAGATGTTTTCTGTGTTCATACCTGTGAAAACATGTGATGCAAGCCACTCGCTATACATGAACGCAATTGGCTTATCCTGATCTTTTGTGAAGAAAATACATTCAGAAAGATGCCAGATTGCAGCAATTCCTTCGATAAGGTCAAGTTCATGAGAATTTTCGTCCATTTCCTTAGTCTCCATATCCTTCTTTGATTGTACCTTTCGGAATAGAAAAAAAACACGATTTAGTATTTATTTTGTTCCATTCTCTATATAGCGTCGTGTTCATTAACGCACTCATTTTAATAATTTCTTTTTCTTTTTAAAATAAAACTCACATAGAGCTGAACAAGATACTTCTTGATCCCTGCATAGTATAAATCGTAATTGCGTTTATAATTTTCACGTCCCTTGCGAGGATCCAAGTCTGTTACTTTAGTAAACACATCAAATATCTGCGTGATAAACTAGCGATGATAACAAAACAATGTAGAATCTGTCGTGAGTTTAAATTGAACCTAAATCAATGCGAATGCCTCCCTTTAACACAAGAAAAAAATGGAGCCACCTACTGGAATACGACACTTAGGGATCGATGCTTGACACAGGAACACTGTATTATCCTTAGCTGACATCTGCTGTCTGATGGGAAACTAGGTTGTACAATAACAATAGACACATTGATATGGATATTATCCTTCTTGAAAGAACTAGTACGAGACAAACGCTCTTTTATATACCTCTTCAGCAGCTTTTTTCCCTGCCACATAGACAGCAATCTCATTGGTGCTAGGTCTGAATGTGGCCGCAAGTGTTCTGTTGCTCTGGGCCCAAGATTCTACAGGCAAGTCCTTGCCAATAGGACTAGGATCCAGATGCATGTCGAAAACATAGTCATCCTCTGTTTCTGGTTCATTTAACACATCCTGGTAAGTGCTCGCATCCCTAATATCGACCGTCGGTATACTGAAAATGGATTGACTGTTTTTGCTTGCGCTGAATTTGGATGCTGAGGCCGAAGGCTGGATCAGAGGGATACTTGTCATGGTGAGATCGTGTCTTTGTGTTTGTAACAACGCCACGAAGCACGACATATTAGTGCGCGCTTTTGGAGAGTGGTGACTGTGAATTCTAACCGAATGTGGCTCGTCTTGCATCATCTGCGGCGCATGTCAGACGAAACGACTGCGGTAACATGGATAACACGATGACAGCACATCCTATTATTAATCTTGATTAACAAAATCAATTAGGAGTATAGTAAGGCTTCTTCATTGTGTGATGTGTATTGTTATTCATCAATCCCTTTGCCCTATGTCCTGTCCTTTTCTGTCTTATCTTATCCCGCTGCATGCACGTTCCCGTATCTGGGGCACACACAAGCGAAACATCAGAATTTTTGTCTCTAGTCAACTGACCACGGGCCAATCGTATCCACATACTGGGCCGTACAAGAGTTGCCAACCATGTAATCATCACAGGAGGCGCATGACTTCACTTTAGTATCATTCAGTATTTAAACCATTCATTCCCCCCTTCTTTTTGTTTCTTTCTCTTTTTTCTTTCCATCGTTTCACTTCATCCCCCACCCAAGACCACACCACACACAACACATTACTCATCACACCACACATACACAATAGTCTGAAATCAATTAGTCATGCAGATCTTCGTTAAGACTCTCACCGGCAAGACCATCACCCTTGAGGTCGAGTCCTCCGACACCATTGACAACGTCAAGCAGAAGATCCAAGACAAGGAGGGTATTCCCCCAGACCAGCAGCGTCTCATCTTTGCCGGTAAGCAGCTTGAGGATGGCCGTACTCTCTCTGACTATAACATCCAGAAGGAGTCTACCCTTCATTTGGTCTTGCGTCTCCGTGGTGGTATGCAGATTTTCGTCAAGACCTTGACCGGCAAGACCATCACCCTCGAGGTCGAGTCCTCTGATACCATTGACAATGTCAAGCAGAAGATCCAAGACAAAGAGGGTATTCCCCCAGACCAGCAGCGTCTCATCTTTGCCGGCAAGCAGCTTGAGGATGGCCGTACCCTTTCTGACTATAACATCCAGAAGGAGTCTACTCTTCATTTGGTCTTGCGTCTCCGTGGTGGTATGCAGATTTTCGTCAAGACCTTGACCGGCAAGACCATCACCCTTGAGGTCGAGTCCTCTGACACGATCGATAACGTCAAGCAGAAGATTCAAGATAAGGAAGGCATTCCTCCAGACCAGCAGCGCCTCATTTTCGCCGGCAAGCAGTTGGAAGATGGCCGTACCCTCTCCGATTACAACATCCAGAAGGAGTCCACTCTCCACTTGGTGCTGCGCCTCCGTGGTGGTATGCAGATTTTCGTCAAGACCTTGACCGGCAAGACCATCACCCTTGAGGTCGAATCCTCTGATACCATTGACAATGTCAAGCAGAAGATCCAAGATAAGGAGGGTATTCCCCCAGACCAGCAGCGCCTCATTTTTGCTGGCAAGCAGCTTGAGGATGGCCGTACCCTTTCTGACTATAACATTCAGAAGGAGTCCACCCTTCATTTGGTATTGCGCCTTCGCGGTGGCCAGTAAAAGGGTTGCTCCCCCTCCTCCCTTCCCCTGCCGCAGTTCATTTTGTGGTGTGGTTCTGTAGTTCAAGGGCTTTATTCATAGCAAAGTTTGTTAAAGTGGTCAAATATGAATCCTTTCTACAAGCAAAATAAACAATTGTTTGTCACAACCATATTTTTATGTTAAACAAAAAGTATACATGTATTTGCTGTGCACTATGATGCTGAGAAGGATAAGAAAAACAATGGGATCAAGCAACCCTGGGCTTTGGACTTTTTTCTACTCCCTCTGCCCAACCCGACAGCCTTCATGTCCCAAGTTAGAAACCACTAGTCGCGATCTGTCCCTCCCTCTCCTTACATTCTCGCCAAGTTTCGTATACATATTTTCCTCACTTTCCTTTCTCCTTTCATCAACTACTTTTTCAAATTCATCCTTGTTACCATCAAAAGCTTCGACATTCTCTTCTTACTTGAATGACAACTATTGGGTATCCATACACATTACCAACCACTGGTAATGTGTCATTTCAGGAATTTTTCGTTCTCAATGCCCAATACCAACGCCCAGTATCTGATGCAACTGCATTCCGCGGGCGTTTGCGTACAGCGCTGAAAGAGCACAAGCATTCAGATAGACATGACTTCTTGAATGTTCAAAAGGTACTAAAGTTATATAATAATTAAAAAAGCATGCAGTATGAAACTTTGGTGTTTATTTTATATTAACTCCATTATTTCATTCGTCCAGGCACTTGAGGACTATATACCTTTTCTATTCGGTCTAGTAGCAGGGATTGAGAATACAGAATTGGAACTGTCAAATGAAGTGGGTAAAGTAGTTTTTTTTTCTTTTTTCTTTTTTTTTTAAAAAGAACCTGACACTCTATTCTCATCGTAATTGTTAATAATATCGTTATTACTTGGTTCCAGAGACCACATGGCGTTGTACAATATCCAATATTGCACTTTCATCCAAGCAACCTCAAGTCAAACACAAATCGATCCATTATGAAGCCATCTTCACTTTATTAACCCTTGGCTATGTTCTCATGGACCGTGCTAATGAATATGCTCAGAGTGTACAAAATAAGATCCTGATTGCTATCGGGGATATATCCAGCTACGGGAAAGGGCATGGGGAAGGATCATCATCTGTAGGAGCAAATCATGGCGCCAATAATACCATTCATGGCAGTGGATCAATTCCTGGATCATCATCAGCAACTTCATCATCCGAGTTTTCTATTGGTATTAGTAATAGTAGTAATGCTAATAGTGGTAATAGTAGCAGTGGCGGTAGCAGTGGAGGAGGAGGAGGAAACAGTGCATCACGCCTGTTTAAAAAATCTTCCTCCAATTTTTCCGCCAAAAACTCCAACACCATTGGCGAATTCACTGATTATTTGACAGACGATGATCTAGCAGCCATTGATCATCAGTTAACAACCGCTGCGGATTTGTATTGCAAAGCAGCAGGAGTATTTGAATACATTGCTCAAGATATGATTCCTAAATGGAGCAACAATTCACATATCACATCTACGGCTACAGCAATAGTAACAACAACTCAAGATGTCGCTGGCCTCAATGTCAACAAATCATTATCCTCAAAGAAGTTCACGCCAGAAAGTATACGGCCTGTTGATATACAAACCAGCGTAGTGTCTGCTCATATCAGGTGAATATTATCATTTATTTATTCCCGCCAAAAAAAAAAAAAAAAAAAAAAAAAAAAAAGTGGAAGATTGATTTTTTATTAATTATTAATTTTTTTTTTTACAAAAAAAAACTTGATCATATTAACAATAAGGCTAGCGCTCGCAGAAGCTCATTCATGCACAGTCAGGAAGGCTGCCATTAAAGCTGCCAGAGCCTCAGCTATTAGGCAATTGATCTCTAGTGGATCTTCTACAGTAGCATCAGGGACAACCCCGAAAACCTCATATGTTTTGCTCGCAAAGCTGACAATTGGCGTCAAGGAGGAGTATGAGCGCGCTTATGGTCTGTTAAAATCCGTGAAGGATTTAAATGAGATTTCATCCGATTTTAGAGCGCATGTTAAAGACGCTAAAGTATATTATGAGGCTCTAGCACAGACTCTTCTCGGCATGGATGCATATGAGGCACAGTAGGTTTTTTTTTTTTTTTTTTTTTTTTTTTCGAGATCTAGTTGTTTATGACAGATTACTACTTTTGCTAAGACATCTTTGTCCCCACTCTAAAAAAAATAGACATTACGGTAAAGCCATCGGCTTCTTATCGTTGGCCCGAACCTCGTTCGCAGCTTTGTCAAAGGCTAGCAAGTCTCATACGATTGCACAGGCCGCTGCGTTCGAATACCGTCTTTCCAATGAAAAAGTAATCGCCTTCCAAAAAATTAATGATTCTGTAACATTTGAGCAGATCCCCACCCAAGCGCAGCTCCTTGCAGTGATGCCCAGTGGCCGCGATCTACTTTCTTCCAAAAAGTACATGCCTCCACGACCCAACTTTGGGATTGCAGCAACAGCAGGTGAAGGTGGCCAAGGTGGAGCGGACGAAAGCGTGAAGAAGTTGGCGTACGCTTTGCAAGGTGCTTACTTTTAGAAAGAAAGAAAAAAAACCAATAAAAGCACATTTACACGCTTATTTAAAATCACTATCTCCTTAAAAGTGGGTAATGATTATAGTCAAATGTAAATTATTAAAGTCGACTATCTGCAATACCATGATTTAATCGAGTCATAGTGTAGACATTTAATTATGGTTTCTTGATGGAAATGATTGCTAAAGAAAAATATCAGTTTGTCATGTCATATTCTTATTCAGTTCATTCCGTTATCTTCGCCCACAGGGCTTACAGACATTAGCGTCAACTGCCCAACCTCACGCCTAAATGTCGTGATGTTCTGAGTGAACCTGTCACGGTTGACTGTGGTTAAATCGTATACAATGCCTTCTAAAAGCTATTACGTCAATAGATATAGGAAATCATAAAGAATTATTTTGGAGAAAAATAATGGCTTTGGTCCTCTGCCGCGTGTAAATTCCTGAGCCAACGAGGAAGAGTAAAAGTTACTTACCGCTTTAACAGCTGTTTGAACTTGCTCCTGTCGGTCAGGTAGCTGACTTTCCACAAACATGTTTGTATATGCAACATAGAATTCACGGTTTAAAAGGATGAGTCCCAACAACGGTCGGCTCAGACTCCAGTAGTTGCTTCTGTTTTCAAATGTCACTGCCTGGAAGATGATCATGAATAGGTAGTTGAGGATTTCCTTGTTCGTCATTAGATAGTCAACCAACCAATGTGTTTCCTGATGTTGTTGTTGTTGGCGGCGCATCGATATTGACCGGCTACCATTGGAGTTGGGTGGTCCTCGTGTGAGCTCGACGCTATTGCGCTGACTATTGTTGCCGCTTCCTGCGCGTGCTCTATTCGTGTCAGGGGATTCGTGGTTCAGCAACTCTTCGTCCTTTTCCTTACGCACCTTATCTCTGAGGATCCAGTTTAACACAAAGGTACAGATTTTATCAATGGCAGAGCAGGCCAGAGTGCATACGAGCGTATTCGGGTCCTGTGGAACAATAATTTCACCCAGTGCTCGGAACATATACTCTAAAACAGGTTGAGGCATCATAGATAGCCCAGTCATATGATCGGCTGTAAATACATCGATTAAATTGAAGTAAGCGTAGGAAAGCTTGGGGAAAGACTATAAAAAAAAAAAAAAAGAAATAATTACAATAGCATTAGTTAATTGTAGAGCAAACATACATTTCCAGAGATTTATCAACAAAAATAATATTTTCACATAAACAAAATCCTTTACAATCATATCCTCGACAGGGATGGCAAGCATCAATGAAAAGAACATTTCCAAGACTTGGTCTAGTGCTTTGTCGCCATAGAGCTTGAATACTCCAAAATTGACGTATTTCCCTGACAGCGAAGCTGAGGTGACACTGAAGTAAAGCATGATTCCCTTGTATCTATGCGGTTCAAATCAAATTCCATACCATAGTAAGCACCAATGCATTAAACTCAACTTAGTACTTAAAGAAGTAACTTTACAAAGCCAAGCTTACTTTTCTGCCCATTTGGCATTGGAATCAGACAAAGGTCGACTCAAAAGGTTTTGGCCATATGTGTAAAGGATATTGCTATCATTATTACGGAAAACATATATTGTTTTAATATATGCACGACCATTCTTCATGTCAGCTTTTTTTTTTTTAAAAAAAAAAAAAGTAAATACCTTGTTTCACGGAAGAGTAAAATCCCATTAGGACTACTACTGTCAAATGTGACGCGACTGCTCTTGTTGCTTGCAAACTCGTTCCAGAATCGAAGGATTGCGATACTAAGCTCGTTGTGCGGCCAAATCTCAATTGCACGAAGAACAATGGGGGTATACGCTGGATAGAACCACTGAAAAAATAGAGCGTATTGCTTGCGATTTGTGATGCTACTGACAAAGCCCCGAAGGTCCTTGAAAATGCCTAAAAGAATTAGCTATAAAAAGAAATAAAAAAGTTAAAACTCACAAACTCACAAGATTTTATTTTTTTTTATATATTTTTTTTTTTAAAGCCAAATTACCCGAATATCTTCTTCACTAAGTTCGCTGCTGCCTTCAAACGCCAATGTGACTTGATCCAGTGTAACCTCCCAAGGGTGCACAAATTGCCAAAAATCTGCTTCCACATTGTCTTCCGAGAAGAGGACGCGCGAAAGCATCATGTAGTAATTCAAGCGGCAGCGCGCAACAGCAGTATCCGAACTTTTTCTTGTTGGGTCAAGAAATTTGAAATCGCTGGAGTTGTGGTTCTTTAAGAGCGCCTGTGTGGTCTCCAGCTTTCGAATATGCTTTACAGCGCTGTACCTGCTCTCATAGAGCCACAAATAGAGAGTGTTTTAGCGATCAACAGTTAACTAATTGAGCTGACCAATTTAGCTCAAAAAAAAGTAAAAAAAGGAAATAAATAAATAGCTATAAAGCAAGGAGACATACCCTGAAGCCAAATGCGTGTATAGGCGTAATGTTCGAACGACAAGCTGGTCTTCTTGCTTTTTCCACCCTGGATCACCGCTCGAGCGAAGATTTCCAAGCGAAGAGCTCATGATGACATCTAGCACTTGATTTGGAATATTGAGACCCCACCGTTCGCCTAGCAAAGCGTACAGCTTGACAGACTTAGAGGCTTCTTCTCCGATATAAGAGCTACGAAATTGTGTATAGAAATACAAGATTGCCGACTGTACGTAGAGATGCGCGTCTGCCGAAGCAATATAAAGTGGCCTTTGAGAAGACCATACTTGCTGTTGATAAACAAATCCAAGGACTTCACTGGAAAGCTCTCCATCCATCTCGTCCTGTTCCGATGTGCTTTGATACGACTGAAAATGAACAGATTTGTGAATAGGCTCGATTAGACATATTATATCAAACTAAATAAATATAATATAACAAATAAAATTAAAAGCTTACAATCCTTCCACCGACAAGAGCTCCTATCATATAGACCATCCACGTCAGTTGCATTTCCACAACTTGCAGCTGTTCCTTGAGGTCGCTTGAGCCGAACGATGGAGAGTTAGTTCCTGCAGAAGCAGTCTGGATCAAATCTCGATGCTTTTTAGAGAGATCCTTGAACTCTGCCAGGACATATCGACCGGAATCGACATACTTGGAGCGTGCTAAAGTTGCATACATTTCCAATGTTGCCACTAATTCCTCTTCAGACTCCATAGGATCTAAAACCAGTATCAAAACGATTCAAATGCAATTTTAGACGATGACAACAGGGCTCTACATATATATTCATTAAGTTAACATGAGACGTCGACGTACCATCTACCTCGCCATCGATTGCTGCTTGCGCACACTCTAAGCGACTCTTCAAATATGCACGAGAGAGATCCACAGTGATGCGCTGGATATGGTCCTGTGTTGCTTGCTTCACTGAACTGAGAGAGGATATCATCTTGCTCCAGAATGTTAGAAGGTATGGCACACTATTCGGTGACCACTTTGAATACGAAGCAAAAGGTTTGTATATGTATGTTTTTTTTTTTTTTTTTTTTTTTTTTTAAAAAAAAAAGCAATTGTGTGAGATTTTTGGAGAGCGCTTATAACCAAAAGAAGACTTCCTTTCAAACGATGAACATACTTTCCATGAATGGAACCCGCGTGTTGTAAATTCGCCGACCGTAGAGATCCACTGATCAAACTCTTTGTATTCAGACATCTCGCTCAACTGAAACGTGCTCCTGAACTTGGAAAGCATTCGGCAGAACTCATGAAAGTTGCCAACTTCCTGTAGCTTATTCTGTCCTATGCCCGATTTTAGCGTGAACGCTATTTCGCGCATGATATGATAAATATATATGTTCCGATGATCGTCGTTGGAAAAAAGAGAGCGACGAATCGACGCTGCCTGCGAGAGTGATTCCATGGCTAGAACAGAGTTGGAGCCAGAAAATTTTTTCCAGCATTCCCATAATATATCAAGATATCCGGACTCTTCAAACACAGATCTCCATGTTGTTGGCGTTTGGATGCTGCCAACGTCGTCCGATGACTCATCTGGTAATGTTCCAATAAAGTCGAAAGAGAGGCATGTCCGCATGAGAACTAAAATTGATTCTCTGAATTTGTCCGCATCAGGGTCTATAAGCAGGAAAAGGCATATATATTTTAGCATTGTCCTCTAAGTCAAATCTATGCATTTTTTCTCTTTTAGCTTATTACCTGAAATTTGCAAAGAAGATTGAAGCATTGATATCGCAAATTGGAAGATAGGCAGCAATTGTTTATCCCTAAAGTCAACTGCAATTTTGCGGAATTTGGTAGCGTGTCGGCTGCTAGGGATGTTCATTTCAGTGGCAACGGCGGCCAATAAACGCATTCCAATCGTGTGGAAGATGAGGGCTCTGCCAGGCTGTCCCACCATTACAAGAAACAGATCAACAAATCAGCATATAAAAAAATTTCCCGTTAGTTGGGTCCTGATTGATCTTTTATTGTACTTCTATCAGCCTGTACACGCATGGCGGCGATATTTATAAAGTACTATGTGCTCGTGTTTCAACAATGCTCATTCCATACTACTGTTGTAAAGATCGCAATAAGCACTCACTTTTTTCTACACTATGGCTTGAGCAAAGACATACCTGAAAAAACACTTGAATTTGATCGACCAGTGCCCTAAATTCGTCATTCTCAAGCCAACCTAACTTGGTGATTAAGGCAAAGAGTTGTGCCTGTGCAGTGATGATGAAAGGCTGCGCGTCCGGGTTTTGATAGATGTAACGGAGAACAAACGTTCCTATGAAGCCATGATGATGGGCGAAGGAAGAGATAGGAGGGTGGCACATAGTTAGGCCAAACACGCGTTTTCAATGACATGCATCATAACGTGGTTCTTCTTTTTGTCTTGGTTTGTTGATTAGCCATGCTCTTTCCAAGCTCCTGAATTGATCTCCACTAATAGAGCTACTTTGGTCAAAGAGAGGAAGAGGAAAATGCTTCCAATGCTTCATGCTATTGGCCAATCATTGCTTCCATACTACATTCCTGTAATCAAGCCTGTGGCATGTTACTCTTGTATCCCCACGTGCTATTGCTCTGGTCCTTGAATAGAAATAAAATAAAAGGGGTATTGAATGAAACATTGTCCATTCATCATGCATGTGCTGAAAAAGCCGTGCTCATGGCACCGCAACTTTCCTTCGTCCAACGTGTCTTTATCCTGATAAAAAGGATAAACGACTTTCACTCTGTAGTGGTCCTTGGGTGGTGGAATCTTTTCTTTTTCTTTTATTTCTTTTGTAATGTCGAGCATTAATAAAATTAAATAGCTCAAGAAAGAAATACATACGAAGGCCAAGTTGCTCTGGCGTTGTGAAGGTGGTAAAGTGATCCTCTACCAGATTTTTCAGCCGGGATGTTGCAAACCTATTAGATCGAATCATAAAGAGTGAGAAAAAAAAAGTTATACCATACGCCCATCATCTTTTACCAAGTTTGGAATAAAAACTATTAATCACGTCGTCATATTAATGATATACAAGGCAGCAGACATCCAATATCTCTCTCAAATGATCCTCTTATTGATTGCTCTATGTCTAACACTGATATTTTAGCCCATTCTTTGATTCCTTTTTCCAGGTGTAAAATAATAATAATAAGTCAAATGACCATCCTTGGGACCTTTTCCCCCAAAGACTTTTTGACATAAGATTTTCCTTGTGATTCACTCATCCTGTTACAAATTCCCCCCAAAGAAAAAAAAAACCCCCCCTCCTTCATTAAGAGATCATCCGTGTATTCTTTCTGCTTGCGCTAATGACATCGGTTTTGTCATCAACGTTGCTAGTCGACTAGTAACTCTAGTCAGCTAGTACATAGACCTCGCCACAGCATATCATGACATGCCTACGAGGAGAAATGTACTCTGAAGAACAGAAAAAAAGGAAGAAGGGCTCTCAAAGTCATTCATTTATCCAACGATGGCATGATTTGTCCTTCAAATAAAAGTTTAAATAAAAAAAAGTCTATCGTCTTCTCTAACCATTTATAACCCCCACCCGTTTTTTAAAAAATAAAAAATAAAAAATAAAAACGCCCGGGCAACAACAACAACAACAACAGAAATGAAGACACTTGCATGAGAGCATATGGGTTCTTGGTGTTTTCGAGAAGGCTACGACAAAAGAGCGCCGATTCAATAGGAGTATTGATAGAGGGGCTGTGACCCTTCATAAGTGACTCATCATCAGGACCTGTGGCTGCTGCTGAAGAAGTCGCAGCTGTGGAAGTAGAAAGGGAAAAGGTGGGAAAATGGTAGTTGAGGAGCGATTCGACCTGGATGCGGCTGGTCTGACTCGAAGGATTGTATAGAGTCTCGCAATATTGCTCCAATGAGTGAAGGTCGAGCGAAGCTGCCATCATTTTTTCTTCTTTATATGATAAACAACCACAAATATATGATTTCAAGTATTAAGACAAGTGTGTGAGGGAGAGAAGGGAAATTTACCAAAAGGACGAGAAAAGAAGAAAAGAAAGAAAGGAATGAAATGCCATAAAAAGAATATAAGGAGGAATGAGCAAGTTCTCATGTCAACCTTTTGGGGTGGAATGAGCAAACGATTCTTCCTCTTTCTGTATTTTCATGTTTGTGCAACCACTCAAGGTTTGTTTTTACACGTTTTCAGCCATCCGTCATCCATCTTGGAGAGAACACTCAGATTTATATGCGTGTGTGACACATGTATTCTTTTATCGACCCAGATGCTTTTCTTTTTTTTTATTGATGGTATAGGAATGATTAAATTTCGCGGCCTTTTTTTTTTTTTTTTTTTTTTCAAAGTCTCAAAGGATCGTCCTCTTGAAGTTGCTGATGGGTTATTGTTATTCCAGACGTTGCTGCTGAAGATGCTGATACATTTTGTTTGCTCACATTGCCTGCCAAGGGATCGATATTGATTCGATGGCTTGGTGTTGGTGATGGCGAGAACGTATCTGGTGTCGACCGCTGTACTCCTGAACTAGCACCAGATTTTGGTAGCGATGAAATTGAGGCAGATGGAGATGCAGTCTTGGTAATGTTGCTACTGCTGCTACTGCTGATGCTATTATCGTCATTTAACATCCAACTAAATTGAGAATTAACCAGAGAAGAGCGTGGCGATTTGACTTTATATCCCAAATTGGATGATCCTACTCCCTTTGTAGCCGATATGGATGGTGATGATGAACGCACAGGTCCTGTAGTGGTGGTGTCATCAATTAAGTCGTCGAATGAGAATGGTTTAGGTGCAGATAAACTCGAAGGAGGTGAAGGAACATATGATTTTGCAATTGGCGGCGTGACAGGAGGCGTGTTTTGATCATATTTATACCCTCGATCAGCGCTGAATTCAGTCCCAATCGCACTGCTATGACTTAAAGTCCGAGACAAGCTTCCTCTCTGACTATGAAGGTCGCTGCTTGACCTTCGAGGACTTTCTGCCCTAATAGGCGTCGGAGAGTTAATTCTGGTCGTCGCAGCTATCGCATTGATGGGTTTTCGTTGAACCTTAGTAGTTGTTCCTGATCGGGTATCTGTTTGAGTGGAGGCGTTTGGTGATGGCAGGGTAGGTTTTGTGGTAGAGTGAGCTACTTCATGAACACCACTCTCATCGTTTATATTGGTTGATGTCTCAAGCATCTTGGATTCAATAACAAGGAGATCCAGATCTTTAGAAGACCCTAATAGGAAATCGCGTACATGCTCAAGTCCAGACATTGCAGCTTGCGTAGCCTTGGATGGCATCATTAAGACAGAGTTGCTCTGATCAGGTGTTCTAAGTTCAGTTTCCAAAATAGCCATTGCTTTGGCGACTATTTGTCCCAATTGTAATTGAAGCTGTTTGTCAGTAAAACCGACGGTATTACTGCCATTAGCATCCTGATATTCCTGTTCCATTGGTGAATGATGTACAGGTTGTGTTGATGCCACTAGCCTGCTACTTGGGACATTCGCCTGATCGAATATTGGAGGAAATGGAGACGGTGACGGAGATTGTACTGGAGAGTTGACTTTTCGAATATACGACTGGGTGTTTTTCTGTAGAGTGGGAAAAAAAAAAAAAAAAAAAAAAAAAAAAAGCATGATTAATCAGTTTCGTATCATATGATCATATGAAAGAGACATTAAGACTCGTTACCATACTAAATATGCATATCTTACTTTCATATCGCTGAGCGCTTTATTCAAAGCCGCACCGCCTTTGCTCTCCAAAACATTCTTGGTAACATGTACAAATCCTTCAGCCACGGGTTTGATAGCATCCAAAGCAGCTGGTGGCAAATGCTGACTGAAGACTCCGCTGCCTGAGAAGCTCGGATTTTGTCCCTTTGCATGGTCATAGGGGTACGATTGTTGTTGCTGATGGTCCTGTTTTTGGTGATGGTGGGACTGTTGTGTATATGTTGGAGACACCCCACTCCGTTGATGGCGCTGTTGCAGATGGTCATGCCCTGCATGCTCCGAGTCACTTTCATAAGGTAATGGTGGCAGTGGTTTCCCTGTAAGAGCATTGTTCTGTCGAATAACCTCGAGTCCACCAATAGCATTCGGCTGTTTTTGAAGAGACAGTCCTTGGGAGATGAACAAATGGACATCTTTCACTGATGGGTACCTCATCAATTTATGAAGACATCCTGCGAAATCCTCTTGTAGCACTAACATTCAAAAGCCATATATTTTTAGTGACTAATTGTTCCTAGTTGATGAACTTTCCCATCCATTTTATACGGGATAAAAGCTATGATAAACACATACAATCATCTCGAATGCGTAAGAGCAGCGCTAGACCAATAAAAATGCATATTTCAAGATTTGGGTCCTGAGCAAAGATGCCATCCCAAATAGTTAAAACATCCTCCATAGGAAACTCCCGTCCAAAGAGCAAGCGAAACCAGCGACTATGAAAGTGACACAAAACCATGGTTAATAGGCACTGAAACTTCATATTCTTAAATCCTGATCACCTGCGTGTGTACATGTTTAAACTTCGCATATAGTTGCTTACATGCCGAAGAGCTGAGGCTGGATATCAAGGTTTTTCAGGTGCAAGTACAGCTCGTTATCAATTTTTTCCAAGTAATAAAATATTTTCCTAGACCATTCAATCACTGGAGTTTGCTTTCCTGGTGTGGGCTGACATCCACAAAATGAAAGAACATAAATACCATGTGGAAATAATACGTTGGTGAATAAAATATCCCCATACTTTTTCGCATATTTTTACCTCCGGACTTTCTGCTCTACCAAATAGCTGGGTATGGCTGTTTGCGTTAGGGATCTAATCTCAACATATACATATAAATATATAAACATGATTATTGGTGATCTCTATGATGGCTATTTTTCTCTTCTTTCTTTTTTTTGTCTTCTCTTAAATTACCTGAAACGAACATTAACTAACCTTGGGTTTTCTACTGACCATGGTATCATCACTGAATTCATACCATGGCTTTGCACGACTCATTAGAGCCGAAAATAAAGTGAACGAATCGTGCTCAATGGAATCTGCATCTAGTACATTCTTGATTATGTCTATAGTTGGATCGCTGAAAAAAAAAAAAAAAAAAAAAAAAAAGAAGGAAGATGGATTGAATTAGCCATGAGAATATGCGAGTAGGATGACCTATACGACCGCATATATATAAAATACTCACGAAGGGAAACTAGGTGTGGAATGAGCATCCAAACTTTCAGACGAAACGACCCAGAGAATGTGCGCAACCAACTCATGCATTCCTTGGCGGTAAGACACATCGCTGTTGATTTTACAATATATGAACAAGATATCATTCAATTGTTCCTGGACTTTCTCTGATCGAAAGAAATCATTATCGGGTAAACTAAAAAAAAAAAAAAAAAAAAAAAAAGTATCATGAACAAAACATTGATTTTAAAACTTTGGTTGCCTTCAGCCTCAGTAGCCACTTTGCACGACTATTCAACTCACGTTCGATCCACGTCCTGCTTAATAACCTTTCTTAATTCTGAATCAACAAAAAACTGTTGCCATGGACTATCCTTGGCTAAACTGAGGGGATTGTTGACTTCTAGATCTGGCTCTACCCCATCATCACTCCCAATTGACCGAATGTATTTCTTGCGCAGTTCCTTGTATTGCTCACGCTTTGTACTCATTGCATATGGCCATGATGAAGTATCTAATGAAGGCAGGCACGATAGGTAGACCTGCAAAAAAGAAAAAGAAAAAAGGCCCATAGTGTTAATGATAAAGTAATGGATTGACTGCCTTGCATATACAGGGATACAATGACAAGTTAAGACTAAGTTTGGCTGGATAAAGTAGTAAATAACTTTTGTCTTCGGGCCATTTTTCTTGATATACCTTCCAACAGATAGAACGAATCCCATCAATGCCTAAATTGGCATGTTGCGAAACAGCTCGTGCTCTGAGCGATTCCTGAGTAAGACTAGGGTCTTCAAAAACCTCAGCCCATTTCAGTCTATGGTGAATAGAATGTATTAAAAGATGAATGAACCGCGTGAATTTATGTGGTGTGACCATGTAGTTAGTCCGAATGAAATAGAGATCCGGTAAAATCACATACCGGACACCTTTGATGGTATTCATGAGGTGACAGTAGAAGAGAATAAAGAGAATAACAGAGGTAGTCCTAAAAAGTGCTTTCAAAAGAAATATCAAGGTCATAAAAAAGGCACACACTAAGATTTGCTCCTGAGTTTGAAAGAACGTCACGCCCAACTATGGACGCGTGAAATTATTATGAATTAAGTATTATAGAGAACTATTAAGGTAAAGTCAAGGGTGTATGTGGGAGAGGTAATATGTACAAAGTATCTACAGGTATTAAGCCAAGCGCCCCCAGACTGGGCACCAGTTCATGCCATCACACGCGTGTGCTCAATCTTAAGCTCTCTCTTGTTCATGTTGTCCATGCTGCCTATTGTAACTGGCTCAGCAACACTCAGTGGCCTTATAGCTTTCCATTCCACCCAGTATCGCAGCTTTCGGCCATTCGCAGGGCTGGTTATGACTGCCTTTAGTGAGCTATCCACAGGGAAAAACGGAGGGGAACCTTCCATGTAGGTGACCTCGTGAGGTAAAGAGGACCCATGATCTACTTTAATTTTTTTTAGGGTAAATTACGCAGGTAAGTCCCATTTTTCATTTACACGAATATCCACCCTCCTTTCGCCTTAATTCCATTTTCAGGGGTCAAACCATTACCATTGAGACGCCAATGTGCGCAAATCGGTATAATCAAATATTTAAGAGGCATGCACAGCAAAAACAAACAAAGGTCAATCAAATCGGCAAGGAGTGTATGTCGTCGGCTCAACAAGATGCTGAGTATTGGCTGAAGTATTGTTGAGCATAGCATGATCGCCAATGTCAATACTACTGGCAAAGAATACAGAGAGCTCATGTTCATCGTAGTTCCAACAATCACAAGTGTCATCAAAGTCCATGACAGCATGACAGCGATAGGCAAAAGAACCAAGTTGAACCATTCCAAGAGAGCCAAGCAGTTGACGGAAAAGCAAAAGATACCGCGAAGCCTTGAGGACCACATCATTGTCCATAGGTTATGGAATGAAGTAATCAGGAGTAGACATTGCTCCTGAAAGTACTCTCGAAAGCTCACACTCGCGAAAGATTGATAAGTAGCATCTGGCAGATAGATAATACGGTGTTTGGGTAGTGACCGATGAAGTAATCCTGTCAGATAACGGCTGTCCCCACCTCGCAAAAGCCTACTGCGTTGGTGTAGAGCTCTCGGCTTGTGACTAACAAAGGCGGATACCACATCGGGATGAACCAAAATCGGTAGGAAGTATTGCATATCCTCTATGTCTTCTTTCCGATTGTAATCTTGACCTTCCTTCGTGCGCCTGTTTTCGTCAATGCTCTGCTGCTTGTCTTCTCCAAGCTCTAGATCTATACCTTCACTTCCATTTGCATTAGTTGCGCCATTTGCCTCGCCAGCCCAAGGTATAGCTGATACTTCACCAGGGTATAAACGTTGGTTGGAAACACTATTATGCGAAAACTGACGATGCTGGTTACGGCACTTGATCTTGATCCTAACGATTGATAATTGACTTGGAAGGCATTGAATAGCACCTAGAGTCGACTCGAATGCGCTTGAAAAGTGCTGCGCTAGATGGTTTTCGAAATTCTGAATCCTCGTCAGCCAACTCTCTGTATGATTCGCAATTAGTCTATGGGCAGCGACTCCAATAGTTCGCTCATCGTCTTGAAGTGTTTGGATCATACTCCTCACGCTTTGTCGAGCACATACGCTCCCAATCTCTGTCATGAGAAGCGAGTCAAAAGCTTCTGGCCCAACATGGTTCAACGCTCGTATTTTCTCGCAAAGATTGAATTCGTTAGCCGACATTGGCTCGTTAAAGCAGATGCGATATAGCCAACGGATGACCATTTTCTTCTTCTGCCAGTCTCCATAGTAGGATAGTGAGAGGTTATTTGGGCGAGATAAGCAGGCGATGACTACATAAGGGACTCGTCTCGTCTCCACCACATAGTGACCAGAATACACTCTTGTTGTAGATCCATCATCATCAGAAGCGATACAGACTGGTTCGACGCTGCTAATCGCCAAAGGGCCAATGTCCTGATCCGGCGCTAAACCAACATTTGCTGTCTTTTCGAAGTCAGACGTGTTTACATGTGATGTCACCATCTGTCTCAGACAAGACAATAACGCCCCGCTGGGGTTCCCTTCTTGATCTGTTGCAACATCTACAACAACCATCAAGACCTTTCGGTCATCTTCATGATCAGTTAATGCCAATGAATCGAGTGTTGCCTTGATTCGAGTCTCGGGCTCGTCCGCGTTGCAAGCGATAAACATCAAGATGTGGTTCTCAGTTTTGACTCTGGAACCAGGTTCCGGTACAGAGGTGCTCTTCCCTGACTCATATGTTGGCCGCTGATTAAATATCACACGGTAAACAAGTGCAGTAACTAGGCGTAAAATCGTGATCAATAAGACAATCGCCAGCGCTGCTGTATTGAGCACTAATGAAGCTAAGCATCCATTAGTCTGTCCAGAGATCTCACCGACTCTGAAAAATTCATTAAAGCAAACTGAGATCTCCTTATGGTCGGATTGTCGCTGAACCAGCAGCGTGGCGTCCTTGCCAACAAGGGTACGAACCCAGTCCATCCGTTTATTTTCTTCGGGAGTGATAGAAGGCTCCATTGTCTGATTCAAGTAATCAGTTGCATCAAAAACTGATCCATCATAGACAAACAAGCTGCGACCCTGCTCATTCATTTTCTTAATATCCATCCAAGAGTAGGTGATTCGAATATCGTTTCGAGCGATACTTCTCAATGATCCTTGAATTAACTGGCTCTGGTGACAGTGGTTGACGCTTTTATTGCGGGCACTTGTGCACATCCCGAAACCGTTGGCGGCGCCAAAAAGCTGACAGGTGCCCGTATGACTTGATGGGAAGAGGAAACTGATATCGGATCCAGAGCGCATTGTCAAGAATGAGTCGAGCTGTCCTTGGTCCGAGGTTGGAGGATGGTAACCGGCTTTAAAGAAAGAGCCAACGTCATACACACCGCCCCGAATCACCATTAGACCATTCGTCCCTGGTCCTAGTAATTGACTTGGATTTCTGTAACGGGCACTGAATTCGAGAAGAGACAAGGCTTGGACTGAGCGGGGCCTGCATGTCAGCAGCGGGAGGCCAATGGCTATGAACCCGATAGTGAATGAGAACCCTATCAACAAAACGCCAAGAAGAAATTTTTCACGCCAGTCTTGACACATATCCTTACTCCACGCTCTGGGGAAAAAACGTGCTGGGCAACAAAAGGCTGCTAGCTGCGACAACCCCACCCAAAGTTTATTCCTAGGCCTTTTTATTGATTGTTGATAATGCTTTATGACTCTTTGGTTTAATTCATTTTCTGCATCCTTCTCCTTGGCATGCGCCGCAGAACTGTTGCCGGGACGACCCTTGAGCTTAATCAAGCGTGGAGCAGAGACACTGTCGTCATCACGATGGTTGCAAGCACTGAAATGAAGATCTCTGGAACCATACTTTGGTTTAATATTGTGACGATATATACTGTAAATTTGCAGCGGAGATGGTTTTAAGGCTGTTAACTTCCTCTGCTTGCTATTGGCGTCATCGGCACTCCCGCTACTCTCGCTTGTGTGATTATTGTTTTCAACAGCCTCATGAGCAGGGGAGATGACTGTTGAGTTTTGTTCCTGCGCAGAGGGTACTGATGCAGATACGGATGCAAAAGATCCTGCGTCCGAGCTCTGTTCTGCAGGTGATACATCAATCGGAGGATCGAAAATGGTTACAAGGCGGCTTGCAGGCAGAGCTGTGGGTATTGGAGACACTGGCTCCTCCTCACCTGCTCTAGGCGAGACAGCTGATATAAAGATCGGGTGTGGGCGACGAGAATGTCGACGAGATAACGCAGACTGTCGAGTAACAGTACTGTTTTGACCAGAAAATGAACGTTGAGTCGCATAATGACTGCCATCTAAGCCTTCTTCTGGAACTGAGGGTAGGGAGGGTGCAGGTGAATGTGTTCTTCTAGACGATGACCTTGGTGCAGAGGGTAGCGTCTGTTGAACCAAAGTTCGAGAGCTCATACTTGAGCTTGGTCCTGAAGAAGACGACGAGGTGTTGTTGCCTCTAGCAAGAAACTTCGATATGTACACGGCGATTGACTTGTGGCCTGCATCCCAGGCTAAACTACGGGCAGTTTTACCATTAGCGGTTCTGATATGTGGATCAGCTCCGTGCGCAAGTAATAATTTGCAAGCATCTAATTTGCCTGCATAGGCGGCAAGCATAAGCGAGGACCATCCGTACTGGTCAAGTGTGTTTAGTGATGCACCATGTTCTAGTAGCTCAGCCATAACATCTACATGGCCTGCATACGAGGCAAGTAAGAGTGCGGATTTTTGTGTGTTATCTTGCTGGTTCACATTTGCATGGCCGGTGGTGAGGAGAAGGCGACAAATCGACACAAACCCATTGTACGAGGCGATAATCAATGGTGTGATAGACTCCTGTGATACAGTAATCGTTTAGTAACCATTTGGTTTGGTTGGTTGGTTGTACATGTACGTCCACACAGAAGAAGCGATTTAGGTGGTGCACAATAATAATAAAAAATAAACGAGAGAAAATAACAGCAAACAAGACAAATATAAGTTGAACGATCGTCAAACCGAAAGGAAGCATAGTAACATGATTGACCTGGAATACAAGGGGGAGAAGGACTATTGAGAGAAAGAATAGCAGCGTGTGGGGCGTATTGTCCTGATTTCCCGTGGATCTTACCTCGTTTCCTTGACTTGCTGATGCACCAGCCAGCAGCAGCAACCGAACACATTCGGTCGATCCAGCTGCGGCAGCTTGATAAAGCGCTGTCTCGCCTTCCGCGTCTGTGAAAACGTGAGAAGAAGAAAAAAAGAAAAAAAAAAGGAGGCATATTGTGTGATCCAAAGAAAGTAGCAATGAGGTTGAAGAAAAGTAATGGATTAGGCAAAATGGGAAGGTATTTAGATAACCATGCTCCTTACACTTAATAATAAAAGTCACCTTGTAAATCCACAATGATGGAAGGGAGGGTCAAAAGATATCGCAAAACGTGGTGCTTGTTCTCTGTGGCTGCAACCATGAGCATGGTCTTGCCTTCTCGGTCCCTGACATTATTGGGGTCTAGAGAGAGGCTTGTCAAGACATGATCCAGATGTTCTGTATCCTGGACGAGGACAGCATGAAATATAGAGCGAATCACGCCTGCCACTGAGTATCGGCGCGTCCCTGTGGCTGTGGTAGTTGTGGAGCTGGAAGTTTCCTGGATAGATGAGTCGTCTGGATCGGGTCCATCTCCGAGGCTCTGTCCACGGAACCCACCAGACTCCATCCCGACGACAGCAGCCGTTTGTTGGCGCAAGGTGAGGGTGGAATGACTCGATTTTTAAGGACGTGCAAGGTGATTAAGTTTCGCAGTAGATATTGCTTCCTTAAGGAGATATTGTTGTGATTACTATTAGTTGTAGTCGTGATTGTCGTACTTGTAATTCAGAATGGAATTTTCTATTGTTGTGGTCGTTGTTGCTTGAGATAAAATCTTAATGAATACTAGTGCAAGTTGATATGTATATGATTGTGGAAAGGTTTGGTTCGCGAAGGGGACGAAAAGAATGCAGACTGTAGTGCTGTATGTAAGCAAGAGACAGAAGTCGGTATGCAGGCGTGTATAGATGTGGTGATAAGAAAGTACAACAACAAGAAGCAATGGAATGTTCAAAATTAAACACAATATAATGAAATAAAGAGAGAAAAGGGAAGAGGGAAGAGGGAAGAAAAAGGAAGAAAGAAGGAAAACAAGAGAAAAGAAAGAAGGAAAAGAAGAAGGAAGAAAGAGAGATTGAAAAGGAAAAAATAATAATAAAAGCAACATTACTTTACTTTTAATCATCTAAAGAAAAATACACTTTGAATTCCAAGCGCAGCTTCTCACTGTGAGATTCCTGCTATCACAGATCCAACGCACCATGATCCACAGCACCAGTTGCCACAGTTATTTAATGCAAGATGCAACAGTCAGAATGAGAGAAGAGAAAACCTTTATGCTTGTTTATTATTTTACTCAATTTTATTGTGTGGCCCAACAAAAACACTATCACACCAGTTAGGAGAATAACGCAACGCAACGCATCGCGACACAACACTACATGAAAGAAACAGCGACAACAAACATCAACAAATATCGACAGTTAGAAGCTAGCTCTGTACATTGCTATTAAAACAGCTTACATTGCTAGACTGGCATGCGACTTTGGACGTATGGACTAGAACAGAAAGTGTTATTATCATATTGATATCGATATAGAGTGCTGTTTGTAAAAATCAAAATATTCTTAGGAAATATATTTTTATTGAAATGTGGTCATTGTATATAATATATTTATATATATTATATAATATTTCTGCAAGACATGTCATCTTCAATGGTACGTCTGCATGGGCCAGGTCACTCCAGGGAGTCGGCGATTAGGCTAGTCATGCGATTTTTTTTTTTTGTGCCTGAAAAAAAAAAAAATCGTCCACTGCGTCATCCTGCTCTCTTTTTCATGGTCTTTCCCCCTTCTCTACTCCCTTTTTTTTTCTGCACCCCCTCTTTGTGCACCCAAACCAAGTTGCAGACTATGCCTGTATTTCCTTTCAGACTTGTAAAGGTATAATCTTGAAAAGAGAGAGAATTCTATGGAAGGATGAAAAAAGCGTTTGAAAAGGATTGCCATACCATTCGGCACATGCCATTCTGCACATGCGATTTTAGCCTATTATGCAAGGTGCCAATTTTTCTTTTAAATAAATTAGAATAAAAATATAACCAGTTTATTGGCCTCTACAACGGCCTTGGATTTCGGAAGAAATATGTACAGTATAGGGGTAAAACTAAAGGGTGAATAAAAATAAAGACAAGGGGTACAAATGACTGATTCGATGCATAAAAAAAGAGAGAGGGAGACTGACGCCAGGTTGTTGCATTTCTATCAGTCAGACCAGTAAGCTGTCATAATATTCTTAAAAATATACAAAACTCTTTTTCCACAGGTCCAAACCATCAGGACATGAAACATGTCAAACTGTACATTCTCATATTCATGTACATGTTTATACTCATGTACATGTATAACAAATATGAACAGGTCATTTGACTTATCTTTTAAATGCCTTTCATATTTATTCATAACAGTCTAAACTAATAACAATTGAACGATGACAATGATGACTTTTGGTCCTATGCAGCATCCTTTTACTGCTTGCCTCTGCTTTCAATTTGCCTTGAAAGAGACACTGCATGGTCCCAACTTTGCCTGGTCAATGTTTGCTCGCCTTGACTCAAGGCTACAAGCCTAACACGGCGATTAATATAAAAAAATAAGCTCGGTTTAATATAAGCAGTGTGATCGTGCATCTTGCATGGCCATGCGCAAAAATTGATAGGGCATTATTTTTTTCTTCTGTTGACAGTGTATAACAAATATGGCGGGAAAAAAAAAAGGGCTTTGTGTTTATACTGTACCTTGCTAGGGAAATATTGAATGCAAGCTCGTTGGGCGTTGTCAAACTTGTTCCAGCTGCGGTAGCGGCTTTGCGTTGCTCCATAAAATCAGTTTCGATTTCCTATTTCGTCATTTAAACAAAAAGTCCGGGAGAGCGGGAAATGGGTCTGTGAGATTTTTTTATCCCCAATGCAATACAAGTACCATTTTCACTCCTCCTTGGGATCGCGCATTCCCAATCTCCCGCAATTTTACCTGGGCCATCTCCTCTGAAAATTTGTAATCTGCAAGTCGAAGTACACTGATGTATTTACGAAAAGAGTTGAGTTGCTCCAAGGTGGGCTCTATTAACACTTCAGATGTTGACGGGTCAGGTTTCAATGTGATTGCACAATCAACCTAAATAAAAACCTAAATGATAAGTGTGTGTTTTGGCGGGAGAAAAAAAAAAAAAAAAAAAAAGCAGCAACAGGTAATAAACAACGACCACAGAAACCCTACTTACAGGGACCAATGAATTGCCATTGGACAAAAATAATAATGAGATATCAGTCTGGAACTCAAGAGTATTAAACGGGAACACATAGTTGAGGGTCTGGTACTGACTGATATCCGAGATAGCCTTCAGGTTCTTGAGACCTACAGTATAGTAAACAGGTTATAAAACAAAGCGTATCAGACATATTGCTATGCATTTTTATCAGGTCTTATGCCTGCTAAACCTGCAAATAGCCTCATGTTTATATTCCCCGTACCCTTTTCAACAAGTGTTCCTTCTTCCATCACAGTTTCATCGAAAAGCAAGGCCGTCCCCCGAGTGACCTGTAAAATACCAGAAGAAAGATACTCATCCCCGCGTGGAAAAAAGAAATTATTATTTAAGTTCTCAAGGCTCATCGGTATAGTGTGAACCTTGGGCAGGACATTTCTCATAACCTTGGAGAGATTGCCGTAGATCGAAGAGTTAGAAGATGAGTCCCTGAGATTCAAGCTAAACTTTCCAAGTAGAGTTCCATTGAGTCTCGAATGACTAAAAAATTAAAATAAATTCATGTTGAGTGAAACTGATCTTTCCTTCCTACATGCACTCCTACTTAGTTGTAACTTACACTCTTGCCAAAAAATGAAGAAGAACTAACTCAGCTGCCAATTGATCTCCATAGACAGCAGTGGCAATGTAACGTATCAATTCCTCTCGGATAGACTTCGCTTCCTTAAGAAAATGATCCAAGTCTTTTTCCTCAGGATAGCCATTCAGACTCAGTTCTGGATGTCCATGGTCTTCGACCTTATGCATAAAGATCGCATGCACAGTAGCAATTTTAGGTGGGTTGATATTTCCGTCATGGAAATCAAAAGATCCATCTGTCATACTATGTCTTATTGATTAGTAATAGGGCTATATATAAGGCGGGAAGTAGGGCGAATACGTTATCAACGATTCATATTCTTCGACTTACAGTCTGTCACTAGCGCCAAGGACACCTATAACTTCAATCACATCTGTCACTCCAATAGATAAATCGGATGAATGAGTTTTGATGACTGCTGCAAAGTGATCAACGTTGGGAAAGGGATAGCGCTCTGGGATGACTTCAGACGGCTGATTGCTGCCTAAAGTCATGTCTACAGGAACAGAAGGAGCCACATTAACAATGAGATAGTACGGAGCCGTACCTCATTCCGAAACTTTATTATTACCCTGTACTTGTCTTTCCAAATTCTTTTTTGAGCGCTCATAATCCTTGACCCATTGCGATTCTCCAGGGACAGAGACGCAATAGTAGCTGTTGAGGAGATCAATCGTGTCTTGAGTGTGATCTCGCAACTCCTATTGTAAAGAATGTTAGGGCGTACTACAGTTGATAGGTTTATGGATTTATGTTACCAAATATTCCAGCTTGCACTCACATGGTCAATTTGAGGCTCGCTAGAATACCTATGACACACCGTTTTCTGGAGGTTTTACCAGGCAGGGATATTAAATATTAGCCATCACTCGGAAGGGAAAATAGAATGTGGTCAATCCTGTTTTCAAGGGCCTATGCTCTATACCTCTTCGCCGTCTGGCTGCGAAATGATTGTGCTGGTGAAGAGTCCAACTTCCTGTGAAAGCTCCGTATCCTGCACCATGCATCGAAGCCTGACGAGCGAATGCAGAGGGAGTGTTTTAATAGATTCGGCGTCGAGGATAGGGATCTATTTTGGACAAGGTTATTATAGACTTGTACGCTTAGAATTTGCCCTTCCTACCTACAAAAATGTTATTATAATGCAATAGGAACTAGACAACAATGGTACCTTCTGAAGCTTTTCGCGTGTATTGAATAGGCTTTGGAAGTGTTTCATGACCCCAAAATCATCTTTTTCCGATGGCTGTCCCTTCTTCCAGTTCTTGTCTAAAAACAATGAAATGGTAAAAGTAGCAGAATTGTTACTACACCACCATTGTACAACAAATAGATCTCAATGTCATTTTGACACAATGACACATTCTCATTTCAGAAGGTGATTTCATACCGAACAAATCCTGAATTGTTTTCAGCGGTTGCTCGATGACATTCATGGTTTCATTTATTGGGTGATGAAGTAAAAAAAGATTAATTTTTATTTGATTGTATTTTATCGATTTGGTGGCGTTGAGTATGAAAAAAAATCGAGTCAAATCATTGCTTAAAATGTCTTTGTGTGTACTACACTAGGTCCACTTTCATTATAGTCAACCTTATTAATGTAGTTACGGGGATCCGGGAATATTAACTGTTAAAACGAAACGAAGACAATGTGGAGGGTTAGCTATATGCTTTCAATGAAGCCTTCTTTCCATCTTTAATAGCACTTTTGCTGAACATTACCTTGGCGACAATTTCCGATCCAAGAAATCCAGCATGAACAATAGAGTCTTTGAGGGCAGGAAAGTAGTCTGGGATCTTCAGGAATTTGATCTCTCGAACTTGATATTCGCCAAAATTCTCGGATATAGACAGTGATTCTTCAATCTCACTCTGAATTCGAGATTGTAAGCCTAGAACGCAAATTTTACCAAGATTAGCAGTAGGCAACTTTTTATATCGACTTTATAAAAATAATAAAAATAAAAGTTACCTTTAACCTGACATGAACCACCTGTCACGATGATTGCCTCCCATAATGACTGGCGTTTCTCAGCTTTGCATGCAAATTGCGCAGCATGGATTGCCTCGATAATGTTCAACACTCGTTTTCCCACTAAATCAGGATTAAACAAGGGATCATAAGCATGAAAACGTGCAGATCCTACAGTAAACTAGGAAAATATACCAACAGTGGCTTATCAGAATAACAATCGCGTTAAGTTACGTTATCAATGTTTCAGTTCCAAGATGTCATACCTGTCTACCCTTATATTCCGCTTGTGCTCTAGTCTTGCTTTCTTTCTCATCTTTGCCTAGAACTCGACAAATATCTGATTCTTTTAAATGCCGAGCAAACTCGATATCCAAAGGTTCTCCATACTCGCGTACCAACTGTGTATCAGCCTTCAAAAGTTCTAGGAAGTATGTGTCAAAATCTGATCCAGCTAACGGAATCGTCTGTATTGCACTGCGTTGGATCAAGGTGTCGAGAATTGGAGTAATTTCTAAAATAGGACAGTAACATCGACTTCAAATTAGTCACTTGATGGCATATCCTGTTGTATATCACTGACTACCGAATCAATCATCACCTGTGCTGTTATGGCCAATGTCAATGACAAGGCCTGTGACGGCAGCACAGCCATAAAGGATCATTAATGGTTCCTCTGCAAGGTAAAGACCTGGCACATTGAAATTCTCAAAAAAGATTTGAGTAATACGCTCATGCTCTTCCTTGGTCCAATCTGTCGGAACAACCATAAGCACAGGAGAGGCGTTTCTAGAGCGCTTGATTCCAAGCTCTCGGAATAACACATGGCGCCTATATCCGGACCAAAACACCGTGATTAATTATGTTTTTTTTTGTGCTTTCATGCTCAAGAATGAACATCACCCAAAAAAAAAAAAAAAAAAAAAAAAAAAAAAACTCACCAGAGTGCTTCCATAGCGCCCCAGTCCTTAATAATACCACCCTGAATGGGTGTTGAGACGACCAGATCAGCTTTAGAATACTGTTGCTCTGCCTCAGCCAAGGCGCTTCCACAGTAATATATTGTTTGCGTTTTGGGGCTCTCACGTGCTTTTGTATTTTCCTGAGCTTCTAGATCATTTCCTTGAGCTGACTTTTCGGCTTTTATCTCTGCATCAGCATTGATGTTCTCGGATGGAGTCGCTTCCTCTGCCTTCTTAGTGTCAGCGTCAGCTGTCACTAGCTCAGAGGTCTCCGCTGCGATAGTCCTTGCTCCAACAAGTGAATGAATCGTCTATCAATTCGAAATTGCGGGTAGGGGCAACATATTGGGCCCTAGTTAACATCAATTTTTGTGTCTTATAATTTTAAAACGCGTACATCTGGTGATTAGCTAACTCCTTACAACGATTGGCGGCTTGTTTGTGTCAACAACATTGATGCCCGCTTTGGTGTTCCATGATCCAGAGTGTAAGACGACAAAGTTCTCTTCCCTGAGCGCCATCTTTGTCGTGTGCGTGTAGAGTAGTTTCTTGGCACGAAAGTTCAATGAGATGCAGCAAAATAACCGATCGCAAATAGAAGTTCATCCGATGTGTACTTATCACATGACTAGTCATCGAACCTTAAAAAATCGTTCTATGCCTCGATCACTTTTACTTTAATGATATGGTCATTCCTGCGTAAGTTGTGCTTAGCTCATAATGCGCCTCGTTAATAAAAGCTTTATGTATCATGAATGCTTTCTGTATAAAAAAGCATGATCTTGGTTCATTCCATTGCCTCTCATTCCTCAAAAAAACTAGCCCTTCGTCTCAACTATCAGTCTTTGTTAAGTTCGTACTACCTCCCTCAAAAGTATATTCTTCAAAGCACTGGGTACAACAGACTCACCAGCGAACATTATTACACACACAGCCACCTTTAGTCAGTAAGCTACAAACACGGGTCATCTCCTTAGCCCAAGCCAAAATGACATTCTCAGACAGTGTATCCGCAGGCAACCCTCAGGCTGCTGGCACTATCTATGTCCAAGGCGTTCCAACGCAGGAGACCCGGTTGACCCTCGGAGGATCGCTAAGCGTCTCCCCTATGGCTATCGGCACTTGGTCCTGGGGAGTAAGTACATGGAATTTAACCAAATACGATAGTGAAAGGACGCTATTTTTCTGATGCTTTCTTTTTACTCATTAGCATTTCTATTTTTTATCATGAATGAATAATGTATAAATAAAGGATTCAAAGTGGGGATATACGCCCGAGATGTTCAAGGATATTGCAGCCACTTGGGATACCTTGCAAGATACTGAGGTTGGCATCAATTTTTTTGACACGGCCGAGATTTATGGCAAAGGAGAGTCTGAGAGGATTATCGGCAAATTTTTGAAGAAATCGAAGGAAGAAGGAAAGATCCTGCCGGTGATCGCCACAAAATTCGTCCCTCTTCCTTGGAGATTAAGGTTAAAAAAAAAAAAAAAAAAAAAAAAACTCGAGATTCTCCTGATGAAACAATATTAACGCTTTTTCTTGGAAAAACTTTTGAATAGATTTCCAAGCTCGCTTCTGACCTCTCTTAAAGCGTCAATGGAGCGCCTTGGTGTTGATGTGGTTGACTTGTATCAAATCCATGGACCAATTTCTTTGAGAAGCATTGAGGTTATTGGTAATATACAACTGAACATGGTTGGAGTGCTTGACATTTGCTGTAACGTAACCTTTGTCTAGGGAGGTATATATGATGCTAATTCTGAGATATGATGAACAACTAGCCGATTCGCTTGCTGAAGCTGTTAAACTTGGAATAGTAAAAAGTGTAGGTGTTTCCAACTATTCAATTTCTGAACTGACCCGTATGCATGCTGCTCTTGCTAAGCATGGCATCCAGTTAGCTTCGAATCAAGTTGAATTCTCGCTATTAAGGAGATATCCGGAGACCTCAGGATTGATCGCCAAGTGCCACGAACTTGGAGTAGCCGTTATGTCCTATTCACCTTTGGGAATGGGTCGTTTGACCGGAAAATACAATGCTGAGAATCCTCCTCCCTCTGGTCGCTATTTCTCTGATTACCCTATGGAAGAGCTGGCTCCTTTACTCTCTGTAATGGAAAGCATTGCCAAAAAGCATAACAAACCCATGAGTGCTGGTAAGTTGTATGAAAAAAAATTGAGGGATATTATTACGTATACATCTCTAACGCTTTACAAAAAAGTTGCTCTCAACTACAATATCTGTAAAGGTACAATTCCTCTAGCAGGAGCAAGGAACCCTCAACAGGCTCGCCAGAATGCCCAGGCTCTTGGTTGGAGGCTCTCCGAAGAAGAAATTGCGGAGCTTGACGGTGTCGCTCGCATCGGCAGGACCACACTTTTCTGGCAGCACGGATAGGCTCAGTCAGGGTTGTCAATACTAGTGAATGAACTTAGTTAACTTTTGATAATAGGAGTACAGCACAATCTTGGCTGAATTACATCATTGAAATCCAGCAAGAAGCGCTTACTCGCTTTATTTTGCACTCAGGCTGAAATTAATAAAACAGTTGCGAGAACCGTTGATACAGAAAGCGACATTGCAAGTTATGCACTATATATGGTCTTAAGAGGAGGGACGTGGCCCTTTCGCGCTTTGCACATGAGCAGATAAATTCGAGCACGTTGAATTCGACTTTGGTCCTCTTCTGGAGAGCATTATCTCGTTAGATTTACTGCACCAGCTGGGCGAGATGAAGAGGCCAGCGCTCGAGCGTTCGAAGAGTGTGAAGAAGGATTTATGGACCTAGAGAAGGAATTGGGCCGTATATAGCATATAATCGAAAAAAGAGAACGCGTACATGAAGGATATGTAAGGCTCAATTGTATGAGTGAGAGCACTGTTTGTTTTTGAGTCAAAAAATACTACTACACCCTTCAACTTCCATGACATTAGGGGTGCATTTGTTGCGGTCGATAAAGTCATACAGTTTTCTTGATATTGACAAAAAAAAAAAAAAAAAAAAAAGATGTTCGAGACTGCTAATTGAGAACAAAGTCGATAAAGAGTGACAGATTTGAGCAAAATTCATTTCGCTAGATTGACTGTGCAACAATGCAATCGAGGACCAATTCTCATCCGTTAGAATTGAATTTTTGGGTCGACATCGACTTCTTTGTCACATATTTTGAAGATTCATGCTTGACAATAATGCAGAGAAGGAAGAAATGACAGTGCATCCTTGGCAACAGCCTAAGAAGATATCCTTCAAAGGAGAAGAAAAAAAGAGAAAGAAACGAGTGTGTTTTCGTTATGCCTGATAAAGGCACATGGGAAGAGACAACAGCCCAAGATGGATGCTAATATTATTGATTTAGAATTAATTATAAGTCGAATCTGTCTGCGCAGATGAACATGCACAAAAATACAAAATTGCATAAACAATTGCACGCACGCATAAGATTGATCGGAAGAGTCCAGCAAGCGAATCATAAATAATCCGAGAAGTTTGCCAAACAAGTTTTTTGCACCAACTTCATTTGATTACTGTTCCACAATTTATTTTCTGCCCTTTGGCGTCTTTGAAAAAAAAAAAAAAAAAAAAAAAAAAAAAACTTCTGTCATCGCACACTTTCATTCTTTCATTCCCTTCATTACCTCCTTCAATCACCTCCCTTCACCCTTCACTTCCATCAATAGCTTCCCTTTCCTCTCTTTTATTCCTCCAACTCTTCTCACTCCCCTCACTCCTTTAAAGGCATCTACACCCCATAATCTGTCGTTGCTAAAACGGACTGTCTGAGCATAGCCTCACTCTTTCCTCTTTCCTGCAGACAGATTTTTCTCCCCCTGTCTCATTCTATTGCACTTGATCTACTACAGTGTAGCCATGACCAGCACAAAAGATATCAACGACCCTTTACAGTGTGGCCAAGACGAGGGTACTATGTTATACATGATGCTGGCGTCTGTGGCTATTCTTTTTTCCTTTTACTCATTTCTTGATTTTAAGCTCACATTTGTCTTTTCTCTCGGTTTTCGGTTAAACTTGTTTTTTAATAGTCAGTAGTAATGATACACAGATCGTTGCCTACAATAGCCCCAGCCACGATCTTGAGCATTCACCCAAGACAGGTCGCAAATCCTATCAATTTCGAGCTCTGGTATGAATGTGGTCTTGTTGAGCTTGCTCCATCGTATTGTCCATTATATTTATTATACACTTCAATCTTTCACGAGCTGATCATTCCTTTAAATCTATATGATTTTCAATAGGGAAGAAAAACTCTCTCTTTTCAACGTCGTCAAGTATTTGTTAATGTCTGCTGCATTGGTTTGTGTCCGATCTTAATGGTCATAATCGCTGGAGCCATGGGCATTGGAATCACAGCCCTGATCAATAATCTAGGCAATCCATCAGGTAATATGGCGATGGTGTGGATGTAAAATGAATGAATAGCATTTCTTAGATTTCATTGAAAAGCCTATATGCATCTCAATTGTGGGTGACGTCTACTCAACTTATTTGGTTGCTTTCATGGTTTAGATTATCTGCTGTGCTCTGATGTAGATGCCATGACCCCACGTGGTTTTCCACTGGTACCATCCTTTTCAAAAGAGATTGTCGATTTCCCTTCGTCACTAGGATCATCTATACCCAATGCTCCTGCAGATAAAACCATTAAACACGTCAATTGGTACATTGTCCCCGGTCGTCTTGGCTTTGGAAGCTCGCCCACCATCTCCGCCGATAGTTGTGTGTGGTGGTTCGAGAAAGATTACCCCTATTCTAGTCCCTATGCCAAGGACCCCAATATCACCTCTCCTGGTGCCAATCTGGACAGTACCTATAAGGCACAGCCTAAGGGCGGATGGTTGGGCTCCGCGCAGCTGATTGCACCTATCGAGTTGACGGCACAGCAAACATATCCTTGGCTTCTGACAGCTGATGAAACTGGAGGGCTTGCAGGAACGCGACCTAAACAACCTCAGGTGGATGCAAAGTCAGGAAATCTAACGGGTCAGCCTTTCGGTACAGGCCTCTTGGGAGGCATGGAAACGCGCTACTATACTAATATCACTGTGGATCCTAGTGTTGGATTTCCGGCTCTTACAGGATTCCAAGCAGTACCATACTACCAAAAAGCCTCCCAATCGGAAGATGCTAAAGATGTTGATGAAGCGCTAACCAATCAGATTAGGAATTTGATTGAAGGTTTGGCGCGCGTAGACAAGTCTGCCATCCGCGCCAAGGACCCCACACCAGAGCAACGCATCAAATACTATTCAGATATTGGCACATTAGTGCAAGGAATGCCCATTGGAGCAGTTGTATTTAATACTATTGATACTACAGCTAGAAAGTTCGGTTATACCCTTCAAATTGGCAAGGATATTCGTCTTTCACAAGCGGCAAACTATCCTGATCGGGGCTTCCGTCTGATGCAGCAGCACACCTCACTTACTGCCGCCATCTGTAAGTTTTTTATTTATTTATTTATTAAAATGAGGGACTCTTCAATTGGAAGCTAATAAGGGTTGATTCGTGGAAATATACTACAGTGAAATCATCACCCACTGCCAATGCAACCAAGATCACTCATGGCTTCCGTGGGATGCCCCAATTGTTCACAACAAAGGCGGAGATCCCAATCGCCTCCTTGGTTGGAAGGATCTTGTATCCATTTGGAGTATCGTTTTTGTTGCCCATTTTTGTCATTACTCTAGTCAAGGAAAAAGAAGATCGTATTCTCGTGATGATGAAAATGGTATGTAGTCATCTAAATTTAGGCGCAGATAGATGCTTACTTCATATAATTGATCTGCATACTTATCTATGGTAATCTTTCATCTATATTGGCGTGTAGAGTGGACTCAAGTCAATCACATACTACGTCGCCCACTATATCCATTTCTATATCTTGCACATCCTTTCTTCGTTAATGTTCATCATCGCAGGTATAGCGTTCCGCATGCCTTTCTTTACTAAGGTCGACCCTGGTGTTTTTATCCTTCTTTTCTTTTTTTGGGGTCATGTCCAAATCGCACTCGCTTTTTTCCTCTCATGCTTCTTCAGCAAATCTCGAACTGCTCTTGTGATTGTCTTCCTGCTCGTACTCTGTGGCGTTATCGTATCGCTTGCAACTGAAAACATCTTTCAAAATGACCCTGCACCCATCGGATACTTTGTGTGGCCAGCTTTTGCATTCTATAGAGCATTGTCTGTCATTAATCGATCCAGCTATGACAGCGCATATCAGCCATACAAAATGTCGGATCTCAAGGGGTCGGATGAAGTTTTTCAGGTCATAATTGCAATGATCATTGAAACATTTGTGTTTTTAGCCTTGGCATTCTATTTGACCGAGGTCTTTCCTACAGAATTTGGTGTCCGTCAGCCATGGCATTTTATCATATCAAAGCCTTTTAAACGACTTTTCAAGAAAAAGAGGGAGCAGAATGATGTGGAGGGGCAAGTTCGACAGGATAATATAGGATCGATGCGTGAAAGGGTGCAAGGCGAGATCCCTTTGGATCCTGAGGAAGTCAAATACGAAGATGATGATGTGAAGAAGGAACGGACGCGCGTCTTGCACGACGAATATTCGCCTGATTGTCCATTGGTGATGAAAAATATGCGCAAGATCTATCCATCGAACAAGAAGCTGGCAGTTAAGAATGTTACCTTTGCCGTTGATAAAAATACCATATTCGGCTTGCTTGGACCTAATGGTGCAGGAAAGACGTCGTTAATCCATATCTTGACGGGTCTTTATGAACCTACACAAGGATGGGCACGTTTGGCAGGTTATGAATTAGATACAGAAATCAAAGATGTTTACCGCAACATTGGGATTTGCCCTCAGCATGATATTTTGTGGGATGACCTGGTAAGCAACGCTTTTTGGATTGAATCTTGTATTAGAATCAAGATCTGCTGTTCAATCAGGGGAGGATGTGCTAAAAGGGTCTTTTCTTGTTTGTATTATGCTATATTAGACTGTTGGGGAACACCTTTACTTTTATGCACGTCTAAAGGGCGTGGCTGCTGTAGATGAGCGTGCTGCCGTTCTATCATCGCTGAATGCAGTTTCGCTTGTTCCGTTCGAGGATCGTTTAACTAAAGGACTAAGTGGGGGAGAAAAACGTCGTCTGTCGATTGCCATTGCGCTGGTTGGTAATCCAGGCATTGTGTTCTTGGACGAACCTACGACGGGTCTTGACATTTCTGTCCGGCGCCTCATCTGGGATATCGTCTTCAACGCAAAGCAAGGGCGGACGATTATATTGACAACACACTCCATGGAGGAAGCTGAAGTGCTCTGCTCCAGAATTGGCATTATGGCTAAGGGAACACTACGCTGCATTGGAAATCAGATTCGACTCAAGGATCTATATGGGCGTGGATTCAAAATCACATTCGCTAGCAAACCCGAAAATACAGAACGGGCATCGCATTACATATCATCCTTGCTTCCTCCAAATTCTAAGAGGCTTGACTCGTTTGTGACCTCTGAGTCATGGGAGTTCGACAATTCGCCTGGATTAATTCAACGTCTGTTTGAGGAGATTGAAGCCCATAAACATGAGCATGGTATCGATGACTGGGGCCTGAGTCAGACAACTCTGGAGGAAGTCTTCTTGAGAATCATCCAAGAGGAGGATGCTGACGCATAAATGAAAACGACATTTTATACCAGATGACAACCATCCAATTGTTGTAGGATTGTAGCTCTATCATTCTAAAAAAAGTTATGCAAAATAGACAACACTCAATGTGGCTGAGTATTCTGAGTATTTATATGGATCACAAAGGGTGAATTGCCAAGCCAATGAACTCATTCTGTCTCGAATGGAATGGAGCAAGGAATCGAAGCGCAAGCACAAGAGATTCTGGAATTCTTAGAGACGTGTAGCCAACAGAGGTAGGTATGCTAAAATCGCGTTTATAATAAACATTAATTGCAAAAGATAAAACAATCTTGCTTTATACATGTTGAATGATCACACCCATAACATTAATAAACCAAATAAAATAAAATAGTCGCGCATACTCTACGTCTAAACTTACATCGTGTTTCGAGGATCTGCAAAGTTTTTTGGAGCAAGTGCAACCTATCCTTGAATTGAATGAGGATGGACAAGACCACTATCACAGTATACCGGACCTGTATCCAACTCTGGGGAAACTGCTTGTGCGCCTTTGCAAGAATCCGGTTATTTTGTCTTCAAAAAAGTTGGCGGATTTGATTTCTCAGTCTATATGCAAATATTCAGGGCAGCACCCACATGCCATTAGCAAAACCACCATCGCCACCACTATCACTGGTACGAATACGGAGTATATTAATAAGAATGGTCTATCGGCATATGGAAATGTTTTCAGCCAAGATCATAGTAAACAAGAATCCTCACCAAAAAAGATATGGTTTGCAGCCAGACTTCGTGACATATTTGCTCAGTCGCCCTCTGATTTATTTGAGGGCGAGTATGGTACGACGACCCAGTTTGATAATGATGGAGCTGATAGTTGTAACAACGGTAGTCAGAGTAGGAGCATGAATGCCGACATAAAGAATGAGAGAAAGGATTTTATGAGTATTTTCCAGGTATCTGAAAAGGATATTAAGCAGCAGCGGCTTGAGGAAACAATTGAGGGCATGTCTAGAATCCTACAGGGTCTCCAGGAGGTTATGAACCATAAATCAATGACAACTACGTTCCTAGAGTCTATGGTAAAGTTTTGCAATGACTAGTTATTGCTATTGTTATTTTAGGAAAAAAACACCGCTAGTACTATGCATTTAATTATTTACTTTTTGACACTGGTAAATCTACAGGCTGAATGGACGCAACAACTATCAGAGCTCTGTACTCCATTGGTGTCAAATCCACAAGCAAGGATGTTAGTTGAAGAAGTTATTAACTTTGCTTACATCTTGTATATCAAAATATCGAGCGACTGTGCTCAATGGCTACGTACATCATACACTGTCGTCATTCTGAACCCTGGGTTCGTGAGACAAGTCTTGGCTTTATGGAATGATAACATCTATAACAGCATCAATAATAATGACAAGCAAGCAAATACAAGGTTCTTCAGCCATAGGTTATTACGACGGTAAAAAAAAAAAAGGGAAATTGCTTAATGTTTATTTTTTGTCTATTGTTTTAGATCTATTAATCTAGCATTTCCTTTCTTTCATCCTCTTGTTCTTGTTTTTTTTTTTTTTTTATTTTTTATTTTTTTTTTTTATTTTTTATTTTTTATTTTTATTTTTTTATTTTCGTTCCCGTTGTTGTTGCTTCCGCTATTAGTCTATGTATTTTATCCCCTTTGGAGCGCCAGCAGTTACTTATTCAAGTAACTGATCAGATAATGATAGGCGAGAGTGGTGCACAAAACAGAACATTCATTTTTCCGAGCCGCAAACATATTGTCGATAATACATTGATGAAATCGCCCTTGTTCTTTTGCCTACAGGAAGGAGCAATCAAAAGCAATGACGATGATGACGATAGTATGGACGATGGCAATAGTGATGCTGCTAGCCTTATTAGAAAGGCTATATTGGAAGATATAGCAGGAATGGCGGAGGAAATCAATGATTGGAGATTCATGGCCGTATGTAGCATGCTAGTGGGGTGGATCTTGGTGCAGGGGAAGCAGCGACAGCACTACTTCAAGAAAGTTCAGCCTCATATGATCATTAAGAAGTTCAATCATGAATTAGGAAAGGGAGTCACAGCTTGTCCGCTTCAAACCATGCTGTCCTGTGTTTATGGTATTCTGGATTCAAAGGATACTCAGACCTTGGAGGACCATCATTCAGATATGATGGCTTTATTCTTAACGGCCCAACATCAATATATCTTCTGTGGTGGGGGTCCCAGTCGATTGTTTTTACGAAGAAGACTAGCGCTCCTGGTAGGATCAGTCCTCGCTCAACGTGATGGATATTTAGTTCATCAAATCCAGCAATATCTTAAGGATTCGATCTCCTCTCGCGGGAAAGAGGAAAGTGCTCTCGAGGAAAGGAATGTAGCATCACCAACAAAAGCAGCAGTAAGAGCAGTAGCAGCAGTAGCACTAAAAGGAGAAGGAGAAGGAAGAGAGGAAAAAAAAGAGAAGGCTCTAGCGTCTTTTATAGCTGCAACCTTGGTAATGATATATGGGCCAGGGCAAGCATACGCAGATATGATTCTCGAGCAAACAGTACTTTTACTGCAGGAACTCAAGAGGATGTTTTTATCTCCTTTATCAAAGACGACAGCAGTAAAGTCGATTGAGCGCATTTTTCTCAATTACCAACCTATCTTCCGAACATATGCTCCTTTTGTGGTATATCTCGTTTGTGCTGTGGGGATCATGCTGGAATCGAGAAAAACGGAATGTTGGCAATTCATGGTAAGATTTATTTATTTATATTTATATCTTTTTTTATGTTGTGAGATTTTTAAAAGCTAAAAGTGCAAGAGAGTCTTGATCATAACTTTTTTCATTTGGACTTGCAAAAAAAAAAAAAAAAAAATGAATCTTAATAGATTCAAATGGCGATTTCTGTGATGTGCGAGTCCAAGCCTGATAATGTCATTTTAACAAAATTTTTTCTGGCACTCTTCAGAGATTTGAGCGGGGATTTGAATTCATATACACTAGAACAAGCGCTGGATAACCTTGCAGCTGTAGAAACTGAAAAGAATGAATAGTGGTGGACGCTTAAACTTTGATCTTCAAAATAAAATTTTTATTTTGTTTGGTGAGATAAATACAAAAAGAACGAGAGAAAAGAGGATAGAGATGCAATTTCAATTACATTTTAGGTTTGGATAATCTATTAAAAGACAGGAACACCTCCAACTACATCTGAAGGTTTCCTGGCCTCACCAGTTAAAGCCTCAGCCAAGAAGGCATACTCTTCGGCCAAATGGACCTTCTTGTTACCGGTGGCGACAGAAGCAGAAGGCTCACGACCAGCATAACGAACTTCTTTGTTGGCATGGTTAGTAGTCTCACGAAGCGAGGTACGGATGCGTGGAGCAACATGGGCCCAAGCGCCCATGTTCAGAGGCTCCTCTTGACACCAAACAATCTCCGCGTTGGGATACTTGTCAGCGTACTCCTTGACTCTGTCATAGGGGAAGGGGTTCAACTGCTCAACGCGAGAAATAACTACATCATCAATCTTGTTCTGCTCACGAGCCTTGACCAAGGCGTAGTAGACTTGACCAGAGCAGAAAATGTGCTTCTTGATCTTATCGGAGCTAACAAGGTTTTTATCATCAACCTCAGGGATAAAGCGTCGGAACTGAGTATCGCCAGTCATCTCCTCCAAAGAAGAGCGAGCCATAGGGTGACGCAACAACAACTTGGAGTTGAAGACGATCAAAGGTTTGCGGTAGTCCCGGTGAATCTGGCGACGGAGGACATGGAAGTAGTTGGCAGGAGTGGAGCAGTAGACCACTTGCATGTTGCAGTCCTGGTGTTGTCGCGAGAGCTTCTCTTCCGACGGGAACTGGTTGGGATTGTCATCACACATTTGGAGGTAACGCTCGATACGGGCACTAGAGTGCTCAGGACCCTGTCCATCATAACCATGGGGCAATAGCATGGTCAATCCTGTACGTTGGAGCCACTTCTTCTCTCCAGAGGCAATAAACTGGTCGATGATACATTGAGCATTATTGGCAAAGTCTCCGAATTGAGCTTCCCAGAGAATAAGCGAGTTAGGGTTGACAAGTGAATATCCAAGCTCAAAGCCAAGGGCACCAAATTCGGAAAGTGACGAGTTGCTGACTGAGAAAGCAGCTTGACCGTGACCAAGATTCTTGAGAGGGACATGGAGCTTGTCAGTCTCCTGGTCGTGAAGGACAGCATGACGGTGCGAGAAAGTTCCACGTTCAACATCTTGACCAGCCAAACGGATGTGTTTGCCCTCTGAGAGCAAAGTGCCGAAAGCCAAGCCCTCGGCAGTGGCCCAATCAATGTTGGAGCCAGTCTCAATGGTCTTGGCACGAGCCTTCATGATGCGGGCCAAATTGGAGTGAATCTTGAAGCCAGGAGGATACGAGCTAATGGTATTTCCAACATGCTTCAGGGTCTCCATAGCAGCACCAGTGGGGAACGTGGGAAGAATTTCTGTAGCCAGCTCAGCAGGAGATTTGAATCCATGCCATGAGCTGGTCATCCATTCCTTAGGTTGGGCTTTGTAGTCCTTGCTCTTAGAATAGTTTTCCTCAAGAATGTCCCAGATGCGCTTCTTCATTTCGTTGATCTGCTCCTCCTTGAAAGAGCCTTCCTTGATGAGCTTATCAATGTAGTTATTTAAGGCGGGAGTCTGATGCTCAATAGCTTTGTACATGATGGGCTGAGTGAAGCTGGGTTGATCAGTCTCATTGTGTCCATGACGTCTGTAACAGACAAGATCAATAACAACATCGGTGTGGAATTCCTTGCGCCAGTCAGCAGCCAACTGATGAACAAAGTTGACAGCCTCGACATCATCAGCATTGACATGGAAGATAGGAGCGTTGATCGATTTTGCAATGTCGGTACAGTAAGCAGTCGAACGAGCGAAGCGGGGGTCAGTGGTGAAGCCAATCTGGTTGTTGACAACAATGTGAATGGTACCTCCAGTCGAGTAAGCAGGCAAATCCATGAATCCGAGGGTTTCATAGACGACGCCCTGTCCTGCAAAGGCAGCATCACCATGCAAAAGAACAGCGAGTGAGCGAGTTCTTTCTTTATCATCCATGTAATGTTGAATGGCATGAGTCTTCCCGAGGACGACGCCATCTGCAGCTTCTAAATGCGAAGGGTTTGCGACCAAAGACAATTGAACGGGCTTGCCCGAGGGAGTAGGACGCTCATAATTCATCCCCAAGTGGTACTTGACATCTCCAGAGAATCCGTCCTGAGCAGAATTACCACTAAATTCTGAGAAGATGGACTCGTGGGGTTTGCGTACAACATTGGACAAAACGTTGAGACGACCACGATGAGGCATTCCCATGACAATAGACTCGACACCATGCTCGACAGATCGATCAATCTATGCAGATCCAAAGAATAATTGGTTGATTAAATTAACTATATATATATATATATATATATATATATATATATAATAGATGCGGCCTGCAGTTTGCTCACCAGTGCTTTCATTCCGGGAATCAAACTCTCGCCTCCCTCAAGGCCAAAACGTTTTTCGCTGGGATACTTTGATGCAACAAAGCGTTCAAATGAATCAGACCAGATCATGCGGTCAAGGATCATGGTTTTCTCCTCGATGGTATACTTATAAGGACGAGGAACCTCGACACGGTGTCGAATCCAGTCGCAGCGGTCTCTATCAGGAATATGAATGTATTCGACACCAATAGAGCCGCCTAGATATTAAGGATAGTAGTCAGAAAAAGCGATGTGGAGGTGAGCAACGACGCCTGATGAAGACAAGAAAGCATGGGTATGATAGGAATCTAACTGATTGGGTACTCCTGGTTTTGAATGTAATTACACAAATAGTTTATCCACGAAGGTCCATTAAAGTGATTTCATCATGCTGGCATGTATAGCGCAATGTGGGATCATTCCACGTTCGTTGGGATCACGCCGTGAATAATCAAGTCAACTTAATCAATTTTTTTTTAAAAAAAAAAAAATAAATAAAAAAAAACGTACAGTAGATAGTTTTGAGATGATCAATAATCTCACGGAGCGTTTGTTTGCTTCCTGTGTCAAGGAAACCTGGAAGGATGCCTGGTCCGAGAGAGAAGGTGCGGTCAAGATCTTTCTCTGAAAAACCATAGTGAGTGATGTCCAATTCACGTGGTATGACAGCACTCAAGTCGGCCTCATTGATGCCGAGAGGATCCAGACGAGCAACGTGATGGCCACGAACCTGGTATGCACGGACTAATAACTGGATCTTTAGATGATCAATGACATCCGAGGATCCAGCCTGGGAGCCGGGTACCAAAGAGGGAACACCACCAGTTGGAGGAATGGTAGGAGGAGCCTGGAAGGATTGAGAGGCAGACATGCCCTGGGACTGGTTCCTGAAGTAGATCTGCCACGAGAGGTGAACAGAAGAAGGGTCCTTGAGCCAAGCAGAATACATCTCCTCAACATAAGCAGCCGAGTTGCCCTGTAGAAAGGCATCTTTGGCGACCACTTGTTCACCTTTAGTGGTGCTAGAAGAGGCCTTACGAATAGACACGAGGGTAGCGACAGGAGCGTTGGTGCGAGCAATGCTAGAGCGCAATAAAAGGGTAGACTGACGTGCCACCGGCGCAGAGGCCGTGCGAGCTAGTGAAGACAAGGGAAAAGGCATAGTAGGCAATAGGAAGGGCAATGGCAAAAACAAGCGTGAGAACGAGACAAGAAAAAGATAGTGAATCTATGGCTCTATGACTTGAGGTTCATGGAGGTGTATTAAACACACACAATTAAAGATAAACAAAAACAAAAATGAAAAAGAGAGAGAGAAAAAAAAAAAAAAAAAAAAAAAAAGATGCAGAAGAATAAAAAGAAAAGAGAGGAGAGATGTAATGATTAAACAAACAAAAAAAAAGACAGACAGATAAAGCTGTTCCTGTTTCCGAGAACGAGGGTGGTAATCTAAGCCACCATTACCATCTTAACGATGAAACTTCTTTCTGCTCAGTCGAAAGGACATGTGGTGTCGTTTGCCATTGTCAACTTATTTGCAACCGCCGTCACTGTTGACTTGATTTCCCAAGGTTGCGCGTAGTTCTGTGTCCTGTGCTCACTATCGGTCCCTTTTTTATGCGTGTTGTGTTTTATCAATTCATCTGTGCACATCTTTCATTCTGCCCTTCCATTGTCACTTGTTGCATCTTAACTGGGCCATGGCTATCCACAATTCTCTACGTCTGTAAGTCATCCTTACTAGAATAGACTTGAGGCAGCATTAGCACCAATACTCTCATATCATATTTTATTATCTTTATCCAAAGTACTGACCTTTTTTTACCTTTAATAAATTTTTTTTATTATTTTAATTATTGTTATTATTGTTACTGTTAATTACTGTTTGTTATTGTTGTTACTTGAATTCATATCGAATTTTTAAAGATATATTAGCATCGATACTTTCACAATTGAACCAGTATTTAATGATCCTTCAGTTGTCACAGAAAACATTGTGATCCAACGCTCTAATGGCCAAGTCCGTTTGAACGGTATGGATAGATTAGCCATGAAGCCTTCGGTCTATGTGTCGGCATTCAACCCAATACGTTACTTTTTATAAAAATATATGTAATTAGCCCCTGCTGGAAGAGTCCCTGCAGATGAGGAAGTCATGTCGATCTATGGTATCCTTGGGATTATACGATTGTTGGCTGGCAAGTTTTATGGCGCGTTTGGAGAATAGTATGCTAGAAATCTCATTCGTGATCTTTAAAAGCCAAGCCTGGGGATATTAAGCTTAATAATGATATCTCTATTATAGGCGAGTACATGATCGTGGTTACAGATAGACAAAGAGTCGGTCAAATTGGTGAACACGACATTTTTAAGCTCAAAGAATACAAGATCATGCCATTCTCGCGTAACAACCTAGCACTCTCTGAGGCTCAGGTAAGGCCATTTGCTTTTTACTTGGATTAAGAAGTTAGCATTCATATGGGCTTATGATAAATAGGAAAAGAAATAATCAGTATTACTTCCTTGACCGGCTCTACTACACTTTATGTAGACTGGTGAGGAGGCGTCATATATTTCTCTATTACATTCACATCTACAATCAGCAAAGCTTCATTTCGCATACACCTATGATCTAACACACACGCTTCAGCGGCAGGCTGAGCTCCGGGGCAATATACAGCCTATGTGGGAACGAGTAAGTTATTTAATTTGGCAGACCTAATCATATCTTTTTATACTTGTTTATTTGTATGTTTGTCAAAATTCTAATTTTTTTTTTTTTTTTTTTTTTTTTCTTTAAGGCGGATGAGAGGTTCTTCTGGAACTATCGTCTTCAATCAAAATTTATAGATCACACTCGCAGACACAAAGACCAAGATGTAAGGACACTATGCTAGAGACCCATTCCTACAGTCGTTAAAATAGATGTGCTAATATGCTCTTATTTGCATTATTCAATAGTTGGGCAACTTCATCCTGCCAATCATCAACGGCTTTGTGGATATTAAAGAAGTTGAAATCAACAGAAAACCTTTTACTTTTGTATTAATTTCGAGGCGATCGCGTCACCGCGCTGGTACTCGCTACTTTTCACGAGGCGTGGACATTCATGGAAATGTCTCCAATTTTAATGAGTCGGAACAAATTGTTGTAGTGGACACCGCTGCCCAGTCGACAATACCAACCGCTGTTAGGAACCACATAATGCTCTCTCATGTTCAGACTCGCGGATCAATTCCTATCTTTTGGACTCAAATTAATAACATCCAGTACACGCCAAAACTTCAGATCTTTAATGATCCGCAGACTGTAAGGCATCGCTACTTCCTTCCAACTTGTTCATAGAGATGTACTGCACCCACTAAAGTTCATATTATAATGTACTATGGGTTGTAGGGAAATGCTTTTCGACGACATTTTGAGGCACAAAAAAGGTACTATGGGACTCAACTTGTTATCAACCTCATCAACAAAAAGGGATACGAAGAGCCCATGGGAACAACCTTTTCGAAGCAGATAGATATTTTGAGTGACCCCGACATCAAGTATTACCATTTTGATTTTCACCATGAGTGCAGCAAGATGAGATGGCACCGAGTATCGCTTTTATTGGACCATTACCATGAGGATTTGGTAGCACAGGGGTAAAAATTACTGTGATCTTGCGCCTCGTTATCGTGGAAGCGAGCCATTTTTTTGCAAAACATCACCAACCTTTGTGTCTCTATTATAGATACTTTAAAGCCGAGGCTAACAGGCACATGATACAGAGAGTATATCATCGCCAGTCGTCCGTCGTCCGTACCAACTGTATGGATTGTCTGGACAGAACAAATGTTGTTCAGTCGGTTATATCCCGATGGGTGCTGAATCGTCAGTTACAAGATGTTGGTATCCTCGCTGTAGGAGAGCAATTTGAGACATTTAAACAATTCGAGTCCGTCTTTCGGGATGGTGAGCTTTTCGTCATTTAGTTTAACACCTCTTGCTGAAAACTGAGACATTAATCATATGGGGCCATTGAGGCATATGACTTCTAATTGAAAGAATATCCTCATTCTAGTATGGGCTGACAATGCCGATATTATCAGTTGTGCGTACTCAGGGACAGGAGCCCTCAAAACAGATTTTACAAGGTATTGGACAGTCGCTTGGTTTCAAGTACACAGGTTGAAAAAGATGACGATGCTAATAAAGACTGTACACATTATTTCTCTATCATATCCTTTTGAAGGACTGGGAAGCGCACGAAGGTTGGTGCTCTCTATGATTTGCAGAACTCAATTGTTCGCTACATCAAAAATAACTTTTTGGACGGATCGCGCCAGGTAAAATTTCTATTTCTTAAGGAGTTGCTCAGTTCTCAACAGTTGGTTTCTAACCTAATATCCTTCTGGTGCCAATCTATAGGATGCCTATGATCTTTTCTTGTCATACGATGTTCATGAGAATGGATCGTATCCACTCATCGACGATCGTCCACTCCATTTCAAGCTCATGCCTCTTGGTCTTATTATTGGCTTTGCCATGCTGGTGTCCTGCGCCATTATTCCAGAAAGTAAGTTTCTCATCAGCTGCTGACTTGCGTAGACCCCATAAGCTTAGAAGTATTGCTAATATTTAAAGGGCGCCACATTGGTGTCTGTTTATTCTTTGAACAGGTTTTTTCAGCACACATGTACTAGCTTTTGCTTCTTTTTGGGTTGCTGTGATAGTGTATATCATCCATTTCATTTTAGCAAACGGAGTCTATTATGTTAATTGGCCGCGGTTAGTTCCACTAGGCTATGACCTTGCGGCGATGACTCGAAATCATACATTCGAATCGGATACAACGCTGGGTACCGCCGAGGTTGAGCTCGGATGGAAAAATGAATAGACGAGTATCTATTAGACAAGCTATGCCTCATCAACTTCATTAAAGTAGTGCTGCTAATCTTAAATGTTCATAAACAATGTGCTTTACTTGCCATTCTGAATGTATTGATTACAGCTCTTGAAATGTAGCCAGTGTATCATAGTCTTGCGCAATGGCGCTTTCTCATGGATCGCAGTTTTATGTCTGTAATATTGTTTAATCAATATTCAAAGGAAAATAAAAATATTGCAGGGAGGCCGAATCATGGCACCCAGGCTTCAGTACCCATTATTATTCTCCTTCATTCATATCCAGTGATTAGTGATTAGTGGTGCCGGAATGAAATATTTCATTTTCCAACCTATAGTATTCGTTCCTCCTCTGAGCGGCATAGGCGCTTCTGTGAGCATGTATGCGGCTCATGTTCTCATCCGAGACTGTAAATACAATTGGTGCAGTGAACAAGCTCTGCTTTTTCTAGAAATTAGATCTCCAGGCCAGCTATCTTGAGTGTTAAATGTGGCAAAGAATGGGTTGTCTAATTTTGGTTTACGTTTTCGTTCTGACGTAAGTAATCTTGCCCTGGTCTAGTACTGTGACCTTCTGAAATGGTACAAGGACAAATCTCCGTATGCTTTCCTCATGCGTTGAATGGGTGCGATAAGATAATGCTTGACCTGCATGCTGAAAGTAAGATATAAACCGATAAAGCACCTTCGTATTTTAGAACTTCATCATAAATAGCCTTTTGAAAAGAGCGCTGTTCAAGTCAGCGTGTTTTCTTTGAACTCGGAGATTGAACATTACTTTAGTAGGGAGGGTCTAAATTGGTGGCGCAAATGCTCTTGAATTTCTCCGATACGCATTGTGTTTATTGATCAGCAAACTTTGCCTTCCCTTCACCTGATCGTCATTACATCCTTACTCTTTCTCGATCTATAAGCGACATCGTCAAATGTATACGAGAACCTTATTGCAGCACTTGTCAAGGCAGTGGAATGGCCATCTATTCCATTCAACTGCTTCAATAAATTTCAAGAATACGTCCCAAAGGCGTCTGTCTCGTGTCTCAGTAAATAGCCTAAAAAGAGAATATGGACAGTTCAATACAGTAATCAACACAGGGGAATCCTGGATATTGAAACCTGAGGCACGTCTTGGAGAGCTGGAGCGTCAAGGCATTAAACCTTATCCCAGATACCAGTCGCCAAGAACACCTATTATTCCTGTGAAGGAGGTCATTGCTAAATATCAGGATAAAATTGAAGTTGGTACAAAAGACAAATCCAAGAAGATCTCAATAAACGGTACGAGGTGGAAAACTACGCTAATCTAAAAGTCATTGCCAGTCAAATATACAGGAAGTTGATGTCTAGAAGTCTTTCACCCTTGTTTCTAATACTGGGATTTTTTTTTTTCTCTTTTCGGTCGACGTAGGTCGTATTTACTCAAAGCGCGACTCAAGCTCAAAACTGATTTGGTTTGATCTGATACAAGATAATCAGTCGATCCAAGCCGTCTTCAATCGTAGAAACTATCTAGGAAATGATCAGGAATTCGAGAAAGCTGCCAAAAACTTTCAACGTGGAGATATTGTTCGTAAGCGTCATTTGATACAAGGATGCAAGGTTTGCTTCTGGTGAAGATTGAATTGATGAGCCAGATAATTAGTCAACTTTTTTTTTTTTTTTTTAAAAAAAAAAAAAAAAAAAAAAAAAAATGTAGAGCTAACAGGACATATAGGAAAGACAAAAACTGGAGAATTGAGTGTATTCATTACAGAATCCTTTGAGCTCCTCTCACCATGTCTCCACGCAATTCCAATGCGATCAGGGCTCAAGGACCCTGAAAAGAGGTTTAGGAATAGACATTTGGACTTTTTGGTCAATCGTGATGCTCTTGAGATTTTAAAAAAGAGGCGTGATGTATGAAGCGCTATTTCTTTGAGAAAGGCCCCGCAATATTCGGCCATAGATAGATCAATCCATCAAATAACTTTTTTTTACTTGTGTAAAAAGGTTATCAAATTTATTAGAGAGTATCTGGATAGCCGCAATTTTCTGGAGGTGGAGACGCCCATTCTATCCACCCAGGCGGGTGGGGCAAATGCAAAACCATTTACCACGCGTGCTAATGCTTTGGACATGGAGATGCAAATGCGTGTCGCTCCAGAGTTATATCTTAAGGTACTAGGCCATCCTAGCTGTCTGTACACACTGTCAGTAATGTAATTATTGATGTGCTATGCCTAAACACATCTGTACACAACATCCAAAAAAAAAAAAAAAAAAAAAAAAAAAAGCAACTTGTTATTGGGGGCGTGGACCGCGTGTATGAGTTAGGAAAGCAATTCCGTAACGAAGGCATAGATGCCGACCACAATCCAGAATTTACGACCTGCGAGTTTTATCAAGCATACGCAAATTTAGAGGACCTATTTGAGATGACAGAGGACATGCTTCAAGGTATTTTCAAACACTCAACCGCAGGTTTGGATATGTTCTAAAAATAATTCTTATGGTCGCCATCTACCATTTATTTTGCGTGCATAATTAGAGATGGCAAAAACAATTACTGGGTCAACAACTATAAGTACAAATGTCTTGAGTACACCTATAGAGCTTTCATTCGAGAAACCTTTTCGAAGAATCAACATCATGGAGTTTTTGGAGCAAAAACTCGGTGCGCCTTTACCGGACCTTGAAAGTAAGTTCCTTTTTTTATCTAAACTTATTTAAAGATAAAACTTTTACTAAATGAAACACTGCGTCTTATTGCTTCAATACACCTGAACTGGTTTTTACAGAGGAACCTATTGCAGAACTTCTTGAACTCTGTAAAGAACACAACCTATTTGTGCCAGCGCCGCACACTATCCCTAGAATTATGGATAAACTAATATCATTCTTTATTGAGCCTGAGTGCGTTCAGCCTACGTTCTTATGGGGACATCCCATCATTATGAGCCCTTTGGCAAAGGATATTCAGTTGGACTCGGTAAGATGTAGATACAAATGTATATTAATATTTAAAATAGACTATAGATATTGTAAATGACTAATGACATGAAACAATGCCTAATTTTTTAGGGTCGAAGCGTTGCAGGTCGCTTCGAGCTCTTCGTAGCTGGCAAGGAGATTGTTAATGCATATGAAGAGTTGAATAACCCAGTACAGCAACGAGACAGATTTGTAAAACAGCAACGCGATAAGGAGAATGGTGATGAAGAAGCTCAGCCGATGGATCTGGCGTTTTGTGGTGCACTTGAATACGGGTTGCCCCCAACGGCCGGATGGGGTATGGGCGTGGATCGTGTCTGTCAGATCCTCACAGGCTCCCAACATATCCGCGATGTGCTTGCCTTCCCAACCATGCGTACCCGCAACGCCACCACATCCACAACGGATATAGTTTCAAACAAATAAATTTTATTCAAAATTTCCTATAATTGCAATTGAGGTTCCGTATAAACACGTCACATGGTGCGTATTGGCCCGACTGCCGACCGTAGAAGCGTGATAGTGATCTCAGGTCCTCTCCATTCAACGTGCTTCCATTCGATCATGGTGAGCTCACCATTCATACTGAGGCAATTGAGTCTCCCTCAGCGTGTACGGTCAAAGGTCCTGTTGAACACAGGATATCCTGCACTGGCAGCACTGCGGCAAGTCCAGAGTGGAGTTCATATCAAATTTTATAATGCTCTTTACAGCACTCAAGCAGCTATCCCCGATCTGACAGATAAACCATACTACATCACGACACCAATTTTCTATGTTAATGCGGGTATTGCCAATCTGGAACGTTGGATGTTTTAGCTACTACTTGAGTTGCCCGACTTCTTTTTTTTTTTTTTTTTTTTTTTTTTTTCGCAGATTATGGTACTAATAAGGAGCAATGTATTGCGCTCGGTGGCATAGTTCCTCATATTGGGCATTTGCATTCAGCGGTCCTTGCGGACACCTTCAAACGCTTCCACGTGATGAAAGGCCGCAAAGCATTATTGAGTACAGGGACGGACGAACATGGACTGAAAGTAATAAAAGATTTGGACATTTTGAAAATTTTTAAATAATAATTCAATAGAATTACTAATAGGTACTAATAGGATTAATGACTTTTTTATCAATAGATACAACAAGCCGCAATGCTAGCAGGAGTAAAAGAGATTGATTTATGTGATCAGGTTTCTCAGCGGTTCAAAGACTTGTTTGATGCAGCCAATATCAGTTATACTACATATATCAGAACAACAGAACCACGCCACACCATCACTGTCAAGGAGCTCTGGCAAAAGTTGTGGGATAATGGATATATCTATAAGGGACAGCACGAGGGTTGGTATTCCATTTCTGATGAAGCATTTTATGCGTCAACACAAGTTGAAGAGAGGATTGATGAAAAGACGGGTAGTAAATACCATGTAAGAGCAAATTTTGGCAGCTCTTTGATGATTCGATGATCAACATTCAAAATCTTATCAGCCATGTCATCTTCAACATAGATCGCCATTGAGACAGGAAAGCTAGTTGAATGGACAACAGAGGAGAATTATAAATTTAAGCTGAGCGCTTTCACCGATCGGTTACTCGAATGGCTAGATCAAAACCCTGATGGCATGTAGCAACTGTAATCTCTCCATAATTTGCTAATGTCTTTTCTAAGGCGCTCAAAACACTGATTAAAGATACTACTTTAAATTGTTTTCTTTACTGTTAAAAACAACAGCTATCGTGCCCAAGAGCCGACATCAAGAGGTCCAAAGCTGGATCAGGAATGGGCTTTCTGACTTGTCCGTTTCAAGATCTAGATCAAGATTGACTTGGGGCATCCCTATTCCGGGAGATGATAGCCATGTTATGTATGTATGGATGGATGCCCTCACAAACTATTTAACAGTCGCAGGATATCCGTGGAAAGACAGCGATATGGAAAAGAATCAGGCTTATGGATGGCCTGCAGACGCTCAGGTTGTTGGGAAGGACATATTGCGCTTCCATGCCGTGTACTGGCCCGCTTTCTTAATGGCTGCAAAACTGGATTTGCCAAAGAGAATTGTAGCTCATGCTCACTGGACACAAAGAAAGATGAAGATGTCAAAGAGCATTGGAAACGTAGTGGACCCTTTCACAGCTATGGAGGAATTTGGTACCGATACTATTCGATTTTACTTGATGAATGATGGGGGGCTCGTAGATGACACAGGTATACTTTTGAGAAAGGAAGAAGCAAACAAAATTTTTTGAAATCTATAGTTTAGAAGTGAACGGTTGACATGGAACTCGATACAATCATTATAATTATTATTATTTCTTTGTTACTATTTAGACTATTCTTCCTCCTTAGTTATGGAGCGTTACAGAAAGTTGCTTGCTGGCCAGCTTGGAAACCTTTTGAACCGATCAATTTCTTTGGCTCTCAATCCATCATCGAAGATCCCAGCAGCACCATCCATGGAAAACGTTCATCCTGAAGACAAGCACTTGCATTTAAGGCTCCAGGTAGTTTCAAATGCTTATAACGATGCCATGAGCAATTACAGGACAACGCAGGCGACACAAGCAATCTTTGAAATGTTAGCAGAGGTATAGCCCCCCCCTTTTTTTTTTTATTATTCAAGGGATGTCTATTCAAAGATGCTTTATAATTATTAATATGCAAAGATAAACTGTATTGACCGAATGAATGCAGGCAAACGTCCACATCAGTCAATGTAAACCATGGGATTTGATCAAGGACCCATCCAAGAAAGATCGCTTAGATACGGTGTTATGGTATTCCATGGAATCTGTACGCCTAGCCGCTCTGCTACTCCAGCCAATCATACCTACGAAAGCATCAGAAATACTAGATCAGCTCGCCATCACAAAGGAGGAACGGTCTTGGGATTTTGCATATCTTGGTCGTGGTTGGATGAAGGATTTAGAGGCAAGACGCGTTCGTCCTAGTGGACCCGTGTTCCCACCATTGAAGCCCACAAAAAATAAGCAACTCTAGTCGCCAACAACAATAATGACCTCGAAATGTCTAGCTTAACTTGATTACATATTCAAATATACGTGACCATTTAACCATTGTATTAATTACAGAGCATCACTCAATTTTAATTCTAATGATTGAACATATCTCGCAGGATTTCTCAAAGGAAACAAACAAAATAGCTAGTGGCTTCTCAATACAACTCTGGATTGTTACCCTTTGGATGAATGTCAGAGATGGTTTAATAAAATAAAGCTACTAACTATGAAAAAAGCAAAAATAAAAAAGGGATAAATCATAGAACCAATACACCAGTCCCGAGATTTTGAAATGTTGAAAGGAGTCAGCCTCTACTTCATCCCACGCAGAGACGACTCTCCACATCTCTACGGAGAGATTTTACTTGCGAAGCATTAAAGCTTTTTTGGAACAGCGGAAAGGCGAATTCGTAATAGTCATTAATAGCAGAGGAGTATACAAAGAATGCTGTACAGCAATTGCTGATCTTTAGGATCCGAACAAGTCTTTACTCACATTTCCTAAGTGGAGTTCTGGCTTAAGCCAGAAAGGTCGTTGGCTGGCCGATGATATTCAAATGTAGGTGCGAGTTTCAACAGAAGAATCCATAATTAAAGGTAAATAGGTAAGCACGAATTGTCCAGTCTCCCTAGGAGATAGTCAAGTAGGATCTTGTACGAATGATGTACCATTGGAAGCACAATCACGACACTTCAGCCAAGACGGTTGTACTCTTACTTTGAGGGATATCGAGCGCCTCTAGACCAAAGCGGAAGTCTTAAAAGGGCTTGATTGGGGAGAGAGCAAGCGCCAGCTAAACCAACAGAGAAGCGACTTCAAGCGGCAATATTTGTCTGAATTTAACAAATTATAATATCATGTATTGGGCATCATCGCTGGTATTCAAATACACTCTTTTAAAGACGACGACTCAAATTATTTTATGGTTGCTTGATCAACAGCCTTTCATCCAAAGCTAAATTTCGATGTATTGCTCACCAGAGTGTTTATATGCTTTATTATGCTCTGGAGCCTTCATTATTATTATTTTCTTCATCATTGAGTTCAGCACGGATAAATAACGGAAGAAAGGCCTACATGTCCGTATATCTGCTTATGACCCCTGTCAAAAGTGGACGATCCATAAACACAATTAGAATGGAGGTAGGATGAGTGAGATTTGTACATTAATTGTTTGTAAAATACGAAGCATTTATTAGCGGCATAGTGGTTAGCCTGGCTCACAATGTGCTACAACTTGAGGATATTCAAGTTTATAATATATAGGTCGTGCCTGCATAAACCTAAGCACTAAAACCGCGTTTCTAAATACAGCAATCCACGATTCCATTTCCTTGTTTCCTGATTTTGGAAAAATTGAAAAGCTTGTAAGCATATGTGCACAGCATTTATCGCGACTTTAACTTGATAATAGCCCTAGTCCTAGCTCCTTGAGCCATATCAAGGATCAGCTTGCATTAATGAAGAGTGTGTTACCACTCGAGCAATATCTTTCACAGCATTTACGTCTTCAACTGCAAATATCTGGAACTGCACATCATGAAGAGAGACAGTTTGTGATACTCTTTTCGTATCATGCGAAGACAGGCAGGGTCCCTTATGAGGGCAAATAAGAGCCATTTTAGGTAGTGGTAGAAACTGCTCGTGAGGTTGGAGCAGGTCTTTCCCTTTACTTCCATGAACTGCTTTATTTCCTGTACACAAAACGGCCAATAGGCATCGTGCGCTACCAGCCAATCAGATTTTCTCATCTCAATATAGCGTATATATAGCCACCGTTGTGCTGACTTCTTGCAAAGAGAGAAGGAGGCATTACTGAAAAAAAAAAAAAAAAAAAAAAAAGCACCTCATCGGCACTTTCAGCGACAGGAAATACACCCAACTTTTTTTTAGTAAATTTAATTCTTCAATCTTCTGATTGCATTTGCTTCCGGTCATCATCCTTTTAGAATATCTATTGACTTGACTGGGTAAGATAAAAAATAAACCGTCCCTTGGCAATTACTTCCTGCAAACCCTTTCTATAATTAATTTAATGTGACAAGTACATGGACAATCATCTTGTATTTGCTTTGTACATGATCATTTCTTTATATTTTGCTACCGATCCCCATCACTTAGATGCGTGTGATTCAGCATATATTGTAATTGCCTTTTTTCTATTTTTTTTTTTTGCTGGCTTCTTATTGTCTACGCACCCAGTTTCTTCAGAAATTTCTTTTTAAGTTGTTCTCTTAATGCACAAATGTGCAGCAATGGAAAGGCTATTTATCACGTGGTTGGATAGCACACATCATATATTCCTATCATTAAATATCCCATCTACACTGTCCCTTAGGCTGTTTTTAGAGCATTACATTCTATTTCCTGCCTTTCTTTTCCCATCCGTCGTGCGTGTGCATCTTCACGCCAGCATACGCCGACAACTGCAGCAGAAGGAACATCAGGAAGCCACTGTTTTGGTGTTTGCCTGATTGTTTTGAGCCCACAAAGAAAAAGTTCCCTCAACATGGCCGAGGTGAACAGAACTGTAAGTACATTTGTTGTTTGTTCAGGGCTATTAGCTTTACAGATTATATCTTGAAGTTATTAGCTGGGGTGAAATGATTGTTTTTCTTTTTAGCTTTCTTGTACTATGTCACCCATACTCTTCTTTATTTTTTCATTAGTTGCCAGAAATACTCAAGATGCGACTTCAATCGGAAAAGGCACACCAAGAAAAAATCGAGTATGTGCAAAATATATTTAAATCATTTCATTATCCTTATCGTTAGGCATCTTGCCAATAACAATTTTACTTATCTGCTTTACCGTCTTTAGTGAAATCCTCGTTCGACGAGACTTTCTTCTAAAACAGTTCTTTTACATGAAGCAACTCGCTGGAACGGAAGCTAGTCTGGAACCCGAGCAAGATTTCTCGAAAATCGACGTAGAGAAATTGAAGGCCTTTCAAGAAGAACACCGGCTGTCAGAGTAAGAGAAGCGAAAGTGTGGGCTGTAATATTGCAATTTCGACCTAATAGTTTTTAATGAAAAGCATTTAAATGTAATAAAATTTATCAACTTAGATCAAACCCGACCTCAGGAATGCTCGAAATCGACGGAGATGAGGAAAATGTTGAAATGGATATTCTAGAGTCTTTAGTGAAGCAGGAAAGTACCACGCCTACAGTAATGACACCATCGGATAGTGCGGTTGTGGTTCCAGATCTTACCTCAGATTCGCCGATGGAAATTGTTGAAAACGAGCATGTTGAAACTAAGGAAGCAGGTGGAAAGGAGCCTACAATCAAGAAGGAACCAACACCATCAATAATCAGCTTTGAAGATGTACAAGATATAGCGCACGAAGGCAACCTCGCGTCCCCGAAATCCAATGCTGCATTACCTGAAGGCGACAATCCCACCCATGGCGATCGGCAGATGACGCCAGAACCAAGGACGCCTGGAAGCACACCAGGAAGTACCCCTGGACCTCAAAACAATTCAGCTGAGACGTCACCCTCTCGTAAACTGAAGCGCATGCTTCCTCCTCCAGAGCGTATGGTGACACGGGGAGTCAGTGGGGCTATTCGACATCGAAGTGTAGAAGAAATATTAGGGTCCGCTTCTGAAAGATCACCCACCACGCCTACTCTGCGCCATCCTCAATATGAGCATCCTTCGCCGGTAGCAACCTCTCCTATCAGTGCTTCAGATTCTAGTGTATCCACTTTGGCTCCATCCACAACAAACGATGCCTTGAATGCGGCGATAAATGGTGGCTCCGTAACAACTCCACCAACAAATGTAGGAGAGTCCACACCCGCCAAAGCCGTTGCTTTGAAACTCCATTCAACAAAAAAGCTTGCCCAGCCAACAACTACACCAACTATCATGAAACGCTCGGATTCACGTTATGGATCATCGCGGCACGATCTCATAGATGGATCGTCTTCATCCGGCCGACCTCCTAGACATGTGGATCTTTATGCTTGGCAGCTCAAGGCTCAGTCGCAGCCGATCTACAAAGCGCTACAGACTGCGAGTAAAGTACTGACAACTAAGGATTGGAAGGTAGCACGCGAAGAACTCAAGCTGGTGCGAGCGATGCAACGGATAGAGGCACTGAAAGCGGGTAATCGCTGGAGCTTCAAGCAGATCAAGAAGCATCGAGGACCTGCTAGGACGAAAACACACTGGGATCATTTACTCGACGAAATGCGCTGGATTCAAGTGGATTTCAAGGAGGAGAGACGTTGGAAGATTGCCACTGCGTATCAGATGTCAAGGTGGATCATGGCATGGCATGAAGCCGAGGATAAATCCCTCGTTTGTGTCTCGGTAAGTGATATTTCATTAATTTGGTCTTTTTTTTCTTTTTTTGCTTTATTTTTGTTTTTGGATATGTTATCAATCCTTCCCTCTTTTATACATCCATAAACAGCGTCGAAAAGTTGTTGGGCTCTCAGAGCCGATGTTATCCGAAACACAGGGACATTCATTGCAGGCGATGGAAACGACGGTCAAGGTGGAGGACATTATTGATGAGAACATGATGGATATATCTGAACCTTCTTTGGAAGCTTCTCAAACATCTGGTAACGATAGCGCTGTGAAGCAGGATAAGGATATTACGACTGAACGCTCTATCAAAATCGAAGCAGAAGATATCGTGATGTCTACACCCACAGATACATCAGAACATTCTGCAGCGGATGCGCCGGATGCAGCATTAACATCCGAGTCAAAGTTTAGCAGCAGCGACCTGACAGAGGCTGAAAATAAGATACTCGTGGCAAAGATGAAGGATAATGCGAAGGACGATTTCATAATGATGCCACCACCGATCTCACCCGCTGTTCTTCAAAAGTGCAGGCCTTCAATTTTGGAGCTCGATACGAGCACTACTGTTTTCTCATTAGATACTTTGGAGGCTCTCATGGAGGGCGTTCACATTGGATCATTTGATGTTGGTGCGTTATTTCCAGATTTGCCACTCTATGGGCCCCCTAATCCAGACGATAATGACGCCTATATTGATGAAGCGGAACACGGTAGAGTCACTATGATTAGCAGATTAATGAGTTCTAGGCCGCCTACACTTGAGTTTGGCCCCTTGGCTTCTCAAATTATCTATGTGAAGCGTAAAAGAGAGTTGACTGGCGAAGCAGACGATTTTGAGGAAGAGGATGCTCGAGTGCCAAAAATTGAGGGGAAGATATTAAACGCTATTCCTGGAACGGAGCCGCCCAGAGCTGTTCCTGTTTTGTTTCAAGCCAAAAAAAATAAGGATGCACCCATGATACCCATTCGTAGACCTACACCCCCAAGTCCCCATGCTCAGAGAACACCTGTCGTTTGGCTAAGTGAAGAAGAGGATCTTTTGATGACTTTAATCAAGCCCTATCAATACAACTGGGACCTGATCTCGGATATATTTAATTCTATGCGTGGTCCTATCATCTCATCAGACCGAAGAACTCCTTGGGATTGTTATGAAAAATGGGCCAAGAAGGAGGGACCACAGTCTGGGGGCAATGGTACAGCGATTGAAACCAGCTTAGGACTCATCCCAATTGGCAATCTTCCTTCAAACTCCATACCGTCGCCCTCTCCTCCAAAGGCTAGGAAGGATAAAGATGGCAAGAAGATTGTTACAACTATTAAGGCGGACCCAGCACGGAAGAAGCAACGCTCGATGAGCCTACTAGAGGCCATGAAGAAAGCGAGCAAAAAGCGAGAGGCTGCTCAGAGCCGTGTCAACAATAGTGGTGAGCTTTAAGCGCATTTTGTTACAGGATAACATTTTATCTTGTCTGAACCACCGCCATTTACCCAGACTTTGGTTCTTATATTAGGTTCTGCAGTCGCTGCTGCTGCAAACAAGAAGACTGTTGTAAACCAGGACAACCAGGGCCAGAGCCCGAAAGTTGGAGGCAGTACTGTACTACTGACGCCAGCCGATTTAAGCAAGGTAAAATTGGAGCGGGAACGTCAATTGAACCAAGCCATGCATGAACAACGCCAGATGCAGGCAGCATCGTTAGCTCTTGGAAGGGTGAGTCACTGGTTATTGCTTATGTCGATAGCAACTTCTCTCTGTAAATTCAGAATTATTGATATTTGTGGTCTGTTTTCTCGCTTTTTTTTTTTTTTTTTTTTTTTTTTTTTTTTTTTTTTTCATTTTCTCGTGATTTTAATCTAGCCTGTCGTGCGCCCAACCATTCCAAACGCTCCTGGAATGCCATTGGATGCAACTCAGCAATTGGCCCGCCCTACCGGCGCTGTTACTGCCCAGGTAACTGCTACACAGCAACGAGCTACACCCATGTCGCCACAAAGCAAAGCTGGAGTGCGGCCTCTTAACGCACAACAAGTTCAGGCACAGGTGCAGGCCCAAGTTCAGGCCCAAGTACAAGCACAGTCTCCTGCGCAAGCCCAAACTCCAGTTCAAGTGCAAGCGCAAACTCAAGCACAACAGGCGCAGGCAGTCCAACTCCAACTTCAGCAGCAGCAGCTTCAGCAGCAGTTGCAACTCCAACAGCTTCAGCAACAACAGCAGCTTCAATTGCAGCAGCAGCAACAGCTCCAGCAACAGCAGGTACAAGCCGCTCAAGCGCAAGCTCAGGCGCACTCTCAGGCTCAATCGTTGCCACAGGTGCAAACCCAGGTCTCTCAGCCAATCTCTTTGCCTGCCAGTCTGGGTGCCGCACAAGCAATTCAGCTCATCCGTGCCGCTAACCCTGCATTGTCCCTGACCACCCCGCAGATCCAGGCTTACCTTCGCCAACAGCAGCAGCTTGCTCAGGCGCAACAGCTTCAGCAGCAGCAACTTCAGCAGCAGCAACTTCAACAACAGCAGCTAGCTCAGGTACAGGCGCAAGCACAAGCGCAGGCACAACAGCAACTTCAACAGCATCAGCAGCAACAGCAACAGCAACAGCAACAGCAACAGCAACAGCAACAGCAACAGCAACAGCAACAAGCATCATCATCTCCACTCGCAAGGCCTATGACATCACCAATGCCTGGATTTGCAAGTCCCTCTCTCCAGGCGCACCATTTACAGGCGGCTCAACAGCAGCAACAGCTACTGGCACAACAGGCTCAGCAGTTACAGGCTCAGCAACTACAGGCTCAAGCCCAGCAGCTTCAAGCCCAGCAGCTCCATGCTCAGAAACAACAACAGCAACAATTACAGCAACAGCAGCTGCAGCAACTTCAACAACAACAGCTTCAGCTTCAAGCTCAACGTGCTCAAGCGCAAGCCCAAGCATTACAGCAGCAGCAAATTCAGCAACAAGCAATGCAGCAAAAGCAACAACAAGTGGTACAGCTGCAGCAAATCAAAACACCTACAGGTTCTCCTCGACAAGCTTCGACTGCTCAAATGGGTGGATTGACCCCCACACTTCCCAGCGGACCTAGCACGCCAGGCGAGTCCATTAATCAAGTGAGTGCCCCTGCAAATCGTGCAAATGGTTCAGGAAACGGATCGGCCAATTCTTCGGGAGCAGCAACGCCATCGACCCCTATTCTTGCTGGAGGCGTACTCAATAATACCTCTAACATCGGGTTAGTGAATAGCAATGGCACAAAGCCTCAACAGCCTGGTCAAATCTTGAATATCGGGAATGGAGGTAAGGGTGGCAACACACCTGTTTTGGCGGCTGGAGTCGTGAATAGTCCAACTATGTTTCATTCTCCCGCTGTAGCATCATCTGCTGGAGCTACACCTACCGCGGCCCAAACCCCAATCATGAGCAATGCTCAGCCTCAGTCTCAGCAACTCCAACAGCAACAGCAGCAGCAGCAACAACAACAGCAAGCTCTTCAGCAACAACAACAGATACTTCAACAGCAGCAACAACTACAGAAACAGCAGCAGCAGCTACAACAGGCGCAGCAGGTAGCAGCAGGCACACAAGCCATGTCGACTTCCCCCATGCCCGCGGTTCCGTCCATGCCGATTGTCCCAACTCCGCAAATGATTGCACAAGTAGCTCAACATTATCCAAACCTCCCTCGTGTCCAAGCTGAGACACAAGCACGTCAACAACTGATGCGTTATTTTGAGGGCCAGCATCAGGCGATTCAACGTCAGCAGCAGCAACAGCAACAGCTGATTTTGTTGCAACAACAACAGCAGCAGCAACAGCAGAACGGACAGCAGCTTGCCGGTCAGACTACACAGACTCTACCGCAGCAGCAAGCATCTCCACAGTTGGCGCAGCAGCAAATTGGACAAGCAGCTACGCTTATAAATGGTCAACCTTTGACGGCTGCTCAGCTAGCTCAGCAAAAGCAACTGCTGCAACAGCAGCATATCCTTCAGCAGCAAAAACTACAGGCGCAGAAATTGCAAATGCAGCAACAGCTAGTTCAGCAGCAGCAGCGTCAACTTCAGGCGCAAGCCCAGGTGCAGCAGTTGGCTCTACAACAGCAACATCAACAGGCGCTTGCATTACAGCAACAGCAGCTTGCCTTGCAGCAGCAGCAACAGCAACAGCAGCAGGCCCAGCAACAAGCTCAACAAGCCCAGCAACAAGCCCAGCAACAAGCCCAGCAACAAGCCCAGCAACAAGCCCAGCAACAAGCCCAGCAACAAGCCCAACAACAGCAGGCCAAGAAGTGACCAGACTTTTTTTATATTCCATCTTCACTCTTTCTACTTTTTCTATGTTCACTACACAATGTACGATACTTCTCAAAGCTGGTTCATATGTCTTCCATCATTTGTACGCTCCATCATTTCTTAATGGTCCTGTATTTATAAAGCTCAACATCGGTAATAAAAAAAAATTAACAGTTGAATACTAGCAGCATTTGCCGCTTTTTTATTTCTTGTGCCATTCTGTGCTATTCATGCAAAAGAAAACTAAACTTTATTTTGTAATGTGAAATTCTCTCTCTAACCATTGGTGATCAATAAGAGTCAATCATTGAGGCAAATCTTCTTTTAATGTCAAATTGTACATAACCCTGAAGCTACCTTTAAATAAAAAGAATCGAATCTGCATTTACCTGATCGTGAGTCGGAGAAAGGAAGGAGAGGGAAAAGGGCAAGAAGAATAGATGAGACATTGTAATCCTGGCTCTTGGAGAATAAGCTCTAGCCGTCAAGTTATTCGACTTGGTCAGCTAAAATGAGACGAGCATTTATCCCCTTTCCCGATCATTTTCGGAAAAATTGGATTTGATGAGATGAATCGCTTACTTCTGAACTCGCCGATATTTTTAATTAATATTTGAATGCTTATGCAACCTCCTTTTTTCATGTAACGATGTTTACGTCAATAGGAATATGTTTCCCAGTCGCACAAATGCACAGAATCAGAAGCTCAACGCAGTTATTGGAGACGACAATGCAGACAGGGATGCAGCCAAGTAACCTTTGATATTTGTTTTGTGGTGAGAATTACCATGGGCATGTGCACTATCTCACATGAACGCGCATCGTGTTGTGTTGAAGCATCAACATGGTATACCAAAGGCGGCAACACCAACAAAGTATTGTTCAGATATTTTTCAGCCAATGAGTGCCGTGTTCTTTCCTGGAGGAAGGGGTTAAATTCGATTCCGAGCCCGATCGCACCTACACCCAAAATGGTTACTTTGCAAATATGCAATCCTTTCTCCACACGCCACAAACCCAAAACCGCAAAAGTATAAAAATCAATCGTGGAGCTGTTGGGTGAATTACCTCACAAATACAAGCCTCGCATTCGGATGAATTACTTGCCGTGTGCATGGATGGGGTCTGTGCTTATTCCTATCCGTACAACTTGGCATTTCCGTTCTAGTATAAAACAACTTGGGCATCCATTTTTTTTTTTTTTTTTTTTTTTTTTTTCATTCTCTTTTTCCTTTATCACCATTCCTGTATTCGATACTCCACTTAGCAGAGACAAACAAAAGTCGCGCACTTATCTCGTTTAAAAACCTATCATAACAATAAACAACAATAACAGTAGCTATGTCAGCCATTGCGCCCGATATCAAAGTTCGTCCCAAAGACCGTAAAGAGGGTCATCCACATCCTTATCTTCACGGCAACTTCTATCCTGTCTTTGAGGAGACTATCGGAGACGAGGGTATCGAATGTGAAGTTATTGGAAAGATCCCAGAGTCTCTCCGTGGCTCGCAATATGTCCGTACAGGACCTAATTCTCTCCACGTTGCTGATGATGGTGTTCCTCATCACTTTTTCGACGGCGAAGGTAAACATTAACGAAACAGTATGTTCTTTTTTCTTTTAGTAATAATATTAATAATACAACATTAATGATATCTAACTGTTTTTTTTTTTTTTTTTTTTTTTTTTTTTAATAGGAATGCTCCATGGCGTTTATTTTGAACCCGGCAATGAGGATGAGCCGATTCGTGCACGATACATGAATCGCTGGGTACGAAGTGAGATATTCAAGAAAGCCAACAAATATGGACGAATGAACCTTACCTTGGGCCTGGTCATGGCAGGCGCCGATATCTTCTGGGGGGTACTCCTTTGGCATTTCTGGTATCGACTAAAGGCTGCATTCTTCAAGGTCAAAAATTTTGGTAATGGAAATACGGCCCTTGCATTCTTTGGATCTAGACTCTTGGCATTGAACGAGGGCGGTAAACCAATCGAGACCAGCGTCCCCAGCCTTAATACCACTGGCGAATACTTCTTTGAAGAAGAAGAAGAAGAATATGGAGAGAAAAAAGAGGAAGACAAGAATACGCTGGAAAAAAAGATTAAAGAAAGCACTCCAGAGGTTTGTACAGCTCATCCCAAGGTAAGGAAAAACAAAAAGAATTAATTGTATGCATTGACAGGAAAAGAATGATATCCTCAAATTGATATATTTTCTCCTACTATCCTACTAATGTGTTTAATAATAGATCGATCCGAAAACTGGCGAGTTTATCTTCTTTTCATATAGGTTTACTTATCCATTTATGTATTATTCCGTTGTGGCGGCTGATGGCAAGCACATAGTCTGGCAGGAACCCATTAAAAGTCTCAAAAAGTCTATCATGATGCATGATTTTGCTATTACTCCTTCTTATTCGATGTAAGTACATCACTGATTAAAAAAAGAAGACTTTAACTCGACAGTATCTATGATCATTATTATAATTTTATTAGCGTCAAAATTAAATCGGATTTATTTTCATAGTATCATGGGCGTCCCACTTTTCATCAGTACCAAGCATAAGAAAGAAGGCAAGCCTGTCATTTCATTTGATCCAAAGTCACCTACTCGCTTTGGCATCATCCCTCGTTACTACGACTCGACCAAAGACGAGATCATCTGGTTCAATTCACGTGCCTGCCACATTTTCCACACCGCCAACGCCTGGGAGGAGAAGGACGAAGATGGCAAAGTGATTGCAGTGTGCTTAACTGCTTGTCGCTCTGAGCGCTTTATTTCCGATATCAATTTATGGCAACCCACAAATACTGGAGGTTATGGTGGTGGTAAAACTCAAAAAGAGTACGAGCGAGAATATAGTGCCCCTGGATCTGGCTCTTATGCAACCCAGGACCCAGATGCAGCCTATATGACTCTGTTCAGGTTCGACTTCAAGACCAGAGAAACTCAAATCACAACGCTTTCAACTGCCAGCTCGGAGTTCCCTATTATTAATTTTAACCGATATATGCAACCGGATTTAAGATATGTCTTTGGAGCCACTATTGCACCTTCTTCCCCAGGAGTAGCTGTTAAATTCAATGGCATCATTAAAACCGACATTCAGGCGGTGCTCAAGCGCAGACAAGAGCTATTAAGCTCTGGGCTGGCTGAAAACGAAGGCGGTGAGGGCTGCTGGGAGTTAGGTGCCAAAGAGCTGAAGCGTATCGAAGAACAAACTGGTCAGATCCATATTTTTGGTCCCCACATCTATGCAGGCGAGGCCTTGTTTGTACCAAACTCACCACGAGAAGATGGCAAAGAACTTGAAGAAGATGACGGACATCTGTTGGTGTATGTGTATGATGAACGACAGATGGAGAATGGGCTTGCCAAGGCTAACAAGCAAGTAACGGAGCTTTGGATCTTTGATGCCAAGAATATTGGTCAGGATATTGAACCTGTTGCTAAAGTGCGTATCCCTCGTCGTGTGCCCTATGGATTCCACGGTTTGCATGTCACCCGAGAGCAGATCCAAGCCAATAAGGATATGCTTGAGCGCCGCAATCGTCATCATTAAATACCTGTCATATTTGAACTGAATAGCATACTACATAAAATAATCAGATTCAGCATTATATCACAGAATAGAAATATGTCTATTTCGTATCTTTTATGGTATGTGATTTATTTGAACGAAAATAAAATGTGTTTTCATGTCTTCATGGATTGGAAACGGGTTTCGATCGTTTCTGCTTCTGGACTCTTTGATGCAACTGTTTGGGGGATGGCCTCTGAGCCGAATAATGCAGGCGAGGATATGTTTGAAGGATCTACAGCAGTTGATCTGACCCGTAATATTTCTCCCGTTGGCCCAATCAACAGACACTGGGACAGACTAAGTTGATTGGGGTCTATGACTTGTGTTTGGTATGAAGAGTGAGCTGCTTCGCGACTGCTCGGGTGAATCGCATCAAGCTTAGAGGCTCCACTAATCCTGTCTAGAAGTACGGGTTTGCCTATCGGACTAGAGAATGTCGTGCAGACTTTCCAGCCCAATCCTACCTGCATCACTCCTACACGTTTGCCTTGTCGTGCAGGATAAATCTCAACAGTCCCACGTTTTGGTGCATAGATAACCAGGTATAAGACAAGATGCTTTTTAAAGGTTGAGCTACCATTTGAAGCCTCACCTGATCTCACAATCCTTTCCTCCTGGACCCAGCCGCACCGTGCTCCTCGAAGACCTTTCCACATCCGGATAATCTCACACTCTTCCAAATCTACCAAAAGTACGCGTCCCAATGAGTCCGTCATTGCTGCCAACTTTGATGGATAGTGATAGCATGACCCTCTTGGAGGAAATGGCGCCAATGACAAATGGCGAATGCATCTTTGAGGGTCACTCAGCCAAAGGACTGCTGGCACTTCTGTGGCAGGCGCCATTGCAGAGGGGTAAATGGTCCCATAAGGGCCCGCAGCTCCATCCTGTGAGTTTGATCCCGACAATCGCTTTTGATCTGGAGTAGATCGGCCACTGGTGTTCCCTATGGCAGGTGAGCCTGACCTTGGCGAAGATGAAGAGCCCCATATTGACTTTGCAAAGCCAAAAACAGCATTAGTCACCCTTGCCGCCATCTGTGTAGCAAGTGACGTGGCAGAGAACAGTGGACGGCTCGAGCTACTAGAAGCATAGAATGCCATCATCGGCTTTGAACCAACGGACACGAATCTCTCTGTAGCGTCGGATGTAAACATTGAGGAGCTTGAAGAGGATGAGAATCCATTCGATAAAGTAGGTTTGTGTCGAGCTGGGCCTAGAAGGTTAATGTTAGGGCAAAAATATTACTACATTACGTCTATATATTTGATACTATATGTCCAATATAGACGAAAGAAGATCAATAGTATTTACCACAGCTAACGACGTCAACCATCAAGCCCTGATTCTGCAGGCTCCATTTTTTGTATGCAAATGTAGGTGCCTGACTCACTTGGATTGATTTATTGTCTATTTTGTGCACAATAGGAGAGAAAAATCTAATGAATACATGTCGTGCATATAAAAGTAAAATAAATTTTAATTCATAACCATGACATCTCTTGTTTTATATACTTGCCTGAAGAGCGACCAGACCCATTTGATAGGCGGAGGACGACCCATAAACTCTCACCTTCTATGCAGACAATCTTGCCTTCTTCGTGCAAGATAGTCATCTCATCTTCATCTTGGCCTGGGGTTTTTCCGATGCCGATCCTGGCTTTAATGGAAATAACAGGGGTATGATGGAGTTGCTGTACAACAACTAATTGACCAGACTATCGAGTTGGTAATCCCAATATACAAAAAGTAAGTCCCCCATATTCATGTGTTGTGTCATATATATATTAAAGAAAATTTTTGACGGGGGGTGTCCTACTTCGTTAAAAATTCTAATCATCCCAGACTTGTATCCTAAAACGACATAGACTTGACTAAGGGGTGCTTGGTATAAATCCCTTACTGCCCGAGCCGGTGTATGAGCTTGTTGTGTAAGCGAAGTAAAAAGCTTACCTTTGATGGGATCGAGGTACAAAGAGTGGCAAGCATAAAATAGTCGTGATGGCGTCCCTAATAGAAGGAGTGTATGTAAAATACTGTATTAGCCGCTAATTGATCATCTTGTTATTTGCTGTAGTTATTATTGCTGCGCAAGGAAGTATCTTACAGCTCACTATCGACACCCGATCCTTGCCCTATTAACACCCATTCATGGACAGGACGAAGTGACTTTTGTCCTTGATCAGAGTCGAAACTTGGTGGCCGTGAATTTGAAGGGTGAGTCATTCGCGTGAGAATGGCAAACATTCTTGTACTAGCACAGGCGATATACCGACCACTGTCGCATACTGAGATAGAGAGATCCTGGGCAACAGTCAAAGGATGTGATTTTACTGCTGTTGTATTATTATTTAGAGGCAGTGTCTTTAATCCCGATTGAAGGCTAGGCGATGATACAGCTGAGGCTGAAGTTGAAGTTGTAGATGACGCCGACTCTGACACATCATTATGAGCCCTCTGGCCCTTCGAAATGTTGCTGCTGAGGGCAAACCCTGCTGACATTTTTTTTGGACTCTTAGCTGATGGATTCTGCCGAGATACTATGGTGCTCTGCATGCTTTTTGGAGTTATGAAGGAAGAAGCGGATGGCTCTTCGTCAGACCAAGCCCATTCATCATCTGGTACGTTCCATGGCTTTTGGTAATCCTCTGTTTCCAAATGTCTCTTTGTTTTTTCACTATCGTGATTAATGATTACATTGCATTGGGCTGCTGCTTCACGCTGACGTGATTTTGATTCCTGTACTAATAGACTGGTCCTTCCTGCCTCTACCTCCCCGTCCTCTTCATCGTCATCGTCTGAAAGCCGATCATCATGCCCTTCGCTCTGTCTTTCTAGTGCTTTTTCTTCTAACCTTGGATCTATGAGGTGATAAAACATTGTTAAGATTTTTGTTAGCAGTCTCTAGAGGTGTCTGAGTTTATTACGATTCTTTTTTTTTTTTTTTTTTTTTTTTTTCTTCAATGGCTTACCTGGTACTTTTGGTAAAGAACCCAATAAGATAGAGAGGACTTCATGCGGGATACACCCGAGTGGGGAAAGTTCCCAACGATGATGTGACATTGAGCTGATGCCGAAATAAATGCAAAGATCTTAAAAATAGATGAACACGAGGCTGGGTTACTGCAATACGCAAAAGTACAAGTAACTCAAGTCTAGCACAGTCACGTTTGTTTTAATTGTTCTTTATTGCAACGATGGTTTTTTTTTTCCCCTTTTCTCTAAAGGACATTAGGATTCGATACTGATAGTATAAAAACCTAGCAAATGGTTGTCCACCCATCCCAAGGTCCAGAGATGAACTCTTGTTGGAGAGGAAGGTAATATTACTCTATAGAGGGCTACTTTAGGGTCCTTTAGCGACTGGATCTCACCATTCTTGTTTGCATTGAAGTGGAAGACGTCCTCAAGCGCCTTTGCAATTTTGTGTGAACCTGGGTTGGCTTTGTTGAGGATTGTGCTCAAATCTGGTGTTGCTTCACAGACCGCATTTGTGATTTCCTGCTCGTCCGACGACACTTGGTTCGTTTCGAGGAGCTTCAAGAATTCATGACCTGTTGGTAGCGGTGGTTGGGAACTGCTATTGTCCGCATTGATTGTTGTCACAGCGGCTCGTTGCTTCGGATTGATATGTACATATTGAAAGGGCTCCTCGCCTTCAGACACGAACAGAGTATCCTTTTGAGCCTCCTGAAGAATCTTGATTGCGCTGCGTTGTTTGTCTGTTAAGGCCTCCACAGCAATGAAGTTGTTTAAATTGAATGTGATGGTAGCGGTGGTAGTTGCTTTTGAGGGGGTGAAGTTCAGTGGTGTGTTTCCGACACCAGGAATGTTGCGTGTCAGCATGGACATGTACGCGGCGTCATTAGCATTGTCTGTTGGTTCCATTGTAGATTGCGTCTGTTGTTGTTATCTTTTCCCGCCCTTTTTTTATATTCTATTCCAACGTCACAACATGCTGAATGTAGCAACTGCACGCGGTTCTGGATAGAGAAACAATTTATTTAATAATGAAATTAAATATTTTGCAGAATTTATTTATTCATTTTAAACGAAGAAAAAAGAGCAGTGATTCCTTCACAAGTTCACAAGGGCGGAATAAGGTATATATATATATCAATCAACAGTCGACAGACGAGAAGAGAGGCAGCCCAACCCAATAACAATAGCTGGCAGCATGAACCCAGTGCATGGTCCAGAAGCAATGAAATTTATTGAGCCAATTGTCAATTGCGAAACTAAAAACCAGCCAGACTTGAAGTGTGCATTCTCACTGCTCTCTCTTTCTTTCTCTCTTAAAATGTATTCAATAGGAGGTGTGAGAGAGAAGCCATCTATTTATTTGCTTTGTATCCATGTGCTTGTGAAAGGATGGCAATGGAATGAGATAATGACACGAAAGAACACCCGGTTGATTGACAAGGACAAGGAGAACAAGACGGAGATGCCAGGTTATTTTTTCTTTTTCTTTTTTTTTGCAAAGTACTTCCCACTCTCTCCCTCTTCTCTCCTACTCTTCGCTCTTTGCGAAGTTCCCTCATTCACCTTTTTTCTCTCCCTTCCTCCTTTCTTCTCCTCCTTTCCCTCTTATCCAATTGACTAAATCACAATTGTATCGTTCATTACAATCAATAATCCATTAAATTCATTCATCCATCAATTACAAAACAGAAAGCAAACCTTTGCAAAAGAAAAAAGCAAAAGGCAGTCTTTTATTTTTTTATTCTATTTTCTTTTTTTTTTTTTTTTTTTTTTTTTTTTTTAATCGGCTTGTTCAAATATCCCGTCTGTCTCTTCATCCTTTGCTGCCCTTTTTTTTTTTTTTTTTTTTTTTTTGACTCGCATTCAATCTCATTTCTTTTTTAGCCAACAGGAACAGTTGCAAATCTACTCTTTAAAATATTTCTCTCTGTCTTATTGTTGGTTGCTGTTGTAATCGCTTCACGCCTAATCTCTACAGCTCATCATCATTGTTTCCTTCTCTTGTTCATCATCACTTTTGTTACTGCCCATCACACTAAGCTCGGCTGTCACGTAATTAGTTGTGCCTGTTCGTGTCTTTTTTTTTTTTTTTTTTTCTTCCTTCTTCCTTCTTCCTTCCAATTAGTTTGTGTGCCTATCTCGCCTTTCTCTCTCACGTTCACACCTCCCCCCCTCATCTCCTTTCACTTCTTTATACTTTCGTTCTGTCTCCACTTTTCCTACTTTCCTTCGACTCATTTCACAAGTCATCTGCCGATTGCTTTGAATAATGGCTGACAACCTGGCCCCAACTGTGGCCCAGGACCCGTCTTCACAGGCTGCATCCGCGGGAACAGGTGGTGCCTCTGCGGGATATGCAGCAGGTATCAGTACCAATCACGGCTATACAAGTGCACAATACGTCTCGAGACATCGTCCCCCCTCGGTCCAGACTGCTGGTATTTCTCCACATCAAGGACTATATTCTGCTCAACCCATGAGATCTACTCCATCTTCTCATCAACCCATCCTTCAGTCACAACATGGTTACGCTATGCCACCATCACAACAGCTTGCCTCCTCTCCCGGCGCAAAGAGTTCACAAGGGTTTGTACCCCCGCCAACAAGGCCGCCCGTCATATCGTCGCCTATTCAACATGGCCAGTCCGCATCATCCTCTACAGTCTACCCACAATCCGACTCATACACAACCACTGCGGGCACCCCGAGGTTCTCCACTGCTGGCCCTCCTAGACCCTCCACTCCAATTGTTAGTGGAGCTATTCGTCCCATAGGTCCATCTATCAGGGCCCCAGGTCAATCAGGAAACTTGAGTTACTATGGCTCAACCCCCATTCGGCCCATACCTGCCAATGCACAAGGATATCCTGCTGACTATGCAAGGGGTCCTGTGCGACCTCCTCCCCCACCATACTCGGTGCGACAGGATGGGACAATGGGACCAGGAGGCGCAGCGGCTGCAGGTCAAGGAGTGGGACAGGGAATGGGACCAGGAATTTTGGGACCTCGACCAGTGCGACCACTAGTGCAACAACAACAACAACAACAACAACAACAGCAACAACAACCAGCATCCGCATATCCAATCTCCAATCGCTTCTCGACGCAATCTTTGCCTGGTTGGGAACATGAAGGTAGACCGTACAGTAGTAATGGACCAACTGGCCATCATCCAAACATTAGGCCCCCCCCAGCTACTTGGAATGAGCCTATATGTCAAAATGGCACAGGTCCCAATCATCGCCGAACAACTTCCACCCAAATACAACCAACTTACTACCCTCCAGGAGAGTTACAAGGGCTTGACCGCCAAGCATCTGTTGCATCTCGGTACAACAGCTCACCATATCCAACCAGTGTCATCTCGCCCTATCAGCAGCAGCAGCAGCAGCAGCAGCAGCAGCAGCAGCAGCAACACCCTTTCTCAGCAAGTCCTAACCGTCAGCTGGTGCGTCATCAACTTTCTGATGCACCCCTTTCGCCTTCTCCTCGAACACACAGTGGAACTTCAGGCGCCTCCGATGGATATTACCTTTCAAATGTTCCTTTTCGTAAACTTTCAATTACTGAGAGCCTAGATGGCGGAAGAATCAGTATGGATTCTACTACAAGTATAGAATCAGGATACGCTAACCGCCAGCTTTATACAATGCCCAACATGTATGGTCGCGAACCCGACTCTGGCATGGACATATTTCCACCCAATCGACAACGGTCCGCATCGAAATCATCAACATATTCTGCTCATTCTATAAATTCCGACTATTATGCAGATTTCGACAGCATATCAACGCCACGCCCGACGACTCCAAATGGCGGCGCCCCACAGATATCAATTCAATCAGCACAAGGATATCCAGCCAACCGAGCAGATGCATTTTCAATGCGCGCGCGGACACCATCCCCTGGTCGTACCAGACAGGGATCTAACCCTCCTATGGTCAATCGTGGAGGTAAATAACGGCTTTCTCACTCTTCTATTTTACACTTGACATTTTTTGCACACAGTAACCCCATCAAAGCTAACTTCTTACCTTCCATAGCCAATCCCCCCGTCTTCCTTACAAGTTTACCCCAAGCTGAAACCTCTCGCCGAAGTGCAGAATTCGTACGCATGCCTCCAACTCAACCCAAGATTTCTCGATTGCAAGGGGAACGCTCGCAATCTTTTTCATCATACAGCCCCCCTACATTTGATCCGGTTGCACGTCAAGCAGCCCTTCAGGGCTCTGTTTCTTCCAACGCTTTAGGCCCGCCTGCTGTGAGAAAACCACCCATTGTTTATCCCGCTCTTCTTTCTCGTGTCGCCAATGCTTTTGTTCAAAGAATCACCACATCATCACGTATTAAAGATTCGATTGAATATAAAGACTGCTTTGATGGACGCGATGCAGTGGTAAGTATTTGGTTCCTATCATACTTTATTTTCATGTAGCTATCGTCATGTATTTCTTGCTGTATGCTTATATGCAATCAAGCATTAACACCCGGCTGGTTCTTTGTAGGACAAAATTGCGTTCATCATTAAAACGACTGATAGGAATCTAGCACTGCTCCTTGGTCGCGCCTTAGATGCACAGAAGTTGTTTCATGATGTCACATATGTCCATCGTCTGCGCGATAGTGTGAATGAACTTTATCAGTTCCGTAACAAGCTGATTACAGGAGGACCTCGTATTCGATCGATAGAGTCACCAGATTATAGACAAGCGTATGCAGCATCAGAGTCCGTGGATGACGATGCTGTAAATGGAGTATTCACTCTCTTGACAGACTGCTATTCCCCTACATGTACGCGTGATAAACTATGCTATAGTATCGCGTGCCCTCGTCGTTTAGAGCAAGTATGTGATTGTCAATTGGTATGCTATTAATACATCGTGTCATAGTGGCTCAGAATTGACTGTGCTTTTTCTTCTCTTTTTCGCTATAGCAATCGCGACTGAACCTGACTCCCAATGGAGGTTTGAAGAGAGCCTTGAGTAGATCTTCTTCAAAGGAAAAGAAGGATCAGCGCTTGTGGATCACGTCAGTTCCAAAGGAAATTTCGGATGCCCTTTCTAATGAAGAAAAGAAACGTCAGGAGGTTATCTACGAACTGATTTACACGGAGAAGGACTTCATCAATGATCTCAAGTACCTTAACAATGTAGGTCATGTCATTTTTGCCTTTTATTAGACGTATGACTATGTGAATTTAATCAATATGTCTAAATACTAAATCCACAATGTTTGAACTATGTAATATATTGGTGGCGCCTATTGTATGATAGAAATGGATAACACCTATTCGAACTTTAGATATTCTTCCAGAGTCACGTAGAGAGGCTTTCATTGACAGAGTGTTCTACAATATAAATGACGTATACGCTGTCAACTCCAAACTAGGCGAAGCTCTCCTTAAGAGACAACAGGCATACGCAGTTATACCCGAAGTTGGCGATATCTTTTTGGAACATGTCGTTAATTTCTCTCCTTTTGTACTTTACGGAGCGAACCAGATCGAGGCGAAATATGAATTTGAGCACGAGAAGAACACAAATCCTAGCTTTGCCAAGTTTGTCGAGGTATAAGACTCGAAACCAAATTCTGAGATGGTATTAGTTCATTTGGTCATTATCTAACAATCCTCCTCAAACTGTTTCAATATGTAGGAAACTGAAAGAAAACCCGAATCGAGAAAGCTAGAATTGAATGGATATCTTACAAAACCAACAACTCGTCTTGGTCGCTATCCTTTGTTACTTGAAGCTGTCCTGAAATATACCCCTGAAGACAATCCTGACAAGAAAGCGATTCCCCAAGTCATCAGCATCATCAAAGACTTTTTACAGAAGGTTAATCTTGAATCTGGCAAATGTGAGAATGCCTTCAGCTTGCGACAGATTAACAAGGGTTTACAATGGAAGAGTGAGCCCATGGTAAGCTTTTACAATACTTTTTATTTTTATTTTTTATTTTTGCACAAAATATGATAATACTAATGCTTCATTGGTGTGCAAAAACGCTCTGAACATTCTTAGGAACTCAACCTGTTAGCGAAGGATCGTCAATTAATCATGAAGGGACCTTTAAAGAAGAAGGGAACAAGCTCAGAGCACGCAGACCTTTATGTATTTGCATTTGATCATGTGCTCCTTTTGACCAAGGAAAAGAAAGGCAAGGGTGGCGAAGGGTATAAAGTCCACAAACGGCCTATCCCTCTGGAACTGCTTACACTGTCGACAATGGAGGAACCTGTCACAAAATCATCTCGTCGAACGTCCTCGCTGATCCCGCATAAATCATCCTCAGCTAGTAATGTTGTGTCTAAAATCACTCCAACATCGGGGCCACTCGCTAAGATCACCTCTGATTCGAAATCAGGGTATCCTATCGTTTTTACCCATATTGGGCGCCATGGAGGTACTTTCACACTCTATGCAACGACTCATGCAGGTAGGAAAAATTGGATGGAGAAAATTCAAAAACAGATTCAAGCTCTGAAGAATAAGGCCGATGCTTGGAAACTTGTGCCCGTCTCTGAGAGGTTCTTCTCGGCCAGCAATAAGGTCAATTGCTCTGCAACGGTGGGAAAGAGTAAGTGATCACCGAAAAACTGTATATGTAAGGGATAACTAAAAAATAATGTTAGAACTCGAACTGAAACATATGCACAATATAATTATCTAGAGGGCGCAATGAGACTCGTCATTGGAACAGACAATGGTGTATTTGTCGGCAAACCAAAAGGACAATTTGTAAAAGCTATAACACGTGAACGTGTTTCGCAGGTGGATGTGCTTGAAGGCGAACGCATATTGCTCGTTTTAGCTGAAAAGCAACTGCTTGCCTATGGACTTGAAGCCTTGGATAACGCAGATCCCAACTCGCCCAACAAACGCGCCAAAAAGATTGGTTCTTCAGTAAGCTTTTTCAAAACTGGAGTGTGTCAGAACCGAACCCTTGTAGGGATTGTCAAACATTCCATCAATGCTCTCGATCCGAGCTCGACCATTAAGACTTTGGAGCCGATTCATCAGGATGAGTCCAAAAAGATCAAGCCTAGCCTACGTACCATGCTTCGTGGTGGAAACACAGAGCTATTCAAGCTTCACAAAGTGAGATTGACACCATAACAAAAGCATTTAAAAAATATATTCTGACGCGGCTTACTAACCTTTCTTTTCCTATTTGATATTTACTAGGACTTCTATATCCCCCGTGAGACAAGCTCTCTTCACTTTTTGCGAAACACCCTCTGCGTCGGATGTAGCAAGGGCTTCGAGCTGATTGATCTTTCCAATTTGAATACACAAGATCTACTTGACTACAATGATCCAACGCTTGAATTCGTTCACAAGAAAGATGAGAATTTGAAACCTTTAGCAATCTATCGCATCGGTACAGGCGACTCATTTACGTTCCTACTTTGTTATGAGGGTATGGCATTTGTTTTATATATATTCTAATTGGATAAGATTATTTTTTCTATACTTTGCCTCAGCTAATGCTATGGATTTATTCTTATACTTTGCAATCGTAGATTTCGCTTTCTACGTTGATAAAACAGGTCGTCGTGCACGAAATGGATGGATTATTCATTGGGAGGGTGTACCAACATTCTGCGCACTCGAGTTGCCTTATGTCATTGCCTTTGATCCTGCATTTATTGAGATTCGACATGTCGAGACAGTGAGTTTTTCTTTCTTTTTTCTTTTTTTTCTTTTAAGGTCGCTTGATCACTGATTTGCTAACGATTTGCATGGCTCAATCACAATGGTTTCGTGAATAGGGCGATCTTGTTCAAATCATTCCTGGAAACAATATCAGATGCCTTCACCACATGCCAAATGTCGTTGGAGGCACCCATGTCGTGATGGTAAGTCTGAGACTTAAATATTACAGCACAATGTAAATTACGAACATGCCTTGATTTTCATATCTTTAATATTTTCTTTTATGTAACAAATAAAAAACCTATCAGACGGATGAGGATGGCGAATACCAGACAATTGCGCAGCTCTGTAGAGAGTCCGAGATCCCAACACTTTGGGGTCACTCTACTAAAGAGGATGACGAAGAGGAGGCCCTGCCAAGTTACCCTACAGCCACTATCATCGAGGAAGATGAGAACGTATACACCCCAGAGGACGAGAAACCACCACTTTTGGATGAAGATGAGGATGAGAGTGGAAGTTACAGCCCAGTGGAAGGCCCTTACACTCATCACCCTAGCGGCCTTAACAGAGCCGTGAATCGATTGACATTAGACTTTGGCGAAGGATTTGATTTTGGATCCAATTCTCCAGATAGTCCACAAAGCTTTCAAGAGATATTAGATATCGGGTCAGGAGCAGCACATAGCGGTGGATCTTCGAGCTCGTTGCCCTTAAAGGATGACACCGAAGGGCAACGACCTCCGCCAACGTACATTTAAGCGCACTTGTATAAAAAATAACATTAGGCGCCTATAACAACACCACCAAATATATATAATAATATGGTACCGAAGTGTTTTTGAGAGAGGAGTGACAGGCGTCCATTGTTTAATGACACGCTTTTTTAATTTTTAATTTTTGTCCCATGAACATGATTGAGAAGAATGATATTGGAGTGCTGATTGTATTGACTACATTGTGTTTAATCATCAAGAGTACATGCTCTACTTGGCATTGATGGCAGCCTGCAGGGACTCCAGAACTTCTACTTCGATCTTTGCAGCGATTTTTTCCTCTTCAGTGGCACCGGAATTGGCAAGACGCTGAGCTTCAGCCAAGTTATGGCGAACAGCCTAACGACAAAAAAAAAAAAAAAAAAAAAAAAAATTAGTTATAAAGCCATTTAGCTGGCAAACTTGAAAAAAAAAAAAAAAAAAAAAAAAAAATTACTTCAGCGCTGAACTCCTCGACAGGGAAAGCCTCGATAGCATTGATGTTGAGAGAAGAATCAGGGTTCATGGTAGCGAAACCTCCGGAGACTTTTGTATAATATATATAATATAGACACATATTGTCAGACAGATCTCGCTTTGCTCCATCAACAAAAAAGTGATTTCTGAATGGATGTTGTCAATCATATAATGATGAACGCATTCAAATTACCAAAATATTTCTTGGTGATAGCGTTCTCAATAACCTCAACAACTCCAGGACGGAGCTGCTCAATAGAAGGAACGTGGCTGGCAAGGATACCCATGTCACCAGAAACAGCAGCAATGTTAACCTGAGCAACCGAAGTATCCTTATAGATTGTCTAATTTAAGATAAGGAAGAAAAAATGCTGTTAGTATACATTGATATAAAGCATACAGCACAATAACAATATCTATAAGGGGATATATAATATATAATACCTGATGGGGAACAGCAAAGGTCAAGCGGAGACCAGTAGCAGCAGCCTCAGTAGCATAAGTGCGAACTATGGAAGTTAAAACGAGTTTTTTGTTGATCAGCATGCTTTAGGAAAATAAATATTATTCATGCATCACCATGCTATGCATGTCTTTTTGTAAATGTAAAAAGTGATCCCACGTCCACGTCCACGTCAAAAAAAAAAAAAAGAAAGAAAAAAAAAAAAAAAAAAAAAAAAAGTGAATGTAAATGATGCCAAACAGTCAGATCGCGTGAAATCCCGATTGATTATGGTGAGTCTAAAAGTTTTGTTGGTTTCTTTATATTATTCTGTCAAGGACATATTGCAATGTGACACTGAGAAGATGAATAGATGTGTAGTGATAGAAACTAAATAAAAAGCGGAATAATAAATAAGAATGATCATTACCCATGCGCACAGGGCGGATGGCACGAATGGAACGGGCAAGGTAGTTCATTGTGTAAATGATATGGGTGATGGATGAAGGAAGAATAGATTACACTCGAAACGCCCTTGTTCCTTTGTCTCAGACACAAGGGCTAGAAATGTATTTAGTGGCTTGTCGAGTGCATTAGCCACGTGACTAGATCACATGCCCTTGGAAAGGAATAGCGTTTTACTCGTGGATTCGAACGGGTCTGTTAGCTATTATATCGTGCTCTTTCAATTGGCATTCGCTTTTTAGGAGACGCGTTCCCATGTCAGTTGCCACATATGCACATGGATGAATACCTTTATCAAGGTGCGCACGGCCTGTGATGTATACTCTAATTGATATACACACGAGTGATATTCTGCTGCCCTGAGAAGATTTAAGTGGGGGCTAAAAAGTTTGGTTGGTGCAACGGAGTGTACAAATATCCAACCAATAAGAGCACGCTTCATCACCGCGACACGACTGGAGCTTAGTAGAAAACGTCGTCTTCGCGACAATTCATCGAAATCTTCTTCATCAATCTCCTTTTCTTCGTCCCCAACCGTTCTTTCTTTCCTCTTCTTCCCCTCAACAATGTCGTCTGGCAAAGCTACAGTTAAATCCGTCCTTTCCGCTGATATGGTCGTCCTTAGTGGACGCCCTCGTGCTAGTGGTCCTCCTGCCATTCGTACACTTGGTCTCAACTACATTCAGGCGCCTAAGCTTGGAAACAAGGATCGCCCTGATGAGGTACAATTTAACATGTCTTAAAAAAATACTCACGAGCTTTTTTTTCGGACCTTGTTTTTTACACTCCTGATCTGATCAGATGGGAACATTTGAATGACCGCAGGAGTTGTTTTTCAAATTTTTGAGAACAATTGCTCCCTATCACACGAGCTGTCATTTTTGATGATAAGCTAGACATCAACCTCTTCTAATTCTACTTTGTATAACGCTGAAATTCTGATCTTCATCAATTGCTCTTATGCGCCAACACAACTTTTATAGCCTTTTGCGTTTGCCGCTCGTGACTTCCTTCGTAAACTGCTAGTCGGAAAGGAGGTCATGTTCAGAGTAGATTACACGGTTCCTAGTACTGGACGCGAGTACGGCTCTATTTATTTAAATCAAGAAAATGTTGCCTTCACATTGGTTCGCGAAGGCTGGGCTACTATTCGTGAAATCAAGCCATCAGAGTCTGAGAACGCAGATGTGGAAGCATTGTACTCCTATAAGGCCGAAGCGGAGGCAGCGAAGCGTGGTATCTGGACAGACAAGGAATCTGTAAGTTAAGCATGTCCTTACAGTTTTTTATACTAATGGTGTAATGCTTCGGTGTCATTTTTTATTTTTACTGATTAGCTCAATGGCTCGATGGCCAAATTCTCCTTGATTTTCTAGGGTATTCGCAAGGCTCATTACAGTTTTGACGGTGATGCCGAAGAATTCCTCAAGACATACAAAGGGAAAGCATTGCCAGGTTAGTTGTACACTGTGCGATCCCAACATTGATCTATCATATCACCTTATTTTTTGAGGCACTAATGTTTTTAACAATGACCTCTTTCCCATTTATTCAGCTATTATTGAGAACATCCGTGATGGTTCCACTGTTCGAGCCTGCCTGATGCTTCCTAATGGCGAGCATCAGTATATCACCCTTATGATTTCTGGCATCAAGGCGCCCATTATCCGTCAAGGAGTTGCCAACGCTGAAGATCTTATCGAGCCATTTTCTGTGGAGGTATAGTTGTATAGTTATAAAGAAGGCACTGTATGACCATGGACTGGGAGATATGGATCAATGAATTAAATTCGAATCAATTTACTATATATCTAGGCCAAGCACTTCGTGGAAACACGTCTTCTTCAGCGCGAAGTACGTATTATACTAGAAATGGTTGGACACAACGGCAACAGCTTTTTTGGAACGATTCAACATCCTGCTGGAAATATTGCCGAAGCTCTAGTGTCCAACGGTCTTGCTAAGGTTGCCGACTGGAGCATTACTCATGTCACAGGCGGACCTGCAGCTCTCCGCGAGGCAGAGCGTAAGGCCCAGGCCTCGAGACTTCGTCTATGGCAGGATCATGTAACCAAAGATAAAGGACAGGATCATGAGTTTGATGGCACTGTAAGTTGAGCTTCAATACCCTTTTTTCAGTTTACTATAGGGGAAGTGCATACGAACAAAAACTCACCATATTACTTTTGTTGTTTCAATGTTTAGGTTCTAAGAATCATGACTGGAGACACTATCATAGTACGCAATGCTAAGAATCAGGAGCGCAAGCTTAGGCTCTCTAACGTTAAAGCGCCTACAAGGTAATAACAATAGCTCTGGGGACTAGTCTCATATCCTGCCGTTCTTCCGAATGATCATCGACTGACTTTTTGTTCACGCTATTATGGTCTATAGACTTCCCCAACAAAAGGGAGTGGAAATTGCTTCCTTTGACTATGAAGCTAAGGAATTCCTCCGTAAGAAGCTGATCGGGAAGCACGTTCATGTCACCATTGATTATGTCAAACCTCCTTCGGACCAGTTCCCTGAGGCTACTGAGTGCGCCACCGTCAAGGTTGCAGGAACAAACATTGCAGAACAGCTTGTTCTGAGGGGACTTGCTGATGTTATCAAATCCAGAGATGATCGTTCCCAATTCTATGATCAGCTTTTGGTTGCAGAAGCGAAGTAATTAATTGTTTTTATTTATTTTTTTCTATGTGGAAATAAGGATGAAATGTTTTAAACACCCTTCCTTAACTAAAATGTTTCTGCTAGAGCTAAAGAGGAAGGCAAAGGCAAGCATTCTTCCAAAGAGCCACCTAAATATAAATGGTCTGATGCTTCAGAAAACGCCACCAAGGCTAAGCAGTTCCTACCCTTTTTCCAACGTGGGGGACGCACTTCAGCCATCGTGGAATATGTTGCCAATGGTTCTCGATTCAAGTTGATCATTTCTAAGGAGAGCTGCAAGTTGACGTTCGTCCTTGGTGGTATTCATTGCCCCCGCGCTGCTCGCAATCCTGGTGAGAAATCTGAGCCATTCGGAGCTGAAGCCTTGGAATTTGTGTCCCGCCGCTGCCAACAGCGCGAAGTCGAAATTGAAGTTGATTCGATTGATAAGACTGGAGGCTTTATTGGGACCATGTGGATCAACAAGAATGAGAATGTGGCTGCTCTGCTCTTGGAAGAAGGTTTGGCTGAGATACATAGCTACAGTGCTGATCAAAGTAAGCATTCCGCTTTGCTTTACTCTGCAGAACGTAAAGCCAAGCAGGAGCGTAAAAACGTGAGTTCATTCACCTAGACCTATATAAAATTGACAGACTGTGTTCGTTGTATGTCGCTGACATGCATTATATTGGATACTATCATATTATTAACAGTTACTTCATTTAATGATATTAGCGATGGGCCAACGAAGATCCTGATGCTGTTGTAGATGAGGTGGAAGCTGTTGATGATGCCAAGCCCCTCAAGAAGGAATATCTTGATGTTGAAGTTTCAGAGATTAAATCTGGAGGGCATTTCTACGTCCAGATCATTAATAAGCATCTTGATGGCCTCGAGAAGATGATGTCCGAACTCAGTGTCCACCTTAAGAACTCAACTGCTCCTCCAAATTGGAAGCCGCGCACTAATGAGATTGTCAGTGCCAAATTTACAGAGGACAATCAGTGGTATCGCGCCAAGATCTTGCGGAATATTACTGATCCTAAGAACGTCGAGGTCATTTATGTAGACTATGGCAACGTAAGTCAAATGTGAATTGCTTTACAGACCAGGGAAATCTTTTAATATGCAAATAGTACAAGTCATTTTATTCTAAACTCTTTATCTACTTCATAGTCGGAAACTATTCCTTTGAGTCGCATCTGCCCATTGCCCGCACAGTGCAATAGTCTTCCTCAACTAGCACACGAAGCTGTCTTGTCGTTCATTAAGGTCCCAGAACTTAAAGCTGACTATGGTGAAGAAGCTGCCAGACGTTTTGCAGAAATGGTCAAGGGGCGTCCGCTAGTGGGAGTAGTTGAGCAGCGTGAACACAATGTGATGCATCTTACGCTATATGATCCTGCTATTTCCCAGGATCCTGAACGTAGTTTAAACGCCGAACTGGTGCGCGACGGTCTCGCTACTGTCTCTACGAAGGCTCATTATACTCGTCACCCTAGCAACCAGCCACTGGTTCTCAAGCTCCAAGAAGCATCCGAGCTGGCCAAGCGTGAAAGAGTAAGTGATGTAAAAAATAAAAATAAAAATAAAAAAAGAAAAAAAAAGAAAAAGAAAAAGAAAAGAAACTGTCTAAATAAACTGATTTCCTGCTTCCATCTTTTTATCGCCGTTAGCTAAATATATTCGAGTATGGTGACAATACTGCTGATGATGAGGACTCTAGATACTGAAAGGCCATTTAATTAACATAAACAAATTAAAGATAGATGACCTTGTAAATAAATAGAATTCGATTAATCGATACAGAGTGTAGCTTTATATACAAATTTGTATAAGTTAACAAGGGCATCTTAAAATGACGAATTCAAAAGCTTGGATTACAGAAAACGGAAAGGTTGGCCAAGCAGAGCATCATAAAGGTATACACGCAAAGGAAGTAGGGTAACAATGCGTAGCTCTTGGCTTGAATGACTTAAAGTAAGCATGTGGATATAACTTAAGATGAATAAGCGATATGAGAAAGTTTTGTGGGTGAATGAGAGCAAGGATGCATGGTAATAAAGGATACTCCCTGTAGTTTGCTACTGGAAGAAAGAGTGTGAATATTCATTTACATCTTCTGATTTGCTTTTGCCTAGGACTGTTCCTGAACAATCTATAATGTATCTTATACCATTAGGATAAGATTTTGTAGCGCTAATCTCCAAGGACTCGTTGGGAAACCATCGTTCATTAATCGAAGAAATGTTTTTTAGCTGGGGAGGAAGAGTGCCTGCTTCACTACTTTTCTGGATATTTCCTGTCATCTTTCCAAGAATCTTTTTATTCAACGGTCTGTGGTATCCTCCCTTCACCAATTCTACAAAAGTAATATTGTGTTCCAACATATAGCATCAATACTAGCAAAAGATGAGTTCTAAAGATTAAGGTTATGCGCACCAATAGAAAACTTCAAGCCCAAGGTATTACTCTTCTCTTAAAATAATAATCATACCTTCTTATAGAGCTGCATGACAGGATAGGCGAATGGCAATTTTTCATTCACTTTCACGAGTTCTTCTTGAGGTACATCCGTCTGTCTTATCTTAGAGATCACCATCTTCCTTTATTTGTTTTGAAGGACCTAGTTAACATACAGTTAATACACAAATGTCAATATATTCCTTTGACTTCATTGTTTTCTGAACTCCCAATTCTACGCGCCTTGGAATTTTTTTTTTAAAAAAAAAGTAGCTTTTCAGATTGAAAAACGAGCATTAACAGATCGCGTACGAAATGATCTGCAATGGTCTAAAGAATAATTCTTAATTAGTAGGCTTTCATAAAAAAAAAAAAAAAAAAAAAAAAAACGGCTTCATTTATCGCCAAGTGCCGAAAATGGGTTTTTTGGTAGAATGATTTGTGCAATTAGCTGGTTATCCAAGGTTATTGACCTCCACCTGGTAACCTTTTTTAAGTGGCTCTAAATAAGCAATCCTCTTCCTTGAAAACATTCATTACTTTTTTTTTTTTTTTTTTTTTTTTTTTTCACTCAGCGATATATCCGCTTTTTAGTATCAACTAACTATCTTAGTTCTTTACACTGCTGTAGTACATAGTCCGTTAACTATAAAATGATGGATTTCTTGGTCAATGAGGATGAACAGAAGGGGCGGTATGAAGGTGAGTGAAGGACACCAGTATTGCCAGTAACTCACACCTATACAGAACTGTAATTAGTGAAGTAAGACGAACAAATTAGCCCTATTGAGATAAAAGCCTCTCTGCTTCGCCAGGCCCGTGCCCAATTAAAGTTGGCTGTTTTGATCTAAACAAGGTGCTGCCTTTCACCATTTTTTCTTATTTCTTTTTTTTTTTCTATTTCTTTAGTGCTAATAATGTTCCTATTACTGTTATCTCTGATTGAAAAACGGAAGCATACATGTATCGCACTCATTGTTATCAAAGAATGATATTCTTCATGGTGTGGTTCTACATTTTTGATTCGGACGATATCGTGATTATATTTATGTAGTTTGTTGAAACTTACATAGAGGTCATTGCGCTCCGTTATGGCGAGCAGTTACTTGCAAATACCCTGGACGTCCCAACCGCAATCTAAGCGGTTACAAAGGTGGTGTCGCAGCTAACTATGCTGCAAAAAAACAAAAAAAAAGAAAGAAAGAAAAAAGGTTGTATTTTTGTGTTTCTAGCATCCTGACTATCGAGCCATGTCCGATGCTCAACAGCACGGTTTATCATTGCCAGTAAAGCCAACTTCTCAAGCCCCTATAATATAAGCAACAGATACGAAGCAAGCCTCTCATCAGCTCCTTTAATATCTCTCATTTCCATTAGAGGCCAACTTGGCCAGTACCTTAAGCTATGGAGCTGGATGGTCGCCTGGGCCCATGGCTCGATATAACCCCTGAGAGCGTGGTCCATACTGGGGAGTCGGCTTTGTTAGCACCAGCATCGTCCCATAGTCCCTTCAAGAGAGACCTGATGGCCAAGTCTATAGTCTGACTGTTGAGATTCTGGTGCTATCACATACTACTGCGAAGCAAGGGCACACTGCACGAATGACCATAACAACACTTGCAGTGGCCACATCCTTTGTCGCAGGATAATCAAACTATAGAGGTCTATTACCCAGCTGAAATCGGAAAAATAAGAATAAAAAATAAAGTAAGCATGGAAGCACCGATATCAGAAATTAAAGTTTGTTTGCCACGTATGCAACTTTGAACATCCCAAGAACCTTATTTGCCACCATTGAAGTTTGACTCTTTCTCTGTCTTAGCTTTCTTTCTTTTTTTTTTTTTTTTTTTTTTTTTCTTTGGTGCCATGTCGTCCTACACAACACCACTATTTCATACATCTCATACACCACCATTGATTAACCCAGCCCCAACGAGCTCTCCATACCATCCATATTATCCAGACTACTATCCAGAGAAGGGTAGGACGACCACATCTATAATCTTAGCGGCTCTCCTGGTCTGTGGAGGCGTATTTCTCCTTATTCTTGTTCTTTGCTGCCTTGTCGGATGCTGTTGCCACCGACACCGTATGAAGGCTAAAGATAAACAGATCCAAGAACTTCAAGAGACGTTAGCCACGAGAGCAATTCCATTCAGTAATGGGGTTACTTACCATTCTAGTGGGATTGTTAATAATGGCGACAACAATGATGATAAAGTCATCAATAATGCAGGCGTCCACCAAGGGAATAATACGATCACAGCATACTTGACAAACCAGAGAGGAACAAATGGTGATGAATTGGTGTTGGTCTCGAAGCAACAGTTACAACGGATTCAATTTTCAGCCTCTCCAATATCTCTGAAGCAACCGTAACCGTTATATCAAATTATCTCAAAATTTGAATTTTGATAAACAATGAGAGCTTCAAAGTTCAACCTAATCACACGTGCCCCGCCAAGCATAAGATTAAGCTTTTCCCCTTCCATTTTCTTTTAGGAGGATTCAAGAAAGACTTTAAAAAAAATAAAACACACACTGAAAAGGTGTAAATGCGAAAGAGGAAGCGTTCGACGCGTTAAAATAGCAAATAGACATTTAATGTGATGTATTTTTTATTACCAAAAATAAATAAATAAATAAGTAAATAAAAATAAATAAAAAACAGAAATCACTTTTGAACTTAACGGGCGTAAATAATAACTGAATATTGTGTGCATGTGTGTGTGTGCGTTGAACGTGCGTTATGCGTTGTGCGTTATGCGTTGTGTTGTGTGTCATGTCATGCGTATGAGTAAGTGCGTTGAAAGAAAATAATGTACAATTCTTCTTTTTTTCTTTTTTTTTTTTGTTTTTTTTGTTCGTCGGGGTATATCTGCATTAATGTTATCGTTCGTATCCGCTCATTGCCACTAACACGCCAGACAAATAAGGTCTGAGATGTAAAGCTATGACAACGAGTGCATGGGCTAGGCGGAAGGAGGTGGGGGGAAGAAAAATGTTCAGGTGCAAAGTTGTCCTTGGTCATGCAGACGCACCGTTACGCCTTCTCATTATTTCGTCAAAGAGGAAAAAAAAGGATTGGGGGTTGTGGGATGTTGATTGGAACAATAGCATCAAAGAATTTTGCATTTCTTCGATCCTTTCTTGGATTTGTCCCCTTTCATTGGATTTTGGCTGTTGATACTTCGGACGAGGTCATAAAACACCTCATCTACGTTTATCCTGTTTCGAGCTGAAGTCTCATAGAATGGTATGCATCCCCAGCTCTTTGATAATTCTTCACCCCTCCACCTTTCGACCTTGCGATCAGCCTCCAGGTCACATTTGTTTCCTACAAGGACGATTGGCACCTATGAAGACAATGAGTAAAGATTAATAAAGGATTAGAGATGGGAAAGATATAGCAGGACCAAGAAAAAAAGGGGGGAAGGGACTAACAGTAATTGTTGTTGTCGTCTTGAATTTGTATCACCCTTTTTTTTACTGCATGGCTGAGACGTTCAAAATGAAATCCTCCTTCTTGTGTCCGCAATGCCCCTGTCTGTTCCCTTCTCTCTCCCTGAAATTTCCAGCTGCATCAGCTGGCGATATATGGCTCAAATGCTGGACGATATGCATTTTCTCCAGCCCGACACCCTATGCAAGGCCTCTTACTTCCCGTTGCATTTAGTTTCCTCAATGTACAGATAACCCCCACTCCCTACTTTCAACTTGAAGGTCTTCAATAGAGTCTTTTTTTTTTTTTTTTTTTTCTTTTTTCTTTTTTTTTCTTTTTTAATCGAAATGAGATGTGTAGAGAAACAAAAAAAAAAAAAAAAAAAAAAAAAAAAAGCACGCGACAATCAAGCGTGCCAAGGACGAGAAGCACTAAGAAATGATGAAAACCTGTCCTGCATATTGAATGCTGATTTGAGGGATCGAAGGAGAGGGGAGTCAACTAACCAAGCATACTCTAGCGCTGTCATCCTCTTAAACTTACATTTTCAACGTCCTTGACCCGAAGGATCTGTCGATGCAAGTCTGCCAGCTCATCAAAGGTCGATGCTAAAATGATAGAGAAGACCAAAATAAAGCCTTGTCCATTCTTCATGTAGAGGTCCCGCATTGCTGTGAATTGTTCCGTGCCGGCAGTGTCCAGAATCTCGAGCATACATTGGTGTCCATCCACCTCGACCTGTTTCCGATAAGAATCTTCAATGGTCGGGTCATACCGGTCTACAAACACGGATTGTACGAACTGCACTGTCTGAAAGTAAAGAAGTCAAGGATAGAAAAGCAGGATTAGTTTCCTGAATTGCACTAGCCACTTATCTTGTTCCAGACTACCGATTCATATCGCTGGTCTAGAAGTGCCGGTCCAGAGTAACTCACAATAAGAACATCCATACTCCATATTCTATACTCTTAACATGATCTGATACTACTCGGCAGCGGTATTACAAATCTGACTCTTTAGCAACTTCTTTTGTATCACTCTGTAACCAACCAGTATGCGGATTTTCTTTTTTTTTTTTTTTTTTTTTTTTTTTGAACTTCGCCTCAAGCTTCCTGAGAACCCGCCACAGATCAAACAATTTAAATTTTGAATCCTTCAACTACAGGAGACATTAATTTTCGGTTTTGTTTGCTGCATCATCGCAAATATGGAGATACATTAGTAAAGAGTTTTTTTTTTTTTTTTTTTTTTTTTTTTATTCCTCAAATCTTACCAATGCCGATTTTCCAACGCCTCCGGAACCGAGGACAACCAGCTTGTATTCACGCATTTAGGGCCTTCTTTTTTTTTTAAAAAAAAAAAAATAATCAACCTCAAATAAATCAAATTATCGACTTTAATATAGAAACGGTAAGGGAAAAAAAAGGTACACAGGGACAGTATCAAGTGTGATTTAATTGAATGATTTGCTAGATCAGAATTCCTTTCGAGAGTTGAGAACAATGATTTGGATTGAGGTCACTGGTTATCAAGTGATTAAAGAAGGGGAGGAAAAGGTTCTTTTCAAAAAAAATAAAAAATAAAAAAAAAAAATAAAAAAATATAAGAGGAGATTGACTGAGGAGTAAGAAAAATAAGAACAATAAAAGTAAAAAGAAGGGAAAAGAGGAAGAAGTAACAAGAATTGAAAATCAAAGGAAAAGAAAGGAAGGAAAGGGGACCCGATAGAAATAAAGGTCAAGGGACATTACTCTTTTTTTATTTAAATACACTGTGCATTTGTTTACATTACAAGAGAATGAATCCACGAACGAAGCAGGCAAACGAACGAACGAGTGAACTAGTAAAATAAAGACTTAGGCAGCAATTGTGAGCATTGCATGGACAGAATACACGGAAGGACAAGGGGGCAAGAAGCAAGGGATATAAAAAAAAAAAAAAAAAAAAAAAAAAAAGAAAAGAAACGCCATGTGCGCACCCAAGCAAGCACCCTCATTTGATAAATGGGCATGCACTCGCCCATTCCAACTATCGATTGTCCGTTCCGCCAACAGCTCGGTTCCTTTTTGCCACATTATGCTTCATTTGACGGCTCTATCAAGGAAAATAGTATAATAATAACGGCTCCTTCCTCTTCCACCAATGGCTGTGGTGTGTAGCCTGACCAAGAGATTTCATAAAAGTCAAAGTTGGAGAAGTCCTTTCCTTTTTTGTCCGCTCACTTTACCATTATCTCTTATTACTATCCTTTACGGATCAATGGCAGAAAATGTGAGTAAAGACGAGGCACTTTGCCAGATGCATTCCTAAGGTCAACATTGACATATCTCTCTCACTACCGAATCTAGATCCAATGATATCGCCTGTGTAAATCACCAGGCTTGAAAGATGTCGGTGTTGATCTCGAGTGATTAGAGCTGTCAGACAGAAATTCATTTTACAACGCACTGAAGATGAATTAACGAAAACAAACTGTTTTTTACACATCACTCGCCTCATTATTACATCGGTCAACACTGCTTTAGGGCATAAGGTTTTATTTTACCCCCGGTTCAGATTCATCTCCATCCCCGTCCAAGTTCCATAACCAATAGGAAGGAGGAAGTGAAGTAAAGAAAAAAAAATGTATTATAGACTCTTATAGCCATCCGGTTCAGGTTCTCTTTGATCTTCTTACATTATCTGAATCAGTAAAAAAAGTCGTTGAACCTGTAATAGACTATCCAAAACAAACCTGCATAATGCAACCTTGTAATTGCACAGTCCGCTCAAAAGAAGAAAAAAATGAGACCAGCGGATTTCTGTGCATCAGTGGACATTACTATTTATAACGATATGATTAAACTAATGGAGACATGGTGTGGTCATTGTTCATTGTGGACGTTCAGCGCCTATTGTTTTCCTCTTTGTTGTAATAGAATCATCATGCTAAAAAGGCACACCCATTCTGGTGTGTTTATCTTGATTAAAAGTGTCGTTCCATGAACATTCTCAGGGGTTGAAAAAACAGTCGAACACGATTCATGCAAAAAAAAAAAAAAAAAAAAAAAAAAAGACGTGCGCGCAAGCCATGCATTGCTTTTGCGGGGTATATTTCGATAGCCCTTCACCCCTTTCTCTCTTTCTTTCAAGGTAGTGGAGGTCTTCGTATCAAGATTTAGGATCGGGAACCGGGAAAAAATTAAGAAGTAAGTACAGAGCAACCCAAGATCTATTCTGCTCAGCGCGGGCATTTAGGGCCAGACTCTCCCTCGATGCAGGACAAGTTTTTTTTTAACAAACATGTAAGCAATTATGAGAGTCTCTCTGTCCGAAATGCCTTGCACATGCACCTAGGCCGTTTTTTTTATTATTATTACTTTTTATTGGGGTTTAGCGATTGCTCTTTTTGGGAAAAGCCAAAAAAACGTTATAGCTCATAAAAGTTGAGTCATTTATATAGCCATATGCCTTCTTTGAGGTCAATTTTATTAATATACATGGTTCAAAGCACTATAGCTTTGTAGATGTCTGCTTGATAGACGAGGGTTTTTCTGTTATTGCTGTTGTTGTTATTGTTCCGTTAAGTGATGCGCAAACTTTCGGCTGATCTGCATTCTCCATGAAGCAAGTCAACCAGTCAAAGCATAAAAATTTTCTTCCAGAGGCAGAAGGACAGCGCTTGCTCGCTCACTCGCTGAATGTTGAAAAGAGAGAAAAATGAGAAACGGAGAGAAAAGAAAAAAAAAAAAAGAGTGGAAGTGCGTGAAAGAGATAAGAGTATTCAATGAGTGCACGTGACGCTCTATTTTTTGGGTAACGTGTGTATTATTTTTGTTGTATTGCATTGTGTGATGTTGTGTCCAGTTTTGTCGACCCTTTCATTCCAATCATTCAACCATTGCCAATCACCATTGCATTCAAAAAAAAAAAAAATAAATAAATAAATAAATAAAATAAATAGAAATCTGTAAAAAAAGAAAGAGCAGGACAGTAGTGACTGCAAGAACAACGATATCCAGTCATCATATTTCTTTCTCTTACCACTTTCTCTTTTCACTTTCGCACTCTCTCTCCTGCGACAAATATATTTATTTTAGACTTGTTTGACCTAAAATTATAAAAGAGGTAAAGAAGCCACGTCAACTGCGATGTTTGGCTGTTTTTTTTCGATGAAAGGCGGGCATTCGGCATAATCAAGGGCCATCGTGATTCAAAAAGACTGAGGTCATCAAACAGGTTGTGTCTGACTCAGTCACTTACTCTCTTTTCGTGTTTTTTCTGTTCCATCTGCCCTTTTTTTCAAGCAAGGACCAACTTTTCAACGCAACGCTACAGCCATTTTTCCTCGAGAACTCTGACCAACATTCACAACAGAAGGAACTAGTGTCTATAGCAAGACTGATTGAGTGACTTAAAATCAACCTCGGCATGGACACACATGCATCAATGGCTTACTACCAGTCTGGCATGCAACAATACCCAAATGGAGGAACACCTGTTGGCTCTATGACTCCAATGTCAGTGGGTCCTATGGGATCTGGCACACAAGGATATACTATGAACCAGGGCCCAAACGGGTCATACGATCCTATGGCGCCGACAAGTGTAAGCTACAGCGCTGCTCAAAACCATTCGGTGACAACAACGCCCATACCACTTCAGCACGCACATCACCAGCAGTATCAACAACAGCAACAACAACAGCAGCAACAGCAGCAACAGCAGCAACAGCAGCAAGCATCTCAACAGTCGTACCAGAGTCAACAGCCAACACAGCAACACTACTCAACTTCGTACCAAAGTCAGCAGTCAACGCCTCAGCCTTATCCACCGCCCTATCAGAGCCAGCAACCAACATCCCAATCTTATCAAAGTCAACAATTCCAACAACAACAACAACAACACCAGCACCAGCTGCCATCAACTTCGGTTTACCTTCAACCTCAACTTCATTCTCAGCCACCACAGCATCAACAAATCTACATGTCAACGCAATCGCAAAGCCAGCCGGTTACTTTTGCCCCAGCTCCAGGATATATGCCCCAATATCAGCAGCCATCTAGTGGGGCACCTTACATACAGCAGCAGCAGCAGCAACCTCCACAACAGCAACATACGCATCATCAACAGCAGCAGCAGCAACAGCAGTTACAAACCCAGCACCTTCAACAACAACTACAGCAGCAGCAACTTCAACAGCAGCAGCTGCAACAACAAATTCATGCCCAACAACGTCAACAAATTTTGGGTCCTACCATGGTGGCATCTCATCCAATGCAAACCCAACCGCAGCCTAATACCCATCAGCAGCAACAGCAACAACAGCAACAACAGCAGCAATTACAAATGCAGATGATGCAAGCGCAACAGCAGCATCAAATTCAGCAACAACGCATGCAAGTAATACCGCCACAACAGCAGCAACAACAGCAACATACTTCAAATGACCCTTCTCGAGATACACGGAATGCGGGCACCATTGAAGTTGTTACAAATCCTCAAACGAGCACTCTCCAACTTGCAGAGTTTGCTTCGGTGATGGTCTATACCCTATGGCACACAAGGCCGAATATTAATGGTGCGTCAAGCAATGCCTACAATGTCGTGCCTCATCGGATAAGCGTCCCGCCATCCGCCGGACCAGCTTTCAAAAAGTTTTGCCTGAAGGTGATTTTTTTTTCTCCTCCTAATTTCTTCACGTAACATGTAAAATTACCTGTAATGCTTATTTAACCATCTTTTTTTTTTTTTTTTTTTTTTTTTTTTAGGTGCTAACTGCAACTCAGCTCTCGTCTTCAGTGATTTTGCTATCGCTCAAGTACATTCAAAAACTGCTCAAGAACAACCCCTCAATTCATGGACAGCAGGGCTCTGAGTTTCGATTGTTTACGGTATCACTCATGCTCGCCAACAAGTTCCTTGATGATAACACATTCACCAATAAGACGTGGTCAGACGTTACTGGAATTAATGTCAAGGAAATCAATGTTATGGAGATGGAGTTTTTAAATCAAGTCCAGTTCAGCTTATTTGTTAGCGAAGCTGAATATCTAGATTGGCTCCACAGCCTTGAAACTTGGCTTAAACAGCAGGGACAAGCTCAAGGGCCAGGTCAAGGATAGCTGAGATCTAGATGAAGGAAAGGGATGAGACGAATTATTTGAATCTACCTGTATGATTACGCATGGGATGTTACGACTTGATTAAAAGAAAAAAGGAGACAAAAAAGAAAAATAGTAAAAAAACTCATACACCATACGATTTACACGGCAGCACCCATTTCATCCAAAGAGTACAGGAGGAGGAGTAACATAAAAATAATCCCCCGCAAAAGAAAAAAAAAAAAAAAAAAAAAAACTTAAACAGAGAATGTACGTCACATCCCATTTTTCAGGTCCTTGGATGGCACCCAGATTCAGCCCCCCGGGCTGTGCATCGCTTTTTTTTTTTTTTTTTTTTTTTTTTTTTTTGTTTTTTGGAGTAAATATCTCCAAAACTACATTGTGCGCAGCCCATCGCCATTGGCACCGCCACAACAATTTAGCCTTTTCTGTTCTTCCAACACACATTGTGTGAACTACTTTTTTATGGCTAGTATGCTGAGTCTTTGTCATGCATTTGGATTTTTCACCTTTTTTTTATTATTACTTTCTGGCGCAAAAGAAAATTGATTCATCAAAATACCTGCGACGGAATAAATATCCATTACGTTGAAGGCTAGAGCATTGGAAGTTAACAAATCGAATCACCTTACACAATACCCTCTCCTCGCTCTTTCAATAAACAAAACAAAACAAATAATAATAATAACAATAAAAAGCATGGTCTCATAATGTTAATTTGTGTTTTATGATGCATCTGAGCTTTTGATTTCTATTTTGATCCACCAAGATGCATGGGAGACGCATGAAAAAGACTTTTCCACATGAACGCCTCGGAAAGCAAGAGTTCGATATCTTTCTCCTGCCAATCGTCCGTTGGTACATCCTGTAGGAACAACATGATCTCCTGAAACTCCATTCTGAGCAGCTCTGCAGACCACTTTGTCAAAAACGCAGCACAAACGTAAAGATGGAATTCAGAAAATCCATGTGGGTGCTCGGTCTTCAAATAACAATAAGCAGTAACAATAAAAAAAAAATATTAGAAAACATTCTTGACAGTTCTCAAATATATCTCTTCGTTTGATTGATCATTCAGCCATAAATGAACTGTCAGACTTACTAGATATGTATCCCACATTCGAATTGTGTGTTGCAAAGTCACCTCTCGCATTAGTAGGCAATTCATCCACCTGAACGAGAATTGGATGAATTCGACATGTTCGGATTGAAGGTGGGCCGCCAGCGGCGCATCGATTCTACAAATTAACTCGCGCAGTTTCACAATTTGTCTTTGAATACCCGGTTGCGCATGCGTGTAATTATCCTGAATTCCGTCCAAGAGTTTTGTAAGACACCAATAGCTATCCGCTTCTATAGCTGCCAAAATTTCTGTTGGTAGGCGTGAGATGTCATATGATTCCGGGTCTTGGTCCTCCTCAATATATGCAGTCAGGAAGACAAGAAAGAATGGTGTCACCAGGTCGTTGATGCCTTGGACATAACTACTTGCAGGATGCCTAATTGCCCAGCAATAAAGAATCCTTTCGAGACACTATTACAAGCATCAAAAAACCATGAGTTATCAATAATAAACTCGTACCATTTTTTGTTGTAATTGATGTAATGCTAAACAACATGGGCTTGTAATTTATTTCCTTTATTTTATTTACTTTTAAGAAAAAATGGAAAAGAAAAAAGAAGAAAGGAAAAAAAATATAAAAAAAAGAAAAGCTTACCCGTTGAGTTGTTTGGTTCTGAAAGAGGGCCATCTTTGGGTTCGTTCTTGGTACATCGATGAAAACTTGATGCCAAATTGTCTGGTCAAGGCCCTCGATTCCTCGTGCAAACGTCTGCTGTACTCCGTCTTGATACTCTTTCCGCTTCCGCTCTAGTGCTAAATTTCTGCGATCCGAATTGCAAGGCAAATATCCTACTAGTAACTGCCATACAATAGGCCGGATTGCTGTAGGCACGCCGGACCACGAGTGCTTCCGAAGGTCTTCCAAATCAACTACAGACTGCTGCAAGATCTCCTTAAATTTGAGGAAACGTGCTTTCTGCTTACTCCTCTGAAGCACGTACACCTGATCTGTTTGATGCTCGGTTCCGATCAAATGAAGGTCACCCATTGCAGACTCGTAACTCAATCCCTTGAGAATTAAAAGTGGATCTAGCAACAATAAACAGAGCGAGAGAGTATATATCTGATCCCTTGATCAACCATGCAGCAAGTTTCCCATGATATTCTTTTTTATTTTTGAAGTCCTGCACCTTACCTAGCAGAATACTGCGCGCATTGGACTTCATACCCTCAATAGCACCTGAGGCTATTGCACTACCAGATACTAATGTTTCGGGTTTCGGCGATGAATCTCTTTTGTTAATATCTTGGGTTTTAATCCCTGATATTGATGAGCTGATGTCTGCTTTTGATGTCTGGACTGACAAAATTGCTTCTAATGACTCTGAGAAGCTCTGAGATGCATCGGCTGTGGTTTTGATAGGTGTTCCTACGGGCGTATCCTGTTCTGTATCTTCCTTAACGTCCTGTGCTGGTAAAGTCTGGTATCCTGACAACTCGGGGTTGCTGTCATAGTCTGCAATGGATGAGTGATCGTGTGGCCATGAGCTAGTGTCCAGTTGTAACGCCCTGTTAAATAAAATTAACAATAAAAATTACAGTGATATAAAACATGGTACAAAAATAATCTGAGACCATTAATAACAAATATTAAAGTCAAAAATACCTATCATTATCCACGCTATCGAAATGACCAATGTCATTCCAGGACCTATTTTTTACCTTAAACGCTCCACCTCCATTACTGAGGTTGCATGAGAGTATTGAGCACCAAAAACCATATTCCCTGTCACACCCATCTTGCCTTGGACAGGCTTGACTCTAAAAGTAATGGTGATCATGACGAATATAACGACCATTTTGCGTAAGAAAATTAGTATCTTGCTTCCTACAGAATCAAATCAATTTCCAGCTTTACAAATCTAGATGTAGCTTTATGATACTTACGACCCAGGGTGTTTAGTGATATGACGCTTCCAGAACCCTACTCTAGAAACAGTAGTGGAGTCATGAGCACACAGGTAGATGAAGAGGAGCAGGAGGAGGTTAAAAATTGTCCTCTGCTTCCTTAAAAGGCCGAACAGAAATATAACCCATCGATACGCGAGCTATTCTTTTTTTTACCTTGGTGTAGCAGAGAAATCCATCTCAAAGAGAAGTGAATGAGTGCCAGGGAAAACGCACTTTTTAAATAATTACGCTTTTGTTGGCAGTATAGTAGGCGATAGAAATAGGTCAGTCTTTATGGTAAGAAGGCGAGAATGAGCAAACGATTGTCACAGAGGAGCTTAAATGAGAGAAAGAGAATGATGACAGGCGACAGACAGGTGACTGTTTCGAATAAACATGACAAAGTTACACCTATTCGCTATTGTCTCTTCCTCTGTCATTGGTTCTGTTGGCTCGTTTAAAGGACAGCAGCAAAGGATCAAGCAATCATCAAACAACAACTAGAACGGCAACAGCATCTTCGAGTCTCTGACCAAACTATCTTCATTCAACCAACAAGGAACTCCATCAAGTAAAGAACAATTCCAAGTATGCCACCAATTCCACAGACATTACCTCACACCATCCAGATGCAAATTGATGCTCTGAGGAAAGAGTACCACATACTTGACGGCCACATTAATAAACTCAGGAATCTAACTGGAGGCACCATCACTGTTCAGCAAGAGCTTGTTCGCACTGCACGAGAGGAGTCTAAATCTATCGAAGCAAAAATTGAGGTATTTTTTTTTGACTACCGTTTCTGCCTTATGTTCTCCTATTCCTTATTCCAGTAGATTCACCGCCTTCATAACGTCGTCTATTTAGGAGTTGAGGTTATCGTCAGACGAGCAGGATAGGGAAGCAGATCGAATACTTATTTTGACTATGCTGAAGAGTATGGAAGCACAATTCAAACAGTATGTAAACGTGATTGCAATACGAAAATCACATCACCAATTGATAAAACCTTAAAATGAAATGAAACGCGTTACCTAGGATTATTTTTTATCTTTTTTTTTTTTTTTTAGACAACAACAAGCACTACGACAAGCGATCCTGCATTCTAAACAAACAATCGATAATGAAGCAAAGAATGAAAGACAGCTGTTACTCAGCGGTTCCAAGTCTGCAATAGAGATCAGAAGAAGGGGCGCTTCCAACAACATGAACGAATATCTATTGAATACAAGTAAGGAGCAGAACGAGAGTTTGAACAGGACTCTAAAACTTATGCAGCAGGAAGTCGAGCGCACTGCACATTCAGCTAAAATTATTGGTAAGCTTCATATGTACATATACATATATTTTATTATTTTTTTATAAAATGCTCCATATATAAATTGATCTCATATATTTGGTGTGTTTTAGATGACTCCTCAAAGACCCTCAGGACTACAGTAAATGAGTATCAAACATATGATGAAGTACTTAAGCGTGGCAAGAATCTCATTACCAAACTTAACCAAGCTGATTGGACAGATCGACTATTGATCGGATTTGGGCTGCTGTTGTTTTCACTGGTTGTTATGTACATCCTTAAAAAGCGCATTGCAGACCGCGGAGTATCCCTAATCAGTTATTTCCTCATGCCTATCCGGTGGATGTATTCCATCCTAGTTCCATCCCTGAAAATCCCTCCAATGGCCTCTACAACGCCGTTAACAGAACCAAAATCCTTAGTAACTACATTGGATTCCATTGAAAAAAGCCTTCGCCCAGCAGTCACAGCATTAACAGAGCATCTAGAAAAAGCAACTGCAACATTAAGTGCCCATTCAACCAGTACAACAATCCTAAAGCAATCTGCCCCCACTAGCTCGCCTCAGGGCCTTTTAGGAGTTTTGGATGCAATTTTTGGGGAGCCAGATATCTACCTGTAACTGAGAATTAAAAAATAAAGGATATTATAATAAAATAATGATGATAATAAAAATAAAAGGAATGAATATAGCATACAAGAAGACTATCTCTTTGTCTTAATGTATTGGCTATGGAATAAAGAATACTATTCGAATAAGAAACCATTTATATCTCTTCAGCCAGTGCCTGGGTCGTCTAGTGCTGATGGCTCGCGCAAGGTAGCCCTACTTGGACCTGACATGGCCTTTAGAGGGTTCTGGTGATCTACGATAATATCCTTACAGCTGTGTGAAGTGCAAATATTCCCTTGTGCATTTTGATCTTCACATTAGATCAGCATGAAGTGATCTGACCGTCTTTGCTCGCTTTGCAGCCGGTTTATTTGCTTCATATTTCTTGTAGCTTACAGCGTAGCTGCATGCTAGGCTACCTGGGACAACGAAAGATGAAATGACATCTTTTTATCTTTTGTATATGTAATTATTTGTATCTCAACTCTTGAATGAAACCAGATTTAGACTAAAGTGGTCTGGTAGTCAGAATCAGATGCGACACATACGATCAATTGAGGGGCTGATCATAGCTTATGTCCTGTAAGGCGCCATGAGGTCTTTCGCTTGACTCTCTTTCAAATATACTTGATCATATCCACTCATGAAGCGGTACTCTTGCTTCTCGAGTGATTTGTATTCTGTGTATTTAGGGTTTTATAACCTGGCAAGTCAACGACCGAAGGCGGCAATTGGATTTTGGAGAACAGTCATCAACTATTGCAGCAGTTCAGCACATGTTTCGATCGGTTGCTTCATGTTCACCAATATTGTATAATTTATAAAGATTTAGTATTAATAATAAACGGAATGGTAAAGGCTATAAAGATCCAAGCACTATGTGGTTGAAGCTACCATGGTGATCCTCGTTAGATTCAAAGACTTGACTGTCCTCTTGCATTTCATTCCTGCTTGATTGCTGGTTCCTGACATTTTTCTTGGGTGCGGTCGCATTTCCTTCCAAATATGAATGCTCTCATCCACAAATCTCCCCACTACCTTTTTCTTGCTTTCATCATAATACACTACGAATCCTGCGAAAATAACGGGAAGCGGCTGTCGAGGAGGTTGGCTCACAATACCGCCATTGGACTTTACCCACCGATCGGTGGAAGAATGGTCTAAGTGATAGTATGCTTCATCAAGGAAGAACTCAGGCCAAATGGGTACGAGTTGATCATCGATCTTCCTGGGGTTGGAGAAACATTTCACAAAATAGGTTTTCCGGAGCTTTATGTTAGAAGGACGACCATGCGTAATGGATCTGCAAACCCCTTTCCCCCAGTAAAGCCCCCTTCCCCCAGTAAAGCCCCCTGGGCGCAAATAGCGGCGTGCAGTTGATTTGGATAATGTGTTGCCATGAACCTCTCTCAACTCATTTTTTCGTCCGTTCTTTTCTTCCACGAAATGCTCGGGATGGTCTCCCTATACCCTTGCTCGGCCTCTGCAATACACCAGTCTTCGAATAGTTGTTTGCAGCGAGGCACGTATTAATACCTGTTAGGATTAGGAGCTGGTTCTTTGTACGGTATTCAAGTATCTTTAGCCATTCGTGGAGCTCCGGTGACGCTTCCATATGGTTTGCATAGGGGTGTACAAGAAGACAGTACTCTGGATCAAATCGCACACACTTTTTGTCGTTCTGGGGCTCAAGTCTCCTCCCCTTACTCGTCTGCTCTTGGGTAATGAAATCGGATACTTGGTCCTGTTCCTGAACAACACAGTCAAGTGACTGATCAACAAGGTATTATGGGGGCGAAGAGATAAAAGGTTGCATTCTCGAAGGTTTGGATGCCCAAATAGATGTACAATCGAACACATTTGATCAATCTGTTTCCAAAAACACTGGTTCGTGCGACACTGAACAACGGATCAATAGCCGTTTCCAAGTAAATACTTTCAAACCAGCAGAAACGTTCATCACTTGTGTCAATACTCTACAAAAAGATCATACAGCTTCACAGCGATGGCGCGACTAGGGTACAGAGGAAAATATCTATGCATACGGGCATGCACAGTATACCGATATATCCGAGGTTTGCTTCCAGGATAAAGATCCCTCTTTTATGCCGGAGCGGGAACCGTTATAAAAGTATGCTTGTTTGAATTTTGAGTGTCGCATTCCATTCCCCAAAGCGATACTACAGAAGCATCACCTGTACAATATCCCTCGGCTTCCCTTCGGAAATGTCTTCGTCATGCAGGCTACGCCCTTTACTGGCCCGGAGAGATTGGCTGCCATCTATGGTTTTCGTGTATGGGAAGCTATTGTTAAGGTCTAATGGGATAGCTACGTAAAAGAGCTATCAATTGGCAGGCAACTTATTCAAGATAGGACTACCCTTTATCTCAAGAACAAATTCACAACTAAAGATCTTTCAATAGTCATGGCTACCAACGCTTTCGACATGAGGAACAGAGCTCAAGATTGGCGTTTCCTGCATGTGGAATATATTCTTTATGACTGGACTCGATCCTTTCGAGAACACCATATCCCTATCAATCACTCGACGTTGCGCTTGCTGATACAGGATGTCCACATCTCGTGGTGCGCTAAATAAGTTCCTCTGTTAGATCCTCAGGGCAAAGGGCTCGCCTAGAGTGGGGATTAAAGGTACAGATTTGGCAAGAGAAGGCCTTATAGTATTACATGACAGTTGAGATAGCTTCTTCAGAATATATATAGGGATCCCATATGTGTATCTAGTTCCATAAACTTCTTTCAATAAATCACTCGCTCGACACCCTAGCCTTGATATTATCTGCCTCACAGACTCATAGTCCTGATCTTTATTTGAGGCGTATTCTTCTGTATGATAAATATATACGGATACGTGAGGGCCTTGCATTAACAGCCTAACAGAATACCAGATACTGATCAACTGCGGGATTTAATTTATGATTGTTGCCAAAAAAAAAAAAAAAAAAAAAAAAGCTTAGTCATCTACTAATGAAGGATTTTAAACGATTTTTTTCTTGTCTTGTCTTTTGATGGATCGTCTGTAACATCTGGTGCCTTGCCAACAGAACAGCAAACGCCTCCAATTCACGTAAGCAGTCCCCTAACTAAGACTGGTTTGCTTCACGAAACATGAAGATTCATAGATGAACGTCCGCCATCGACCTTAGCTACACGAAGGGTGAGCTTCACCATCACAGCTTCTTACCAACAGCCATATAACCCGGATGAATGACAAGTAAACTCCGTGAAAGTCTTTCGCCCTCTAGTCTCGTGTCAAGGAAATACCCGAATTAGACCACTTGCAGTCGATGGACTCCCTCTCCCTTCGCACGATTCTTCCGTCTTTATCCAATACCGGTCAACAGTTGCTCTATATCCCTTTTTTTAATGGTTTAATCCGCATCGTTTTTTGATGATATGTGAGTAACAGCAATCATGGTAGTTATTAAAGTCGCGTCACTTATTCACTTTTTTTTTTTTTTTTTTTTTTTTTTTTTGCATAGAGGTCTATTATTGCCATGAAGGATTAATATCTAATCCTGCTCTGTCGCCATCCCCTACTCCATCGTAAAAGAGCATAAAAAATATTAGATCAAACTCATTCTTGCCCTTGCTCGGTTCTTGTCACCCACCTTATCCATCAGAGTTTACAACTAGGTGCTTTTTTATGCAGTAAAGCATTGCTTGCTCTCACACAGCCGATTCATGGCAACCACATGTATCACGTGCGAATAAAGCCAAGTATATATTCTAGTATGTCATTCTATTTATCGTGCAAAGTAATCCAACCGCTCGGATTATCCATGATTGGGTTCATCACACGGTGTAGTCAAAGTGAGAAGCAACGGTCAGTATGTCCAAAACTAATCACATGCAGCATAGAGTATTTTGTTTGAAGGCCTGCAAGAAGTCTTTATCTCTTGTAAACGAGGAAAGCTTCAAAAATAGGGTCGCACTAATTTAATACTTTTTTTTAATATCGCCATTTTATCTTTTTTCTTTAATTCCTATTGCGCAGCATTCGCATATGCTTCCATAAAAGCCTTCGGGGAACTCCCGAGCATGCTCCAAATATCTTAGCTTCGTACCCATAATGATTCGAGTGATTTCAGTGTCGCTGGATGGAAACCAAGATTGTGTTTTGCGTAGAACCAAACGTTTTCAGTTGCCCAGAGGGTTTACTGACCATTTTATCGACCTGATTCTACCTTGGCGTTGTCATACTAAAATACGGACTTTTCTCGGCCCAATCTCGAGAAATAAGTGCAGGGCCCTTATCCTTAGGGATATTTACTTATACTGCTGCATCGATCCTTCTCTGAAGCTATAGTGACCCGCATCTAGTCGCAGAAAAATTTAGGAAAAAACCTTAATTAGTCACTCATTTTGGTGTACATCTCTTCTTAAAGTCAATCATCATCTCTCTGCACACTCAGAAAAGTTTTTATTTTCCTTAATATATAATCTATAAATTATAATGGGCGACTTGAATAAAAGAAGAGGCAGTTGCGAGATGCTCGACAAAAAAAAGTACAACTCAAATTTGTTGAAGTAGAACAGGCTTTACAGATATCACTCCAGAATTTGCAGACAGAGGTCATCGATGACTCAGTTGATATAGACTTTAGTAGCTTCCAGCTTGGAGAGGAGTGAGTGAAATCTCAACATATACAGAGCTGGAAGAATATCAACAACGATCCAGAGACTGAACGAGATTCAGGGATGAAACTGAGGTGGAAGAGTGGATTAATAGAGCGTGTTTTAAAATTTTTTTTGGGCAAATACTGCAACCCCAAATGCAAGATGCAGCCAACACCATGAAGACTAGAAAAGCATATATAGACAACTCACAATCTATGACCTTTTTTAAAAGGTAGCAACTCAAAGCGGTTGCCGTGGGTACTCCATCTCTCTCCCTTTAGTTTTACTGCGATGCCTAAAAACCCCACAAACAAATCTATCGAAACTATTGTTCCTTGTGATAATCAACAATATGTTTGTAAATAGCTTCATATTTCTTGTATTGGAGCTTCCCTTTATAATGTCAAGAGCAAACATATGATGGTTTATTACTTACAGCTATCGCATGGACGCATATCGAAAAAATATGTCTGGTCATATTGCTGAACAGGTGAAAAAATATTGGTCTCATTGGCGTATTCCAGCAAACTGGGACTTGGAAATATAGTGCCTGACACCCTTAACAATAACAGTGACATAATTATAAATAAGGTTTAGCCAATCAAAAATCGAGATTTTAGTCCTAATTTGATGCTCACATATGAAAATGGTCCATCTTTTTTTTCAGATAACTCAAGAATAGAAAGTGATATCGACAAAAACGCTCTGTCCTGCCAAAGAGAAATGACAGATGAAGAGGATAGCAGCACTATTTTTTGTTTTTGATCCTTTATTGGGATGTTAACTGGCGTCCCTCTCAGCCTTTTTTTTTCTAAAAAAAATCTACGACTAGATGCGTGTCACTGTAGCATGCGTCACTTACGCCATAATAGGCTATACTATCCCGGACCTATTTTCAGTGTCGCCGCACGTCAGAACGAGTATTTTAAAATAGCTTTAAATTAAACAGTCGTTTGAAGCGCGGGAATTAGCTATTTAATGTTGAGTATCGTTACAGGAGTAAGTTCAAAGGTCTGTACGCCTATAACATTCACAGTCTCTCAATGGTGATCATTAATTATTCTAATCCTTCTAGCCTAAGCATGTCGGTCGAGACTAGCAATGTTCGATGGCTCCATGTCAGGCCATCGAACAGAACATGCAATCAGAATCTACAAGCTACAAAACAAAAAAGCGTGCTGTAAGCTGACAAAGTATATATATATATATGTATATTTTTATTTATATTTATATACAAGTTACAGTTGCTAATAATTATGAAATGGCTAAATACAAATATACAAATAAAAAATAATAAATTTGAATCAAACTTTAGACACTTTTCCAACAGGGGGTAGCTTGTTGACGAATTTAATCCGACTCCTTTTTCAACATCATTATGTTACCCAAAAGGCAACATTGCAAATTAGGGTCTATGGGACACTCGGGTATCTTATCCTTGACTACTGGCGACAAAAAAAAAATAAAAAGAAAAAAAAGAAAAAAATACATCTATATAGATACATGTGATCCTAGGAGGTTCAATAATTATTGAGCACTACACTTTTTTGTGAATCTGTGCAGATATTGTCCTTATCTCCTTACTTGCAAGTACCGGCTCATACTTATGAGATACAGAAAACCCCCTATTTAACATTAATCTTCCATTAATACGTGCTTTTTTTTTTTTTTTTTACGCATAGGAGGTGTAACAGTATGGCTAAAAAGGAACTTTTTCTTATTCGCATTAATAATCATCACTCTATTTTTTTTTTTTTTTCTTTTATTCTCTCCGCATTGATACATTTATAAAAATTCAGATTTGTACCGCATTAAGGGTAACATCAACCCTTCGTCATCAAATCCAATTTTTAAAAGTGAGGACGGCTATTATTTCATGCAACCCCATTATCAACATTACCGAGAGTAGGGGAATACCACATAGAAATGGTCAAATTTGAACATTCGGGTTGCTAGCTTCCTTGCTAGCTTCCACAGATATTCAGATAGTATTGTTAGTATGAATTGATAATAAATAAGGGAAGCATCATACATCGATGTTCTCAGCTCTAATGGCTATGAGCATCATACTCACTACCATCATTGCTAGCATTATCGGTATGGATTGACCATAATCAAGAGAACCACCGTATTCACTTATTCACTATCATCATTACTGACCCTATCTCAATTACTAGAATAATATTTAGATCACTGCTTATTTTAACTAATGTCCTCGAGTTGCTCTGAGCGACAAAGGACAGGCTTATTGATGAGGCGGAATAAGGTTCGGAGAAAAAGGAGAGGTTCTAGCTGAGGCCCTGACCTTGGTTTCGGCTGTCTACTACTGCTTGGAAGCGACTCCTTCGCGTTGTGTGTGGATTCTTCTCGGAAACGGCCCAAGCCTCTGCTATTAGTTTCATTCGCTATGTCCCGAATTATAGAGGTATACCACCCACATATTAGTTTAACTCGCAATAAAGAACATGTATATTCAGCGAGCATAAAAACTGGTAAACACTAATTATTGTACACGGAGTTGCGGTATATCTGATTGGAAGGGGGAAAACCCCAAAGTGCCTTTTTTTTTGAATCGCACTTTTACATTTTTTTTTTCTTTGGAAGCCCAATAAAAAGTAATTGACTAGAGGCTCAATATTTATAACACTGTTGTTTGTTATTTTTTTGCTTTTGTTTTGTTTTGTTGCAGTGCATAAACGCTTTCCAAAGCTACTAAAGGCCACTAAAAACCCAGATCGTGAGCGATAAAGGATAGGAACAAAAAGTATATATATACATATATATATATTATATTACGTTTAATTGAGAGTAGGCGGTTAAAATGCGCATATAAATTTCAGTGAAAGAATAATGGGAGGAAATATCTCCAGAATCGGTACATGAAAAAAAAAAAAAACAATTTTATCTGTCTAACATAAAATATAATAAAAAAAATAAATAGAAAAAAAAGACGTACCTCTTGCGGCGTCAAGTGAGGGTAATTCTTAGTCATACATTTGCTCTGCTGCTGAAGGAACCGATTATAAGCAGTAGTTTTTTTGTTAAAGCCACTTCTTGATACCCTGTGGGAAATCTTTCCTGTCTTTGTAATCTTCACATCCGGCTTTTTTGTTCTTCGTACGGATACAGATCGAGTCGGATTGGTACCATTTTCACTCAGTGCTTCAGTATCACCTTTAACACCACTATTCGAGACTTTCAATATACAAGAAGGGTTATTATCACTAGAAGCAGGCTCGGGCGTAGATGTCGATGGAGGAATATAAAGGCGCGACTGTTGTGCATCTGGCAGGGTATTTTTTACTGAATCATCAAAAAGAGCTAATGGCAACAAAAACGTTCATGTTTGTTAGATTTACCCACATTGCTCTGAACAGATGATATGTGTTGTTTCTGTAGTCTGATAAGTGATGTTGCGCGCAGGGCTCTTTTAGTCGACTAACCTGGTGTGTACTGGCAAATTAATTGTCCCGATGGATGGTGCGGTATAGGGATCGAGGACGGAGTAGATATGGAAGGTAGGGTTGACGAAGGAGAAGGAAGTTCGAAGGTGGTGAACGATCTTGGTGATTGTGGTGTAGGGTTGACCAGGAAATGTATTGGGATGGAACGGGCCCTCTGCGCTGGTACTGGAGATGAAATTCCCGCCCCATCCCTTATGTTGCTTCTGTCGGAGGGAGGGAAAGAGTAAGGCGGTGGAATGCGACTCGGATTACTATTGCCATTGTAGCTGGCGCTTGTGGGAGGTGAATTTTGTCCTAATGGTGTAACTGTATTGAGACACATTGCTGATATACTGGCATACCATGAAAGCGGGGGATCATTTCCCAAGGTTGCTGCCGATATCTCAGCAACTTCAGCTTGAGAACAGCCATTTTCCTTCGTTTCATGTGCAGACTGTATTATTTGTGTCAACTTTTTGAGACCCATTTTTCTGGTTGAGAATATGAGACGGCAAATAATATTGTGGAAGCTAAGCTCTGGTAATAACAGAACATATAGCTATTGCGGGTTGCTACGTAGCTGCAAGGACGAAGAGAAGAGAAAAGGAGGATACCCTTTAGTTTTCAATTGGAGACACAGATTGGAAAGGGATGTCAAGAGAGGATCCGGTGTTGAACAAACAAACTAGGGCTATTAGCATGACGGATTGAACGTGGATAATGATAAATAATAACCCTGTTGCAGGTGCAACATGAGTAACCTGAGAGAAGGATAAGAAAGATAAGAGTTTGATTGAAGGAAGGAGCAGAAAGCAGGAAAATGCTTATAAATAATTTTTGTTGAAAATTGCTCCAAAAGACGCCCTAATCTTGTGGACTATTCAGACTATTCAGGCACTTAGAACCATAAATCAAGTACGAGTACTTAATTATAATTGGATGCCTCCTAATCATCCAAAAAAAAAAAAAAAAAAAAAAAAAATGGTGATGTGAATTGCTTGGCAAGGAAAATAATCAATTGGCTCTTACTTCAAGTCTGCACAGTTAATAAGCCAGACATTAATTAAAGCGGTATAGACCCCATGGCTGGGAAATCTAGCCGTTGGGTGCATATCCAGAAGATTGACCTCTTTCCCAAGCATGCAAGCCATTATGCATTCACTGAAATACAGGCAACCTTCCACTTGGAACTAGAAATAGCATCTCGAAATTAAATAGAGGTTTGGTCTCTGAATTGATACTCTCGCTTTCCTGCTTTTCACTCAACTGAAAGCTGTCAGTACATTCAAACATACCCTTTTCATGTTTGTTTCTGTGCACGAATGGTCTTGAAGTGCAAGCAGCATCGTTTGTCACTTTGGCCTCTCGGCCATGGCATCGACGATAACTTCCTGCAGCTGAACATGCTCTCTCGTCATTTCTGCATCCTTGACCACATGCGTTCCTTTGTTCCTAATAAAAACTGCATAATAAAACAGGTTTTTAATGAAAGCTGCGCTGATACCCATCTGTAGTATTTTTTGGAGGGGATGCCGTCCTACCCTGCTTACATACTGTATAAAAGTAAACGCGCGTGATCATGCGGAGCGAATAATTTTGTTTTCAGAAGCATAGCACGCTTTGTGCTTTTCGTTGCTGACAATGGGACTACGGACAACATGCATCAAAATGTAATACTATGAAGAGTGAGACTAAAACAGTCTCGTCTCTCATCTGATCATTGCCACGGTTGGTAAAATTGTAGCATAGCTCCGAAAAAATGTTTCTTACCAATTCAGTAGTATTCAGCTAGTCCTGTATCGTCCTACAAAGATCCGCTTCCAATACTTCTGGCAGATTCCAGAAGGAATAGGGGATACTATTTCAGTTAAGCCTTAAAATAGGACCGCATGTGTTCGATTAGGTTAAGACCAAGGACTATACCCGGCCAATATAGGGTCCTTCCCCACATTCATCGACTCCACACTCCTTAGTGACCATTCTCATGTGTTTGATTCCGCTGTCATGTCAGAAGATGGACTCATCTTTAACCATCCATACCGCACTCTTCAACTGATGTCTGGAGACTATAGTGTCTGAGGCATTTTGCTTGTATGGTAGGTAAGAAATTCCACGAAAAAATTCAACTGGTGTCTGCAGATCCTTTGAGAGAGTATTTTGATGAAGGTTATGAGCCCATACACCCATCAATATAGCGATATAGTGAATATCACTTTATGACATACAGGATTATACCTTGACATTGTACCTAATTACAGCAATTTGGCAAGACACTGAAGGTGCATCACGCCGGAGACCATCGATGGCAAAATTTTTTGAGTGTGTACCGAAGAAAAAAAAAAAAGAATCACCGGCATAGTGTTTAAATGTGAACAGAAAAAAGGCTGTCTCTTCTCAATAGCAAAGTTTGGTTATTTAAATCAATGATTACCACAATTGTCCCACTTCGAGAATGATCTGATTCGATAAAGGAGAGTGGAGGAAATATCCAAAGAAAACAAAGTGAAACAGTAAGGCATTTTTGATAGGCAGTGTATCGCATTAAAATTTAATGTATTTTGTGATTATATACAAATATAGTAGTAAATCATAATAAGGTTACAAGCGGTGGTTGTCGACAGCACCCGAAGTGTTGTATTGGCCGGGGATTTGAGTACCAGCTGCGGTCGTGGTGGCACTATTGGGGTTATAATTACAGGGAACATGGGTTCCAGCAGCAGTTGTGGTGCCTGGAGCACCCATTGCCGGGACCGTCTTGTCAGTGTTGTGAACGGGTGCAGTTTGGTGCACGTTGTTTGCGTTGACAGGTACTGTACTGTTGTTGGTGTTAATGGGGGCGCCATTGTGGGGGTGTTGCGCGTGCTGACCGACAACAGGGTTGTGGACATGCTCAGCAGCATGAGCTGTCGGAACAACACCAGCCGCTGTCGGGGGAATATTCTGGCTGAATGTAGGAACATTGGTAGTTCCAGTAGGGCCGGCAGGGGCAGGGTGCTGAACACTAGCGGTATTCAACCCCCCAATAGCACCAGCAGCAGCGCCAGCGGTAGCGGCAGTGCCATGAACATTGTGATGGTGGTCATTACGCAAAGGGTCCGCGTGGTTGTGGTGGTCTTTACTAAGAGGATTAGCGTGGCTGTGAGGATCCTTGTAATCGGCGTGATGGCTATTCACAGGAAGAGTAGAGGCAGGGGCGCCAGCCTGTGAGTTGTAGGCACTGTAATCAACCGTATTGCCATGAGGAACAGCACTGCCAGTGTGGGCGTGAGTAGTGTTGTGATGATCAGTGGCGTCGTGGGTCTTTCCTGTAATCTTGTGAACCAAATGACTGGCTTTGTCCTTGATGGTCTCCATGGTGGAAGGCTTGGTGTTGGCTGTTGTCTCGTGGTGATTCATTTTGAAATATTTGTTTTTTGTTGGATATGATTGATAGCCTTTCTGAAGAAGCGAGTAAGCGCTCCTTTTATACCTTTTCAGCATAGCAAACTTTACAACATAAAAAGGACGCGTGGCTCAAGTGGCTCCGGTGCTCTAATGGATAAACACGTAAATACGTCATTATGAGGGGGTTATGATGATCATTGCTTGTAAACAGGAATTATCTATTAACTCGACTAGACACATGAACTACTGCTCAACCCCAAAATTCTTAGAATCACGTCAGATGGTCTAAATGAATAATTAGCCCAGCAAAAATTCTCATTATGACGAGATTCTGCGGCGCTAACAAAAAGCTTGGCATTTTATAGAATATTCATTTTCTATGGCCGATCATAATATGCGCCCTCACTAGCATCATCATCGCCATCGTCATCTTCCTCTACATCATCATGACTTAGATTTCCCATTTGATTATGGTCATGGCTGAGTTTGCGCCCATGTGAATCATCCATATAATGATCAGAATAATATTGTCTGTCGTCATCTGTGTTCTCCATCTGAGCATCAAGTGAGCGATTGCCATTGTGTAAATATTCTTCATCGTCGTGCCTGTGCTGAGTTTGGTGATCGCGATCATCGTCACCATTACCGTCTTCGTCAAGACCACCATGACCTTGATGCTCGCTCTCTATCAGCTCATGTTCAGCCGCAGAGTCCATGTCCACGTCCACGTCCACGTCCACGTCTATACCCACGTCCACATCTGCGTCACCGTCATCCTCCTCCTCACCAACACTGCCTTGACTTCTCCTCGAGACACGGTGAGAATGATCTTTTAGGATATTACCACTCATCTCACTACCATCATAGTCATCTCGCCTATGTCCATATCTCTGAGGGGTTGCTTGGCCATCTATCGTCATTGAAGAGTCATCTACAGTCTTCGTAGCCGCTTCTTGTAAACCACGTTCGAGAACAGCCTGCTCAGAGACCCATAGCTCAACTTCATCCACAAGATCAATCAAACATTCTTCGATCAACTTCTCCTCCCACCTGGAAGACATTGGCTGCCAGATATATTCCTCCTCAAAAACAGGTCTACCTTCAGCCTCAGCCTCGGGATCCTTGCTTGGGGGGAATCTAAAGTTAGGCCCAAAATTAGCCGTTGCAGTCCCGTTCCGGTACACTGAAATAGCTGGATAGTATCCTAGAGTGCCATCATCAAATCGAAGTTGTTCTTTCTCCTTTGCGTTCTGTTCGATCGGCAAGAGTGCAAATAAATCCTGCGCCATAACGCCTTGACAGACGCCATTCTTATAGATAATGATTTTTGATCCTGGAATGACAGGTGGGGGGATTGGCTTGTCCAGGCTGGTTTTGACAGGTGTTGCTTCGTACTCTGCCATCTCGATATATCTCTTAGTTGGCGAATAATCTACTGATTCAAAGTAGAGCTGCCCTTTAAAGTAAAATGGTCTTCGAAGTCGACGATGTTTGAAGAAGGACTTCTCGTTGCCATCAGGAGGCAATGAAATGTACAATCCTATCACATCACCCGTTTTGAACGCCTCCCCAAATGGCATCACTCGCGACATGTGCACTTTCTCACCCGTCGTATCTCGTATTCCATAGCTATATGCGTCAAAGCCAACTGGCGCTTGCAATGTTGCTATGTAGGATATAAGAGAGAAATTAGATGATTCAATCGACGATATATCGCTGCGATGGGAAACATGCAGTCGTATTATATATATATATATATATATTCATGTATAATGATACCTTCACGTCTTGCCCAACCAAGTCGAACGTGTGCACCATCACGCCCTTCAAACCGTGGTTCTCCACCTCTTTCAACGGTGACCTCGTAAAACCATTTCCCCTCACGCACACCACAGTTAGCACGAACCATACGAAAGCCCTTCTCTGTTGTAATAGTCATACACTCCTCGTCAACCAGCATATACGGGCTCATATCTTCCCTGCTAAGGCGTACTCCAGACAAGACTGGGTTGGCTGTCTGACGGTAAAGCATGTACTGCAGCAGCGGATCTGGCTCACAGGTGACGTACTTAAAACGGTGACGATTGTAAGGATGTTCGTTAGAGGTGCTGAAAGGCGCCAAGTTTTCGCCGCTCTTCGTGGGAACTACTGTGTTGGGAAGGGGTATATATGTAGTTGGTGGAATAACTGGCGGTGTTGCTGGATGACGGTTATTACTGGATGCTGAACTCTTTGACTTTTTTTCTGATCTATTAGTCGAGCCCTTTTTGTTGGTTGGTTCTTCTTGCACCCCAGTGACTACGTTGCTCTTCCTTTTTCCTTCGCGTGGTGTCTTTGATACTAACTTTGATCCTGGTGACTGATGGCTCTATATAACCGGAGGACATATACAATAAGCATAAACGTTCAAATTAATTGTTCCTGAATAAAAAGCCAGTTAAACTCGTACCGTAATATGTCCTGGCTTTATATCCCAAAGGTTTGATTTGACTAAACAAAAATCCGATGATGCCGAACGTGCCTGTTCATCTGTTGCAGCAAATACATCCTTAGAAATATACAAACAGCTTCCGAGTGTTGCCCACCAAGTCTGAGTCCTGCTCCGGTCGGTACAAAGAGCCTTCCAATGACGATCAACGTATGGCAAAATGTGGTCTTTCTTATTGAAATAATAGCGATACTCATTCCAGTCCATAAAGTCAGCATTGACGGACCACATATTTTCTTCATTGGGTGTCTTGCTAGGTCCTGAAACCTGAGAATTCTTAGCCTCCTTGAGATACTCCTGAACGACAAGGTTGGCGATAGTGGTGGCGCATATCTCTTTCCATCCTGCAGTAACACGTTCAAAAAATTCAGAGATACTTCCAGGCTCCTGATGCTGCTGATTCCTACCAGTAGGTTTAACGACACAGACTTTGCATAGAAATTTGTAGTTGGTGATAAATGGTACAGCTGGACCAATATCCACCTCTATACATGAAGCATGGAACCAGTTCTGGCAGCCTATAGATCCCAAGAGTAGGGCCTGATCAGCCTGGTAATACATTAAAACCTTTCGTTTCTGATGTCCAAAAAAAAAAAAAAAAAAAAAAAAAAAGAATTACAAATCCGAGTACCTTTACACTGTAATGACAGTTCATCTAGTCGTCTATCATGTCCACAATAGCAATAGCGCCCTTCGCGATTGATGGTGTGGGCAGCATTCCAGGTGAGTTGCTGGGTATTGTAAGAAGCCATGGATGCTTGCCGAGTAGCTCGTTGGTACACACGATCAGACGAAGTTGATGAGGTCTTGTTGAATAAATTTGATCACCTGATGTTTCCTTTTATTAAAGACTTCGCTTTTCTCCATTTTATTCCTTGTTTCAGCTTTTATCTCTTTCTATTGTCTCCCATTCACTTCTCTTTTTACAACTTCCCATCTGAAACGAATATGACGGATATTTTGCGCCACTCTGGCTCATTTCAAAGTGCGGGGCCTCTAAACAATATGCTTGGAAGGCAGGTTACTATCCGGTCGGCGCGATCTTTACGTGGAGTGCTTCCAAGAAACGGTATTATCCTTGGCTCGGATTCTGGAGAATACGATCACCCTAAGATGTCTTTGTTTGAATGTGTCAAGACTATCTTATTCGCTACTAGGATCAATGTGTTGTTGATATTCATATTTCTGGGGATCATGGCAGTCAAGTTGAACTGGGCACCAGAAACAGTTTTTCTCCTAAACTTCATTGCTATCATCCCTTTGGCTAAACGTATGTATGCTTTTGCAGTATCAATCTCTTCGTTTGACAGCGTTAGTCCCCATTATCACTAAAACTATGTGTTTACCGTTCATCTCAGTACTTGGATACGCAACGGAGGAAATTTCAATGAGACTGGGAGAGGTAATCCATACAGTCTCAAATACGCCTTCTTTTTGCCTGATTCTCTGTTACTTATCCTTTCTTCTTTTCTTCTATTTCCTTTAATCTGATCTCAAACGTATCAGAATCTCGGAGCACTACTAAATGCCTCTTTTGGAAATGCCATTGAGCTGATTTTGTCAGTTATTGCTTTAAAGGAAGGCAAGATTGATGTTGTCCAAGCATCTATCCTTGGATCTATACTCTCTAACTTGCTTTTGATAAGAGGAAAATGATCAGAAGATCTCCACTCGGACACATTGGGGTACACAAAATATTTAGTTTTTTTTTTTTTTTTTTTTTTTTTTATAAATCTACTTTCATACCACGCTTCCCTGCTTAAACAGGTGCTTGGGTTCTGCTTTGTTTTTGGAGGTTATTATTATCAATCGCAAAAATTCAATCAAACCGCTGCCCAGATGTCGGCCTCACTACTTTCGCTCGCTTGTATGTCTTTGTTAGTCCCGGCTGCATTCGTGGCCGCTACCGACGAAGCTGATCAGACACATAGTATCCAAATCTTATCAGAAGGAACCTCAATCGTGCTCCTGGCTGTCTATGTCTTATACCTGGTTTTCCAACTCAAGACTCATACTCACCTCTATGTAAATGAAAATGAGGAAGAAGAGGAAGCTGTACTTCCACTCTGGGCAGGAATCGCCTTACTCTTAGTGGTTACTTTTGTAGTTGCGCTTTGTGCAGAGTACTTGGTAGGATCCATCGAAGGACTTTCTGAGTCATGGGGTACAAGTCCTACATTTATCGGTCTGATTCTGCTACCTATTGTTGGCAACGCAGCAGAGCATGTCACGGCCGTCACAGTGGCCGTGAAGAATAAGATGGACTTGGCTATTGGTGTTGCTATTGGATCATCAATGCAGATTGCATTGTTTGTCACACCACTCATTGTCATCATTGGCTGGATCATCGGTCAACCCATGACCCTTTTTTTCAACACGTTTGAGACTTGCGTTCTGTTTGTCTCAGTCTTGATCGTCAACTATCTCATACAGGACGGCGAGTCAAACTGGTTAGAAGGCGTCATGTTGCTTAGCACATATATAGTTATTGCAATTGCCTTCTATGTTTATCCTGCAACGCCACATCATTAGTACATGCACATGAATGTCGGATTCGACGTGTGAAGCTCTTAAAAGTCGTAACAGGCTGAATATTTTATGCTCAGTTCAACTCGAAGCGATGAATTCCAGAGGATTCAGTGGATCCTTTTGTAGGCTTCTCCTTTCGTCCTTTAGTTACTTCGCTTTAAAGTATCCCTTCATCTACTTCTGTATCAAACTGCAATAATCTCAAGTCTTAATTAATTGTTCGCGCTTCAATTTTATGTAGAATGGGGTTCTTTAGGCACAGGTCGAGCATTTTGCCATATATAATTACCTTAATTTCTAGTGATTCTCTATTCCACAATTTTACGCATTCCATTTGATGGATCCTATCATTGTCCCTTTGAAATATCCGAGCATATTGAAGAACCCAATAGCACCGTACTCTCAGGACAACCAATCCACTTACTCTACCATGTACAAGAGTCACAAAGAATGACTCGAAGGCCATTGGCGAGGAGTTTGAGGAGAAGAGCAATGGATCAACATACACTATGATATCAAGGAGCTTTAGTCTTCATACTACGCAAATCCCCATCCGCAGTTCCCTTCACAGTAAAACATAAAATATACCAATGAATGAGAAATAAGTATATATCTCAACTTTCAGAATCAGTGCTGGCTGATGACACGTCGGTGTATGTGGCATGCATTTTTTTTTACACATCTTGGGACAGATGGAGGAATAATTTTGAACATGCAATGTTAATTTATTACTTGACTTTGAGATCAACTTTCCATGTTAGGGTGAGTTTTACAACGGTCTCGAAAGCGGCATTCTTAATTAAGACCTCGTTGACCAACTTTGTGATATCCCTATCATTAATCGGTGATACAACGGAGCTTGCAGTAAGAAGTCCACGCGAGACTTTAATGTACTACGAATATGTTTCAAAAATATGAAGCGCGGATATCTCGTTAGATGTGATTAAATCGGTCATTAATATAAATATATGTATATATATTTTAAAACTCACTTCGGCATGAATATTGGTAAGAATGGCCCTATCCTTCTTGCCCAAGAGGGTAAATACTGCGAGGCCGCCAACTGTTTCTCCAAAGGTAACTAATGCAGCTGCATGAACACATCTGAATGGGTTTGAAATATTTTTGGTTTCCTTTGGTTGAAAATAAAATGGAGAATTAAAATCCACATTCAACAATAATAAAACCTATTTTAAAAAACTCGTATAAAGCATACCTTCATAACACCACAGGCTTTGCCCTTTCTCAATTCCGTAATGCGGAAGTTAATGGACCTGGAATATGGGTTGGCGAAACCAGCGACAGTTGAAAAGATCCAGCCTCTCATACGGATGGGCAAGAGTCCAACATTGTTGAGGGCATCCCAGACTTGCAGGGGATCTCTCAAAGAACCCAGTTTTTTAGCAATAAAGAAGACGCCAGCGATCAGTCCTAAAAGGACCACGGATGCAAGGACGAGTGTATGATCCATTTATGCTTTCACTTTTGTGTTGTTTGTGATGTGTGCAAAGTCGTAGAGTATGTTAGTAGTGATCAGATCATATAATGTATTGCAAAATAGTTTTTGTCCTCTTGTACAATCACCAGTTAAATCTACATTCGAGCACCACTTACCACGGGAATGAATGTGTAAGACAGGGCAGGAAGATGAAGAACCTGCCGTGCGATGGTTAAAGTAAGAAGCTTACATGACCTGATCTCTCTTTTAGGAGGCAGAAGCAAGGAAACGTGCACGTGTTGACTCCATTGAGTTTCCTTATTATTTTTTCTCTCCAAGAGCCTCATCTCTGTATTCAATTGACTCTTCCACTTTTTATTCACTTTTTACGACCAAGACTATGGCAACTGAAACCCAACTCTCAGTACTAACACTTAACTGCTGGTAGCGTAATATCCCGCAAGCGACTTTGAAAATCTTGATGCAATCATTTCAAAAAAAAAAAAAAAAAAAAAAAAAAAAGCTGAAGCATGCTTTAGGCTATTCTTTTACATTTTTTAATATTTTTGCTATCTTTATCACCTCAATTTGACAGGGGCCTTAAATTTATCGCCAAAGATCGACAGGATCGCTTGACAGCCATTGGCCGCTATCTCGCAGATCCCGCACGCAGCTATGACATTGTTGGCTTACAAGAGGTCTGGGTATATGATGATTACTTACGTATCAAGGACCTTGTCCGAGACACTTTTCCTTACACGAAACATTGGTACTCAGGGGTCCTGGGTTCTGGGCTGGTGATTCTATCAAGATTTCCAATTGTGAATACAACGATGCGTAGATTCGCATTGAACGGCGACCCATTCAAGTTTTATCATGGAGATTGGTTTGTTGGCAAATGTTTTGTTAGTGCCATTGTCATGCATCCAACATGTGGTGAAATTGAGGTCTTCAATACTCATGTAAGTGGGCTTTTTTTTTTATATTTTTGTTTGGTTCTGTGCTTTGTGCCGTTGTTCATCCATAATTTACTATCCATAATAGCTTCATGCGGGATATGATAAAGTAGGCACCCCGGATTCTTATCTAGGTTGCCGTGTTGGTGAAGCCTGGGAGATGGGGTCTGTTGTCAAAGCTGCTACGACTCAGGGTCGCCATGTTATTTCGGTAAGCGATTATTTTCTTTTTACCAGTGGTATTTTTTAACACAATTCCCTCTTGAGTAAACATTACCCATGTCACCTGGTTATTGCACGTTAATTTTATTCATCACCCCTATTTTAATTATAGTTAGGTGACTACAATAGTGCACCTAACAGTCTGGTTGTACAACTCCTGACCAAGAGAGGAGGCTTGACGGATTCATGGAACAAAATCCACCCTGAACCTCGCAACCCAATTCCTAAAGGCCTCACACCTGAAGAAGGCGTTTCTATCATGGGCGTAACCTGTGATACTCCTCTTAATACATGGTCAAAGCACACTTGGCTCAACTACTTAACCAACGACCCCATTGGTGAACGGCTCGACTATATCTTTTACAAAGAGACCCCAGAGATGATATGTAACTCCGTCGAAGTTGCAGTTCGTGAACAAGTCTCTGGAATTGGAGCATCCAACTCAGGTGTCAAAAACTATAGTGACCATTTCGGCGTTCATGCTAAATTCTCTATCAAGCCTGCTGTCTATCATTTTCAGGATCGGGTTTTGCCAGATGCTTCAGTATATGCACAGGATAATGTAACCACCCTTCCGTCGGATGCCTTAACTATCGACACTCTGGAAGAGATTCTATTAATTTTGAAGCAGCATAGCAACAAAGCCAAGGCTCGGTCAAAACTCGAGTTGACGGTCATTGTGCCACTGGCTTTGATTGTAACCTTTGGTTTGATTATCGCCTTTTTCTGGATTCAACCTCGCTGGGTCGCATTCATTATGGCGCTGATCCTCAGTGCATTTTCTTCTGGCTGGATTGTACATTTCCTATATGGTTTCCTGTACGGAGGAGAGACTGCTTCTTCCTTTACAAACACGATCCAGGAGGTCCAGACTGTTTTGGACTACAAGCTTCTGACTGAGCATGGCTCGAATTCCGTCAATGGAATGTCAAGGGGTAGCAGCAACACTCGATATAATGCTCATAGTCACCGACAAAGTCTTTTGCAAAAATGAGGCAACTCTGCTCTCCCCTTTAGGACGTTGGGAGAGGGCGCAATTCGACTCACTTGATACGAAAGAAATAGGAAGCACACTCCACTAGTCTAATATGTGATCATCATAATACCCAGTGATATATTTTATTTTGTATCTGTTCCGAATTTATTATTTCTTCATTCTGGTATGTGTTGATGCCAACTTTTTTTTTTAGTATAGTGTTGCAAAAAAGACCTTAGGTGTTGTCTAAGCTTGATTTCTGGACCTCTCTACTTCAGATACTTTCAGCTCTGCAGCAGCCAAAAGTCCATCCCAAGATAAGAACACTTCCGACAATGTATTAATCTATCAAAAAAAAAAAAAAAAAAAAAAAAAAAATTAGTGTGTGATGATGACCAGAATAAAATTTTTTTCTTCTTGACAAAGATGAGCATTTTACAAGGCTGTTGTAATCATCGATGAGCTTGTTAATTTTGTCCGAGACATTATTGGTTTCTTGAAGCTGATTGACATGGATAGTTTCAAGCTTGGATAGAGCAGGGTAATGAGATTCGATGTCTAAATAACAGTAACAATTAGGACAGTGTCTATGATGGAAAAAAGAACAGATGCTTCCCTGCTACAACAAGTTCTTTTCTTCTTTTTTAATCAGACGGATTTCTTCTTTTTCAACTTTTATGAATACCCCTTACTTTTGAGTCCTCCGATTTCAGCACAAGGCTGTAAATTCTGAATTTCTTTGGATTCCTCTGATAACTTTTGAAGATCCTCTTGAGCAGCAAAAATTAATTCTGTCTTTGCTTGCAGCGTTAGCAATTCTCGATCCGGATGACTATCATATGGATTATTAATTAGTTTGGATGATTCATCTATTGATATAGAGTATTGAAAAAAAAGTCAGACCAGTTCAGGAGATTATACTCAGCATATCTATTTCTTTTATGCATAGAACTATGACATATTCTGAAGATTGCGAGAGATGCACATACACTTTTGTAAGAATTCATCGATAGTTTTACGTTCTTTTATAGCCGCCCACAGTTTTGTCTCAGTTTGCTGGACCCGCCTTGAAAGCGAACCTGGAGTATGGTTGACGTTGTTGGGCTGGCGATGATGATGGTGGCCGTGCCTATTACTACCTTGATGGTGACCCTGTTGATGAGGTGGTGATGACGAGCCAACATCGTCTTTAGAAGCTTCTTCAATAGGACTCTCAGTTTCAGCGGCAGTCATAATTGCTTTGGAAGTTGGTGGAGGGGCAAGCAGTTTTTCAATTGCTCGAATACGTTGAGCAAGACTTTCCAAGTCTTGAATCTGAGGGTCCTGGCTTTCTTCCATGGCGGGCAATGATGCTGTGGGTGTTCCTGCGTTAGATGCTTGGGCCACAAGCATTAGCGATGTTTTTTTTTTGTTGCAAAGAATTATAATTAACTCAATGTGTGGATGGCCGCGAGTTCAAAAGCGAATTATCTGAACAGTTGTCCTGTGCGAGACCCAGGAACATACTCCACCCGTGATTTGTATGCTCTGTGATTTATCACACATTTTATTTGTGTAAATTTAAATGCTCACACTCATCTTTATTCGATCCTTAAGCGCCTTTTTTTTTACATGAAATCGTCAAACTCATCATAATCGTTGCTATAATCCTTAGTATCGATAACAGTATCGACTTTGGCAGTTGCCAACGATGGCTTATTGCTACCCTTCTTCTTGGTCTTTTGAGCTTCCTTAGCTGCTTTTTGCTTCTCGTTAGCTAAGGTTGTCAAAGTGCTGGCAAACTTGCGAACATCCACATCGCGGACACCCTGGGAAAGTTCGCGGAAAAGACCCTCCAAGAACGAAACATAGAGTCCTTGTTTCTGTTACAAATGAAAGTAGAAGAAGAATGGAAACGTTAGGAGAAAAAAAAAAAAAGGTGTAAAGTAATTCTTTTAGCAAGCTGTGCTTCATTCTTCTTTGACCATCTTCTTACTTCATGCTTCTGGATAAGGGCGACCAACTCTGTGGTAAACTCAGCAAACTGTTCCTTGGTCTTGGGCTTCATAGTTTCCAACTTGCTAGCAGAAGTGACGACTATAACCGGACATAACAAAACAATATTAAGTGTCTAAACCATTGTTGACTTGCTTTTTTTTTTTTTTTTTTTTTTTTTTTTTTACCTTCATCGGTGACTTTAACACCGCTAAAGAGATCAGCAGCATTTGCAATATCCGACTCAATAATAGCATTCTTTTCACGCTGGCGACGCTCAAATTTCTCCTCTTCGGTTTCATTCTCGGGTACAAGCTATAAGTAGTTGTTCAGCACAAATATTATATTAAAGATGTTAGGAAACAGGGGTTATGACCCTATACGCTTTTTTTTTTTTTTTTTTTTTTTTCCCTAAATGAAAACTTACAGCCCTCTTTTCCAATGCAGCCTGCTTCTTACGTTCGGCTTCGGCATTGCGCTGAGCAATCTTCTCAGCCAAGGTTAGTTTAGGGGGCTTTGCAACAGGGGCCTTGACCTCAGGTTCAGATTCAGACTCACTGCTGGCATCCCAGTCTTCCTGTTGAGAGATAATAAAAAATGTGTATATATGAGCCACGCGTTATATATTAGCTCTTGATATACAATCATCGGTATGATGCATTTGATTGTATGGTCCTTCCATCAATGGAATTCCCTAATATAAGAAATGCAGTCCTCTGTTTTCCATGACCATGAACTTGTGATCCTGCAGTGATTTGAATATCTGTAATGTTTTAATTGTTAAAGCAATAGATTTTCAATGTCGAGAATGATATTGGGCATTCCCGGAAGTCGCGTCTATCAATTTTTTTCTTTTTTAGAAGAAATGAAGGACTGTCAGATGCCCATGTCAACGAACCTTGACGTCGTCCTCCTCGACATCCTCGTCATCCCACTGCTTCTTTGCGGGAAGAACCGGTGCTTCAATAACATCGTCCTTTTCTATAATCGTATAATGGATTACTCAAATTAGTGTATTGATCTCGAGCAAATATGCAGATCTAAATATCTACACAATCCCTATCCATATCGTCAATATGAATAAAAATGCAGGTTATTTTGTCGATATGACCATAATTGTTTCTTTCTTTTTTTTTTCCTTTCTTTTATATATACGTATATAAAGCATTATTATTTTCGCCAAAGGAAGAATACGCACCCCAGTCAGACATGATCGCTAAGTTTGAATTTGATTAATTGAAAGTAATTAAAGATGAATGACCTTTAAGGTTTGCATGTAATGGTTTTTTTCTTTGTTGATTTTCATAGTTGACAGCCACATAGATATAAACTTAAGGGTACATAGACCGAAACGCCTGCAAAGGAAAAGGAACGCTTTCTCACACGTGCTGAAAGGAAGAATAGGCTCATTGCACAACAACGTGCAGCCATACGGTGGCAAAACGATGGATCGTCTTGATGTAAAAGATAGGAGAGTACACACTTACAGTACAAGAAATACCCTTTTCCAATAATTGCACTACCTGGCGTTTATTTTAAAGTGAACTCTTCTTTCCGCTCCTGCTCTTCGATCAAACCATGTAGCCTGTCCCTGCACAAGTTCTCTTATTATCTTGACTCCTTTTAACTTCACCCTATCTCCACCCTTACATTTCATGACATGTTTTTTGTCCATGGAACGTCTTTTATCAAACTTTGCTTTCTCCTTACTCTCATCCCAATAGCCACAGCCACCAAAACCCATCCGATATGCCAGAGATGCCCAGTGTGTATCTCTTGATTGTCATCCAGCCAGAACGCACTCATCAATCTAACATTACCATTCCTAGAAGAAAGGCTGCTGCACCTATATAGGTGCCTATTATTACTTCTCCGCTAATGACGACGATAAAGATCAGCTTTTGAATGATAGAGTATGTAATGCTAATAGTCAATAATCGGTCGAAAGCTGCTACTACCTATTGATCTGAGATTGCGGCTACGAAAGGATGTGGATGTATCCCTTTGCTTACTCTGATGACTGAGTCCTTTACCGAGTCTCGAAATTATTCTTTTACATTATACGCTAACAGTGGATATAAAGGTGAATCCTACTTTTAACTGTTTAAACAGCATTATGCAGTTGAATCTATCATACTCACTGCCAGTATTCGTATCATCCAAGGTCTTCTTGCATTCATTCCTGCCCCTATACACCTGTCAGATCAACCTTAAGTATTTTTTAGGATGAATATGGGCCTGGAAGCATTTTTAGCTGGTGACTGATGGCGGTATGCGCCATAAATCCGTGACTTATAGTTTTATAAAAAAAAATATAACCATCATGTTCTTTTATGTAAATAAAGACCCCTTTGTCAGATTTGATCTAAGAAAAAAGAAAGTTTACTCAGACCAGCGATTTTGAGGATCTACTGGAATTCTCACGGAGCACTGGTTTTAACTGGTCTTAACCAGTTAACAACCAGTTTAATCGGTTCTCACTGGTTAAATCGGTTAATTTTTGCTAATCAGGGTGCACTAAAACTGATTTTTTTTTAGGTATCTCACACTAAGACTGACAAAGTGGTTTGTGCTGTGTAGAAATAACGAAAGACTACTTCCTGCACGTGCCTCGGTTCTAAAAGAGGCACAGAAGCTTAAAAGAGATCTTTCATGTTCTGTGAGATTCTTTTTTTTTTTTTTTTTTTTTTTTTTTTTGGCATTCAAAAAAAAACACACGCACGTATTAGAAAAGTAAACATGGACGTGACTCCGCAGAGCATTGCCGCCGCTACAGCTACTACCACTACCCTAGAACAGGCAGCCGAACTTATGACGGCACCTCTAGAAACACCTGTGCGCTCAAACAACAGAGCGAAACGAAACTACCGTATCAAAAGCCGAGACAGCAACTTGGAAGACGAGGATGGGAATCGGGACGGGGATCAGGATATAGATCAGACAGATGGTCCTGCGCAGTTGAATCAGCAGGAGCAAGCCTCTTTAGATTCTTTGACATCGTCATCCCCATATATTCAATCTCAAAAGGCTCAAAATATCGCAGAAGTTTATCCTGGCCTAGCAAGGCTCAGTTTCTTGGATCAGGATCAAGATCAAGGTTTGGGCAAGGGTAGTGACGGCGGAAGCGTGAATTCTTTCACAAATGTCTTGGAAACTAAAAAACAGAGACGTCCTTTCCAACAACAGCCTACTATGTCTCAAATTACCATTGAGGATCCCGATGACATTTCTAAAGTTGAAGATCAGAAGGAAAAAGAGATGCGGTCATTGAGCACAAGTTCGACCTCTACTTCGACCTCATCGAATGCAAAGTCAAAAGCCGTAGCCGTGCCCCCAGTGACTTCTCCAGCTGCTATGTCGTCAAAGTCGGGATCAGGATCAGGATCAAGTCTGTTTGAAATTAGAGAAACCGAATTGGAAGCCAAAGGCAGGGGTATCTTCTCAGCTGCTAATGAAATTCTTAAACCAGGTACACTAGTCTTCAAGGAGCTCGGATACTGCCAGGTTGTGGATGATGAATCTCTCTCACAAGTGTGTTCTACTTGCTTCAAGGACGTGAGGGATGAATTGGGCGAAGATGAGGCTTCTTCAGCCAGCGTAAACGGACAAAAAAAGCTTGTCCGGTGCGCAGGATGCAAAGTAGTGTGGTACTGTAACAAGGTATATCACTAGCAAGGGCTGCCAAATATTCTGCTTGTAGCTCGCTATGGTATTTTACGTATCTAATTTTTTTTTTTTTTTTTTTTTTTATTACACTATTATGCAGGCGTGCCAGATCAAGGATTGGAAACTACACCATCAATTGGAATGTCAGGGTATCCAAAGATCAATGTCAAGCCCAGTTATGAAGGAGATCTGGACGAAACGCACTATTAATACAACTATCGCCAGAGCTCTCTGTCGATTGATTCGCCGACGCGAGCGCGTCAAGGCATCGAAAGCTTATAAGGTGGAACATGGAAAGATTGATAATTCCCAAAAGCAGGTCAATGAAGTGTACTTTTCTGGGCTTGATCAAAAGGAGGAAGAGTGGCTCGATGAATATGGATCTACATGGATTGAGCAATACCTTCGCACCTATGAGCAGGAGAAAACACCTGTAGCCGCAACTGCAACCAATAGTTCTTCACTGGGGACATTAGAGGAATCAAGTCCATTAGCAAAAACTCTTGCCATTGTTATGTCATGTGTAGTAACACCTACAGAAGATCGAAATGTATTTTTAAAAAGCGTAAGAGAACCCTGCGTGAACGTCGAATCAGCTAGTGGTGATAGTGCATTGGATCTTTTACGAAAGTTGAATTCATATGGGTTCGCCATCACCAACATGGAAACAACTACAGCTGTCGGTCTAGCATTGTATGTTCAGTGCATACCATTTATGAATCACTCATGCATACCCAACTGTGTTTACACATTCCGAGGTTCCCGAGTCGAATGCCGAGTCATTCGCGATATCCAGCCAGGAGAGGAAGTAAGGATAGCTTTGTAATGTTGTAAATATTTGAGCTTCAAGCTTTGAGTGTGATAACAAAGCAGAAAACTGGTTAATACTTTGTATCTGTTCGCATTTAACAGTTGACAATTAGCTATATTGACCAGATCGGTACTACACAAGAGCGACAGAAACAACTGAAAGAACAATATCGTTTCACCTGTGATTGTCCGTTGTGTAAATATTATCCAGCCAATCCCCTGGCCCAGCCTGAAGATGGCCCATTGAGGCAAATCATTGCGGATCCACTATTTGAACCTAGGCTTGACCCTAAACAAGGCTTTGTCTGCTCTAACCTTTCATGTAAAGCTATCAACGGACCGAAATCAATCCTAGCTATTGATTCTCAACTTGCAATCTATAATAAGGTGGAGCTCAAATGCAGTAGCTGTGGACATTGCACGGAAATTACACAGGAGCTTGTTCAAGAGAATGAGAAGGAAGCACAGAAATTAATAGCAGAATTTGTGCGTGAAATGAATGGAGGAGTTGAAAGACAAATACCAAAATCAAACTCAAGGAACTTTGAATTGGCGAAAGTGAAGGCATCTTCTTCAGAAACACCATCTGAAGATACAAATAGCATGGAAAGGAAACCTGCTACTGCAGTCATTGGAGGTTTGAAGACAGTCCGAGAGCCATCTGCACGAGCTCTGAAGAATTTTCAGGATGCATTCAAGGTGATCACAGGAAGACCAACAAGTGACTCCGAAAAGGCAGTACCAGCTATTGATTCAGCACAAAGCATCTGTCGTAGCCATCTTCATCGACTTTCGCGCCAATTGATACAGATTGGGTTTGATGAGGCAGTGAGTCACAAGAACTGGGTTTTTGCTTTACATCGATCGATCGAACTGGAGAGATTACTGAACGAGTCATATATTGGCCACCATCCCTTGAAAGCGATCCAAGCATACTATACCTGTAAAATTGCTAACCTGTTGGCGAATTTGCTTTTGGAGGAATCTACTGTTGAGATTGAGGATAGTGAGGAGGAAAAGGATAAGGATTATGGCATGTTGGACAGCGATGACGAAGCGGACCTCAAGTTACTACGTGATGCAATGCGTAAGAATGGGACCGGATCTATGCAGGAACAACTATTAAGAAGAAAGCGGAAAGAAAATGAAGAGGGATCATCAACAGGGGAAGGAAATGCTGAAGATCGACGCAAGAAGCGTGTACAAGAAAAAGAAGTATCACGGACTCAAATTGAGTCCTCGCAACAGCTACAGCGATATCTCCAGTCACTTGTACCCAAGATTGAAGATCCCAAGATTCTAGTTCAAGTCCGGACATGTTGGGGTAAGGATGGCAAGCTTGGAAGCCGATACCGGTGTCTGATTGACTCGTTGAAACAGGCGCTGCATTATGCAGCATTGCCTTTTGTTTCACAAGAGCAGAAGCAAAAAACAATTTGAAAAGCAATATAAACTCATCTTAATAAATAAATGACCTTGGCATACAATATCAAGGAATCTGTTCAACATTGTAATCGAGGGGAACTTATTGTCAATACACCATTCTGTAATGTAATGCATCTAACAATCTCAGGACTCCAATGACGAAAGAAAGAATAGTATACTACGTTCATAAAATAAAAAATTTAAATTCTAATCACTATCACTGTCGCTGTCGCTGTCTGTCTCAGGCGCCTTGGCCTTGCCCTTGCCTTTACCGCCTGGAGCAGGACCCTTAGTACCTCCACCAATGGCGGCAGCAGCGAGTCCTTGCTCTTTCAACAGCGCCATCTGACCTGCAATCGAGTCCTCATCAGGTTCAGAAATATCATCATCAATCTCAGGCTCGGGTGGCAATTGAGATGCATCTAATACTGTCAAGGTCATGTCCTGCAAGATATCTGAACCTAGGATTGAGTCTGACTTGATGAACAGGTTGAATGAGTACTGGCCAGGATGAGGAGGCGCCTGAAATTGAACGCGGACACTGCTAGGGGTTGAGGTAATATCCGTGACCTTGGTAGGAGGAACAACGATGCGATTATTCTTATGATCACCCAAAATCACCCACCAGAAAGGCTTCTTCTCGCCAGGGAAGTAGGGTGCATGGACAGCAGGAGCAGTGGCTTTAACCTTATTTTTGGGCTTGATGTTACCATCCTCATCCTCCTCACTATCCACGTCACCTTCGAACAGAGCATCGACATTATCCTTTGCAGGCTTAACAGGTTCTTCTTCCTCATCCTCGCCAGGAACAACAGCGCGGACCTTCAAGACAAATGTGCATAAAGATCCGGGGGTAATGATGTTGTCACCAGCAACTAAAAAAAAAAAAAAAAAAAAAAAAAAAGATTGAATATAATGTTAGTACTTGACGAATAAATATGGAAAGTGACAAGGGATTATTGGGATAGGATACCTTTGAAGAACGCCTTAAGAACCTTCAGTTCAGGATATTGCTTAGCAACGGTAGCGACCTGGTCAACTTGATCATCAGTAATGTTTCCTTTGAGTAAAGCAACACGGTCCTCGCGGTCCAAGTCCATAAATCGGCTAACAGTTTTGATCTGGCTTTTGCCTTTGAGCGCCTTGACGGCATCGACATTGATAAAAGGAAGCTGCTGAAGAGGAGAGTCGTGGAAGTAAAGTCCTTGAACCAAGATTTGCGACATCTCCATGAGGGACAAGGAGACTGAGAGCCATTGACGAGCAGTTGAAATCTGAATCATTCCATGAATTAAGTGCAGAGTCTTGACGATAATATCAGCTTGATCTGAGGAGATAATTCGAGAGGATGAAAATACGAGAATGTTAATATGAGCAAGAATTTTTTTTTTTTTTTTTTTTTTTTTTTCAGCTGAAAGTCCAAATCTCCAAATGATCATCATCGTTTTTCTTTTAAATGCTTTGATTTGCATACCTTGAGCAAGATCTTTGTCTTCGACAGCCATGTTCAAAGTATGTGCATACAAAAGCGTTAAAGCCTTCAAGGCAGGAAGGTTCATAGTCTTCTTCGTGTACTCAAACTTCTCGCCATTCCTGCTCTCAAGCGCTTTGTTCACCTCAAGACAGAGCTTCTCCAGTGCAGCTTCATCTGTTGGTCGGCTCACGATATCCTCCTTGAATTCATCGGCAAGAGCCAAAATCTCAACGATCTCTTTGGGGCTACTTGTTTCCTTGATCTTCTTGAAAAATGTTCCCATGGTTTTAGTGCGGATCTTATCCTTAGTAAAGTTTCCAGAACGGTACCACCACTTTCCGATAAAGTAAGGAAGCATCAGTCCACAGACAATACCATAAGCAGACAAGACCCAAAAATTGTTGTGAGCTTCTACCAGCCAGGGTGGGAGTGCAATGCTCATGGTCATTGAGCTTCTACTACCATCAGGATGTCCGTATTTTTCCCAATTCTCGCGAGTTGCATCGTCAGTCAGACTATTAATCCAGTAAAGAACAAAATGAAAACACCCTCGTATAAGTATGATATAGATACTGTAGAACACATGAAAGAAGTAGGATCAAAACTAGAGAATGCTTTTAAAAGGGAACTCTATCTCCTTTTATCTTTCGCCACTTACGTCTCGTAAGCTTTATTAATCTCAGCCATCTTAGCATCGGCTTCATCACGTTTGTCAGCCTTGACTTTGTCAGGATGCCAAATCTTACTGAGGCCACGGTATGCTGATTTGATTTGCTTTGGGGTTGCGTTCTAGATGATAGAATGTAGATAAATCAAGGTGATTTTAAGGCAATTAAGGACTCACATCAGACGTTTGTTACTTTTTTTTTATAAAATTGGCCTGGTGCACAGTTGTAAACCTACGTCTGGAATCCCAAGAATGTCAAAAGGATTCCACTTGATGACTTCAGGTGAGGGTGTAATGTATGCCTGATATGCGACGAAAGCAAACAAAGCCCATCCAAGAGCAATTGCAATCATCCTTTTTCTTTCTGGTTAGCACAAGGCGGTTGACTAGATCGAGAAATATATATGTATATATAAATGTTCTGGCTTACTTTTTGACAACACCAGAGGATTTACGGGGTGCAACAGCACGCGAAGCCTTGCGTTTACAGGCATCGCAGGAGCAATGAACCTTTCTTGCAGCAACAACTAAGTATAAAGATGTAAAATTGAGGAATTAAATATTTCGGTGAACAAATCTTCCTTCTCACACTTATATGTAAAAAAAAGAAAAAAAAAAAAGATTCTGTTGCATCTCCAAATATGTCCAAGTCAAAATCTGAAATCAATCAATCAATCTGCTGAGGAATGGTACGACTCATTCCTGTTGTTGATCTCCCGAAATGTCTTTTCCGTGTATGTTTCTCTTGAGTCATAGCCCAATTCAAAGTGGAGTACTCTGTGGTTTTCATTGACAAATAAAATCCTCAAAAATGGCCTCTCCCCCTTTCGCCTTTTCATGCAATTTACCTGTCTTCTTGAAGATAGTTAGATAAGTAGCTGGGAGTAGAATGATAGCGAGGGTTGTCAACACAAAGTAGTTGAAAGTATCCCCATTCTCGTCAAACGTATACTTGGCCATCCTGTTGACTCTTTCAAACTGTTATTAGTTTGATATTCTTATTTGAAAAGAGAAAGAAAGGGAGAGATAAATGTTCGAATATCCGATCAATCCTTGAGGTCCTCTGCCGTGTCAATAGCTCGTGGAATGTGACAGAGCAAACACGGATGAAAAAAAAAAAAGGAACAAAGCAAGAAGCAGGAGAATAAAAAAAAAAGGATGGAGAGAGAAAGAGAGATTACACTAATTGGTGGCCTTTTTTTTCTGTCCATAATGAGAAAGGGCCTATCAGGGGCCAACAGAGGATGCTTCAATCAGCCAATCGCATTGCTTGCTGGCCTTCCAAAGCACTGACACGTCAGAAACCGCCCCTTAAAATAATATTTACTCAAATGCTCCACGTTTCATTGCTTCATTGCTATTGTTATTTTATGCATATGACGATGCTTTTTCTAATGGGTATATTCTATTATTTTTGATTTGATGCTTTTAAAAAATAGAGTGGTCTGCTCAGTCGCCAAGACTTCAAGGCCTGTATGTCTATGGCAGCGCTTCGTCATGACCTTTGACATGATCTGGATGATATTCAGGCCATAGATGATTTACGATATATGCTGTAAAAGTGCTCCTTTCTGTGCCCTGGAATTCACGACCTTTGGCGGCCAAATTAGCATCCATTAACGCTATCATGTAGGGCAACATGTGCACTCCGTCTACAGGATTTCGGATGCTGTCCAGAATTGCAATAGATTCGGTAAAGTCGGATAAGAACATTGTGCACGGATATTGGTCCAAGAGATCTTGAAGTATAGGTGATTCCCGTGGTCGGTGTACGTCTGTCGCCATAAAGATCATAGGTGACTCTGGAGGGGATTCCGCGCAACGTTCCAAAAAGGGAGGCACGGTATATTCCTGTCTTCGCGTTACTACAGGCGAACTTGCTCTAGACATCGTTGCTCTCTTGCCCGCCATATATGTTGTACGGTCTCGCTTAGACATCTCTCCTAACCAGGCGATAATCCTCTGCAAATTTCTGGGCACTAACTTCTCAAAGAATCCATCCTCTGTTCGAAAGTGAACACCCAAGAAGCCTGGGGCAGCTCTTCCGGTTTGGTTCTTCCAAAAATTTATTTGCTCTTCTGCCAGGTTTGTTGCGTCAAGGATTGCCTGGTTCCAGAGCTCCATCCCATGATAAATATAATTTTGAAGAGCCTTATTTTTTTCTGATTGAGCGTCAACCCTGTCAGTCGCGAAAAGCGATCCAAAGTGCAATACCTTCTCAGGCCGTTTCTGAATATCTGTCAGGAGTAACTCACGATCATACCGCCCCAGAAATTCTATCATATGAGGGCTAAAGCCTTGTTTGATCATCTCTTCCCTCTCTCTCTCCAGGCGTTGCTCCTCTGTTTCCGGCATATTTCCATAATCGACCTCGGAATCATCCACGATCCTATATGCATAGCGACTGGTGTCATTGTAAAAATAAACCTCGGTATCCGGGTCCTTGATCTCTAGATGCTCATACAACCAGTCTAGACTCATTACAGGCCTATTAAAAACACGAATGGGTTCCGTCTGACCAGGTACAGCATCCACAACACCGGCCAGGAGCTTGGGAATGTTGTAAAAATACGTCCATGGAGTCACAGTCCAGCTATGATAAAATAGACACTCCCGTTCTGTTTTTCGCTCAATCTCAGTCATCGCCTCACGCTGCTTCTTGGTTTTACGAGGCCAGGCGGATGTATCAATCTCACGACAATACCCGACATCTGTCCTGTTACGTTCAGCCCACTGTTGCAGCAATATAGGTGGCTCTTTCCACAACAAAGCTTGAAGCTTATGGCTCAAATGTAAAGGTGGTAAAAGAAGAGTTCGATTGAGATATGCAGCAAGTCGGAGAGCATTTTCCAGCGTGATGAGCTGATTATGGAAACCGCTATGTGGTAGGTAGGCGAGAAATTTTTCACCCTCCATGGGTGGCCGATCAGGAATCATTGAGAGAAAGGGATTGCGTTCCTTATTTCCATCGAGTTGTCGAGATGGTGCGGGATCATATTCATGTTCATTACCATTACCGTTACTGTTGTTGATGTCGTCTTCAGCCACTGTACTTTGTGAATTTTTGCCATCTGTGTCAGAGCCATCATGCCCTCCTATCGGCGTCGTCGAGTGAACGGGAGCCGGCACAGATTGGCTTGGTATCAAAGGAGAAGGGTCTAGTGACTGTGGACGAGGGATAGAAACATGATTGGAGCCTTTGTGAAGTGGTTCTTCCTCCAACAAAATACCATCTGATTTTTCAGATGGGGATGAGGAATAACTAAGGTATGGAACCCACTCGACTTGTGCGCCCAAGACAAAGAAAACTGTGATGATAATCAGGAACACAAACAAGATCCTGCTCTTGGACCGGAACTCGGTCTTTGTGCTATTACTGGTATTACCCAGCATGAACGTCATATGCAGCAGTACACTTGTACAGGGCTGGATGAGAGTTGGGAATACAATGTATGGCGTTAACAGGGGAGCCTTGCCAACCAGACTCGTAAAAAAAATGGAGCGTGTGTAATTATGTGTAAGAATATAATTTGCGATTGGGATGTGTGAGAGAACGAGCAATGTGGACCCGAAGATGGGAAATTATAATGGAGAGCTGAATGAAAAGGAAGCAGTGTTGCAAAAAAAAAAAAAAAAAAAAAAAAAAAAAAAAAGAGCCGGTGCCAGATTAATGATTTGACAGGGACAACAATCTCCTGAAGGAAAAGTCAAGAGAACAAGGCAATCGCATCCAAAGAATTTTCAAAGCAACATTTAACATCGATTAGCGATTAAGCCCGTCATTTTCGTCATCACTTGTTTTTTAACCATCCTACTCTTTTGTCTAACACTGACAGTGATTGAAGGCCCAAATCTTCATCAAAAGCTTAAAGCTTTGATCATTTTTTTACTAGAGCTAGCCACATGTAATATAAATATTGCTATTCAATAGGTGGGGTTTTTAATGAATAATGTCATGTCAACCACACCAGGAATAGCAAGAATGTATTTCAGGGGTGGTAATTCTCTTGTCATGATTGGACTCTATTGTTATTTTTAAACTCTAATCAGTTGGTCAGATTTTTTAAGCCGTTGTCATGACAATTTGTGTCAAGCATCTTCGCTTTAATTGAAACTATGAGCTTCCAGGTGCTACCTCCGACTTCGATAGTGAATTACCTCCAAGGTAGTGTCTTTCAAGGCTTACGGTTCATGGACGCTGTAATACTCGTTCATATTCGTGATCTCAATCATCCACACAGTCTGAACAGGCGAATTCTGAGATGAAAACTGAAAGGATAAAGCTATTGTATACATGTAATTTGGATTATCTTCGTTGCTTCAAAGGAAGTAATCAAGAGATTAATTCACTAGTAAAATACAAGCATTAATACGCGGGATAAGGAAACAGATTACATATAATATATATACCACAAGAATCAAGTGGTCGAACGACTACTTTTTGTTGAGCCTTTACGCCTTGCTGATCAAATAGTGTGTATACAAATATATATATATATACATATATATATTTATATACATGTACACATAAAGCCCCTACCATCAAAACTCAAACCGGAGGCTGTTCATTGGTGCGTTATTGGGTTCTTCTCTCCTGAATAACACCAACTTTATCGTACTGTATATCATATGCATTATATAAATATATATATATCTAATGTACATATAAGGTGTCCATGCAAACTCAACGATATCACGACAGTATCCAGATTGCCTCTTGTCACCCTGAAGATGAACATTCCTTGGACACTTTTCATTGTCATTATACTCGTGAACATCAAGTATCCTATCACGTAGCCGGAGGTTTTTGTTTTGGAATAAACCGCTTCACCAAGGCGTCATGTTTGATTAACACTTCTGCTCGACCGCTAAAACTACAGGTGAAGCGTTAGGGTATCTTGGGTCATCCTTCGGATGCGCTATATCCTATCTTTTTGGACTCTCGGCAGTGTAGTTGTAGCTCGTTGACCGAACCTTCTCACGTCTGATCACCTCATAAGCATCCAATTCACGCTTTAAAAGCTGTAGAGACGCTTCTGTACAGCACATGTGTCGTCGCTGGTGAACTGAGGTGGCTAAGGCCTATCTAGACCCCTTCTAGGGCAAATGAGGAGAGCTTGGACTTGGTCATGTCAATCTCAGCATAGGCTTATTAAATTCCAGAAAATAACTGAGTGAAGTAAGACCAGTATAGAAACTACATATAATAACGATTTCTTTTTTTCTTTATTATGTGTTGAAATTCAATCGTGCTCTTCCCACCCTAAAGACCTCATCTGGATTGATTCCAACGACAACGGTGCTTGCTCTCAGATGGTTTGTAGAATTCTCGAAGTAAACCTCCGCATTCATCAGGATCTTTGAGCAACATCACCAATTGGCTGGAGTTGCTGCAATAACTCGGTTAAATGGGCTGGAGCCTGTTATAAAGAAGAGCTTGTGATGATGTCCTACCCTTCACACTGTACTAGGATGATGTACCTGCCTGAGACGAGACTATGTCCTGTCTCGTTCCGGATATGATTGTTCTTCCTCCTTTTCTCCTATCCTCTCCTTCTCCTCCGCCCCTTTACTCACTTTGCTTTCTCCCCTTTCTCATAAGCATTCACCAAGAAGAGTTCATCTAGCTCATGATCGGCGCCTTTGTCATCAAAAAAAAAAAAAATAAAAAAATAAGAAAGAAAACCATATCCTTCGTTTAGTCAGCCTCGTTGAACATTGAAATCTTGATATGGAAACTCGTCCAATCAAAATCGTAATCAGACTTTCTCGGCTATGGAGCCTTATCTGATACTGCGTCCTATCATTACCCTCGTCTGATTGCTGGTATAAAAAGATTGACTAGGTCCGCTTCTGGGAGATAGATAAAGCGAGAAGCGAAAAGCTGGCCTTGGAAGGTTGCTGAGCTTGTGTGCCTGCAAATTCTCAATAACAAGCATAGTTCTAACACTCAATCATCAGACAAAAATATCAAGTGCTTTTCACGCCAATCTAAAATGAATCATGGAGGATCTTCAAAAAAAAAAAAAAAAAAAAAAATTCTTATGCAAGAGACCGAAACTCTTGTGACATTTCTCTTCACTTAGTATGACTGATCGAAGATTCTTGATCCCTGTAAAGTCACCAAGGATAGGACACGTCTAAAATCAGATGTAGCATGAACTTATATAGAGACGATTAAAGTTTGAAGATGTCAATAATTATACTTCTGTTCTGTTTTTACTGAGTATCTCGTAGATCATAGGCAACAGAAAAACACCAAAAAAGTAATAAAAGCATTTATCGACAATCGGGTATTTTAAAATACTATGTGCTATGTTATGACACCTGCTCCATCATCCTCTTGCGCTCGTAAACTTCTTTTGTACGTCGATTATTCTCTTTAATCGCATCCAGAATCCGCGAATACGTGTCCATATACTCGGCACGATCTCTTGTGGCTTCTTCATACCGCTCCTTCGCGTCCTTTAACAGGGAATCTCCACTAACGATCTGTCCTGCACCACCCATCGGGCCATACTTGGCCTCCTGTTCACGGTTGCGCACATGCATCTTCTCTATACGGTGATAATGGGCCATTAGACGCTCAACCTCCATTGAGATCAGATCCTTATGCATCATTATCTCATCCGACTTGAGTTTCCATACGGAGAGCGTGCTATTGTATCCAGCTGCTTGCGCATCCTCCATCGTACCCTGGAACGTCTCCATCATAGTCGAGGCCATCCTTGATGGGGTTATTGTAGACTTTGAGTGGAAGGGAGGCAGAATCTTCTCAATAGCTTTAAGCCCCTTGTGAGTATATGCATCATTGCCGTCACATGATAATACACCGAGGCCGGTATTGATCTTCAACGCCTCAGCTAGAGCTACCATACCATCCTCCCCAAAGCGATTGTAGTCCATTGATAGAACTCGTAATGTGTCATTTTCGGCCAATGATGGGAAGGCCAACGACACACGACGTCCAAATCCGCCAGTCGACCGCCCTTTAACTATAACGCTCTCAGGTCTAGTTAGACTACCGCTGTTAGTCTTATTATGGCCGCTACTACCGCTTACTGGATCAATACTCATCGATGCGGTGTCTTGAACCATCTGTTCAATTTCCATGCCTGAAATATCTAGCATAACCAATGTCTTGTTGTATGTGAGCACACGTCCAAGACCAAGACAAGTCTCCTTCGACGCATCTTCTGGTTTGATTTTGAGCACGACTTCTTCATAAGGTAGGCCATTCAATTCCTCAACCTGACTCTCACGCTTAATCAATAAGCCCTTAACATTAAACTCATTGAAACATATTGCCCCCTCCAAGGCCTTTAGAACACATTGCATGGCCGCATCACGGACAACAAGGCCTTGTATCTTGATTCCAAAGGGTGTCCCATCAATTCTCCTTCCAGACTCAGCAATGCTTTGTGTCCAGGCCTGGACAGACTCCTCCGACTCAAAGAGCATGTTTTGGCTGACATCGAGCGTGAATTTTGTACTTTCGTTTACAGAGCATATGGTCCTGAACAATGGAACTAAGTCAATCCACTCAAGTTGGCATCGGGATAGAGTGATCGTCAATAGCTCACGATGTGTTGCCACGAAAGTGCATAAAACTGTGATGGTCGCATGATTGATTGGCGCAGTAGAGAGATCCAGAGAAGTGATATCCTGTAATTTCGAGAGTCTTTCAAGATTGACAATGCTGGTGTCTGTAGTTGGAGGAGGAATAGGAGCCCCTAGTCGGAACTTCTGAAGACTCTGGTTGTTGGCAAGAAGAGAATCAGTCCATTGCCACCAGCGTTCATCAACTTGATTGCCTTGCAACCTGATCGTGAACATATTCTTAAGGTTTTTGACAAGAGCTTCAATGCCTCCAAGACCAATATTACAGTCCGTAAGGTCAAGTGTTCTAAATTGTCTCCACTGCTCCAGACATCTAGCCAACCAATGACCGACATCATTGTTCCTTGCAAAATCATTTCTCGCTAGTGAAATCCGCCTGCAGGGCTCACGACCCTGGCTACTACGTACTTGCTGATCTACACCAGTAAGTCCGCTCAAAAATCCCTTCACAGTCTCTGGGGTCCAACGGCAACCAGCAAAGTTCCAACAATCAATATGCTTCATCTCTCGACTCATCTTCTCAAGTTCTTGAATCAGTTCTGGCTTCCTCCATCCGTCTTCCAAAACCTTAACATCTTCGAATCGAACCTTGGAGCATTGGTCGTACTCGCGGAGCGTACGCATAACTGCACCAATGACTAATGTCGGATGAGCCTTTCTATCGTTCTCCGCTGGCTTCAACGTGAAGGTGCCGCGGCGAATTGAGTAGTCAATCGACTCAATTATCCGATCTTCAACATTAAAGAGCTTGCCCCACATGCGAATCGTCCTGTCGACCCATTGCTCATCCTTATCCGCCACAATTTGGCTCGATGTGGAGCCGATCAAGGGGGTTTCAAACCTTGCATGGAAGTTCAATCGGTTCATGAGTGTACTGTGGGCTTGTTTGAGAGAATTCATGAAATGTTGTGCATCCTCATTTGGTAGTTCAACATCAATACGTTCTCCAAAAAAGTCTCTGCCACCTCTTGATACCAGACCGCACATCTCCATACTGACAGTGCTCGTCTCTCGGTTATTCTGAGTCATATTTAGGTTTTCAATCTCTACCAGGCTCCAATGTTCCAGGCTCCTAGCAGATGCGTCTCCAATAGAGGCCTGTTCTTCTGTGAAGTAATGTAAACCGGTATCTGTCAAAGCCAAGACATGGACTGCATCGTTCACAGGCATTGTCTCTTGGGTCTCTACCGACGCCTTTAATGTCGATACAGACCATCTATTGCAAGCCCATGTCGGAGGGGTGTCCTTGGAAAGACCACCCGCCTCCCCAAATAGATTAGCGCCCCTATGTTTCTCCCACGAGTTTGCTCCGTTATAAAGATGTAGAAGTTGTGCCTGTGTAGGAGTTTTGGGCTTTGATTGTTTGTGTGCAGTGTCATCCAGTCCCTCAAAATCATCATCTGCTTTCCTCTTACGTTCGCGTTCAAAAACATCCCGTTCACTCATTTCTTCATCAAAATCGTTGCCAAACTTCCCATTTTCAGGCGATGATGGGGTCGACATATCGTCTTCCATGATATCGTCTTCCTCGGTGTCTTCAGCAGAAATCCTAGGATGATCATGATGGCTATGTACACTCGATGTACTTTCAGGCGCGGAGTTGATATCACGGGCAGCATTCGAAGATGAAAAGTCGTGAACAGCTCGATCTTTCATCACCATCACATGGGCTGTTCGTTCTTTCATCTTCCGAAGAAGGTGACGTTTGCGATTACGTTCTTGTTTTACGACTTTGACCAAATTTTCTTCGTATCTACGAATTAGAGAAGATACGATGTCCTGTCTTGATCTGCCATCATCTCTACCATCGTCAGCGCTCATCCTTGGGACCATCGGCCGAGGTGGTACCTTGGCATTTGTGAGTATTTGAGTAATTTCCTCATTTTGAAGCATATGGGCGAAGTTCAATGCTATTCATGGTATTGATAATTATGATAATGAAAAGATAGTTAGTTTTGAGTAGATTTAAAGGGGTATAGTAAGGGTGATAAGGGTGGCATTTAGTAAATTCAGAGTCGACGTTGTCATTATGATAACATACCTGTCTTGTTATTTCTGTCCATCGCCGTATGATCAATGCCCATATCAACCAACTCCTTCACCAGCCTGGACATGCCTGATTGGACAGCCAAATGAAGCAGTGTATGTCCGGATTCGCTCTAAATTAAGTCAGACAAATCACAAATGAATTAATTGAAATCCACATGCAGCGCAGGTTGACGCAAACGCAGAGAACAGACTTTGTAATAACCATCTATTACATACTCTGAATGAAGGCAGAACGCGTCCAGGCGCCAGGATTTGGATCGTACGTAAGAAATCAAGGGCCATCTCCTCCTTCGCTGATAATGCGAACGCGAAACTAACGTCAAAATCATTGCCAACAAAGCTTGCGGGATCATCCAACAAACCAAGGCCAATTCCTGCTCCATTGCCATGAGCATTCAAAAGATATGCCAACTACATGTTACAATATACGATGACAGATGAAATATTAGTTAATAGAAAGATAAGTTACGATGTCCTGAAATGCCAAATGCTTAGTTTGAATCATTTAATTATAAGTCATACTTACAGCATTGTCCTGAGGGTACTCATTAGCCATACCGTATGACAGAGATGTTGCTGCCAAGTTGCAGAAATCGTAATCTGGTGGGGCCATGTACATAAAATCAACCTTTTCAGTCTGTGGGCTCAGTGGGAACGCCAAAGATGCGATCTGGACGGAGACAATTCCAGGCTTCAAATTTTCGGCGGGGGGTGTTGTGCACTCCATTACATCATGATGAGAAACTGTTACAAGTTCTGCAGGGACCTTTCCGAAGTATACAACGGGATTCTGAAGAACATCGAAGTGAGCACCGTGGATGGTAACTCGAGTTCCTCCCAAGATCGTCCCCTCACTAGGCGTGAGGGGGTAAATTTGTCGGAATTTTGGTGGGGCAATAATACGGTTGCCTGCATTTTGGCCATAGCCGTTTGTGAACCTTGTGCTATTTTCTTGGCCCTCGACCGCCAAAGAGTGCACAACACGCTCGTCCATCGATTTCGGGGAGGCCATTGAGGCTGAGTTTGTCGAAGGAGTACGCTGATGACCTCTGACCAGTGGACTGTTTGCACTAGCATGGCTCAAAGATGGGCTCTGCAGCATCTGCTCATTAGTTGCAATGACTGGAGAGCGGGAGCCAGTAGAAACTGGAGCGTCGATATCTGTTAAACCCTCTTCTTCCTCCGCATCTTGCTCTCCGCTGCCGGTTTTGGATCGTGCCTCACAACAGATACGAAGCTTTACAGAACCACCCATACGGACAACTTCAGGTAAAGTCTGCATTCGGACCACAAAGCCCTCGTGCTCGTTGTGATGATCGCAATAACAATTAAGTTTAATACAGACGATAGCATGACCCTTTCGGATATCAATCAACGGCTCTCCCGCCGGGCTTTGCTTAAAATTTTTAGCCAAAACTTGCATGATCTAAAAGAGAACGTAGTGAAGAGGGGCGGTAGGTAGAGTGACGCATTCCATTAGCTCAAAAGTACACTATACCGATTACTCTATCAGCGTTGAGACGTATGGCAATGTTAAAGATGTTCTTATTCTCCTATGCGCACCTTTCTCTCGCCGTCCATTCGCATCACACAAGCTGGGCACGAATCCTCAATGATCCGATCTCTGTTGTTGGGTGACACTAGAACAATGTCTACATCCAACACCCTTGCGCCTCGCATCTCTATGCACCAGATATTAAGTTGAGATGTTGCAGTTTGTTAGCGGCACTTGTAATCCAAAATCGTCTCATATGCTTATTATTCGAGTTCATTTTTTTTTATAAATTTACCCTCAGGACTGAGTTTCTTTTTAGGCTGTGCATTATCACGGAAGCGATCGACCTTGAACCGTAAGTAATCCCAATCACGTACAACCTGTCGGTTATCGTCAAGGATGCTGGTCTTCAAATAGATGATAGGTTCGATACGCAAAGCATTTTTATGTTTGACCGCAACGTAGTGTCGTGGCTTTTTACGGAATGTGTATGCTTTGACATCAAAAGCTGGTAGGCGTGAGTGTGATGGGACTAGAGAATGAGAGAGAGTATTGCCTGCTGCCAATGTCAGGGACATGTCTAACAATGACATATTGCTAAAATGAGATTAATAGTGGTATGGTTAAAGCAATGTTGATCAGAATCTACGCTAAGTGTTGGTCAAATTCAGAGGCCATATCATTTGTTCTCTTCTAGTCAAATATAATTTGTATGTCGTACCTTGGCTTTTGAGAATTGTGGCCAAACTGATCCCCATTGGTCAACGATATATCCGCCTGGTAGAATGGGGTATGAAGGGATTGTGCATAAAGGTTATTAGCCTTCAAAGAATTTGACATCGATAGCTCTTGCCCTGATCCAGTAGGTAAGCTTGTCTATTGTTTGTTAGATTTGTTAAAGAGGTTGAGTCACGTGTACTTAACCCAACATTCCAAAGATCCATGATACCAAAGAAATATGCATAGAGAGCATGCTGCAGATCAGGGACAGAGGTCGAAAAAGGCTCTCATGCCCTTTCTTTAGTCTCGATGCATAATTCTCTGACACTAACATCTCCCTTCTCGGGGACTTGAAAAAGCTCCCGAATAGTTAAGGATGGTAAGAGCAGTTCAGGGGAAATGGAAGCAGAGATTGAAGAATCGATGCTGTGAATCCTCTATAGATCACTGAATATGAAGGATGTAGCCCAATGAAAGAGGAAAGGCATGCCTTCGATTATTGATAGGATTACCCGTGTAATGTAGCGTTGAAATATAGATCGACATGTTGTACGTTCTAATGATCAACAGCCAGATATAACAAAGGCTATTGATCGAGTGTATGAACAAGAGAGCACACTATAATAAGAGAGATATTATCGTTACCTCGTAATTGTCCAAATATGCTGGCATAGATGCTGTCGAAGATGGACTTGATGATAAAGGATATGGAGGTGACCAGGATGGAGTCGAGCTGTCAATGTTTGTTTTTGCTGCGTTCAGATGTGGCGAAACTTGTGGAGTCAAAGATTGATTCGCAACTAGGCCTGCTGCCGTCATAGCTGCAGTAGCCATCGAATCAGATAACGAATTCTGGTGAGAGTTCAATATGGATGTATGAGGAAGGCCATTGGCAGGAGACACTGAGTTAAGCGATGAATTGGTAATTGGTGTGGTAGACGAGGAGGCAGGAGACGAATACATAGGATTATAGCGCTGACCATAGTGCGTCGTTGTTTTTTGCTTTCCAGGCGTAATCGGTCGCTGCTGATCCAGCTGCTTGGTAGATGAGAGTGAAAGTTGTTGCTGATGTTGCTGCATTGGCTGCTGTTGCTGTTGCTGATAAGAAGGCTGGGAAGGTTGGTAGTTTGGATATGGTTGTCGGTTAATAATTGGCCCAGCTTGCCGATATCCTAGGCCTTGGAATTCAGGGGAAGGGTGCTGTACATGTTGATTTTGGTGTTGCCCTTGCTGATGCTGTGCTAGTGAATGCTGTGGAGGAGATGTGAACTGAGGCGCTTGCGACTGCTGTAGCTGCTGCTGGTGCTGGTGCTGGTGCTGGTGCTGGTGCTGCTGATATTGAGGCACGATAGTATTCTGCATTTTGTTGCTGAGCTTATTTCTTTTCAATTCCTCTTAAAGTTGTAACTAAAACGTAGGCTGGTATAACTCGTGAAGGACTGAAGTAATGCAAACAAAACGAGATTAGGTACTGCAAAATTGAATAAAGACAGTGGAAGATGCGAAAAGAATTAGTTGGGAGGAATGAGGATAAAGGTGAAAAAGAGAGAGAGGGAGAGAAGAGAGAGTGAGGAGAGAGATAAGAGAGAGAATTCCGCCAGGGGCACTGTGGCTGCAAGAACACCCGAAATGAGCAGAGAGAGCAGCCAAAACACTCCACTGCTATGCTTGCTATGCTTCCACTTGGATAATCATCATCCACTTCTATTTCATCTGTGTTGTTATTACTGTCATTGTTACTGCTACTATCCTGATAGTAACCATTGCTATTGCTGCTTATGCTTTTCTTCATCGACTTACACCTAATAACTGCAACCAGCCACAATTGAATCTAAAAAGGCACTGTTTGACAGATGATCTTTGACCTGAACATAATGAGGTGTGAACACTAACCAGAGAAAGTTCTTTTGCTTGGAACTATGTTGAGGCCCGATAACAATGAGCGCGTTTGTAAAGATGATTGATGGTCGATGAACAAACACTTTGTACCAGTTTCTGGTCGCGATGGAGGGGAAATGAGGTGGAGGCAAGGGGGGTTCCACCTTTGTCTGCTCTTATTTTTTTTTCTGCATGGCATGATAGGCCAAAGCACTTGCACAATGTGATTGGACTTGGTAAAAAAAAGTCCATAAAAAAGTGATCATTGTAAAAAAAAAGTTACAACAAGCAACACAACACTCTCCGTGCAAAAAGATCGAGTGGTGTATATTTTTTATTGTTGTTTAGTTTAGTGAAACGCAAAGCAGCAAGGATTTTTATTAGGCTTTTGATTTACGCTCCCAAACCTAGCAATTAAGAATAGTTTGTGTTAACGCCCTGAACACCCTGGAAAATGGATGACTTTAAATTATTCAAATTGTATGATAAACTCACCTGAATATACGATTCCGATAAAAAAATCATTTGCGCATTAATCTCTTCAACAAACAGGTCCTGAATTTGGTACCATTGCTCCTTCGCCCGATGTTGAAGATGAACCTTGTAGCTTGTCGAGCCTGGTGTAGCGGGGTCACCTTCATGTGTAACGTTTGCAAGCAGATCATAGTGCAGTCCTAATGCATTTTCCTTTTCTGGATCAGACACGTCTAAAAAAAATAAAAAAAATAAAAAAGTTATGTATAGTTGGCACAAATACTAACTAATGTCTTTCGCTTGCATATGGGCTCGTCAACTTACATTCTGCCATGCTCAGGTTTTTAATAGGGAAAGTGACAATCGTAGGGTTTTTTTCTTCCACAAAATTGTTCTTCGAAAACCGTTTGATGTGAAAAATAATATAGTTGGGGAGTCGAATTATATGGAATCGCTTCAATTCAGACGCAGTTTCCTGTGTGGTTCAAGACATAGCGGATCATATAATTATTATCAATAGTTGACAAAGCAAAAATTTATAAAATAAAAAATCTCGGTATAGTACTTGAAAGAAAAGCATGAAGATCATACCTGCGTGGTTTTCCCGTCATACTTTGAGAGAATAGCCGTAAGTGGAATTTGAGGAATGATGTTTCTTTCCTGTTCGTCATGGAAAAGTGGTGCAGGTGGAAGCTCAAGAGCCAAAAATAAAAAGGGCGACTTGATCTTCGTCACAGCTGTCACATATGACAATACATATTTTAATCCTTTGGAGTTAGATTAGCTGAATCACAACATATTTTAGGACAGGGCTTACCAAAAGATTGTATAGGATATGCTTTCTGCTTATAAACCTTATTATACATTACCATTATTCGGATCAAATGAAACGACAGAACCTTTTGGGGTATTCGTATCAATGGACTGTGATTCAATCGAGAGCTCTCCTTGAAATGTAGAGTATATAATACTACTGTTTTTCTTCTTCGATCCTCCAAGATCTCGATGCAAAGTATTCAAAAACCAGGACAAAAACGCCAAAGGATCCCCTTGCTTCGTCAACTTAAACTGCCTGTTACTGGCATTGGAAATTTCCTATTGGATAGAGGAAGAGATCAACAGTATAGCAAGTTGACAAGTTGAGTATTCTATGTAGATATAGTATAGTTTGTGCACGCAGTAAACATGCGGAACTTGCCTGCAAAAGCTCATGAGGACTGACTTGACCTTTGAACGCTGCTGGGTTCCAGATCTTTCGTACTAAGGTTCCAAATCTTTTGACAAGCTCTGATTTGTCGTCAAATGTCTGTAACATAAAAAAGTTTCGAACTGGAGGGATATGCACCAGAACCTGAATCACCACGTTAACATAATCATTGGCTTTAACGTTGTTCAGTCCAATAAAACCTATATACCGAATAGAAACCAGAAAGATATTAGCTACCACATCCAAAAAAAAAAAAAAAAAAAAAAAAGTGAACCAAAACGGACCTGGAAGGTATGGCTTGCGGTTCAAATCAAATGATTGTCTAGAGTTCTTATCGAGCGCTTCGACTTGTGCCGGCGTAAATCTTGGATCCAAAACATACTAAATAAAATAAAAGCAAGGTTATGAGGATCTAATCAGCATGTATATTGGGATCTAGCTTCTTAGTTTTTACAAAAAAAAAACTTTCGTTCCAGTGATATCCAGGGATTTATCACTTACTTTGATATCATCCAGCGACGAGTCCGTCACTTCATAGGAATCCGGTAAAACATACACCTTGAGTGTATTGAGATTAATGTAGACGTGATGATTCTCGTGAAGACTATGGAAATACGCATGCGAGGTAGGGCCACGTCCTGATTATCTCGAGTTAGAACAAAAAGAGTACTCATGCTATGGTCTTATTGTTACAGAGAATGATAGTAAAAAGGGTACCTTGAAAATATTTCCCACAAACTAGACATGCATAGACATTCAGATTTGACAGTGAGACGGAACACACTTTTTCGAAATCAAAATCGAGCATAAACCGTTGGATCGTATCAAGATAAAGTCCTGAAGTACGTCCTGCTCCTGCTCCTGCTCCTGCTCCTGCTCCTGCCGCAACACTCCCACTAGTCGAGGCTTCATTAACTTTTTTTCTTTTGTAGCGGACAGAATGCACTGCCTCATCAGCATCCGAGATGGAGCCTTCATCACCCTCATTTGTTCTCTTATCCGTGGTATCGTCTACAGCATCCATTAATTCTCTTTTATTTTTAGGACAAGAGTTGTGATTTAACAAATGAACATGGCAACAATTGATCTCAAAATGAATGATCAACTTTGATTAAAGTCACGTGTAAGTTTACAAGTTTTATTCCACACAACAAAGTCCTTCCGATGTTAATTCAAAGACCTATAGAAATATGTAATGCCATATTTACATTGTTTCTTAAGAGCTCGCCCATTTTAAAGCTATGCTGAACGGCCTCTCTATTAAAGATATGGGTTTTCTAGCTTCCTTAGGAGTATACTATATGGAATATAGAGCACTCAGTCTGTCTATCTGTTGATCTGTACGGTTTTTAAAGTTAGTCCAGAAATTCAGGGGCAAAAGATTAGAGGAGACGAAAATAAACAGAACTTACAAATTTTTTGTGGGTGTGCCGGCACCCAAATACTTGTGTCTAGTGTCGTGCGCGCTTTGCAGCCGGAGCAGGCGACTCTTCCGTGGGCTTGTACTTTGCAGGTCTCTCTTGTCTCTCAATTTGAGCAAGACCGATTCTTGCGATGTTTTCCGCCCCTACTGCGTCACGGTCGAAGAATACCTTACATGTCCTGCAATATTTAGAGCGAGGGTACACCGTCTCTAAAAAGCTACCGCAGAGGGGTCGGGGACAGCGGGCGCTGGTGTAAAATTCGTGCGCTCCTACAGCGAAGTGTCCTCGTGCTTTGACCTAAGCGTTTCAAATGGCAGTCGTTTATTAGCAAGGGTTTTATGGCTTTCCAGCTTTGCTTACTTTTTTAAAAAAAGCCATACCTGTGTGACAAGATGTCTCGTTATAGCAGTGTGCTTGCTGGGAACTCCTTTACTACTTTCAAAGGATCCTAGGCCGACGACAAGTACTCTTTATCCCCAAGCATCTTCAACACTCGCTGTACCGCGTAGTCGAACGTAGCTCGTTGAGCCTTTCGTAGGTCCCATTTTTTTTTTCAGGTGCCATCTGGACTCGTAGAACTCTTGAAGCACATCCAAATTCGTTGATCCTGTCTGTGTCTGAGACTCCTCGTTCATCCATTGAAAGTACTCATTATACGTATCCCTTCCAAACACAGGGATGGCGCTCTCAACCTCAATCATTCCATTTTCACGCTTCCTTTTGTTCAACAGGTGATTGAAGCGGAGGACAGGGAGGTACAAGAACCTGCTTCTCACCTTTACCGTTTGCCGCAAGTTAGGGTTGTGAGGGTCCAGCGAGGAAAACGTAAGGGCGTTAACAATACCAGGATCACATCCGACGATAGTTGTGGTGTTTGCGGATGGGCATCGCCCTGGTTTGTTGAATGTGAGCTCAACGTTTTCAAGCAGCTTGGAGCTCCTCTTCCAGTTTATGTTTGCGTAGCCTTCATCTGTCAGGTCTTCACCGGCCGCCTTTGAACACGTCGTGTTGAGAAATCCCTGAGAAAACTCCAGTTCTTGGCTGGGGTCTTCTTCATCTACGTCAGACTGCTGCTGTCTCTTCGTCTGGGTTGTATCATAGGCAAGTAGATTCAGAACTAGACCGTTGGTAGAAATCGTTCCTTTGAGTTTGAACCGAGTTAGATCTTTGTCCTGTGGCTGCAGGGATACTTTGTCTTGATATCCACGAACCATGCGATCACCTCCAATGTCACAAAAGAGAGCCTATATCAAAACCCCTTTTGTTCCCTGTACACACTCATACATTGCAGTCTTGGAAGGATTATTGAGAGGCAGAATACGCTCCAGCAGCTGCTTGGTATCTTCGTTCACCCAGAGGATGTCAACTAGGGCGTGTTCAGACAGATACACATACCCGGGTGACCAGGGGGACGTAGGAAAGTCTGAGTATTTTTTCACTTTTTTGTTCTCCCGCAAAAAAAACTCAATGTCACTCATATCTTCACTTGTTTTCTCGACATCAAACTAAAAAAAAAAAAAAAAAAAAAAAAAAGGTGTGAATAAAGAGCATTTGATTGCAGAATATGCATGAAAATACCCCTACACAAGCTATACCATTGCGTTCCTGTAGTGCTGCCTTAATGATGTCTGTACTTGGCCCATTAGTAAGTCTGACGCTCTTGGAAATGTGATCTTTTTGGGATCAAAGCCTTGGACGTCCCCAATGTGATGTCTATATCCTTTATTGGGGAAAGTTCAGTGGTGGCCTTGAAATGTTCATAAGCGAGGTGATGATGGGGCGTTTCTACCGCCTTTCCTTGTTTCTTTGCCCTCGCGTAAGCTGAATTGGGGCCACCTTGACCACTCAAAAGAAGGGTGGCGAGACGGAAGGAATAATCATTGCTATCCAAGACCTCGTCCAGTGCCTTTTTCCTCGACTTTGCTGCCCCTGGTAACCGCATGATCCTCTCAATGTCCAAGGCAATCGCCCAGTATGCATAGCGGCGTAGTCGGTTGAGGACAACAACTGCCCCTCGGATCTGGCTTGCAATACTATCCCTTTCATCTGCGTCCAGTCCGCCTTTCCTTGCCATGGAGGCCTTAAGGGACCCAATTGTTAAGGCCTTGATAGGGTGCTTACTGCTGTAGCTGTGATCAACCTTCGTAGCATCCTTCAAGTTCCTAATTGGTGCACCTTCTTTTTTAGCCCTGTGGGGCTTCTTGCCTTTGTGCTTCCGCTTTTGTTTTTTCTGTTGCTTCTTTTTTGCCTTTCTCCGACGTGGTGGATGCTTAAGGCCCGGCCTATCGTGCTGACGGCAGTTACTGATATCAACTGTGCGCCCATTCAATATGCTCGGCTTGTCAGAAAAGATGGGCCGGAACTGGTTCCTATGTGACCCTTCCGCTATATAGAATGATGGTACGCCTCTACATTATTCAAGAAAGGGACTAACGATTAGTATTGGGGACGTCTGGTTTCAAGGCCAAAAACTATAGCTTGAGCTTTCTTACGTTCTGCGGCGCTGCGCTCGCCTTTGCTGAGCCATTCTATGGCGAAGATCCTTTCCATTGAGTAGACGCTGCTTGAAGTTATCGAACTCATTGTTCGATGGTAACGCTTGGGCCGACGTTTGATGGCCGGAAGTAAAAATGCGGAGAGCTACACTGAAACGGCCTTCCTCAGAGGCTACGTTCCTTCCCAACACCTTATTAGCTTCCCCGAGGTAATCTTGAAGCATTTTATTGTAGTTCTCGTTCCACGCAACCTTTCGAACCAATCGAAGATTATTAACCGGGCCTAACGTCTCGAGGTTCCTTGAGTAGTCATTGCCTGCGATGGCACAGAATAACACCAGATGCGCGTGTGTTGGCAGTCTTAGTGCTTGGATAACGTTGTCTACGTCGTAAACCCCAAACTTCCGTCTACGGTGCGGAAGGGGTCGCACTAGGAAGCAGACTCGTTCGTACGCAAAAAAATCAGAGTCTTGGGATATCACGATCCTATCATTCTCCTCATCATGGCACCCTATGCATGGGTCCGCTTCATATGCACACAGACAGACATCGAAGACAGAACTAAGGCCTGTTGCCAGCTGATCCTTGTCCTGGACGCTCAGGGTGTGGACTTCTCGAAGACCCTTCTGGATGCGCCTCATGACTTGAGGACGAGTCCATACCCCACTCCGAGAATTTCTCTCGAAGGTGCTCATATTGTTCTCCAAAGCGTCCATATTTTTTTGTCTTATGGCTTGCCGTTCTGTCCTTGCTTTTTCTTTCTCAGTACAAGGTTCCCCATCAATATGTATAGTCAGGTTGTCCGTTGTGAAAAGATCCTTTATCTCGAGTGCCAGGGACCTTCCTACATCAATGATGGTTTCGTTTTTCATCTTTGCATGGACGACTCTGCGGAGGATGTCGTAATAGAACGTACTGAGGAGATCTAAATGAACAGAATGGTCAGGATTTGCCGCCAAGAAAGTGCCCACGTCAGTTTCCGAAGGTAAAACCCCGCGATCCGCAACCAGTTTGAAGAAGGACTTCAGCCCCATGGTCAATATCTAAGCGAAAAGAGAAAGAAAAAAGGAAAAATGGCGGTGATGAAAAGAAATGAAAAAGAAAAAGAAAAAGAAAAAAAAAAAAAAAAAAAAAAAAAGAGCGACAAAGGTATAAAAGGATGAGCTTTTTATGGTGTAAAGATTCAAAGCGAATAGATAAAGAATATTGAGGGAAAGATACAGGAACAAGTGGCAGTGGTAAAAGGGATGGGACTTTGAAGGAGGAAGACAATGATCCCTTTTTATATCCTGGATTGATGATGAGTTTTATCATTGCCTCATATAGTTTTGATATCGATCCTTTGCTTCACAGGCCACATCAATCTTTATTCAGTTCCTTTGTTTGGATTGGGGTTTTGTCCCAGTCAATAGCAGAGATTGACAAATAAATACAAGCTCTCGCATGAACGGCAGATTGGAAGAAATAGCATTGAGATACCAAAGTGAAACCATCTCGGTATACAGCATATAGTGCTGATGTTGATCCTTTGTTATACAATTTTTTTTCAGCTTCTTTTGTTTGCAGTGGCCCTTGCTTTGTGAGGAATTTAATGATTTATAATTTTGAACAGGGGTAATAAATGCATTGACAGATATGACTCGGTGATTATAGGTAACAACTAAAGAAAAAAAGTCTTTTTTATCAGAGAATGGCTTCAAATGATGCTTTTTGCTCCAACAGCCCCAGTACTATTGCGTTAAAGCAGAGATATTCGTTGGCTCTCAGGTTCCGGCATCAATGGCGGAGATAGGTGATGTGCTTATTGCTTGGAGTAAAAGCTAGCTAAGCACCCTTTCTTACTGGACGATGCCTTGTTAATGGTGATATTGCGCAGCGCCTTGTGGATGGAGGGAGAGCAGAAGCGAGAGTGGTGGTTTTTGGCGGTCGTTTGGTGTGTGTATGTGCGAACTTGATAGTTGATACCAATCGCCAAAATATATGCATTTAGAATTACAGAAGCGAGATTAATACCGACGCGTTTCATCCTTTCCTAGGGATTGTTATAACCATGGCATGATTGTGGAGTGGCCGCCAAAATAAAGTTTGTTTATTTCTTCTGGAGGCACCAATGGAAAACGCTTGCTTTCAAGTCGATACTATGGCGAATATTATCACTTCTATTACACCAGTTAATAAATAAACAACACAATGGGCCCCCTAAGAGGATGCTAGTGTCATGCGAAAGCCTTCAAGAGTTTTTTTATTGGCACAAATAAAGAAGCCAGGATAGCTCCATGACAGTTTAGTTTTCGGTCATTTATTTCGACATCGAAATAAAATTTCAAGACAATGCCCATGAATTGCTGGATTTTAAGCCCATTTATAATGGCAAATTTGCCAGGTTGACGGTTTAAGGGATAGTAGTGATTAGATATAATCGTATTTAATGTTTTTCGTCCTTGCGGGAAGGAATCCTTATTGAATATTTGTTCAAGTGGTTTGCAATTTCGTTGTTATCTGTTGGGAAACCAATAATAATAATATCAATAATAAGTTTTATATTAAAAAAAAAAAATAAAAAAAATAAAAAAATAAAAAGACGCTCTTACCACAAGTACCAATGAATTTTTTTGGCGACTGGACATGGATTGGGTCAGAAAATATGCGATACATAACAGGTGTTGCGGTCCTAAGTATGAGGCGTGATAGTTTAAAAATCTATTCATACTGAACCTGCATCTCTTTACTGCCTGCGGTATGATCGAATGCATTAAACGCCGTCATTGACATACCCTTTCCTTTGCATTAAATCAAACAATGAAAATCGCAGCTTAAATACACCTTCAGTTCGGATAGAAAGCATACTGAACGCGAACCATATATATGACGTCTTGTCATCCAAGTCTGGGGCCGTCTGCCCTCCCACAGTCGTTTGGCCCACCAGATTCTGAGCCGAATGTGCCTCCCACTCGATCTTTTCCTCTGGATAGTGCTCATTCGTCATTTGCTCTGCCTCCTTTGCCGAGCGCTGTTGTCCTTGGTCAGTTGTATGATCATCTTGTGTGCTTCTCCAGCGGTTACCATGGTTGGATATGTTTTCATCATGTGATGATTGGATTGGCCTATTTTTAAGCGTACTTGATAAATGGGATGTCTCTAACTGGTTCTGTGGTAAATGCAGTTGCATCTTACTCCCTACTTGCAATACAAAAAAATATATATCAGTATTTGCTGTTTTGTGAGCTTGCTAGAATAATAATAAGCATGATATAAACTAGAAAAATGTATTCACCAGAAAAGGCCGAATGGTCATCCCAGTTCTCTGAAAGATCTGTTGGTTTGGAAGAGACAGATCTATTTGAAGGCCTGTTAGAAATGGACGAGATCAAGACGAGGTTTCTTTCTGTGACCTCATCCTCCAACCAGAGATCAGCATTGACAACAAAAGCCTGCCGACTCAGATTACTACTAATTTGGAACCATTTAACAAAGAAGGGTTGGTTGATTATGAATACAGTCTGTTGGTCTTGTGTATAATCTTTTCAACTAAATAAACAAACAAAAGGAAGCATTGCAAATTGCCAAACGAAATATAAAGAGATAGAATGAAGTGTGAAAAATGGATAGTGGAGAGAATAAACAGAAAATAGGGTGATTGAAACATCACTGTCTGTCCACAATGACATTTGTACTCCTCTGAGAAGTCATTTTCAAGCAAAAGTACAATATTATTCACATAAGCATCCCCTCTGAAGCGTAACAGCAATAGCTCGATTAGTCATTATTGAATACTCAGAAATATGAAAAAGCGTGGAAGGTATCTATTAAAGACACCGCTCAAAGCAAAAATAACAACTGGTCGAGCACAATGTGGGTTCTTTATGCTATTCCTTCCTTTCCATCTGTCACTCGCGAAAGAAAAGTGACTGAAAGAAGAGTGAACTGGTGACGCATATCGTCTCATTCTCTCTCCGCAGTGTTGCACATTATGCGTGCTTGATGGTTCACGCCACAACAAATATTATATTCATATATAATTAACTATTTGTGCCACATTGAAAACAACACAGCCGGGGCTTTTTTTTTTTTTTTTTTTTTTTTTTTTTTTTTTGATATTTACATTTTGTGGTTCATCAAATGCACCTCAAGCACAGCCACCAATCAAACCCTGTTATAATCACATCTCTTTCGATCAAGGAATGTATTGTGCCACAGAATGATTTTTTTTTTTTTTTTTTTTTTTTTTAATTATGGAACCGTTACACACGAACCTGGTAGGAACGAGTTTTCCATCTGCTGTCTTGGCTATCAGCTTCAATACTGGCGCTGGTGTTATGTTACGACGGTCCTAGAGCCAAATTCGGTATCAGAAGTACATATTATTGATAACTGATCGCAAGCATACAGGACATTAAAAAAACTGCCACCAAATACCATCGCCTATTGACGACCTATTGCATGTATGTTTCTCCTTGTTTTTCAGTTGGCTTTACGCCTGAGAGTTCAAGGAGAAGGCCCAAGTTTGCTACAAATCTTCAGGAAGCATGACTTGGTGGCTCCTTGCACACCAAAATTGCAGTATGGAATAATAATACAAAAAAAAAAAAAAAAAAAAAAAAAAACGTACAACAAGCTGCTATACCTTATCACCAAATCCGCACATTCTAGCCCGTTGTGGTTGCTGCACTATTTCTAGCGAATAAATTCTATTCAGGAGTTTTACCGAATTCATGGTTATTGGGCACATTAGTATATCAGTAAATAGATCTGTTTTTACAAATAATGTGAAAAGAGCCATCCTTGTGGCATGGGATTCTGAACGCACACTTCACTGAGATCTACATCGCTATCACTGTTGTCGTCCTTCGGCTGGCCGCGAGGTCGGTAATATCTTATCTTGTCCATTTACTTTCCTCTTCTTGACCCTAGTTGTGAAAACGTGATAATCGGAGGAGAGGGTGTGGATAGAGGTTTGACTAGTAGGCAGACGAAACAAATGCTACTCTGTTGGATGCTGTAGGCTGCAATAAAAATAAAAATAAAAAAGTTTAAGTACATAAATATAATAGCCAACCATGCATAGGGAGACAATCTTCAACGAAGTTAGAGTTGTGCTATAATTCAAGTGTGCAGAAGGACATCTTTTTTTACGTGTCAATGGTAAGAACATAAAAAAAACCTAAAATGTTGCATCGCACAAACATGATCACAAAAAAGAATGAGCTCATTGAATGGACTGTGGAATGCATTCTAATGAGTGCAGACGACTACATTGTGTCAATGGTCTTAACGATCAGCGAACAACGACATTGAGAACAATGTTGACTTTTTTTTTTACAACGAGAAACAAAATATATTTGTATATTGTGAAGTACTTTTTTTTTTTTTTTTCCCTTGATTGGCTCCTTGTTACACCGTTAAGGACAATAAGTCACAGAGATTTAACAGGAATAGATCATGAAACAGTTCGGTGAGGAAAAGGCGAACACAGCAGAGACAGATATGAGCAGAAGTAGGACAGAATGACAAAAGAATAGAGAAAGAGAGAGTGAAATGTGTGAGAGAGACAAGAGAGATGGGAGAGACGACAAGGCATGGCATGGTATGGTTTTCACAGGGTACACATTCGTTCATACAAAGTAGGTTGACAGGCATACAGACCGGGAATAAGAAACAAGACATCCTGGACAAGACATGTGGATATGCATTTAGATTTTAGATGGACCAAAACATTGCAGTATGGAAGCAGCTTCCCGATTAGATTAGGACGACAGCCAGCAGTGAGCAACATGTCATCGAGACAAAATAGCGAATTGGCGATTCGTAATTCAGGGCTCTTTCTCTGCTCTTCTCTCCCTCCGCCTCTATTTTAATTGTATTTTTTGATGCAGAAGCGTCTTGTGCGCTTAGTATGCTTTTTTTTTTTTTTTTTTTTTTCAAGGAAAAAAGAAAAACAGGTTCTCCCAATAATTTAGAATGTCTTTAGGCAGCTCCAGTACTTTTTTTATTTTAAAACTGATCTGGGTTGCGATATTTTTTTGCTGCTGATTGGTCACAACAACATTAAGTCCATATTAGTGTGGTACTCGATGATGCCAATTGCTTATCACTTCCTGATGCCAATTGCTTATCACTTCCTGCTATTACAATTCCTAAATGTGCATAGAAATACACAGCAATTCAATTCGACTTCCTCATGTTAAGATGATCTGAGATTTAAATAGGCTTCTTTGATTCAATCGACTACGGTCCAATTTGTTTGAACATCTGTATTGAACCATTTTTTTTTCTTTCGTTTTGAACCAACTTTCTGTTTAACGATCCATTGCCCTGGGAATAAACTATTAAACAAACCAACAAAAGAGTTGTGTATTTGTGCCAACACATGGGTCTCCCCGTCTTGATTTCTCCCTGCTCTCCTTTTTTTTTTTTTTTTTTTTTTTTTTAGAAAGATCTGGTATAAGTTATTTGATTACCATTCGTTGGGACGAAGGCTGGACAATAATGCGTTGACGAACGAAAAATCAAGGCAGCAGCCCATGGTTGCTCAATCAAACCACATTGCGCGCGTTGATAGCAAATAAATAAAGCATGGCAATCAACTGGTTAAAATTTTTTATAAAAAGTCATACTAACCTCAGCTGACAACACTGTCTTGTAGAAACACAGGCGCGTAACAGAACTATAGGCTTAATACCCTTAATTGTACACTAGCAGGAAGTGAGGCACTCAAACTTAGGCTGTGCCATACTAAGTAGTGTAAGATTAATGCTTCGCCAAACGATTAGACTATTAGGTGAATCACAGAAGATACAGCGGTCGTTAGAGCTTAGTACAATGTGATTGTGTTGCCTGGATCATACTTCGACTATCCACCTTTGTCTCTATGGGTGCTATCTGGCACTTTAGGCCATGTGTCCACTCAATCAACATTTGGACCCTTGCACATACTCCGGCGCTTGCGCTTTCCTAGAGTCCCATAGCTTTTTTCAATACCAAACAATGGACTCTATTCCAACTAGGCTATTCAACTTTTGGTGGCTCTAGAAAAAGTATTATTATTCCGAGCAGCTTTTCTTGCACTCTTCTATCTCCCGATGGTACTTGAATAAATGATGGACTGATTTTGGATTGCTTCCTCAGCTTGTGTCTTGACCTCCTTATCGGTTTTTTTACTGCTGTTCAGACTAGTGGCTTTATAGGCCTTCGTACCCTAGTCTTGGCCTCTGAGATAAATAACTGAATCCCCTTGCTCATCTTAGATTATTAAATTACTTCTGTAGGGAGCAAACGAGAAGGAGTTCTCTTTTCGCTTGCCAACCAACTAATGGCCAACAAAACAAGCTTTATCACGTGCGTCCCACGTTTTTTTTTTACTACCATTTTTGGAGAAAATGAATATCCTTTTCGGTTATTTTTTATCATCAACAGATCTTAATTTAATCATTTATCATAATAATGTCTCCATCATTGCTTTTAAAACATATGAAGCTTACTTCTTGCATATCACGGCTCATGATCTACACTCGTGCATTTCCAAGGACACCATGCTTTAGCACACGAATTTCAATCAAAAGATCTTTATTACTCCGATCCGAGTCATGGAATCAATTCAGTGTACCTTTAATCCCATATAACTCTGTCGCGCACTTTTCGACAGGATCAGGTAATGAAAAATGATAAAATAAAAAAAATCCTTTCTGAAAACGATCCTTTTTTATTCGGAACAGAAATGTGAGATTACGCTTTGCACAACTGCGCAAACAAAAAAAAAAAAAAAAAAAAAAAGGTGCTCCCTATATACTGGACATAAAACACAGCAGACATATCCTGCTTCTTTCCTTGCTTTTATTAGAAAAGTGCAGATACGAAGAGAGAGAGAATGAAGCAACAATGGAGATATACAGGACCTCGTGTCCTGTGTTTTCAACTTGACCAAGTACATTTATACACACATTAATTTTTTTTTTCTTTTTCGCTTTTCGTTTTGCCAGTTTGGTGCCATGGAGCGCTGCCTCGTCCAGCACCCGGTACAGGATTCAAGGTTAATTTCATCAAGCCGGATGGCGAGAAGGTGACCGTAGAAGCGAACAATGGTGAGAGCCTACTAGATGTTGCTCGTGCTAACGATCTAGATGTGGAAGGAGCATGTGAGGCTTCGCTAGCTTGTTCAACCTGCCACTTGATACTGGATGAGGAGTCATTCAATAAGCTGGAAGAGCCATCTGATGAGGAGAACGATATGCTAGATCTTGCCTTTGGGCTCACAGACACGTAAATGACTTTTTTTTTTTTCATTTTGCTCCATGCTTATCAAAAGAAAAAGAATACTTTTCTTACTCCACTGAAAATTGACTGTGTAATAGATCACGTCTTGGTTGTCAGGTCTTAATGTCCAAAGAGTTAGACGGTTTGACAGCTAAGATGCCATCAGCAACCAGAAATATGTATGTCGATGGCGCCAAACCCAAGCATCATTAGAAAATGAAACCGGAACTCTATCCAGCGATATATATCGATTTTCATGACACAAAATGACACTGCAACATTGTACATACATTTCACACTTGTCAGCTGGAACTGCTATCTTCTTTTTCCCCTTTGGCTGAAGATCATAAAATATATTCATGTATATTCGAGTTTAAACAAGAATCAGCACCATAGTACACCATCATCACTATCATGTCACCATAGAATGGAGCTCAATGTAGCTCGGTAATATGAATAATATACGCACAGATGCATAGATGTATACACTGTTATGACAAATTTGAAAGCGCTTGTGAAGGGAAATGACCGTGGGAAGAAGGATGCGCAGTTATCAATAGTGGAAGCATTCTAAACAAAATATTTAGAATAAAACAATACAAAAAGAAAATGATCTATCATGTCAACTTACTTCTTATATACTCATCGATACTAGAGCAATCTCATTGGGCACAAATTCAGAGTCAAATAATGCTGATGATGTTATAGGTGTTGTTATTATCGTTTAACGAAGCTATCCCATCCGATGAATGTGATGTTGCCGATATTACTCCTGGTAACATCGTGTGTTAAGAGAGGATAGATGGTAAAGGTGCTGATACCTATGGTAGTGCTCATACATGTACCCATCAATCGGCTGAGTCTTTTAAGGACAGGTGTCTCCATGACTAACCCCTATTGGACGAATTGATATGTCCAATCGATGATGGATAGGAACTATGAGATTTAATCTGCCATTGGCTTATACTGTTGTCTGCTGCTTTACGAGTGCTGCTTTAGATAATCAATGGTGATAGCAATAATGACAATGACATAGCGTGTGCTTTGTAAGACTTATTCAACTTAATTAGATCGACTTTGAAAAGGATCGCATGAGACGCTACCGTATTTGGTGACTGCACACGACTCTCATGGTGGATGCTGTTGTACATGTTAGTTTTTACTACTGTTGTTGCCGACATAAAAAGGCTGTTTCAGCCGCATTCGGTATAAAGTTGGTGCTGTCACGTTGTTCCAAAATGATGACAATAGTTTGCTTAAAGCCCCCCGCTGAAATCGAGTTATCGATGTCTTCCATTGAGAAAACGGATACATTGAGTGTTAAAATATGAAGCAGCTTCACAGAGATATTGTCTACTGGTACTGAAATTAGAAATACCCTAATGGTGTCTTCGTTCACACAATGCTTTCCTAGCCACCTCCTATGTTTTTCTGCTGTTTTTTAAGCCGCCTTTTTCATTGTTTTACTCTTCCGATTTATCTCTATCCAAAATCAGTTCTACTTGCTATTAATCTAGTACAAATGTGCATGTCTGTATAACCGCATAGTCTTTAAGTCATGAAAGCACTTCATGATATCCAACATTGGTATCAGACATCTGCCACAAAAAGAAAAGGGTGACATCCGAAAGAAGAGGAGACATATCGACGAATCTAAGACTTAAGGCATGTGTTATCTAAACCTTATGCCTGCGCGCCATCGCTAGGACCCTTTCTGATCGAGCCAAGTCCTTTTAATTGCTGGAAAGTGAACAGAATAAGGTAAGCCACACAACGGTTTTGTCCTGTTTGACCATTATGGCAGCGATCAGTAACGACGGGAATGCGGAATCGTACATAGTCTTTAGTTATGGTAGTATTTATTTTATTTTACTTTTGCCATGATTGAGGTCGTGCCCAGGCCAGTTGAACATTTTTATACTTTTCGTCATGGGCAAAATGATATCCTACTCGACTCGCCTTGACTTCTGTCATCGACACTTTGTTTCTTCCTTCCTCTCTTCCTTCTCCTACCCCTACAGTTGCAACCTTATCGCTACATATTCCTATATCCCATCGTCTTAAAACTGCACCTCTACTTCTGACATTCATTTATTTAACATATTCTAATTCATAAGCTTTCTTTGTATTTACATTCTCTTTTTTCTTTAGTCCTCTTTCAGTTTTAATCTTATGGCTCTGAAACAACCAGTATCGACTTTCCAGATCCGAAACCCATACCGTTTAGAGCGACCTGCATTCGACTCAGCAGAGGTCTGGCAAGCTGCTATTACAGACGAAGAGCAAGCAATACACACAAACCTATCGCAGAGACCGCTTCCACGTCAACTTAAAGAGAGTAGACAGTATGGTGCTAAGAAGAACAAGCAGAACTCTGAGAGTAATGGCTCAAGTACCGAGAATAACAATCCTTACCAATCTAGTCACGAAGTCCAACAGCAGCCCTCTCAACCATCTATCCCTACCATCACCGTCACTCATCATATTGACACATACTCTGAGCTCACGTTTGAGCGCCATGTTGAATGGCTGACGCAAACTGCACTTTGGTGGGATATGCCTGTAGTTCATTTGTATCCGGCACCAGAATCTCGATCCTCTTTAAAGTATGTGGAGGCAGCAGCATCACGGTTTTCTAATTGGGTCAATTTTGTGAAGATTCCAATCAGTGAAGAGACTCAGCTGGGATCTGCTACCTTTCTTGCAAAGTCATCACAGGCTAGCAGAGGAAAGAGCCAAAGGGTCATCAAGGACTCTAAAGTTGACAGCGCCCAGAGCGACACTGCTAGACGGGACGGCAACCAGGAAGGAGGATTGGTGAAGAGCGCTCTCGGGCAACGTGAACTCAAAGATGTGAAGCTCATTGTGGGCTATACATTTGTTGGTTCAGTAGAAGAGCAAGCCCAGTATCATAATGTCTTTGAGGCAATGACAAAGCTGTACCCAATGATTGAGATTCGGTATATCAATTCGTTTGAGCCGCAACACTTACAGTCGCGACAACAGCAGGAACTTTTAGAAGACGTCTACCTTCAAAATTTGAGCTGGATCCATTATTGGAGCGCTGCAAAAGAATCACAGGTACTACAAAGTAAGATAGTGAATGAGGTCGTACGGGCGCGTCCCATGTGGGTTAACGGTGATCTCCTTCATCGCAACTATCTTCCACCCGTGGTTCCAACAACCCCGTCACCTATCCTGGACCATCCTATGTCCTCGCTTTCATCATCAGCATTAGCCATCTCGCCATCACCCAGCGTATACGTTGGTAGTAATGAGGGCGATGGTTATAGCATTGAAGAATCACTGCGAGGAATTCCATCGACAGTGTTGATCGCATCGCACTTGGACACCAGTTCAATCTCAGATGAGCCAAAACAAACCGATATTTCGTCTCATGATCGTCGACATTTTGCATTGGAATGTCAATACGATAATGTCCAAGACACGGGTTGTCTCGAGCGATTGCCAAGTCGAGTTCTCTTGAACCGTACTCAGAGCCCTGTAGATGTTCATCGCGATGCAAAGAATTCAATTAGGCCTTTTAATCGTTCCAAAAAGTGGGGGTTTCCATCATTAGTAGGCGGTGGAGTGAAAGATCGTGAATATCGCAGGTCGGTGTCGACCCCGCTATTACTACTTACACGAGATAATTATAGTAGTGGAGCAATTGCAAAGAGTAAGGAGAGCTTCAAGGGTATAGAGATTGTCGGTTCTAACATTCGAGGTGATACGAATATGTCGCCACCACCAACCTCATCACCACCAAGCTCTCCCACTTCCACATCTTCGACTGCTTCCTCATCGTCCTCGTCTTCCATGGGTTCATTAGGTATTGGCCACCGCCTGGCTGGATTGGCCCATCGTTTTGGCATGTACAAGATAAAAGGGTCTTCACTCATGACTGTCGATCTTTGATGTCCGATCTCTTTTCTTTTTTTTTTTTTATCTTTTAAATCGTATACATTTGTAATAAACAAAAATATATAGCAAGACATCACCTGTTACGAATGCTGCCCTGAGACGTGATATCACGCATTACAGGTTGTTATTCTAACTTTATTCAAAGTGAGATGATGGGAGCTAAGGCACATGTACATTTTTGAAGGGCCATCAAGAAGATGAGAGCAAATGAAGACAAGGTCCCCTTAGGAGTTACAAGAGCTGATCGACACTCCATACTACTGAACAAACTTGAAATTAAAAAGTAAACGAGCTAAGCAAACCAAGGTGTCTTGACGCATCCTGTTGTGCAGCCAATGGTGTTTCTTTTCAAGAGATAAGTAGTGAATTGTATATTTTCATGTTACATGCATACCTTCCTATTTCTACAATTACCGAATATCCCGATAAAATTAAATAAAAAAACTCACGGACGTGCCATACCTTTGATGAGAGCCCTGTCCAAAAGAGCACAATCACAGAATTCTAAAAATAAAGAAAAAAAAAAAAAAAGTATTCCGCATAGAACCCAAGAGCCACGCCTTTGTCATATTGAGAGAATTTTAAATATTGATATAAAGTTATAGGAGCCAGTAAAGCAAATAAAAACATTACCTACGCGGCTTCTTCGGCTTGTCCATCTGTTTGTCTAAACATAAATATCGCGGATCTTTGTATATATATATATACGCACTGCCTTGAATTATACATCTGGCTTCAAGATGCAGCTATATTTTAGGAGTCTTGCAGAAAGGTAAACAGTGCATAACTGATCAGTGACATGGGTGCAAGATGACTGAGACTGTTTTACTCACTATTTAATTCTTTTAAAGATGTGTACAGTAGCGTAGTAGCGTAGTAGCGTATGCTTTCCTCTGAGCTCTTGTCGCATGGCAAATCCTTTGTCCTACCATGTTCTGTAGATGAGGGAGAGGCCCAGGCAGGAGAGGATGTCCCAAAGCGCAGAGTCATTTGGCGCAAAGTACATTCATCTGTTTAAAAAAAAAAAAAAGGGCTACGCAGGAAATTAATAAAATAAGGTTTTGTTTGGTTTTATTACCAGACAAACAACCAGACCAAGACTAGGACCAGGGCAGGAGAACCAAGGTTAAAAAAATAAAAAATAAAAAAGAATGTCCAACACCAACATTGATATAGTGTGTCCATAATAAAATGCTTTTGTAAATGAATCGATGTATACAACATAATGTGTATATGTTTGAATATTACATGCCATGAAGAGGAAGTAAAACAGTTTGGAGGGAGGGGGGGGGGCGGGGTACCAGAATAAATGGAGTCGAGGATACTTTGCAATGTGTCAAGTTAAGGATTCAACCCCAGTCTGTGTACATGTACGTGAATGATTATAAGAGTGTGTAGAGGAAGAGAGAGGGAAGAGAGAGCAAAAAATTTTTCCCGTCCTTCTTTTTTTCCCAACCAAAAAAAAAGATGATTTTTTTTTAAGGCACAGGCACTCGTCAGTGGTTCGCAATTATAATTATTCTTAATTTTATTGACGTTGTCATGAATGAATGGTGTCTCACTCCAGTTGCTGTTGTTTGAAGATTCCTGGTAACCATCCCATACAGTCTTTCCTTCATACAAACAGACTGGCTGTTCTTCTTTATTGACGTGTGTGTGAGAGTGGTTTGCAGGGGTATGGTAAAGTCTATCAGAAAAAAGATGACTTCTCTTTCTTCCATTCTCTTTTCTCTTCCCCTCTTTGTCTTTGTCTCTGTCTTTTCCCCTTTTTCTTCTTTTCTTCCTCCACAAGCATCGCACCCCTTCCTTGCCCTGACCTTGCATCGCAAAGAGGTCCCTTCCCTCTCCTCCTCCGCCCTTTTCCTTCATACATCAATACATTCATTCCAACTCTTCATTCATCATTCATTTAATTCTCTTACCTCTGCTAGCAACAACAATAATACGAACACTTACTTTTTAATACATTCATCCACCTGTAATCGCAATCTTTGCAAGCAACCACCTTACACATTCCAAGGTACATCATCAGTTTCATCAAAAGCACATTGCATGCACTTGATGATTGTAGCTCATCTTCTATCCATCACATACATCACTTTACACATCTCTTCATACGCCATCAACTGCTGGAGTACGAACCCCAGTGCTATTTTTTTTTTTTTTTTTTTTTTTTTTATACCCCTGGTTCTTGTTTAAACATGCCAATATTTTTCAGAGACAAACTGATCGGATGTTTTGGCTGTCTGGTGAACAATTCGCCTCTTTTTATTTTTAACCATATCTCCACCACTCACAATGACAGGAGACTATTTACTGATTCGCTGTGTCTTATTCATTTTATTTTATTTTATTTTTTTCTTCACATATTAATCATATTAATTGTACAGGCAGTATCGGCTCTGAGACCCATCCAGGTAAGGAGACCATTTTTATTTTTACTGTTGTTTTCAACATTTTTTCCTGGCACCTCCTTTGCCAATCTATCTATTTGTATAAAAGTGCGGTTGGGCGCGTGGTATCTATTAACGTACGATACGTGCCTTCTCAACTCTCATATTCATAAGAGAGACCGGTCTGCGACCCCTTTTTGTCCACACTACCAACCGACAAGGCTTTTTTTTTTATCTTCAACCCTTTCTTGCGATCTTTATTATTCTATGCCCTTGCTCAATCTTATTTGGTGCCCCCTCCCCTTGTCTTGTGCGCATGTGCAGTCGTATTATTTTTATATCTAGAACACTGCTCTCCTATTTGGGTTTAGTTTCTACTGTGGTCTGATAAAAAAACTGCATGCTCCCTTAATTCATCTCACAACCTGTCATCCTGAGCAGTCTTCCTTTTTCTAATAACACAATCTGGCTAATACGCTAATACAGAAAAACTTTTTGTTGGCTTTAAGAAACCTATTGAATCTGCATGCCGCATGTTGCATTATTTCGTATAAATATACTCTCCCCCTTTTCTCTTCGCTTTCATACTTGTCAACATGGGTTGTTTGATAGGATTCTTGGAAGATTTGGGATGGGAATACTATTCCTTGCCATCAATTATCCCTGTCGATCCGTTTTTTTATGCAAACATGAGGCATTGCAAACCCTTCATCCCTGAACCGACAGCATGGCACGCGTCAATGTTACTATTATTGGCGTGAGTGAACGTAGTTGCTTCACTTTTGCTTGTTCTCACTCCACTTTGTTTCTTTTCTGTCTCCTTCTCTTAATTTTGAACTTTGCAACCGAGACCATTCAGATTTCCTATTCAATGCTTCACCCTCCTCTCTCATACTCACGTATTCCTTTCTTGTTCTCTTATTCCTTGCTTGCTTAATCTTTTTATTTTCAGATTTTCAATTAATTGATTGTGAAGCAAAATCGACACTACAGGCAAAGGTAGTCTTTGTTTATATAATTGGATTGGCCCATCTTCATTCTTTTGTTTTTTTTTATTTATTTTTTTATTTTTTTTATTTATTTTTTTTCATATTTTATTTTTACGCTGTGATGACGAATGCATGGAATATTCAATGCATGTTGGCCGGTGTTTTCTTGACAAAAGGCAGCACCCCTATCAGCTTGATCTTACACATTGCTTCTCTGGATAGTTTTAATTTGATGATTTTGGTGTTTCTTCTAGTCCTATTTTTATCATTGTAGTGGGTGTGAGTGAACGTGGTTGTAATCACAGTTGGGCAACAGACAAAGGCATCACGTTGTCTGTGTCCGATGAAAAGCATGATCCAACAGGGGCATCACACCTTTTTTCTGTGCTTGTCATCAATATCGTCATCATCGTTATACCCTTGGTCCGCTGTTTTTCTGTGTTGGCCTTGTAGGAGGACTCAACTAAACTTAGGGCATGGCATGTGCATGCAATCCTTTCTCTATTTCTCTTCTCTCCTCCCTTTTCCTTTTTTTTTTTTTTTTTTTTTTTACCTTCCTTATTTCATATTTTTAATTCTTTTTACAACTCTTTCAAATGATCAGAAAATAGTCTCATCATACTAATCAGAAACCACTTCCCCTAATTTTCTTTACTCTCTTTTCATAGTTGCTGGACAGACCTTTTTTTTTTTTTTTTTTTCCTTCCCTCTTTTATTTCCCCACCTACTTGCATTGAACTTCGTCAAGGTAAGACACAGTAATTCAACAAGCCTCGACCAATATTCTACACTCGGATACTCGATGATCGCTCGAATCCAGTTTTTCCTTTTTTCATTATCCAATATTCACTCTATCCACACCTACTGCGCCCATCCTTATTACATATCGGCATGCATCAAGCAAAGACCTCCCTGCTCTACCACATTCACCCATTCAATCTCCCACTTCTGGTCCCTTTTTTTTTTTTTTTTTTTTTTTTTTTCTCTCTTCAACGTGTAATATTTTTATCTCTCAGTCTCCTTAAATTTTTTTTGTCCTGGTCTTTAGCATGGGCATGGATCGTGATTTGTAAAAATGCACAAGATCTCCGTGTATGATTATTTTTGGCTATGGGATTTTATATTAATAATGAAGAGAGCGATGGGTGACATCCTGCTTATATGATTCCGATAATGACCAAGTTGTTCATTTACGTATTCTTGAACATGCTGGCAAACTATCAGGCTCATCATCCAATATTAAGAGAAAAAGTCAGGTGTCCATTCTTTCAAAAAGCTATTTTTTTGCTCCAACATGTCAGGCACCATGATGTTGACTGCTTATTGGAAAAAAAAAAAAAAAAGAAGTTCTTGGGCTCTTTTCTTCTGTATCGTCATTATATGCTTGTTTGACAGTTCGGAATACTAGCCCTGACTGGCGAACTATGATTCGCTACCGGGATTGTACGCTGCCATGAGCTGATGTCGTGATTGTTTTCATATTCCCAATGCCACCTCTATCTGATTACACTCTACTCGATCCTCCAACGCTTGCTGACTTCGGGTCCATAGCTAGTTTTTTGTTAATTCTATCCCAGCCTGGCCCTGACAATCTCATTATACCATAATCTATATTGGGATGTGACAGAGTCGTCCTGCAAAATCCCTTTCATAATCTTCCAAAACTCTTGAACAAAAGCTCTTTTTCCCTTTATTTCCTTATTCACTTAATTTCATATCTAGGATCTCACTCATTCGTAGTCTGTGCCTCACTCCTTTTTATCAATTTCGTAAAAGCCATATGCTTTCTTATCTTTCAATAATTCAAAGTTATTTAATTAAAAAAAAAAAAAAAAAAAAAAAAAGAAACAAAAAGAGAATACAGTGGATCCCAGATTAACACTTATTTCTCCTATATTTTTTCCATAGTATGGACCAGCCCTATCAGGACCTGGAAGGTCAAACAGTGACTTATGCTGAGCCTCAGATCCGCCGCCAGTCCCAGGCTGGTTTGACTATTGACACCAGAGCTCGAGGCAACACAAACTTTCGCCGCCAAAAATCGCTTGTCCGGCCCGAGCGTGAACGTGTTGACCGCAACCATCCACAATACTTTTATAGAAACGTGACACAAAACTTGGATGGATCTCATGTAAGAGTACAGCCTTCTACCACAGGTACTGACCCAACCGGAGCAGCCGTCCCCAACCGATCTGCCGGCCTTCGTCGTGGCAAGAGTGTGCTTGGTCGTGAAATTGAGAAACCTGGGCATTCGCGAGCCAAGGTAAAAACGAATGCTCCCAAGCGTAAGATCATCCCAGACCTTAAGGATCCGCTCAAGGAGAAAAAGCGGGAGTGGCCTTCTAAATGGGTTATATATTACAATGCTATCACGTGCTGTTTTCCAGCAGCGCTTCTGAGCAAGTGTGGTAAGGAGTGGTTCCAAGTTTTTTTTTTTTTTTTTTTTTTTGTAAACAGTTCAAAAACAAACGTCTATATGACAAAGAATATCGTCTAAAGATGTGTCATTGTCCGCTTACTTGACAATTTAGGTATGCATACACCGGAGATTCAGCGAGCATGGCGCGAAAAGATTGCGTTGGTATCTTTGATTGTGTTAATGGTTTTGGCTGTTGCATTTTTGACATTTGGACTTCAACAAGCACTGTGTCAGGACGAACAGAGCGGCAAGTTTGTTGCTGGATCGAGATCCGAAGATGTGATTGTCCATGGCATGGGCTATTACTTCACTGCACAGGATAATGGAAACGGCGAACCTGTTTTTATGCACCCGCCACTGAACAGGGATGTTTCGAGCGAGAGTGTTGATATTATGAATGCAGAAGGAGTCTACGCAGCTAAAGGCAAGGACGCGTCATTCTTATTCCAGGACGCTGCTGGAGGCGCTTGTGATGGATTGATTAGGCGTAACGCTCCTGCAGCTCCGACCGACAGCCAGGCTAACTTCTACTTCCCATGTATCATGCGTAGTATTAACAGTCCTACTGACTACAACACTACCTATGAAAGAGGCATTAATGCTTGCCATACTTCTCAACCCGTTCGTGATTCCTGGAGTTCGCTCAAGAGCAAATACAATGCCCCAGCTTACTACACATGGGAAAACATCACGAACCCTGATCGCGCATTCTTTGCATATGATGGCGATGTGATTGATGCAGATATTCTAAACTGGATCAAGCCTGAATTCACTGTGGATGAGAGCATTAATGCCCTTCGTAACGGGACCATTCGCCTTCGCAGGGATCTCTCGTTTCTCTTTGTTCAAAAAAAGATGACCCATGTCGGTGACTGCTTAAAGCAAATTGCTCGTGTTGGTGCCATGGATTCCAAGACGATTGGCTGTGTGACCTCAGATGTAATCACCTACGTTTCGTTGGTCATCATTCTTGGTGTTGTATTCATCAAGTTCTTCTTGGCTGTGTTCTTCGGCTGGTTCCTGAGCCATCGCCTAGGTGGTTTTGAAAATGAGACCTATCAGGATCGTATGAAACGTGCAGAGCAAATCGAAGCATGGAGCTCTGATATCAACCGACCTGCCTTTGCTGGCGCCAAACGTTCAACCTTCTTTCCTACTACCTCTCGTTTCACTCCTACTACTAGCAATCCTGGTTCTTCTAACAGTTTAGTAGCACCGTCGCTCGGTACTCCTAGTGCTAGGCCTGTATCGATCTTTAATCGCCCTGGTGCTGCCTTTGGTAAACCATACACGCCTCCCGGCTCACCAGGCATCAATCCCGCATTTCTGTCAGCATCTGCTGCATCTAGTACTTCTTTGAACCGCGGTTCTTATCTGAACCAGTCCCCAGGTCCAAATGGCACTCCTCCTCCATCGCCGCCACCAGTTCCTAATCCCATGAGGCCTGCCAGCGTGCACAGCTTTGGAGGCTTGCGCAATATCTCCCGGCGCTCTTCAACTTCATCCTCCACTGCAATTCAGCAATCCAACTGCCCTATGCCTACGACACCATTTCTCATCCCTCAGCCCCCTGTATCCTATCAGCCTTTTAATTTCCCCCTGATTCACACTATGGCCTTGGTCACTTGTTATTCAGAGGGCATTGATGGACTTCGCACGACTTTGGATTCGATTGCCACAACCGATTACCCTAATTCACATAAATTAATCGTTGTTATTTGTGATGGCATGATTATCGGAGCTGGTAACAACATGTCAACCCCGGATATTTGTCTTTCGATGATGCAGGATGACCTTGTGCCACGTGACGAAGTCGTTGCCCACTCGTACGTTGCTATTGCGGATGGTACTAAGCGTCACAACATGGCCAAAGTCTATGCCGGGTTCTACAAGTATGATGATGAGACGGTCCCAGATAAGAAGCTTCAAAAGCGTGTCCCAATGTGCGTGATTGTAAAGGTTGGAGGTCCTACGGAACAGAACATGCCTAAGCCCGGTAACAGAGGAAAGCGTGACTCTCAGATCATTCTGATGGGATTCTTGCAACACGTTATGTTTGACGAGCGTATGACATCGTTCGAATACGAATTCTTCAACACTATTTGGCGCCTCACAGGAGTTTCTGCAGATCGATATGAGATTGTGCTCATGGTAAGTCTATTCAACTGTTTTGTAGCAAAGTGCGGAAAAAAAAAAAAAAAAAAAAAAAGATTAGCTTCTAACTTGAAATCTTCATTGGTCTTTTGCCCTTTAAAAGGTGGATGCTGATACCAAGGTTTACCCTGATTCACTAACCCGTATGATTGCAGCCATGGCCCATGATCATGAGATTATGGGTCTGTGTGGAGAAACCAAAATTGCCAACAAGACTGACTCTTGGGTGAGCATGATCCAAGTTTTTGAGTACTATATCTCACATCACATGTCCAAGGCTTTCGAGTCTATGTTTGGAGGCGTTACTTGTCTGCCAGGATGCTTTTGCATGTACCGTATCAAGGCGCCTAAGGGTGGTAACGGCTACTGGGTTCCAATCCTGGCCAATCCTGATATTGTCGAACACTACTCCGAAAATGTTGTTGATACTCTTCACAAGAAGAATTTGCTGTTGTTGGGAGAGGATCGTTATCTAAGTACGCTCATGTTGAGGACGTTCCCCAAACGCAAGATGATGTTTGTACCTCAAGCAATCTGCAAAACTGTTGTCCCTGATACATTCAAGATTTTGCTGTCGCAACGTCGTCGTTGGATCAATTCAACCATTCATAATCTGTTAGAGTTGGTCCTCGTTCGTGACCTGTGCGGTACTTTCTGTTTCTCGATGCAGTTTGTTATTTTCATGGAGTTGGTTGGAACTGTAGTCTTGCCTGCTGCTATTTCCTTCACTATTTATTTGGTCACTATCTCAATCTATCGCGCCATCTCACATGATGAATCGATCCCTGATACGACTGTTCCTCTGCTCCTGTTGGCAGCCATTTTGGGATTGCCTGCAGTTTTGATTGTGATGACTTCTCGCAAGATGGTCTATGTTGGATGGATGTTGGTTTACCTGTGCTCGATCTTTATCTGGAACTTTGTCCTGCCTGCTTACGCTTACTGGCACTTTGACGATTTTAGTTGGGGTCAGACCCGTATGGTTGCTGGCGAAACAGCTGGAGGCGATCACAGTGCAAAGGAGGGTCAATTTGACAGCTCTAGCATCACAATGAAGCGATGGGGTGAATGGGAGAAAGAACGTCGCCAGAAGGCAGCCATTTTGGCTGGGCTGCCTACGCCCCAATTCCTGGTTTCGGATTCCGGTGAGGATTGGATGAGTCAAGTAAGAGAAGAGGAGCTTTCGGACGAGAGTTCAAGCTCACGTAGGACTGGTGATAGTTCGCAACCTTTTGCAAGACAAATGACCTCTGGATCGTCTGCATCCACCGGAGGATACTCGCTCTCAGATGCTCCTGTGTACCCAAGCTCCGGCCTGGACTCAATTCCTTTGATGAACATGCATGCTCCTGCACCTGGTGGAACGATAGGTAGACAAAGTATGTATCAGTTCAACAATCCAGACCGAATGTCCACGCTGACACCACCAGCAGCGGGTCACATCCCCAATCGGCAGCACACATCATCTCCCAAGCAGAACTACACACCTCCTCCCATGCCTCCAACTGGCCCTCGCTTAAATTCGATTGACACACGAGCACCATCAAGGCCCGCATCACCTTTGTCACGACAAGATTCATAGTATCACAAGCATGGTGCAAAAGAACTCTGAATATTTTTTAGACTTCAAAACTATTTACACGCATTACATTCTCTTTTCAATAATTCAAATCGGTGCAAGCGAGCAACCTTGCCCTAGTCAACAATCCTACTCTTAGAATACATTATCATAATTATTTGCTTCATAAAATAAAAAAAGAACTCTACGAAATCGATTCAGCGGGAAGATGCTCCCTCCTTTCCATTGTGGAAAAAAATTGCCCATTTTTTTGATCCAAGGGCTTTCAAGCTCACAATCATGATTAATAGTAGAACTTTGAAGCATGGATGGTCATCAGCACTTTCAGCTTACTGAGGAATGTTTCATTCCTCTTTACTAACAATTATTAACGTATTTTGCGGCCTCTTTCTCAGAAAAAAAAAAAAAAAAAAAGGTGATATTATTAATCGGCTTTAAGTACGCCTCGTGTGGATTTAAGATGAGTTCGTATGTGTCTTTTGAGGTTGCTGGCCACATTAAAGTCCTTGTTACAGTATGAGCAAACGTGAGGTTTCTATAAAAAAAAAAAAAAAAAAAAAAAAAAAAAAGTATCAATAGTTATGAAAAAATAGTTTAACAAAAAAAAAACATGAGCTCGTTAGTGCAACTTGTATGCTTGCTTCCTTTACCTCTCCCGTGTGTGTAAGCCTATGAGTTTCTAGTTGGCTTGGTCTCGAGAAGCGTTTCCCACAAGCGGAACATTTGTGTCTTTTTTCTTCAGGAAGTAGCTTTCCATCTTTACCCTTGTAACCAAGTCTCTGCTGATGTTTGACAATATTTGACTTGGCATCACGCTTTCTCTTTGAGAACGAGACAGGTTCAAGCGATTCCGGCCTGTTTCCATCTTCTTTTGCATCGCTGTTATTAATTTCATTATCATCCTCGTCGTCCCCGTCATCACTACTCTTGTCGTCTATGTCTGTATCGTTGTAATCGTTGTAATCATTGTAATCGTTATCATCATTGTCATTGTCGTTATCATCATTCCACCGCTCCCGTTCTGAACGGTCTTTGCTTCTTCTAAGATCTCTACTGCTGCTGCTGCTAATGCTGGTAGCTGTGGATATATGGTAGTGTTTTCTATCTTTGCCCTTTGAGCGAGGAGAAGAAGGATTATTACTGATGCTAGACGCCTGTCTCCCTTGTTCTCCAGAGTTCCTTCCATCCATTTTAGCTTCCGATCTTGTGGCATAGTAATTATTTATCCACATTGAATGCAGCTTCGCAAGATCTTCAACTGTATAATATCCTTCTTCACCAAGTTTGAGCTTTGACTCAGTCTTGTGAAGTCTATCAGCTATGACTCCAGCTTTGTTAAAACTATGGTGTTCGTGCTGAGAAGTCGTCCAAGAACGTGTGTGATTTAATTCAAACGAATCGTCGCCATCTAGGCTCGAATCTTTCAGTGATTTAAAAAAAAAAAAAAAAAAAAAAAAAAAAAAAAAAATTAATACCACAATAATTTCTTTTTAAAAAAACTTGCATCTGGCATGGTATCATGCTGCAAGTTTGTTTGCCGCCTAGAAGACCTTACTATCTAATGATACAAACGACTGTCTTACTGGTTGAGTCTTTCAAAAGGGTTGAGCTGCTTCCTCGGAAGTTTGCAAAAGTTGATTGTCTTTGAGCGCTTGTTAAAGCTGGTGTGGTAATATTGGACACGCTCTCATGGCGCTGTGCTATAAAGAGCGTGGATTGGGCTTTTTGGAAGGTAAGAGAGAAAGATGGTGACTTCATTAGAACTACTTTATCCCAAAATGAGGTTAATACACTTCCTTTTTTCCCTTTTTTGAATCCTCACCCTCCGAGTCTTCTTTCAGCTCATCCTGTTCGTAATGCTTTAAACTTTTTTGTTTGACCCCGAAGCTACGCAAAGATAGCCTCGGAAGAGTTGGTCGTTGAGTTTGCCCCTTATCACCATCAACCAAGATGTCCATTACTTTTTCTTTTCGCTGCCGCTGCCATAGATGATCGTCGTCATCATCGTAGGACGCCCTTCTCTTGATAGTGTCAAATGAATTTGTTTGTTGCCTTCCTTGGTTTAATTTCGAATACGGACCTTTACTTGAAGGTACAGTATCTTTGTCTAGACGGCGTTGACCACGTAAGTAATCATATGAATAATAGTAGTGGTGTTCTTCTTGTAGATGAGCATCGTGCCAATCGCGACTTTGTTGTATATTACCCCATGTTGGGTCTCTTTGCTCTATATTGCTTGTCGATGAGTGTGATTCTCTCCTGGATTTACTTCCACTCCCATGATTACTACGTAAATAATAGTGATCATAATGCTGTTTTGGTTGTCCGTCTTTCTGCTGCTGCTGATGCACTTCCTGCTGTTCAATATAATAACTATGCCGATTATAGTTTTGAGATCCTTTGATTCGTTGCCCATCGAGCAGTTCTGTATCATGAAATGGAGGAAATGATTGCTCGCGTGTAGAGTGGTATAGAAGATGTTTGTGAAGATGACTTTGGTCTGACTTTGAAGGTCTTTGATGTCGTGATAGGGACAGGGATGAAGAAGCTTCCCTTTGCAGAACGCCGGACCCCTGTTGGTACTTTAGAGAAGAGGAAGAAGAAAGGGAAGAAGCATTCTGTTGATGTTTAATCGATGACCACTGTCTGTCATATAGTATATCAACAGATCTGTGTATTCTTATTTGTTCAGTCAAGGAATAGCTAGAGTGACATACATGTTCATGATTTGATGGCTGTATACTATGTTTCATATAGTCATCGTCAACAACCAGGCCTATAGAGCGAACATTTCGACGATGATCGTCATGATACTTCGGACTAGTTGATGGATACTCTCCATCTCTGAACCGTTGCTGCTGAGAGCCATAAAGATCAATTGTTGTTCCTCTCCTTGTTTGGTCTATTCAACGCGACAAGGACGAAAGTATCAAGCAGGAAAATAAAAAGTCAGAAAAAAAAAAGAATGGGGCTGTTCTTTTCCTCTCCCCTATTCAATCGCAGAAAAAATGTTGAAGTAACCAATCGTATCTCATGGCCCAGGCAGGTAACACAGTGAAACATGCTTGGAAAGGAAAAAAAAACTGTGATACCTTTCATGACAGGGGATTGCAAGGTTGATAATGTTGAATGCCTCAACACCTTGTCGTCAGTCGCAACTGGAGTGGGTAGAATGATAGCAGATGCTTGCGTAGGAGTAGGGGAGCGGTTCGATGATCGAGCGAAAGAGCCGTGTTGATGAGAGGAAGCAAAGATGGGGATGTCCGCTGAGACTATTAGCATTTCTGGTGTAACTCTTGAATCATCAGAAGAACCATGGTATTTTCGTTCCTGTTGTTGATATTGTTGATCATAAACTTGAGATTGAGATTGTTCAGGCTTCAACTGCCGTAGATATTTTGAATGTGAATGAGTCAAGTATTGATGAGATTCTTCCAATAGTGGTGCATCAGGTATATCTTGTATAGGTTTATTACCAAGATCTGTTTGACGACTTTTGTGTGTACTTTTGTGGCTATGCCTCTGTTCCATTCTTTCTCGGAAACAGGAGCAAAAAAAAAAAAAAAAAAAAAAAAAAAAAAGGAGAAAGAGATAGAAAATGAAGATGAGGAGACGAATATCTAGTATCGACAGTGAATGGAGTAGTTATTGAGGTTCATCGTTTCACTTGAAATGGGATATCTTTGGCGTAAGAAGGATAAGAAAAGCAAGCTTCACTTTAGTCAAGTTGAAGTTTATCGTAAAAATGTAACACGCGTTCTTTTTAGAATAAATTAATTTATAAGCTTAACAGGGGGATATGCAAATGTTTGTGGCGAGTGAGGCAAGTTGAATAGATGAGGCAGTTAAATGAATTAAAGGACATTCTTTTGCTCATTGAAGCGACAATGCAACAAATGATTTACCCATGTGCATGAGTTAAAAAAAAAAAAAAAAAAAAGGAAGAAAGAAATAGGAAAAAAAAAGATTGTCTGTATGTGGTTCGGTGATGATACTCCATGCTCAAGTATACTTTCGCACACGATATCATTCCCGCCCTCTCTCGTCCTTTCGGCGTTTGAACCAATTGTATTTGATTTAAGTACACATTGTTGTGTAAGGTGTTCACCAGAACAGGGTTCGATCGCGCTAGAAGCAATGCAACAATGGGATCGACGAGGACTGAGTGCTGTTAGTTTGTTCCAACAGTTAGTTCGCGTTCATCTGTTCATTTGGAATTGAAACAGAGCTAACCAAATGTGTGAGTATCAAGCAGTGATCTTCACCTCCTATTGAAATTGTGTTATTTAAAATTTATTATGGTAAGAATCAAACACGCTTGTCGTAAACAGTTGAAGCAAGTCTGCTGCTTGGTTAAAAAATTGTTCACATGTTCAGGTCTCCCTCACCACAGAACAATAGTATTATCTTATAAGAATCTGCCTTGCTTTTATCACCCTTAAACCAAACCACAGAGGATTCGGTCTCGACCATTCCTTACACCAGTAATCTGATTAAGTTATTTCATTTTTTTTTTTTTTTTTTTTTTTTTGTATCCCATCCATTCATTATTACCTGAGTTGACCTTTGAGAGTCAGATATTTATATCGACGGTCTCAAGCACCACCTTGGTGTCTGCTACTGACTTTGATGCCCTTTGTTTCTGGTACGCATTCCAGGAAGGTATAGTGTCACTTACATAAAGAGTTTAACATTGATAACATGTCGATGATTTCTTCAGTGATATTCACCAATTTTTCTATTCTCTTGGTATGAATAGGTTTCAAGCGTTTTAAGATAGCATTTATCCGGATCTAACAACATTGTTGACTAAAAATACCTACATCCCCAAAGGACTTTACGGCCACTGTTAATAATTACTTTATTTTGAATATCGAATTCAAGGATTAAGATCTTTGGCATTGGAATGGGATGATTCCAACTCCTATTTGACACCCGTAAATGAATAGAGAAATGTGAAGCACGTTTTTTTTTCCATCTGCGTTTTTTCTCTGGCGCAAAGATTGGACCTTGACTTGATGTAGTACAGAGTACATGCAGAAGAAATAAATTTTTAGCATGAATTTTTTCAATTCAATGTTCCACTTCTATAAATGGAGGCACTCCATTGGTCCATTTTCTTGATTTAGATATTCGGCGGCTGTGTAACATTTTTATATCCATCTCTATCGAAAGACTCTTGCCACTCTATCTGACTTGAACGCTGTGCAGTTATGACATGCACATTGCTTTACCAATCTCCGGAGATACCCAGTACTCCAGTATTAATATTCATTTACAAAGCATAGTTACAGATAGAGAAGACAGAACAGACAGATATCTCCAAAAAAAAGAAAAAAAAAAAAGGAAACTTTATTTTCATACAAGGAAAGGACAGCGTACTGATGGTTCTTTTTTCGTTTCGTTACGATCAATGAAATAGGTGTCAAAACTGTCTACTATTACATCAATAAATCAACAAAAGAATAGACGCGTCAGTATTGCCAACTTTCCAAAAAAAAAAAAAAAAAAAAAAAAAAAAACCCCTTTGCTAAATTAAGCTCTTGATCTTTGTAAGCTTACCATGAATATAATAAAAAAATGATGAAAAAGTAGAAGCTGTACAGATTCGGGATTAAAGGAAATAATCCGGGACATGGCGACTGACATGAGGTTCGCCACGACGAGGAGCGGGATCAAACTGCAGGAATGTATACTTGAGATGCTCATCAATCTCCATGATAGCGGCCTGATTGCCACACCGGTAACAATAGTTGGGTGCGCTAAAAATAGTCACTACGTTCCTGTCCTGGCACCAATTGTAGCCCTATGGTTATGATGGAATAGGATGTAAAGACGTAAGAAAAAATAGTTTTTTTTTTTTTTTTTTTTTTAGATAATCGCCAAATTGACAAAATGAATGAATCAGTTGTTCTTTTTGCTTTTACCTCCATGACCAATTGATGCGCTCTCGCAATTAAAGTTAATCCATTGTTATGATTAAATGTCTCTGAGACGTCCTGACCAAAGGTATAACCGGCGCCTCTGGGTGAAATACCCCACCCACAGCGATCATCTGGATCAGACCAGAGCAAATCACACATAGGTCCTTCATGTGGTACTTCCTGGATACGGTCCAATTGGCGAATGTGGTCAAGAGAGTCGATTGAAGGAGAAAGGCCCCCATGGAGACAGAAGATCTAGAGATGATAATTATACAAGCAAAAAAGACATTATTTTTTTTGTACGCTTGAGTGAGCGCAAATGTCCAGTTGTGTCAAACATGCATCTAAAAGCAGACTTTAGCCCAAAAATAATTACCTGGTCCTCAATCAAAGCAGTCAGAGGAAGATAATCGAATAGATCCGTAAACGCCTTCCAAACATTAGCATTGCCATATTTTCGCAGGCACTCGTCGTAGAATCCATATACTTGAGTGATCTGACGCGATTCATGATTTCCTCTCAAAATCGTGACGCGGTCCTTATAGCGAACCTTGAGAGCAACGAGTAGTGTCACAGTCTCAACAGAATAGTAGCCGCGGTCGACATAATCACCCATAAACAAATAGTTGGTATCAGGCGAGTTACCTCCAATGCGGAAAAGCTCCATCAGGTCGTGAAATTGACCATGAATATCACCGCAGACGGTCACAGGGCAGCGAACAGGCTGGACGTTGGACTCTTCAGTCAGAATCTCTCGAGCCTAGAATAGGGATATTAAATAGCATTAAAGTGAATGTGATCGATTAATCAAGTTGGTCAACTAGTCGGAGATGGGCAATCGCCTGTCCACAAAAAAAAACCTCCCTTCTGTTGTTTCCCGTTTTTCCTAAATAATGACACTGACAGTACCACGCGACTTGCAATCTGTTGTTTTTTTATTCCCCTCATTTTTTTTACAATGTTATTCTGGCATTACCTTTTCACAGAGTCGCTTAATGTCTGCTTCTGGAAGTTGTTTGCATTGCATGAGATGCTGAATCCAGCCCTCAACATCGCTGACATCCGTGAGACTCATGACTGATTGAGACAGTTATCTTTTGAATCAAAATTATTATAGGATCGTGATTACGTGGTAATGAGAAAGAGAGCACGATGAAGAAAATTTGTCGTTTCTAGATAGTAATGATATTTTCAAAAAAAAAAAAAAAAAAAAAAATCATTCAAATTAGATCGGTGACGCAAATGAAAATAAATAAAAGATTCGAATTAACATATCATCATCTCAATGTTGTACTGCCATTAAAGGAAGATCACAGAATATGATCATTACAAATGTCATACTCCAAGAGAATAGACGTGTTAATTGAATTTCGCATAGAGACAGAAAATGGAAACTCTTCTAGATCATGGAACATTAGACCTCCTAGGTCGCTTGTGCCATTCCCCTTCATTCACTCACAACAACAGGATAAAAGTGACGAATGTAACCTCACAGAGAATGAGAATATATTAAGAACATATCCATGTTTATCCACCCAACATTATGATTAATTGGATAAATACAAGTGGGTCAAGCTGTCACAAAAACACGTCTTCATTTGCTGCCTTCAAGGCGATAGACATATAAAGAAAGACAATATCAATGAGCAATTTATTGTAGAAGAGAATGGATGGGAGGATGTAAGGAAAGGATAATGTGGATATTATCATTTAATTGGAAATGGCGTCGTACCTTGATGATGTTGCTCTTTAGTGATGAATAAAAAGAAAAAAGATTATGATCCGTTGTAGTCAATTGGATCAAAGGGATGCTGTGTAAAGGAAAGAACTGGAGATTAAAATCTAAAAATTATAATCTAAATAAAAATAAAAAGAGGGTTTGGAGTATCATAGGAGACACGCGTTTTTTGGTATCCAGTTCTTCAACCATGTTTTCTTTCTTTAAAGCAGCTGCATTGTATGTACCAATTTATTCTGAAATTACTTTATGCAACGCGTGTCTATTTTCGATATCCTGTAACACTTGGATGATCTTGGAAAAGCTTTGTTGGACTTCTGCAGATCTTGGGGCCCCAAATGATATTTTAAGACTGTCACTTGAATATTCATTTCCAGCTAAAGTAAAAGATCCATTCAAGGATTCGTCTTGAAAAGTTTGTGACAGTTCTATCCGGTCTTGCCGCCTTGCATTCTCAACCTCGATTGACTCTTGAAGGGCTGCATATCCATTCAAAAGACCCAGCATGGGCACAAGACTTTGCCCAGCAATCGCACGATACAATCGAAGCTCGCTCTCCGAATGCCCTGCTACGATAAAACCAATCAACAATGCCAAATATGCCGCTAAAACTTGGTTTTCTGTCTATTAACCAAATAACAAAAGTTATGCGTCGTGAAATAAATGAATAAAAATATAAATAGTACTTTCTTTCTTACCATTTCACTGATTATAGCCTCTGTATTGTAAATATCCACCAGTCGCTCCAGGACTTCAGTACTCTTTTCACACTGACACTGTCCATGGAAACAGTCGCCAATAGCCTTGCAGTCTAAACCTATAGCTGTGAGCACATTGAAAAGGGTTTTCGTCATTGATCAATAATAGGTTTCCCATCAGTCACAAATAAGAAAAAGAAAAAGAAAAAGAAAAATAAAAAATGCAAATAGTTTCTACCTCTGCCAACGAGTTCTTCCTTCCTCACTGGATTTAATTCCAGCATATTGATCAACAATGCAAGTGATAGCAAAAGAATGTCATACCACTCATTTGCATCATCCCCAACTATGATTTCTGGAAAGTTTTTACAGGATTCCTTCTCTTCCTGCCCATTAACCTCAGTACGTAAATTATTTGCTCCCACATTTGCCAAAGCCAAATCTTTCAATAAGAATGTTCGACTGGAAGGTCTCATATCTAGCCGGCATTCAACTTCTGTCCTAAGTGCCCGCTCTATCCCAACTTGTATATCCTCAGGATTATAATTCCTACAACGTGCATAGAACTGGACGAAATTTTGGATGAAGACATGAATAGAGTCGCTTTGAGCGAGTTTATCGCAGCATGGCTCGTTCCCATTTGTGAGATTAACCAATAGGCGTAGCGTATGCAGCATAATATTAATAGAATCTATACGGATATAGTTAAATTAGTAAGAGGTTTTTTATACTTCTATTTTTCTATAATATGATAGCGGTTCGTTATCGGGAGCTGCGAGAGCCTTACCAGTTCGACGTGGGTATTGAAAGGAATGAGCGCGACAGAGAGTAATTAATTGCACAAGAAGAGGAAATAGACGCGTATTTTCTGCCAACGACGCAGCCGGACGTTCAGAGACAAATGCCAGTCTCTCGATTATACGAAGGCAGTTCTCTATCCTATCAATGTCCAACACATCCGGTAGGAAAGCGCCCTTGAGTCAAAAGCGGTATTGAAAAAATATTAGAAAAGTTTCGACACAACAGCGCCTAACCAATAGCGCCTAACCAATAGCGCCTAACCATAAGTATAAAAAAAAACAAAAACAAAAAAGCAGCCATACTGATGACAGCGACGGTTGCTTAATCCAAGCGAGATCATCAATTAAAAGCTCGATGACGGTATGCAAGAAGTCAGGGTCCTGATTGATGACTGTAAGTGCTTCTATATCCCCTGAGGAAACACTCTCAGTGATAAGACAGGCTATCGCTGATAAAACTATTGACTTTGTCAAGACCTTTTGGCCTTTTTGGATAATGCCTGATTGACGCGCAATATCTTTGAAGTCGTTGTACTAACAAGGTAAGTCCCAAAAAAATACAATGCGGATTAATTGCTATGAATCACACCGTTAAAGTATTGTTGAACATGTCCAAAAAGACTGACCATTGTCAGCTCTTGTCGAGTACTTGGCATCAAAGCCATTGGGTCCATTTCCATTCCAAGCCCACTACAAAGGTATTTAAGGAGATTATCGATGGCAACAATATCGTTACAAGCTCGTATATCTTGAAGGACAATCCCTAACATGAGTATCGAACAAGAAAATACGAACTATCCAAATATTAGGTTGGCGATAAGGCTTGGTGGAGGGAATACACTCTAGATAAATGCAAAAGGATGCTGGATTTACTGGATCTTGATCATGATGTATTGCTTCGAAGATGATGGGCATATATTGGTGCGTCCTAACTTGCTCAACAAATTCCTTTTTCAACATTAAACGTGCAAGCTCTAGGCAACTGTTCGGTGTAAAGACGTATTATGAGCTTACTGAGGGCCAGCTGACACCCACATAAACAAAAAAAAAAAAAAAAAAAAAAAAAAAAGAAAAAGAAAAAGAAAGAAAAAAAAAAGAAAAGCATCGTGATCGTGGGTAGTAATTTTTTTTTAAGCGTGCCTGGATTGGCGAATTTTCAGCTTGTCTTTAGATCTGACGCCCTCCATGACATATTCAATCTCGTCCTTGAATCGATGACCCTGCCCAACTTCACGAAGTTCATGTGATGCCTTCAGAGTTGCTGATTGCTCCTAAAGGATATAATCCAAGAAGAGTGAACATGACAAAATTGTATCAGTATTGATTATAGTCTGTCTAATATTTGTTAGCCAGCTTTATTATAGGCAATTGTTCACCAATCTTTCGCCACTAACCTTTGATCCTTGGCAGCATGTGTTACTCACGGTGGAGTAGGCATGAGGGTTAAATCGATTGCTCTGTATGCCTCCACGCTTTATTGCTGGAAGTATACTAATATCAGAGTTGATCCTTTTGAGCGGCAAGGTTAAACTGCTGAGCGAGGATTGTTGTATATCGCTATTCTTACAGAGCTCTTCATCCCCCAATTGATTATCTATTGGCTCCTGCTGGTCCAGAAAGCTTCGCTGTCGTCCATAGGTCTGCCTTGGCATAAAGCCGAGTGTTTTGCGTGGTCTAGGAGGCATGTACTTATTATGACTGCCGAAGTTGTTTAAAAAAGCTTCTCCATTTCCGAGATCCATGGTCGAAGGCTTTGGATGCTGTTCATATCACGTGAAAACACCTACAACCAAATGCCTTTCCTACGCTTCTTTTCCTTTCCATTACATCCAACTTTGATTGTACCTTAGCGAAATGTCTGATTTCCAGCGTGGATTGCAAGCTTATGAGCGATTACTCAAGTCTGATGAAGGCGTGCGTGCTGGCACATGTCGGAAATGCGGTGGAAGTAAGTCATTCAGTCGTGTCATTCCGTATTGTTTGGTTTATTTGCAAGCGTCCGTGGAAGTAAATATTTATATTTTGACATGTTACTACAGGTGGCCATTTGACATATGAGTGCCGAAATTTTATCAAATTGGATCCGCCAGCAGCTAAACCAAAGGCAAATTCTCGCTTTGGCTTCTTGAAGAAACAGCTAGGGGTTGCAAGCTCTGCTTCACCTTCGCCTTCAGCTTCTGCGAGCGGTGGAATGCCTCAAATAGTTTCATCGACAACAGTAGGCGGCGATATTGAAAAGACAAAAGCACGGAGAAAGTCGCCTTCATCATCTCGACAGAAGGAAAAGAGACATAGAAGCGCCAGTAGCCACAGTGATAGCAACAGTGACAGCGAATACACATCTTCAGATTCCTCATCGGATTCGGAGGATGATCGTCGCCATAGGAGAAAGAGAAGACATAAATCTTCAAGACATAGAAAAACTGACCATAGCCGTAGCCGTAGCCGTAGCCGTAGTCGCAGGATTAGTCGACATAGACGCCAATCTTCACGGGACAGGTCTTCGGATAGACATGAACGAGATAGTCGGGACGATCGAAGAAGTTCAAGAGCTAGTCATCGCCAATCACATTCTCGACGGTCTCGGTCTCGTTCCATTTCAAATTCCCCTATACGTGACAGATCTAGATCAAGGTCAGAAGACTGCTAACCCAAAGCTATTGATGTTGTATGCATTTGAATCCTCGTCAACAAACTAACTCTCTTGCTTTTATAATTTGCCTGATTAGGGAACGCAGCAATACATATAATAAGTCGCCGAAACGTGCGGCTAGACCGCGCTTTCGTTCTCATTCTCGTTCTCGTTCTCGTTCTCGTTCTCGTTCTCACTCGCCCCAGAATTTGAAGGAATATCGAGCAAACTCAAAATCTCGGTCACCTAGCATTTCTAGAGGACGACCCCGTACCAGATCGCGATCTCCTTCTCTCTCCAGCTCACACACACACTCCTTCCAAGTTACGAGGAGAGATGATTCGCGATCTATGTCACGTTCTAGGTCACCGAGACGAAGCTCTAATTTAAGATCCAGGTCCAGAACCCGTCATTAAAAAAGCAACTACAATTTTGATGAAAGAGTATTAAGAAATAAAGATATTTACATTTATACTAAACAAAGAGAGGTTTTTCCTGTTTTACTTACTCCAAGCCAATTGCGAACTCCAATCATTTTTGGTTATTTTACTAAAATACCTACCCTAAGCTGAATTGAAAAAGCTTGATCTCTAAAATCCAACAATGCATCAAGAAAGCTTTCCAGCTTAACCACATCATTTGGTCTGGTGCCATAGGCATGAAAGAAGGCGAAGACAATGAGGCCCCCGAAGAGAACATGGCTAATGACTCTAAGCCCACTTTTAAGAATGGCCATGTCCGGAAGTAATACCAATACTTAAATCAACTACCAGCAGATATACGACTAGTATTTTGTCCAAGAACAGTATTTGGGAGGCCTCTCGTCAATCTCAGGAGACTGCCTCGCTAGCTCTATTACGAGAAAACGGAGCGGAACATCCTACAAGATCGATTCTGGTAAACAAGATCTGTACGTATGGTGAGACTAATCGCTTGACTAAAAGCAACTATGAGCGCTATTGTATCATTTATTAATCGGAGACCAGATCCATCAGGGCCGACCCCAAGAAAAGCCAAACGGCATACGGAAAGCGGTTAACGACGATGACAGGGCTTGATGCAGAAGCTCGGCATTGGCCTAATGAAGCACCACCTTGATACCTGAAACGATACTAGGGTGGTACGCCAGCTAATCAACTCATTCCTCCACCTTCCCCCATCGCGCCGTCTCCCTATGGATATGTGCTCTCCAGTCACCTGCAAACTAATGGACCGAGGGCATATGTGGATGCATTTAATATTATAAAAGTACGTGTCGGATAAGTCGAGAATCAAGGTACCAGATATGAAATGCTATTTTCAAACCGTTCTTCTATCGAGGCATCACTAGGTAACGGCCCTGACAAGGTTGTAGTCGTAAGTGTTGATCCTGGAGAGATCATATATGCGTCCTTTTGCGCGTTTGACCATTCATTCTCATGTCGCCAGTCTCTGGAAACCCTCAAGAGACACAGACCAATCGTGACCCAGCCCGCCGAGATCGGCTCAACCATTAGGATCATCCTATATAAGCGTGAAAACACCGCTGAAGAGTACATCGAATTGCCAAGTATCAAGGAGTTCTCTAGGTCTTTACCAGACAGGTACTTTGTGTCAATCGAAGCACACAAGGAAGGGCCCGAGCAATGATGGTATCTACATGGCGCACTGTCCGGATTTTATGTGCTACACCAGCTGAAAAATGATCCTGGGATCATTTCAAGGCAGCAAGGCTGAGAAAGACTGGGCTTTCTATGGTGCATTAAAAGTGTCCGATTCTTAAGGAGAGGTCCCCTCGAGGCTGACTATGCTTGTATACGATGATGGGTAGTTCACAACCACCAGAAGCCTGTCGTCGAAGTATGCAGCCTTCAAACACTTCTACCAAAAAGCTACAAGTCTCGGATATGTAGTGGTCGAGGCCGACGAGTGCTTGACGTCAACGAAGCGCCCAAGCTGCGTATCTAAAAACCACGACTTCAGGCTAGCCAAACCGACGAAGAGTCCTGTATTTGTTTGTATAATGAGTCTCAAACGTGGATGGGCCGTGATGGCATTGGTGCCTATTTCTTCTCCGTCATTGGTCGAACTTGGATCCACGACATAGCCCGCCCAACACCCTCCAGCGCCCAGACTATCAGCACTAAGTGGTAAAAATTTCCCTTGTAATCTTGTAGTGTGAGACTAGGGATTTAGAGCCTAGAGCAGGTTTTATTTGGTCAATAGCCAAATTATTTGGATAGAATATGAGCACGCAAAAAACGTGGTGTTTATGACTTTGTTTAATGAACGCTTCTATCACCTAGGCTATCCCATTTTTTGGAGGAGAGTGCTTTTTTTCTAAACCAGTGAAGATAGAAAGCGTTATGTCTTTGCTTTTCTCGTTTCTCTCTCACATTTCTACTCTCACTCTCATGTATCTAGGATGGGTGTACAGGTGTGGTGCTGAGCCAAGTAAATGGTTAATAGAGATATTCCAGCTCAATGTGCTCGGCTGGAAGCAACCAGGCCACTGAACTTTGCCAACATCTTACTGACCCACAGATCCTTTTTTCTTTTGATTTATTTCTGGAAATAGCAACATTTAATAAATCTACCCATTTTGTCTTCCTTGTCTGTCCCTAAAAAAAAAAAAAAAAAAAAAAAAAAAAGGTAATAAAACTCTTCATCCCGATGCAGCTCCAAGAGACAATGGGCATTTTCATTTCTGAGCGCTTTGTTACTCTCCAATAAGGACCCAAGAAAGTTTGGAGCGGTGTTACATTTGGCCGACGGAATAGAAGGGATCAAATGTAATGATCGACAATTAGATCAACGCCGCAAGGATGAAGACGAGGGCAAAGTAGACATTTGGCGCAGAATGAAAGGAATAAATGTATAATAATTTTTTTTTGTCAATACTGCACAGCATCTGAGCAATAGAACAACGACCAGAAGAATATATAGAACTGGGATCTGTTTTTACAATCAGAATCAAGCAATGGAGGTAATGCATACGGTATGCCATTGACCGGGTATCAGGGATGGTGGTAGCACAATCGAGAAAGAGAAAAGGGAAGACAAAGTGACAAAACGATGATAATGATAATTCATGAACTTTGAATGGGTCTAGCCTTTGCCTGGTCTGGCCCCATTGACTGCTGTAGAGGCAGAAATGTGGAGTGGTCTCTCCTGTCTTTACTTGCTCAGTTTTACTTTTACAGATTGTGAAAACTCACGAAGCTGCAAAGCTTTTTTTTTTTTTTGGCTCCGCCTTTCATCCCTCTTCATCCTTCATCTCCAATCACTTCACATTCTTTACTTTCCCTCACACACTCATTCTCACCTACACCCTCTTCTCCCTCCTCATCTTTTACTTTTGAACTTTTGTTTCATTCTCACCTCATCGTACTTCATCCATTCTCTCTCTCTCTCTCTCTCTCTCTCTCTCTCTCTCTCTCTCTCTCTCTCTCTCTCTCTCTCTCTCTCTCTCTCTCTCTCTCTCTCTCTCTCTCTCTCTCTCTCTCTCTCTCTCTCTCTCTCTCTCTCTCTTTCTACATATTTATTCTTTCTCATCTCCCTCTAATTCATTTTTATTTTCTTTCGAGAAAAGGTAAAAATCTACGCTCTGCGCTTGTCCACACCCTCCATTTCTATACTCTTGACATTATAAATATCATAAGCGCAGCTAGAGCAAGCTAGAGGTGACTGTACAACTGAATTAAAATCTTCACTATGACTTACATCAATGTTTGTCAAGTTTGCAGTCTGAATGGTGGAGAGATAGAACAAAAGAGACTTGGATGTATGAGCGCAAGTGTGAGTGCATGTGTGAGTTCAAGTATATGAGTGTGAAAGAGTCTACGTCTTTCTTTTTCTGGCACTATTTCTCCGTTGTGCTATCCGTTATTGTCGATGAACAGTCCTCTTCTCGTCTTGGCCCTGATCGCAACGGCCACATAAAAGATCGAGCCATTCGACGAGTAGAGCGCCTTTTTGGCGCCTGGCTCTCGTCTTTTTCGGTTCTTGGCTCTGTTTGCTACTGTGGCTCTTTGTTTTGTTGCTCTTGCCATGGATTATGGGTTACTTTGTCGTCAATCCCCGCACATAAAGCAGTCTTGCTCTCTTTGTTCACTCAATGGCCACATTGCTTAAATCCATCTTTATCTTTCCTCCATCCTCTTGAATTTTATTTCTGTAGGACAGATTTGTTTTCTAACGCCGCACAACTCAGAAAGTGCAAATTATTATTTTGCTTGCAACGATATAAGCAGTAATTACCAACGAAAGCAACCATGCCAGCACCAGCACCAGGACTACAGTCCATTTCGGACTTGACAACAACCTCTCGTATCACAATCGGCGACATCCCGCCTCCGCTCGTCGGTGCAACCATGACTATTGTTGACGACAAATTGTATCTCTTTGGTGGTCGTCTCATCCAGACACGTCAAATGACCAACTCACTCTATATCCTGCACCTCGAGGATTTTCGCTGGGAGAACGTTTCCGAGATCGCTAATGTCACACCTACGAAGTTGCCTGTTGGTGATCCTGGAGCAGAGGATGAAAACGAAATGTCGCCTCCACCAGCAGAGCGATATTTCCACTCCGCCAACGCCTACAAGAACTTGATTGTCTTTTTTGGAGGAATGGGTCCTTCTTCCGGATCAACCGATAGCCAGCAACAGGATTTAATCGTTTTCGATGACATCAAGGTATTGGACCTTGAGCTCCTTCAGTGGCGTCAAGTGCGCATTCCCTCTTCTCCACATGCACCAAAACCACGCTATGCCCATCTCTCTAGTATCTCTGGTAACAAATTGGTTGTCATCGGAGGTCAGGACATTGGCAACCAATATATCGAAGAGATTAATGTCCTTGACCTCGACAGCTGGCAGTGGGTTACATCTATGCCATTTGACAAGCATTGCGGATCTTATCGTTCTATTGCAGTCAGTGGCAGTGGACAGGGCATTGCCATTCCACAGATCGGAAGCGAAATCGACCAAAATTTAAACAATCAACTCTCGCCAACTGTAGATGGCTTCCCAACATCTTATCTCCGCAAGGCTTCGTCCAACACCTCTCTCCACTACACTCCTTCTCTTCGGAAGAGCTCCTCTAATCTTGCACTTCCCAAGAAAGGTGGCCCTATGTCGCGACTGTCTGGTAGCGCTGGCAGCTTTGGTGCCTTCGGTAGCTTTGGCAGTTCGCCCCCAAATGAGAATCGTTCATCCATCTACCGCCTCTCCCACATCATGTCGCCTACGCCTGTTCAACAGGAGGAACATCCTATCTATCTTTATTCAAATTTCAATTTTACAGATGTCAAGCGTGAGCTTCAGGTCTTGAGTCCTCCACAGTTCCAAATTCAGGATCATTCACAATCCATGTCTGGCAACCTACTCCCTCCAGGCCTCCGCTTCCCCACGGGCGCAATCGCAGGACAGCATTTGCTTCTTTCGGGAACTTATCTCACTAATACCCAGCAATCTTTCAGCATTTGGTCCCTCAATCTTTCTAGCCTTGTTTGGACTCGCATCGATACAGGTTCTGTTTTCAGCTCCGGCTCCTGGAATCGAGGACTATTGCTTGAGTCATCAAATGCTTATCTTGTCTTTGGAAACAGGGACAGAAATCTTGCAGACGACTATCAGAATCGTCAGACTAATTTTGAGCATGTTTCGATCGTGGATCTGGAAGCATTTGGAATATATCAGCATCCACCAACTACTATGACCCAAACAGCACAAGAACTTGGCCTTGGTCTGTTGAATGACCCTTCCATGGCTGACTTTGAGATTCTTACTATTGATGGACAGCGTATCCCTGTGAATTCTACTATCCTAGCTGCTCGTTGGCCATATTTTGGCGCACTTTTACGGGAACAGGAAGAACTAGATGCGGCAAATTTAACTACAGAGAGCTCGCAGAGTAATAATGAATGTGACCCTGGCATGTTCTCAAAGAGAACTCTTTCATTGCCTGAACCATACACAGTGGTCTTAGCATTCCTGCAATACCTTTATACTGACCACCTTGTCACAGCACAACAACACCATTCTCAGGTCCTTTCACAGCTCTTACTACTTGCAGATATGTATGGTCTTGATCGTCTCCGAGACCTGGCAACACACGCTCTTCATCAAATGCTGAACATGTCAACAGCAGCAATGGTTTATGAAACAGCGGCTCTCTCACAACAAACAGGACTTCAGATTCGTTCATTGAAAGTGATGATTGCAGCCAAGAAGATGCTCCAACAGCAGCAACTGAAGCTACAGCAACAACAAGCACAGAGCCAAAGCATTTCTGCGGAGCATGCTTGGAGATCTGGAGAGATTCAGGACGACCAGTTCGCATCACCTTATGGGGCGAACGCGCCGTATATGTCACAGCAACAAAACATTCACGGTCTCTTCCAGCCAACGCCACCACCCCCGCTGTCACCCAGCTCTGGTGGACCTGTCTCTCCTGAATATAATCGTCTTTCCATCAATGGATCACAGAGCACAGCCTTGCCTCATCCCATGGTCCGGAACAGAGGCTCTCTCACGGGGACCATGCAGCCCCAGCATTGGAATACAGAGCCACTGACACCCCCACCAGTCTCGCCACCACCACCTGCAGCAGTTCCTCCAAAATCTGCACCGGCGGCTAAACAATCATTTTTCTCTTTCCCTGGCTCCAAGAATAAAGCAGCACAGCAAGCTACATCGAGTAATCTCACCAGTTCGGTAGCCAGCATAAGATCTAACCTTACAGGCACGACCGCTGTCAGTAATGCCAGTAGTAATGGAAGCTCGAAGAAGATTCCGACATTCGCCAATATGGGTATTTCACCATTGACAGCACAGTCTGATGCTGCAAGCATCCGTAGCGCCAAATCCTCTGGGTCAGACAACAATCCCGAGAAGAAGAAGCAAGATGAACAACACAAGCGTGAAGTCATGCAGAGACTTTTAGACGGAAGCTTTGGTACATCAATGGGAGGCAGCGGTTTCGGGCCTGGAGGATTTTAAAAAGTTGATTTGGATTGTAAAAAAAAAAAAAAAAAACCTACCTTCTTACCACTGACGTCCCTTACTACTGTGCTGCACATATATACTCTTTCTTTTATCCACAGGGTTCCGGTCAGGTTAAGGACTTTATGGCTCGTTCTTCCATAAGGAATGTACGCCTTTGATCATACTGCGGCTTTTTGTATTTCAACGGTTCTACTTGGTTCTTGACCTTCACATCCCTCTCATAATGGACGGATCTTCTTTTATCTTCTGTCTTACTCCTTCCATGCTCCTTAAACATGGCTATGTCATTGGTCTTTTTTACTCTGGATCTATTATGTCTACAATACTCATCGGAATCAAGCTGGCTGCATCTCTCATCTTCATTGTTGTAACACCTTTTCATTTCATTTTTCATTTTTGTCATTTACCCTTTATTTTTCTGTTTCCTTGAATCTAAATAAAAAATATCCAACGTCATGGTCATCAAAAAGAATAGGATGTAGAAACAATGGGCTTGTTTTTTAGTGTACCGTTTTCTACCTGCTTCATACATATCGTATTATCATTAAACAATATGTAGGATTTCTCTTCGAACGGCACTAGAAAATCTTTGTAAGTTTGACAACGACTGCAAGATCTTGTGGGGCTCCAAGCACATTTTTTTTTAAACGTCCAAAATGTAAATGATCTCTCATCACATTTAGGTCAAGGGCTTTTATTGCATGTGAATCTTGTTTAGGTTGCGGCAAGACAGACAGAATTCCATTTTAAGTGGGGAGCAGGCTTGAAGAGAGACGTGGAATACGGGCAGGTTCCTTTAAGGAGTAACAATGTCCATATCCAACTTGAATTTGCAATAAACGAATAAGGTTTGGGCGAATTAGATGTTTCCATCCCCCATGAGCGACATTACTTCTCATTGCGTCTCAGTTCATTACTCCTCCATCTTCCAGAAATCCCTTCGCCCTTCGAAACTCCAAAGAAAAAAGTTTGATCTTACTTATCTTTGCTCAATTGCTTTTGATCGCGCAACGCTAAATAACGTAACGCAGCCTAACAATAGAGGAATGCTAGTACAAATGCCGGCCACTGTCGCGCGTGCAGCTATCCGCATCCTACGGCCTACACAAAGCCGTCGCAAGCTCTCTGGAGGAAGTGTGCATCACCAGTTGCCACTGGAACTGGACCCTACTGATCCTATCACACTCTCGAATGAGTTTGACCGAACACAGTCAATACAGGACCTGCGTGGTCAGCTTGAGAAGGCAGGCTTTACAGATATTGAAGTGATCCCAGTTTCATTGGAAACAATTGACACTGTAGTCGACCGCCTGGAGAAGGAGATGAAATCAAAGCAGCAGCATGGACAGGAGCTCATTGTTTTCCAACTCTGCGATGGCACGGGTAAGTTTTTTTTTTTTTTTTTTTTTTTTTTATTGTAGAAGTTTATCACGGAATTGATCTTATATATGTATATAGAGTTGGACGGTTATCCTGGTGTGTCTATAATAAAGGCACTTGAAAAGTACAATATTCCTTTTACCGGCTCAGACTCTGGTATGTTCCACCACCTGAGAAAAGTGCAAAGTATTCCCTTCATATATTGATACCGAGAACGATATACCATAAATAGCATTCTATATCATATCAAGCTCCAAGCCGGTCTTGAAGCGCGAATTACAAGCGGCCCAGGTACCAACTTCCTCGTTTAAAGAGTTTGCGAACCCGCCTCAGATGGAGGATTTGCAGGACATTATCAAAGAAATTACTTTTCCCATGATTGTCAAGCCTTCCATCTCTTATGCTTCTATCAACATCTCGCTGAAATCAGTTGTCCATACGCCTGAGGAGTTATTGCAGCAGATCAATGAATCTTTAAACGCAGCTACGGGAGGAGGCACCTGCCGTGATAGTAATGATAATAATGACAACAGTGATATTAGTGAGGATAGCGATATTCATAGGGGTAGTCGTCATCATACCAATGTCATGGAACCTAGGGTTAGAACAAGGGCCTTTCTTCCCAAAGAAGGGGGGTTACATCTGGATCAGATTGACATCGAGACACCTACGGTATTTGTGGAAAAGTTCCTTACAGGCCGTGAGTTCACAGCTTTGGTCGTCGGTGATGAGGATTGGGGGGTGAGAGTATATCCTGTTGCTGAACGTGTTTTCGCTCCAAATTTGGATAAGTTTGCACGACTCCTATCCTTTGACCAGTAAGTGATGCTTATTTTATTATATACACGTATATATTATTGCTGTTTTCTGCGGTAATAGTATATTATAGCTAACAGAAGCTGTAAAATGTGTAAAAGATACTGGGATGGATATACATTGGAGGGTGGAAATGGTAAGGATGATGGCTTTTGTAAGTATGAGATGGCTGAAATGGCGTGGCAGAAGCCTTTGCAGGAGGTGGCCAAAAATGCTTATCTTGCTCTGCAAGGAAGTGGTTATGGAAGAGGTAATTCAATATCTCAGGATTCACTCACTATGTTTTACAATATTGGCCGTCTCTTGCCATGGTTATCAATCCTGTGTTACTGACATCACGAATATTTCACGTCTGACTAAGTTGACATTCGCACAGTGGATATGGACAAATGTGAGCCTTTCGTACTGGAGGTCAATGCCAACTGTGGTTTATCATTTGAAAAAGGTACGTGTACACGATTGATAGACCACAGAATAAACAAGGCTTTTTACTTTAAACCCTTGAGCAAATGACTATGTGGTGTCCATCTCACTATTCTTCCTTTTGTTGCTTTAATAACTAGACTCGTCCTCGTTGGCTAACATATTAATTATGTCCAAAATTGCAGCTCCTGGGTTTGTGTGCGATTTACTTGATCATGCACTGCAACGCAATAAACGCCTGAACAACGTATGCTTACACGAATAGCTGCCCGAAACCAATGAGCAAGAGCACCACGCCGATGTTCTTCTTGAGAAAGTCGACAAGGGATTGTGAAGTTGTGATAATCAGACACGTAAATTTTTTTGTGTTTAGATTGAAGCCAAGAAAGGAAAGAGAGATTTTATTGCCAACGTCTTCACCCTCCGTATGTTAATGATTTAATCAACGAATTGCACAAATAAATAATGGATCCAGAGGCGACGAGCAAATCTATCGAGCGATGTAGCGCGTATGTAATGCTGCAATCAGGCTCTGTATTTGCAATTGCACTTTTTTTTTTTTTTTTTTTTTTTTTTTTAAAAAACAAAACAAAACATTACTCTCACTGACAGACTGTATTCTTCATGGTGCTTATTTAGTCTCACAACCGAGTTTCAGCAAAGTCGGCTATACATTCATGGATTGCAGGAAGAGTTCCTGGAAAGTAATAAGCTTGACAAGCTAGAAGCTGTGTCCGGAGGTGCGGCACTAGCATTAACCCGACTAGAAGGGGATTTGCAATACTACAAGGTATAGAGGATGCCGGATACCTTACTGGAATGAAGCACGGACAAAGAATAGAGTAATTTATTCCATATATTCTTCTCCCTCAACATCTGCTAGAGTCATTTTGATAAGCTGGCTATTTCATATACAGAGCTTGCAACGAAAGAGCGCTTCTTGGGATTCATTGCAGAGGAGATTCCTCTCAACATCAGTCTTGAGGATAATCGAGAAATGGGTAAGGAGCACAGTGGAGAAAATGCACGATTAAAACCTGATGCAGGACTGATTCGCTGATGAAAATCAGAAAAAAAAAACTCTATGCTCAATAATTGATATCATTAGAGGTGAAGGCTGCTGAGGCGAAGAAAGCAGAAGAAATCATGGAACTGAGTGTGATTGAACTCCAAAACCAGATTAAGGAGACGGCAGAGCTGGCATGCACAGGTACGTAACCAGGCCCAGGACAGGAACCATGACAAAATGGTTCAGAATCACTTACAAGGCCATATTTACTCCATCATAATATATCCCGCTAGAATACGATGGGTTACATCAGGGAGTCCTTGATATGACCAAAGCATTAAAGGAAATGCAAAGCATGGTATGATGACTGCTTGCTGAACGAATGTGGTTGGCAGCTGTGCGTGTTCGGCATCAGAATATATAGACATATAAATTATGGACATGTTGTTGTTTATATTTCTGATAGGAAAGAGCTTTGGCGGAAATGAAGAAGATGGATGATCAATACAGAGTAGGATATATGCCTTATTCTTGATGGTGAGCTTGAGGTATCAATGTGGATATAGAGCTTTGTGTTTATTTATCACTATTGTTTTATAAACAGGGTATGACACTAGAACATTCACAGTCCGTGCTGGCAGCGCAAACACAGCAGCTCTACCAACTCCATCAGGATATTGATGAAATTACCTCTGAAATTGAAAACCTAAAGTGGCAAGAGAGCAAGTTACGAGAGCGTAATCAAAAGTTGGAAACGCAATGTATCCAAGTCGAGTCGCAGGCAAAGGACGCGATCCGTATGAACGCATTACGTTGTCCTGAAATCGAGGATGCATACCGAAGTTGCCTTGCGGTCACGAACCAGTATCAGGAAGGTGTTGGCTTGAAATCCATTCAATACTCGGCTGATTCCAGCTCATTGATACTAGAATATCTTGTCGTCCCAGGTTCAGCAACTATTCAGGCTATAAACTCTTCATTATCATCATCATCGGCAACAGGTGTCGTAGTATCCAATAAAGGACGGGGAAGCGGGAAGAATGGCAACAACAACAACAAGGTAATAATGACACAGTTCCTGATCAAGATCCACCCAAAAAGCGGGAGGTTACTTTCAGCCAGTATTGAGAATGCGGGATGCGATGTTAAAGATATCATTCAAATTGCCAAAGCAAGGAACGACATCTCATTCTTAGTGGTGGAGACACTTGATCGAGTTATGAAGGCTCATCCATAGACAGCAAAGGGCCTGCTATTGCGAGCAAGAAACTTCGGCCTACTCCTTAACCTCTATATAATCTTTATAATACCACTTCTGTAGCATAGTATTATTTTGTTAAGCAGGCAGATTTCTTTTAAAACCACTTAAGCTGGAAGGATATGTATTAAGTAAATACTTATTAGCCTACAGACGCTCATAATGTCATCTCTTAGTTCCATATATTTATTTTGAAGCGTCAGATAGTATGAGATATATTGGCCGAACGGAGGACTTTGAGAGAAACAAGGTGTCAGCAACCTTATTATTCTGATCGCCCGTTGTTTTTAAGCACTCTCCGATATCCAATCAAAAGTAGTGGAATCCAGATGGGACTTTCCATTTTAAACTAGACTCGTTTTGAACCCAAATGAGTTAAATCCACACTACGCGGTGGCTGTGTTTGTACATTGTACTCATTAACCTTAACTGGGGATTGGCTCTATTCTTGATATCTCTAGCGAAGTCGATCTGGATAAAAATCGACTTGGTCAATCAGTCTCCTGAGGAGGTCCACGTATAATATAATAAAATTGCTGTTGATAACCTCGATCTTGCTTCTATAACAGATCTTATCGACACTTATTTCCCTTCAGACTTAGTTTAAAAAGAAATAAATGGATAAGGCCGCCATAGATAGGTTTGCGAGACTGAGCTAAATACTCCCTGGCCTTGCCCATGACATCCAATCGCTGAGAACCATTATGGAGTGATTGCTCAAAAAGGCCGGTTTGGACTAAGACGACTATATCGGGTGAGCTAATTTTTATAAGTACCATCTCTCTGAACTGTACTTACTTGGGATGCTATGAATTAATTCCTTTCCATCTTTGGGCTTGCCAGTGAGGATTTGGAGAGTTCTAGACCCGCAGGAGAGCTTTTGCGATGGGTCTGATGATTGATGCCAGGTAAACAGATTTTCAACCTGCGATTAGTAATACTTTATTGTGTTTCCAAGAGTAAAGCAGTGGTATTTGTTATGCAGATGGACTTCCGTTTACAACACCTTCCAAGCGTATCTCAAAGAGGAGTTAAAGGTGCCTCCAGTATATTTTTCGGAATGGATGGATTTTAGCTGCAAGCGCAAGGCTTGGCTCCGTCTGTAAGTGGAATCGAGGCGGTACATAAATGGCTTAATACTGATGTTGATTTTCTGCCTAAAAAGTTGATAAAAGCGGCATTAGCAGCAATAACAGTTTGTATTGATAAAGATATATTCAGTGATATCATGGAGTCTCAAAATAGAGGCTCGGGCTGCACCCTAGTCATGTTTGGGCGGTTGATGAGCATGCCTAACCAAGGTGCCTACATGTATGTCCCGTACAGGTAGTAACTTCAAAGAATGGATTGGAGGTGTTTCCGTTACCCCTGACACATTTGTACTCATGAAAATGGGCTTACCACGTGATTACTTTACACACATTTAGAGAAAGCTGACATGATGAAGAGGAAGAAATGATTATAATCTTTACTTTTCACAGCATTGTTATGGAATACACACATTAAATTAAACTGACCACACTTTACAAATATTGGACATTGCTCTCTCATTGTCTTTGTCAGCTCACTTATATCTGTCTTGTCAACTCTCATACAACATCCTTTTTTTACACCCACACTTCATACAAAAACGATCAAACACAATAAATAAGTGAAAGAGTACCTCTCCATTCATCTACACAGGGTATAAGACACTAGACACTTGCCCAGACGGTTTTCTCTCTCTGCAGTTCTGTCAAAATCACTTATCTTTCTTAGTACGATCATTAAAGTGAAAAATAAAAACACCGTTAAGACTAGCGATCCATCACTACAATTCACAATGGAGCGGTCGCCCTTGCTCTCGCCCTTGCAAACAGCATCCAGTCAACTTAAATCATCACGAATCCATTCAACCGTCAGCTCACCAGGTGGAGTTCAACACTTGCGTTCGTCTTCGCGATCGCCACCTCCAATAAAACCAAGGTCAGAAAGCCACGACCGCTCTTTCTCAAATACGAGGTAATATATCATCTTATGCATGGATTGACAGCTAGTTTGGCTATCCCTTACTGTTCGCCTGATTTTTGAAATTTCAGACATGCTGACCTATTCCGTCGTTTTTTTTTTTTTTTTTTTTTTTTAGGAAATACTATGAACGAAGTCGTTCACAGGAAAGGGACGAGCGAAATAGACCTAAAGACTTGTAAGGGAGAAAGTTGTGATGATACAGGATGCAAAAAACGGTGACACATATGTGTGTCTCATTAGCTTGATGTCTGACTTGAGTTCCCATCCTCACTTCCATGGCGATACTCTGACTCACTTTGTAGCCCGAACATAGATAGACGAAGACCTCCGAGGAATGGAGCCGCAGGCAGCTCCAGTAGAAACGGACCAGATGGTTCACCGCCCTCAGATGTGAATTTTCATGAGGTAAATGCCCATTATTCTAGTCCTGTCATGTTTGTGCATTCCTAACTTCCAATTGCTCTTCTTGTCCTAATATTTGTTTTCATCACGAATAAGCCATACCAAACTACCGAAAGAAGAATCTATCATAATATTCCATAGCAACATACTGATTTAAAGCACATCATTTGCTTCTCACCTGATAGTCCCCTAGGTTGAAATATCCTGACCGCTTCGCACAGAGGGATGGACGCTTTCGACCATCAGAGAGTCTAAAACATAGTCCCACTAATGATCATTCTGGACAACCATCAGTACCATCAAGATTCTTTGGATCTAATTCTGTACCAAACACGTCTTCAATACCTTATACACGAGATTTCAGTCCACCGACAAGCTATAAAGGCTCAGCATCCAATGAGCTCGGAAATAACCGGTCTATAGACTATTTTGCGTCATCCTCTGGTATGGGTGCTAGTACAGGACTCGGATTAGGACCAACACGCTATATGGATCGTGATGATTGGAGAAATCGGCTAGGTCATTTCCCTAGAGAGTTTGACAGAGACAGGGACTTTAGAGGTCGGGATATCCGTCAAGATATCCGTGAAATCCGTGATCCACGGCCCTCAAGAGATATACGAGACATACGGGACTTGCGCGACCGTGACATCAGGGAACATGACATGCTTTATCCACGCGACATTGACTACAGGGATCGCGACCGTGATCTTCGTGAAACAGGCATTACGACTCGTGAGCTTCGTGAAAGAGATAACAGAGAGTTTCGTGATCGCAGTCTATGGAGCAATGATATTAAAGGAAGGGACTCTTTCTCCAATCGAGAGGGGCCGGAGGATGTGCGTGAACTCGTGGAGCGTGAGCGTGAGCGGGAACGGGAACGAGAACGCGAACGCGAGCGCGACAGAAATCGAGAACGTCCAATCCGTCTTCGTGAGCTAGATAAAGATGTTGATGGTCCTATCCCAACCCGTCCCGCGTTAGACAGCAGTAGCCGGGAGCGAGAAAGAGAACGTGAGCGGGCATCAAGTTCGAGGTCTATGGCATGTGAGGAGCTCGATCGGGACTTGTTGGCTTACACCTCAGACAAGTCAGGAGAGGCAACACAAAACTCTGAACGAACTGGGGCCAAGTCAATAGGTTCCTCAGGCGTATTATTTACACAGGGTCAGCGGGAGACAAAAACTAATGGCGATGAGGAAATGATAAATCGTGACCGTGATCGTGGCCGAGTAAAGGGGCGAGGTTCTCCTCAGCACAACGATGGAAAAGATGGACTTGACGTAGATGGAAGGATAGAAAAAGAGCAATTACGAGGTCTAAAACATAATTCTCAGGGTCATTCTGATAACACAGGCGCTCGTAAAGGCGCTGATGACCGTCTACAGAAAAGCCCGCCCGTCAGAAGACCGCTTTCCGGTGTATCGACAGTTGATGATGTGGGTCATGACAAATCACCACAATCAAAAAACCAGGAAGGCCATAGCAAAAGTAACTATTCCATATCGCAGAATATGCTTCTTAGACCATTTCCCGATAGCAGCAATGGAATTGAGAATGATGAACGGTTTCGTGACAATAAGAATTCACTGGCATCCAGACCTCTTGAGCCAAACTCGGAAAGCAACTCTGAGATTGTAGTTTCCTCGGGACACGGGAAAAAGATACAGGGCAAGGAGCATAAGGTTGTTTCAACTGACTCTGAACATACCACCGAGCATGCTAATCAACAAGGGGACAGCAACGACACTTCAGCCACAATCCCTACCACGGACGACTCCCATAAAAGTAAATTAGGTGCTCCATTCGCTAATGAGCAGTCTTTACACGATCAAGGCTCTGAGAAAAAGGAAGTTGGAGACGATGCGATAGCAGTGAAGGTTGAATCTGGGAAGGATATCCCGAAGAACAATATGCCCGACTCTTCTGATACTTTGCATCCACCAACCGATGCAATGCTTCACTTAGAGAATATGAAGGTTGACATGGTTAGGACTCAGGTGACAGATAGTTCGCCTACAGTCCCTAATTCTGTGGCAGAGATGGACTTGGACAGCGAGGAAATAGAATCAGACGCTCTCGAGCAAAAAACGGAATTCGAAAATCATGCAGATATTTTGGTAGAAATCGACAAGATTGATGGAAGGATCCAAATGTATGAAGATTTACTGATGAAACATCGGACACAGAAGGAGCTGCTTCAAACAGGGGCTGTGATTGCAGCAACTCATGAGCCTATGAAAGATGAAGATGTACCGATTACTATTGAACAACCATATATGGAGTCAATTGTAGAAGAGACTTTGATGGACACGGACGACAAGTCCGTCGGCGAGGCAAGAGGTGTGGTAGATGATATCAAGCAAGAAGAAGAAGATACTCTCATGCAAGATGAAGATGTTGTTAGTCCGGCTGACCTTGTGCCAGATAAGGATACAGTATACTCACCACTTGTGCCTGTTGACAACGAGAATGTTTTGATGGCTGGTTCGGACGATGAGGTAGAGAAAGATAGACGTCGGCAAATTGCTCAGAAGTTTTCTTTGAAAGAACTTCAGCATCCCATCGATCCTGACGACCCATTCTTTAGACGTAAAGAACAACAAACACGACGACCACAGCTCTTTGATCAAATTTACGCTGAGAATAATACTCGTGCTAAAAAGTATGGCCGAATTCATTTTGGCGCTGGATCACGCAACTCAGCTCATTCTCATCATTCTCATAGTCAGGAAAGCACAAAAATATATGAGTCCATTGAAGATTATCCTTGTTATCAAGAGAACATTGAGAGCCATAAACGACTTCGCAATGCAATGCTGCACAATATGGCGAACAAGGCCGCAGCTTTGGACGAGAAAGAGCTTCAGCTTAAACGGGAGTATAAGCATTACTGGGAGGCATGGATAAAGAAGGTCGAGAAATTGGACAAGATTAAAGAGAAAATGTCAAACGCACCATTACTGTCTAATGTTCGCGAAGAAGATTTGGTTCATAGTGATAGTGTTTTGATCTCGACTCGGAATCGTCGTGGAGCTTATACCAGTGATGCGGTTAGGAGCGAGGCTGAGCTTTTAGAGATCATTCAAAGCTTGGAGAATGCGGATATGCGCAATCCGGACTTGAGAGCTTCTAGGACTGCAGCTACAGTGCCACCCATGATCCTTGACCCTTACATCCGTGAAAAGGTTCATTATTATGATCGCAATCACCTTGTGACTGATCCTGCTAAGTACTACCGTGTTGGACCTGTAACTGATCTATGGACAGAGGAAGAACGCCAGACATTCATTCAGCGATACCTCATCTACCCAAAACAGTTTGGCAAGATTGCTGCTGGGATCGAGGGCAAGACGGCATCCCAATGTGTATTGTTTTACTACCGCGAGAAGAAAAAAATCGGATTCAAGGAGATGCTTTCTAATCGTGGTCGGAAGCGTAAGACTACAGCAGGCAAGCGTAAAGAGAAGACTGCTCAACAAGCACCCTCTGGGCCTGGAAAGAAGCATAAAGGCAGTGCATTGATCGAGGATATTGGTCAAGCGAACAGGAAGCAGGCCAAGAGTAAAGAGATTCGTGAATTGCAGGATTTGAGTCAGAGCTGGGGTGATGCTGAAGAACCAACCACCAGGCGCCGCGTGCGAAGTGGCGTTGCTAACCAACAAGGAAGTATTTTGGGACTTGAAGAAAGCAATAGTAATGCAGCTAGTCCAGTGCCTTCTACAGCATCAACATCCATTGGTCTCGTATCAGATCGCAGAAGACCAAGGACCAAGGGGACAACAACTCGCTCCTCAACTGCAGCTATCGCGAACACAAAGGCACTCTTGGAGCAGGTGGCAGTTGATGATAAGAAATCTAAGGCTGAAAAGACTTCCGTGGTCACTGCTTCTGTTGTGACCACTAAATCATCGTCCAAGGTAGAGGGGGCAGCTACAAGTCAAGAGTTATTGACAGTTAGCCCACCAACGCTCTCCAAACAAGACGTTGTTGCCGTGCCTGAATCTACTGTAGACAATGTGCCGCCCACCCCAACTGGAGGCACGGCTCGGTGGACCACGGTAGAGCATACCAAGTGTATTGCAGCACTAAAGAAGTATGGACGTGATTTTGAAATGGTAGCAAATGCTGTTGGAACTAAGACTGTGGACCAGTGCAGAAACTTTTGTTTCAATTATAAGCGAAAATTCGGTGTCAGTGCCCTTGATGATGCAAATAATGTCGACCTAAGTGTACTTGATGAGGAAGGTGAAGATGTGGAAAAGGAGAAGGAAAAGAAGGAAAAGGAAAAGGAAAAGGAAAAGGAGAAGGAGAAGAAGGAGGAGAAGGAGAAGGAGAAGGAGAAGAAGGAGGAGAAGGAGAAGGAGAAGGAGAAGAAGGAGGAGAAGGAGAAGGAGAAGGATACGCCGTCTGCATCTGTCAGTGCGGATAAGAATAAATCAAAGAAGGGCAAAGCAGCCAGTACGATCGCGACATCGACGCAGGCAATCAATGCTTCTGCTTCCTCCAACGGTACCAAAGAGACTGCTAGCCCTATTATTTCAGGACGACGCAAGTCAACAAAGCAAACAGCGCAAGACGTTGGCAAGGAGGAGCCTTCCAGCACATCCAATGCACAGACAGTCGCCGTTGAAACACCAGAAACTAATGCGGACAAGAAGAGAAAAAAAAGAGTTGGATCCAAAAATGAGGCCGGATCAATCTCTAATGAGGTGGCGCCTTCATCCAATGCTACCTCCTTCCGAGCTCTCTACTCACGCGACCCTCCTTCTGATGAGAGCCCACTCCCACTATCCACGGCACTCCCTGCCGATGATCCGGCTTCTGGACAAAGTGGGATAGATGGGCCCTCTCGCAAGCCCATCTTTTCGTCTTATTGGTCTCGTCAGGAAAAGATTGATTTTGCGAGGTTGCTAAGTGTTCATGGAAAAGATTGGGAAAAGATATCAAAGGCAATGAAGACGAAGACGCCTATCCAGGTTCGAAATCACTATAGCAACAATGCAGAAAGGCTGGCTGCAGATGGTATAATAGCAATGGAGTCTCAGAACTTGCCAGCAACTCCTGCAAAAGAACAAGGAGCTGCTGCTGCTTCCGAGACAGCTCTTGTGCAATCGCAATCTGATCTTCAAGAGGCACTTGAGATTGATCGGGAGGATGTTGAACGAAATGAGGAGCTTGATGCTCCTATAGTCGCTTCTGAACAGTACGATCAGACTCCAGTTCCAACAAGTCCAAAGGCAGGCCATATTGTAACTTCTCACACCAATAGTAGATCCGATTTTGTTCAACAGGAGGGGCAACGAGCATTCACTCCACCCAGGCGTGTCACCAACATCGACAACTTACTTAACACTCAGGACGAAGATGTTAATGTTGCTGCAGAGGATTGGTTTGGCAATAGCGATGATAATGATAGCAATCAATCTCAGGAGCATTCTTTTGAGGCTGAGCGTCCCATTGAAGAGGCGCCTGTGCAGAATCACCCGCAACGGTATGTCAATGAACGTACTCCCATTGAGGAAGAGGGTATTGAAACCGAGAACGGATTTGAGCGTGCACAGCATGCACATATCGGCTGTACATCGAACTCTTCAAGCATAATACGCAGCGAAAGACGTACCTCAGATGCAAGTGTTTCACAGATGAAACACGGTTATTCATCGAGTTTGCCTGTCACATCTAGCTACTATGGCAATAGCCACTCTATCCCGTCACATCCATCTCAGCAGCACCCTCCACATTCAAGCCCCGGAATACATGGGTCATCATATGGTAGCCGGCAATATTATGCATCTTCGCAGTCCAATGCTAAATATCGATCGCCTCCTCCCTCGTCCATTCCTCCTGTATCAGCTGGTCATCAGTTAAAGCGCGTATCATCCCCCTCAGCATCGATCCCATCTATCCCTACGCCTGCTTTAATGCAGTCAACTCACTACTCTTCGGCACAGATGACTCATCCACACCAACATCAGCGATCAAGCAGCATCAGTCATGTCGAGATGGCCCCACGTTCGATCCCATCGCCACAGTCCAATATCCGCGCTCACTCGCCAATGTCACATCAAGGAGCTTATTTTACGCAGGTTCCCCAACATCACGGATATGTGCAAACGCCGTCTTCTCACGTTTCATATGGGTATAATCGTAGTTCACATTACACAGATCAGACGGAGGTTTTAGCGCCACGCCCTCGCCATATCAACGAGTCCTCGATGATTCTTGACCATCCAGCTTCACCAGCGCCTGTCACAAGTCATAGCCGTGGTCACAGCTACAGCCATAGCCATAGTCATAGCCATGGTCATAGTCATGGTCACGGGCATGGGCATGGGCATGGGCATGGCCATAGTCATTCTGGATCAATATCAAGGTACAGCAGCTCTCCACAATTACCAGGACCCGGTAATGTGCGTGGATCACCTGGACCTGTTGGTCCTACAAATGGACCTGGATCCCCAGTCCATTTAGGTCATAGCGGGCATATAGCTTCTCGTTATTCGCCTATCCCAGCATCAGTTGTCACTTCTGGATCTGCCATGCCTAATGTTATGGGACCAGTAGCTGTACCAGAGTCCGCCGCCCATCTTTCCCATCAATCGCAATACGCACAGCATATGCGCCGGTCATCAAGCCCATTCCAGCAACATATCCCAGGTCAATTACCGGCACCCTCGTATCTGCAACATCCTCATGGAATTCATTCCTCCGGATCCAAGCATCAGCTATCGTCATCTTTTTCATATGGACCTTCATCTGTGGTATCTATGCTGCCGCCACCTCTGCCCCCAGCGTCCTCGTCAAGTTATCATTCGAATCATCAGCACCAGCTTTCGTTTGGCAACTCACAACATTCTGCTTCATCCTATGGTTCTCCACATCCACACCACCATCCACACCAGTCAAGCCGACATCATCATCCACAATAGATAGTAGTGATGATACTCTGTTCCTATAATTTCTATTTGTACTTTAATCATTGCTATATACAACTTATGTTTCTCGTAATAATAGTCATGAGCCATTTCGATATATTGTATCATATATTTATGTCTATATGCTATACAAGTATTTTATTTTATTTGTTACTATCTTCCTCTTTTCTTAAAACCAATGGCGAGGTTTTTATGAACTTACTTAATAGCGACGTCTATAGTCCCGATCTCGATCATAATCCCGTCTACTGCCACGGTCCCTACTCCTGTCACGCCTATCTCTTCCGTCTCTGCCGTCCCGATCCCGGTCCCGACGATCTTCTCTACGGTAAGGCTGGTCACGGTAACTCCTGCTATCCCTGTATCCACCACGATCACGATCCCTGCTATCGTTGTAGGGGTGGTCACGGTGGGGTCCTGGGCCTCCATAATCATTATCACGATGTCGTCCGCGGGAAGAGGATGATGATGACGATGAATGGTGATAGCGATCGCCACGCTGTTTCTTCATCTCCTCATATGTTTCGTGGATCTTTTGATAGCCAGTGTGTTGTTTGCCCTGTAAATGAGCATCCAATCTGTTGGAAGTATCGTTCATGACTAAGAAGGCACCACAAACATGACAGACCTCCATCTTGTTTTCTTGACGAAAGATTGGGTTAACATCATCATTTGACTTGAGATGTTCGAGATCTGCCTGCATTTTCTCGACTTGTTCGGATAGAGCTTGAGCTTCGTCCACATGACCTTCTTCACCGGCTTCTTCAACCTTGGCGAGTGTATCCTTGATTTTTTGTTCAAGCATGACAATCCTTTCTTCTTTCTCATCCTTGCGAGGATTAAGTAGCTATATATTTGTATGTATAAATTGTATACATAAAAAAATGGTGTTTATATGGTATGCCAATGAGTATGCGCGCCATAGAGAAAAGATAAAATTGAGGCGAATTTCGGCTTATATGCTTGTAACTATAATATTTGTAATAATTAGAGTATTGCTTACATTTTCATCAACTTCCTTATCCTTGCGTTCCTTGCCTCGTCGAATCTTTCTCTCCAGATCATTATGAAGATATGTCAGGTATTCAAAAAAATCATCCTCGTACCGATAACTGTCTTTGTCAGGGGCATTCTGATACCTATTAACAATAAAAGGCAATTAAATCAAAGAGAGAGTAAGAAAGATATTATTGTATCCATAACAGTGGCGTGATACCCTTCTTTTTATTTTAAGAAAAAAAAAACAAAACCTACTCTTCGCGTAGTTTCTCGTCGTGAATAAGATCGCAATTGCCTAGATCAGATTTTGTGTTTGTAAACAAGCTATTTGGGCAAAACTTGACCAAGAAATGTTTACAGACCTGTATGATAACCAAAAAAAAAAAAAAAAAAAAAAAAAAAAAAAAAATTAGGTAAGTAAAGTAGACTAGAATAAAAATATAGTTAAAAAAAATGAAGTATCAACTTTCCTCTTTATCCCAAAACTTGTGTTTACTGGGCTCGAAAGGCGCGAAAAGCTCGCTGACGAGGGATCGTGCGTAGTTATGAGTCATGACTTGAAGGGCTCGAAGATTCGTCTCTGTTTGCTTCCTTATAATCGCTGCTTGCTTGGAAATGAGTTCCTGATCAAAATTGAATGGCAGATGGGCGCAAAATAATAATAAAAAATCCTCAATGATTATACGTCACCGCCTATGTGAGCTATGATTGGCTAGATGGAAATATAGCCTTTCTCTGTTCCAAAGCGCCTTTTCTGCTAATGGTATGTTGCCTTCGATACCATAGCTCCCCTGAGTGAAGTCGTCCACATATTGATAGATATCTCTTCTAACCCGTCTCAAGCACTACTAATCCGATAAATACCTACACGTTCATATTCGTTGTGTATTGTTGAACGTTGTAGGGCCATCAACCAGTTCGTAATTTAGCCTTTTTGAACTCCTTTAATCGAGGAAAAGGCATCTATGGGATGCTTGTTTTGACCGCATTTCCAGACAAAGATCCCCTCCCTATCAGGAAGACGATAGCATAAAAGAGATACATGACAGAAAGCTGATACATGGTGGCTATGACAGCGGCTGTTGGGTAAAATATATTTTTGCGGAAGTTATGCGATCATATCAGTGCTAAAGGCAAGGTAAGCAATGCTTTATGGCAGTGCACAGAGCAGCCAAGTTTCTCTCGGAAAAGGGCCTTCTGTACCATACTTTACTCTAATAATACTTCGAATACTTCTCCTGCATGCTTTCTTGACAGCATACTAGCTCATCTGGTGAGCTTTGAGGCAAGCTGAACGTCCTTAGGAACAAATATTGAATCCGTTTTTTTTTCCTTCATAAAATATCTGTACAACAGTATATGCTCTTAATGGCATTCATGTGTCACATGTTCTTTGCCTCCTGACACCGGTTTGCCGCGGACCCAAAGTCTTGTATTCATGATAGACGTATGCTACCCAAATGCAAAGACTTTGTTCGAGATCCAGATGACCTGGTCTTGCGCCTCACATTACGATTTACGATTGTAGATACTGAATCATAACCTGATCTTTTGTTAGCCTCATTCCACAGGTAATAGTTGAACAGATATCAGTGCTGATACTTTATTCTGTTTAATAAACTCTGAAGCTGCACTGATGCAGCAATGGGCAAATGATCGTCGAAACGAAGGTATAACCGAAAGGGTCTGCGTCACCACCAACTTTGATGGTTGGTAGAGCACCTAGTGTGAGAATCGTATCCAAGCGTTCCCAGTAAGTCACAATGGGTAGACGCTACAGCATTGGCCCGCAGGGTTGTTGGGATGTCACTGAGCTCTAGTGCTACTCTTTGACCAGACAGTACTTTGTAATAGTTAATGAGTTTCATCTCTTAAGCACGATATTTGCTCGAAGAGACTGGTGAGAAGCCGTTCATCATTTTATGCCTTGTGAATCTCAACGTACGAAGTACAGCTTGCTTACTGATGCTTTGCACGGCATTTTTGAAAAAAAATCACATTTGGTATCGTTTGTCATGCCACAGCATTAAGTCTTTCATTCAAGGCTGACATAGCTATGGCCTACTTGACATGGTGTGCTAGGTTCGTAACCAGCCTAAGGCAAGGCCATCGACGTTGTGACGGAGAACCTTTTTTTCTCAGGCTGGGTACAAACATTGCCTACTAGCGGGAGTTCTTGACCTTTTTGGCTTAGTTTTTTTGGAGGGCTTACTGCCCGCCGTGGTTCTGGTTCCTTCTTTCAGCTCTTATACCTTAGCGTCTTTATCTTTTCAGTTCCACTTCTTTTCTCCTTCAACTTAGTTCCCTCTCAGACATACAAAAGTAAAATAAAGCGAAAATAAAAAGATTAGTAAATTTATTGAGATTGGTTTTTGCACTTTGAGAAAGAAGGGAAGAAAGATGAAGGAGAAAAGATAAAGTGGTTAAGGTGCAAGGACCGAAAGAAGGAACGAGAATCATTAAGAGACAGCGGGCACTAGGCCCTCCAAAAAAGTCAAAAAGGTCAAGAACTCCCGCTAGTAGGCAATGTTTGTAGCCAGCCTGAGAAAAAAAGGTTCGCCATCACAACGTCGGCGGCTTTGCCACAGGCTGGTTACAAGCCTAATGGTGCGCTCCAGAAGGAATAATTAATCACATGTGATCTCATACTTGTGGCTGTTATTTTCATTTGCCAAAAGAAGACACGCGTTTCAAAAATAAAAAACAAACAGTCGCGTCTAGGCGCATTTTTTTTGTAGTTGAACTTTTGAGTCGGGGTAGGGTTGGGCGCCATCGTTTTTCGTCTAGATTCTAAATCACCAAATCATGTTCACACAAGCCGACAAAAAAAACTCAAGGAAGCAGAAATTGGTCTCTGGTGCGAGGATCAGCTACAATGATGTGCCCTACCCAACACGACTCAACTTTTACATGTCACCACCGTCACTTGAAATCAGTATCGAGGAGTTTGAGCAGTTTGCTCTTGACCGTATGCAAGGTATAAACAAGTATATCCATTCTTTTCGCTTTTTAGCCCTTGTGTATCATCCATTAAACAATACCGGCTCTAATTGCCTTTGCCATGGGATATTCTTTGCGTTACTTTCAACGGCTATGGGACGTTTTATTTGAACCTTTATTCAGTCCTTACAACACTCCTCAATGCTCAAGTACGAAACATGACGTCCGAACAATTGGACAAGAATGTCGATGCAGCCATCAGAAAGTATATGCCCATGCATAAAAATACCTCGGGAATACCCCAAAATCAGTTGATGGACGAGAGACGCAAAGATCATGTTAGCCATTTTATTTTACGACTGGCTTATTCTCGAAGGTACTGATATAGAAAAAAAGGAATTGTGAATTGATAAGTCAAGAGAGGTAAATGAGGAGGAAAAAAACTCGTAGTGTCATGCTTCTCATTCTCCCTCCTTTTCATTTTAATCATATTTGTCGTGATAGCCAGGAGCTCAGATCATGGTTTTTGCGCGCAGAATGTGCACTTTTCAGGTATGTTCTTTTCTCTGTCAGATTAAATAGTTTTTAAATTTCATGGCGTTAATTTCATTTTTTTTTTTTTTTTTTTTTTTTTTATCTAGATATCGCTTTGAGAAAGAGATTCTATCAGATCAGTTGGAATTTTTAGAACAGCAAAATTTGAGCTGGAAGAAGGTACTCTTTTTTTTTCTTCATAAAAATCTCTTAAGCATATTTATATTGCTGGACTCAACATCTAACCGTCTTTCATCCTGGATCGACTGGTTGTCTCTCTCTCTCTCTTTTTTTTTTTTTTTTTTTTTTTTTTTTTTTTTAAAAAAAAAAAAAGGTCAGTGATGATGATAAGAGCCTACTTAAAGAAAAGTTGTTGCCATTAATTAAGCCTCATAATAATACAAATTTGGATGGAGTAACGTACTTTGAAGTCGATTTCGAAAGAGTAACAGGATTGGTCGGGCGGAGACAAGTGTATGTCCAAGGAGGAAAGGCATATGTCCCTTTAGCAGATCAGGTTGTCTTGGTTCTAGATGAGTTCAAAGAGCGACTTGCTCATGCCTTGGAGGTAATTGTTAATTATCTTAATTATCTCCAAAAAAAAAAAAAAAAAACAAAAAAAAAAAAAAAACTTGGACTTGAATTTACATTGCCCTTGTTCGCTTGCAAGCCTTGTTGCCTTTTCTTTTTCCTTTGGATTTGTTTGTTCTGAGTCGATACGTTTTTTTGAATATATATTTTTAGGTTACAGGAAAGATCTTACCAAGGATGGAAGAAGATGACAGACTGATGCCTGTTCTGAACAATATCAACAAGCAATATTTGGGTCGCGAATTCACTACATCGGCTATTGCAGGAGAAATCCAGGCTCAGGATGTAGATAATCTTAAAGTGCATATGCCGTTATGTATGGAGCATTTACACAATGAGCTTCGTCGTGAAAAACATACTCGGCATGGAGGACGTATGCAATATGGCTTATTCTTAAAGGGCATAGGTCTCTCCCTGGAGCAGGCATTGATCTTTTGGCAAATGGCTTTTGAGAAACTGACACCGGATCAATTCAACAAACAATACGCATACAATATCAGGCACTCATACGGTATGGAGGGTAAACGCACAGACTATACTCCTTTCAGGTACAGAGAATCTTAATACATTGCTTGCTCAATGATTCAGCTTGCAGGTTATCGTGTTCTTCATTCGGCAAACTGTCCCTAATCCTATCAAACGTTAAACTTTTTAGCTGCCGACATATTATTCAGAACAATGCTCCAGGGCCGGGTGATCATCATGGCTGTCCATTTCGTCATTTCAGTGCACCTAATTTACGCGCTACGCTAGCTGCTCATCATGTGGATGATTTCGATACAGAGGATATTATGAGTTTAGTACAGGGTCGCCACTTCCAAATCGCATGCACACGGTATTATGAGGTCACACGGGCAAGAATGCTGGACATTGCTACCGAGAACCTAAAAGGTGGTGGAATCAATGGTGGTCAAGGGAATACAGGCATGGTGGCCAGTCAGGAATTGATTGAACACCCAAATCAGTTCTTTGAGCAAAGCTATCTATTGATGCAAAGCAAAGAATCATCTGCATCTATAGCAAAATCTGGTAATGGTGATTTTATGGATGGGCAAGCACAATCGACACTCCAACCGACAGTCAAGGGACAATACACATATAAAAAATCAGGGGTTCAGACATCCTCCCATTCGAATCTTGATATGGAGCTGTAGAAATAAAAAACGCATGGAAACTACACTAGCTGTTGTTGTTGTTGGACTTGTAATTACAGCTGTCCCCGAGAATTACCCGATAAGCATATAAAAGGATCACTGTCCTCAGAAGTAGTTGCCATTCTTATCTTAATATAAATTTTGAAGGTATCAAGTTCTATCGCCCATTTATTTTAGGATCAACTAGGACTAACTTGCAACATTGGTTTGATAATGATTCTTTCGCCGTTGCTTACTCACAAGACGATTAAACTTTCGTAGCTTTAATTTGGATGCCTCTCGATCCTTTAATTTCTCTATCTCTTCTGCCCTACCACTAACTAGTATCGCTTGCTTTTTTCGAAAAAGACGGTATCAAGTACAAAGTTACTTTGACTGGAGAGATGAAACTTCATTTTTCGTGTGACATAAGAAAACCAAACTTGAGTCCTGGTTCTTCATCAAAATCTATGAATATTTCTTGGACTGGTTGTTTACAGAGAGCGGTTGTTTAGCCATGGCTGCAGCAAGGGCTTCCGATTCTGACCACCCTGCGCTGACAGCGGATGCAGCTGCCGAAATCACAGCTGCAGAAGGGATCGTGTTGCTTTGTGGTAGGCTATATCTGCTTTGTCGACGACCATGGCGACGCCTACGGCCGCCACCGCCAATACCGAATTCAGGGTCATAAAGGTCGTCAGAGTCATCAGAGTATAACACATTAGACGGAGCATTCTGGAGAGGAGACTGCATTAGCAACTCAGATTGGCAAGGGGTTTTATGCGCTCGTGATGTTGAGGGAGAACTGATACTGTTACTGCAAGTATTGCTTCCGACGTAATTGGTAGGAAGATCAAGGTCATCCTTGTTGTCAGTGATTCTGGGCAGGTGTTCAAGCATATTGCTCTTACTGGAACTACAAGGTGCATGACTGTGGCTAGTTTCGCCCAATTTAGAGGGAGCCCCTGTCTCTAGGTTTGGGTGATGTAGCAATTGACCAGGTGGCAAGGCACCCGCTATTTCGTCATTCTCCATATCTCTATGGCCAAGTTTGTTGGTCTCCATAACTTGTTTGCCTAAGTTATCTAGACTCTTCGAGCGCCTCATTGTAGGTATCTCAGATAATAACTGAGTACTCAAGGCTTCAAGGTCATCATTCGAAAAGAGGCTCACCCAGTAATCCAGACGCGCTTGGTCTGGAAAACGGATCAGGAGCGTCCGCCTATGGGAAGTAGTGACTTGAATAGTGGGCTCATTGTCACAATCAATCTGGGTCATCGACAGCATCAGGTAACTTGATAGTCCGCCATTAAGGCTCTTAAAATAGCAACAATTATAATGAAGTAAGGTAAGTAAAACATGCAGTTTTCGGACAAAAATAATACAGCCATTTTTCAGGTTGAATTCCAACACCATACTTCTACTGTGAAGATCAAATGTGCCTCGGGAATAAGGATGAGTGTTGCCATGAACCAATGCGATAGGAAGCTAAAGAACTTATTTCGAACCACGCGAATTGGAAGGAGGAACTAATGACTTTGAGATTAGTATATATAAGAAAAATGTTAAAAGTAACTTAAGCTAATGTAGACAATAGCAATAACTTCAGTGCTTACTACGAAAGACTCGAGCTGCGTTAAAAGAAAAAAAAAAATCAGCTAAGGTTCCTATTGATGAAGAAGTATTATCCTGAAAAAGAAGTGGAAATACGTACCATTCTTGAGCCTTCTGAAGTTTTAGTCCCTAATGTGCGGCCATAAAGCACTCTTGCGTACAATGGTTCGTCCGAGATAGCAGCAATTGCCCTAGTACCATCACTGTTGGCTGTATATGAGCCTTGAAGCTTTATATTGTTCAAAGCCGGTAAACGAGGACCTGTCACATCCCCTCCATGGATATCGTATGAAGTGTAATTTGACGACGTGGTGGTGGGCTTTGTACATCCATCTATATTGTTTTTAAGCGCGTCGTGTGCTGAATTGGTTCTGGCTGTCCTTGCAGGGGATTCTAAAACAGACATTGGTATGTCATGGCTCCCCATCGAGGCTGACTGATTAGCCCTGAGACCGTCAGGCACGCGTCCCAGGGCATTAGAGCTTCCAAAAATGCCGCCGCCATTGCCACCTAGATGATGAGGGTGTTGACTGTATATGTGTAAGGCCCTGCTGGAGGTCCATGTTTGATGCTGACTCTTCCAGATTTCCCAAAACTTGGGCGCAAAAAGTATGAGCAGCGATAAGAGTGCGATTGAATATATTCCAATGTAAGTCAGATAAAACGTAGCAGGGTAAAATTCTATTGGGAAGAAGTGTGAAGCGACAATCATGATCAAGAAAAAGAATGCGTTACTTGGAAAGAAAAGAAAAGATATATATTAGTGGAAAGGTGATTTGACCATTGCACATTCTTTTTTTTAAGAATACAATAATAGAAGAAAATAAAAGCTTACTATATTACGAAGGATATTTGCTTGGCCTCATTCCATAGAAACATTACATTCCTAGTCTTGAACGCAAGGAACACTCCAAAGATAATCAAAACGATAGGCACAGCCAATGATGATATAAGCCATTGAGTCTGGTGTCTGGTTCCATTGCAGCGAATCCATTGCTTTGCTTCGATATTAAGTTCTTCATATGTTGGCATCTCAACAATAACTTGCACGACTGGAGGGATCGTTGAGAGTATCACAGCCACGACCAAATAACGAATAAGTGTTCTGGTCTGGAATTCTTGCTTAATAGCTTTAACAGAGTTGAAGATTCGATATATCCTGTAGTTTTTGATGGCCAAAGATCTGCAAGCATTGATATGAAGGGTTAGAGCTAAATTGCCTCCAAGTCAGTCAAGACAGCAAGACAGCTTTCTGCATATTCATAAGCTTAACTTACCCAGCAAAGAAGGCTCCCCCAATTGGAAGTATAAAAACTTCAGCAGCACATTCCCCATGCCGAGGGATACCAATGCGAAGAATACACCACACCATCATCAAGAGGATGCCAAATAGCTCGCATATACAAAAAGTAGGACTAGCACAAAGCATAATTGTATTTTAAAAAAGTAAGTAACAAATTAACTTAACATTGAAATTTAAAGGGTATCAGCCGTACCTTGTTGCTTTGATGACAATATAGTTTCTGTAATGCACTACAAGAGCAGCCGATAGTAGTGTCAAAAGAATGCCAATGATACTTAATATGCCAAGTATAATGCCACTTGGATTGGTCCACCTCGGGTTTTGGACTAATATAGGTAAGCAACAAATGCATAATAGACCAAGGTCAATACGTATAATCAAGCATCGTTAGTGAAGTAACGATAAAGTACTTACTAATCCCTGGAGGAGTGTCATCGAGGAGATTAGGGTATCCATCTTTAAAAAATGGCAAACTTGACAAAATAAGATCCCCAAAGAAGTGTTTAGCAAATTGAACAGACACTCCTTTACGCATACTCGAAAACACAAAGTACCTGTATCGCATAGCGATAATAGTAGCGCCAGCGGAAGTAGGAGAGGATTTGAAAGGAGACACAACTGTAACATTATTAGTTGGAAGTTTTTTTTTTTTTTTTTTTTTTTTTTTTTTTTCCCTTAAAAGAATGTCATAAAGATCTTGTAAACCATACCCCTCTTTCCTATCACCACTAGGATCAAGGCTTATAGGCCCATTTGGTCCAGAATAAGAATCATTTCCAAATATATCCAGCACCTGAACTTTCCCTGTATGTTCTCCACCAATCAAGCTTTTAATGAAGGGGTGGGTCGGCATCCGATGCGCAGGATTAGTAATCGTTGACCTGATAAGCTTGCCATACGCCTGGGCTATCATCATCACGCATGAGTAAGCCATCCCTTCGTTATTGACGAGTATGGGGTCCTGTGCTAGTGGATATCTATCATAGCATACGCTAGTGGTCAGTTGTCTTTGATTTTCCTGTCAATATGGAATACTAATCTTTAATCAAGGTAATTATACATACTCCGTTGGGTCCAAATTCTGCCATTCAGAAAGAAAGTTGTCAAAAGGGCCATACCCTTTCAGGTCCCAGCCGTTATCAATCATAATTAGTCCATCGTAATCGGGAATACTATCCTTTTCCTGTTGAACTGAGCTAGAGACGTCATTCGTTGTTATCCATGCATACTTTGGGCTCATATAACCCGAATCCCTAAATAACGAAAGCGCCAATTCCATATGCCCCATCAGTATTTGGATCGAAAAGATGAAGAGTAAAAGAGTATAGCTAGTTTCGCTTACTTCATTTCGCGCAAGAAATCAAATTGGTTATTTTGGGTAGCTATTAAGACTTGAATACGCGATCGAGAAGACTGGAGTTTATCCTTTACATGATGGAAAGTTGGGTCATATGGCTTCCCAAATATCGTCATAGGCACAGCTGCAAGGACATAAATACCCATTTCCTTGGCTTTATCCTCGAAATGCTCTCGTTCTTATAATGTATCCGAGCCGGGCAATTAGGAGCCTGGTTAGAACGCGTGTGCTTCTGAATCTCCTGAGTAATAACCCATTTCAACCCTACATCTTACCAGACCACCCAAGTGTATCGGCATCATAGATCAACGAGATACGCCTCCACCCTAATGTATGTACGAGGGCAAGGAGACTATCCAAGATTACAATAAGAGTTGGAATAGTGCGAAAAAAGAATGGATATACTCTCATATCCGAGAGCGTAGTGCTGACTACCATAAAGTCACATAATTAAAAAAAAAGAAAAAAAAAATGTTAAGACATGCGGCAAACTTGAGAGACGAATAAATTCATCACATAGTTCTTCAGGCTTTGTTCGTACCGGAGCTAAAGGAGCATTGTGGTATGCCTACACTTGAAGTCATCAATGCCTCATATCGTGTGAGAGAAGAGCGGAGGTCGCCGATGACTCCGCTAACCTGAAATTTGTTTCAGATAATTCAATATCAACTGAAAGTTGAAAAAAATTACCATCATGAGCCTTGCAAAGACCATTTCATACCTTCGCAGTAATCAAATCACTTGCTGCTGAAATAGCTGCTGACCCTCCAGTTATCGTGAACAAGTCAGGGTCCTGGCTATCTCGAAGAATAAGTGTCATGTTGATTCCAGGAACTATCTTTTGCCTATTCACATGATTAATGGCCAGTCGGATAGCTGAAAGAGCCTTACGAGCTATGATATGCTCCCTTGACCCTGTTGGTGCATTCAACGGTAAGAGCACTCCAAACCGCAATGTTTCCACATCTGGATCCCACATTGTCTCGTACTCATAATCCGTGAGCAGATGAGGCTTAGTTTTTGGTCGAAGCGAAATAGTAGCAGCTGAGTATTTGGCACCAACTTTTGTGCTGGAAAAGTCAGTAGCTGATAATGGTGGAGGTTGTATCTTTGTTGGTATTAGTGGGCTAGCTTTGCTGACAGCAGAGTTAGTAGTACTTGGTAGAATCGTGTGTAGGCTAGCTGTGGGCTGTCTAGTGCCATCTAAAGCAGCAGCATCATGTCGGCGAGGCACCAGTATTGACGATGCCGTAGGTTCAGATTGTGCTGCTATTGGCAGGGACTGATCTAGCGATAAGAACGTATGGGCTGGAAAAACTAAACATGGTGTAGGACGCAGACCGTTATTGTTGTTGTGAGCTGAGGCGGATACGTAGATATTCTCTGGTAATCTTACAAATGCAAAGGGAACGATATATGCAACCGAAAAGATTCTGGAGATAGCAAGAGTGAGGAGAAGGAGAGGAGATCGCATATTGCGGGTCGTCTTTCTCTTGGACAAACTGCTTTAGCAATGTTAATGGCAAATGTAGTCGTAAACTGTGTGTTTGTGCTGTGCTTCTACAGTCCAATATGAGTTGTCCAATATGAGTTGCTCGACGACTAGAGATGATTTTCAGCCTGTATGGACAGACGTCCAACAGTAGTGTAAGAGGTAGAAAAAGAAGTAAGAGAGAGTGAATGCACTTTACTTGAGTCATAATAGTATATATGAATTTATGAGGCTTTAGGATAGCGAGAGGTATGTCTTGTTTTTGGATGTAATGAAACATGGGGCTACTCATAATCGGTAATAAGTTTCTAGATGACGTCGTTGGGAGCTCGCAGGGCTGATCAACTGTTGAATTAATTGGACTTGAAGCTGCAATCGATTTGGTAGTGAATAACTGAGAATCGCCATTTCCTGCAGTGGTCTTGGAGATTGTTGATGTCACTGGAGGAAGAATAATCGATCAGTACCTCTACCTGATGCTAAATCCCAGATTATAGTACTCTTCTAGACCATATTTCAATCTCGGTTACCGTTAACTTGTAGCTAGGAGAAGTACGAGGGTCTTAAATAACCGAGTTACTCAATTCATCAGTTATTTCCTCATGTCGCTGGGGCAGTCAATTTTTAAATACAGCAACTCTCTCTCTGGCTTTATTATATTATATTTCAAAAATATGACACGTCAACCAAGACAAAGTCAGTCTGGTTTCGGCGAGAAGCACTTTTTTTATTTGCTATGATCTTGGATTTTAAAATCACGAGATTTGTGCTATTCACTTTTGGCAATTACGAGAATTGTGTAAGGAACACATTTAAAAAGAACCACAGATCTCCGGACTCACTCTCGCGTATAGAGTCGAGACAGAACGATCGCATGTTCGTCTTTTTAATAATGTAGAGTACGGCTCCATAAGAGAACGCCTTAATAGTGCTACTAATTAGGTTTCCAATTTCGTTAGACAAATGAAGCGGTTTGCTTCGCCACATATATGGCTCTGATCTTCACATTGGCCAGAAGACACATTTAAAAACAGAGTCAGCAAGATCAGAGTCAGTCCTGCAAGTGTCACTTAAATATGCTCCAACTACACATTAAATCTCGTTTACTTTTACGGCTAAAGTAGCATATAGTCCCTAATAAAGGTGATTTACAAAGTTCAAAGTAAAAAGGGAAGTTGCTAAATTGCTTCACTTTCAATTATGAAGGGACTTGTGTAATCAGAAAAACTATTCGTTTTATTCTCCTTTTTATTTAATTTAAGTAAAAATAAGGTTGCTGACATGCCTGTCATCATAAGATGGATAAGATAGGGTCGCTAAATAATATATAGTAGAGTCATTATTCATCATCAGAGCCATCAGGACCAAACTTAGTATAATCGACTCTGGCACCTCGTGTCCGTCTACCTGTGGTAATGATATTGCTCGTATCAATCGCGTTATCCTCTATTGAGCATGAAAAAAAGAGGTCGTATTAAATGTTAAACCCATGCATTATGTGTCCTGAAAAATAAAATAAAAAAAAAACTACCTTCGCCTGAGCGCTCAGATTCGCTCACTACCGAAAGATTGTCACTATCGTCGTCATCACTATCTGATCCCATTCTTTTCTTCTTGGATGATTTGGACTTTGAGGATGATGTCCTGGATTTTTTCTTTGGAGGTGTTGAAGAACGACGCGATGATGACTTCTTGGAGGGAGCACTTCTCTTGTTGGATGATGATGACTTTTTCGGTCTGTCTGAATCATCAGAATCCACGTCCGAAAACTCTTCTTCTGAGATGTCACTCTCAACATCATCATTTTCACTATTATCGGTATTATCGTCATCATCATCATCATTCTCATCTATGAAGATTTACAAACACGGTTCATCGAGTCAGAGTAAGTAAAACATCGCTTTCAGTTGATATTCACTCGTTGATTTTATCAATTCGAAAAGATGTGCCATTACCTCTCAAGGACCGGCCTTTGCCTGGAAACCTTGACTTGAACACCGGCTTGGAGGATGATGAGTGCTTGGCATCAGGTTTCTTGGCCTCAGGTTTTTTAACCTGAGGGGTTGGCCTGATTAAGTGAGTTATCATTAGGTTAAAGATTATTTTTTTTTTAAAAAAAAAAAAAAAAAAAAAAGGTTTAATATCAGGGCCTCTATTTCTACGACAATCCGAGAATGATGTAGACAAACTATTACTTGTCGCTTGATTCAGATGCGCGTTTAGCAGCTAAAGCTTCGAGTTTTTTTCTTCTCTCAGCGGGGTCGGACATGATTCTGTTTCTTGTTAATATTATTGATTTCAGATGAAGCGCAAAAGGATGAAAGAACAGAACACTCTAGTGGAGGTCGTCCAAAAAAAAAAAAAAAAAAAAAAAGAGAAGGAGCAAGCGTTGTAGCTGAATGTTCGATTGACAGGAGACAAAACCCTTACAAATGATGTTCTGCCCAATAAGAGCACCGAGGGCGATGCGAGCACAACGCGCAACCAACTGAAGTTCCCGCCACAAATTCTTGTTTTCAGTGAATGATCTCTAAGCCACGCAAGGTAGGCTTCTCATTGCCAAAAAAAGAAAAAACTACTTCCTCTATTCTCATTAACAGCACTACTAGGGGATCCATTGAGAGACTTGTAGATTACCTTTCTGATATTTTTATATAAAATCTAAAAAACTTTTCCGGAATCTGAATGGTTGTTCTTGGTCAACATTCTAGTTGCTGATCGGGTTTTCAGCATGTCACAGTATGTTTGTCGTCAGTGCGCCCTCTCTTTCCTTCTCCGGAGGGGAGCGTCAAAGATTGCCGGAAACCCAAGGATAGCATTATCAGATGCTCAGACACCTGCGTTATTCATCCGTACTTTCTGTCTGCCTCAACAGGCTCCTTCCAGGTATTTAAGCTCCTCAATTCCAGGACGATCACTACCAGAGCCGGTTGCAATAGGATCATCAGTGTCAACGAACCTCACAGATTCCCGAACCAGCCGCCTCAAAACAACGATACGACCTGTTAATCCTTCGTCACTGGAGCCTCTTCAGGATCTGGAGGCATCTAGACAGAAGCGCATCAGGATGACTCGCAAACGAATCTATAGATTCGTCAGATATCTTGAGGTTGATAAACTATATCTTGAATTTTGGAAGACCTGCTGCACCGAGACCTTGGACGATCAGCGGGAAATTTGGCGCTCCTCTAATGACAAACCGGATCTGTTAACCACTCAAGAAGCTGTCTACAGAGCCTTCAATTCGTCGAGTCCGCCGACACATTCAGTATATCCTGTCTGGAGGAGGAAACTGAAGGATGGTAGGCCATTTCCAAGATTCAAACTTACTGTGGAATACGAATCAGCACAGAAACCTATGGTTTACACGCTGGCATTTATTGATCAGTCGCATGCTAGGCGGTTACTTCAAATGCATCAGTATTTTGAGGAGGTATTGGGTATAAAGGCCGGATACCGCTCTATGATCGCACTTCTTGTGGCTTTTTCTTCCCGCGGTGATATGGCAACAACTCTCACGATCTTTAATAGATGGAGGGAAAACCAACAGTTTAACCAAAGTGGGGGGAAGGAGATGTATTCTTCTGTCATCCGAGGCCTTGTCGGTCGAAACTGTCAAAGTTCCCCACTTGATCCACACTCGCTGGCCAAGAATAATAGAGCTGGAATCAGGAACCAAGGCGTTACCCAAATATATGCAGCTTTAGAGCTCTTTTACGATATGTTGCGTCAAGGTTGTACACCGACTTTTGAAACCTATCATTCATTGATAGTAGGCCTGTCAACGTTCAAGAATGATATGGAGGCGGCAGAGTTGTTACTGGATCATATGATTATCATGAAGAAGAAGCCTTACGTCCAGGTATTGCACGTAATATGTAGAGAATATGTCCGTCGTCGAGATTTCCCGTCTGCAGAGAGGATTTTCAGGATGCTGAAAGAATACAGGATTCGGCCAAAGGCTCTGACGTGCAACTTGATGCTTAAGGCAGTGTTTCAAATGTCAGACGCTGATGCAGCACTATACCTCGGAAAAGACGAAGAAGAAGAAGATCAGCTGGAAGATATACAAGCTAGGGGTCGTCGTTTAAAACATAAAAAAATTAAGGAGATACACGATTACATGGTTGAGAGCGGGGTCTTGCCAGATGAAGTCACGTTCAGTATCCAGTTCTACGGATACGGTCATATGGAGGATGGATACTCAGATCTGCGTGCTGTAATGACCGAAATGGCAAATCGACAGGGGTTGACGATAGAGCCTAATATGATTATTCTCAACTCGCTACTATTCGCACACATCAACCATGGCAAGCTGAAGATGGCAGAATCGATTCTGGACCAGATGCTGCAATCAACGCATCCTGTTAATAGGGCGAGAGCGGACTCCTTTAATAAAAAACAACAAGTCAGGAGCCCATTCCTCAATCCACAAGAGGGCGAGGACATAGATTTATTTGATGGTGATGAGCAACCAAGAACAAGGAGGCGACGGCTCAAAGACAGTGCATCGCTTGAAGGACTGCGGATGATTCCCGGAAAAGGCGCTTTTCATGCATTGATGCTCGCATATGTCGACCAAGGGGATATTATAGGGATGGAGCGTGTCTTGGATAAGATGATAGGCGCTCGTAAACATTTACAACAGGAGTGTATTCAAACCTCTCCCCACTTAAAACAGTCGGAGTATCGTGCCGCTTTCCCAAGGCTCAACCTGGATGCGGATGAATATACCGCCAATATCATGCTTCTGGGCTATATCATGCAGCGTGATTACGAGAAAGTGGAGCTTATTCGACAGCAGATTCTGTCACGCCTGGACTGGACAACTAGTGCATCTTTTGCTCAGCGAGAGCAATATCGTGAACAACTTATCGCATTTGTACAACAGCAAAGTTCAAGATCAATGACAAAGCGATTTTTACAGGACGACGTCGACGATGATGATGGCGCTCTCTCGAGATTTTTATTCAATTCATCCTCGCCCTCCAAGGGCGTAACTCAAGGAATCGGTTCCTGTAGTGACGCGAAAGCGTGTGATCCTCGAGACAAAAACATTGAGAGCGATCTAGATGATAGCATTGAGATCGATATCACAACTCTCTCGGCCAAACTACGTTGCCTTTTGAATTCAACTGCTACATCTCAATCTTCGTCTTCGTCATAAAAATCAAATTAAACATTAGCTAGAGCTGCATCAGCCACTGTTGCTTTAATAAGATGTTGGTTCAAACTATTTAATCCATCTTGAAAAGTGGTAGAGTACAGTTTCCATGACGTATACACTCAGAAGGGTCACTCAGTGACCATACCATGCATGTTCTTTAAACTTTCGTTCTCTTGGCATTCTTCTACGAGCGGTTTATTTGGCCGCCAAATTCGGACTGTGGCATCATCCGAACACCCACTCAGCTATAGGTTAAGAGCAAGAAATTAGCTTTATCAATTCAATATTCAGAGGCACATAAGCATTCATCAAGCATGATAAGAGTGTATACCTGTGTGCCGTCCCCGATATCCTTGGCCCAATCTACTCCTGTGACTTCCCTCTCGTGGCCATGGAAAATAAGTGGTTTTTTGTCCGGCCGCTTGACTTCCCACACATAAAGGTCTTTGCAGGAGCCAGCAGCAACATAATTACCATCTGGTGAAACACTGATCTTGATATAATAACTTGAGCACATAAAGTCACTGCCCCCGAACTGCTCCACAGGCCCACCGAGTACCGTGGTGTTAAACATATAAATATGGTTATCGGAACTGACTGCATACAAGGCGCTGCCATCGGGAGACAATGCCATCGATGTCATTCCGTGGGCACGTTTCGTTAATGGTGTGTAAGTCGATGCGGCAAGAGGTGTTGGGAAGTCGTGTCTAAAATAAGTACCATGCTTTCGGACATCCCAGTATTTCACAGAACTATATTATGGGTGATAATAGCATACGTGAAGATCCTGAATTAGAAAGCATATACCAGCTACAAAGTGTATAACGGTCAAATATACTCAAATATATGTTACCCGTCTAATGTGCCAGTGGAAGCAATGATGTTCTCATTATGCATCATGTACTGCACAGCTGAGGCTGTGTTAGGTCCATCAGATCCGTGCTTGGACTTTTTTGGTGGGATACTTCTAGCTGAGTTGGCATGAACGTTCAATAATCTGTCGGCTGGTCGATAAAGAATATCACCATGAGGAGTTGTAGTGCTTGAACATCGTACATCCCAAATCATAATAGCGCCATCTCTTGCAGCTGTCGCGAAGATTTCTAGACACAGAAGAGACGGACGTACATCATTAAGACTTTTTTTTTCTACTTTTTGGTGAAGCGATAATAATAATAATAAAAGGCGTATAATATAACCTGAGTAACATACTGTCATCATTAAACTTCATTGATGTACTCTTAATGCTTCCAGCATGGCCTGAAAAGGTACCGAGGCATGCTTTTGTTTCAACATCATACAACTTTGCCGTCTGGTCGCCAGACGCTGTAATCTAACGGAAATGACATAGATATTTACACATTGAGAAATAATCTCTATGAGCGATCAGATCGTGCAACCATAGGTAAAATATGCATCCTTACAATCTTGGAATCGTCCCTTGTCCAGCAGAGGTCGAAAATAGCGTTCTGATGAGCCTGAATGCGAATAGTTCCCTCTAGCAAATAATTAAGGTGATAGTGAATTGATTGGAAATTGCATTCTTTTTTGTTTTTTTTTTTTATTTTTTACCCATGCGCGACAAAAAAATACCTGGATGTGCATCATCTCTTCTAGTGTCAACAATATGTATTGTGCCATCTTCATCCCCAACTGCTAGATTTCGTGCTTCGTTAGCCACTGTTATAAATGTACATATTTGTATTCAAAGATTGACCATTAGTGAGAATCCATCTAGTATTTATCATCCATGTATTCGATCAAAGATGGTAGAGCATAATCCGTTTCGGAAATATATACCGTTATTGTAGGCGCATGAAAACGGCGGTACAAGTGTGGTTGAATCCTGTGAAATAAACGTGTATGTATCGCTTGGTCGACTAATGTAATCCAACATATGAAAGCGTGTTGAGACTATCACAAGAAACAAGATAGGGTTAGTGATATTGAGAATTATTAGAAAAATTGTCAATGAGCTCAGTCCATCATACCGTAAGATGGTTTGTTTCTTTGTCGCCCATATAACCGTTCCTGAGACAATGTAGAGATGAGATTAAGAGGCTGTTTTGAGTTGTATGAGAGGGAGAACCTGGACTTTATAGGACCTTCAGCTTGATTTGCTGAGTTATATGTTGCAACTTGAGTTGATGATAGCTGTTGTATCTCTCTTTTTGAATTAAGAGCAGGTGAAAAGATTGGGAAAGATGGATGGTGATCACATTCTTCGCTGGTTAGCTTCAATGATCTCTTTCGGCTAATGGACCCAGTTTGAACTGCAGCGAAGATCTCAAGCAGACCCCGAGTAGGATTATTCTCTTCTCCTGAACCTGCGGAGCATGTGAGACTAGCTACTGCTTGTGATGGAGTATTGTTAGACCGACGTCCTGTTAAGGGCCGATGAGTAATGTCAGTAAGCGGCGCTTTCCGCATGGCTGCGTTAGAAGGCACTTGGAGGACGTCTACTTGGAGATTAAGCGACGTAAAAAAAAAAGTACGCTTCTAAGGATAGTCTATGTGACTGCGCGTTTCATAACACTCATATGAAACTAACTGACTTTTTTATTTTTTTTTATTTTATATTTATTTCACTAGAGATATGATATAATATGATCTATTCAAGGTGATCATCTGGAACTGTTGAACTTCGCCTCTCGTCCCTATGTCTCTGCTCTTCCCGTCTCTTCTCACGCAAGTAGTTCCTTTGAGATGCATATAACTCTCTCTTAAGATTTCTATCTGCTGATTTAAGATGCATAAAGTTGCATAGACCACCTCGAGTGCATTCAGAATTTTCATATTGGCGGCAACAGGCTAGAGTTTATTAAAATAAAACGGAAAAAAAGCCTTAGTATTTTGTCTGATATTCCATTAATTGATTATTTCGTCCATCGTTCCGCCATTGATATCTTACCTTCTCGGAAATCCGTTACTGGAGAAAGCTCAGCCCAAAGTGGCCGACCTGCATAAAAGCGGTTATTGAGGCTTTCAACAGCATTTCCAGCGTCCTCCTCATATTTAAATCTGGCATATATGTTGCCCACAAGATGATCGCCGATATTATCACAAACATGCATTTCTTCTATTTCCCCATATTTAGCCAATTCGACAAAAAAGTCTTCGTAAATGTTGTCAAAATCCTCCTGAATTTCCTGTTTCGTCATATTACAATTGGCGTCATGAGATGGGTTGTGATACACGTTGGGGATAAGGATCGTTTGTGAAAAATTTGGTTTGACATGTTTCCTGGAACAGCGGTCGCCATGCCTACAGGCCCCGATCTTAAAGTAAAAGGAACAGTTAACCCTGTAAAAGAGAAGAAGGAATAGATACAGAAATAAACAGAAAGGGCGTGGAAGCGTTGAAGAGTATTGAAGTGTTGAAAGTTAGACATATGCAAAGCAATAATCAATGAGCACACATTCTTCAAAGTAAAAGATGTCGTAATGTTTGGGACTCTACATACTTGTCTTTCTCTGTACCGTAAATAGATGCCAAATATGTTGCCATGTCTGTAATGCTGTTGAGAGAAGGCGTAAAGATGTGAAGAAATTAAAAGGCTTGAGAGTCTGAGGTTTAATGTCCCTTTATAAGAAGCACATTCTAGCAAAAAAGATGACTAAGCCACTTATCATGTGATCTAGTCTCACCCCGGGTCTCTTCCAAATCTTTGATATCCATCCACGGAGCCATCCACATTGACAAAGCCATCCATCGATCTGGCGTCCGTCAGAAGCCTTAATTTGTGGTCTTTGTGTGTGGACATATTCTGTGGCTACTCTTGCTGGCTTCACTTCCATTAATAGATACTTCTCGTCTTCACGGTGCAGGATGATTCCATTTCTGCCGAGACCACCCGGGGCATAGAAGTGTCCGTCTGATATGGACACGTCACATTTTTTTTTTTTGGATATTTAAAGAGAAAGTAGCCTCTCGTTTTCCTTTTTTTTTTTTTTTTTTTTTTCTCCCTCGCTCTTTTCTCTCTCCTATTACCACTCCCGCTCTCTTTTTCACTCTCGCTAGTTCACTTCATTTTCTCTCCACTTCACATATTCTTTACGCACTAGTGAGCCGTGAACACCATTCATTTACTCTGGCCACCACTCCTATTCCTTTTTCTTTCTTCTTCGGTGTGAGAGCGAAATATTCTGGGAGCGAAGAACACGCTACTCTCTTTTACGCTCTTTTTATTTTATTTCTTTGTATACATTATATCATACGCCCAATATTTCCGACATAAACAACCAGTAATGATGTCTAGTAGCGAAGAGGTTAAGAAACGACCACTCGACGATTTGGACCGTCTGAATGGAGAGCCCAATGGGTAATGAACCGCAGACCGTCTTCGCTGCTTTGCTCTTACATTCTTTTTGTTCCATATTTGCTCAGCTTAACCTTCGCCCACGCCTACCTGTATTAGTTTTGCCACCATTTTTTTTTTCCACATATGAATTCTTGTGCAGAATCACTAACGTGAGCATAACTTTTTCTTAAAAATATATGTCATATATTACTATCTGTCGTTATGTGCTGCAAAGACATACTTCTCCTCCTCTTGAAATGCCTCCACACGTTCCCGAAGAAACTTCGCTAAAGAGGCTTAAAACTGAAGACGATGATCATGTTCCCATGTCAACTTCCTCAACTACTCCAACCATTACATCGTCCGTAGATCACCATCCTCTTGTACCCTCCCTAGACCATTCTCGCTTGGAACCCCCTGCATCCCTCAACCACAATAGCTCAGAGCAGACGGTAGATAGTGATATGAATGTCCCGAATTCTGTACTCAATGCGCCTGTGACCAATGTATTGTCAGGACCACAAGCTCCAGCCCCTGCTTTTGAAGCAGCTACGCAGTCTGTCGAGCAGCGGAATTCTGATAACATTGATGTCTCAAAGGTCAGTTTCCCTTGTGTTCGTGTAAACTTTTGGGATAAGCTTTGTTGCAGAACGGCGCTGATACTCTTGAGGGTGAATAAAGCCTATTTATGTGTATGCACTATGTCTTGTTACCATTTACTCTACACTGCTATGACGAGAAACCAGTGAATGGGACATGTAATATTTTGGGAAATTGTATTGGAATAAACTACATAACATGCGTATGGATTCAGTGTGAGCAATTCACCTTGTGGACACCAAATGCAGGTTGTAGCAATAGGAGAGGGACAACAGCACTGTAGAACAAGCAGAGGAATTGTAACTCGGAATCTGACTCTTTTTTTTTTTTTTTTTTTTTTTTTTTTTTTCGTTCTTTACTGACGCGTTGTGATTTTCAGCCTGCGCTCCCAGCTGCCACTGTTGTAACAAACCAATCGACAAACCCTACAATCAGCACAGAGACACCTGTGGCCTCCGTCACAAACGGTGTTCGCAAGCCTGCGATGACACGCGAGCAGCTTAAGTATTGTACAGCTATCATTAGACAACTCAAAAGGCATCGCGATGCACCTGCCTTCCTACACCCTGTTGATCCTTTGCAGCTCAAGATTCCAGACTACCCTCTCATTATCAAACACCCAATGGATCTTTCAACAGTTGATCGGAAATTAAGTGGACTGGAATATGATGCTGTTGATGACTTCGTTAAAGACGTCAATCTAATCTTTGAGAACTGCTATTTGTACAACGGTCGAGAGTCGCCTGTTTCTATCTGTGCATCCAATCTTGAGGCCTCGTTCCACAGCTCGTTGCGTCATATGCCTAAAGATGTAAGATGAAGAACGTTGTATCACATGAAATCGATGAGTAGAAAATGTTCAACAACATATTATTAAATTTTACTGAATATGAATATGAACATCCTGCCTTAAATATCAGAATTCCAAGATTGATGTTCCAGCCGCAAAGGAATCTGCAAAAAAGACTCCAACCACCCCCAAGCTGAAGAAGGAAGCAGTGAAAAAGGAAGATGCCAAAACCCCAGTCCCTGTTTATGTGCCACCATCAGACCCAATCCCACTGAACCTCTCTCAATCTAGAGCTGCATCTGAGGAACGTCGACCTAAACGAGATATTCATGCGCCCTCAAAGGAAATGCCTACAGCAATCGCTGTGAAGAGGAAAGGCGCAGGGAAATGGAAATCGGACCCTCAGCTTCGATACTGTGCAAGCATTCTCCGGGAGTTTTCAAAAAAGGCTCATGCGGAATTCATGTTCCCTTTCATGGAACCTGTGGACTATGAGAAGCTTGGCATTCCTGACTATCCCAAGATCATTAAGAACCCTATGGATCTTTCAACTATCCGTCAGAAGCTGGAGGACGATGAGTATGATGACCCGGCTCTATTTGAGGCTGATGTCCGTCTTGTGCTCTGGAACTGCTTCAAGTTCAACCCTGTTGGAACTCCTGTCCATATTATGGGACGCAAGATGGAGAGTTTGTTCAATGAGAAGTGGGCTGAACGTCCGTTGCCACCCGCTCCACCAGCAATTGAAAAAGAGGAGCCTGTTGTGGAATCTGAAGATGATGTCGATTCATCTGGTATGTATCAACATGAAGTTTACCAGAAGGAGCAGTTTCTAGTGTAATCGTGCTAAGTTTTTTTTTTTTTTTTTTTTTTTTTTTTTTCTTGTTTTTGTTTTTCATTAACATTTATTTATTTCTCGTTTTAGATGAAAAGATTGCAGTATTGGAAAGACACTTAAAGACATTAGCTGAACAAATTAAGCAAATGAAAGCAGCCAAAAAAAAGGAAAAGGTTGATAAGAAATCGTCAAACAAGACAGTTCAAGAGAAACCCGTCAAACCTAAGACTGCGTCCAAGACACCAGTTAAATCTCCAGCGAAATCTACGCCTGCTAAAGCGCCTGCTTCTGAAAAGAAAAGACCTCCAGTCAAACGCTCAAAACCGGTCTATACTAGCGAGAGTGACAGCAGTAGTGAGGACGATATTCCTGTCATTACATTTGAGCAAAAGAAAGAGCTCAGCGACAGCATTAACAAATTTGAAGGCGACAAGTTGGCTAATGTTGTACAAATTATTCACAACAGCATGCCACATCTCCGAGATGTAAGTTCGAACTTTTTTTTAGTTTTATTTTTATTTATATATAATTAAGCGGCCAAAGCTATGAACAAACTTTTAATGGTGTCTCGCTTCTCTTGTTCTAATTTGGTGATATCAGAATGGCGGTCAAGAGGAAATAGAGCTGGACATTGATTCATTAGATCCTAGGACGCTGTTTAAATTGTATCAGTATGTAAAGAAAAACACGACGGTGAAACGCAAGAAGCCTGCGCCCAAGAAAGTTAAGGTTCAGTACACGGAGGAGGATGCTACCAAGAAGATAAGCGAGCTGGAACGAACATTGCAGAAGTTTGAGCAGCCTGCTGCGCATCTGAAGGGTATGTATTTAGACTGTTGTTTATAATGAAGGTTCGATTTTGTTTGGGATAGATTTAGCAGCTACTAATCACAGTCTGTTATCAAATTGTGATATGTTTTAGGGTCCATTTCAAACGTAAACGACGGTTACTCTTCAAGTTCCAGCGGAAGTTCCAGTTCGTCTGGCTCTGATAGCGACTCTGGCAGCAGCAGCGACTGAACACATTATTTGCGGGTTACTGTCTGAACAGTGTCTTCGCAACATCGATGCAACCATTTGTGCATCCTGTTTTATATTGCCCTCTGATTGTTTGTTTGTACTTTGTATACGACAAGAAGCATAATGTACTTTATAATATTCTCGCATTTCTTTCTCGCATTCCTGGTGTCGTGTACTTGTATTGTCTATCTATTGTCAATGTGTTGCATTTTTAGAAGTACCCTTTTTTTTTTCCTTTCTACATGTGATTGGGTAAAAACGTTTTTATTCAAGTACTAATCTGTCGAACCAGCTAAAAGGAATCTTTGCGCAAAGCCTTTGTAGTCATAGGCGGGTCCGCCTCACCTAGAAACTACCGAGTATAAAAGCCAAAGAAACTTCCTTCTTAATAAAGTCTTCAGTTTCCCCCACATGTCTTATTCTTCACCTGCAGTTCATCTTGCCATTTATCTTTTTCCCCTTTTCACAACAAGCATTTGTCTTCCGGTAACTCAGTTTGTGAGCTCACCTATAAAGCTCCCATCTTTTCTTTTGACATTCTATGGCGCTGTTTGTAGTCAAGGTTATTTGACTCTATTTTCTCTTGTCAATCTTGTTAACACTCTTTGTCCTGATTGTGTCTATCTTTCTGTCCCTTAAGCAAAGATATTTTTTACAACAATGCCACCAAACCAATTTATTATGATTAAGATATGTGGGGTCTATATGTTGTCTAAATAGTCCTCCCCATAAAAAAACACCATCTAGACCAAGCATAGAAATAAAGAGATTAGTCAAGAAAGCACTGTCGAGCTAATACTTACAACTTTTTCAAGACGAAGGCCTTTCCCGACCTAGTCATGTTTGTAGTAGCTCATGAAAAATTTTAGACAGACAAATAGTAACCAGGGAGCAGAAGTGAGAATAGGATGTGGGTTCACACATCACATCCATGGGGCATTTATCCAAATTTGTATCAAAATAAAACTGCAAGTTTGTCTCGGGCACCACACCATGGGACATAGAGCTGTTAGTATGTCTGTATTATAAATTTTCATGTTGCACGTGTACTGTGAAATATGCAACTGATCATATCCTATTGTTGTTGCCGGCTTGGTGTCTTTCCTCCCCATGGATTCAGCGAAGGCTATTTTGGTATCTCGAATTTGGACTCAACCTGTCAGTGAGTATTGGTGCAACGCATATAAGGCACACAGGCTGTTGACGAGCCTACTTCTCATCTTCACCGTTTGACGCAGGTCAGGGGTGTGACGGTCTAGCGAAGAAAACGTAAGGGCATTAACAATACCAGGATCGCATTAGACGGTAGTTGTGGTATTTGCAGATGAGCATCGCCCTAGCTCATGGAATATGAGTCCAACGTTTTCAAGAAGTTTGGGGCTCCTCTTCCAGTTTATGTTTGCGTAGTCTTCATCTGTCAGGTCTTCACCGGCTGCCTTTAAAACACGCCGTGTTAAGGAATCCTTGAGAAAGTTTCAATTCCTGGCTGAGATCTTCTTCATCTACGTCAGACTGCTGCTGTCTCTTCGTTTGGACTGTGTCATAGGCAAGTGGATTCAGAACAAGGCCATTAGTAAAATCGTTCCTTTGAGTTTGAACCGAGTTATACCTTTGTCTTGTGCCTGTAGGGGTACCTTGTCTTGATAGCCATGAAACATGCGATCTCCTTCAATGTCACAAAGAGAGCCTGTATCTAGACCTCTTTTGTTCCCTGTACACATTCAAACACTGCAGCCTTGGAAGGATTGTCGAGAGGATGTCAGTTAGGACGTGTTCAGACAGATACACATACCGAGGGGGGACGTAAGGAAGTCTGCTTTTTTTATTTCTTGTTGATTGTCATGGCGAAGGCTTGATTTGGTAAATGTAGATGATTGGAGAAGAGCTGTAAACAATACTCGAAATCCAAAAAGTTAAAACTTGTCGCTGAGAAACTTATTGTTTCGAGTTGTTCCAAATTCATCAGCCTTTTGTTTCGTTCTCTTTCATACACCTATAAATACGTCCTGCCTCCTTCTCTTTTTCCCTCTCTCTCTCTCTCTCATTTTACAACGACATTGCTTTCGCGCTCTCACCCGTACTCTTACACCCTCATCCCCTCACAGATCATAACTTTTTGCTTTCTTAAAGGTAAACTATCTCTACTCTAACAACTTCAGCTTCAATCTTTAGCCGCTTAAACCAACATTGCTTGCACTGTTTTACACTATACTTTCTCTAGATGGGTATTAAAGGACTCTATTCATACCTTTCAAGGAGAGACCTGCCACCAAAGGAGATTGATGTACATGAGCTTGCTGCTGAACCCCATTCATCTTTTGAGCTGGATCTGCTTGGCACTTTCCACAGCGATATACATAATATCATCCTAAGGAGATTCAGCTGGCAGAGTTCTTTCACTGCCTGCGGCCATGCTATGGCTAGTATCATTCGAAAGATCTTTGGTCCTCTTGCCACAGTGACGATACACATTGATGGGCCTCGCTGCGAAGAAAAAACGCGTGCCTATAGGGACCGAGATGCTAAGCGTACAGCAGCGGATGCAAAACTCGATACGCTCATAGCCAACATGGAAACCAAGTCCAATGAAGGCAAATGGGAATCTCGAAGCCATATGATTGTCATTAAAAAGAATCTTCGACAGCTCTTCACATTCAGTCATAACGAGAAGAGGGAGCTCGCGGCGCCATTCGGTCGATACAATAACTTTGTGATTTGCCATTGTAGAAATGAGGCTGATGTGTGTATTGCCGCCAAATGTACACCAACCAGTATCGCTGTGTCTGGGGACTCTGACCTTCTCATCTATCCTTCTATAAAAAGAGTTCTTCGTCCAATCCCTCGTCGCCATCACATGTTTGCACTCTATGAGAAACAAGAGGTCCTGCAAGCCCTTGGGTTTTCAAGGAACAGTCAACTCCTGGTCTATGGCATTATATCCGATAACGATTACACCCCAAATATCCCAACCTTTGGTCTTGCTACAAATGCTGAGATTATCTCCGCGCTCACTGACACTGATGCCGAAAAGTTGACGGTATCATATGTTCGTGAGGTCCATGCCCGTAGCCGTCGAACTCCTGCAGAAGGCCAGTTTGACCATTCAATTAATGTTTTCTTTGGTAGGATCCAAACCCAGGCTTCACAGCAACCAACCGCTGAAAGATTCCTTCATTACCATGATAGAATGAGGACTGCGATATCTGCTAGGTACCAGAATAAAAATAATCAACCTCAACCCAGGTAAGCTCCTTCAAATGAACATTTTCCAAAGCATATACAAAAAAAAAAAAAAAAAAAAAAAAAAAAAGTCATCTAACCCTTGACATTGTTGTTCCTAATTAGATTCTATATCCCTAAACGCGCAAAGCCGAATCGCTATCGGCCTGTTTTCCCTACCCAGAAAAAGGAACTTTTCCCTAAGAAATATGACCTGACCAACTGCAAACAACACGACCGTCCCGTCAGCTCCAGCCGTCAAAGAAAGTCCCCCAAAAAAAAGGAAAAGGAAAAAAAAGAGGATGAGAAAGAAGAGGAGGTTAAGGAGGAAAAGAAGAAAAAAAAGAAGAACAAAGGGAAGGCCAAGTATATCAGAAAGACTGATAAGACCAGGAAAGTGAAGGAGGCTACTGCCGAGGACCGACGGTTGAAGAGGGCCCACCCCACTGTTGCATTAGCTCTGGGCACGTTAAAGACATGTGTAGTTGCCAAGCTGGACTCTACTTCCGATCCCAATCTCAATCCCGAGCAACTTGCTGCAACAATTCAAGGGCTCATTCAATCATTTATTAAAATGTTGAATGAGGCACGGATTCGAGCTTTCTGGGCCTGCGCCTTGTGGATCGATAACCTGCTTACCACTGGGCCATCCAATCCAGCTGATCTCCCACAACTCCTAGATGAAGTTCTTGATAGCAGGGACTTTATTTACGGCCTTGCTACGTTGTTGTATCACGGAGTGATGAGTCCATTATCTAGGTATAGCAGGGAAGTGAAGAAAAAAGGCGAAGGGAACGTAGCCAAGCCGTCCCAGCTCAAAGCATACGAAAACTTCTATGCAAAGACAGGGCTTGGTCCTTTAAACCAGATCTATCCCGATTTGGTGATCAGCAGGTCGTCTCGGATGGTCATGGTCCCTGTTCAAGCAGCGCTAGGGTCTCACTATCGGAATGCGCAGGTAAATATAATATTATAATATTTTGAGGTTATCTTATAATATGTTTATAGAAATGTTCCTAATCATTTCTTCAATATAATGTCTAGTTTGACATAGATATTCCAGGCGATGGAAGAAGTTCCATCCAATTCTTTTTTGAGCAAAATGCAACTGCCAAAAAATATCTGGATTTCCCTACGTCTGCTTTCTCGCCTCGGTCTCTTTGCCTAACGGAAGCCTGTCTCCTGGAGATATTATGGTCTAACCCAACAGTTCGAGAGGAAATAGCCCAATTGTTGGAACTAAACATGAGTACCAAGGGGGCTGCAGAGGACAAGATCCTTAACCACAAGGGGATATTGTTGCAGGAGCTGTTTTCCTTGAAAGGATACAAGGACGTTGGACTGCAATCTGATGATGGCCCTAGAAGGAAACTACGGACATCGTTCTTTACAAACGGCCTTACCCTAACACTTCTTGCCTATGACACATCGAAGCAAAAAAGAGGTAGAGGTTCGCAAGCTGCCCAACCTTCGGATACTCAAAGATCTCAAGCAGTCCAGGCTTCTTCAAGTGCTCAGCAGGGATCCTCGCCTTCAGGCCATGGTGCAGGTGATGGTGGTGATGATGGAGACGACGACGGAAATGAAGATGACGATATCTTGCTGGGTATCAGCGATATTGACTTGCTGGAAGTTGATGAACCATTCTTAGATGGCGACGAGGGAGAAGAAGCAGCTGAAGAAGGTACATCGAGCACAAATCCACTGTCCCCGGTGAGTCCCAGTCCCCGGCGTGAGATCAACTGGAAGCAGAGATCCCGTCTCCTCGAGAATGTAGAAGTTAAATATGACACCCAGGCAGCATGCCCTCCCCCCGAAAGTACCATTATCATTGGGATCGATCCAGGCGAGAGGTACTCGATGACAATTGCAAAGTTGGATCCAAGGAAACCTAACGAACGTGAGATCCTCCGGATTTCTAGAGCGTACCTTTACAAACCATCCAAGAAGTTTCAGGGCGAGCTAGAGAGGCGAAAGCTTAGAAGAGGAATTACAGAGATTGAAAGCCATTGTAGGTTATCATGAATACTACACATCTGCCAAGTGTCCACGACCTCACTGTGACAGTATATTGGAGAATGTTCCTTTTCGATCCAAGTACTGTCGAAATTGTAAAGCATACTTTGATCGAGATGCTGTTGGTGCTGAGAACATCGCAAGGGTCTGTGAGTCGCAGATAAGAGAGCAAAAACGACCTGCAAAATATATGCCGCCGGACGGAGGAACTCAAGGCCAAGCTTCTAGCGGTAGTGGCGGCGGTGGAGGTAGTGGTGGCAGTGGTGGTGGTAGTAGCAGATCCACAAAAAGGAAATTTTCAGATGAAGGAGGAGGAGGAGGAGTAGAGGGATCAAGACCACCGAAAGGACCTTTGCTGGGTCCAGGAGGAGGGGGAGAGACAAGCCGGCAACAACAGTAGGACACAATTTACTACAAACATGACTGGGTCCAGAAAGGCCTTCGTCTTAAAAAAATTGTAAGTATTGGCTTGAGACATTCCATCTAGTGTTAAAAGAAGAAGTGTATTAGAACAAAGAAATAAATAAATTAACCAAAAAATATTATCGTTTTTTAATGGGACGGACAATACACCAAAAACTTTGCAAAAACAAGTTCATTCTGATCAAGAAATTCCTTTCCTAGCCTATTAAGGGGAATGTATGCTTACAAATAAATGAATGCACATGCAATTGATGAAATGAGAACTTTTCCATTACTTTACACTACTTTTTTTTCTCAACATAAACAATGTCTCCAGCACCAGAGAACGCACCTGAGCATTGTCCTGTGAGTCTTTAGTCAGGGTCGTTTTCTGCACATTGGTATTTCTCTTTCTCAGTATCTAACTGTGTTTCTTTAAAAAATAAATAAATAAAAAATAGGGGACGGAGAGCGAACAAGCCGGCAAGGCTAGCGCCTGCGAAGGTTGTCCGAACCAAAACGCCTGCGCCACAGCACCCAAAGGCCCAGATCCAGGTAAACAACTGTCTGGAGTTTTATATCCTTATTCCTACTCTGAAAGTTCTTTCCGATGTCTTACTTTTTATTTGTTGCCTTCTCAAAGATCTACCTCTTATTAATGACCGAATGGGAACAGTCAAGCACAAACTCCTTGTTCTTTCTGGGAAGGGTGGTGTCGGAAAGTCCTCATTTACCACTCAGCTTTCATTTGCTCTTTCACACGACGAAGAAACTCAAGTTGGAGTGATGGATATTGATATTTGTGGGCCCTCAATACCAAAGATGTTTGGATTGGATGGTGAACAAATTCATTCGTCCAATTCTGGATGGTCACCTGTCTATGTGACCGACAACCTAGGTGTCATGTCCATTGGATTTATTCTTCAGGATGCAGATGATGCCATTATCTGGAGAGGTCCCAAGAAGAATGGGTTGATCAAACAGTTTTTAAAGGATGTGGACTGGGGCGACTTGGATTTCTTGGTTGTGGATACGCCTCCAGGTACATCAGATGAACATTTGAGTGTTGTTCAATATTTGAAAGAATCAGGAATCACAGGCGCCATTCTAATCACCACTCCACAAGAAGTGGCCTTGCAGGATGTGAGGAAGGAGATTGATTTCTGTCGTAAAGTCAAGATCCCTATCATTGGCGTCGTTGAGAACATGGCTGGGTTCGTTTGTCCCAACTGTAAAGGAGAAAGTTCTATCTTTGCCCCCACTACAGGCGGCGCTAGAAAAATGGCTGCAGACACTAGCGTTCGCTTTCTGGGAAGCATTCCGCTAGATCCTCGCATCGGTAAGCTTCATATGCATCTTTCGAAATGAGGATATAAACCAAAAAAAAAAAAAAAAAAAAAAAAAAAATTAATGATTTTCATTATATTTTATAGGTATGTCGTGTGATCAGGGTTTGTCATTCTTGGAAGAGTACCCCGACTCGCCTGCGACCAAGGCGTATCTGAATATCATCGAGGGTATGTTTTTATGTTTTTCCCTTTTTCTTTCATCTCGTATGGGTTTAATATTAGTACCAAGCTCATCATAGACCCTTTTGCTCATTTTCTTTTCTCTCATATATCCCATAGAAATCAAGAAAGTTTTATCCTAAATCAAGAATTCAACGTGTTCAAAGTTGTACATGTACAATAGTTTTTTTTTAAAAAAAGTCATCTCACTAGAATAAATTCCGACATTATTTTAATTTATCTTCGCTTTTCACTTGGAATGTATCTAATCATCATGTTCGCCCATTCTACCTTCACGTCTAGACATGGTCTGAAAGCCATTAGTCTCACCATCATTTGCACCCAATTCTATATCATTGTCATGATCATGGTCATCCTCATCGATCAATGTATATGGGTTGTTAGCATACGGCCGGAACTTCCATCTACGATGAGGTGGTTGAAATACGGAGTAAAAGAAAAAAAAGGAAAATCAAGTAGCTAGTTGGTTAGATCGACTTCCAAAATAAGGCATAAATTAATAAAAAGGGGAAGAAGCTTACCCGATGGTGGCGTAGAAACCAAGAGTGATGGCTTCATTCAGGAGCTCGACCAACCATTGGACATACTGATAAGGTAATGCTACTTTCAAAAACTCAATCAAAATCCTAGTCAAGTAGATATAGATAACTGTCACAAGGTAGAATGAACCCCAGAGCTTGTACTTGCTCTTGCTCTCGGCAACTATTAAAATAACAACAGCAATAAAAAAAAACCCCCCTCATTCAAACGTAAGTAACTTGAAGACAATTAATATACAAGCAAACCTGTTGTCTTTACAGCATTATACCTTTGCCTTCAACTTCGGCTGCTTCACTTAAATGTCTTTGTGTCTGGATAATGACACCGAGAATCACAACGCAGCTTACTAGATCGACCATAGGGAAGACTTGAGTCTAGGTGCGAAGGATACACATCGACCAATGGCTAGTTTGCTTAGAATAAAAATGATCCTTACAAAATATAAATTCGCATACAGCGCTTCACTTACCCAGAATGACCAATTAATAGACCCGACAGCCGTCTCATTGCTGACTGTTGATGCGATATTAGAGAGGATCTAAACCGCAATAAAATGAAGCTTCATTTTAGAACAAGAACACTTTTTTTTTTTAAAAAAAAAAAAAAAAAAAAAAAGAAAAGAAACCAAGGTATACCTGAAGAGGAATAATGACAAGAATAATTTTCTTGTCCTTCTGTGATAAAAATGGCTTGATACTTTTGTTTTCCAAATACCAGGTATAATAACATTAATCCAGACGCTTTTTTTTTTTTTTTTTTTTTTTTTTTTTCTTAGTGCAGCCACCAGGTTTAAATAGAGTATTTCTTAAGCACTTACAACATCCATCCAGATGCAATCAAGGTGATTATAAGGATGCTAAGAGATCCCTTGAGGCTATGGAGGCAATATAAGCGCGCAAATTAGGAAACGTTTGAGCCTAGTCGCATTTTTTAACATAAACAGAATCATTGTCGTTATCATCACAACTCACAAGGCAAAAATATAGAACATGACTGTCCAGCCTTCCGCATCTACTCCAATCTGCATGTAATGCACTTTAATCTAAATTTTCAAATCAGATCAGTAAAATATTGAGAAAAATCACTATTAATGAAACCTTGGACACCATTAAAACTCTAAACTTTTCAAATTTGGACTTACTGCTTGGAAGGTCTTTTGGATTCCAATCATCACGGCCAAGATGAAGCTAGATTTGAGTATGATAAAGTGTAATTTCCATCCGTTAGAGGGGAAATAGAGCGTTTTTATACGCATAGTATTCATATGGATATTATTTGTAAGCTATATAGATAGCTTACATGAGTTTGTGTGGCCAAAAAACTCTGGTATCCCTTCTCGTCAGCATGTAAAGCCAAATCCCACTGGCGATAAAGTATGCAACAGCTGATCCAGCATAAACTTTAGGCAGTGGAATATCCCCTGCACTCAAGTAGTTGTTTCCAGGATTGATCTCTGTAATTTTCAACTATTGGATATTGACGATATAGAGATGTTGATGAATGAAAAAATTGATCAATCTAAGATCCCATTCAACTGTACTTTCATGGCTGATGGTAATCCTGTGGCGGCTGCTTACCCTGAATGAGACTATACTAGAAGGACAATTAACGAATAGCATGTTCCACATCTCTTCTTCACCAGGAGCGATCGTGTGGCGATATTGAAACCTAGGGAGGAGATAGGTGTTGTATATTGTAAGATTTTGTCATTAAATGAAAGTAAGAGGAAAGAAATGTTCCAAGCATGCGGTGTGGCAATTGGCAATTTCTGCACTCCATACACTGGATTTGTCGTATCAAGCTGCAGAAACTCGCTCCTCTTTTGGTCCAATTCGTCCTTGAAATAAGGATCATCCAAAATACAGCCATCTTCCCAATCTACAACTTCTGCATCCGAGGAGCCCTTTTGAATAAGAAAACCAATTCTTTTCTCTTCATTTGTGTCGCCTTCATATGGAGTAACCTAAATATACGTTTATAAAATTCGATTATGAAAGCGTTACGAGTTAGTTAAACTTGATGACCTATCGCCAAAAGTGTTGACAATATCATCTGTCCTTCGTAGAGCAGAAAAGGTAGTGTTGTTGCTAGAACATGAATGTACCTTTAAATCCTGAAGATCCATTTCCAGTGTACCACCAGCAAGGAAGCCAAAAGATCCCATGTAGATGAGGCCGCGCTGATCTTCAGATATGACAAGCTCTGGCCGCCCATAGGCAACAGCTGCCACCGCGGCTGCAGTTATGATGAGTGATATCACCCTAATCTTCATCCTTGTTGATGGGATGTGAAGTCGGGCGTGAGTGTATTTTGAATGAATTCACCAGAGAAGGCCAGGTGTAGAATAACAAAGTGCAAACAATTGTATGAGTTCTGATGTGTAAGGATGAGGAATATTAACCCAATCTTTCATTTTCAAAGAAATGAAATATGCCCGTGACTGTGCGACTATTCATGAAAGTGCCAGTTTACATGCGACTTCCCTGCTCTTCAACATCTCACCAATTCCAAGAAAATAAAGATCTAATGTGGCAAATACGTTTGTCCAGAACAGTGCCATGGCAGACATACACAACCCGCTTCACTACAAGGACAAGCACGGCAACGTCATACAGAGCCCTACGATGGTATTCACATTCAGATTCTAATGTTCATAATCCCAAAGAGCTAGGACAACATCCAACGTTCACTGGAGATACCACTGTTCAAAAGCAGTCATCTAAGGAAGTTATACCTTCAGGGCAGACTGCAGGCCCAAGCGATCACCCACTAAAAGAAGAAATGACGCCCCTTGCCAAGCACATTCGAGATTCTATCAAAGTACATTTGATATTTTCGCGGATCAAATTATCAGTTTTTATGCAGCTGAATCAGAACAAAAAGGACAAAAAAAACTGATCGGTTTGTATATTACCTAATACCTCACATCCGCAATGTTCCTTACCTCATAGATTCAAGGACCAATGTCTGTCGCCCATTTCATGCGACAGGTCCTTGTCAACCCTCTGAGCGGATATTACATGAAGGGAGATGTTTTTGGAGCAGAAGGCGATTTTATTACCTCTCCTGAGATCAGTCAAATGTTTGGAGAGGTGAGTACGGATGAATGGTGGAGAATATCACAGCCTTTTTCTTTCTCATTACCCCATCATGCCTGGCCAAAATCAATTGGCTTAATATGGAGAATTTCTTTTTTTCAAAAAAAAAAAAAAAAAAAATGATAGCTCTTAGGTATTTGGTTTCTGGTGCAATGGCAAAACATTGGGAAGCCTTCATCCATCCAAATTGCAGAACTGGGTCCTGGACGTGGTACATTGATGATGGATATGTTACGAGTAAGCGATATGCCCTTAAGTTAAGACCACCCCTCACAATTTTGTAGTAATGTCTCTTGACTATATGTCGGCCTTGGTTAACGCTCTTTTTCTTTTTCTTTTTTAAAAAAAATGCTATCAAAGGCGGTATCTAGGTTTAAAGACTTTAGAAATGCCATCTCAGGCATACATTTAATTGAAGCCAGTCCAGGCCTCCGTCGAGTCCAACGCGAGAGGCTATGTGGGATTCCAGTTTCAGAAGAACAGATCGGTGGAGGAAGCAGAGAAGGAATTACTTCTGCTGTCAGACCAGATGGCCTTCAAATCTCATGGCATGATGTCTTTGATGACCTTCCAGGTAAAAAAAACTATAAGGAGACGGTGAGAGAAAGGAAAAGGAGGTTATTGTTCTACCTTTAGTTGAAGAAATGAATATCAATGCTAATTGATGCCTCTCTCCCTTTTTTTTTTTTTTTTTATTTTTTTTATTGCCAAATAGATGAGTGCTCTTTAATCGTTGCGCATGAATTTTTTGATGCGCTCCCGATCTATAAATTTGAGAAGACTGAGGAGGGTTGGCGTGAGCTAGTAGTGGATTTGGAGGTTGATCCAGCAAGTCCATACCACCTTCGTTTTGTCCTTGCTCCTGGACCCACGCAAGCCTCAAAAGCGTTTGCAGAGCACCCTGCTTATGATCATTTCAAGCCAGGAGATCGAATTGAAATTTCACCCGATTCGTTTAGAGTGGCACATGAAATTGCGAAACATATCCACAAAAACACTGGTTCTGCACTTATCATAGATTACGGCAAGGACCATGTACAAGGAGATACGCTACGAGTAATGAGCTTTCGACTATCTTTTTTATTTATATATCAAATATGATCAGATGTTGTATTCTAACGAACTTTAAGTTTTTTCATGGCTCTTTGTTTCTTTCACGCAGGGTATCCATAAGCATGCGTTCACGCACGTCCTGACTCAACCAGGAAGAGTTGATCTGAGTGCTGATGTTGATTTTGAGTACTTGAAGCAAGCAGCAGGGGAGCTCGGTAGAAATATGCTTTTTTTTTTTTTTCTCACGCATCTCAAACTTCCTTTTTTCTTCTTTCGCTAATGATACTTTGTTTTATTTGGTTTATTCGGCTTTAGTCGATTCCTATGGTTCTATCACACAAGCACATTTGCTCCACTCTTTAGGAATTGGCGCTCGTCTCGACATGTTACTTGCAAAGGCTGCTGGTCACCGACGTGAAACTTTGATTAGTTCATACCATCGGCTAGTTGATCCCAAAGAAATGGGATCTGTGTATAGAGCCATGGCCATGACTCCTCGTGGTTCACCCATCCCTATTGCATTTGAGCTACAGCAGCCACGACTCAAATCATCCAAGTTGTAAATTGGTTATTGATCAAAATAAAATAAAACAGAAATAATAATAATAAATGCATTATTAATACAGAGCAAGTTTATTATGATGATTGTTTGATGCTGTATAGACGCTTTTTGGAATCCAGTCCTGGTAAGCGCGGATTGATATGGATTTGTCGAATGTTATCCGACCCGCAAATAAGTCAGAATGTCTACAATGTATGCCGCCATTCTGGGGAACTCGCCCATGATTCTAGTTAAACTCTCTTCATATGGAAGAAAGAGCTTTTGATTCCGCTTCTGCCTTGATAGATTTCTAAGAACAAAAACTGCTGTCAACGGGATACCTGCCAGTTCACGACCAGGGACCTCTAGAACATTGGGTCGCATATCGAACCAACGAGGTCGATTCGAAAATGGTTTGACAGAAGGTGTGAGCGGGAAATGCGTTTTTAGGTGTTTGATCACCTGCTGGCGGCCATGTGTTGGGGTTGTAAAACGCCGGCAACTGAGCCATTGGCAAGTATAAAGCCCCATTCCAGGAGATATATGCTCTTGAACTGCATGCTTAAATAGTTCTGCCTCTGTTGCGACCACAGTTTGACATCCAATCCATCTACAAATAATCCTGTCATCGGCTATATATATAAAGTAACCAATACAGTTGTCAGTCTTATACTAAATAAACTGCATATATATACATATATATGACTTACCGCCAGAAAAGTCGACCCAATGCTTTTTGGCAATGCCTTTGATGACTTGAATGGGCGGTGCACCCTCTGTTTCTTGGACAAAGCTCGTCTCCATCTTTGGGAATCCAACTCGAGATACTGTTACGAGATCGGCTGAACGTAACATGGGTCCATGATTGATAAATTTTGTTTGATAGAGTTTAAAGAGTTCACCTTCATAGATGTACGCCTGTGGATTGCTTTCGAAGTTAGATTGGAGCCTATGAAAACAATTCAAAGGAACCAATAAGATTGTGCAAGTATATCAGAACGGTTTCTCGAAGGCAAAAAAAAAAAAAAAAAAAAAAACAGGGAAGGTTCTTTTTAACGATGCCTACCAGTGTAAGGCGCGGTATGGTTCATGGAGGATTTGTTGTGCTGGGTCTACCGTAATAGGGGGAGGTAACGACTTGAGACTACCCCATGACAAGAATTGCACGAGCACAGAGATAATATTTCCTGGGTAATTCTTAGCGATCTGAACAGCAGCGTCCCCATGGAAACTTGAGAATTGGTAAAGATAGTCCAAGGTGGCTCCAATTAATTCCTCATCCTGAATCAATAGGAGCTGTGATATCCTGTCAATAATCTCTGGGTCAATGTCACTTAATATCTTTTCATTGTGCTCATTTGCAGCCAGCCGTGTTAATGCACGAAGACTTCCAAGAATCATCGCCTTATCGTTCGTCTGAAGCAACCTGTGAAGTTCTCGCAAGTAAGGGTCGAATTTAGAACGCAATGTAATATGAATGCTTAAGCACTCCAGTGTGTCGAGACAGTAAATCCTAAGCTCATTAAGTTGTGTAGACGAGGGCATTGATAGACCCTGTTGAAGCATTTTGCGAAAAGCTACATGTTCCGTCAAGATAATAACATTTTGATCGAGGAAGGAAAGGTTTCGCAAGATATGAAAGACTTGAAGGATACGCTCCATATTGTGTGTGCCACTGATGCTTAATAGGTCCTCGTCCATGGCAACCTCGTTTTCCTTTGAATCCAGCGATGTCCACCAGTCAAAGAAGGGCTGGGCAAAAGACAGCAGTTCATTCAAGAGCCCTGGAATCATATTGAGCGAAAATTCGTTCCATTCGAATGATAATGAGATAAGTCTGCTGAATGCCCAATCAATCTCATTAGGTAACTCTGACTTGAGAGCAAGAAGAATCCTGTTCTGGTGTCCTCCATCAATATAATACCCTTCTAAAAAGTTGGATGGCCGGAGTGCTGGCTGCACAACTGTCGTTGCTGCTGCTGCTGCCGCAGGTGCTGCCTGGGGTACAGATTGTGTTGGTTGGGGAATAGGTTGTTGTGGTACTGGAGGCTGTTGCTGAACTTGATGTGGGATCGGATGTTGTTGTTGCGACTGATGGTGCTGCTGGATTTGCTGTTGTTGAAGTTGCTGTTTCATCTGAGAAGTCATGTAAGGACCACGTTTAGTAGATGGCGCCTGTGATGCTACAAAAAAAAAAAAAGCATAATGTAAGAAGGTGAGATCGATGGGGAGCATATAGCTGGCCAACTAAAGAGTGTGAACATGGAATCAAAGGGTTCTTTCTTTTTTTTTTTTTTAATACCTTCACGTGAACGCGAAATGTTAGACTCAATAAGGTCCTTATTAACAGGCACTTCTTTTCCAAAGAAATCCTCCTGTTCAAACAGTTCTAAATTCTTGACATACACACTCTTCATCACATAAGCACTGTTCGTGCATGTTGGTGGAAAGTTGAATGGAAGCGTTATTCGTTTCCATCCACGCTCAGCTGTGACCTAAATGCATTGGTAATGAAACATAATAAAATCATCAGAAAGAAATATTAGTGGCGAAATATCTTATAGATTCATTGGGAAGAGTGAAACAAAGGTTCAAAATAGTACACCTTTTCGCAGCCTCCATGCGCCGTGACGAGTTTGTAAACCTTGAGTAAGTCCAGGCGTTGCGAACCCAGCACTGGCTCGCGATTCAGAGTTGTACTGCAAATGTTGATATATAGAGCCCCAAAGATTGTTATTTAGAGGATAGACGTCTCAGAGTTAGATACATCTCGCAATTAACCTAATTACATGGATGTTTATGAATGCTTCATCATACCCATGCTTTTGGTGGAATGCCTCCAACCGGGCCATGAACCGGTTGTATTCTTCCGTATAATCAATGGTGCCTTCTCTACGCATTGTTCTCGCGTGTTGGGTAATGTGAAAGAGAGAAACTCTGATGGACAACATTCAGCGGACCTTATTTTTGCTGAATATAGCACTTTTGTGGCTAGATCTACGTCATAAAATTATAAAATCATGTGACTACTGCTCTATTCTAAATGTTCGAACTGGATATCATGTCAAGTTTGCCAGTAATTGATTACAATGTCGAATTCAATGCCTCCACCAGAATTCAAATCTCCTGAAGAAAAAAAGACTACAGGGTAATTGTAGACTCCCTTATCCGATGCTTTGACACGCGAAATGGAAATAGTATGATTAGTTTACAAAAAGATTGCATTTTTCATTTTTCATATTGGCCACCGTAGACTCAATCAAGATGACTTCAGAAAACTATTGGCTACGCCACGCGCGGCTCCAGGAGGCTTGACCGGTATCGGCGGCTCTTTCTCTGGAGGCGGGATGAGAGCTCTTGGGATGGCCAATAGGTCTGCAAGGATACCAATGCCACACACACCCAAAGCGACAGATGATGGATTCCATAAACAAAAACACAAGAAATCTTTTCAAAAAAAACCCTCAAAAGAAGCATCAGCTACAGCACCCAAATACAGAGATCGAGCGACAGAACGTCGTCAAGGCATTAATCCGGATTACATTGAGACAGAGCAGATCCTTAGTACGCTAGAGGAGGCTGCAGGGGAGGTTGCGCCAGATGTTCTCTACGAACAGTCTAAGTTTTTGGGGGGAGATCGAGAACATACACATTTAGTCAAGGGTTTGGATTTTGCCTTGCTAAACAAAGTAAGACAAGAGGATATGGGGGGCGGAATAGGGCCAGTGGATTTGGATGAAGTGTTTGAGTCTGTAGAAAAGTCAACTAGGACAGAAGAGGGTACCTTATCGAGTCAAGTGGATGACACACCAGAGTTGAACAGTACGCTCGCTAGAAACGTATTTAGGTGGGCAATTGAGGAACCTTTAAAACGTCCGCCTAGGGTTAATGAAATGTTCTTGCCTGGTCGAACAGTATTCGTATTTGAGTTACCAATCACCTCCAAAAGCAAGAGATCAAAGTCAGGGGTGGTCGAGGACAACAATCCATTTGCAGTCCCAACAATCGTTGTACGAAGTAAGGCTGATATTGATCAATCTTCAGCAGGAATAACTGAGACTTCAGAAGCCGATATGGTAATGAAAAAGGTGACGGATGTCTTGCGGGCAATTCGCACAGGAGAGCGTAAAGTTAAAGATAATGAAGCAGAACTAAAAATTAAACGGAAGGCTGAAGCGGCGGCTGCATCGAAGGAGCAAACAGAGGATATTTTGCCGCATGTTGAACCAGATCTAGATGGTGAAGACATTTTTGCAGACGCTGGGCGAGAGTACGTTGTTGAGCCAGGACCTACGAAAGCTGCTAATATGGAGAGCGCGATGGAAACAAGTGGCGATGAAAATGGTCCAATAGTGGGACCAGAACGACCGGACGGCATTGACATGAGTAACTATTTTAGTGATGAAAGCGAGGATGACCTTGATCAGGAAGATATGCCTGATGCTAAAATGGATACCGAAGCGTCTGTGCTTGGTCCAGCACGACCAACAGAGATGGACATGGAAAAGTACTTTGATGAAGACAGTGGGAGTGATGGCGGTCAAGGTAGCGGCCAGGGTGAGATTGGGGTAGAAACTAATGAGTATCGCAGCAGTGTCGATATTACTGGTCATCAAAACACTGGAATCTCCTCTGTTGCTTCAGACCATACTAGACATAATAATGAGGATGCTCTAAGGCGGAGGAAATTGAAATTGGAGGAGTTAGAGATCGATGAGGATGCCGATTATTATAATGCGTATGGGTTAGGCATGGGTGGGGGACTTGGTACGACGGCATATGACTCTGACGATGATGATGATGATCACAATCAATCCACTATCTTGATTGACAAAGGCACACATAAGAACAAGCGGGCACAATTAGGACGATTTGATTTTGACAATGAAGAGAGCTTCAACCGATATAAGGATACGGTCGAGGTTGTACCTAAAACGTCGTTCCAATATGGAGTCAAGATGAGCGAAGGCCGTAAAACTGGCAAATGGGATGAAGGCAAGGGTAAGGGTCTGAGCAAGGAAGAAAAGTTAGATCGGGATTGGCAAAGGATCAGTCGACTTATGGAGAAGAACAGCGGAACTAATGCCAGCGGCCAGAAGTCAAAACCACGTCGCGACGATGGAACGTCAGATGGCAATGACAATAGAAATAAAAGGCGTAAGAATAATTGGTGATATGGCAGGACACTGCAATTTACTGTCATGCGCACACAATAAAACATGAAATAGTGCATTTACATAGATACGCCATCCTAATGTTTACAGGATTTTTTGGGGTGAGTCGGAAGCCCGGGCCCGCATACACGCCCACTGAGACATGACAATTGGTTACATCGAAGAACAAAAAATATGAAATTAATGTCTCTCCAGAAATGGAACACCCGCCTAGCGAATCCAGGTTTTCTCTTTTTTCTTTTCCTTCCTTTTCCCTTCGTTTTTCACTTTATTCAATTTCTTCCTGCTTTCATTCGCTTTTTCTTTTTTCTTTTCACCATTTAAAACAGCGGTCATCCTTAATCATTCCCACGATGCAGGATCGTTCAGACAAGGTCGCGCTCGACTACATTTCACATCTAATCTTGACTGCACCTACAAGGGAGATCTATCATGCGTCAGTTTCCTGGTTCGAGCGGCTCGGCCTCAAAGCCATCATGACCGAGTCCTCCGCGGGAACCACTGCTACATGGCTGCAACTCTTTTCGAGCTCGGAAGCAATGAATGATGTATCTATCAAACTCGTATATTCGCCTTCAGGCCTCCGTAAGCAGGCCCACTCGAGCAAGATGGATTGGCGAAGTGTGCCCGCCATTGCCACAATCATTACAAACACACTGCAGGTAACTTTAGGCGCGTTCTTTCACCTCTGAACAAATGCTTCAAATACTTTAAATTTTTGATTTTGTTGAAAATGACCTCAAAATGATGACAAGTCTTGATATTTGGAGCCTGTTGAGGTGATAGGAGATAACAGCCACGTGTTGTTATCTGCGTTTTGACAGTATACCCCGATTGCGGGACTGATTGCATTCTTTTTATCGCGCACTCAATCGCCCAATCTTCCTTTCCATGGACTGCTACTTTTCTTTTACGAGAGCTTTTTTTTTCTTATCTTAAACACTCTGTTTGAGTCGCGTAAACAAAGTGGTGACGATACTTATCATTAAGATTCAATGATTTGAGCTTTTTTTTTTCTTTTTTTTTTTTTTGCTGGGGGAGAATGAGGAAGGAGGGTGTATAAGATCGTAACGTTGTTAATAACCAATCTTACTTTGCTTGGATTGAACAATGATTGTTGCAGGAACTTGAAGTCCTTCTTTCAAGTATGCCATGGGCCTATCAAAGATACACAGTCCCCTCGAAAAACGCTTCGGAGTCCAATGAGTATTCCGCCATTTATACTCATGATCCCATGAATAATTTATTGATCTTCACCGACAAGCCCAACCCCTTTGGATCTAAGCATAAGCCTAAACACATGCATGAAGAATCCGAAAGTGCCGCTCAAGAGCAGCCCAAAGAGGCTCTGGAAACTACGAGCGGTAAAAGGCGCAAGATTGCCATTTTGACATCAGGAGGAGATGCTCCTGGGATGAATGCTGCCGTCCGTGGGGTCGTTAGGACTGCAATAATGCGAGGATGTGATGCCTACGCTGTTCACGAAGGCTACCAAGGTAAACACCTACAGATCAGTTCAATGCGATATAAGAGCTCAAAACAGTATCTTCGTCAAAGTCTCCTAGTTTCTGATTAAGATTGGCTATTCCCAAATAGGTCTAGTGGATGGCGGTGACATGATCAAAAAGATGGGCTGGGATGATGTACAGGGGTATTTGACTACCGGTGGTACTGTAATTGGCACAGCGCGTTGCAAGGCGTTCCGTGAGCGATGGGGCCGCCTCAAGGCTGCCAAAAACTTAGTCAAGAACGGCATTGATGCTCTGGTTGTCTGTGGAGGAGATGGTTCCTTGACTGGAGCAGATCTCTTCAGAGGAGAATGGCCCGATCTTCTTGAGGAACTTGTCCAGACCAATGAGCTGACAAAAGATGAGGCTGCAACATTTAGTCATCTCAACATTGTAGGCCTTGTGGGTTCTATCGACAATGACATGTCTTCTACTGATATCACTATCGGCGCTGTCACGTGTCTGCATAGAATCTGCGAGAGTATCGACTCTATCTCTAGTACTGCCTCCAGCCATTCTCGTGCATTCGTGGTTGAGGTCATGGGTCGCCACTGTGGATGGCTAGCGCTGATGGCAGGTATTGCCACTGGTGCTGATTTCATTTTTATTCCGGAGCGTCCTCCTTCTGGGGATAACTGGCAGGATGAAATGTGTGCGGATATCAAGAAGCACCGTGATTTGGGTAAACGTAAGACGATTGTTATTGTTTGCGAGGGGGCCATTGATAGCAACCTCCAGCCCATTACTGCAAAAGATTTGAAGGATCTTTTGACAGACCGTCTGCACTTGGACACTCGTATGACGATTTTGGGACACGTTCAGCGTGGAGGCAAGCCTTGTGCTTTTGACCGCAATTTAGCAACTATACAAGGAATTGAGGCTGTCGAAGCTGTCTTGGCTAGCAAACCCGATGTTCCAAGCCCTATGATCGCCATGTGCGAGAACAGGACCAAAAGAATCGATCTTATGAAGGCCGTCGCTTTGGTACGTCAGATTTTGAGAATGCCAAATCCTCACATCATTTTGTTGCTATTAGCAAAGCTAACGCTAGACTGTCTTTTTTTTTTTTTTTTTTTTTTTTTCTTTTACGCTTGCTCTTTTGGAAGACTGGTGAAGTAGCCAAGGCAATTGGACGTAAAGACTTTGTGGCCGCAATGCAGCTTCGCGATCCGGCGTTCAACGAGCAATATGAACAGTATGTTGCAACAACTCAGGCCCATTCAACAAATGCGGAGAAGAAAAATGGCCATTCACTACGCATTGGTATCATCAATGTTGGGGCTCCCGCCGGAGGAATGAATGCTGCGGTGCGCACTGCGGTTCGTTATGCTCTCAACCGTGGTCATGTACCCTTTGCTATTAACAATGGGTTCCCTGGTCTGATTGCAGGCCAAGTTAGGGAGATGAAGTGGATGGATGTAGATGGCTGGATGTCTCACGGAGGAAGTGAACTTGGAACAAACCGTGACCAGCCGTCCCTAGACCTTGGTATGGTCTCGTACCAGCTTCAAAAATTCAACATCCAGGGCCTGTTATTGATTGGAGGGTTCGAAGCATATACTGCTTGCCTTGAAATGTATAATTCTCGTGATTCATACCCTGCCTTCTGCATGCCTATGGTCCACATCCCTGCGACAATCAGCAACAATGTGCCTGGAACTGAATATAGTTTGGGATGTGATACAAGTCTGAACGCCATTATGGAATCGTGTGATGCTCTCAAACAAAGCGCTACAGCCAGCCGGAAGCGTGTATTCGTCGTTGAGGTTCATGGTGGAAAGACAGGTTTCTTGGCGGTCATGTCTGGTTTAGCTGTGGGTGCAACTTCAGTGTACATCCCTGAAGAAGGTATCAACCTTACACGTTTACAGAAGGATGTCCGTCACCTATGTCAACGCTATGCTGAGGATGCTGAGGGCAGATCTCAAGGGCGAGTCATTATTCGTTCTGAATCAGCATCCAAGACGTACACGACGGATATTGTCTCTGCTATCATCAAAGAGGAAGGCCATCAGCAATTTGATTCTAGGACAGCCATTTTAGGACATATTCAGCAAGGCAACTCACCTTCTCCTTTGGATCGTGTTCGTGCCATGAGGCTTTCTGTTTGTGCGATTGATTTTATAGAAGAACACGTCTCTGGTCTCTCTTCGTCATCTTCAATCAGCTCCAGTTCATCTTCGGCAGGACCCGAAGTATACAACAAGGATCCTGAAAGCATCGCAGTTGCCGGCATTCATGGCAACAAAGTCAACTTTACAAGCGTTGAGGCTCTTCAAAGACATACAGACATGAAAAACCGCAAGCCTATGCAATCCTGGTGGATGGACTGCAAAGACATGTGTAATTTACTTGCACGAAGAACCGACTTGCTATAATTCTACATCCATTGATCGAAATAAAAATAAAGCTCAGGTGTTGTAAATAGTAGATATATCTTTGTTTAAGGGGCAAAAAGATAGACGTAAAATCAGGACAGGACAGGACAGGACAAAAAGTGTTAACAAAAATAACAAAAGGAAATAAAGACAAATAACCTTGACGACAAATAGCGCCATACGATGCCAAAAGAAAGACGGGAGCTTTATAAGTGAGCTTACAAACTGAGTTATCCAAAGTCAAAGGCTTGCTGTGAAAAAGGGAAAATAAGGATGAACGGCAAGGTGAATAACCGAAGACAGTTCCTTTGGAAATAAACCTTTTAACGAACCTAACATTACCACTTAATGACCAGCCACAACAAATTTGTTGTAAATAGTAGTCTAAGTAGGTAGGCTCGGTGCTATCCTGTCTGCAAAGCGGCAAGCCACCAATCACCGTTCCATAAATGGAAGGCGGGCTCTCTACTTTGCAGACAGGCTGGTCTCATATCGAAATTTTTTGAGGGAGCGCTCAAAAAGGAAAGGTTATATTTTCTCAATTAGAATAGCAAACCAATTCAATCCGCGCGCTTGAACATGAGGCTTTGTTCTTGAAGTTCTTCGATTGAATTGAGTTTACTATTTTAAAAATATAACCTTTCCTTTTTGAGCGCTCCCTCAAAAAATTTCGATTTGAGACCAGCCTGTCTGCAAAGTAGAGAGCCCGCCTTCCATTTATGGAACGGTGATTGGTGGCTTGCCGCTTTGCAGACAGGATGGCACCGAGCCTACTAAGTAGGTGTATCTTTGCTTAAGGGGCAAAAAGATAGACACAAAATCAGGAAAGGACAGTAGAGTCCTCGCCAAAAAGTCGTAAACTAATATATTTTTCAAGATTTTAAATTGAATAAAATACTCCCATTTTTAAACACCGAAAAAGCACGTACAAAACTCAAAATTTTAATTTTTTCGAAAGCGTTTTCTATTATCGATGAGACGCTCCTCCTCAGACTCACTATCCTCCACTAAATTGAATACGGTTCCAACATCTTGGACAAGATCCTCTATCTCAGACTCTAGTGCAACGGCATCGGCTTCATCTTGGTTCACTACTCTATCAAGTTCCATGTCCCACTCGTAGCTGTCCACTCTAATCGTGTCTTCCAAGTCCTCAACAGGCTCCTGTTCATCAGTGGCCTCTTGATAAACTTCTTGATCAAAGGTTTCTGCTTGTACACGACCTCTCTCATTGTAGTACCTCATACCAATTTTCACAGATTTTTTCCATACAGAGTAGAAGACTCTACAAGGAATCTGGGCAAACAAACTGAGTAGCCTTTTCTTAAGTAACAAGGCTGTCATTGTCGTCCCATATATTTTTTTAAATAAGCTTTATTGATTTAAAATATTTGTACGTAAATTTCTTATTTCTCAGACCTCAATTCAAATTGAGTATTTTAAAAATATATTAGTTTACGACTTTTTGGCGAGGACTCTACAAAGAGTGTCAACAAGAATACCAAGAGAAAATAAAGACAAACAACCTTGACGACAAACAGCGCAATAGGATGCCGAAAGAGAAAGATGGGAGCTTTATAGGTTAGCTCACAAACTGAGTTCCTGGACGGCAAATGCTTGTTGTGAAAAGGGGAAAAGATAATAGCAAGAACAAGACGTATGGGGAAAACTAAAGACTTTATTGAGGAAGAAGTTCTTTGGCTTTTATAACTTAGCCTACAGGCCTGACTGTGGTGCTTTCTAGGTGAGGTGGACTCACCTATAGCTTAAGGCTTTGCACAAAGGTTCTTTTAACTGTGGATCGACAGAATGTCCCGATTAGTAGATACAAAGTAAAAATAAAATAGTTAAAATTAATTTATATCTCTAACATACTATAGCCGCTACCTTTTTTGATATATCACGTGTAGAAATTTTTTTTCAGACAATTTGGGATTAAGATCGGATTTTATTTCCTCCTCCCCTTTCATTCCCTCATTCATTACCCTTTCCCTTATTCCCTTACTTCAACAATGGTTTGCAACCAATGCGTTAAAGAATATGCGCGTCGTGGAGAATTAGTTGAAGTTACGCATGAACGATCAAATAGTAATGAGTGTCTTTTCAACAGATGTAAGACATGTAATCGTCCAAGAATACATGGACATATGGAAAATTGTCTTGAGAATATTATCCCCGTCATTGATAAGTGAGTATAAGTGATAATTGGAAAATGCAGAACATATATGACAATGTGACAAGACAACACGACAGAGCAACAGAGGAATGGATAAGTATATGTAGGATGTAGGATACAAGTGTAGGAAAAGCTGAACTAATAATTAAATAAATATTTTTTTTCAATTTTTCAAAATCAAAGTGAGCGTGACATGGAGGTGCAAAATTCACGTAATGAGAACATTAACCTGAACAGAAGTAACCGCGAGGAAGAATATGAATTTGAGCCTTATCATCCCCCACCACGACCTCCACTTCCAGTACAAGTTCCTATTGCTAGGCGACCTTTCATTGCTAGGCGACCTTTTAATGAAAATCTAATCAGAGGCAACAGTATTAAAAATCACAGACATCACCTTGATCGGATGATAAAATGTCCAGGAACCGACGACGACGAAATGTTGGAAAGATGATTAGTCGTCTCTATTTTGTATCTCCCAAAGATCGAGAACGCTATTGCCTTAGATTATTATTGCTTCATGTTAAAGGTGCAACTGGATTTGAAGATCTCCGGACAGTTGATGGTACAATATTTGCGACATTTCGAGAAGCAGCGGTTGCTCGCCAATTGCTTCAGGACGACAATGAGTCAAAGCTTTGCCTTGAAGAAGCAGTGCTGTTTCAAAACACCACAGCTTTGCGCAATCTCTTTGCAATGATCCTTGAGCACTGCAATCCGGCCGAGCCAAGAGTTTTGTGGGATACATTTGCTACCCATTTAGCAGAGGACAAGTTACGTGCCCGTCAAGTTGCACAACAAAATGGTGCCATTAATGCTGAGGTGACTCCTGAAGATATCTTTAAGGATGCTGAAAAGGAAGCGCTGTTGGATCTTGACCATATTTTAAAAGAGATTGGATCCTGCTTGGCCAACTATTTAGAACTCTCGCAAGACCTCACCATAACCCATCCCTATGTTGATAATATTGACTACAATGACCCGGAAGCTATGGTGAATTTAGAGGACTTAGGACAAGAAGCAAGAGCAAATGCCGAGCTTCTGAATGCTGATCAACGTACTGCATATGACCGGATTTTGGCTGCTGTTCAAGGAGATACCAATCAGAAGCTCTTCTTCATCGATGGACCTGGAGGGACTGGGAAATCATTTCTATACAATACTTTAATCGCCCATGTCCTTGGTGAGCGTCAAGAGAGAGTCATTACTGTAGCCTCTTCAGGAATTGCTGCTTTAATTTTGCGCGAAGGTCGCACTGCACATTCAGTTTTCAAGATTCCTCTCGCATGTAAAGCTGACACGGTGTGCAACATTGCCGCCAGGTCAGAATTGGCTCAAAAAATTTCTGATGCTAAAATTATCATTTGGGATGAGGCTCCAACACAGCATCGACATATTTTTGAAGCTGTCGATAGGACGCTAAAAGATGTTTTGAAGGTGGATGAGCCATTTGGTGGGAAGATTGTCGTTTTTGGTGGAGATTTCCGGCAGACCCTACCTGTTGTTGTACGAGGAACAGTGGAGCAAATTGTTAGGTCCTGTCTAAAGAACTCTCCAAACATCTGGAGCAAAGTAGAAGTCATGAAGCTTTCACAAAACATGAGGGTGGTGAATGATCCGAGCAATGGTCCATTTGTTCAGTTCTTGCTCCAGGTCGGAGAAGGCGCCTTACCGACTGTTGATCTAGCAAACCATTCCGACTATATCAGCATTCCCGAAGCCTACATCTTCAAGCCAGCAGCAGGTGGGGATTCGCATGTTAAACAGCTCATTAGTTACATGTATCCCAGCCTTGAGACTACTCCATTGCTCCCTGATGACATGATGAAAAGAGCCATATTGACTCCTCTCAACAAAAGTGTCAATGCGATTAACGATATTGCAACCAAAATGCTTTATGGTGAAAACATTGGGACTTATCAAGCCCATGACTCAGTCACTGATGATGTGGAGGCTGGCCTATATCCAGTCGAGTACCTCAACACTTTGGAGCCATCAGGATTGCCACCATTTAAGCTGCTACTAAAGATCGGCCAGCCTATCATGTTGTTAAGGAATATGAACGCCAAGCGTGGATTGTGTAATGGTACCCGACTTATTGTGCGTGGTCTTACCTCAAGGTGCATGGAAGCAGAAGTTATCACAGGCGCTTTAAAAGGAAAAAGAGTGTTTATTCCGCGCATCCCCCTGACAACTGCTGATGATGACCAAACATCACCTGTGAAGTTTACACGGTATCAATTCCCCATCAAGCCAGCATTCGCTATGACAATTAACAAGTCGCAGGGGCAAACTCTTGAGAAGGTGGGTATTTATCTCCCTGCTCCCGTGTTTACTCATGGTCAACTGTATGTTGCACTATCACGCTGCTCCAATCCAAGAGATCTGAGGGTTTTAATAGACAATGGCATATTTCCTGGGTTTGAAGGTGTTTATACAAGGAACATTGTATACAAGAGCGTTCTCCAATAAGTATAAAAATAAAAATAATAAATTATTTTGTTCAAAAATTCACACCTGTGCATCGCACGGGCTACTGCTAGTAACTATAATGACCAGCCACAACAAATTGATTTCACGTGATAAATAGTGGCTTATATTACAACAGCCCTTAATTAATCCCAGTCGGTGGATCCCACCGTTGAAAAGTGTATGAATGTTCACATCAATTCATTCAGACCAACTTCATCTTTCATTAACAACAGCGCAACATGGGTGAAGAAGCCGACAAGAAGACTGATGTCACCTCGCCAGAACATATCAACCTCAAGGTTGTAGGACAGGTATTGAGTCTTTTTTTTATGGCCTCACTTTTTTGGAATTGTTTGTCACCTATGCCTCCATAATTTTTTTTTGCTCTGGAGACTGAAAAGGAAGAGAATGGTGATCGCTATCCTTATACTGATGATATTAAACGTGGTATTACTTTCAATATCTTTTTATTCGACTATTGGCCATTGTAGGATCAATCTGAGGTATTCTTCAAGATCAAGCGTTCGACTGCATTGAAGAAATTAATGGATGCTTATTGTGATCGCCAAGGAAAAGCACTTAACAGCGTGCGCTTCTTATACGATGGTGAACGTATCCAGCCCACCAACACACCTAATGAGGTATGGATGTTCTTGAAGCCATTACCATATTCATAATATTATACATTGATATGCATCATTTGTAGCAACATGTTTAATGCTTTTTTTTTTTTTTTTTTTTTTTTTTTTTTTTCGTTTGCACCGATAGCTGGAAATGGAGGATGGCGACTCAATCGACGTCATGGTAGAACAAGTTGGAGGCTCATCCTAAGCGACATGTCATCATAATATAACTTGACCATACATCTTCTTTTAGGATATGCTGGAGTTTGTCTCCTCTGCTTAGTTTGCTTGTTGAGCGCACTTTTTCAACCTCCATGATGGCCTTTATTAGACTTTTTTATGCCTTTTGATAACCTTCACCCTCAATTGTCACTTTGGCTTCAAAATGTCGAATAAAAAAAATAATGAATCTTCAATATTTAAAATAAATAACGTATCCTTGGCTTTCTTGGGCGCATGTTTTGATCTGGATGTACGATCAAATTTTTTGACCTCTTAAAATGTTTTTAATTTACTATTTTTTTTAAATCTCGAAATTATGGACATCCTACGAATTTCATAGCATGGAATCTGTTAGTTGCTAATGCTTACATGATTGCATCTTCAGATGAATTGTGAACAATTGAAATGTGAATATTCTGATCACTTCTTCCTGACTAGAACAAACATACGTACAATGGAATAGATTAAGCGGGCCAAGCACCAGCAACTCGTTGAGACTTATACCAAACATCATCAAAAGTCTAAAAAAACTGATAACACTCAAGAGAAAGTCTATAAAACTGAACGAGATATATTAATCGAGAACCATAAGTAAGTTTTTTTAAAAAAAAAAAAAAAAAAAAAAAAATTGTTTAGTATGCCTTGCTGATACAGAATAAACTATGCGAAAAAATGTATAGGTTCCTGCGGTCAGAACAGGACAATGAAGACTTGACATGGGAGGAACGTATCGCAAAGAAACATTACGATAAGCTATTCAAAGAATATGCACTCATAGATCTCAGATATTATAGAGAAGGACGGATTGCAATGCGCTGGCGTAATGAGAGAGAATTACTTTCCGGCAAAGGTAAATACGAAGTGCCACTAACAATAACGAGGACATGTAAGCACCCCCTTTAACACCACACTTCATTTTACAGGGCAGTTCACTTGTGCCAATTTATCTTGCGATATTTCCGATGAGCTCGAGAGCTGGGAAGTCAATTTTGCATATGTTGAGCACAACGAAAAAAAGAATGCACTTGTCAAGGTTCGATTGTGTAAAAAGTGCTCGGATAAACTCAACTACAAGAAAAAACATAAGCGAGCTTCATCTTCTTCTCATGGGAGTGAAACACTGTCATCCTCGAGCTTGGGACGAGAAAGTGAATCATACGCAAGGAATAAGAGCCAATCGCCAAAGCGTCGGCGCCATCGTTCAATAGACCGGAACGAAGGCGAAGGCAAGAGTAAGGACGACAAGCACACAAACAAGGACGAATCTGATGAAGCGAGCACAGGAGGGCGAAAGAAGCGCCGCCACCACAACACTACTTCCGAATCCAAGGAAGATCAAAAAGAGGATCGATACCAGAAAAAGGCTCGACAAGGTGCTAGCCACGATGATCATACTAGTAGTCGAACGCGTTACATAGAACAGGCTTTACGAGACACTCCTGCAAAATGAGATTATTTCCAGCAAAATTGTAAACCGTATCTTATGCATTTCATAGGGGGGTTTGGCACGCAAATTTATCATTGTGCTACCAAAAAGTCCAACGAATAAAACGCGTTCCTCTGCAGAATTGGGTCTTTAAAAAATGCTTCTTCATCTCGTTTTTTTGCTCAATCAACGACATTCATTCAATCCATTCCTTGCCCCGTTTCAGTACATACAACATTTGATGACCAGTCAGAGCAAACATTCTTTCTAGATATACATTTCCTCGCATTTCGACCGTTTCATCTCTTCCGCTTTCTTTTTTTTTTCTTTTCTTTTATTTAATAAATATTCACGCACAAAATTGTTCAAGCAGTTAATTGATTACCAGGGCAACAGACAATGCCTATATCTGTCAAGGCAACGTTTGCGCAAGAGGGCGTTTTCTTTGCCGGCGAGAAGCTTAATTGCACCATTACATTCACTAATTCCACATCACTTACCCAGCTCGTTTCTGCCCCAACTGGTCCTCCTAATTCAACGCTTCCTTCGCGGCCGTCTTCGACGTTTCAGCGTAAACTACCAGTTCATCATGAAGAGCAAGAGAAACAACAGCAACGTTCAAAAGATGAAGCCAATGGCTATAGGGACGAACAATTAATGCAGACGAATACAGAGACCAAGCGTGATACCACTCCCTTGTCGTCATCTGCATCTAGTGCACTTGCATCCTCCACAAACTCATCAGCAAACACGCCACCTAGAACGGACACAAATATACAGAACCCTCTTCCCGTATCACAGAAGGTTGATCCAATACCCAACAATGGAAACTTATTGGAGAACGGCAATAGAGCTCACTCTAGGCAAGATATGCCGTATCAGCGTCCCTCAACACCTGCCAGCAGAGCTCTAAGTCAGTCACGCCTATCCTCTGATATTAGCCATATCGATGCAACCCAACATGGCAAACACATGTCCAATAATGAGCGTCTAGAAAAACTGCAAGCAAATTCAGGGAAAGAGGAGCAAGAGGAACATGAGCAGACCATTCCAGCCCCTCCTCGTGATGAGGATAGCCCTGGACCACAGATTCCAACAACATCTAGACAAGGACAAGTACCAAGGGATCAGCTGTACTCAACGAACACTCCACAGAGCGGATCACAAAACTCAGCATCCTCTCCTGGTCTACTGGGCCTGGCAGGTTTTATGTATCGCTCAGCGTCGTTTTCAACGCTAGCTTCGGCTTTTGGTCTTTCAGGAGGAGAGACGGAACAAGTGTATCCTAATGGCAAGTCTAATTGAAAAACGAAGGTGCAACGATTACGGAACTGTTGCAGAGTCAAGGAGCTGCAGGCAGTGTAGATATTCAGTCAACACTCATTTATCCCGTGGATTTTCAACCTCATTCTCTTCGGTAATGGTTCATTAACTCACATTTATATTTTGATTGCATTTTGTAGTCGAGAAAAAGTTACCACCCTTGCCTCCCCCCGATGAGTTGGACGATGGAAGAAGATCGCCATTCACAGCCTTATTACCAGTACAGATTATGTCCCCAGAGGACAAAGGACAGAAAACAACAAAAGAGACTGGTCATCCAGGCAGCAATTTTAGCAGTGGACAACCGACTGACTCGAATATAGATTCAGATCAGCTTGCTCGCTTGGGGACACCTATTGGACTTGGTTTGGACAACAAAGCAAAACCTGGCCGCTCTAGGGCAGCAACGAATGGAAGCATAAGCGGATTGAAAGAAAGTATGATCGAGCTGCAGGTCACCGATAATGCCGATACTCACTCCGTAATAGATGACGGTGAATACCAGACGCCCCGACCATCAATGGATTATTCCACACGATCATCTATGCAGAGTGCCAGGGGGCCTTTCCAGCAGCAGTTTGAGTCGCCTAAACGCAGAGCGTCACTAATGTCAAACTATTCAACCCATTCGAGTCCCAGAGGATCATCAAGTCACGTACCAAAGAAGGAATCATTACTTTGGGGCTCTGTACAGGTCATCGGTCAGTTTATGGTCGATGGTTCGTTCATCCGTCAGCAAGGATTTGAATCATTAAAAACCAAGACTATGTATCGACCCACAGGTAGCTCTGGAGGTGGCGCAATAGGAGGTGGCACTTTAGGGATAGTGAACCCATCAGACTGGAGGGACAAAGCTAGTATGTTATTTAGCAGTGGACATCAGAGATGAATTTTTCATGATATACTTCTCGAAATTTGTATCGTTATACTCATTTACTCATGATTGCTATCCTTAGACGCAAACCGTCTTTTCCCTGTGTTTTCAACCCCGCCTTCGATTTTATTTGTGGACTTGCAACTAGGTCCAGGCGAATCTATTACATGTATGTTTGTGATGCAAGAGGCTATATTGCATTGTCTATTGCAGCATGTCTAGATCGATACTGAAAACATGGACTTCATATTGTCTCTAGATTCCTACCAAATCGAACTCCCAGAGGATTTACCACCATCGCATCGGGGCAAAACAATCAGATTTGCTTATAACCTCATCCTTGGAGTTCAACGTGGAAGTGTCCATATACCAGCCAAGAGTGTTCAGTTACCATTTAGACTCTATAACAACATTTCGGAACAAGGTACTAGACCAGTATATGACCTGATGAGCCCTATTATCTTGCACAAGGACACTGCTATCTCAAGTGTTGCTGGCCAGGGACGCGTTACAGAGAAATCTTTAGAAAAACCAAGTATGCCTCCCCACACTTTTTTTCTGCTTTTTCTTTTTTCATGGGGAAATAAGTCTATATACTAGAACCCGTAAGAATTGTTTGTTCTGAGTAACATTCTGGACTTGTCATTGCATATTTAGAGCTTGCAAGGAAACAGTTTGAGGACTATGTAAATGAGCTAATCAGAAACATCAAACCCAGTGGTGAGGAATGCAATCCAGCACAAGCACGAGAACTCACACGCCGCGAGAGTGATGCATACAAGGACGAGGAGACAGTTCTGTCGCACACATGCTTGGAAAAGGCTACTATACTTTCTAGGTCAACCAGCCCAGGTATCTTCATAGTTTTGACAGTGTTTTTATATGGCATGGTCAAATACTTACAAGGCAACTGTTAACCCTATCATTTTCCATATTCGATTATGTCCAAAGCGAGCTATGATATTTGTAAAAATAACGTGCCTGTTGCTAAGTTGTCGTTGATCAAGACACGATTCAAATTGGGAGAAACCGTGTACGGAATAATCTCATTCTCCTTACGCGAGATCCCCACATATCAGGTCTCAATAACTTTAGAGACTGTTGAAGCCATAGAAGCTAGCTATGCGTGCCGTACACCAGCTCAGACAGCAAAATTGACCAAACGTGTCCATGCGGAGCTCCATGAATCTTGTATCGACACAATGCGAACTTCATTTGCGCTTTGCATCCCTCCTACTGCTACTCCAGAATTCAAAACATCTACGTGTAAGAGTTGGCCCGTTTTTTTTTCTTTTCTTTTTTTTTTTTTTTTTTTTTTTTTTTTGAAAGTTTAGTTGCCCTCGTTATTTACAGATTTCTCACACGCCTTTTTTTTTTTTTTTTTTTTGTCATTATAATGACTCAGTGACACTGAAATGGTATATTCGTGTTGAGTTTATCACTGGCCCAGCTAATCAGCCGCGCTTCAAAATGACAAGCGTGGATGAACGGCGCTCTCAATATCAAGCTGTTGATTCACTTTCGACAGAGAACTTCGATTGCACTGTTCCTATACAAGTTTATCCAACTTCATATGAGACAGGAGCACTCTATTCACCTACAGTGGCTTTCAGTCTCTCCTAAAGAAAGCAAGCTTTTTTTCTCATTATTGATACACACATCTTTAAAACTTGTGGTCCTATCAAGGAGCATGGTTGTTTTTATAAAAATAAAAAGAAAAAAAAGAAAAAGAGCTGCGGAGGTTTTTCAAGCGATTTCTCTCGTCCTTGCACCTAGAAAATCAAACTGGCTCATATCCATAATCAGAGATAATCCTGTACATGAAATATTTTTTTTTTATCTAGATATATAACTGCTATTATCTTAATACATACCCCGGGAGCTTTCGGTAGTTCCCAACAATCCAAAAGAAAATCAAAGGAAAAAGAAAGACAAAAAAGAGGGAAAAGAAAATAAAATCCTTTTATAAAGTGGTGCTTGTTTGTGATGGCGCTACACTAGTTGTTGATGTAGGATTGACGACAGTCGATGATGGAGATGGTGATACGGCTCTGACTGCTTCCTGTGCTTCAGTAGACAACGTGGTCGAGTTCTTCTGGCCTCGTTCTGCAAAATTTTTCAATGCCTTTTTTGCCTGTTTAGCCTTCATTGCTTCTACAACCTTGCCTCTGAGCTCCATTCCCTTAGCACCCAACAGATCAGGACGGGTTTCGAGCAAGTAGCGATCAAGACCTCCTTTCTTATCCACTGTACGGATGACAGAGGTGGTCATGTTGAGTTTGATCCAATCATTCAGCACCTCAGAGAAGAGACGCTTTGTCTGAACATTCGGAAGCCATGTACGTCGGGTTTTGGTCTTGGAGTGAGGAACGTTGTTGCCAAATTGGATCTGTTTGCCTATAGTATCGCACAACGAGAGAAATTAATGTTTGATCAAGGTCGAAAGAAAGAGAGAGGAGGAGAGTCAATACTGTCCTCCACTCTTTCATTCACTTCATTCATCGAACAATAAAGTAGGGTCGGTTCCTGAGGAATACAACAATACAATGTAAATAGAAACTGATCCTGATTCCTAAAATGTAACATTGAAACATCGTTTGGTGAGCTATATAGAGTGAATGATTGCCAATGTACCTCCAAAGAGACCACGTTGGGCACGTTTGAAGGGTGCTTTGGCCAGTTGAATGATGGCAGACGTGCTAGACAACATGGAATGGATGTATGTATTTGGATTTGGTGGACTGAGACTGGAGAGATGCTAATGGTAACTTTAAGGCCGGTGACCATTTGTTTTCTCTTCGGAGAAAGGATTCATTTAATTAAGGGTTATTCGTTTTAGTGGCGCATAGCGAATTTTTTATTTGACAGAGTTACAGAGAAACTGGTAAAAAGTTTCCAACAATCACGGAAGGAATATTATACTTGTCGCGTCGGATAGTGAAGGAGAAGCAACAGGAAATCACACTTTGGCACTCTGGATCAGGATTCTTGAGTAGACATGATGTTAAAACTGCTTTTTGACCTGCATCAAATGCAATGTTTCCATATTTCTAAACGTATTTTTTTGAGCGCACAACGAGAGAGAAAGAGAAAATGAGAATTGAAGTGAGTGATAAGCGGTCAGCTTGGTACCAAGGTTATAAGCTTCGGCCAGTTCTCAAAAGTCAATTGATTGGCATAAAAAAAAAACATACTTCCCAATAATTAACAGCGGATTCCTCCGCCATTAATTCATAGATGCACAAGCGACCATCGCGAAGCATCTCGAGTGGAACATTTACAAGAGCTGCAAATTCTTTGTTGCCTTTATAGATCTCCCCTGTGCGGCGCCAAAGACAAGCAGGTATACCCATGGAACTAAACACACGATCATAATCCTTGATATAGATTCACATAAGAAAAAAAAGACTGCGCGTTAAAAATATATATAAAGTAAAAGAGAAAGAAGGAGTATGATGCTCTACTGCTGCACTTACCAGCAACAGCCGTTCAAATGCTTCTTCTACTAGAACAAGATCGATGTCTGTTAAAAATTGAGCTACACTCCGGAATGCTGGACGGAAGGTTCCCATGACGTTCAAAATTCTTTGTCGGCTAATATTCGACATGCTTTTTTTTTTTTTTTTTTTTTTTTTTACGAATGATCAGAGATGTACGAGTTGTTCCATTTCTTCCACTATACAATCCCAGACCTATTTCCAGGTATGTATGTATTTATGTATTCTAAAAAAGTTTAGGTAATCGACTTACTTGCTGTCCATGTACTTCTGTAATCTCGAATACCCATTGACATAGTTGTAGGGTTTAAGGAATCCTGCTTCGAATTTTGCGTTGATTACCTGAGTAAGCCGGTCTTCATTTGTTCCATCGCTCGGATTGGCAGCTGTTATGAAGAACTTTTCGGTCGTATTAACAGGCAAAGCTTGATCAGGGGCCATGTTTTGCTGCTCACCTCCAAGGCTTTCCAAAAAGTCGCTATTATCCGGTTTTGTAATAAATGTTTCAGCTAAATACTACATGTTCATGATGTATTAAAACCTATTACAATCTGTTACACACCTTTACCTTATCACAGTGAACTCATTACCCATATGCTCACTCGCAAATGTCAGTGGAGTAACAGGAAGGTTTGTAAGGTGATCGTTGAAGCCATACATTGAGACTGCGCTCATCCCTTCGTGTTGCAATGATGGCTGTTGCATTTGATCTGTCTGGCCTTGAAGGATCAGGGCTTGCTGTTGTTGTTGCTGTTGTTGATGCTGTTGAAATTGGTGCGAGGTTCTCTTTTCGCTCGCGTGTAAAGGAGCAGAGAAAGATATAGCGGCGGCAGCAGCCTGATTTGCTAGTTGAGATGGCTTTGGTTCATCGTGACAAAGATGTCCAATATTTCGTTTGATGCATCGTTGACATGGCCGACCTTAACCCTCGATAAATATGTTATGCTTGATGTTAGTTACATGTTTCCTAACTTCTCTCTTTTCAGATCCTTTTACTCCTCCTCACTCTGTACATCTCACTTTCTCACTTCCTCACTTTCTCACTTTCTAATTTTCTAACTTTCTCTTTTTTTTTTTCTTTTTTTTTTTTTTTTTTTTTCGCAGCGCTCCACAGCAAGTCGATCCTTAATTCTCTTGCTTTGCTTACCATCATCGCATGTCATATGTGATCGTCGGCAATATACACATGCTATGTCAAGAAAGGAAAAAAAACCCCATAATCAGTCATCAATCTATGGATCGGTAAGATGAAGGGAACTGCGTCTGCATCTACATACTCTATCTATTACTAAATATTGAACGAAATCAAAGGCGAAACAAATTGCTGTGAAGCAAGGTCAAAGAAAGGCCAAACAAACTGATCAATGTATATTTATCATTAGATAGCTGAAGCATAAATTAAATGATCAAAGGCTGTAATGAATACTTTGACATGAACCAGCATGCTGGATGTGATCAGATAGAGTATTTAATGGTGATGTTTTACCACCTTTATTTTTATTTATTTTTTACCATGAGCAACTTTGCGGCGCTTGGGGCCATTTCTTTTCTTCTTATTCTCATCTTCAACCTGTTGCTGTGGCTTGCTATTATTATTGCTATTGGCGTTAACGTTGGTTTCCATTTTGAAGATCGATATTGCCGTTCATGTGTCTTTGTTTGGACGAGATGGTATTCAAGGGGAGAACTTTTGTATCCGATATGGATTAGGAAACAAGAAACAACAATAGTAAAAATGAAAACCCAAACCAAAGTTGAATTTGGCTATTGAAGACAAATGATGAATGGAGGAAAATTATGAATGAAGAAAGGGTAATGCAATGCATCGTGACAACCTTTATAGGCGGTGGAACTGATATAGGAAAAAAGCTCATGGAGTCATTCATAAAATTGACCACTGTTGCCATCGGAGCTTTGTGTCTTGCGCCCATTGCGCATTGCGCCCGCGCGGACAACGTTGTGCTAGGGAACTATCGAACATCCGTCATCTCCCTCTTCTTATTTTCTTAAGATCTTCTTTCCGTTTTTTTTTTTTTTTTTTTTTTTTTTTTCACTTTGGTTGTACGACAAACATCAATTATGTTTGACAGCAATTGTAGCGGACGATCCCTTCCCCATGTTTTCATGGAGTTTTTTTTTACTTCCTACCATCACGATGTAACAACTCCTCTTCCGTCCAAATCTATTCATCCGAATGAACACCCGTACTGACCACCTTGCTTCTTGTGCAAAGGCACTTCAGGTGGCTCTGTGCTCATCATTAATTGTGGCTGTGCTCTTTTGCTTGTTCGAAATCTCGATCCAGCACTCGAGCCCAGTAAATGTGTGATACATCTACTTTCAATGAGCACCTTATTTTACACAAGTCGTTAGTTTTGGAACAATCGGTTTTGACGTTGACCCTGTTATTTCCGGTTGGAGAGAATCCTGTGTCCCTACATTTCCCGGACCATACTTTTGAAGGATAAAGGAACGAAGTCTTGGTTTCTAGAAACACAGACCAGTAAAGATTGGTCGCTCTTAACTATTGCAACGATCTTTGGTCAAGAAAGCGTACTTTTATGCTTTTTGTCTCTTTACGACGTATTTTACCAACGTACCAATGGAGTGGCTATCTCAATTGAGCAGATAATACTCAGGAAGATCTGTTGCCCTTTAGCGATCATCCTCCATTAACGACATTAATAATTCATTTGAAAACATCTTTTCCATGAAATTAAAAACCTATTATTGGTTATGGTAGCGCTTACGAACAACAGATTTTCTTTAATTTTACAAATCGGCTCATGTAGTTCATTTCCTATATGCGTCACTCGTGAAAAGCCCCTGAAACCCTCACCAACTGGCGATTCTAGACTCTTGGGTCCTTACGATAGGATGCTGTTTCTCCATTTAGATGAGCCAAATTTATCAGGACTGGGCTAGATGCCTCTTCCTCCCCAAGGGAAAAATAAAAATGACATTCTTTCCGGCTCTCCATGCATTCATTTACATCTATGATGCATACCCTCTCTCTTTTCCATATTTAGCCTACCATCCAGCTCTCACTAACTCACCCACTCACCCACTCACCCACTCTCTCGCTCTTATCTTCCTTTCATTCGCTCCCTCGCTCTTCGAGGTATTGAGAGATTGGTCATTCTGTTAGACCAGAGCGTTCTGCAAAATTAATAATTCATTTCTCACCTTCTTTCCCCACAAAGCGTCAAATACAGTTGACAGCGTTACATTGATTGTATATCTGACCATTGTATGGAACAAGTCGTCTTTCTTTTTAAACATCGCCGACCAAACTCTATCCCTTTCCTTTTTCAATCCACCTTTTACTTTTTACTTATATTTACGGGCCATGGACAACAATACTACCATTTATCTCTTACTTCAACTTTTTAGTGTTCCCCTTCTACTTTTCCTTTTCGTCCACTGCACCTATCATTCCATCAATTTCCTCCTCCAGATCTTCTCCATTGTCGCTATCCTCAACAACATCAATGAGAGCGTACTACCCATCTACTACAATGACCAGGTCATGTCACAAGCCTATGGCACGACTGGATGCACTGTGTCCGCAATCTTTGGACACTACATCCCTATAGTACTTAATCTGTTGGCTGCATGTATGGGGTTTAATGTGTGGCTCCTGATAGTGCACAGAAGTAAATATAAAGAACGACAGCTGCTGCCTTGGTACTGTCTGTTTTCTTTTGGAGTACCCTTGGTGATGACAATAATCGCTATCATCTTACTTCGGAATGAGCCACACTGGGCAGCCAATTCGCGACGATACTGTTGTGATTTTCAACATACTTCCATAACTACGGGGACATTTGCTATCCCTATGTTAGCCGGAGGAGCAGCTGGAGTTCTATTCACAAGTATGTTTCTGAGTTTTGCTGCAAAAAAAAAAAAAAAAAAAAAAAAAAAACCATAACCTGAGGAGGACGCTAACTCTTAATTTCATATTTAATATTCCTATTAGTGCACACGGCGATTCATTTGGTGCAATACTACTACAAAAAACGCCAAAATTCTAATAGTAGTGGTGCTTCTCATCGAACGAGTATCATAAATGACTTGAGGTAAGTTTCGAAAAGTGATCCTTGTTACTACTATTGTTTACATTGTTCATTTAACAAGGAGAACGTTGCTTATAAGGAAATTATATACGATCTGCTGCATTGTTAGCCATTGCATTCGTCTGATGGTATTCTCTCTTTCTATTGGGATTATCATAACCATGGCCATCTTACAACGAATTGTTGAAATGACAGAACATGAACCTGTTTATAACCCATCTGAAGGCGAGGACATCGTATCGGACTTCAGTGGGCCTTTGGTCGCTTATTTTATTTTCCTCATTTTCGGAACAACCCGCGATTCCTTGAGAACAATGTCATTGGTTTTATATCCATGTCGGAGAAGAAGAAATGACGAATGCCTTGCAGAGGAGCCTTCATCACGCTTTCGTTCAGGGTCTATTTCATCATTTAATGAGCTGGTATCAGAAGATATACTGTTGGATCAAGGTGGTCACTCTCACGCAGCAATAGCGAAGCAAGCCTCAAAATCAGTATCACACCCGCATGAGCAACCAGATCTGAGAATTCAAGGGGAGGGAACATATGACACCGTCGAAGCATTCAGAACAAACACCCTCAAGCGATGCAGGGTGCTAATATATATTACTGAAAGTAGTTAGTAGCAGTATCTGTAAAATATAAAATGTTAATATTAATTCAACAATAGATCACATAGGCGACTGTTCGGTGCCTGTTGTATTTCCGTATCTGCCTGGGCTTAGCGGTAATTAACAGAATTGTTTGGTTCCTCTTGAATGACCGTCATCCAGAGGAACTAGTAAGAATCGTCAGAGTTCACAGCATTGTTCAAAACAATAAAATTCGACTGGTAGTCAGCCAATCCTCAAAATGTGATGCGAAGTAACGCCTTAAAGCACTTCAATAAAATTACGGTAGCTACTGAGATGCACACTAGATATTTTCGTCTCTTACATGTACTGGAAGATGCAGAGTTTATTCCTTGAGCTAAGCTTTTTGAAGTTACACCAGTTATCAGTAAATACACAAATATTGTCCCGCTTTTCACATATTCCCAGCACTCTCTCGATCCAAAGGCTGTGATATAGCCATCAAAGGATACATGCTTGTCAGAGCATTAATACATCCCTTGGGAAAGTGGAGGAACATGTTAAAAGTTATTGTTCAAGGAGCGCAGGGTAGCCAATAGCATGTGGCAGTGTTTAGATATTTATATGGTTTCATATTGAGCTTGGACAGTCGCCATATAAAAGTCAGAGTTTGATTCTTGTGGTTTATGATCATTAATGGCTAGTTACGACCCCCACCACAATAGCTTGGCGCTGTACACCACACAATATTTAGGACATTTAGGATATTTAGGATATTTAGGCAGTGAGGATCACAGCGAAAAGAACTTAAGGTGACACATCCAACGTCGCGTCATTGTTATGCTAAGTCTTAGACATTTTTTTTTTTTTTTTTTTTTTTTTTTTTTGGCTTCCAATCAGACGCCTCATTTGCCTGTCATTACAAGTCTTAACGGAATCACTTTTCTTTTTTTTCCTTTTTTTCTTTCTTTCACTTTCCTTCACTTTACAATTCACAGATCGAATCGATTTTTTGTGCCACGTACTTTTTCTTCTTATATAACTTCACTTAAACAAGCAGCCATCAAACCCGAATCGCTCTATCACAATAGAAAAACATATAAAACATGAGTCGTTATTACGGTTCTACCGCAGGAAACAATGCCTTGTTTGCTGGCTTTGTTACTCTTGCTGGGGTGATCGTCTACTGGTACATGTCTACGACCGAGGAGGAGCGTGCAGAGCAACGTGCAGATCTCAGGGAAAAGATCAATAGTGCTTCTAGGCAAATGTCAGGTAAAGTCCTGTGTCCAAACATTGTCCTTGACAAAAAAAAAAAAAAAAGATACAAAGTCTTTATGCGTGTGTGAGAGGATATGATACCTTACTGTTCCACACACTCTTTCTTATATATCCTAGCCGCGGCAGACGATGCTGTAAAGGAAGCAGAGAAGGTAAAAATAAAATAAAAAATAAAAAAAGAGAGAAGAACGAGTCCTAGTGAACTCTTTTTTTTATGGTTGTAGATTGACCTAATTGTATCATGATATTCAATCATGTAGCTTGCTGATGATGCTCAGAAGAAGGTGCATGAAGCCTCCGACAGGGTTCAAAGAAAGGCCGGGGAGATGGCAGACCATGCTCGAGATGTTGCCGTCGAGGGACTTGACAAGGCATCAGAAGCCATCAAATCTGGCGCTGATAAAGCCGCGGGTGCCGCCGATAGGTTGGGCAATAAAGTCGAGGAGGGCGTTCACGCTTCCAGGAAGAGTGTCCATAGGGCTAAAGAGCACATCAAGTCCGGCGCCGACAATACCAATGCCAGTATCAAGGAGAATGCTAAACATGCTGAGAAATCCATGAAGGATACTAAGGAAAAGGTCAAAGATACCGCTGAAGAAGTGTCTGAGGATGTCAAAGACGGTGCAAAGAAAGCAAAGAAGCACGTCGAGGAGGCTTCCAAGGACGTCAAGAAAGATGCTGAGAATGTTGCCAAAGACATTAAAAAGGGTGCTAGAGATGTCTCCAAAGATGTCAAGAAGAGCGCCGAAGAAACCTCCAAGGACGTTAAGCATGCTGCGAAGGACGCCAAGGACAATGCCAAGGATGGAGCCAAGAAGGCCAAGAAGCATACTGAAGACAGCGCAAAGCACACAAAGGAAAATGTAAAAGATAAGGCCGAAGATGTTGCGGATGATTTCGAAGGCGGCTCTGACGAGTTCGAGGATGCTCGTCAACATGTCAAGGATGAGACTAAGAGGGCCAAGAAGAACTCTGTGGATGCTACTAAAGACGCCAAACATGAGGGCAATACTGCTAAGGAACATGTAAAGAAAGAGACCCATGATACCAAGCATAACAATCACAAGAATCACTCCCATACCAACGATTTGAAGGCCTTTACCAATCGAGGTGCACATACCGAGCGTAATGATGAAGACAACTTTGCTCCTGCACCACATGCAGACTCTGGTAACCGCGCAAAGCCTCAAACTACCGGCACATTGAACGACGACAACAACCATCCGGCTGTTATTGGTAATGATCGTGAGATTGATTGAGGGGGCAGCTTGAAGACCTAGGACAACGCGGCAGGATAATGCAGAAAAAAAAAAAAAAAAAAAAGAGAGAGACAAAGAGAAATAGGAGGCAGAAAGAGAAATAGGAGGCAGAAAATTCCTGAAATGGCTTAAGAACCTAACTATGACTTGTAATCCTTGTTATTTTATATGTTCTTTATAGACGTTGAACATTCTGAACTTAGAGTCGATGCGCCTGAATTCCACCCCAAACAAACTGTCGCTTAAAAACGATTAGATCATAGTTTCACTGGCGTACAAACCGAATCAAAGTCTTAATAAAAATTGAAAAAAAAAAAAAAAAAAAACGCGACAAAAAAATATCATACAGCTGTGGCTTTGCATCGTTCGATACATATTTCTTCATACATGTTTAAATTAGAGACTGGGCTGAAAATCAAATTTCCCTTCTCTTTTCTCAGGTGCGCAAATAGTGGTAGATAACTTGCACGTGACTGCTACTGCAATGAATGACGAACCATAAAAAAAGGATGAATCCTCCAATCAGCCTAGTGCCAACATTGAAATCAGCCAGATCCATCGCATCGATCCATCGATCAACACCATAAGCCTAAGAACTTTTTTCCAGAGTGCTATCTTATTATCAGGATGAAACTCTTGGGAACTATTTGAAGAAAGCTTTTGAGATGAATGGATTCGTGAGACTATGACCAGGGATCAATTACATTGCTAAAATTAAAAGTATCTGGATCATGACAGTATCAAAGACAGCATTGTATGAGCGACGACAGGAAACAGTGATTCAAAAGAGATCATCATACACTGGAATAAAAAGGAAAAAAAGTACATTACAGCAATCTGGTTTGCTAACGTTTCTCCTTTCTATTTTTCTTTTATCTGTTCTACAAACTTACAACTCTCATCCGACAGATAATTCAGCATGCTTATCCCCAAGCAGAACCGCAAGCTTATCTACGAGGCCCTCTTCAAGGGTATGAATACAGAACTACTGAGTGATACATAGGGATTAGTTTTGAGTCATGATCAGAATGCTAACTAATCGCGAATTCTTTTTTTATTTTCGAACTTAATTCAACCCGTCCGGATTCACTGATTTACGACTGGCTGGATCGCTTGGAATCTGGATTTCAAACTCGACGTTCATGGTTAATTTCTTTTTTTTTTTATTTTCTTTACTCAATCGTTTCCTGAATCAATTGGGATCAATAATCAAATTATACAGACGGTGTTTTGGTCGCCAAGAAGGACTTCAACGCCCCCAAGCACGATGAGCTCGATGTCCCCAACTTGCAGGTCATCAAGGCTCTTCAGTCCTTGGATTCGAAGCAGTATGTCAAGACCCAGTTCTCGTGGCAATACTACTACTACACCTTGACTGATGCCGGTATCGAGTACTTGCGCGAGTACCTCCACCTTCCCTCGGAGATTTTCCCCGCCACCTTCAAGAAGACCGCTCGTCCTTCAGCTCCTCGTCGTGCTGGTAATGCTTTAACTTCCAACCTGATCTTTTTTTTTTTTTTTTTTTTTTTTTTATACCCTTATTTAATATTTCATCTGGATGTACTTGCTTCTTCGGCATGAAACCGCGGAAGACCCATATTGCTGAATACTATCACAAGTCGTTCTCAGGATATTTTTACTTATGTTTACACAATAATACCATTTGAGATCTCCGGCTACTATTATCAGGACTTGATGTCGGACTACTGAATTGACTATCAGCATCCTGTGATCAGTTGTCTTTCCGTGTTGTGGACTTTTAGTGAACTATTTGACAAAGCCACAATCAATGATGACTTTTATCCAAGTCGTAGGAAGGGGGAAGGAAAATCCTATTTGACTATATTGCTTTATTGCTGACCAACTCTATATGTTTTATTTTTGTATAATAGAGCGTCCTGAGGGTGCCTACCGCCCCCGTGGTGACCGCGATGACTACCGCCGTCGCGATGATGGTGAGAAGAAGGAGGGTGCCTCCGGTGACTACAAGCCCGAGTTCCGCTCTGGTTTGGGCCGTGGTCGTCCCGCCCAGCAATAAGCAAATAAAGACTTGACTTTTCTTTGTCTTCACTCCGTTGTTTGCAGCTCAAAGGTTGCTAATTGAATCAGAATAAAATAAACATGAACAAGTAAAATAATATCGATGGTCATTGCGCATCGTATCATAATAGGACACGCTCCCTCAGCCTGTTTGAAGCCTTGTAAGAGCATTGCACACTCTGCTTCAAACTTTTTATCAGAAAAAAGAAGGTGTGCCAGCTACGAATGTAAGTGGCTAGTTTAGTCTCGCGCGCATGTTGCCTTTTTGTCTTTTTTAATTGGACCCATCGCCAACTTTACTTCTGTATATCTTAATGGAAGCATCGCCATAATTGCAACTGAGAGTTTAGTGCATTGTACGAGTGGAGATGAATGATGCCCACAAAAGGCTTTTTAACCCAAAAAAGTTAACGCTTTTGGTGTAGAGTAGATGTTCTGCAGGAAGGAAAGAAGAGGAAGAGGAGCTAAGACCAGGGGCAGTCGATCTTGCATCTCTTACCTGTTGTCTGGTCTGTTGTTCCCCCTTTTCTAAAGGTTTTGCTTGTGGATATAAAATATGCAGCACGAACTTTGAAAGTATGACGTCGCATGACAAATGCAATAAATTCGGAGAATTTGTCCACCAGTTTGAACAGCATTACTTGCACTATTTGATGAATATGTTGGTGAATCCAATTCGTCCGGCACTCCCTCTCTGCGATACCATCTCTTCCATTTGGCTTTGTTTTGTCGCTTCAAAACAAGCCCTTAAAAAAAAGCATCGAACCTCCTGTTTTGATTGACCACAGAAACATAAAGGAGAACAATCTTTTTTGTTCTCCTTTTCCAGATAGATATCAACAACTATGGACTTCAACACCGTAATTGTTATTATATCCGTGCTTATCTGTACAATAGCGGCTGATGTTCTGGTATTGGAACCTTCCAAAATCAGGACAACAGGGACCTTGGATGCTCCTGCCTTTAGTGTTGATGCGATAGACATAGCAAGGGCATCTCGTACTGTAGCTAAACTCCCAAAGATTATTTTATACAGCTGTCCCTTCAGACTTTAGTAAAGAATAACAAGAGGCTGATACCGAAGACGAGGTGTATGCTATATTGAGTTGCATAAGCCTTGTGGCGGAAAATCAGCATGCTAGAATTGTATCGTCAAGGGTTAGAGCAACTCAGGCAATAGCTCCTCCAGTGGTCTTCATTCCAACTGTAACGCCCATAGCAGTCCCAACGTCCGCATTCCAATGACTGACTGGGGCATTTATTACTATAAAAAAAAAAAGCTGGAGAGATAGGGGCGAAGACCAAATATCTCGCCATTCGTAATAAGCATGGCTTTTGCATTTGTTTGTCGCCGTTTTTACCAACGGCCCAACAATGAGCACACCCCTGTTAGAGTCCTCGCCAAAAAGTCATAAACTGGATATATTTTTCAGGCTTTTAAATTGAATAGAATACTTCCACTTTTAGACGCAGGAAAAATACGTACAAACTCAAAATTTTAATTTTTACGAGAGCGTTTTCGATTGATAAGAGGCTCGTCCTCAGACTCGCTATCCTCTATCACATTAAACATGCTTCCAGCATCTAGCGTAAGATCCACTATCTCAGGGCCTAGGGTAACAGCTTCAGCTCGCTCTTGATTTAGTACTCTAATGAGTTCTGCATCCCACTCACTATTGTCGACTTTGAAAGTGTCACTAAGGTCCACAATAGGCTCGTTTTCATCAAAAACCTCTTGATAAACCTCTTCGACTATTTCTTCCTGTGCATGACTCCTCTCGTTATAGTATCTCATGCCAATTTTCACAGACTTCTTCCATACAGAGTAAAAGACTTTACACGGAATCTGGGAAAACAAGCTTAGTAGCCTTTTTTTCAGCAAGATGGATGTCATTGTCACCATTGCTCTCGAGGCAATTATGTTTTTCACAACTGCCCAGATCTTCTCAATAGGTTGTAGCTCGCAATGGTAGGGTGGAGTCTTGAGGATTTCATGTCCACCATTCTCCTGGGCTATTTTACTGATAGAGAAATACGACTCATCAGGAAGAGCGTTAACCAATTCCATAAGCTCGTTTTTGTTCAGTGCTTTTCCATTTTCCCTTGTTGGAATAACAATCTCCTTGCCCGTGAGCCACTCTTTGATAGTTTTCACAGTGTCGCTCTTGGTTGGTTTCCTGTTTTTCTTGTGAAAGTGATATGAAGCGCCATCAAGATGGATTTTACAAGGGCCAAGTCCCATCTTATTGAGATTCTCACAAAGTCGCTTAAAGATACTATCGAACAAACTAGCGTTGAAGTTTCCATGATAATCGTGATCTGTTGCCACGACCCCTGCATTCCTGATCTCCTCAGGTACGTCATCCCACAGTTCAGCCTCCTGCTCTTGGCCTTTTTTTGATTGAGGCTTTGGTCCCTTTGATGGCCAAACATACACGCTATCATTAACGAATTTGCCTTCAACCTTTTTAGCAGCTTCATCATAATATACAATGAAGGCTGCAAATATAACCATGATTGGTTTCCTTCCTGCATCGTTAATGACACCACCGCCACTTTGCACCCAACGTCTTGCTGCAGCATGGTCAATGTGGCAGTAAGACTCGTCCAAGAAGACCTCTGGAGTCCTAGGCACCCAACTGCCGTCTACTAGTTTTAAATTCTTAAGACGGCGCTTCAGGTAAGTAGCTCGGAAGGCAATATTCTCCTTGGAGTCGTGCAAAAAGTTCTGTCGGACCCCTTTACCCCAATACAGTCCCATTTTACGGAGGTCGCGAGTGATTGATCTTGCTGATCTGTCGATTTCAAAGTCTTCTTTCAGTTGGTTTGCAATTAAACCCGCAGAATTAGGAGTCCCGCTCTTGTTTGATTCAACTATGATATTCAGCACCTTCGAGTTTAAATCCTTGTCCGCTTCTTTTTTAGGGCGACCAGTTCTTCCTCGCCCTGTCATTTCGACGATGCCTGTTTGTGCATATTTAATTGCTGCCACACAAGTGTTTCTCCCTACACCCATCAGAATCGAAAGGTCCATTGCTCTGTTGTCTGTCTTCTTAAACCAGTCTTGGACTGCTGGTGGCGCATTCATTATAGCATTATATGTATGAGCTATTATCGCGTATTCGTCTTTAGTAACGGACGCTTTACTGCGTGTAAATGCCTTTTTTCTCTCTCCAGTTTGTTTGTCTGACAAGAATGGATTTAAATCGAGGGTATTGGGACGCTCACCGAATTGCTCTAATGAGGTAGAACTCCTTGGCTCGTTTCTGGGAGGAGTAATCCATTGATATTCGGTAGGAGACCTAATAGGGGAGAGATCGGCTTCAGTGGGCAGTTGTGGCGATCTTCGAGGCGGAGTGAAGGGTGTGCCTGAAATCATTTGGTCGATATTTCCTTCGCTATACCAACCACCAAGATCGTTGTATGAGAGTAGGTTATTGATATCAAAAGGGAAAGACATTTTACTATCTGAAGATTGCGAATAAAGTAGGTTGACAATGAGGATGAGATCGAGAATGAGATTGAGAATGATGTTCCCATTTCTCGCAAATTCTAATATTTCTAATTAAAAACGAAGATTGAATTGGTTTGGTGGCCATGCATCTAATTCATTCCTTCTATTCAAAAAATATATGCATTTTTGTCTTCGTACGTAAATTTTTATTTTTCAAATTTTTAATTCAAATTGAGTATTGTAAAATATATCCAGTTTATGACTTTTTGGCGAGGACTCTATGGCACAGACGATTATCAAGGTTACGAAAATCATCACCATCATGCAAACCTTATTTATTGCCCACAGATCATTTTCTTGATAAGCGCACAATTGTACTTCCACAGAGTAGTGGGCTGTTTTTTACAAAATGGAAAACATGTCCCCAGATGGGCGTTTCTTGTTTATTCTTTATATATGCAACATAAACGGGAACCTTGGATTTAGAGGACCCTTTGAAATTATCCTCGTATGGCTAAGAGTAGGACGGTCGAAATTGGAACCGATCACGCTGATATGATTTCTAGAAGAAACAATGGCTTAAAAGAACAAGTAGATCATATGTATTGTATTACTTTCTTCCTTCCGAACAATCCATGTTTAATTGAACTGGGGCTCCTGAACTTTGAATTTCCGCAATTATAACGGTTAATATATATATATATATAAGTGTGTATATCTTCATTTCCTTTGTACTCAGGAACATGGCTGTCAAAACAGCATCCCCGTTTCCACAGGAATTCTCTTTGAACCTTTTTTTTTTTTTTTTTTTTTTTTTTTCCGGTTTCTCATGTTACCTTCCTTTGTTTCATTCAGGTGCGCCTTCTTTCCTCTATCCTATTCATCCTATTGATCCTATTCATCCCTTCACCTTCCTCTCCACATTCGAGCTCTGATTCAGCTACCATGGCAAACTCCCCATCTCTCCTTACCCATGTTATCAACTTTATGGGATATGGCGATGCACGTTTCGCACCATCCGACTGGAGTTTTGAACACAATCCGTTCTGGACAACTTATCTGCTCACACTGGCAGTTTTTCCTTGTCTATTCTACTTTACTTGGTATTTGAACCCTTCTCTCAGCAACAATAGACTAGGTCTTTCATGGGTCATGGGGTTTTATTCAGCGTGTCTTTTTACGATAGCTGGATTTTATGAGGTTCCTCATCTACGAACAATCTTCAACTCTCTTGTCGATTATCAGCCTGTATCTGGAATTATACCATCCATGCTTGAAGCAACAGATCCAGTTCATCCGTCAAGTGCAGACATACTTGGCTTATCACCGTTAGCAGCAAAAGATATTTGTTATCCATTACTAAAAGCAGGAACTTTGGCATTTGCTACTTTATTGCCTTCATTTTTGAAACTGGAGGATGGGTCCTATTCAAAGTATTATTGTTTCTCAGACTTTAAACTAAGCGACAATCGAACATCGTCAATTGATGGTGGATTCAGTTCAAGGATATATGATCACTCTGAAAAGTCAGCCCAAAGGCCTTTCATGACAACTGCCTCCTCCTCCTTTTCCTACGATGAGCACGACAATTCCAAGATGGTGGACAGCCCATTATCGTTGCGTCACGGTGTATTTCAGGCCCAGATGCAGCGACCCCATTTGTTTTTCTCACTGGAAAATTATCCTGATGATGGTCGAATTGGACCACATATCATCGCAGCAAACTTTCAAGCGTTCCTGGCGGTTGATCTGATCTTGGGGTTGATGCATTACCGTAAGCAACTAGAGCCATTCTCAACTGTGGTCCATCATATTATATACCATTTTATTGTAGTCCATATGAGAGCCGGAGACATGCTGTCAGTCTTTTGTATTTGTGGAACGCCCATTGAAGGTACATAAATTTTATACTGAATGAACTCTTTTTTTTAAAAAAAAAAAAAAAAAAAAAAAAAAAAAAAAAATAGAACAACACTAACCCATTTATACCCTCATTTTTGTTCAAAACAAAAGCATCAAGTATTTTCCTCGCATTCGGGCGAATTTTCCCTCATCGACGTACAAAAACAATTGAGAGACTCTACTTGCTATGCTTCATCTCGACGCGCCTCATATATGTAGCATTACTCTGGCATGAAATCTTCTTCAACTACCCCGACAAGTCAGTTGCATTCCTGTATACGATCACGCTTTCCTTGCACATCTACTGGTTTATTCTCTACATCAAAACTCAACGCAAATATCAGGCTAAACTAAGACGACAGCAATTGTGCAGTGTCCTTCAATCTCTTGCTAATACTGTTAAGAATGAGCTCACATCTTTGGGGGCGGTTGAGGACACAAAGGACTTTGTTACCGTATCCAAGATCAAGACCAAGCCTCCTGCAGAGTGGAATATTTCAAAGTTTATGAGGAAAGATGGTCTTCGACTTCGACGTCCACTTGAGGAGGTTGATATGCATGAGAGTAGAGCCTCTGTAGAATTGAGTCAAGAGAAGAATCATTTGGACGATGATGTTTCTCGTGGAGGAGCCCAGGTTTTGTAAAAAAAAAAAAAAAAAAAAAAAAGAGAAAGAGTAATCCACATAAGTTTCTTAAATCATAGAAGTAGTAGCCAATAATCTAATATATCACCCAGTCGGAAGATGTATAATAGTAAGAGCAAGGGTAAGAGTAAAATAAGAAGTGCAGACGAGATCGTCGTGTCCATCCAGAGATTGTGTTCAAAAGTAAAGGTCCTTTACTGCGAGGACTTTTGATCCAATGACCGTTGAAAGAAATACCAAAAAAAAAAAAAAAAAAAAAAAAAAAAAAGAGTGCTGTTAGTACGATGCGAGTTGTTTCAACTGATTGTCCACGATACACATCCTTGCAGGTCAGAGAGAAGGGAACTATATCGTTCACATCCACAATGTTTTTCCCATTTAGCACTGCAGGTCCGTCTCTTATTTTCCCTCATAAAGTTTCATTTCCTTGATCCTGTCCTTCCGCGTGGTTGCACACAATTGCTCACCATGTGGAAAGAAATTGACAAGTCTCATGGTCAATCACACACAAACATTAGCACCTGCACTCTGCCCAAAGGTTAATAGGATAGGACAATAGGGCCAACCGACCATAAAGTACAAAGTTGCACTGCCATGCTATCTTAATGCTTTTTTCTTTATCATGCTTTATCATGGGGCCAATAAGACCATTGTAACAAGTTAACAAGTTAACAATCAAACAATCAACAATCAGCAATCAATGGAAAAGAACAAAATAGCATTCATCATTTTAGCCGCTTTCATCGTTTATTACATTACACGGTGCTTCAGATGTTTTGTGCAGACGTTGTGGTACTTTGGACAATTGGAATGACTAACAAAAAACAGAGTTGTATGTGTTTGTATAACCTGTAGCCCTTCATGAGACAAAAAGGATACTTTTTGTAAAGGAATGAGACATGTTCAATGATTTATCATGAGAGATTCTCATGAGCCTTTTTTTTTTCTGATACTAACAGAGTTGTTCCAACTTCAAAGCGAATCATGTTTAGGAGTTTTTTTTGGTCATAAGATTAACTTGCCCTGTGAGCGTCCCTTTTTTTTTCTTATTATGTATAATGAGTTATATCAGCCATGAGGAATGCTTATGTGAACAGCCTCGTTAAATAATTTTTTTTTAGCACACACACAGTTTTACTCGTGGTCGAATCACGGGAGAGGGGTCATGGTCTGAACCATGTGGTACAAGGGTGAATATCTACTATTCGCTTCGCAAAACGCACAGGCGACTCATTTCCAAACACACAGCCAGGGTTGAAACAGTAAACATGCTGACATGTCTCCATGCTCTTGATTTTAAAGATCCCGATAAAGCAAGAAAGCATGACCATCTTATTCAACTCTTTCACCGCTCACTCATCTATCTCCTTCTATTTCTTCTTCGGTCTTTCGACTCTTCTTTTTCTCTTCTTCTCTTCTTTTTTCTTTAGTTCTTCTTTAATCATCATCCTCCTCATATTCGCCCTACTCTTGTTAAAACCTACCAACGCTCCTCATTCTTAGTCTCTAACCTTATACTTTTAACGACTATACCCTAATCCCTAGTTCATAACGTAATAAACAAAAATGGCTGATATTCATGAACTCATTGAGGCCACCACGGAAGCATATCCCGAACAAACTGCTGGCATCAGCCGTATTCCTGGCAGCCCTACCGCCCACGCTATTTGTCCTATTACAAGCCTTGTCTCCTCACTAACAGCGCCCGCGACCCCTAGTCTGTGTCCAATCATTCTTGCTTCTACCAACACACCTTCTCAGGACCACTCTGTTTTCTCATCGCCATCAATAGCAGTAACTACTCATTCCTACGTGTCGAACCATAATGTCCCCTCTCCTTCTTCTTCTCCTGTCGCGCTATCAACATCCTCATATCCTTTCTTGCTGACTCAACTCTTCTCCCGGCATGAGCCATTATCATTGTACAATTTTGATGTAAATCCAAACACCTCGGCTTTTGTGCCTACACTCCTCGCAGCTACGCTCTTTCAAGTTACGGGCTTTTATTTGTTTCGTTATTTTTCCCCCCGCCTAACCGAGCAAGATCGCAAAAGTCTACGAGGTCTCTCTTGGGGCTTGACATTGTTTTCATCCATTGTGTTATTCACCGGTACCTTTGCATCATTGTCGAACTTGGAATGGGGCTTCATTACATTGGTAGTCCACATTTACTGGTTTCGCAAGTTTATTCAGCAGCAGATCCGGTACTACCGCGAAAGACAACAGGCTAAACTTAAGGAGGCTGTTCAACGCATCGAACCAGAGTTGCAATCTGCTCATGTGGCGAGCAGCTGTAGGCTTAAGAACGAGTTCCCGACAGATGGTCTCGTCATCAAAGATAATTTGTCTGCTGAACAAGAAAAGGCCAATGACATATCGGAAATGAATGCGACTGTTTTTGATGTAGTTGAAGGGAACCACCATGGAAGCCGTCGTCCGTCATCTCGTGCTTCCTCTCGCATGCCTTCGTTTGAACATGACATGATGAGTCCTCCATACGAAGCATTGAACGACTCTGAAGCAGACACTGATGCCGACAGTGATGAGGCTGGGATCGACACTTCCATCACCACTACTACAGCCAATACCTTTAACATCCCATCAATAATAACTGTTGAAGCTCCAGTAAAGACAATGCAACAGCTTTTGGAAGAGTGTGAGCAAGAAGATATTTCCACTTATGCATTGTCTTTTCAGGGAGCTCTTGGCAAGGGTAATAAAACATTTTCTGCGATGGCAATGAAGCGTTTGATGTCAAGTCAAGGCTCTGGAGCCGTACGATTAAGTCGTCCTTCATCAATGCGAGATGCCAAGCGAAGAACTGCGCTGGATGCAATTCGCTTTGAAGAAGAGCCCAATGAGATGATAAGTAGTACCAAGGAAAGCCTGGCTCAAACTCAAGCTCAAACTCAAACTCAAGCACAGGTTCAGGCTCAGGGACCTTTGGCTCTTTTGAATAGCCAACGCCAACACCAGAATGAAGAGCAACTGGATGGGGATGCCACCGTCGTCCTACGACGCCGACCATCAAGGATGTCGATAGTTGCGAGTCGCCAGACAATAAGAGAACACCAAGGCCAACGAGGCAAACAAAGCTTTGGCACAGTTCGGGGTGTTCAGCATATCTCATTCATGGAATAACGTATATATCCATAATATTATGTAATAAATGTAATCTCATGTACTTTACCAATGTGGCCCACCTCTTCTGCACGCTTTGACACAAAAAAAAAAAGGTGTAACAAGGACAAGCTTAATTGTCTCCTGCCTTTTGTCTCTTTCTAAAACTTAATTGTTTCATTTGTTCGACGACCTCCAAATTCTCCATTCATTTCAATTGAAATTCACATTTGCATTCAAATTGATTCCTTCTCGCTATTAAAACCTTTCTTATTCTCTTCTCTCTCTTATCACACCCACACCGTACGTTACGCTCGTACAAACTTAAGACAAAAAAAAAAAAAAAAAAAAAAAAAAAATGGCGACGCTAAAGAAACTTCAATGTTATTTTTTTGCATTCATCACTATCTTCATGATAACTGGCATTGTGGCCCTTATTATGGGATCAATTTGGCTTCGACAATCGTCTGATGGTGCTCCACGAGATGCAGTTATCTCACAAGAGATTGAGCGAGGTATGTTTGAGGAAAATAAAGGGAATACATATATACATATAACACAAGGCTTCTTGAGACTATGTGCTACAGACCATCGATATATTCCATCACCGAATATCCTATATTTCAGCAAGACAGTGGCGAGTAAGAGGAGGATGTAAAAATGGGTTTTGAGAACAGAAAAGCTCTCTTCGTAATTTTAAGTTCAGCGCTTCTTTCCCTTTATGGGTTCAAAGTTGGAGGTCAAAGCTAAAAGTAGTTTTTTCTTTAGGATGAACCAAAACCCTTTCAGAGCCAACTCTTGCCTTTAGTGTTTTTTTTAAAAAAAATTTGTCTCAAATTTAGCTCATGTAGTCTAATTGAACGCGCGTGCTTCCTTTTTTTTACTCTTTCTTTTACTAGCTGGAACAATAATTGCAGCTGTCGTTGCAGTGATTTCGTTGATTGGATACATTGGAGGAAGTGCGCCTGTACGTCGTAAACCATTCTTGACTGCATTCGCATGGTTGATTGTAGCGGCGATGGTGGCAGAGCTAGCCTTGGGTGGCGTTATCTGGTTCAAGACCCTACGGATGCGTAGTCTTTTTGCTTCACAATGGTTGGTTTGGCCTGAGTCCCTCAAGGTCACCTTTCAAAACATGGTATTAAAAAATTTAACCACAACCACATCAACTATAACAACAAGAGCGAGACACAGAGCAACCACTGTTAGCTTGGGCGATTGTCAGCTCACAATTCCAATCCTTTTTTTTTTTTTTTTTTTTTTTTTTTTTTCCCTTCTAATCCCCTATAGACAAGTCTGCGAGGATATGGGCAGTGCTGCGGATACCATGATAGCATGAATATTGTATATTCAGGCCTATGCGCCAGAAAGACCGCAGCAATGTATCCAGGATGTGAAGAAAAAATATCGGCATTCGCGGACAGTTATTTAAGGAAGTTGTATACATCGCTCTTTGGATTCACCGTCGTGAATGTTGTTTGTTTTGTCAGTACTATAATTGTGATACAGGCTAGGAACGATGAAGAGCGATACATCCGCATTGGAAAGAAAGAAGGCAGGACTTACAAAAACTCAATTTAGAGCACTAACCTCCTTTTTTTGGAGAAAGATGTGTTGTAATGTGTATCTGAAAGATATCGCTATCTACTCTATTAGAAAATAAACCCCTCCTCGTAATAGTATCTGAGCTACAATGGTCAAGCGGATATGAAGATTTATTTACAATGGCTGAGGGAGAAAAAAAAAAAATAGCCAAATGTTGTATGTATTTGAGGGCTAGATTAATGATTGTGCTGATGGATCTGACTGTGAATGTTGATAGTGCCTTTGATCTAATTGCTCTTGATGATGATGGTGATGATGGTGTTCTAATTCACCTTCTTCTTTTTGATGATGTTGCTGCTGTCCCAATAGCTCTTGATGTTCCGACTTTGTATTCTGATTCTGAGAAGTGATTAACCGAGTTGGTCGTCTTAGCTGGTGGATCATGGCTGGTACGTTCTTCTCATCATAATCTTTCCAAATAGTATAAAGCGATAAAATCTCTTGAGTAATCTCGATAATCTAAATATTGAATTAAATTGAGATTGAGGGGTTCATCATTAGGATTAAATACTCGATTATTAGGTGCTATTTGACCATATATCTCTCCTAATACTCCCTCAAAGACTTCTTTCTTTCTTTCGATTTCAATCTAATTTCGATTGTTCATCTCAAATATCTTTCATAGGTCGGAGTGATTTTTTTACCTCGTCCATTTCAACATTTAAGTCTGCAAACCATTGCACCATATTCCTGTTATTGATCCCATGTCCTTCCACCTGCGGAGTATTGTGATGTGGATGATGATGGTGACCGTGCCCATGACTACTTATTCCCTTTTTGGAAGCCATGCTATGCAATTGAGCATGTAAGTGTGGGTTGCTGTGGGTGTTGTGGGATATAGAGCTCATACTGGCGCTGTCCTCATTCATGTTATTATTACTACCACTGCTACCACTGTTTCCATCGCCCACGATACTGTTGTTACTATTAGCGTGATCCTTGAATCGGTCCGCATGCACAACACAGATGATATACAATGCAGCAAGGGCGATCATGTGTGGAGCATAGAGAAGACAAACATCTGTCCTGAAAGAATCATTAATAACGAACCTGAGTTGCAAAAAAAAAAAAAAAAAAAAAAAAAAACAGTAGTCAAAGATGAGCTTACAGACTATTTACTTTGCATAAAGAGGAGTAACAAAAAAAAAAAAAAAAAAAAAAAAAAAAAAAAGCCCTGTTTGCATTTACTTACCAAGCAGCCTGTAGATTCGATTCTTCAAGTCTTAAATCCTTAGCGATGATAGTAAGATCTCTGTATGGGTGGTAAACAATGAGATAGAACTCGAGCTCCTCCAGCAAATAAAACTCAAACTCGGCCACCTTTGATGTATCATAATCAAACCCTCCATGATCTTTAATAGGTAGCGCAACAGGATATCAAGAATGTTAGGCGGGACGTATAGAGTAAGTTCCTTTTTCTCTTTTTTTTTTTTTTTTTTTTTTTTTTTTTTTTTGATAAGATTGAAATGTAGACGTTACCTGCAAGAACGACTTTAATGTCTACTATAATATGTTTGATATGTTGCGGGCATTCTTCAATTTTGCATGCGAGATAAATACAGGTTGCAGCCACAAGAGATGGGTCTGTGGATCGCATGCTATTTCTGAAAGGAATCAAAGGTATCCAAAGGAAGCTCATTAGGTTAGCTTAAGGATTGAATACTTCCACCCACATACACACGCTTCCGAAATATTGTATTTACTTTGTATAGAACCTCTTGAAGTAGACTATTGCTGTTGCTACCACCTGTTGACGAAACTGTAACCGTTTACAGATCTTTCCGATAACTAAATGGACATAGAGCAAGCTTGATCAACCTGCTGGTAACATGGTAGCATTTGGATTTCATCCACCAATTAGGCGGGTTTTTGAACTTACGATTGTAATACCACAATTTAATTTTTGTCAGAGTCGCAATATCGACGTATTCAAGATCTTCTTTCATTGCTTCATCAAGTCGCCTCCGATCCAAAATCCAATGGGTACTATTTTTTTTTTTTTTTTTTTTTTTAAAAAAATAAAATAAATAATGCGATTAGATAAAGTTAAAGGCAATCTGATCCAGGAAATGGTTATTGATATAAAATTCTCTTAGTTCATTCTACACCACTGGCTCCGTGTATTATTACAGCTAGACAAAAAAGGAAAGGAAAAAAACAAAAAATGTTGTACATTTTGTGGGTTGATCAATTTGAGTATGATGTTTGAAGGAATATAAGAAAGTTTGGCAGAGGTATTTTTTCTGTCCACCTACGCATGAGAGGAAACCCAAAAGTTGGCAGCCATATCGAGCAGTTGGTTAAGTTGCAAGATGCAGAGGTATTTTGGACGGCGGTGGTTGACGCAAAAATCCAGATGGCGTGTTGGAACGAATGGAGTGGCGAAGTGAAATGGACTCAAAGACTGAAAGAGCAGAAGGAGCAGAAGAGCAAGAATCACTCGTGAGTTGTACCTGGATACGATGTAAAGTACCGAAAGAAAAGCCACTTTGTCTAAGTTGACAGTCACGGCCTGGTTGGTGGCGCATCCGCCGGTCAACAATTTGTTTAACACCATTTCATTTCACTATTTAATTTGTACAACAGACCTTTTCAATTGAGAATAGAGTCTTATTATGAGATTATTTCATAGTTCGGTTCAACTTGCCCCTGGTAAAAATTAGTTTCATATCAGTACCAAATCATGAGTGACCCGGGGAATGAAAATACATAATTTGTTCCCATGTTTGCTTTCGATATTTTTCTACACATGATGGCGTCTCAATGATGAACTCAGTTCATGACCATAGTAACCATAGGAGGAAAAAAAAAAAAAAAAAAAAAAAAAAGGAGAGATAAACAATGACTCCACGCTTTTGCTACTGTTCGTAGGTCATTCATTATCCTCTCTCTTTGCTTCCCAAGTTTAGAATTGTACTGCCTCACTCACGCCATTCCCAATTATCTCATTATTTGCCACTCTTGGTTTTCTTTTTCATCCCACCTGTTCACACACACTCTCTCTTCCTCTTTCAATACTCCACCCTTGTTTGTCGTCTCCTTCCTAAATCTTTTTAATTCATTTATACCCTCTTTCTGTACTCATTTCAATGAATGCTCAGACTTGAAGACAATATTACATCATGATGCTCAACAACAGTTCCTCATTCACCTCTGTCCATGTTCAAAAGGACCACAGTCTTATCAATAACTACGGCACTACAGCCAACACAGAATCCAATCCTGGACACATCCATCCATATCCTTCCAAGGACATTGTCGGTGGAAACAAGTTGAACAATCTCACTGTTACTCCTGAAAAATATTCTAGAACCTCGTGGGAAGAGAATGATAGCGATGACAATCCCTATCCCGCAGACTACACCTATGGTCGCGATGACGATGACGAAGACGAAGACGAAGACGAACGAGAGCGGAAGCCTGAAGACAGGGATCAACCTAGCCGTTCCACCAATGGTTTGCAGGACGAAACAAATGGCCAGAGTAGCAAAACGTTTGATCAGGCACCCGAAGACGACGAAGCGGTCGATGCCCCTCCGAACAGAAATCTGTTCCGCTCCTCCGCCACACCTCCTAGTACGTCGCTCAATCCAACAAGGCCATACTCGAGTCATACGAAGCATCATTCCTTTGGCTATGGTAATGATCGCCCAGAACATTCCGAGTCAGAGTCAGAGTCCAACTCAGAGTCCGAGTCTGACGCCGAGGAAAATTCAAGTAGAACATTTCCTGTTGCACCGCCAGTCCCCACAGCAACACGCCCAGTGTCGACAATCTCTAACACAGCCTCTGCATATAGATCTCCGTCCAATCCTGGCTCACCAACCCAGAGTCGATTTTCTACTCTCAATAGTGTGCCACCTAAAACAGGGATAGCAGCAGCACCATCTTCAACATCACCGACGCTCTCTAGAACATCCGTCAGTGGCGCTGGCTTTATGTCGAATCAGAAATCGCCTATGGATCCTAAAAGCAAGCGTGTTTCCGGATCCGAAAGTGATGCTTCCAACAGCTCGAATAACTTTCGGACTGCCGATTTCAATGAGCACCTTCGCAATGCTCCCGGGGCAACTGGCCTTTCGAGATCTATATCTAGTGCATCTTCTACTCGTGGATTAACCAATGGCCGTTTCCGCCTCCCTCGTCGTACATCGTCTTATTCAGATCTTTCCGACACAGAGCTTAACGAAGTCTTACTGGACGAGCCCTCTGATCCGAATGCAGCTAAAAGACGAAGCAAAGGTAGTACAACAGCGACTCCCCGAACGTCTATCATCGCATCTAACGCTGGTTTCCCATCCAGCTTCTTTAACGGCAAACCTCATCCCAAGTCTCAGCAATACCAACAACAGCAGCCTTCTCAGACGAACTCACAGTCAGCGACAGCTGCTCCGGCGCCGGCATCATCAGCCTCATCAGCTACATCTGAGTCTCGCGTTACTGGCATGCTCAATGGACCAATAAGCTCGTTTGCGAGCACGATCCAAGGCGCATTCATGGGACGTGGTTTTGGTACCAATACTACTACGACCACTCCCCCATCCACGACATCAAAATCACCAAGTGGGTCCAGCTTTTGGGGCTCAAATGGCGGTGGTGCAGCTGCCAGTATAAACACTTCGGGAATTGACCATCGAGGATCCCAAAATGTTAGTCCTGAACGTGCCTCGATGTACTCGAATCGAACCATAGATTCGAATATGGATTTATTGCTCGCGCGACTGGAAGCACAAAACTCGCTTGTTGAACAGGAGAGCAAGCGGCGAATGACGAATGAGTCAGAAATGGATCGAGTTCTTGGGCATGCTAAAGAAGAATCAGTTGGCGAAGATGTGGACTGGGGTAAAAAAAAAAAAAAAAAAAAAAAAAAAAAAGATCTCTTCTATGAGGATTGAAAGATGAATACATATTAACGAACACTTATACTTTTAAATACATTGTCATAAAATATAGATTACTGGGGCTCTTTGATGCATGATTACGATGGTGTAGTTAAGAAGAACCCTAAACAATTGACTTTGATGATACAAAAAGGCGTGCCACCAGCACTACGTGGATTGATCTGGCAGATACTCGCTCAGTCCAAGAATCCTCAACTTGAGGCGGACTATGCGGAATTACTCAAAGCAACAAGCTTGCATGAGAAGCAAATTAACCGCGATATGAGTCGCACATTCCCGAACCATGAGTATTTTCAGGCAGAAGGGCTCGGTCAAGAATCTTTGTTCAATGTAGTCAAAGCTTACAGCCTCTATGATTCCGAAGTCGGTTACTGTCAAGGTTTAAGCTTTGTAGTTGGACCACTGCTCTTGAATGTAAGTTTTTTTTTTCCTCCTCCCTTCATCTATCTTAGTATAGAAGTTGCAAGCAATATACTCACCTATCATTCATTTCCTTTGTAGATGCCAGATGAGGAGGCTTTTTGCTTATTGGTCCGTATGATGAAATCATACGACATGAGAGGTCATTTTACTCCTGATATGAGCACGCTTCAACTAAGACTCTATCAATTTGAGCAACTCATGGAGGAAACGGTTCCGTTGGTCTACAAACATTTTCAGAATCAAGGCATTCGATCAACTATGTATGCCTCTCAATGGTTCATGACTCTGTTTGCATACAAATTTCCTCTTGATTTAGTCTTCAGAATCTATGATATTCTCTTTGTGGAGGGGGTAGAGTCATTGCTGCGATTCGGAATCGCGTTATTGAAGGCCAATCATGATCAGATCTTGCACCATGACTTTGAAGCACTGGTTGATTTCTTGAAAAATGGATTATTCGAGTATTACAAGGTAACCACAACCGTAGTTTAGAAGCAAGTCAAGAAGACAACGAGGGATACATCTTTATTAACCATGCCTCTTGTATTTTATTACTATATATATATATATATATATATTTAGAGCAAGCCTGAGCTTTTTGTTCAGGACGCGTTTAACGTCAAGGTGACTCCAAAGAAGCTGGCCCAGTACGCTCAAAAGCATGCGGCCATGATCCAAAAGCAACAAGCAGAGATTGCTGCTGAAGAATCTCTCCGAGAATCAAACCGTCATCTCTCAGCGGAGGTTCGACGGCTAGAAGCTACAGTTCACACGCTCAATAAGGAGCACGTTGAGCTTGCAAAGGAGCTGATTACGCGCAAGATGGAGATGGCACAACTTCAGGACAAGAACGATGTGCTATCACAGAAAGTCATTGATCTAACCAAGATTGTGGATTCACAGGCTAAGGAAGTGGAGGACCGTCTGAAAGGTGAAATCCAGAGTGTGATGGAGAGGAACTTGGAGCTTACACGAAAGAACGAACAGTTGGAGGACCAGTGTGCGTCATTGGAAAATATGTTGATTGAAACGAAGATGAAGTATGCAGCCAGTGAAGATCAACGAGATGCCTTGACAAGGAAACTAGCAGATTTAAGAAAGGCTCTTGGGGTTGTATAGTTTTCAAACTTTAAGTTATGCACATTTTATACAATCATAAAACCATTTTTGTTCCTTTCGATTTCTATCCTAAATGAGTAGTGAGTAGTATTTATTTTTATTTTAACTCTGCCCGAAATCAGTAGGTTTTATTCGAAGTCTGTCCGAAATGACTTTTGCTCTTGGAATCGACGGAGTGAGTGTTTTCTTTGAACCCTGGTTCCTGAAAGACACGTTTATGAAAGCCTCTTGTATGCTTTGGCTTGCTCAAAATCTAAAAATACTCGGTTTTCAGGAATCAAGGAATGCGCCATGGATAAATGAGAAGCAATGCCAGGGCTTGGCCACGAGAAGGTGTTTTAGAAGCACAGTTTTCACACCCATGTCTATTTACTCCTACTCCTCGTGTTTGGTGGACCTCAATCTTGAAAAAAAAAAAAAAAAAAAAAAAAAAAAAAGAATCCTGTCTTCATGATTATTTTTATTTTTTATTTTTTAACGGATTCACTAATTCAAGATACTTTATTCCAGACTGCAAGGCTTGCACATTTCTGTTGCCTTTTTAAAACTATAAAATGAAGCGAAAATGCATTAAATCGACCAAGAAACATCGTTGTGATCAATTCACTTGGTCCCTTAAAAAAATATCGTTGTCTATTTCTCGGAAAAATGAACCTGCAATGCCACTGATAAAGGGCAGAAAGGCAAGTATCCATTCTATGGGCATATTTTAAGCCCTACCATTACGTATGCCTGGATTGTGATGAGTCTTCATATACTGGGGAAAAGCGAGAAAAAAAAATCCTGCAGCCAAAAGTATCTTGCAGCAAAAAATAAAAGTAGTAAAGAAGCCCTCAACGCAGGTCTACTTGAGTGCTTGGGGTGACAGGGTAGAGGGCCTTTTTGTGCTTTTGTTTTGCTGGGCGATTTGACAAAAAGGGACAGTAACAGAGGTGATCAGAGCTTGATGAGAGCTTGTCTGCTCCATGCAAAGAAACAAGCGCCTGTTTCATGTTATAACTTTTCTTCCGATTAGGCGTTATGGAGAATCATGATAGAATCGGTTAAGAATTAACAAAAGAACATTTGCACTGAAAATAGGTCCTCGGGGTATAAGCTTAAGTAATGGTTTCCAAATAATGCGGAGTGTTTCTCTAATTAGTGACGATGGTTTCAAATCGCGAGCTTAAAAGCTTAATAACAATAAGCGCATGATGCAAAGATGGTTTGAAGAGCGGAGGAAAGGATCGAGAAAGGCGAAGGCTATTGTGTCAAATGAGAATTTAAGTATCCCTATTTTTGGATGTTGTGGTCTGGTGATTCAAATCATTGCTGGTACATCTATACTGACGCCAAGGAAAGTTGTAGTCAAGAATACTGGCGGAAGGCGTGCAGGGATAGGAGCACAGTTCTGGACAGGTGGAGGCGTCTTTTTTCAAGATTCAACCTGAGGAACTATTCCTGGTTAGGGATTGTTCCTGAATCTATGCTAGCAATCTGTGCAATGCAAGCCTGCAGCAGTCGATCCGCAGCAGTTGCAGCAGACAGAGGAGGCCCGCTTGCAAGAGTTAATGTTTACGGATGAGCGCTATCTAATAAGTTTTATCGATGCTCTTAGTGGAAATGAGCCATTGATCTGAATGAATGCGCCTAGAAACCCTTGAGGCCGCACAGGACTACAGGATAAGATGACTACCTATTGAAGCTACAACCAGGCTACTGCAATGCCTGCTTGCCTGTCAATGGTGAAGTAAGCATGGCAAAGCAATCGTCTATTAAACCACTGAGTCATGGATACCAAATTCTTTTTTTTTTTTTTTTTTTTTTTGTCCGGAAAACACGAACTGCGCCCCTATACTTTTCCATTTCCTTGCGGCATGGGAAGTATGCCACATAAGTCATCACAATACAGACTGGAATGCAGAGTAACAATCACTCTTGACTGCATGTTGATTTCGGCAACAGCCTCGGATGCAGCTGGCTGTATGCTAGCCATGGGCCTCTACCGTGATGGTTCTTTAGGATAAGAGGGATGTGTTTTTTTATTTTGGCTGTAACAATTACTAAACGGAGCTTTTTTTTTACGCTTACAATGATCATTCGTCACACACATTGTTCTCAGCATAACGGGGACGCCAAAGGGAGAGGCTTTAAAAACAATGATCTCTTTCTTTCCCACGTCTCTTTTGGGTACTTACTGCCATAATTACTGATTACAACAAGGGCAGGTACTGGAATGACCTTATATTTGTTTGAAAAAAAAAAAAAAAAAAAAAAAAAAAAAAAAAAACGGGTTATAACCACCTTTATTCCCTTCATTTTGACAAGGCTGCCAGTGCTTAGTGCTGGCTACTCCCTCGTAGTATTTACTGAGGTCCGTCGAGCGAGCTCAAGTAGCCACCATAATTGCCTTTAAGCATCGACAAGGAACAAAGTATAACAAAATTATACAACTTTATTTAAGCACGAGCCACATACAGCACAGCTGATCGCCACACTGCATGTGGCTGTGCAAGAGTACTAAATAAAGTCAACTTGTTGCCCTTGCTGGCTGGTTTATCATGCCTATAGCCACAGATCAAGGAACAACTTACCATGGCATGCGGAAAGTACCATATATGTTGTTATTCCTCCAAGTAAAATACAAAATAGTATTAGGACCAACACTACCAGTTTCTTTGCTTCCTTGCATGCTGAAGTATTGTCAATGGACCATAAGCTGTGTCGACTGTAACATACTTTAGTTGGTAATTTCCGAATAAAGAAAGGCGCCTTGGAGTGGTAGTTCTATAACCTTGGTTTGTTAATCTTTGCTTTTAACGCGCAGAGTTCAAAACAACCATTTTGTAGCTGTTTCTTCTGGTCTCGTTGCCTCCCGCAAAAGGTTCCACGTCGGCTTGTCCAGCTAATGTAAGATATTGTTCTTCATCTTATTTTGATTCTTATCCACTGGAAAATATACGTGGGCTCCACTGTTCGGTCTTATTAAGTTTGAGCAGGAAAAAAACGAGAGGATAGAATTGAATCAGATTTCCTTGAGTACTTCTTTCTCCTTTTCTCTTCTCTCTTCTCTCTTCTTCCTTTTCTCTGCAGCACTTATTCTAATACATTGGCATCTCTCTAAATAACTCTCTCAAGAATATACGGCGCTTCAATATGCGGCCTACGATATTCATTATTTTATGCCAAGATCAAGCAATGATATTTGTGCCATAAGACTTCCGAAGCTCTGTTTTATCATTGTCGCCTGCCTCTATCCCATGAAGATCTAAGCAGGCTGGCGTTTCTTCCTCTTTCAAGCCCTCCGGGCTGCAGGAACGAGTCAAAAGGATCAGATGAGATGCATTGTCAATTAATATGAAATTGCTCATAAAGTATTCAAATGTTTATACATGGGCATTATGGATGATTTTCAGCTTTTTCTCCGCGTTTACCTTTATAAAAAATAAGGTCTGTGATATAATCAGCTAATAGGACAGAGTCATTCAATGTAAAGAGTGTATAAGTCTGGAAGCCAAGCCGTTTAGATGATTTAGCAAGGATACAGAGTGGATATGCAGTAGAAAAAAAAAGACTTTTTTTGTGTACTGTATTTGATGATTATATTTCCCCACTGTTCAGCAACATTCCCGGCATTCTAAAGAAAATGATAGGCTATTCATCCGAGAAGCCATAGTCGCCAAATTGCGATGTTCTAAGTTATCATTATCGTACTTTCTCAAGGAAAAGAATCAGGGACGAGAAGCCCCTTTGATTTCTATCCGGTCAGCTCATAGTCGGTGGTGACACAGCTTTATTAGCCTTGCAAAGCAAACACTGGATGCAATCTACTCGCGTCTTTTATGGGCTTCATCAATTTGCTTCGAGTAAACGCGTCGTCATTAGGAATATGAGGCCTTTTTTTTTTCCCTCTGAGGTTTACTTTCTTTTTCTGAAGTCAAGCATAGAGACAGGCCTCCAAGGGAATTGCAATCCAATGAACATAAACCCCGTTCCCCTTCTATACTCCTCTCGACTTGAAGAAATAGATCCAGGGTCAGTGACGAGGCTAATAAATAGAGTGAGACCTCTAAAGAAAAAAACCAATAAACGACTAGATTGTTTATTATAGACTCTCCATTTGTTATGTGAAGTGCCTCTTGAAATGAAGCCTGGCTGATGGAAGAAATTGAATCTCAGAGAATGGAATAATGGAGAGTCATCAGCCAGACCATAAAGCTTTAAAGTTTGGGCATGTTTTGAAAAAAAAAATGTAGTTTGGAGTGATAAATACAAATAAAATACCAAATGAAAAAAAAAGTCATGGTTAATGAAGAGACTTTTTAGCGAACAATCGGAACAATTGGAACTAGTGCTTACCTCAGTCTTCTGGAACAGATGACTTTTTTTTTTTTTTTTTTTTTTAAATAGAGCAATTTTGTTTCTTACTTTCTTCCTTTCTTCCTTCTCAACCCTTCCACATCTCCTATTCTACTTTATTTTCCCAACAGTACTCATACATATTTCAAACATGGACAAGATCGCAGGTCTCCTTCAGCAACAAGTGATGCAGCGTTTAGCTGGCGGTGGTGCTGATAGCGACGACGATGACGATGGTAAACTATACCTGTACTTGCAAACAACCCATTTCTTTTTCTTTCTCTCCTTTCCTTTTCTTTGAAAGCAGCTTGGAGCAGGACGTGAAAGAGGCGCTGTCTCGAAAGCCGTGTGACGGAAAAGAGCGTGTCTTATCAATTGCACATCGAATCATCTCCAGTTGACAGTCCTTACTATTGACGACTCTGGTATTGGATGTTTTGCGTTACCTCTTACAACAAATGGACTTCAGGAAGATTAGGCGGACATCTTAGAGAGTGAAAAATGCAATGGCCATCAATTCTCCCTCCCCTCAAACTTTGGTATTTACAAGAGGGAGTGGGAAAATATTGTTCAAGTTTATGCATCACTAACAATTTTTTTCTTTCTTTCACATGTGTCAAAAAAATATACCCTTCTTTCCCACCGTCCTTATCCTTTGTATCCCTGTTGGCCATTGTGGGCTGTTGCCATCTCCCTTTGTGAACGAATAGTGAAGGAGGTCAAGCGTGAATCGCTGAACAAAGTTGCTCAGCAGGGCGTTGAGGCACCTACTGATTCTGATATCGACGATGCTAAAGCCGCACACGACAAAGTCTACCAGCAAGGACAGTCTAAGGAAGCCTCGGATGAGGAGCTCGGCAAGGCTGCTGGAGTAGAAGCCTTCAAGGCCTGCGATGGAGACGAAGACAAGGGTGATTTTGTCCAAAAGGCTATGGCAGAGGCTATGAAGTTGATTTCAGGCGGTGGAGGAGCTGATAAGAGCGCTATTATTCAAACTGCCATCGCAACGGTCACCAAATTATTTATGAGCAAAGCTGGTGGTGCAGGTGGTAGTGGTGGTGGTAACCAATTAGCTGCGCTTTTGGGTAATCCTCAGGTCAAAGCAGCAATGGAGAATCCACAGGTTGCAGGTCTTCTCAAGAAGTTTATGTAATTTGTTTTGTTCCTGTCATAGTATGAAAAGGAAAGTTTTTTCTGCTGTTGTAAATATCAAATACAGATTTTGAACCTGCCGAGTTTAACAAGAGATCATGTGGGCAAGAAGGAAACTCTTTGAGGTCACGGGAAAGGTGTTTTCTAATTTCTATGAATAAATGTAATCAACGCCAAATCATTCTAGCTAGCCATCTAGCCAAGCCCAAGGTCTTGTTGAAGACATGGTACAATGACGAGGATATCTCAAATGCTCCTCCTTCTGACCGAGTTTTTTTTTTTTTTTTTTTTTTTTTTTTCGTTTGTCTGTCGAGCGACATCACGTTTTAAAAAACACTGGGAGGGTTTCCCCTGTCTCGTCTCTTTTTTTTTTTTTTTTTTTTTTTTTTTTTAGCTCCCCTGACCTCTTTTTCCTTTTCTGACACAAGAAAGTGTTTCCAATTCACTTTCACGCACTCTGTCTCTGTTTCCAATTCCACTGACTGGTAACACTTCACCATTCGTGCTCCTTGTAATTGGACATTGGGACGTTTGCATATTTTTCTTTTTTATCTTCCTTTAGAAAGAAAAGCAAAGCTACTCAGCACTCTCTTCATTGACCAGTCTTTTTTTTTTTTTTTTTTTTTTTTACCTGTTTCATCCAAACCCAAAGATAAAAAGAACAGACCAACACAAAAAACTTTTTTTTTTTGCCTTTCTTTCTTCTACAACCTATTCAATATTATATACCCGTGCTGATTTGCGTAAAGAACTATCCATCACATTCACTCACTCATTATCCCGCTCTATCACCAAAAGACTTTTTCTTTCTTTCTTTCCTTTGTAATTGTTGTGTATAATACAGACCATCAGTCTTGTTCATTAAAAAAAAAAGGAAAAGCATTCACCTACACATTCATTTGCATCAACCACAACAGAGATTCAGTAACCTCAAACAAATAGCAGCAGCAGGATTCACAGTATTAACAGCAACAACGGCAACAGCAATTATAGCATAAAAAAGAAAAAAGAAAAAAGCCGTGCTGAGCAAGTTTGTCAATATTTACAATCCAAACAGAGAGAAAGAGAGAACGAAAGTAAGAGAAAGTGAAAGTGAGAAGCATGTCGTCTTCAGTTCAAATCTCTACGTCAGAACATCGTCTAGCCGTGCTTCAACATGAAGGCGACCCCAGACCAAGCTCCACATCTGTCGTTGCCACATTAAGACATAGCCCAAGACTGCTGCTCCGCAAGAAGGCAAGCGCACTCAAGGAGCCTGCTCAAAGTCCAGATATTTTCGCACGAGGACCAGGGCCAGCTTTAAGAGCATCCACCAGGCTTCAAACCAGAAACGCCAGCGCCAAAGTACATAATTCTCGAACGAAAAAGGCTTCACGACAGCAACAGCAACAGCAACAACAGGGACAAAGCCGTAGTGTAAACCAGCTGACGCAATATACCAATGATATATCAGGCAATGGCAATGGCAATGGCAATGAAAATTCCCTAGAAACAGTAACAACATCAACAACAAGAACAACAGCAACAACCCGCTTGGGCATACAGTTGGTTTCGGCTGATATCACTGTGGATGGTCCTGTTCAAACTAGGTCTTCTCGTTCATCCTCCTCCTCCTCCTCCACCGTCACCACCGCTATCACCATCACAGAACCGATGGCATCAACTCTATCCACTCCGACATCAAGAATTAACACAGCCTCTAGTCAAAGTTCAACCTCAATTGTCACTGAAAATTCAAGTTTAACAGAAAGAAAATCCAGAATTACCACACGCAGTTTGTCACAGACACGAGAAACAACACGAGCCAGGACAAGGACAAGTCGTACCCGAGCACATACTAGGACACTATCCACCAAAGCATCCGACATTCCTGGGGATGAGGAGGAAAAATCTGATGAGGAAGATGAAGAGGATGAAGTCCGATTTCGATACCACCTCCGATCACCTACCCATCAGCGTCGTCGTCGATCTGTACAAAAGCCTGTTTCAGCTGGAGTCGTCTCTGAGGCCAGATCCATTTCGAACTTGAGCTTGACACCTCGCTTAACTCGATTGGGCGCACGACATGAATCGGGACATGGCTTTGAGGAAGAGCCTGATCAGGAACAGTCTCAACGAAATCGACATTTAGAGAAGGCTGAGAAGACTCCGGTACATGGAAGGCGCTCGCGGTCAACCACAAGCTCTAGTAGCCAGGACAGTGCTGCTGTAAAAAACAAGACGAACACAACAACTTATTCTTCTCCAGGAGCTCAAGCGGCTCCTCGCAAAGTTAAGAAAAAGTCTGTGAATCACCATAAGGTGCCCAGTTTACCAGCCAACCGGCGACGGCTTCGTGCTCGAACGACAAAAATTGCGAAAATGGGTATCGATGGTGAAGGTGTTGTGGGTGGGGAAGAAGAAGAAGAAGAAGATGACGATGACGACGATGAGGAAGAAGAAGAAGAGGAGGAGGAAGAGGAAGATGTTGATTATGAGAATTACAGTAAACCAGCTGTCGGTGAGGATATGATGGAGGTGGAGCCACCAACATCTGTAACTCTGCCGCGCCAACAAAATGCTATGGAGGATATCATTTCTCAGAATACACAAGGTTGTTTCATTGCTTCGAAGCCTGAAGTGCCAGCGACTACAGCAGGTTTCAGCAGTGTTTTGGTAGCACAGACATCAAACAATGCCAAACGCAAAGTCGATGATGAGTACATGGAGGATTTACCAATGGTCTCCATGGATGAAGACCAGATAGTTAGTACAAAACTGGCTAGAATCGATGACACAAGTAGTATGGATAAGCATGCATACCTCAAGACCTTTTATAGTATCTTGAAAAGCCCGCGTGGAGATGGTAATATCAACGGCAATTGCATGTTAATTGACTTGGTGACATCAGTGCCGGTCTGATGGATTTACAATTCTAACGTCTCTGTGTATATTGTAGACGATGATGGAATTCTTTCTTCAGAATCTGAAGATGCCGATCTCGAGTCAGAGGATGATGAGGATGATTTTGAAGAAATTGACATGTAAGTAGATGATCCGATACTTTTCTGAGAGTTTAATAATAGTTTAAAACATATGGGGTTGTAGAGGGCCTGATACCCATTTTTTTTTTTTTTTTTTTTTTTTATAGTTGGGAATTTATAGGCACATTGCCTCCATTGGGACCTTTGCCTCATGGCTTTATTTCAACAATGCCGGACAGGACAGAGTCAACACCTGCAATTACACTTGTTTTAGATATTGATGAGACCCTCGTCCACTGCGCCACCAGACCCCTTGGTATGATTTACCTTTCAGCTGATAAAGAGATACTCCATCGTGGTTAATGGGCTCCTTCATATTGAAAAAAGTACTGATCGTTGTGCTGTCTTATTCTCTCTATAACAGAATCACCTGATATTATCTTTCCTGTAGAATATAATAACGAGACCTGGGAAGTGTATGGTAGGATTCGGCCTGGTATGCACGAATTTCTTGGTAAGTTGATGTGGATTTGTGATATGTTTTATTTATTGCAGAGATAGAAAAGATATGGTAAGAGATGATTGAAGCTAAAGGCTCATGAATGGGATCTCTTGACGACTAATAGAAAAAACCTCGGCGAAATTTGAAGTCATCACGTTCACAGCGAGCCAGGAATGTTATGCTGAGGCGCTGCTCAAGATCATCGATCCGGAGAAAAAGTATATCAAGCATCGGTATTATCGCGATTCTTGTATCCCTGTTTTCGGGAACTATATCAAGGATCTTAGGATTTTGAATAGAGATTTATCCAAAGTTGTGATTATTGACAATTCTCCACAAGCTTTTGGATATCAAATCTCTAATGGTGTTCCTATTGACTCGTGGTATGATGACAAGTCAGATCGGGAGCTTTCCAAGGTGATGTCGTTTTTGGAAACTTTGGAGGGAGTAGAAGATGTTCGTCCTAGGATTGATGAGCAATATAGATTACAGGAACGACTTAGCAAGGCACTGGCGCAACTGGCATCGCATCAACAGATCAGTAGCATGAATGGACTTGGAGCATTAGGCACGACCCTGGACGCATCGTTTGTTGCCTCGACACCTTCTTTGGCAGCACCAGTAGCATCAACCTCAACGACAGTAGATGTAGTCGAGGATCTCTCTGCGCTTCAGGAAATTGTACCGGATCATGCGAACGTGAACGATACGTCGATGATGATTTACGAAATTGAATTCGAGAAGCCACCATCGCCGTCAGATGAAGATGAGAATGAATGTGATGAAAAGAGTACTAGTCGGATGCGACGAGGAGGACCAGAGGTGACGAATGCAGGTTCATCGGGTATTAAAGGAGGATCGCAAGGGATGACGATGACTACAAGATCCAGTCTGGATGCTACGAGGCATTTAGTGTCATTGTAATATTGTAATAGCACAGAATGTGTTTAAATCATCTAATTTTGAGGCATTAAAAAAAAAAAAAAAAAAAAAAAAAAAAAAAACCCCGTGGACTAGAGATGAGTAGCTTGCTTGTTATTAAAGTTCGAAATTTTGGCCACAAGATGTTGGATATCAATCGTCATTTCTGAGTGAACGCAATTGAATAATAAAGGGTTCAAAAAATAAAAAATAAAAAAGGGTAAATTTGGAAGGGGCACGGAAATATAATCAGCCATAAATATTGAATTCTGGCTATTTCCTGAAGTGGTATTTTGCCAGCCACCTAGAATTAATCGGAGTATAGAATGATGATGGGGGAGAGGGGTGAAGTGTTTTATTTGTCATCTGGAGAGAGAGGGTAGGGTGGGGTGGGGAAAAGGAGGGTTTTACTCAGTCCCATTCTTTTTTTCCTCTGTCCTGCCCAGCTGCAAGAAAAGGAAAATGACAAATTGCCAATGCGCAGTGTGTTAAAATGCAATTGTGTCTGTGCTCAACAATGAAGATAAAGCATTGTATATATCACATGATTATTGGACAAAGATCGTTGAAGCAAACGTATATTGAGAGCATACGTGGATGGGATCGTTTTTAGTAGAGTTTAAGGTACATACATCATGTATGCTTCCCTGACTCACTTGTGAAAAAGCCATTAGAAATAGCTTTGTTTAGAGGCCTATTAAGCTCGACCCACATGGGGTAGATGGTCCCTGAGATGGGCTTCATTTGAACTGAGGCTCCTTTCATTTGTTGTGATTCGAGATATTGGACATGGCACATTAATGAGGGACAAATGTTGTTTTGACAATTATGATTTATAAATAAAAAGTTTACAAACAAAGGGCCGGCACTCGATCAAAAGACAATAGACTGTGGAAGATGGCAGTATGATGGAGAATGGGCTAATAAAAGGTGATTAGCAGCATTAGAGAAAGTTGCAGCCTTAGGAATAGAAGGAGGAAAAAGAAGGAACAAAAAAAAAAAAAGTTGAAAAGCTTGTCTATTTAGTATAATATACAGTCTATGTAGTACATATAATATAATGGTATAATAGGAATGAATGGACTAGTCAATAGAATGTAATAAAATAAAAATATTACACTGAGACTGTTCCACGTACTTCTTTTATCACACAAACACATGAAATGTAAGAGGGTCGAGTTACTCAATTACTTTGGCGTTTAGCTTGTTTCCTCTCCAAGTACCAAGGCATCTCCCACATTTTTTATTTTTTATTTCCCATCCTTCTTCATCCCTCCATCCTTCACATTCCCTCCCTCATTTCAATAATAGCTCGTCTTTTCTTTTTTCTTTTTTCTTTTTTTTTCTTCTTTGCTTTTACTTCTTACTGCTCATTGTTCTTTACTCCGCTAACATCCTGTTGTGGCCAAATAGACTTTTTTATCCCACCTTCAGCTCACTCACTCACACTCAGGAACATTCGCTGCATCCCTTTCTTTCTCTCTCCTCTCTCTCCTCTTTCCTCTCTCTTTCCTTTCCCCACACACCTGACTCATTGCCTTTTTCGTTCCCTCTCTTTTAAAGAAATATTTTCACATTGACCCTCGGGTGTACTGATTGACCATCCTTATCGCTTCTTCTTCATCTTCGGTACCCCTTCCCCGTCCGGACAATTTGTCTCCCTCTCTTCTCCTTGATACGAGGTCGCCTTTTCTTCTTCTTCTTTTCTTTTTAGTATGACAAAGATCAAACCAAGGCTCATAGCGCGTATTTCCTGTCAAGAATGCAGACGAAGAAAGACCCGTTGCAACTTTGATGGTCAGAGTCAAAAGTGTTCAACATGCCAAAGAATTGGCACTGCATGTATCTTCTCTCAAAAGAACGGTGTCATTCTAGATATCAAAAAAGTCATGGAGGAAAACAACCCACATCTAGTACACCAGCGTGAGAAGGAGCAGCGTGCAAAAGAAAAGGCTCGGCTGTCATCCACACCCACACCCACAATCCCTGCTTCTAGCTCCTTAGCAGCACCAAATCCATTGCCTCTGGCTCCCGCCTCAAAAGCGAATTCAGACACCTCGATATATTCACAATTCACCCTGCCGTCCTCTTTCTCCTCAACCACCGGTGGTGGGAATGTGCCGTTTGTGAAGAAATCAAATAAAAGCTATAGCATCTCTGCCTCTGCATTTTATCTCAACGACCGGTCATCGTCAACAGAAGACCTATCTAATGTCCTTGATCGACTTCAGATCGATGCCTTTGGAATCGCACCGCATACCCTCCGTAGCTTCAGCCAGGTTGCTGGCGACAATGATTCTACAGAAACTTCTTCAGTTGAAGTTTCGGATTCAGAGAACACAGCAAAACCCACCGATCTTAACCAAAGTGGAGAGGCGAACGACAATAGCTTCAATTCAACTAAACACGATGTCTCTGACAACAATTCGTTTTACAAGTCCGGTTACGGCTATGACAGGCCCAGTCCCAGCCGTGGGCATAAGCCATCAAGGAGCCGATCCATTCCTTTGATCGACATCGAACATGATTTGATTGATCTATACTTCAAGCATGTTCATCCGTTCTTGCTTGTCCTACACAAACCTTCTTTTCTGCGTCGTCTGCATGATCCAAAGGACCCTGTCCCAGATTTTTTGTTGGCTTCAATGTACGCTGTGGCATCACACTATGCACCGGGACGGGAACAGGATGGTAGACGTTACTTTCAGCTGTGGCTCAGCCGACTGGATGATGCTCTGGACAAGCCTCGACTCTCAACTATTCAGTCGCTATTAATGATTATAAAGTATCAGGAGGGTGTCAAGAGAACAGGATTCTATTTCCGCACATACATGTACACTCAAATGGTGATTGTATTAGCCAGGGTTAGTTCAACACATAATTATATATATCATACCATATATTTTTGTTGTTATCTTTCTTTTTTTTTTTTTTTTTTTTTTTTTAATTATTTGATCATGTGAAAATAGGAATTACAATTGCACAAGACAACGCCTGTGAACGCAAAATTAGACCCAGAGAACCATGAAGTTAGGAGGCGACTCTTTTGGGCTATCTTTGTACTTGATCAATTCCTTTCTGTCTCACAGGGCAGGACTATGAGTTTCAGGGAAGTTGAGCCAGAGGCGGACCTGCCTAGGACCGATAACGAGGACCCAAATGACCCTGAAGAAATCGAAACCATTGAAAACGCAGTCGAATACATTAAGCTCGTTAAGATTGACCATCAAGCACTTATCCTGGCCAGGAAATTCCTCACAAAGGTCGTCACGCCTGAAGAAACTATCCCTCAAGGTCTTTTCCTCCATCAAGCGATGTTGGCATGGAAGATCAACTTGCCCCCAAGACTCCAGTTAGCGCCCAACATGTCACCGCATACGCCTTTTGTCGCAATGTTGCATATCTTGTATCATGCATGCGCCATCATGGTCCAGCGCTGTTACTGTGAGGACGCCAGTGTCAGTCATTTGGAGATTGCAGCGGCTTCACGAGAGACATGTACAGTATCAGCAACCAGCATCACAGTGATTATCGACGACCTTTACACAAATCATGGAATGGTACCACTCACGTATCCATTACGAGGATGTTATTTCATTATTTACTGCTTGATTGCTGCTGCTACAATACAGGTGAATGATATTCGCCAGGGAGTGAACGGACCCATCATGTTCAAGCGCTCATTAGCGCTGCTCAATCATTTGTTGAGAGAATCAACTGCAGTAGATATCGGACGAGAGGTGGAGCTGTTGAAGAACTCAATGGATACGAGCGTGGAGGACAAAAGGTCACCAAGTACGACAGTAGCAACAATGCCCCACGACAACCGGCCTTCACTGAAACCAATCTTACCTATGTCGCAAAAGTACGGACCCAAACTGAACTTTGGTGGCTCAGCTATGTCTCCGATCCGTCCACGTAAAATTTCACCCAAGGCCTCCACATCACCAGCAAGCCCAGGCATTGCTGGTGATAACTCGAAGGAACGTCAGCAATTAGATTCGAATCATAATGATTCCGCCTCCCAAACTATGACTAATAACAAAAATAATGATCGCGTTGAGAACACAAAGGATTCAGAGCACAGGCGGGCTAATTCAACCTCAAGATCCTCACAAAGCCCCAGCAGTCAGGTATTGGATGATGATTTGGACATTACAATTAAATCTTCGCCATCCCCAGTTATGTCGTCTCGATCAATCTCTTCATTCAACAGCAATGATACACCAACGGGAAGTTCGGAGCCGTTCTTACGTTCTGTGCCTACGTTTACGGCTCCTGCCTCGCTTCCATCGGACTTCAATGCATTCGTACAGGCACAGCTGCGGAACCTTGCTGCTAACAGCAATCAGAGCCAGCCACCACCGCCTATGTCTCTTTCCCAATTCTTTGCATTCCAGCAAGATCAACAACGACTGCAACTTCACAAACTATGGGTGCAACAACAGATACAGCAGGCACAGCAGATACAGCAGCAATCAAACACCTCGACACTAGCAACCTCATCTCAGGACTTTATAGCTACGCAAGCACAGGATCAACGACCGATTCAGCAGCTGCAGCAACTCCATCAGCAACAGTCATTATCTCCGAGTGATCCAATGATGTTCAATACATTCTTGACTAATTTTTCGGCGCTGAATAATTATCAGCAGCTAAACTCGGACCAAGCACAAAATGAACTTTTATCCATGCTGGTTTCATCCAATCTCAATTATACGGGCATTAACGCCGGTAATGATAGTAATAGCAATCTCAGTAACAGTACACTTGATCTGAGCGCATATTTACAACAACAGCAACAACAACAACAGCAGCAGCAGCAACAGCAAGACCAGCAACAAGATCCATTATCTTCATCCCTATCGCCATCAAGTACAACCATGTCCTCAATATTTAGCCCAGACATGCAACAGGAGTCAATGAATAGTTTTTTGTTCTCATCAAATAATGATACCAATACCACCTCTGTCAGTACAAATTCAATAGCGCAGCAATCCCAGGGTAGTGAAACTTGGGATGAATCCAAAATGGCTGATGCAGCGCTTGCAAGGAATCATCTATTGGATACACCCTCACCCGAGTCTTTTCCTGTGCTAGATATGGCCAGTTCATTTCCATCGTATCTAAGTATGGATAGTGCGGTGCCTTTTGGAGTACGACAGGCGATTGGGGATGCAGAAAAAATCTTTAAATTCCAAGCGCAATCAGGCTTGCCTGTTGACTAAGGAGCAAAATAACTTTTGCTTTTATTTATATCATGTATACTATTCTTATTCCTATAATAAATATCCTGTATCTAAAAAAAAAAAAAAAAAAAAAAAAAAGTTATTTAAGGGCAGGACGAAGAGGTTTCATGGGACCTATTATAACAGCGGGATCATAGATATGACACGGAAATAGTCCTAATACGGCTATTGTTCGATTTTCATAAGTTTGACAGGGTTCACATATTGATGGTTGCAATAGATAAATTTTTAATCATGTATTTGAGTCAGTGCAGTAGACTGGCTTCTATTCTTTATTTTATTTTATTTTTTCTATTATTATTATTGCTATTGCTATCATTTATACGACCTAGAGTCGCTTTCACTCCTGCAAACAACAATAATTATAATATTGATGTGATTGACTGGCCAGACAATTTACAAAGAATGGAAAAAAAGAAGGAAAGAAGGAAAGAAGGAAAGGAACGAATAAAATCAGGTGAGGAGCCTTGCTATCGCTCCGATCTCTAGAAAGAAATAAGGAAGAAGGCTGTTGAACCAACTGTGGAAAAGATAGTCAACAACTGGATGGCACTCAAGGCTGGACAATGATTGGTGGTTGAGCTGACTGTAGGTGATCTGTTGATGGAGCGAGGGCTGCTGACGTTGTCGTTTGCTGCAGGAGGCCAGGACGCACTACTAATGCTATGACCATCATTACTGTTGTCATCGTTGTTATCTGGTCCACTGTTTTGATTGTCTCCATTGTCGGGGGCAGTATTACTGACTCCCACGATGCCAGCGCCGTTAAAGGCCAAGAGATTAGTGTTGGCAGGACCTTTGAAGTTGCGAATGACGTTACGGGTACCGAGTTGGAGGATTCGATTACCAATGTTTTTGGGTGACCAGGACCCATCGGACCGATCGCCTTGTTCAGAGCCCATAATCAAAGCAGCAATGCCTGCGACATTGGGGGCAGAAAAGGACGTGCCGCTGTCCGTATAGACCTCGCGATTGGTTGGCCCTATCCATGTAGAGCGGACACGCTCACCAGGCGCATAGATGTTAACACATTGTCCGTAGTTGGAGAAAGGCGAAATTTGATCTCTAATGTTGGTAGAGCCGACAGTAAAAGCAGTGGGAGCCGATGCGGGAGAGTAGTTGCAGGCATCTTGGCCAATGTTACGTTCGTTTCCATTTCCAGCCGCTGCAACGATAAAGAGACCAGACTGGACCAACATATCGATAGCAGCGTTGAGGACTTTGGAGTAGCCAGCTCCCAAGGACAAGTTGACGACATTTCGGTGATTCGTAGATCTGGAGTTCTGCTTGATCACCCAATCCAGAGCAGCCAGGATCTGAGAAAGGGTGCTGGTTCCCTCGCGGTCGAGGCCTTTGACAGCAATGAGGTTGACTTTCTTTGCGACACCAAACGTGCGAGAGCCAATCACGCCGGCAACGAACGTTCCATGGCCATTGTCATCCGTATCGGGACCACCGGGGACGGTCGTCGTACCCCAGCGAGCACGACCCTCAAAGTCAACATGATTGATATTAATGCCTGTGTCAATGACATAGACGTCAACACCTTCACCAGCAGAGTTAGGGTAATGGTAATCGGCTGACAAAGGCAGCTTTCTCTGGGATACTCGAGGCAAACCCTAGGAAAGAATACGTCAGAATATGTCTTAGATTGATGAGATAGCAGCATCATGGTGTAAAAAAAATGCAAGCAACAGCATTTTTTTTTTTGTGAACATGAATGTCTGTGCGTACAAATAATTCGTGCATACACATTTGTGCCACCAATAACACAGCTTTTCTTTTTTCTCCTTTCTCATAAAGAAAACTTACCCAGCTTGGTGCATCTTGCTGGATCATGTAAGCGTTCTTGGGGCCAGGGATATCTTCGGCAGAGACAGTCGGAACATATTCCTTGGCGTGGTGAATCTTCTTGTTCGGTTTGCTATTGCCTATATGAGAGACAGGTGTTTTCTGCTCTGCATCGTCAGCGGCGTTTCCGATATTTTTTAGCTCCATTGCAGTCATCTGCTCGTCTACGGCATCATATGCATTCTCGAGATGCTTGACTTTATCAGCCATAATGGACTTCTTATTGTAGACCTTTAGTTCGGGAAATCTGATCTCAATATCCCTCTCTACGATTTCAACACTATCATCTTTGGCCAAGAGCTCCACCTCCTCTTCAGAGAAATCACCGTGCCAGACATGGAATTGGTCATCATTAAAGGTGAACCAGCGGCCCTTGGATCTGATTTGAATAGGTGACATGTTGTTGCTCCCTTGAGGAGCTTGACCAATGTTATTATCGCCATCTAATATCTCCCCAGGTTCAACCTGAGCCTTGGACTTGCCATGATGATGTTGCGACCCGGACCCGTTTTTGTCTTGAACGATGGACTTTGCCTGCGTTGGTGATAAAACTGTAATGGAGAGCTCTTTGGCATTGTAATCAAAGGGTCGAGCAGCAAAGGTTTGAACTCGGGAGACACCATTGACTCGTTGACCTCCTTCCTTGAAGCGGACTAGATAGTCTGCAGCTTGGGTGAAGGGTATCAGCAGGAGCGGGACAGACAGAGCGCCTAGGACCTTCATTGTTGATTAGACACCTATGAAGAAGGCGGGAAAAAAAAAAAAAAAAAAACAAGGCAAAAACAAAATAAAAAAAAATAAAGAAGCTGTAAAAACAAATAATAATAAATAATAATAATAATAAATAACAATAATAATAAATAATAATAATAATAATAATAATAATAATAATAATAATAATAATAATAATAATAATAATAATAATAATAATAATAATAATAATAATAATAGTTACAAAAAAAAAAAAAAAAAAAAAAAAAGAAAAAAAAAGACAGCTTGCTTCCAATTATTCTTCTTCAGTAGCAACGACTTTAATTGTATTACGATTATAAATTAAAGGCTTGATAGAGAGAATAAGAATGGTGGCAAGGGTCGAATGAAGGATACAAACGGAAGAAGAGAGATAGAAAGGAAAAAAGAAAAAGAGAGAGAGAGAGAATGAAAATAGAGACAGGGAAATGGTTAAATAAAAAGGACCAAGAGTGACACCTAAAAAGAAAAAAGTTTGAACCCAAGACATACAATTCATACTTATACCTTTATTGAAAAGAGAAGAAAGAAAAAAATCCATGATGATGCTATAGCAATTGAAAAACCAAACCGTCTTGCTTTATAGTACCGTAATATTATACATATCATACATATCATACATCTCATACATAGCGTTGTTCTGTTCGAAATTCTAGTTCATACCTGAGGGAAAAAAAAAAAGCAAATATAGATCACGAGTACCCTAGAACCCAGTTTAGTGGAAAAGAATGACATCCTTTTGTGGCAGTCTACATCTGTAGGCTCGGATCCCGGCTTCTATAAAATATATCTTCCTAGAAAAGAGGCTTATCTAATTGCAAAGAATATCAATACAAAAATGACGTCTTATACACAATGTGACCTCGAAGCAGCGATCACAACGTCAAGCCAATCTGAATAAAGATGATTCATTTGTATACAGATTATATAATTTGATGGCGCAGCTTAATCTCTTTTTTTTTTTCTCATGCTTGTTTTTTCTTATTTAAACATTGTTCGTGCTTTTCTTCTTGTAATCTTCTACAATTTTCTCTATCGTAGTTGCTCCCCAACAAAAGCGCTATAATGCATTCATTGACAACAGCAACGGAACAGGAGTGTCCATCTTTTGATCGCAATATTGTTCAGGCCATGGGACCTTATCTCGTCTGCAAAGATCCGCCTCTGTATCTTTCTGCGGCCGAGTTTTCAGATATTCCAGAGATGGTTAGGGTCCTTAACATTGACAAAGATATCTTCAATGGCACTGCTTCATTCCAATACCCTTACAAAGAAGAGCATGCTTGGGCCCGTATCACCCGTGCTCATGAAACGATCAAGAAGACCGGCTTTAATACTCATTGGGCCATGCGCACCACCCCAGATGGCCCCCTCATTGGCTGGATTCATGCCTACATCAACCCAGATTTGAACGAGGTACATCCAGGGACCGGTCGACCACTCAAAATTGGTGAGATCGGATACTGGGTCAGCCCTGAATACGTTAGAAAGGGATATGCATCTCTCTCTGCCAAATTTGTGGTGCATGAGCTCCTATTCAAAGTATTCGATTGTGATATTGTGCGAGGTGAAGCCTACATACATAATAAGGCCAGTCGCAAGGTCTTGGAGAATACAGGCATGGTCTGTGAGCTCGAAGAGATGACTGTCTATATTCCTAAACTTCAGGAGAGGCGCATCAGTTGCGCCTATGCTATTCATCGGGATAAATCTACTGAGAGTGTCAAGACAAAGCCTCGTCCACTTCCTTAAGTTGAATAGTTTTATTTTATTTTATTTTATTTTATTTATTTATTTCGATTTATATGTCGTTAAAGTACAAATTATTTAATAAAGTGAATCATACAATATCAGTGGGAAAGTAGATGAGTAAACCAATCCATGTATCTCTAGTACCCCACATCTAGTCGCGGATTTTTTTTTTTTTTTTTTTTTTTTTTTTTTCTTTTTTTCCAAAAAAAAAAAAAAAAAAAAAAAAAAAAAAAATAAGGTGAAAGGGAGATGTTTGTCATTTTCCTTTGGCAAGACAGGGGAAGCAGAATACTTTAAAAAATTTAAATGTACAGGGGGTAAATGTGGAGAGCATGGTCGGCCATTATCACTCCAATATAGTGTGATTGTGGTGATGTAAAAATGCAACTTTTTTAGAACGCGTATTCTTCTTCGTGAGTAGAACCGGGGGACGGTAAACAGCTTTGATCCCCCTTGGCAATTGTGGAGCATGTTTAACTTTGTGCATGGTAATGCCGAGTGTCTTACACAAGCCCAGGTCATGTGCATCGGCAAGACGCTTGTTCTTGAGTGTAACTGCTCGAGCAGATTTAGAAATCTCATGCTCCGTCATAGAAAGTTCAAGATTGAAGTCACTGTCGTCATCACCTAAAGACTCTGATTCATAGCCTTCAATCACATCATCTAGTGTGGGCGCAGTCGCTGCCATTATCTTGGGCTTTCGTGACCTTTGACGCTTCTTTGAGACTTTTACAACCCAAGCGCTAGGCTCTGCTGTGGCCACAGCCGAGCTGTTGATGCTAGTAGCGGTCATAGTCTTGCTGATATTGGTGAAACCATCGCTGAGAGCTGAGACTGTAAGCGGAGCGATATGATTAGCAGACGAATCCAGGATGATTTCGTCGTCATCGGAGTAGCTGTCCTCGTCATCGGAGCCAAAGGCAGATGTCACGACGGACCAAGATGAAACGCTAACGTTGTCTAGATCGTCCTCGCTAATGGCTCTTGTCAACATGGCCCGGCTCTGGATATTGGAGTATGCTCTGACATATTCAAGACTATCGACGTTGTTGTTTTCGTTGGTGTTTCTGACAGTATTATCGTCTTCATGCTCCGCGTCGAGGACGGAGAACGGGTTACGGAGAACGACCGGGTCCTGTAAGAGAATAATCGACATGATTTTTGTGGCACGAATCCTGTGCAGTGTGTAGTGGTGCTTGAAACGGTATCTGTATATGTAGATATAGGAGAGGAGATGTAGAAGTTGAAGTGGAAGTGGAAGTGAGAATGAAGGAGTGAATGAGGTTTGGTTGCAGGAAGAACCTCGGTATTTATGCATACTGCGGAGCGAGTAACCGGCTTTTAGTCGTCCCTTTTTAATCCCGTGGCCAATTCCTTCCATCATTCTACTGTCACCCTCTATTCCATTTCAGCACATGCAATAGAGGATTTTCTATTCACATAGGCTAGTGCTGCGGCCGAGATGGGAACCAAAAAAAAAAAAAAAGAAAAAGAAATTGCATAATTGGCTCATGCATTAAAGAAAAAAAGGATTGCTCAGCCCAGGCTGCTCCTAGATTGGTCCTTACTTGGTATCAAATACATTAAATAGCAATGACTTTTTTTTTTTTTTTTTTTTTTTGTGGAGATGGGACTCGAACAACCCAGGGTGGGATCCAATCGACTACATGTAGGATAATTCAACTGTTCAATATGATCGACACTTTGCGATAGATAACATTGTTACTGATATTATTATTTTTGTTCTATTTCTTCAACACTGAAACAATCACAAGCAAACACTTCCGCCGCAGCATTGTTGTTTCTTTGACGCATGAACGACTGCGTCGCAAATAAATAAATAAATCAATATTCAGATGCGTTTGAGGTGCTCCCAGTGTATCATTGACGCATTGATGGAAGATCTTGCAATATTTATTTAGTGGAGAGTGTGGAGAATTAATGAACGTACATCCAGTTGAGATCTTTTTAGGTTGTATCACCGTGTCTCGCGTTATCGCCGTCTACGCTTGCAGTGGTTCTAGAACAACTTTCATCATCAACATCAATATCAATATCAACATCTAAATCACATTATCATTGTCGCCAGTTTAACTTGTCACAATGCTCAAATCAACATGAGGCTGTTACATCATTGCTACAATAGCTAAATGCAATTTTAATATCGATTTCATCCCAATCTGAAATGAGTTGGAATTTTTGAATACAACGTGAGCTTCCCTGCCGTCTTTAGCACACCTAAAGATGCTCTTGCAGAAATCTGTGAGTTTGAATACCATCGCCGCCCTTGTCTTTTGTAAATGAAAAAGAAAATGAAGAGCAGAAACTCGAGTTGCAGATCAAGCGTTTGAATGGTGTTTATTATATATTTATTATGAACACTCTGTTAATTTTAATTGAACAAAAAAAAAAAAAATCGACCTAGTTCTATTAAAGACAGCGTTCAGGCGTCTGTTGTTGATTATAGCGCTGATCTCAAAAAGGATCCATCCGTTATTATCCTTGATGGGAGTCAAAAGTTCGTTCCTGGATAAGATTTTTAAAGTGTTGATGGATAATGGTTACATCATGCTTCCAGGAGCGTATGCGGTTTGGCAATGTAAATCATGCTTGATACTTCAAGAAACGAGGGAGGAAGAGGATAGGGCAGAAAATTTTATCTAAAAAGATGTAAGCCACGGATCTGGATGTAGTGTAGAAGCACGTTTTTTTAAACTGTTCGTTGATCACTTTTGCTCACGGGTTTCTTGTTCCATTCAGTAACCTTCATCTCAATCAACTACATCAGTAATGGGTGATGCTGGATTCTTCAAGGTACTCTAGATGAAGAAAAAAAAAGATCCAGGAGACACAATGGAAAAAAGCAGAATGCTGAACAACCATCCCGATTCAGTGCATTGAAAAGAAATATGTTCCCCACCAATAAAAAGGCCGACATTAAAATTTTATAAACTCGGATTTTTCTTTTTCTTTTTCTTTTTTTAAAGGGCACGAGTGCTGAGCAGGATGCACGGTTCAGCGACAAGCAAAAAAAATTGCTTCGCTCAATGCATTTTCCTCCGGAATTTAATCAAAAGGTGTGTATATTTACCAAGAACTACTTTGTAGCTAAATCAGAAGAATGCATTTTTATTTTTTATTTTTATTCTTTTATTACTATTAGCAACTAAGTGATTCTACTTTCTAATTTTTTTTTCTTCTTTTGTAAATAGATCGACATGAAAAAAGTTAATTTGAAAGTCATCAAGGGCTGGATGGCTCAACGTATCAATCAACTATTAGGGATCGAAGATGAAGTTGTTATAGAATACGCATTCGGGATGCTGGAAGAAGATGTATGACACGTAATTAAACACCTACAGAGCCTTTCTCAAAAAAAAAAAAAGAAAAAAAAAAAAAGGAATCGATCCTCAGAGACTTGGAACAGAGGTAGAAATCTAAGGCTTCAAGAACTAAGCAAGCATTTCCGTTATTTTTTATCCGTCTACTCACAAAAAAAAAAAAAAAAAAAAAAAATTATAGTCTCCAGATCCCAAAACAATTCAGATCAACCTTCAAGGATTCCTGGATAAGAATTCACAGGTTTTTGTATTGGAGTTATGGAAGTTGTTGATTAGTGCACAAAACAGTCTTGGAGGTATTCCGCAACAATTTGTGGATCAGGCAAAAGAAGAGCTCCTGGCAGCCAAGGTAGATCTGATGTATCATTATGCTTTAAAGAGGATGTATGTACATGTATCAAATATTTAAAAAAATTTGTTCTTACGATGTAACATTTCGCTATTCTTTTTATTTTTTTATTTTTATTTTTTATTTTTTATGCTTTTCCTTTGAGAACAGCGTGCTAAAGAATTGGAACTTGCAAAGATCAAGGAACAGGAAGAAAAGGAGCGAGCAGTTGCAGAGGAAGTCAGGAAGAAAGCCCAGGCAATCCGTGAAGCTACAAGACCAACAGCATTATCACTCAGTAACGGGGTATGTTCTACACTCTATCCATCCCAATCTTTTTTTTTTTTAAAAAAAAAAATACTTATTTATTTCCTCCTTCAAACAAATCTTAATGCCGATTTCTATTTTTTCTTCATTTTTTGTGGAATCTCCTTGATCCTTTATGAGCAGGATTCAACAAATATCAGGAAAGATTCACAAGAGGTAGTTCCTGAAACCCGTGACGATAAAAGAAGAGGACCAGACAGTAGGAGAGATCATGATGCAAGGAGAGAGTATAGTAATAAGCGGGACTATGATCATGCTAGAAGGAGCAACAGACATGACCGATCCAGAAGCAGGGATGCACATGATGCTAGAAGGCACGATAGTAGGAAATACGATCGACACCGTGAACGGAGCTCGGATCGTCGCGATTATTATTCCCAAAGACAAGACGACCTCTATAGGAGTTCGCGTCGTCGCAGTCGTAGCCGTAGTCGCAGTCGTGGCCGTCGCAGAGGACATAGCAGAGAACGGCAAAGCCACAAGGAAGATTATGGAAGGGGTAGAGGTCACGATCGCGATCGTGAGCACGATAGGGATTATGGAGCGTATCGTGATGACCAGAAACGAAGAAAGCTTCGTTCCACCAGTCGATCCAAAAGTCGAGGCCGCTCTAGAAGTGGTTCAAGAGCTCGAGGCCGAGAACGGACGAAAACCACGGCTGCACGATCTAGATCGAGGTCGAGAAGTCGAGGCTCAACAAAAAATATCGTGGGCGCTACCAAGAGTGCAAAGGATACAAAGGGCATAAAGCATGCAAAGGACATAAAGGACACAGAGAGCACAAAGGATGCAAAAGAAGATAAAGAAACTAGTGTATCCGAGCATGCAGAGGGTTCAGCAGATGTTGCCTCAAAATCCGCTGCTATTGACTCACATGCACTCGAAAATGAGTTGCGTGAAAAATTGCTTCGTGAGCGTGTGTTAAAGTCGGTGAAGAACAGAACTGCTGTCACTACAACAATGGCAACAACATCAGCAGATATTACACAGGACCGGGAAGGTGCACAAGAGAAGGAAAAAGACTCTGTTACGGACAACAGCAGTGCACAACCAGCCGAAGGCACATAGTATAATCCTGCATTTTCAAAAGAAATAAGATTTCTACATATTTACACTATCCAGTAAAGAGTATGGAGCAGGTCTTAATATCACGGATATGAATATTAATTGTAGACTCAACTTGTCATAATCAAACAGAGCCGATCTTTACCCATTGCCTTTTATTAAACGATTTTCACCAATATACCGGTGATTTCACTAGTTCTATGATGCTGCTGGTGAAATGGTGGTTGTATGCTCATCAGTGTCTACCATATTCTGTGAACTATGTAATCGTGAAGGAAGGTCATAGGGAAAAAGTCGGACAGTCATGAGAAATCTCTACTTTTCTAAATAAATCCTACATGACCTCGTGGGTCCCTGCTCAAAAAAAAAAAAAAAATCAAAAATCAAAACTTCTGCTACCTTCATCGCACCACTGGAAGGAAACTACAGACGCCCACAAGAACAACTCTCCCACCCGTAGTACGACTAGAAGATGTGAGAGAATGATACAGAGAAGAAATAATGATTGCGAGGACAACAATGAAGAGAGTATATTGGTAAGGAATTGGAAAAGATATGATTTAAAGCGAGTTTGTTATTAGATCAAATCTGGTTGATTGGAGTCAATGCTTCGTCAAACTTTTTACAAGAGGTAATAATAATAATAATAATAATAATAATAATAATAATAATAATAATAATAATAATAATAATAATAATAATAATAATAATAATAATAATAATAATAATAATAATAATAATAATAATAATAATAATAATAATAATAATAATAATAATAATAATAATAATAATAATAATAATAATAATAATAATAATAATAATAATAATAATAATAATAATAATAATAATAATAATAATAATAATAATAATAATAATAATAATAATAATAATAATGATAATAATAATAATAATAATAATAATAATAATAATGGCAATAGTAGTAGTTATAAAGTCGGTACATGTATTTGTAAGAGCGGATATTGGGGTTCAGCTCAAACTATGAGCGTGGCCATAGAGTCTAAAAGTGAAAAATGAGAACGTCTTTCCTCAGGAACAACGCTTAAGGACTGGTTCTCAATCGCGTTCGATCTCAATGCTTAAAATCTCTGAATATACACAGTTACACAATGTAAGTTTTAATAAATCAAATTAAAAGCGTTCTAATTATCAACATCATCCATAGTCACTCGACCTTCCCACAAATCATGAAGTCCTAACATCTCAATCTTCTTGGCATGGAATTCCGCTACTGTTAAGAGCCCTGTCTCCAGTGCTGTGGTCAGTGAATGCACGATAGGCGGAATGTCTTCCTTCTTAAACCCCAAGTGACCAAGCGGCAATGGGGTGTTGGGCAACACATCCAGAGCTGGCTTGAACACAATTTGCTCACGTGCTTGGAACGTTAATTGCTGCTGCTGCTGCCATTGTTCCTGCTGTTGCATCAGCTGCACCTGTGGTTCTTCCTGCTCCGCTACCCTGGCCGCGGTGAATCCGGTCGAGACCTTAGAATCTTTTGAGTTATCGTGTGAATAGGATGGTACTGCAGCCGTCATTGATGCATCAGCAGGGCTGCTCTCAAGAACAACAGTTTCTGTTAAGGCAGCTGTGCCTGTTGCCAGCTCATTTTTCAAGCTGGACAGTTCATGAGAAATAGAAGAAAGTGGCATATCTTCATTAATCCCTGCAATGTCCGGGCCAGAGCGTGATGATGCTGTAGCCAGGAGTTCAGCTGAAGTTGTTGCATTGCTCGAGGTCTGGTTGGTATCCACATCTGTGCTCTTGTCCTTGGCAGCCGCATTAGTATCAGGAATATTGACTGGGTAAGTTCGAAACCTCAGTTCTTCCAAGAATCTCTCCACGTTCTTTTCGACGCCTCTGAACAATCGATAATCTGTGGCGATGTCAATTAATCCTGAAAACTGAGTCTTGCAGATATGTTCAACGACATGACTATGAAGAGCCTGCCATGATTCCATGATTTGACTGGTCGTTGGAAGCTTTGCAATCGTGGTTGAGTTTGGATTACGCATACGGTCGAACCACTGCTCCAATGTGAATGAATTGGCGGTTTTCTGATCCAGCATCTGGATTGTGTATCTGTGGAGGGCCAGAACGCCCAGATTAATAGTCGTCAATCGATGGATGATTGGCTTCTCTACTTCTGAATAGGTCAGATACCGGTCTAGCCTTAACTTCACGCCCTGGATACTGGCATGCGTACACTCCTTATCCGATAGCAAGTAAGGGAAGAAAGACATATTCAAGTCACCGACAGAAATTTGAATTAAACCAACAGCGTTCCATGATGCTAGTATTTGGTCCTTGAGATGATGGCCAGAACTAGTGGATGGGTGAAGTTCAGTAGTGCTACTTGGCTGAGGAGTAGATACGGATGGTGGAGGTTTTTTGAGCTCTTCCTTGGCAGCTGTAACTTTTTGGTTCATTGTGCTTTCCAATCGGGACATCACAGTCTTGAACACAGACACAGTCTTGGCTCCCGTCAATAGCCGAAGCCCCTGGAAATGTGCAATGATAGCCTGCGAGACATCTCTATCGAGGTCAGAGCCGTTCCAATGATCCTGCATCACTAGCCTAGCAGGCTCAACTGCCATCATTAAAAACCTTTTGTTGTCGTAGGAGAGCATAGAGGTCATCCGTTTCGTTTCCAAGACGATCTCCATGATTGAGCATGGGAAAATTGGATACCGGTGGACCTTTGATAATGTTTCGATGGTGATACCTTCCATCACAAGGTATCCCTCAAGCCACCCACGCCCTATAGGTAAGAATTGGATATCGAGCGGCCCTGTTGAGATGGAGGCTGCTCGTGGATGGAAAGGTCGCAGTTTCGTTCGGAGCCGAGCCTCGTCCAGCTTGAAATCCATCTTGCCGATCTGCGATCCAAGGTCCCCTGTGATCCGCATTTGCTGCAGTCGCATTGCTACAAAAACATTGTAACCAAGGAAGCTCGATTCCCGTTTTCCACTAAATGGAATAGCGCCTGATCCAGGAGTACCTGCAGTTTCATTATGACTACCATGGCTTTGGGGTGGTTGTGATGCACCTAATGCGGCTTCAAACCCCTGTGTACTAGAGGCAGATCGGCTGACAGTCAATCCATCACGGATCAAATAGTTTGCCTGGTCCATCCATATCATCTTCATCAGTACAAGGATCTCTGCTTGCCGCAGATCAAACTCAGTCAAAATTTGCCTAAAATCAACAGTGACAGATAAAGTCTTCTTGCTGACTGGGGCTTGCCTTCGGGTTTCCGCAACCGCATTGAAAATCATTCCTTTAGTCCCGACCTTGAAGCCTTTATCCTGCGAGAAGATATGGTGTGTATCCGAAGACGCGCCACCAAATGTTCCGGCTATAGTGGTCGATGTGTTACCAACCTTGTCAGAATTGTAACTCATCAAAATATTGCCTTGCTCAAAAGTCAAGACTGACATGACCTTGGCCATTGGCTGACAATTAAATTCAATCTTTGTCCTTTCAAGGAACAAGTAGCAGGTCACAACTAGTTCATGTCTCTTGGTTGCCACCTGTTGAACAACAGCGGGGCCACTTGGGGTATCTACTTGCTCAATTGGCAAGGCGACCGGAGCAAGTGCTAACTTGTCCTCTATCTCTCCAACCACTGATGTAGTGGCAGAGGCTGCAATAGGGATAACTACTTCGGGCTCCGAATACTGACGCTGTCTCCTAATCCCGATTTTGAGGCCAGACACAATGTCTTGGAAAAACGGAACCAAGGATGGATAGAATGTGTTCTCGCATGAGTGGATGTTCACCTCTGCATGAATCCTTGGCGGCCCCACTGCTTCTAGCTCTGTCACATTATCACCTAAGGGGATACGAAGGCTCGTCCAAAGTGATAGGCCAGGAATGATGAAGCGGTCTACACCAGAGACTTCTGCCCCTACTTGCGCAAAATTAGCCTCAGATTCCATGAATTTGGAAGCCTTGGGCATCTTTGAGATGTAGCTTTTCGGGTAAAATCTACAGACGCTTTTACTACACTCGAATGTGTTCTCGATCTTCCAGATGACGGTGCCGGAGGATTGAGTTGACGCAGATAGGATTTCATTTTTTGGTGTAGATGAGGAACCTGAAGAGGGTGGAAGTCCATCTGCCCTTGATGAAAGCGGGGTTGATGTAGCCTGGTCAACAGCTAAAGACGTGACAAGAACTTTGCTATTGTCGTAGACATCACTTATAGTGTTGATGTACCGTACAATATTGGGATCAATATCCAGCTCAAATCCTGAGACAGTTGCTTTGGATGAAATCTTTTGATGTCTTGCTGACTCTTTGTTCGCCTCAACCTGACAAGAGATATTTGGGAACAGTAATCGATTCATCTTGGGGTGACTCTTTGATCTGAAATGATCATCCTTGCTCTGATCGAATCTGGGTACGAACTGGGCACAAAGATGACTCAATGTTCCAGAAGAAGTCTCGCCACTCTTGGTCAACATAGCGATAGATGTCGCAGAGACTAAAAATGCCTCAACAAGCCTTTCACTTCTATCCATAATATCCTCGCGTCTATCGAGCGGAATCGCAACAGCTACATCATCAATCTTTAAGAAAATCTCCGTCAACTCCAGCATCGAACGTGTATTGTCCTTGTAAGCTGGCACATCAACGTCAAGAGACTTCATAATTCTTTTGGTGTTATCCGCCAGCTTGGCCATATCAGCTGCTCTCAACTCTTTGCGTCGCTCGAGCTCATGGGTATAGTACGAATAGAGCCCAATAATCCTGCTGACGGACTGGGGCTGCATCAGTGCATGAATCTTCAAAAAGCTTACATAAAACGAACTAACAGAGGTCTGGGCGAACCGATCTTTGTCTGAGACATTAGGGCTAAAATTCTGAATGTTCAAGTTGATAGTGATATATGCCTGACGGAGCTTTCGTGCTTGAATATCTTCGGCCCGAGTCCCCATGCGGATGTTTCCAACGTGATGACTCAAAGAAAGAGTTATACTCTGAGCATACAGGCGCCATGCAAGCTTGTTCTTGGCCATCTCAGCCTTGAAAGAGGCAACTGGCACGGGGTTGGGATTATTAGTGATAATGCCTTTGAGTGAATCTGACTCGAAATACAGAATGGCGGAAGGGCTGACGGCTGCAATACTCAATCCTACTAATGAAACTTTAACGGAATATAGCAAGCCTGGATCCGTCTGCTCTGCGTGTGTTATCACCGGTGCTGCTGGTGTCGTAGTCGCGGGAGCAGCTTTAGAGTCTTTGGCAAAAATGTCCACCAGATCGTTCACTTCCGCACCAAGGAGCGACTGAGCTGTTAACATATGATCAAGCATATTGACATTCAGTGTCATTTCCACAAAGTCAAAAGAGACAGATGACTCTAGCTTTTTAGGATATCGTGCGCCGCGCGCAAGCGCACCAATAGATGATCGCCTGGTACGTGCAGGAGAGGCCGAGTCGATGACATTCATGACACTTCCAGAAGCTCGAATCACTGGTAATGAGAAGTTAGCAGCGTGCTTATCTTCTTGAAGTCTTGATTTGCTGCTGTTCTTGGTCTTTGGTTGATTTGCAATAAAATCAACAGATTGACGTAAAAGCTGGGCTGTATATGTAAGTTGAGGAACAGAGAATGGTAATCCAGGTGGTACATCATGGAGCATGATCATTAGGTCGCCGGCCTCATATTGGAATAACAAAGACGGCAACATGTGTAATTCGAGGGTCAGTGCCTTGAGAACGATCTGGACCTTGAGCTCACGAGGAATTGAAGGGGTCACGACCTTAGGTTGTTGCTTCCGATCGGCCTCCCATTCATCCATGACGCCTTGGAATAGGAAATCGAAACTCTTCATGTTTTCCTCGCGCCAATCCTTTGCAAACATATACAGCGTCAGAATGCTTCGAGGTAAAGCAACGTTAACTTGTTTAAATGTTACTAAAAGATTGATGACTTCTCGCGGTACGCTGGCCTTTGTCTGTTTCGGTCGTCTTGCGGGAGTAAGCTGACTCAATGTCGCCTCAGAATTGATTCCAACGATGCCAAAAGTCAGCAGCTCTTTACTTGGTGCAATGGAGGTACTGTCTTTGGAATAGACGCGCTCTTTAAGTGACGAATTGATACTGCTGATGTTTGTGGCCAAAGAAGCAATAAGCTTATTAAACCCAGACCTGCCTGCAGACGGTCCGTCTGGGTTGGATCCTGAGCTTTTTGCCACTGAAATACCTTCAATATCTTGCTTTGGGAATGTTCTTTGTTTAGCGAAGTTCAGAGCAGATACTTGAATCTGTGAGAAGATCACTTGGGCAGATAGATTATGTGCCGTTAGGGTGATGCGTATGGTCTCAATGACTGCCATACCATTAAAAACAACGTCAAACCGATCCAATATTTCCATAAGGGTTGGGCCATTTTCTACAGCAGGTACCATAGTCGTTTCTCGATTCAATTGTAAAGATTGGCGTGGTGATGAAGGATCTATTGGCGAAAGGCAAAAGAACACCGCGTTAATACTATCTGGAAGGTAAGGGATCTTAGTAAGAGAAGATTTAAATATAACACTACAGCGATCACCTACGTTCCATGGATTTCCGTGCTTCCGCCGGACGCTTGTCGGCACTCGACTCGAGAATCTTATTAAACTGGGGCCTAAAGATGCGCTCAATCCTTAGAATATGTCTTGTGAAGGCAATAACCACAGGATTCACATCGATCTCTGCATTCTTGAAACCTGTCTTGACAGCGATATCCAAAAAACCGGTGGTGAGTCTATTGGTCTCCGTGATAGAGGCTCCTGGGTACAGTTCAGATTGGGACAGAACGTCCGGTTTGTATCTCGACTCAAAGTTGAATTCTAGGCCAGCGATTTGCATCCTGTTCTCCATTTGTTCATCGTATATTGCTGCTTCAATTTCACCCAGATTAAGCTGGATTGAGTTGGCAGAGTATCTAAGCATCTCATATACCCATGATTCCTTAGGCATGGATGTGCCATCTGGCTCTGTTAGGCGCTTCCTCTCAAAAACATCTGAAAACAGACGACATTTCCGAAGATCATCCATCTCCCAGCTTCTCCAGTTGGAGAATACGGCAATGACAATATCATACATTGTGTCGGTGCTAAATGATTCGAGTTCAGGCTTCTTCAATGCGTCTTGCAAGGTTTGCGCGATCTCAGATGGCATTAAGCGCATACAGTGTCTAATATGAGCCAATAACTTCCAACCATCATCCTCACGGTGATGGAAAGTCCCAATTCGCAATGTTGTAGACGGTCGTGTCAAGAAGACAGGATCTGTGTTGACTTCCTTTTGCGCTGAAAACCGAGCGATTTCAGAGAAAAGTGTTTGAAGCTGCTTAGACCGACGGAGTTGGAACCGATTAAGAATTGTCTTAAGGTCTTTCATAAATGTAAGCCAAGAGCATATCGATCCAGCAACAATCTCTGCGGACTGATTGATGAATAGTACAGAGAGCTTCTCCAGATTTGCATAAAGATAGTTGGGGTTTGATGAACGGACTAATCGCAACTTGAACTGCTCAAATGATATATCGGCAATGACCGGCTCCTTCAGGTACGAAAGATGATTAATACCAAGGCGTGAGAATTGGTGGCGAGCGTCTGGAATACCAAAGATTCGGACAGTGGATGCAGAGACAAATCTTGCATTCAGCTTGAATTTTGAAAAATCAACGTTGGCTCTCGACTCCACTACTTTAAACGAGGCTATATGTATCTTCCCTGGAACAAACTTTTCAAATTCTTCATCTTCATATTTCACGGCTGCAATAATTGCAGCATCATCCAGTACAATATCTATGGCACAGAGATTTGCACCAGAGAGCTCGTACCGTGTTTTGATCATGCTGATATCATCACTGATATGGATCGCATCAGGCATCATCACATCCTGAATGAATCGTAAATGTATGCGAGGTATGCTGATAACAAATTGCTGAGAGTGTAGCTTACTCGGCAGCATGCGAGCTAAGAGTTCTACATATTCCATTTGAGTGACATCAAGCATCGTTTCCAAGTCCCATTCCTAAGCATGAAAAACATATCATATTAGTCTCCAGCACATTTCCCTTTGGGTAATGTCTATTCAGGCTCCTGTTAACTCTACCTCAGCATTGATAGCCTCCAGGAATTCTTGAATAATCTTGAGAAGAATTGGTGTGAGTAATATTTTGACATCCTGCGTGGCTTCAATGATAATAGTTGTGCGTCTTTCATCCGAATTGGCACTACCCTTTGGCTGGGCGGATGAAATTCCACACTCATGCATATCTTTGGTCCCAAATATCTCGTCAAAATTGGCACGTGGATGGTGTCGGGGAATGTCTTCTAAAATTTCGCCCATCTATTGTCGCGATTATAGAAATAGATCATTAAATAATTATCTGAATGCCTCTTGTACTTAGAATTAAAAAAAAAAAAAAAAAAAAAAAAAAAAGTGACATAAAACACATACTTGTGCTTGAGAAAACATCACTCTGGGAGGCGGAAGATATGGATTACGATAATTGGCAAATCGTGTACTTGAGACAGCATACCTTTTGAGGTAGGTACTGTATGGGATAGATCTTGCAGGAGCAGCAGGCTGATTCTGGTACTCAGGCTCTTCGGGATCTATATCAGAGGAATATGTTAACATTATGCACTACACGGTTAATGATTTATGTGGCAACCTTGCTTTAGTCAATTTATAATCTAAGGTACCTTGAGGTATCTTTGGGTACTCATATTCATGGTCAGCACTCTCTTCATCACTGGAATAATGAATTTCCAGGTCATCTGAATCGATATCAAGCCAGCTGTCAATATTCGAATCCTGAGAACTTGTCTCACTCTCTTCGTCGCTTTCGACCGATGTGCCAATTGAGAATGAGGAGGAGGTGGCTCTATTGATTGCAGTCGAGTATTAGATATAACAATACAAAGAATAAGACAATCCTTTTCAAACCTCTGGCGTATAAAATAATATATTTACCTCCGAATGGATTGTTGTCGACTCCGCTCTTGTGAGCCTATACTCGATGCATACTCGATCATGGATCCATTTTCATTCGAAAATTCTATTGATCCATTACTGCTAGCGATCTCCCCTCTCATCGCTGCAATGGAGATAAGAGATGAAGCATTAGGTATTTCTTGTGAAGTTTATCTCACATTAATCGCACATAAAGAAGCAAAAATATTACCGGTTGGGTCTGAAGTAAGTGGCGGAACGTAGATCGTTCCGAAGTGATTGCCTTTGAGATTGGGGTTCGGAACTAAAAAAAAAAAAAAAAAAAAAAAAGTATAGGAGTGAGACTTGATATTGCTCGTCCTCAAAAACACTTCATGCAATTCAATCCAAATTACCAGGTGGTGCATAGCCTTTTCTGGTATAGATATAGGGGCAGCGTAATGTCTCCCGATCTTGCTCCTGCACAAAGGCCTGTTGCTTCTCACGCCTTTCTTTCCAGTCACCTGAGCCAATGTACACTGTAACATCAAATGCACAATTCAAACTAGCGATTTCCACCCAAGGGGCTTGATCATTGTAAAACTAGAAAAAATCTTGTTAGGTTTTTTTTTTTTTTTTTTAATAATAATAATAAAAAACCCACGCACAAGTGAAATCACGTATATCCAATATTAGACTTACTGGCTCTGTGTCGCCCATTTGCTCAACCTTGTTGGCTTCTGTTAAAGCCATCGAACGGATGAGCAATGATTGCATCTTAAGAACCACGCGGCCTAGATATCTTTCATTGATGACATCGTCAAAGTGCACGATAATTCCATCCTTCAAAAGGACTTGACTTACGACGTCTCCGCCCCAGATGGAGACATCTACCTCTTTCACACTCAAATCGACAAATGTGATATCGGGAGGTATCACAGTCGCATATTCTGGTGGAAAAGCGTTATCGCCATCCTTCAGATTATAAGCGAATGCTTTGGCGAACGATGACACACCCAATAGAAAAGATGGTTTGATTTGACCATAAATTGTTCCAATGTCCAGTTTCCAATTAGCTACGTATGTTGTAGTCTTAGGTAATGGGCCGAATAGTCGGTGAGCATAGACCGAAATACCTATAGCCAGAAGTAAGATTTAAGAAATATAACCACAGAATCCAACTTATTAAACCTCAACGGATAAACTCCCGCTGTCTTACCATCAACAAATAGATAATTCAGATCCCCGCCTCGTGCAGGCTTCCCAGTAGGAATACCGACATCTTTGACTTTCCTACTCCACGTCAATGGGCTGACACTCACATGCATGTCTATTTGAATAATACGCTTTCAATATTAATAAACTAACCCATACATATTCTCAGGCACATAAACCTGCATTCAATCTAGTCATACCCATATAAACATCCAAGTTCCTCATATCCAGTTGCAGTTCTGCGCATGTTATTTCAGAGTAAGTATCCGAGCTGTACAGGTTCTCTGGAAGGACTAGTGTCGTGTCCGTGGTGACAAAGTGAACATAAACTTCAAATGGGTCACTAGGGGGCTGAAATAACCATGGATATATTTACGTGTCAAATGTAAAGCTTACTCAGTTTGATTTAAAGAGTTTCAATATATTTTTACAGCATTATTACCTTAGCGCTTGCCTGCTTGCGCTCATCCATCTCAGTCCCCACAGCATTGTTTCGTTTGTTGCGGTATTCCTCCATCGTAACAAAATTGATGTATAACCCAGCATAGTTGTCCATTAAAATCAAGACATAGCGGATCACGTTGCCAAACAACTTAATCGTTACTCCATGGCCCTATGAAATGCAACAAAAGGGAGGAGAGAGGTTATCAGAATATACTGAAGTATCGCAGTTATTTGAGTGATGAAGCCACTAAGCTTGAGAAATGATAAACAATACCTTGACTTCCAGATTGAGGGATTCCAGATGAGCAAGATCGACGAAATCATAGTACTCGTATGTACCTTTGATGGCGACAGATGGAATAGTCGCAAAGTTTCTGGACTCTGGAGTGGAAAATACGCCCAGAGTATGAGATTGAGGAAGTTTGATCTCTAATCCTCCGTTGCGGATCTATAACAGAAATAAAACACAGAACTTAGTTTTAGAATGGTTTTAAATTATTCAGTCATCTATCCTATGAAACTAAATTTACCTCCACCTCGAATGCAATTGCTGTGATTTCAGGATTATATTGGACAAACGGCAGAACGACCTTGCAATCCAATGCCTGTCCAGACGCGATAATGAAGGCTAAAGGAGCAAGAGTAGTTTGTAACTAAATCGATCAACAGAGATTTTTTTTTTTTTTTTTTTTTTTTCCAACTTCTTGGGATTACAAAAATGTATTAAAATTTTATATCCTTTGTACCGTTATCATCAATTTCAGTAGGCTCGTTAATGATGTTGTGCTCGTTCACATAGGTGTACAGCTGAAAGTTTGGCAGTTTGATGTCAAACACATATTTGAATGGAACAAAATGAGCCATATCGACAGATGGCCCTGATGTCCAGTCTTTGCTTAGATCCTGAATCAGCGTGATATGATCCCGAAGAAGAAATATTTTAGCGCTATCCAATGTGAGTTCAAAGTCCCAGTCTCTTTGTGCATTCCAAACTAATGGGTTCTGGAGTTGACATGCCACCTAGAAGATAATTATGCACGTTTGTGCTAGTTAATTACTGTAAACTAAAGAGGCCATGACCGCAGATCTAACATACTGATCTTACAACCCTCAGTTTACCTTTAGTTCCTTAAGATCGATAACAGGCGCATAATTCACGCTGGAAGTAACAGTCAATTTTTGAAGTTCAACTAAAACAACATTTTTATAACCATCGGCCCCATAGATCATGGGGATATCAACTGAAATCATGGACCCATTATCCGCTTTCAATTCCAACCATCCAAAGGGCCTCATTGACTTTCCCCCTTGTACAATTTGGAACTCTGGGTCATTATATTTCCAATCCTGTATAAAAAAAAATAAAAAATAATAATAAAAAAAAAAAAGGGCTTAACATTTAATTCATCCAATTTTTTTTTTTTTTTTTTTTTTTTTTTTTGCAATACCTTGGATTTCTCTTGCGTGGGAACTTTAATAATAACAGAAGTGCTAAATGTCACCATGATCTGTAGTGCAGCATGGATACGGTCTTGCCCTGGCAGCGCCTTTGGAGAAGGATCTAAGGTTCGGTATGCATTAGGAAAGAAAAAATTCTGGATCTCCGAACGCTGTCGATCAGCCCAAGGACCGTACGAGATGACTGCCTCGTCAATGATAAGCTCCATGCCCCATTCTGGTGGTAAATCGTAATCTACTTCTACGCCATGTGATGATGGTTCTGGGACCTTGCCTATTGGTGGACAAACCATTGTCACGAACGTTTTAATATGCGATTTACTTTTTGATTATTCTGAATATCAGTTCGATGTTAATTCATTGTTGTCGCACCTGCTACATCCGTGTAATATCGTAGGCCGAGTTCGTTGCACTGAAGAACGTTACGAACCATGGCATACTCATTGAATTTATTTTGCTTCAGCTCGTCACGAGAAAAATTTTGGTTGTACCGTGGTAAGCCATGCCACTCCTCTGCCACCTCCTTTGATACCCCAAAATAAGATGTCCATACTGCTTTTAATTGCCGTATTATTTTCTGAACCCACGATGGCCGGCTCGAGGGCCTATATGAATACAAAAATAATAAGGAATCCTTGTTTAACAGTTTCAAGACTTCCAGCATGTTGATAAAAATTAGATAAACATATTGTATCCACATACAGCTGTGAAATGCCTGGAGCATTGTTCTCCATATTTCTTCCAGAAATGGTTGTATTGTAGTCGGCATTTGGCTTGAGATCAATTGAAGGAGTCTCAAAAGTAACAAGCAGCACTGTTTTATATTTATCTAGAGCGGAGCGAGCCTATATATAAAGCAATACGCATGATGAATGTTCAACAATGGTTTATATAATATAGTGATCACTGCTGAACTCTTTTTGCCTTCTTAATTCACCTTGGCAGCCGAGTACATCCCATGTGCTGACGGAAATGATGCGACAAGAAGGGAAGGTAGATGGGCATTTCCCATAATAATAGCACCTGTTTCGCATGCGATCTTGACAGGCAAACAACGCCGGAACCAACTGTCTGTTGAACCATCGTCCTGTGACGATGTTTCATGCATATTGACTAACATATAAAAAAAAAAAAAAAAAAAAAAAAAACCCTTCCATTCAATGCTCTGATTCATTTCGAGATGATCAGTTGCTTGATACAAAGGTGCGTATAAGATATTACCAGATACGCTTGGGTTGGTAGCATTAGCTGAGGTATCTATGGGTGTCGCGTCTGGATTTAAGCCCAATGTTGCTGCAAGCACATCATATGCTGGTGTGCGATTGTACATAAACCACTCTAGTCCAATAAGATGACAATTAATCCTACAGTTGTCCTTGTCAGTCATACCTATCAAGATGATATTGAGCTTTTCGTTGTGAGAGATTTTTCTTTTTTCCTTATTTTGCTTGAATAAGAGACCGCAGTGTAATAGTTTCAGGAGATTATTTTTACCCGTCCTGGTCTCTTTTGATCCTGTAGAATCCTCTGGGATAGGGTCATTTTCGGTCCTCACGTTCCACAGCCAATATCGAAACGAGATAAACCCATGAAGCACAGTGATAGACTGATTTCTAGAGTGATAACGGAAGTTTTTGAAAAGAATCCGCCCTCCAAGTGGTGCAATCTGTAATGACTCTATTCATTAAATACGAGTTGTAAGCAAATTATTATTATTTTTTTGACGAAAAATAAAAATAAAAAATGAAAAAGTGGATTGAGAGGACATGTACCAAATTCAATGTACGCCTTCATGTGCCTCCAAGTAAACCAGCGTATCAATTTGGACAGCAATTGTGCAAAGATACGGCTCGCATAGAATAGAAAGAAGACAGCAACAAAGATAACAACTAGACAATAGATCAAGAAGGACCAAAAGGATGCGGTTGTATTGTAATCGACTAGGTTGACATCGTTTCCCGCCATTTTGATGTTAATTTAATAGGATGATAGAATTTCTTTTCGTTTTCGCCCTTTCTGACTTTGTGCTTTCCTTGCCAAGTTGGAATTTGGTGAAGCGGGAATGTCCCTGTATCTGCCTCTTTATTTTATTTTTCTTTTTTTTTTTTTTTTTTTTTGTTCAGCAGCTTTTCAAAAGGACATCGAATCCAACAGCGTTCTCTCGAAATGATAGATGAGTGAAATATAAATATGATTTAGAAAAAGTGATCCTGGTAGATTCAAAAAGAAAAAAAAAAAAAAAAAAAAAAAAACGATAGTCAAGATGAGCTGAGAATGACAAAAAATGATGCTGGGAATAAAATGAGCATGCACAATAGCATCTTTTTTACCCTTTCTTAATCTCCACACAGGTTCCTCTGAGTTAATTTTCCTGCTGTGCTGAATCACGCGCATGTTTGCTGTGGAAAAATCAATTTCCACTTGCATGTAAACAGCTTTTTTGTTCGTTTTGATGGTAAGATGCAGATGTCTTCTGAGGAATGAAGACGATACTTCTTCTTTTTCAAAACCACAGCTTATCTCGATGGCGAAAGGCAATGTCCTATGAAGCATTCTTCTTCCAATAATGAAAATGGCTACAAACAAAATAACTGCGCATCAAACTTCGCCCAAGGAACATCTTTTAATTGTTTACATCTCTTGATTTTAGGGTGCTCAATACTTTAAAATAAGAAGAAAAAGAAAATCATTAATTGAATGGGATTCCCTATTACCAAAGCGGAGTGATTAATAGCGGCACATCAATTCTTCTATTACTTTTTTTCTTCGATTCTTTTATACTATTCATGAAGATCACAGATGATTCAAGAGGGCTCTTCACATCGGTGATGTTTTCGGGTGCCTGACTTATCTGTCAAAAAAGGCAACTGGCGTCCTTAAAACTCTATGATTATGACTACTCTGCTGTTCAGTTCAGGAGACCAGAATTATTGAGTAATGCATCAGAAGTTAAGGGAAAGCAAGCGTTGCATTTTCCAATATGTAGCAATTCCCCATTTCCTCAATCCTTCTCAATCCCGAATGACCAAGTTGAGAAATGCTCCCGATAATGGTATGGTAGAGTGAAGCGTGAGACTTGCTCTTGTCTTTGATCTTTTCGTGATATTGGTTTTTATGCGAGGCAGATGAATCACAAGGCGACGTGTCTGATGTCGGGGATGGGCTTCTTAACCTCACTGCAATCACGGTACAAAAGGAACTAGAGGAATCATTGGAGCGAGAAGGTTCAGACAGCTTGTTTGAGTTACTTATTGATGCCGCATATGTGTCGTTCTGACCTTTGAGAAGGTCTGATAGACTATGAGGTCCGTCAGCTAAGCTGCATGCCTCTTTAAATGCTAAGAAACGCCTTTTTCGATCCTCACAATTTCCTTTCTTGAACAAAGGTGAATGCTTTCAAAAGGTGGCCGTAAACAAGTGTACGCTTAAATATGAATAAACCAACGTGGGCATCATAAGTATGTCAAAGTGTTTGCAAGAGCAAACTTGTTGAATAGACGAGATGCAATGGAAACCAGGCTAATGTCTTAATAGCTCTTTAGTAGGGCCTCGAATAACTGTGGGTTTGAGCTTAGCTTTCAGTTACTCATTTCGTTCATATACTACAACGACGACAAAGCGCCAGAGAAGGATACTCAGCAATTGAGCAAAGCTGTGGTCCGGATCCCCTTTGCTTGATGACCATACGCTGGCTAAATGCCTTTTTATCAGATACCTTAAGTCGAAAGAGGGAGCTATTTGACAGCCCCAATTATAGTTCGTATCACATAGTCCTCCCTTCTCCTATTAAATTTGCACTTTACTCCATCAGAGGGGCTCTTTGTGCATTTCACATCGCTGACACTAAGAATATGTACTACATTTTATACATTTAATGCAAATACTTACCTTTCTCTCTCTCTTTTTTTTTTTTTTTTTTTTTTTTGAATGATCTTTGGTTGCCAGTGGCACCGGCTTTGATCTCTCTCTTATACAAAACGACATCATCCTCATTGGATATTATGTTGACACGCCAGATTATCCCGTAAACGTTACATCAAAATTTCGTCTACATCACCATGGTCGAGTGGGAGAGAGAGAACTTTAGCTTTATATATATGTGGATGTTGATTGTTGCATAGCAATTCTAAATTAGGGATCCAAAAAACGCAAGTACATTGTTTCAATACACCTGTTGTTTTCGCCGAAAGAAGCGATAAGTATGAACAAGCAACCAACACTGGATATATTCTCGCTTCGAGTAGCATTCAAGGACGCTCTAACCACCAAAGAGTTTACTAGATTATCCTGTCTTGGGGAATTTATCTTCACAGACGCCAGTGAACCTTGAAATATCCACCCATTCTGCATCGGACAGGTACAACTCAGGTTCAGGGAAGTCTTCCATCTTGAGAGGAGACATAATATTGACGTACTAGTCCATAAGGCCCTTCTTTTCTTTGGCTGTTGTCGTCTCCTTTTAGGGAAGAGTCCGGTAAGGTAGAGTGAACAACTGGTAGAAAAGAGGAAACAATGTCTCCCTTATGGCATTGAAAACATAAATTGTCATACCGACAATTCGTGTACGTCGATTTTCCTATTTGTAATAGCCAATCAAGGCTTTATTTCCCAAAAGCTTGATTCTCATTCTCTTCTATCTCGCAGAGCCTCAATTTTTTTTTTGTTTACTTTTTTCACTTTTTAATAAAATACCCCGTCCAGTTGGATCCCAATGTTCTTTACATCATGATGAAAAAGGCGAATGGCAGCTAGCGGATGTAAGAGGATATATGGCCGGTTGATAGGTAAAGTGGGTGACTTATTGGAAGCTCAATATCAGGATCATTCTATCTGAAGCTACAAAATCTGCAACGAAAGAATAAAACGGTTTATTGTTGATTTGGGTATACTCCTCTGGCTTCTGATGTGATTGGTTAATAGAACCAGTGAAGAAAACGCCAGTTGAGGTGACATGAATAGATGCTTAGTGGGAGTGTTCCTTCTACGTTATAAAAAGTGAAATGTACATGAACCATAAGTAAGTGTATAATGAGAACGAAAGAAAGATGTTGTTGGATGTCCTCGTTTCTGTATTCAAAAGAAAGTGCGCCTGACGTTGCCTTCTGAATACTCATTCATTAAATTGCCAATCATTGCCGCTCGTTATCCACTCCAACATCCGAGAAGGTGGGAGCCGTAGAAGCCTCGCTCAGGAATAGAGAGTTTACATCAGCAATACGAGAAAAATGCTTCCAAACCCCACCAGAATAAAGTCTGTACCATGGACCAAGCACACAAAATTAGCCTGGCAAATTTACCAAGATAATCCTACAGAGTAAAAGTCCAACAGATGCAGGCATGTCAAGGAGGAGCTGTTAAGAAATATATAAGAAGATATTGTCTTTTTTATCTATCCTCCAGCTGGCGTTTCCGCTTTTTTGAAAAAAAGTCATCGATACCATTGATGCTACGAAAATTCGGGAATCTTTATTATTGTCGGCGTCATTTGGTTACGGGCATATTCATACTCTAAAAATATATTGATTGAATTAACTCTAGAAAGAGCCTGTTGCACTGAATTGATGTTGCGGTAGTGGTTCTCACCACGACTTTATAATATAGCTTTAATAAGTCGTAGGATTACTGATGTTGAGATTGATTTAGTGGCTGATTGAACCTCCAAGACCATTCATTTATGAACCACCTGAGTCGAATATCTTTTGTGCGACTGCAAAGCTAGTGATTAATGATGGCTTTAGAGGAGCCATTTGGCCAATGTCCAAAATATATGTGAGATATTACTGTGGTTGTTCTGCTTATGAAGGGAAAATGCCATGTCGAGAAGTGCCCCACCTTGTGGCCACTGAATAACGACGTGAATAGTGTCTTCTAGTGGCAACACACCCAAGACCGTTGAGATCTTGCTGCTTTGATTTCTGTCTTTGGTTTCACATTGCTAAGCTTGAGTATAAGGCCTCAAACCAGGAACGGAGTCATGCCAGAGGGCAAGTCGGTATGCTGTGACGGTAAGCTCTGGATTTATTTCGTGGTTTCTATCTTGAGACCCCCGACAATGTCTTCTTCCAAAATATTTACGGGGAAGAGCGTGTCTTTCCCATGAACAATGAAAAGAGTTTAATCATGGTTGATGATGAATTGCGTGGAAGGGCGATTTGGAAAGCATGATTGTAATCAACGACAAAAAGAAGAGTAACGAAGAGCACGGAAAGGTGCAAAGGTGAGAAGGGGTTGAGGCAATGAAAATTTGTGATGTTGAGAATGAGAGCGCTACTGTGGCACTTCAATTTGTAATAAGAAACTTTTAAGGTGTCATTAATATTTTTGTGATTCGCATCCATTCCTTGGCCCACAGATCATTATCCTGAATCGGAACGATTGGTATCATTCATTCCTCGGAACGTGGCACTGACATATGGTTACTCTGTATTCAGTCATCGGATTCACGCAGGGATTTCACATTGATCGAAAATATCGCATTTTAAAATAAAAAATCAATACTATGAAGCATGATTCAAAACCATTATCACAGATATTTCTAAAGGAACTGCAAACTGTTAACAGTTAAGAAAACGAAATGAGCTCTCGCGGTCAAACTGTCAGTAATCTTTGTTCAGTGATGGGGAGAAGGAATTTGATCCGTCTAAGATAGTACAAAAAAACGAGGGGTATGAGAAGTATGAGAATACAAAATAGGGGAACTATGAAGTATGGACTTGTGGTTAAATGCCCAGATTTCAGATCCAATCGATGGATTTTAGCTGGTGGCGAGCCTGACAATAAAGTTTTATTAAGGGCTGTGTCTATTCCGAGGCAAAGGAAATACATGGCGATCGACCTTTTTCTTTCATTCAACATTTTTACTCTTGAAAATCCTCCATACATAAAACAGGAAGCAACAAAAGAAAGTTGTTTAGTTACGCTTTTTGGCTGGATAATTGATTCATGAGTCTCCCAGTTACAGATTCTTCTGCAGAGTTGAGGCCTCGAAGTCATCTGGTGAAAGGCGAAGCAGAATCAGATGAACATCATCGTAATACAAAAACTACGGCCACCAAAATTTCAGCTGAAGGGAGTCTAGTCGAAGGCACAAATAAGAGAGCTCAATTAAAAAAGCTTCACTCTCCGAAAAGATCGGCATCATGGTCTAGCTGGGCAGCTCTCACGCTCCAAGTCTCTCTTCAGGACTGGATATTAATTGCAACAATGATCTTCGGAGGATGTTGCAGCAATGTGTTTGCATTGGAGATCCTTGTCAAGTAAATCTTTATATTTGCTCAACGCTTTTTTTTTTTTTTTACAATCATTCTATGGGATTTTTTAATCCGAGCTATCATCATTCCTTTCATTCACGTATTACATGTTATCCACAAACATAGCGATGCTCCTAAGAGCGGTAATAATACCAATGGCAGTTAAAAGCAAGATATGCATGTAATTTGATAGAAATACTAATGCGAGGATCCTATTGACTCGTTTGAATTTAATTGTCGTTGTTGATATAGGTCAGATGATAACATTTGCACAATTTGTATTTGTTTCTTTGTATGGTCTTGCCATGCATCTCCGATGGCCTATCGCACAAGAATGGTTTTCCGGACCGACCAGTAGCAAAAACAACACAAAATCATCAGATTCAAGATCGATATCAGGAGGCATTTGGTGGTACATCCCACACTTGAAGCAGAGACGGATACCAATTTCGCGCTGGATGATGATTGTTATCATGTTTTTTACAGTCTCTGTTCTTAACAACTGGGCGCTGGCCTACAAGATTTCGGTGCCGCTCCATATTATTTTTCGATCTGGAGGACTGATGGTTGGAATGGTGTTGGGGATGCTATTAATGAAGAAGCGGTACAGCAAAGCACAGATTTTTGCTGTGGTTATCGTAACGATTGGTGTGATTTATGCAACCACAAGTGCGAAAGCCAACAATTCGTCACCAGGGCCATCACAGAAGCATCAACACAGCCAGCAGCAGCAGCAGCAGCAGCAACGATTGCAAGGAGAAGTTAGTACAGGCGACTATGTAATTGGTGTTTTCATGCTTACAGTAGCGCTGATTGTGTCGTCCTTGATGGGTCTACTTCAAGAGTCCACTTACCAGACCTATGGTTCTGAATGGCGCGAGGGGCTTTTCTACTCTGTAAGCCAACAAATCATTGCTCGGAATATTCAAATCTTTGGCCGATTATTTAATTATTTTTATTTTTATTTTTATTAGCACTTTTTAGCATTGCCGATGTTTCTATTGTTTTATAGTGATATCATGGAACAAATTAGAGTCTTCAACCGTTCAACGCCCATTCCTATTCTACAATTGGTGCGTCAGATTGGACCATATCTCCCCACAACTCTTGCCTATAAACTAAGCTCAATTACTGTGCCCAGGCTATGGATCTTTTTAGCTGTGAATACTCTTACACAGTATGTACAATTCATTTTATTTTATTTTATTTTTTTGTTTAGAATAATAATGGTAATGACTGAACGCCTTATGTTTACGGTTTGTTTGTAGGTTCATGTGCATATCGGGTGTACATCGATTGACATCGCTTTCATCAGCACTGACGCTTAACTTCATCTTAAACCTACGAAAGTTCACATCACTTTTGATCTCGGTTCTGTATTTTGAAAATGGATTTGGGTTTGAAATGGCGGTTGGATCGAGTCTTGTCTTGCTGGGCACCATCATGTATTCAGTCTCGTCTTCACCAAAAAAGTCAAAGTTATCTCCTATAGTCGTATCAGATTCTGAGAAGAAGAAATAGTTCAAAAGGCAATCAGTAGCTCCTTACCAGCCACTATGATAAATATCTATTTTTCACCATCATTGCGTTTGTTTTTACGAGATAGACACTTGCATTAATGTAGATTAACAAAAAAAAAAAAAAAAAAAAAAAAAAAGATTAACATTGTTTTGTTGCCTTATTCAGACGCTTGGTATTAATGCAGGTGCAATAGGATTTGTCCGTATAGATCCGCCTTAAATAAAAAATGATTCTGCTGCAGCTCAAATCGCCTCCTGGCCAATGCTCTGTGGGAGGAAAGCTGTGCTCTTAATACAAACACTATTTTAGTCGAGATGTACATGCACTTTGTTTTTTAATAATTATTGATGCAGATACAAGTAATTATACATCATGTTCATATATATATATACAGACAGCATCACAAATCTACCCATCTCGGATGATATTGAGATTGGGTTCAAACGTTTTCTCCTCACCCAAGATGGTTTGGATATGACCCACCTTTGGAAGAGTAACAACTAAAGTATTTCTCATTACTGTCTTTGCAATCTTTTACGAAATACAAGGTTCAGGAACATATTATTGATCTAACCTTATTGGATGAAAAAAAAAAGTTCTTTTATTCATGTAAAAGAAATAGTTGCATGGATCGGAAGCTGACATGCCCCGATTTAACGGTTCCCCCATGCAAGTGTACAACATGACTGGATGAAAAATAAAATAAAGCACGCGCCAAATCTGATCAGCGATTAATATTGTCTTTAAAAAAGGAAGAGACGCAAGATACAGTCGTATTTCAACCGCATTGAGGCCTCCTTCTGAAACAGCTTCTTCTCTTTCTCAACAAGAGAATGGGTGAGTCTGTTCGTGAAGAGAGAGAGAGAGAGAGAGAAAGCATCTTATTTCGCATATTCGTATTACATGATACATGTAAACAATGTGTAACGGTACACTGAATACCATTGACGTGGTGCCATTGACTGAACCGACCAACGGGGACACCAAGTGCTCTCTACTTGCTCTGTCATGTACATTCATGGACATGTATTCTTTTTTATTTTGTTCATGGCATTTAAAAAATAGAAACTGCACAAGAACATTCAAACTTGGAGACTCGTGTGTCTAGTGGTGCAACACAGCTTGTGTTGATTAGGAATTCTGTTGCATCGTTGTATCTCTTACACCGCAATTTTTTTTATCCTACGAAGGGCTGGAAGAACAGAGTTGGCAAAGCAAAGCAAGGCAAATGAACAAGTTCAATGGTTCGATTTCTTTATTTTTGAAGAATTTAAATGGATACATGGATATGAATATCTTATTTGTGAGCATTATAGCATGGACATGAAGTGGGGGAAGAGCCTCTTTTACTTTTTCCTCCCTCTCCTCATTCTCCCAGAACGTTCTTGTTCTCTTCACTCTCTTCACCTTTTTTTTTTTTTTTTTTTTTTTTCTTTGGTTTTCCTTTCCTTTCCTTTCCTAATCCCCTTTTTCTTTCTTCCTTTGGTCCTTCTCCACGCCCTTCCTTCTGTCTGCCTACAACGCTTTTTTTTGTATTACATCATTTATTTTCTACGCCATTACAAAGGGTCATTGATGCCATTACATCCATCCATTCTTCTCACTTCATGACCACCTCTGCTTTTCCATTTGTAACGCCTCATGGCATTCCACCACAAGATGTACCCTGGCTGGCTGACTTGATTGCACGTCAGGCTGTACGTTTGTTTGACCCCCGTCAGTTACATGACTTGACTTTATCAGTCTCAGTTGGACCCAACTGTATTCTCCACACAGCTCGTCTTCACTCTTCCTCTACACTCCCCCATACTCATGCACATCCTCTCACTCACTCTTACGCGCAAAGCAGTAATACATCTGGCCTTGATACAAGTACTACAAAAACCAATACCACTATCACCTTAGTTGCTCTGAAGCAATACCATCGACCTGCAGACCTGATTTTCGAGGTAAAAATCTAATATTACATGGTTTTAATGCCAATGATTTTTACCTTGTGTATCAACGACCAACTAACCTTTTATTCATCTTACTATTGGCCTGGACCTCTACAGGTTCATCAATTGCTTATAACGCCACCTTCACCCCATACAAATCCTCTTCTGGGCATTGTCCAGTTAGGAGATCAGGGGCTCACCTGTCTTGTAGTGCCCTACCATCCTCTTGGCAACTTGCGTCGATACATTGCAGACCAACGAGCCAACCTCACAGCCATTCAACAGATGCAGCTCATCCATGATATCGCCTCAGGTCTCGAATTTCTTCATCAACGTGGTATTCACCATCTGAATTTACATTCTGCCAACGTTCTCATCACATTACAGGGTATGGCTATCTTGACCGACGTTGGTCGTGCCAATAACAGAGCAGAGGTTGGAATGCCTCCAAAGCCAACAGTAGAACAAGAGCGAGTGAGATCATTAGCAGTCGTCTTCCTAGCACCAGAAATTCTTGCCTCCAACTCCTATTCGAGTCGTAGTGATGTTTATGCTCTAGGCATGGTTATGTTCGAATTACTGACGGGCAGAGTAGCGTTTGAGAAAGATCTAGATCGGCCAGGGCTATCAACTAAGGTCATGTTTGGACGACAAGATGAGATACCTGCTAATATCAAAGGCAGCCCTGGACCTGCATATGAAGCACTGATTAAGGACTGCTGGAAACTAAATCCTGCCGAAAGACCGCATCTTTCAGGACTCAAAAATCGTTTGGAGCAACTCATGGCAGAATGTAGACAGAAAGCAGAGGCATTAAAACTACAGCACCAGGCAGCTCTGCTACAACAACAGCTACTCTATCAACAACAACAACAAGCACAGTACAACCAACTATATCAGCCAGGATCTATTGCACCACCTACACCGCCCTTACCAGACGGATTATCTGTTGATCCTATGCTTCAGGCAAATGCTATCACAGCCCGCATTGCTGCCAGCAATGCTGCTCAGGCGGCAGCTCAGGCGGCAGCAACATCAGCATCATCGAGCATCATTACTACACAAGTGGTCGTTTCCAACACTACTCGGCCACGGGCTGATTCGTCAGCAAGGAGTATATCAAGCAATGATTCCACAACAAAAGAGAAGCCTGTCGAAGCTTGGACCATTGGTCACGCAACAGCCCCTTCTACGATACAGCAGCGGGATGCAATACCCATCCCCACTCGAGCCCTAGAATTAACATCAACACATCTCAGAAGCAGAAGCGTTTCTCCACTTGATCAACAGCTCTTTAGCACTACCTCACTCGGATCTGTCCCATTATCAACATCGAGTGTAGCATCTATCATTGCTCCTGTAACATCTATAGAGCCTAACATTGCGCTATTTCCACCAGCTCAGAATGGCCTTGTAACTCTTACAACAGCATCAACAACCAGCACTGCCATGGCAAATACTAGCCAGAGCAGCGCATTAAGCACTGGGCTCCCACTGCCTCCGAACATAAATAGCCCTATACCGATATCGAATGCGGGTCCAGGCGTAGTTGCACCATTAATCATAACAGGGGCCACCACTAATATACCCCTTCAGCTATCAACAATTCCTGGATTGCCATCGAGCGATGCTAAGCCTTACCCTCTACCTCCACCTATACGTTCCAGTAGCGCCAGCAATAGCTCAAAAATCCTTTCGGAGGCATATACAAATCCGGGGGCTGCTGCCTTTACGCCAGCCACCATATCTACCGCATCTGCTGCTAACAATGCGACGATAATCCCTGTATTACCCATTACCACCGCAGTTGCAGTTGAAACCTCAGCTGGAACAAGCTATGGTGCTGGCGTAGATGTGGGGAATGCTTCTTCGCTTGTAGTCCTCTCGCCAGTAACTCCCATGTCTCCTGTATCACCCACTTCTTCTACAGCTTCAAGTATGTCACCTAACAGTCTGTTCAATCCAGGAAGGAACACAATCATTGCGACCTCTGCAGCTGAGCAACAGTCCCAAAATGATCCTATGGCCACGTTTTTCAGCTGGGCTCAGGCACCCCGATTTCCCGTGGGCAAAGACGAAGTGAAGAGAAAGATCAGCTCAGCGTCGTCGTCAGTCAAACTTATAGAAGATGGTTACACAACCCCAAGTAATAGTGATACAGACCATCCCCATCATTCTGCGTCTGTGTCTACGGCCACATCCATATCCACGACCAAATCCCCTATGTGTCGATGTGACAAAGTCAAGAGTCTAATTGCAGCTATTGAGCATCCTTCGTCTGTGGAAACAGGAAACGAAGCCGGAGCGGAAACAGCAGCAATGCTAGCAATACCAGCTCAAGCAGAGGATGTGCTACCTTCTTCTACTGGAACAGATCTTCAGCAACTTCAAAAGCAACTTTGCAACTCACCCCCAATATCGCCCATCTCAACTCTCAGCTATAAACAGTCTTCAGAGTCTATTCTCATCATTCCAATATTCCCAGAACCACCGACGACGCTCCATAATCGACGTATCTCTAATATAGACATTCAATTCCGTCAAGCAGCACGTCAGCATGTACTGTCGCAGTCGCTTATGAATGAGCGTATGGGCTCAATTTCAAACGATGAATCCTCAAGAGCAAATGGGTCAAAGAAGGATTCAAAAACCCTCACCTCTGTACGATCACCAGAAGCAATGACCCCTCAAATTTCAGGACCAGGATCAGCTACAGCTGGGCTTGTCACTCGGAGTTCTTACATGCCGATCACTTCCTCAGGTGATGTACCCATGAGTACTCCATCGGATTGTATTTTCTCGGCAGCTAAGAACGGTGATTTGGAAGAACTCCAGTATTTTTTGAACAAGGCTCTCAGTCGGTCTTTATCGAACGGATCTACATCTTCAGCCAGTGTTCACTCAGGATCAAACAACACAGCACGTAACGATCTGAATGTGAGCGTAGAGCCCTTGGATCAAGTGGAGCCCGTTGAACGACTGCCTGTATTATGTTGTGCAGCTGTGGCAAGGAAAAATAAGTACCAGGCATTGAGCATGGTGTTAAGAGCAGGTGCTAATGTGGAGGCAAAAGAGCAACGTGGGGGCAATACGCCTTTGCATCTAGTTTGTGAGACTGCACCGCCACCGTTGGAAGAACCAACAGTAATTCGATACAAACAAGATGAGAATGGATCGAGAATTTGTGCAGAGGACGTTTTAGAGCTCATGGGTCCCAAGATGAGTCAACTATTAGATTCAAACATAGTAGTCCCATCGTCATCCATGGGAGAAGCTGAAGAACTAGGTGAAGAAAAGAATTATGGAGATCTATCATCGCTTGAAGAGAGACAGGCGGCAGCTTTGAGAAAAGTCATTGAACTGGATGAACTGGAACAAGAGGCCATGGAGCGAGTCAGGATGGATTTAGGATCTCTGCTTAGTATCTCAACAAACGAGGATGGGGCTCCGAATTCTTCAGGGACCCTGCAAAAGCACAATTTAGGGGGAACTTACCGTGCATTGATGAAAGGCGGCCTCGAGGATCAGATTCGACTGTTGGTTCTCGCAGGATCACCCGTAGATACACCTAACCTCAGAGGCGAAACCCCTTTGCTGTTGTTACTTCGGTTCCATGACTCTGTCATGGCCATGGCGACTTTGCTCCGGTTAGGTGCTGACCCAACACACATGTCACCGTTCGGGCCCGGAGCCGATCCACCTGAGATTCATATTGATCCCTCATTGCTTCCAGGGGGTGCGTCATCCAAGGAATACAAACGGTCCTCCAAGAGACTGTTCTCGATTAAATCTGCCGCTGCTGGTACTGCCAAAACAACAGACGATGCCTCGTCATCAACGACGACATCTCTTCTCCCTGAAAATGATCCCAACCATATCTTAGTTATGCACGGAGGCGCTTTAGTTCAAGCTGCGTACTATCTCCGATTCCATTGTTTACATTACCTATTGGAAAATGAAATCGAATGTAGCGACCCAGTCATTATTGAACAGGCAATCGTAGCCTGTCGTCAATCCACAGCAGCAAAGGTCAACCCACCATTAGTAACCATCCAGAAACGGATCCTAAAAACCTTAGAAAAAGATTGGAAGGGTGAAACAGGTCGACGACGAAGGATCCTGGTGGCGGAACGGACCCTGGATCGCAAACAGAAGCCAATTCGATCCAAAGTGTTGTTGGTTGCATTATCAGTTTCCTCTGGATCAGCTGTTGAAGATTTGGGTGGTGATACTTCTACTGAAGTTTCTATCGCTGGAACTCAACACAGCAACGGGTTTTCGACTAATACAGCTAATAATGGGGCGGCAGCTGCAGCTTCGTTCTCTGGATCGCGGGTTACTCGGTCAGAGCATCGTAGAGGGGGTGCATCCTCGTCTTCGTCTACGTTTGCGCCTGCAGCATTGAAGGGAATTCCAACCACACATCTATATGCATCTAAAGGGCCATCAGGTCCAGAGATTGAGTTAGTTGGTCAACATGGGTTCGTGGTCGATTCATCTACTTCACGGTACCACCTATCGGATCGTCCGGTGCCGTCTTCGCTATATCCGTTGCCTACTGCAACATCTTTGACGCCAGCATTTGATACAATAAGTGAGAACGGCAGTAGTAATGGTAGCACGCATTCGAAAGAGTTACAAGATTTCTATACGGTAGTCAAGGATCAAAAAGGTTTCTTCCGGAAGATACGTGGTATGGCCAAGCGATCATAAACTTACCTCAATCAAAGCATTTACTTTCTATAATAAAATAATGTTAATAATGACAACAATGTTAATGAATCAAATTGGCATTATAACTACTATGGATTGTGGATGATTGTCATCGGTCAGGTCCTTAGTATCTAGTACCCCAGGTAGCCTTCCTATCTTACTGCCCTAATTTTTTGTTGTTCTCCATGACTTGAACTAATACCGGCATTGATACTACAGCTGGTGTAAGTTGGTGTTATTTATTTACTACTCTTTCTTTATTCGAGCTCCTTCTCCCTTTCCTATCCTTTCTTCTTCACCCAGGAACTCGCCAAAAAATCTATGAAAGAAACCAACGTTCACCTTGCAGTTTACTGCTATTCGAACCAGAAAATGGAAAGTGGTCTCAGATTCATTAACCGCGGATTATAGTAATGGGACGGGGATTAGTGGTCTTAGTTAAGTTTATGGTCCGTGGTAGCGAACGCGAAGGTTCCAGAATTTTGACCCGTATTATGGTTTTTACTTTGAACGGAAGTTGTTTTTTTTTTTTTTTTTTTTTTTTTATATGTATAAAAAACATGATAGAAAGTAAGAGAATAATAGAGGATATGCGTTGATACTTTGGTTTTTGTCCCTGCATCTTCTTGATCCTATTCTTATACTTCATATCGCGGCATTCAATTCTTTAAAGACGATTCAACGTAGTACCGTGGCTGTTAATCGGATAAACAAGGGATTCAACAAGTTGATTGAGAGACTAGCCTTCATCTTTTGCTATAGTCAACTCGCTAGAAATCTTCAACTGTTGGGGAACGATGGTTGTTTTTCTTGTTCCTGCCCCTGCTTCTGTCATGTCTTTGTCTGTACTTCAGTTGCAATACCTGTTACTCTTGTACTCGAACAACCGTCAGATGGAGGGTTGACAAGAGGATGAAGCTTTTATGCCTAATTAAATAAAATTATGTATAGTGCACTGTTATTGGAATGTTTTTTTAAGAGTTGGATTAATTTGTAGGCAGCACACGATTGGCCCATTGAAAATGCAACCGTTTCTCACAGTTGTCCTTTTCTTCTTTCCTCCATCCTTTACTCATCTCTCCTGTCATCACCTTCGTTCACATTCACATCATGAAGACCTTCTCTACTCTTATTGCTGGTGCTCTTCTCTTGGCTGCTCAGGTCATTGCTTATGAAGCTCCTAAGGAGCTTGTTATCGGTAATGGCTCTCTTCTTTCTTGATCAACCCCCCATCATCCTATACTGCTCAACAATCAACGGTCCCCTTTTTTTTCTCAGCCTTGAATGCTTACCTTTAATATTATCATGCTGCAGCCTTTGCCATACCTAATGATCTATTGGTGTGCTCGATTAAGAGCCTGTCTGACGGCATTTCTCAATACCGATAATTCAATCTCTCGCATGTCTTTCACCACTAATTCTCTCTTTTATTTATCTCTGGAACTTTGTAGATGTCGTCAGCAAGCCTAAGGACTGCACGAATCTTTCCAAGGATGGGTAATGCCAATGCATGAAGTGAAGAACATAGCGAGCTACTTTTTTTTTTGTACTTGCTTGAATTGTCACTAATTTTTTTTTTTTTTTTTTTTTTTTATATTTGTTTTTATTTGCATAAATTATGCTTGAATATAGCGACAAGCTATCAATGCATTATACTGGCACTCTTCACAACGGTGGTTCCAAGTTTGATTCCAGTCTGGATCGCGGCCGTACCTTTGATTTTTACCTCGGTTAGTTTTCAATAATGAAAGGCGTACATTTTGTGCACTTTTTTTGTTTGTGTGATTCATATCAAGGACAGTTTTTAATTGATTGGAATGGATTTTAATTTTCAATTTTTAGGCATTGGCCAGGTGATCAAGGGATGGGATCAGGGATTGAAAGGAATGTGTGTAGGAGAGAAGCGCAAGCTGATAATTCCTTCTAACTTGGCATATGGTGGTCGATCCATGGGCTCTGCGATCCCTGCCAACTCTGCTTTGGTCTTTGATGTTGAATTGGTCGGAATTAATGGCAAGGATGAACTGTAAAAGATATAAAAGGATATGCAGGACAATAAAGTCCCCCCCCCCCTTTTTTTTTTTTGATTATCCATGAGAAGTCATCGAGAACTGTGGAGAAATTGAGTTGGAAAAATGATACTCATGCACATATTCAATACCACCGACATATGCTATCAAAATAAATACTCCATCGTAAGATCTACCATAGTCATCCTAAGCGCTTGATGAGAACATCAATGACGGATAAATGTTTGCTCAATTGAAATGAGCTTGAGAAGTAATTCAAACGTCATCAATGTCTTGTACGCTCGACAAGATATCGCTAACTACCACAGATGCTAGGAATTATTAGAACCGCCATATTTGGGAAATAAGATGTTCTCTAATCTTCAGCAGTGGCAATTAAGCCAGGAGTGCCTTTGCTGTTTGGGCTGTCATCCTTACAGTTTGGTCAGGAAACTTTACGGTAGCATCGAATTCAAGAGACAGGGAGTTTCAGGAGGGCAATAAAACTTGCTGAAGGAACAAGTTCAAACACGGACAATTATTAATAGAATATTGACAGGATCTTCTACTTTCAACGGGGGTGCACTCATAACTGCCCGCCTTCATCGTGGCCTGTGCCAAACATAACGCAAGACGGGCTATATGATGCGAAAGGCACGCCAGCTACAGAGAATGTTGTGTAGAAAGGATTTCCAGACATTAGTTTATATATTGTGATCAAGATTGATCTGGACATCCACAGTACAGCCATGGGTACCATCAATTCTGATGGACTGTCAATGACTTCGGCGCTTAGAGCACTAGTCCATGAGAGACATATGGACGTCCAACAGATCGAGAGCAAGGTCGGACTTGTCCCAGATTCGGCAAAAAAAAAAAAAAAAAAAAAAAAAAAAGGATACAGAGAATTCTCGGAATGGATCGAGGGCAATGTGCTGCCCTGTTTAGAAGGCGCCATGGGATCTAACGAGGCGGCCATTGTTTGTGATGGGGGACGGACAGCATTTATACATTTTTTGAGAAAACAAATCTGCAGCTGTCTTACGAAACATACTAATTTTATTTTAAGGTTGTTTTCAATTGCATTTGGAGGAAAGTAATCATTCGTTCTATGAAGCATCCCCTGTAAATGCAGGATGATCTCGTGCTGAGTTCATTTTTTCATATCGAGGTTTAAATATGAACAGCAAACAACAAATGAACAAACGCTAAAAAGAAATGACAGCGAGGAGAGATCAAAAGGGAAATAAAATAAAAAAGACGTCAAAGGGTGAGATGGCCAATGCCCCGATGCAGAAAAGACACAACAGGGCAAAGCAGAGCCCTCTTTATTTTTTTATTTTTTTTTTTAAAATATCTTTTGTGAATTTGTTCAACATGCTCTCAAATCATTCACCAAAGAGATACATGAAAAACAAATACCCCATCATCAATCCATCTCTTTGTGCTTTGTCACTCCATGCCAAATGCCTTGGCTGATGTTATTTTTTTTAGTTTCAAAACAAGCACAAAACCTTTTTTTTTTTTTTTTTGTCTCCTTCTCACCTCCAACCTTTCTCCACCTACAACCTCATTGTTTTCGAAATCTCATTTCACTTCATTCTCTCTCTCTCTCTCTCTCTCTCTCTCTCTCTCTCTCTCTCTCTCTCTCTCTCTCTCTCTCTCTCTCTCTCTCTCTCTCTCTCTCTCTCTCTCTCTCTCTCTCTCTCTCTCTCTCTCTTTTTTTTTTTTTTTTTTTTTTAAATAAATAACACATATACGTCCAAGGTGAGTGCATACTTCTCCTCCTCATAGCTCTGCACACACTTCCTCCAAAAGACACCATTTTAATGGATATGCATTCTCATTCGCTTCTGTCTCACTTCCTTTGCTTAAATGTTTCTCTAGGTCTCTTTCACCTTCAAAACCAATAACTCGCATCTCTCTTTTTTTTTTTTTTTTTTTTTTTTTGCCCTTCACTCCAAGAGCAAACTGCCCATATCCACAGCGCTGAATTGCTTGTCCAACGCTCTTTTTTCTTTATTTCTTTTTCTTTTTTTTTTTTTTTCCTTCCTCGACTCTACTAACTTCTACACACACGCGATGCAAATATGTCTCGCTCTAACAGAAATAACCTGGTTGGTATCCATAGTCTGCACAGCCGCAATCCCGATAACGACGAAAGCATTGTTCGACGAAGCACCAGTAACACCAGTATAGGTACAAACAGCTCCTCTGCAGCTCCTCCCTTACGCAACAGTCAACTCCTTATAAACGATCATGATACTGAACTCGACTGGCGCTATCTTTCCACCACAGAAACATACAGCTCCGAGTGTTCGGCACCTATGGGGGATGATGAAGTCGATGATTTAGAAATAGACCAGGCAACTGTTGACCCGACAGTCAGATTGATCAGCAATAGTATCAAACACCAACGTGGATTGGGCAGTCGTCCTTTGCAGACTTTTGCTACATCGCCATCTTCAGCCTCCGGCATGTTTTCGACTTCGCCTGGAAAACCAACAACTCATGAGGCAGACAAGAGCACTGATACTATCAAAAATATGCGTGCGCGTGCTCTGGATAAGATCAACGGTAGGAAAGAATCATCATCCAACTTGGACTCCGCCTACAGCAATACCAGCGCCGGCACCACCAGCAACAAGAATAATGACGACAAAGCCAACAATGCTTCAAAAAGAGTTACCATCACGTTGTCAACTGCTCAAGGATATGATTTCTTACCAAACCAGTCTTCCACAACCACAAAAGAGGAAATTTTTGCGTCCCGAGCGTCTGGACATGGCAGGAGTGGAAGTTTTAGCAATGGCTCTGGCATCAGACTCAAGCGGAGGTCGCTTGGGCCTTCATTATCCGTCCACCGTTCTGTCGTTACAAGAGTCTCGCAACCAGAAGCCCACCACACTATACCTGAAACTGCAACCCGCCTTTCTTCTCAAAACAACGTTATCAAAAAACATAATTCTGGCCCTTTTAAAAATCAGAAAGAACAGTTACGTTCGACGTCTGAAGACGAGCCTGATACTGTAAAGTCTCGCAATACAACTGCAGCCAAGGGTGGAGGTATACTTGTGAGCGAGCTCAGAGCTTTAAAGGCGCGTGTTGAGGAGCTTGAGTTGGAACGAATGAACCGATCGCTCTCGGATCTTCGTGTCCAAAGTCCGCAAACCATGACCATCCAGTACCAGCAGAGGCAACAACAGCAACGGGAATTAGAGGAGCAACAGCAGCCCTCCTCAACCCACTCTGAAAAAGTCCGGCAGCTCATGATGGAGAGTCAAAATCGAGGTTTGACGAAAACCATGGATTCATCTAGTGGTCCCTTACGGTCCCCTATTTCTATCACAGCCGCAACACCAAAAGAACGATCCTCTTCCTTTAATATGGACCGCTTGGAGCCTCCTGTCAGAATTGATAGCCCACTTCGCATAGCCTCTATGGCAGCAACTCCACAACCAACAACACAGCATGTGGCTCTTCTGCAAGAAGCGTTCAGAGCTTTTGAAAAGACCATGTCTATGGGTCATCATAATGGGTCAGGGATGCATGCAAGTGTTCAAGCCATGAGTAAGGTCGTGACCAATGCTGTTAATATGAATCAGACTATCCGCACTTGGATTAAGGCCGACATAGCTCTTGTGGACTCTTCGTCCATGGCTGCCCTTGGACGTGCCAGTGATGAGCAAATTCGGAGCCTGACAGAATCTTTGTTAGCCATGACAACAACTTCTCTTGCTCTAGATCGCTCATTTCCTCAGTCTGAAATGGCTATAATGAACCAATCTTACTCTCCGATTCCCGCAGGCTCTCTTCGATTTGCGCAGGGCCAGCGGCTGTCCCTTATAGGGATTGGCTCCAGTCAAGAACCATCGCTATTACAACAAAACGCCCCGGAGTTCATATCAAGTCAGCAACGCCGACAGATAAATGTGTCCAGTGAGCATCCTGTGATGGAATCACCACAAGCTATGCGTCATTGCCCTCCTATTCTTCAGCGCCAGAGTCAATCACCTGCGCCTGAGGGCACTGAGGCATCTGTACAGTTGGCTAGACGACAGAATAATGTTCGAAACATCATGGCACGGTATGCTCACGCGGGCTCTAGAGCACCTGCATTCGGTCAATCCAGCCAAGAGAACAATACAGACATGGATCAGCTCCGTCACGAGGATGTTATGAGTAACTATCTGGAGCAACAACAACAGCAATATATCGAGAGCAATATCTATCAAACGCCTCAATACTCGCAAGATAATCCCGACGGCATGCCAGCCTCTGTAGAGGTTCTATCCTCAGGCCATCCGGGAGTGGTACATGGAAGCCGTCGACCATTGTCTCAACAGGAGTTATACAGTTATTCAGGAACATCATCCAGAATGTCAGTGCCTCAGATCCGTAAAGGAGTTGGCATTCATCGGTCAGGTCGTTATGCTCACGACAAAGTCTTTTCTGAAGACGAAAGCATTGGAGGCTGGGACACCATGAGTAGTACTGAGCAAGCTCCACATCAGCAACGTAGGGCCTCCCAAATTGGGAGGTATGCGTTACGACTGCAACAACTACATGGACGTCATGGGCAATTACAGCCACTACACCAACAATTGGATCAATTTGAACAACAACAGAATCAGCAGCAGCAGCGGCAGCAGCAGCGGCAACACGTCAGGCGTGGTGAAGAGTATTCCGATGGAGCTGAGAGTGACATGTTTGCAGAGAGTATAGTTCCACTCTTTGCACAACGCTCCCAGCAAGGAACCACAGCCAGGATATCTCAACACCTCCATCACCAAGATATGATGATGATCAATCCTGCGATGCCATCACCCAATTCATCTCCTTCTTCCTCCTCACGATTGGACGCACCATCCGTAGTCTCAAGTAATAGTCACCATGGGGGACTAGCTTCTGTAGATGTTCGTAATCATTTCTCGCCTCGTGGACCGGCCGATCCTACATCCTTCCCTCGACAACAAAGCATCAGTAGTATCTCCGGCCTTAGTGATGACAGCCAGTTTAGTCCACGGGGGTCATTACAGCAGCAAAGGCAAAAGACACTTGCCCATCAGCGTGTACAACAGCAGCCTTTACATTCGTCGGACGGCATGTCACCACAGGCAAAGGCTCGTCTGCAACAGATCCTTAATGAGAGCTAAAGCAAACTTGAAAAAAAAAAAAAAAAAAAAAAAAACTGATATAGTTTATTTTGTTGTAACATTTCTTTTTTATCTATTGTACATTAAACTGTGCATACAGCACCCTCCCAATGACTTTCTGATTAGGATTTATTACACTACTTTTAATTCAACGAGCCAGGCGCCGTTCGCCACAGTCTGCCTCGTCAAATAATTTAATACGTTGCCTTGTGGAGATAACATAAATGAAAGGGTAGTCTGCAATAACAAACGAGTTTTTATTTTTACACACGGACCGAGGCATGAAGGGGTCTTTCTTGTGCCTACGCACGCACAATCATGCAAGTACCATTACATAACCCATGTTTTGGGCTCAAATTGAGAAGAAAAAAGATACCGACTCTTGTCAAAGGAATTGTCAAAATAGCAATTACGAACTCTGGTCTGGTCTCCGGAGTCATGAATGTGAGTGTGGATCTGCAAAAAGTGAGGGCCTACGCCCTCGGGCGGAGACACAAGACCAATTAAGTGTACAATCCCTCCGACAATATAGAAAGTGTACAGTACATGTGCACACTTTGATCATTTTTCAGGGCTCCGGTCGCAGTTCACCTTCATTGATGTTAAGGATAAAGCACAGTTGTAATGCCGTGAATCCCCTCCAAATGTTTTACTTTCCGAGCTATGATTGCCAAAAAGATCTACCAAGCATGGGGTGGGCTCCAGTCAGGATTCTGGTCTAACTCTACCGCAGCAAGGCAAAAATTCTGGTCGGGCCCTTCTATTCTATTTCTTATACTCCTCAAAGAACATAATGCATTGCAGCATATGCATTGGATCATCGGTTCTATACGGTATCCTTCAGGTAAGGGGAATCGTCCCCAAGCTAATTCTGTGTGTGAATAAGAAGCTCTGTGTTTATTATCCATGCATGCGATAGCGGCACGCGCTGTACAAATCGCGGTCCTCTTATTAACACAGACTCAGCAGCCAAGTTCATGGGTGATCTCGTTCTTCGCCTCCTCTTTTTCTCTATAGATTTTGCCAAGGCCAGAGAATCTATGAAGCTGCAGTAGGGTTTGTATTCCGTGTCAGAGGGCCCAGAAACCTTTTCATATTCAGAGACGATCCCTGACTCGGGGACAGTATCTATTTGAGGAATAATCGTTGGCGGTGTCACTGGATTTTGGTTTTCCGTTCGTCATCGAGCAGCGTTTTTTAGATCTTTTGACTTCTTTGAAGGCAGATCTTTAGTGCCCTCTTTGGGTATGAATAATATACCGAAAGCTTGAGTGCCCTCGTCTCTTCTAGCATCAAAGGCTGAGAACCAGACTCGGAGGCTACTGAGTGTATACGATGCAGAGAAAGATGTAGTCACAGAGGAAATGGTGGTATGGAGACTAACAACTTGTTAAAGGTCTTTGAGATTTCTTTGTATACTTTACAGCTTTATTTATCTCCATGACTGTAGTGGTGAAATATATTGTCCGGATTGGAATCTATACCAAGTTCTCCATCCCATATTTTAGGCAAACTGCGGAATGAACTTAGTGGCGTAGAATAGGGTTTTTTTTATGCAAAAAAAAAAAAAAGAATAAGCAGTTGTGGCTACCATTAATGTTGTGCCCAGTTTTAATATTGGGCGCATTCAATCTTAGGCTCTTTACAAATTGAGCCAAGACGGAATAGGTATTTAACTTTTGATATCAAGGTGGATATTAAAACGACGCGTCTCCTTATTTGCCAATCACATAACGTGGAACAGTAAAACGAAAAAAAGAAATACTGCGAATGCTTATTCTGGGGCGAATGGAGGGTTACCATGGGAAGTAAGGCAACTCGCCTGTTTCCATCCACAGTTTGGGTCTAAAGAAGACTACTTGCTTCCTGTAAACCCCGTTTTTTTTTTTTTTTTTTTTTTTTTTTGGCAAGATCAATTGTGGTTTAAATGACAAAGCGAACTCGTGTATCGGATCCGTATCAAACAAACCAACCTGCAGTCTTACCCTGAAAAGCTTGTGTATGCTCAGAGAATGAAGCATAATCATCTCTCATAAAAAATTTTTTTTTTTTACCTCTTTATAAATTACAAATTTGCCTGCAAGTCAAGTGCACGAAAGCTGATTAATAAGTTACTGTACATGTTCTATGAAAGGGAAATTAAATATCTCTGGAGGGACAACATGATGGTACGTCTGCAAAGATCTGTCCGTATTATTGTGAAGAACCATTGGTCTCCTCTGCTTACTCGATGAAGACCATACAGCCTTCTCCATATTCTTCAAATGCTTCCTCAAGGCTGGAGCTGTTCCTCATCTTTTTCTGGCCAGCAGGCTCCGGAAGCCGGTTGCCACGAGAATAATGGTAACATCGCTCTCGTTCCTGTTCTGCGTGCGACATCACAGGGAAATAGGTCTGGCTTCGATGTGATGCATGATGGCTAGGGGATCGCCTGGGTGACATCTGAGCCGTGCCTTGACTACAGTTAAATGAGTCCATCAGGTTCAGTGTTCTTGATGGCATCGATGGCCCCGAAAAATCAAATTGTCTGTGTGATAATGGAGAGGTTGGCGAAGTAGAGCTGGTTAACCTTCCTTTATACAAGGACTGGTCATAGTCCGCATCTGTAATATATTCGTCAACATTCCCCTCAAAATACTGTCCTTGCTGCTGTTGCATCGACATCTGTTGCAATAGAGGAGCAGGCGTGGGAATTGACACGGGCGTGCAGTGATATTGCTGTAGCTGTAATGGATTATTATGGATACTGAAGCTGCTAAGATCTGCACTCGTGCCTGGATATCGCGTTTGTTGTCTTTGCAGGGCTCCACCATTGGGCGTATCTATCTGCCCCTGTTGCGTAAGATACCGAGATGACGGTGGAGTTGGCTGCAAAGCCCCAAACTGTATCGGTGAAGGAAGCGAAGCAGATGTTAGTGCTAGATTATGACCTTGTTGATGTCGTGGTAGTGCTGGAGGGGATGTCCATGCTGGAATGTATGGAGGCGTATGTGACTGCTGCTGATACTTTTGCTGATGGCGATATCGATGACTTGGTTGGGACATAAGATTACATTGTAGCTTGTCATCATAGGTGATGGATTGCTCCGTTCTTGGAATAGCAGACAGATGACTCCTTGAGTAGAAGTCGTAATGCATATCCATGTCTTCAGCATCTTCCGCCAGTGCAAGCTCCAATTTCCGTTTAAAGCTACCTTCAGGGATGTTACTTGTAAAAGTCTTTTCTTTGCCTCGTCCTAAATCCAAACCCTGTGTCCTAGCAAAAGCATTGCGGCCAGCGCTAGGGGATTTCAGTAGAGCTACAGCATCATCCATTTCTTCGCCTGACCCTTCCTCTGACATTGCAAAAATATTCTTCAAGGTTGGAGGCGCTGCTTCAAGCCCATCTGTGTCTGCGCTAGTCATGCTTAATGCCAAGCGGATCGGCGTTACAGGATCTGTAGATACCGTTCCCAGGTTAGACTCTTCCAAAAATCTTTCATCGGGTTGAGTAGCGTCCGTTTCTATTTGACTGGCAGCCTTAATTTGTGATACGGATGTTCTTTTGAGCGTCGGCGTGGACAACAGGGGTTTATCGATGAGTCGATTATCTGTCGATACCGTATGCCGTGAAATTGATAGCGGAGATATTTCTGTAGATGGAAAAGCAATAGGTTCTGTTGATTGTTCCTCCATCGCAACTTTTATCGAATCTTCATAGCCTTCATCGTGTCCCACATCCTGCTCCTCTTCGCCATTTTCAGAAACATCCAAGCGTTCCAGCTCCGAAGACAGCTCTTTTTCAACATTGTCTCCATCCCCAACTTCATGCATCCCTTCATCAACGCCTTCTTCTTCCTTAGGTACTGCTGATTGCTCGATCTCAAAATCGGCTACTTCATCCCCTTGCTCACCAAGATCTTTTTTGTTATCTTTAACCTGGGCCTCTTTTGCCTCCTCAGCCACAACCTTTTCCTGTTGAAGTTTGGACGGCTGCCGCTGTCGTTCCTGGTTCGAGTCATCATTCGTTGTTACAGCTGAGGCTTTAAGGAAACTCTTACCAAGGGACCCTACGAGCAGTTGGTTTACATTCTCCTCCGTGGCCATTGACTGAGTATCATTTTCAGTATATATATCAGTTTTTGTGTCAAACGAATTGTCTGTCTCGGAGGTCTTCGTAGCTACTGATGTGTTCAAAACATTTGCTGACGAAGAGCGCTGATCCTTCTCTGCCCTGTCGTCGGTAGTTATATCTTTTTCTAAAAGATTTGGTAAACCTTTGGGTTTTCTCTGAACGGTCGCTAAAAGTTCATCCAATTGTTCAAACTTAGTTGTATCTTGGGCATATCGCCTATGCTGTTCCGTAGAGATATGCTATCCATGCGAGAAAGAAACCTCAGTTCGTGTTAGAGAAAGGCTATAGTAGTAATGGATAATGGGATTGGATGCTGTCATTCAGTTACTGTACCTGGTCAAAGTCTTCGTAGTATCGCCTGCAATTCTCGCAATACCCTAGCTTTGAATAGTCTTTCAATGCGGTTAGAGCCGCGGGTGGACCCATCTTTGGAGTTATTTGTGTTGTCTTTTGAGCCTTGACTAGTTGTTGTGGGTAACGAGTATAGTGTTGTGAGTCGACATTCGGGAGCTGTGGATCGGGAGGTAGGCAATGTAGATTGAGAGCAGGTATTGGGGCAACATTTGCTGGATTGTGACGTGAAGAAGCAACTGGACGATTTGTACTAGACAATACTGGTGCCTGTACTTTCGTTGAAAAGGAAGGAAGGTTTTTATGAGGCTGTGCTCTAGCATTAATGATATTGGTGTCTACGGCAGCCATAGGTTCTCGTTTAGTGGACGTCAAATCATGGCTTAAACTGGGTTTGATCGTTTTTGTGGGTTTGACACATC